CACTTGGTGTCATGCATGACTGAATGAAGTAGACCGCTTGGGGAGCAAAGGTGACGAGAATGGACCAATCACAGAACCTTGGTTCAACCATCCTCTGGAGTCAGGTCGACAAAATAGACTCCTAAAAGTTAGTATAATCTTCAAACATGGAATGTAGCACAAACACCAAGTACAGGTCAACCATCTAGCCGTAAGGAGCTATAGCCTTGCCGAGAGTCTCCAGCAAATCACTGGGAGGTGAATTCCTCATATTTCATATGAAGCACTAGTTAAATGGTACCTCCAGATGCGTACTATGTGACAATACATAAAGGGGGATTTCTGCCGTAGACCTTTAGACAGGTGAGAAAGAATCAAAGCTTTTCTTGGTTGTTCTAGCACAACCCAAATAACGACGATGGGCAACCTTGGCAGCTCCTTGCGACTTCAGTTTGCTCTGTTAATTAAGTACATTCTCCTGAACACAATTCGAGGTGGCCTTAAACATGGGCAGATCAAAATCATCATTAATAATCCACTCAAACCTGAGGCTCTCGTCTTAGGGCAGCAAAGCAGCTTGGAAGGACGTGAGGAAACATTGGAATGTACAGTTGCGATTGCAGATGAAAGTAAATTTTGGCCCAAAATATACCAAAATCTGGATATTGTATATTCCCTGGGCCCCGACTACTGCAGGTAGAGTACTAAAAAGAATAGGGTATTGCGGAGGCCTATATGATGCAGGTCCTCGATTGTGACGACCTTGTTCAACTATTCAGGGTATATCTTAAATCCTCCCTATATACTTGCTGTGATAACATGAAAGATTGTAGATCTACATTCGCAACTGGAATTCCCTCACAAAGGCAGGTTGTCTGATTTCTCTGCCCGCTTACCTCTGGACCCGGTTCCTGCCGCGAACCAATACAATACAAAATGCCCTCTATAATGCCAGCTTTCACTATGACACCTCAAATGAGCTTTTTGCGGGGTTCCTATCGAGGGAGATGTGTTACTCCTGTTCCATTTGGCTGACCCTAGAGGATAGCCTGGAGACTGCGCAGCGGCAGAAGGTCCACACTATCATTCGCAGGGCTGATATTAACACACACCACCATATCCTTGACATCGGAGGAGGATGGGGCTTTCTCGCCCTCGAAGCCTTCCGCCTGACCGGCTGTAGGGTTACGGCCATAACTCTTTCCAAGGAGCAGAAAGATCTAGCGGAGCAACTTGTGAAAGCTGAATCGCTAGGTGACCATATTTCGTTCCTTCTATGTGACTACAGAAAGTGCCCCAAGCCTCTGGGAGGATATGATCGGATCATCTCCGTGGAAATGATTGAGCATGTCGGGCGGGAGTTTTTAGACGGTTATTTTGAGGTCTTGAACAGTCTCTTAAACCCTACAGATGGGAAAATTGTGGTCCAGTCTAGCACATTCTGCGAAGAGGTGAGTCTATCATCTATACTAGGGTTCCTAGAAGCATCTATGGCAAAGCGGAGCTCAGGTCTAACTCTAGAAATATAGCTTCATCGGAATCGCAAGACTCTTGATAACTTCCTCGACCGATATATTTTCCCGGGGGGTTGTCTTCCTTCTACTACCGAGCTAGTAAATTGTTTAAGTGGGGGTTCAGAAGGGACGTTAGAACATGAATTAGAGAGCGTTGAAAACATTGGTCGACACTATGTCAAGGCTCTTCGTCTATGGAAAGCAGGTTTGTTACAAACTGGGACTCTATTCGCTTGTCTATTCTTAAGGAGCATGGCCCCAAGCCAGACCCTGAAATGGAAGCTCTCAAGCGTAGGTGGATTGTAAGCATCTACTTTAGTCTCTTCCGCTACATTTGAATTTTAGTCACTAACAATTCTACCTTGGGTTGCATAGTACTACTTCAGCTATTGCCAGGCAGGATTTCAGGAAGGTATTCTTGGTGTTGTGATTCTCGTTGCAGGCCGTAAGCGTCGGTCAGTCTCTTCCGATTGCATTATTTGATGCAGTTAGGCATTTTTATTTTCTTTCAAGGGGCATAGCCACTTTTGAAACATGCAGCATCCACCTCTTTTAGTAATTTTCTTCGCTGAACACCTTCCTTTTCGTAGCACCCCCTCAACGACGGGCGGACACCTTACATGGTGATGGGCCTAGTGCTCTGGCAGATGTTTTGATATCACCGTAGCAAGGTTCTTTTGACATGTTCCCCACCGAGATCGAGATGTTGACTGTATGAGGATGACTGGTTCGAGCATATCCGGCCAAGAAGAATAGATACTCAATAGACACAGGATGAGGGGTGTGCGTGAGGGCAGATGAAGTCTTAGTGTATGGCTCTTGGCACCTGCCGTTCGAGGCCACGACGGTCGTTCTTGCCCGAAAGGACGGCATGAAACGATTACGGGACTAGACAACTGATGTCAACCCAACAACCTCGCCCCTTTCAGAAAGCTGAGCGGGCTTTCTCGCCCATCAGGTCAAGCAAAAGCTACGCATCTGCTGTAGAGCTTCAAAAGTCCGATCTTGTCTGTTTCGCTTATTCACACCATATAGATCGCTTGTCTACATGAACTGGACGGGGGGACGTTTGCGGCGCCAGTCACGCAATCGACCTGATTCTATCTCGAAGATCCAGAAGCAGCATTTCGCCCGAGCGCGTATAAAGCAACAAGAGTCTCGGCAAAAAGCGCGGATTACTTCCATCGACAAGCATTCATTTGTTTCTAATGGTAGAGAGTCAGTCAGCTCGTCTCAATTCGTTGTCAATAGCCCGCCCAATGAATCGGTAGATCGTACCAATCAATCTGGAGGCTTATCGAGGCAAGGTCATGCAGAGTTGTCATATGGTGAATATTTAGGATATGGCCACAAGGATTTAGAGGTACACCAGGCAATTCGTCTATTTGAGGCATTGCTGACACTTTATCTCTCTAGACGGAATCTGGTATCGCCTATGTCGATCTCCTCAAAAAGTATCTTCTCGAAAGGAAAGACTGGGTAGGTCTTTCACCGACACGGCCATTGCAAATGAAATTCACTCCAATTGAAGAGAAGGAAAGGATAGGAAAGAGACGAGCACTGTCCAGAGAAGATGAAGCAAGAAACACTGCCATATCCAAACATAGTACGAGCTTTTCGCGTGTATCTTCACATGCGAACAGACTACAATCAGGAGGAGGCCTACAGTATGGAACGGATTGGAATCTCAAGATCCATATCAGCAGTCCTAAGAAGATGAAAAGGCATCAGGAATACTCCGAATCACCAATCAGGTCAATGTCGTCAGACACGATGCTTTCTGACTTTGGAGACGTGGACGAAGGAGATATCTCTGCAGGACAGAACGAGCAGAGAAGTCGCACAGGGTGCAACATGGAGAAGAAACCCGTCTCGAGCAGTTTTGTACACATTCCCGACATGCGAACCTATTCAGTTCAGGATCTCGACAATTTAGAGCAAGTGATGTTGGGTAATCCTCCAGGAAGTGATGACCGTATAAGGAGCTCGCCAATGCCTGTGCTTCATCGGTTCACCTTGGATGACCAGGTCCTAGCGGAACGATTGTCAAATTCACAGATAGAAGTGGGATCGTCAGAAAGTCATCGATCTGATCGTCTTACTGTGACGCTCAAACAGGGAATGTACAAGCACCGGGACAAATTTGACAATGCCCTTTCCGACTCTAGTCCAAGGAACCAGTCCATCGACGGGCATACGAATCTTAGCGGTTCTCATAAGAGCTATCCCACAGATTTAGACACGTTGCCGCAGACACAGAAGATCTTGAGACAATTGCGGCCAAATCAGTCTCAGATAACTAGAACTGTACTCTCTGAAGCTCAGTTTGAACCCCCGAGAGTCACTAGCAGGATTCCATCTGGATCTGAACTAGTGGCCAAAGACAGAGAACATATGACACTGTTTGGTCAGGAAGTATATCCCTTGTCATCGAGATCATCTGACAAAGACGTAGACCTCGCCGCATCAGAGCGTCCGTTCCAGTGCAATATGCATGGCTATATGGCTTCGCCGCGAGGACACCCAGTCAGTACACCCAAAGCCGTTAATCACACCACAGAATTGGACTCTATGACTGGAGGCCATTCAACCTCGGGTTTCCGTCTTCCTAACCTCTCGACACCTCAGAGAGCTATACCCCAGCTCAATTCTTACGATCAGATACGCCAAAGAGTCGATATACCGACATCACCGGTTGCAATATCACATAGAGGGCCGTCACCATTTATCAGCCCCTTGGCATGGGGCAATCATCGCACGAGACAGCTCCCTTTTTCCGCAAGAAGTCTCAGACAGACTCCTGAGGATACAAGGGCTGTTGATGGACATGCAGGTATCTATGCTCCTGTCTTTAACACCCCGTTTCGTCGTTAGCTACAAATAGCATACTTTGAAAGTTAAGCTGCTTTCATGGCATGGTCGAGTGATGGATATAATTTGTGATCTGATTTTCGCCTGTTATCATGATTGGCCAGAGCAAGTATCTAGCTACGCTGATAGTATGAATTTCACACGGTGTCAATCTCTATCAAGTTAGATCTTTTTCCTGGATGCATATAGTAGAAGCATATACAAGATCTTTCCAAGGAATCTGGATCAAGTTCCACTACAAACGCAGGAGGGCAACTGTCGTCATAGAGCTACGTATACAAAGGACAAATGGCGTAACTTCTGGAACGGGCTATCGACAAGATCATGGATGAACTTCGCTTTGTGATTCGCGCGACTGAGGCGGTCCTTTCATGTGGAAATGATGTCATCCGCGGGGTGTGGCTGGTCCCGTGGCTTTGCGGACCCTGTATGATGTCATATTCTCTTGTGTCCCGATTAGGAAAGACATAGACATCATCATCTCCTTCCTCCTGTCTCATGTATAAATATACCCTGGTCGTTCCCTCAGCCAAGAACTTTCAATTATCATTAACATCAATCATCACACAAGCAAACAATAAATCTACATTCCACCAAGAACTTTCAACCAACCAACCACTTCAAACAAACATCAAAATGTCTTCCAACGAGAACTCTGGCTCCTCCACCCTCCAGTCCTACGTGGACTCTGCCGTCGGCGCTGCCCAGAACGTCCTATCGTCCATCACCGGCAACCCCGCTGACCAGGTACGCCCTTTCCCTCCCCCTTCACATTTGCTATCCATACTAACGAATAAAAAGGCCGAAGCAAACGCCAGCAAATCCCAAGCCGAGCAAGAATACCAAAACTCGCACACTACTGCGCGCGTGGGCCCCTTCACCGCAGACCCCAACACCGGCGCCGCTGTCAGCGACAACCAGGACCGCACATCCGGCTCATGGAACCAAACCGTGGGCGCCGCCAAGGAGTCCTTCGGCAACTTGATCGGAAACGAGAATTTGCGTCAATCCGGAATTCAGCAGAATGCAGACGGTAAAGCGCAGCAGGCAAAGGGCCAATTGTCGGACTTGGGTCAGGGAGTTACTGATCGTGCCCGTGGTGCGGTCGGCGCTGTTGGATCGGCTGTGCTTGGTGACCAGGAAGGTCAACAGAAGTGGCAGGATGTGCATGACGAGGGAAAGACTCGTCAGCGCGGTGTTGAGGCTGATTTGCAGAAGACTGAGCAGCGATAGACTGCCGCTGCCCTCGACGTTGTTGTCATGACTTTACCTTTCTTCGTGTATTTTCTATGTGGTAGCGTTTTTCAGATGAGATATCCCCCAGTGTCATGAGAATGAAAGTAACTTGATCAATTCAAATCAATCTCAAGTCCATCGTAGAACAAGAGTGTAACGAAGAAAAGCTATGCTGTGCCAATAACATGCCGACCCATTGACGGATATCGGATAAAACAATGGTTATCATAATATGTACAAATAAACCGAACGCCATACCTTTTTGTAAAGACAGACAAGGCAACTACCAATGACAGATCCCCCCCTCACTCTCATCCATAGCCCATGTCCCCGCCATACCAACAATCTCAATCTGCCCATCCGCATGCTCCCCGACTTTGCCCAACGTCGCAAAACTTCTATCCGCGGGACCATTACTGAGTAATCGTCGCGCCCAAGCATCGATTGCCGGTTCCCCGGTTTCGTCGCGCGCTTGTTTGAGGAATGGGATCAAAGCTGTGCCTCCTGTACCGCGGAGTTTCTTGTTGTTGCCCGATTTGACGTTTGCGAGGTTGACGATTGGGCGTGTTGTAGTTGTGGGTGGTTGAGGGTTTGAGAGCGAATTGCGTCTTTGTTCGCGCGATTTGACAATGATATACCGCGAAACGACCTGAATATGTTTATCGCGTAAGTCCCGTAGCATCGCCAATGAGGCATCATAAGCCAAACAAAGCGCTTTGTCGGATCGGTGCGCATCGACATATTCCCGAATATTGCTCACGCTGCCGATATGCTCCAAAAACCGACGGTGGTCAGGTGGCATGTATTGTCTCATTTCTTGGATGAAGTTGTGACGTGGTTTGGGCGCAACACCTTCAGTGTCACTGTGTGCACCAGCGCCATCGCGACCCACGCCAGTAGGGCGATGCTCGACGCCGAGGACTATATCGAAGAATTGGATGAGAGAGCTCTGCGCGTTGCTGCCGCCGCCGTATTGTCTGAACTCCGTCGCGCCGGTGCCGACATCAAACATGACCCCTCTCGGCAGCCCAGCGTCACCCATATTCTTGCTTCCGGCCAAAAAAGGGCGGACCTTGTGATAGAACACATGAGGATCGCAGTGCTCAAATAATCGTTGCATTATGACCGTGATCTCGGTAATACATTGCGCTAATTCTTGCAGACAGGATGTGACTACCGCGCTGTTATCGCGGCGTGCTGCGGCAATGGCTTCGAGCATCAGGGGAAGCATGGGTGCGCCTCTGGCTTCGATTGCGACGGAGACGAGATAAAACCATTGCTCGTCGGTAGAGCCTGTGAGCGTATTGATGACGGCTAGGTTGTCGAGGTCGTCGGCTGACTCGTCGGGGAAGATGGGCTTGTAGTTCCATAGACATACTGCGGCGTATGTGGCGACTGGGGGGAGATCTAGATGCTCGCAGACCTCTAAAAGAGGTATACTCAGGGGCGGAGGAATTATCTAGATATTCATATCAGTAAAAAAAGCAGTGCTTCAACGCAGGAGATGACAAACCTCTTCAGGTACATCCCCACCCCAGACATACGCATGCAACAGCAAAGTCAACACAACATAGGCCCTCTGCCATTCTGCCTCTGTATGCAAATATGCAGTGGACAACACAGGCAATCGCTCCACACTCGTGCGAATTCTCCGACTCAATATCAATGCCTGCACTTTCTCAATGACAGTCTCCCATTTTGCATAGTATGGATCCGGTAAAGAAGTCAAGGGTAGTTCTGGGGGAAGGAAGCCACGCTGAGGATCGATGCCGTAATCACTAAGAACCGGGATTGGCGGAAGCATTGCAATGATATAAATGCTCACGACAGACTGAAATATGGAAAAGGAGAGACTGTAAGGAGCGCAAAGACGCTCAAGACCGTCTAGGTATTATATAATTACAGCAATATCAGTGAGAATAATGAGATTACTGAGGCAAGACTCGTTTCAAGAAGGGCGCAACAGGTCACGTGCCAGCAGCTGCCCCTCCGGATTCGGAGGCGAAATCTTGTCGATTTTTGGAACCGACGATTTGTTGTTTCTGATCAGATGTGAAGATGGATATCAGTTCCAGAGTTGTGTCTCTCAAGGTCTGTATGGCAGCGATTATGAGGCGACTCTTTTTTATTGATGGCGTCCCACAGCTTGACAGGACCAGCGGGGCAAAAGTGGCTATACGTATGGGGAGGGGGAGGAGAAAAGAGAAGAGAAGAGAAGAAGGAAGATAAAGAGAGGGAAAAAAAGAGGGAAAATCTGGAGAGAGATCTCTAAGTTTTATTCAACCTGAAACTTTCCATTTACCTTTACCGGAACCGAGGGGAGCGATCTCTTGTCTTCTGCCTCCGGGTACGTACGAAAAAAGCTGGATGGATATCCCGGAGTCAGAAATTTCCCATGAATTAATAATCGATTTGACTTCCAAGCAAATACAAATGAAACTGACTCAAAAAAAGAGTAAGACGTCACGCAACCCCCCTCCAGAACAGTCCATCTCGGTGAACGAACTCCAACGAAGCGTTTGGGTAATCCAAATTCTTAACTTTCTTTCCTAAGGCCTAGAAGGTACCTCCTGAGGCTAATTGGAGCAGTTCTCCACCGCGAATTCTCGGTTCTGCCACTTTTTTAGTGTTTACATGGAGAGGACGGCTAATTTAGGAACGAGTGTATCCATGTCGGGGTAGCACCAGAGATGGCTTTTGACAGAATCTGTAGGAGTACAGAATAGGTAAACGGGAGGGTACATAACTTGATGTACTTAGGGCATGACCTGCAGTACTACTGAGTGTCTAGGTAGTATCTTATCAATTATCCGCACCATGACATAGACCATGGCTAAGCGCGGCTACTTAATATACGCCTTCAAAATGACTGTACAACCCGTACAGCAGAAATAAAAGTTCAAGACAAAAAGACGGAGCGAAATTGGCCCGGGCAGACCCGTGCTGTCTGACCCATGTCCATGACACATTGGCAATACACTTGTAATTGTTACACGGACGTCCAATCGGAAACCTTGCTGTAATAGTAGACTGGAGAGTCTGTCACTGTCTGTGTCGACTCGAGTCATCGACACGAGCCCACTGAGTCTAGTAGTGAATGAATCGATTGATGTCGGAATTTCTCCGATTGTATCGGCCCCGTTTACCGAGCTCCTGTTCCTACGTAAAAGCCTAAATAAAAGTCGGTCGTTTTTGAAATGACCAGCGATCCTATGCAAGTCATCCTGCATCTACGGATCATTAGGGTTGCGCCCTATTCTAGTAATCTAGAGTACTACACACATCATGTGAGAAGTAGTTAACAAAGAACAAAGAAAATTGCACACCGTCATGATCGTTCAAGCTACAGGGGCATGTGGAATATTAATCATAGACAACTCGATGGGAGAGTTCAGGTTCATTCTGTACAGTCCTAGGCAAAGCTAGGCACTAATTAAGTATGCTGCATATAAAGTGTACATCGCATCACGTCAACGCCGTTGAAACCCTAGTAAACCCGAACCGAACCACCACATCCAAGCATCCAGACAATGCATTCATAGAACAAGTCACTAGTGACAGCTAACTAATGCTGGCTCCACTCGATCGTGTCCAAGGCAATGCCTTCTTGCACCAATTCCCACAGAGGACTCAACTCTCGGAGGAATGATACACGGTCTGTGACGGCTTTCAACACGTAGTCGATCTCAGCCTCGGTGGTGAAACGGCCAATACCGAATCGAATACTGCTGTGGGCGTTCTCATCGCTGTTACCCAAGGCACGTAACACGTAACTGGGCTCGAGCGAGGCTGATGTGCAAGCACTGCCGGAGGAGAGAGCGATATCCTTAAGCGCCATCAAAAGGGATTCACCCTCGATGTATGCAAAAGATACGTTGACGCAACCAGGGTAGTGTCGTTCCGGGTCGCCGTTCTGGCTGGTGTGTTCCATAGCCAAGAGGCCGTCCAGCAAGCGCTTGGACAATCTCTTAACATGTGCAGTGTCATACTAGGAAAATGTTAGTCCCACTCAACATAATCAAGTTGACCATTATAAAGTGACAGTCAATAAAAGCAACAAGTCCAATCATAACCCCTGCTACGTAGATCACAGTGCCTGGTTCCACATCTTTCGACGTGGGCTACCACCAGGCGATCTCAGAAAGCCATGCATATTTAAGCGTATAATCATGTGGATGGGAAAAAAACAGGGAAAGCAAAGAAATAGAGCAAGGATATTAAACTTACGTCCATGTCTGCTTTGGCAATACGGCAAGCTTCACCTAATCCGACCACAAGGTGAGGCGCCAAAGTACCGCTTCGGAGACCTCGCTCCTGACCACCACCTGTGATAAGGGGATCGAGACGAACACGGGGACGACGTCGGACATAGCACGCTCCAATACCTTTGGGGCCGTAGATCTTGTGGCCTGAAATGGACATAAGATCGACATTCCATTTGTTCACATCAATGGGAATCTTTCCTACTGCCTGGGCAGCATCAGTGTGGAAAAAGGTCTTATTGGCGCGACACAGCTTTCCAATTTCTTCCACTGGCTGGATAACACCAATTTCATTATTGACAGTCATGATCGACACAATAGCAGTTTCTGGACGGAGGGCGGCTTTGAGGTCCTCCATCTTGATCAGACCATTGTTTTGCACCGGCAAATAGGTCACCTCGAATCCTTCATCCTGCAAGTGACGACAGCTATCCAACACACACTTGTGCTCGGTTTGAGTTGTGATGATATGCTTCTTCTTTCCCGATCGACCGAAGAATCGGGCCACACCCTTGAGGCTCATGTTATTACTTTCGGTCGCTCCACTTGTGAATATAATCTCTTTGGGATCAGCTCCGATAAGACTGGCAACGTGAGCGCGAGCATCTTCGACAGCCTGCTCTGTCTCCCAGCCATAGGCGTGTGTTCGGGAGTGAGGGTTACCGTATAGGCCGGTGAGGAAGGGAAGCATGGCGTCGAGAACGCGGGGATCTGTGGGTGTAGTGGCTTKCATGTCAAGATAAATAGGKCGGTTGCCTTCATCCATAATGGTGGCTTGTTTGAGGATGCCCGCGGTCGGGCTCATAGCAGCATCACCACTCACCGACGACGCGGACAATTCTGCATTCTGGGGTTGGATGCCTGTGCTCTCCATGAATTTCCTCTGCTCAGCTTTGATAGCCGTGTCAACGCTGACCTGCGCGTTGCCGACTTTGGACTCTGAGACATATCGTCGACCCGTTACCATCCGACCAGCAAGTGGCGAGCTGACTCTCAGGAAGCTGGAGGACAGGCGGCGGCTGGCGCAGCTTCGCGACGCCTGTCGGAGGGCATTTGATGCCATGTGAGACATTATGTGATTATAAACAGTGATTAATCATGGGTATCATAGAGCGATGGGAAGAAGTGATGAGATGGACGATGAAGAATGATGAAGTAGTTGATGATTAGTGAGCGAGTGTTTTTTTCTTGCGGTTCGTCTAGCTGTTCGCCCTCGGAGATTGGGGCTTGGCACTCGGCTCGGTCTGGCTGTCCGATTAGACTGGTCGGATTTACGCGGTCGCCGCTTCGCACTAGGCTGCCCAGGTCACGTGTTTCGGATCTCGGATCGACAAGAACTATCATTTGATGCCTCAGGCAGTCAGGCCGCATCGGGAAGACAGCTTGTGTCGTGCGTCATCTCCCTCATCTCCCTCATCTCCCGACATAATATACACGGATAATAATCGGGGCAGATCTACTTTATTTATTTCTAAAAGTCACACACGTGTGTAGACATGTGTTCGATGTACGAGTAGACAGCTGAATCAAGCGAAAGTTCGTGCCTAATGTCCATTATGTCATAGCCATGGCTCAGCCACGTACTTCCCGAAAACAGTTAGCCTGAGGATCGTAAGTTATGACTTATGAACTGGGAAAGCCACCATCGCTGCGAAGCTGCTGATTCTTTACACCAGGCTGACGCTTTGCACTCCCTAATTTCCTTATACTCAGAGTGATTCTTCTCTGTACTATACTGCTTCACTCGAGTTAAAAATTGAATCTTCCAACCACATACTCAGCAAATCCGTCTCATCCGAATCAGCTGTGCCCAACTCCGTCATCTGCGGGGTGAGTGCACAATGAGTCTGAAAGGCTTGGGCAAGAGTCTGTCGCGGGCACCGCAAACGTTCAAAGCGCGCTTCAATCTTGGAGAAAACACCAAGGATCCTGTCTACATTGACGCTGAGCGAAGATTTCAGGAATTGGAAAGGGAAACCAAGAAACTCCACGATGACTCCAAGAAGTATTTTGACGCTATCAACGGTAGGACCCTTCATCTTGCGCTTTGAATGCGGCGTTATACTGAGAGAAATAGGAATGTTGAACCATCAAATTGAATTCTCCAAAGCAATGACGGAATTGTACAAACCCATTTCGGGTCGTGCCTCCGATCCGAGTACCTACACCATTGAAGGCAACCCCGCAGGAATTCAGGCATGTGAAGAATATGAAGCAATTGTGCGAGACTTGCAAGAAACACTGGCGCCCGAGCTTGAGATGATCGAAACGAGAGTCATCAGCCCGGCCAATGAACTTTTGGACATCATCAAAATCGTCCGAAAAGTGACCGTCAAGCGCGAACACAAGAAACTCGACTACGACAGACACCGGGCCACTTTGAAGAAGCTTGAAGAGAAAAAAGACAAATCTTTAAAGGATGAAAAGGCATTGTACAAGGCAGAAAACGACGTGGACCAAGCGACGCAAGAATACAACCATTACAACGACCTGTTGAAGGATGAATTGCCCAAACTGTTCCAGTTGGAAGCTGAGTTTATCGGACCGCTTTTCCAATCTTTCTACTACATGCAATTGAACGTGTTCTATACGCTGCACGAGAAAATGCAGGGCATCAACATTGGATACTTTGACCTAACGCGCGATATCGAAGAGGCATACGAGGCTAAAAAGGGAGACGCCAAGGAGAAAGCCGAGGAGCTCACAATTGTGCATTACAAAACTACTGGCGGTCGTAAAACTTCCAGATTTGCTTCTGCCAAGGACAAGCTCGCTTCCGAGAACAGACTCAGTTCTTCTTCAACATATCGCAGATCGACAGACACCAACGAAAAGCCCCCCCCACCATATTCACCTAGCGGAGCCCCTGGCACGACTTCAATCGGCCGTGCAAATAGCACTGGTAGCGCCTTAGCCGCTGCTGCAAAGGGCAAGCCAGCACCGCCACCTCCAAAACCGAAACCGGGCTACTTGGCCAAGAATGTCGAGACTGTGACTGCGCTGTATGACTATGAGGCTCAAGCACATGGTGATCTTAGCTTTTCGGCCGGTGACGTTATTGAGATTATTCAACGTACAAGTAATGAGAATGAGTGGTGGACAGGAAAGGTAAATGGCAGAGAGGGACAGTTTCCAGGTAAGTTCTCTTGCTTTTTGTTTGATTTGACCTTGACACTGACCCTGTCGTAGGAAACTACGTCAAACTCAATTAAGACTGCGCTTGTCATTGCATAGTCCTAATCTTACCGCATGTTTGGAATTACCCTTCTGTTTTAGGTTAGGCATTGCATGCCAGACCTACCTTACACTTCTACCCTCTTCGTGTCCGAAAGCAATAGAAGTCGACCCCTTCCGTCAATTTTGAAGTACATATTCAAGCGGCATCTATACATATATTATATTCTATCCTTCTTCGCCTTGTTTCTGATTACCACTATTTTTTCCGTTATCTTCGATACGTGCTCAACGTTGCGTCAACGACTGTAATGAATGCTACTTTGTCAGACTAATTTCGAATAATAATGGTTGATTAAAACCGAACTGCCTGCCTGTACATCGATATGTGCCATATATGGGTGCAAGCACTCTTCAACATATGACCCTAGTCAATAGTCTCATCATTTTGTTTTTAGCCTTCAATATTGAAGCTCGCCCTATTTAGAATTTTGAATGGAGCCGAACTTTTTCCCAACCAATCTGATTATCCACCGCCATCATCCCCGTCTTCTTAGAACAGATCAACTTCACGTCCCCCCTTTCCCTATCCATTTCCACGATACCGACTCCATGAATGCGAGCTCTTTCTGGAATTGAATCTATCGCCATATCATCTGTCTCGGACGTAGATGCTAATTTGGCCGCAAATTCTTCTTCACATGTAATGACAGACCGTGCAATTGACGCCATCATTCGACCATCCCAGACCCCTTCTCTACCGCACATGGACAAAAGACGAACGGCGCGATACCTCATCGTACGGTCTCGGCATTTCAAAGCGGTGATGTATAGAGGATATACGACTTTCATATCAATACGGAAGAACGTGAAGAAGAGAGGAGTGTCTTGCGCAAGATGTTGTTGCGAGAAAATTTCTGATAGCTCAATGATTCGCGCAAATGTGGCAGAATGTGAATCGTACGCTGTTTCGTCTGGGCTCAATGATGTAGATAGTAGCACGTAAGATGTCAAATATGACAATAGCATCACGATCGTTGCGCATTGCTTGATGGAATTCAAGCCTTCTTTCGGGCTCGGAGAAATGGTATCGAGATTCGTTTTCCAGTGCTCAAGTTGCTCGTGAAGATTTTCTTGCATTGCTTGAGCTGCATTGAGTTCATCCTTTTGTTTTTGGGGCTGTTTCAACCTTGGACGATACTTGCATTCTCTGACTTTTTTGGAGTCGACAAACCGAGAGATCTTGGCTTGTATTGATTGCAGACTTTGGCGTAGCTCTTTGATGGTGCTTTTGCTCTTGACATCTTTGCCAGCTATCTGAGCGCCCTGATGGTTAATTTTGGTATACTGGGTAATAGAACCAATATCTTCCGGGTTGATGGGAACTCTCGGTCCCGAAAACGCCGCTGCCTGAAGGTCGAGTTGCTGAAAAATCAACGAAACCTCCTTTAACAATCCGAAAGGAGACAGTGCACTCCGGTTGCTGTTACTATTGTTGTTTGCCAAGAAAAGCTGAGATTTCGCAACTGACGGCATGCAAATCAAGCGAATAGCGCCATCTAGGTGATACTGAGCAGCAACATCACTGCCCCGAAGGACTTCACATACTATCAAAAGTAGACACGCAAAAAGAGTTTCCAGTAGGACGTCATGCTTTTGCATGGCATCGACAAGGATCATATTCAGTCTGCTGATGGCTTTGCCATACTGATTATATGAGAAGACTCTCAAAGCGTCCCTTACCGGGTCTGCTGACTTGCAATTGTTGTTTTTGTCTACAGAGACACTGTATAGTGTTATTTCGTGTTGTGCGCTCAGTGCAAGAAGTGCGTATCGAATTGCGGGAAAGGCTGTACTCAGCGTGGGGATAATCTCGGACCAAAGTCTCAAATCGAGAGATGACGGAATCCGAATGCTTGTCTGGGTGAGAAAGTGCTGAAATGCTCTTTTTTCCTGGGATACTCCTTGCTCTGTGACGCCTCCTTTTACTGCTGTTGGGTAGAAGAATGGATCCGTAAACCGTCCCTGATACAATACCGGGACAGAGGAAGCAGAAAAATTCACAGTAGAATGATACTGAAAAGGATCATTGTACCCTTCGCAATCCCGTTTTGATCGTGAGCATCTCAGACACACAGGCTTCGTCTCGTCGCATTTAATACTTCTGCGCCTGTCCCGGAAAGAACTGTCAGCGTGCTCAAAGTAGCTAGTGCTTTCAGATTACCTACTTGCAAGTCAGACAACCACTACGTCGTTTGGAGGTGCTTCGCCGTATAAGCTTTCCTTTGGCTGTTTCCATCTTGCTGGACTTTGTTGTTGGCTATCGAGTCTACATCGAGTTTATTCCAAGGAAATCATACTAAATCTGAATGTGTCTGCCTAATCACTGGAAACTCATTGCCAGGTGATAATGCAATATGTTGAAACTGTTGTCTATTAAAATTGATATTTCCTGGGATAACTTTCTGCTGAGATATATCACTGTTTCTAGACTCTATGTAGGTGTATGGGCCATTTATATGAAAATGGACGACAACATTGAAAGTACAGTATGTGTAAGATACAACCTCAAGCCCCGTCATCTACTATAAGGTTCTAGCCTCCTCCTTTCCCTCGTTGCCAATAACTACAAACAAAGACCCTAAGAAGTCTCGGTGTTGAAGTACATGGTTATCACATAAGTCCTCTCATTCGGGGAGAAAAAGTCATACCCAACAACGACATTACAATTGTCGACGTAGACAGTCACCGGAATAGCGTTCTGGTATATGATATTCCACTACCCATCATCAGTAACCTACGCAGCATAGAACCAGTACTACAAACTGGCATGATGTCAACTTACAGTAGCAACCTTCCCTGGCAAAAGCTCCCTGCTCACCAACCCCCCAAACGCAGCACCATTCGAAACCAAAAAATCATCCTTGATCAAAGGAAACCCCGGGTTAACGTAATCGCGAAACATCTCACGGTTGGTATCGTCGCCGTCGATCGGGATATAGATGACTGCGTTGTCAACTAACCCATCTTGTGAGATGTTTGCATAGTTGAATGTGGAAGTAGCGAGGTTGCCAGCGTAGGCTTCGGTGGCGATGACTTTAGCCTGATCGGGGAGGTTGTAGATGTAACCGGATGTTATGTGGGAGAGATTCGAGTTCCTTGTTCGTAAAATTAGCAGGCATCATTCGGCATTTGCGTTCACGCATGTCGAGCTGACAGGAATCGTTACCATTTGTGCTGGATGAAACTGGTATTGTAAGTGGACTTAATCACTGGAGGCACGGGCTCCTCGAATCCGGAAGTGAAGATGTCCATTGTAGATGGAAAGGGTGCGCAATACTTTGATGCAGCTGTAGAGCCAGTTGCAATTGCGAGAGCAGGAAAGAAAATGTTTATGAGCTTCATCTTGATAAATGTAAAGACTGACGGGTTTTGGAAAGATAATGAGATCATGCTCTATTCAACAGTTGATACATTGGAAATTCCTCAGGAGATAAATGATGCCTTTATATATGTATGGCCATGATTTCTTATTTACTCTTTCGCACGAAGATACAAACAATAACGAAGCAGCCTAGAAGGTCTGAGCAGTACAGTTCCATGTTTGAGCATGTTGCCCTAAAATGTCTGTGTACTGATCCACCACGCTAGTCTCTGTTGAGGTCGAGTTACGATATTTGGAGATCCTCATACATAAACATTTGTGGGGGGTTTAAATGTGAATAGAGGTGTTAACCCATAAGAGAGTAATACGTCGCACTCATGAGAAATTTCGAAGGAATCCTCCGCACGACTGCACGGGCACTGAACGGATGTTTTCAAAAGTTAAGGTATCTTACAGTTTATCATGTAGAAAGTCGTTCTGTTAGATGTAAGAGAATCGTGGACATTGCTTATGTTTGAAGTGGGGCCAAATGCGAAGTATTCTGTGATCTATCTATCTGTCTGTCTATTAATCATTATGTATCCATCTATCGCACGCCTATTCTATATCGATGCATGCAATACCCAAATCAAACGCCAATATGCTGTCTTCAAGTCATAACCAAAGAAATTGTGTAGATCAATAATCGATGTTCACTCGCTGCCTAATCTTTGCACCGTAGATATACAACAGCAAAGGGATGGGGATCATCAATGCGGCCAAACAGCCGAGGAGAGTGCTTGCCCATTCGATACCTAGATTTTGGTACTATTCAAGCCAGTCAGTAAGTCTAATTGAAAATAAGTCATTGAGAAGACATACCATATAGGTCGCAAAAAGGGGAAATCCGGCTCCGAACAAAGATCGCAGGAATGTATGCGCTGCCACAGCAGAAGCGGCTCTATCATCATATTAGTCTTTTACTCTATGAGTATAGATTGGAAGTAGGGAAGACTCACCTCTGCGGCCTAGCAAGCACAAGATACGAAATCGACGGCAAAAACATCGCCAACAGTCCAAATCCCGAAAATATGCCCGAAGCTGTAGGCACCATCCAATGAACATCACGCTTGTAACCGGACCAACCAAACCAGAACAACGCCGCTGAAAACGATGCAGCACCGGGAATGGCAATGGGCAAGACCCATTCAGGCTCCATCTGGCCTCCATTGGCAACCATGCGTGGGAMAAGCCATACCTTTTGGAAGAGGCCATTGATCACCACGAAGAATAATTGGCCAACTACGATGCCAAGAAAAGGCAGGCCGGAGATACCTGGTTTCATGCCGTGGACACCTTGGAAGACGGCCGGGTAGGCTGTTAGGAAGAGGTAGAGGAGACCGTACACGAAGGCGCCGAAGGTGCACATGAATAGCATGATGGGATCCGAAGCGAGCATACGCAGCGGCAGGAACAGGAACTCATTTGCGATAGTCTTCGGTTCGAGGAGAATCGTGTCGTGCTTCGCGATTATGGACCAGTCACCCGTCTCTCGACGCAGGCGATCCGCCTTACGAGCGAGGATGATAGGCCCGTAGCTCTCCTTTTGAAATATGACACAAGCGATGAAAGCGGCACTGCCCAAAATCCCGGGCAGGTATTCAGTCCATTCCCACCCGAGGGAAGCGTTCGAGACGATGAATCCGCCAATAGGTTGCGAGAGCATAGGGCCGATGAAAACTGTTAGCGAGAACAGCATGATCATCGTATTCCGTTCTCGCGGCATATACATATCCGTAAATACAGCGCCGGCTAGCGTCAATGGTCCAGCACCAAACAGCCCCGAGAAGAAGCGACAGATGAAAATTGACGCTAGATCATGGGTCGATCTGGCAGTCGCAAAACAGAAGACAGAGAAGCCAAACATGGAGATTGTGAATGGCAAGTAGCGGCCCTTGAGTTCACTGAAAGAAGCCCAGATCATGGGTCCCGTGGCGAAGCCGAGGACATATAGCGATACACCTAGGGTGCCGACTTCACGGCTTATGCCGTGGATGACCATTATGGATGGGATGGCTGAGGAGAAGATGGCACTTGCGCCGGCGACGATCATCGTTGATAGGGCGAGGATGACGGATATGAGGCGTCTGTAGCTGTTAGTTTCTGTCAACCTTCAGACATAGAAGAAAGACATACCTCTGGCCGATAGGCCAATTCCAGGGATGTAACGGATCATCTGGGCCATCAAAATCGACATAGTCGGGTTGAGGCTTCAGGGGAGGAACTTGGATTGAGGTGTCTGACTCTTTATCCATGTTTATTTTAGTTTTACCTAGATAGGTAGGTAGGTAGATGTTACTTTCTTCTCGACATGAAAAACGGCAAGCCGAAAACAGGGACCGCCCCAATATATATCTTCTTCATATTTTTCCAGGAGGAGCCTTGGTAACATCCACTTGACACTCTAATCAGAATCATACGTACGAGACCCATATCCCGTTGGACTTCGGCGTAACCGTCACCATCAAATATCAAGTCAGACATCCACTCACGCCATTCGGCCCGATCAGTCATCTTCCGACCCTCTATTAATATCGTAATTTTAGCCGTCTTGGCCCTCTTCTATTCGTATCAGGGTTGGTGTAGATCGTGTAAACACGTATCATTCGACAGATTCGACAACACGTTGTTTTAGTTAGGTCCACAGCGTGATCCATCGGAAAGGGAAAAATTAGGGCTTAGTACGGCCGTAAGACAGTTGAGGGGGATATCCGGGCCAATCAGAGCTGATTCGAGACCAGTTGAGCCGAGGTACTTTGCTGTTCGTATAAATGATTACCGTGATCACGAAAAACGAAGAAATTTAGTCTGATATTTTGTGTTATTGTGTGCTGGCAAGCTAACTCATAGATGCCATGTTTATGATCGGTGGTTACTCATATCACGACTCCGGCCGAAGAGCATCCTCGCCCAAATCCAGTCCCATTCCCAGCGCAATTTTCCGGATTAGTGCACGTTTAATAAACGCTTCTCGGGCCAAGCTACGCGTATGACGTGACCAGGTGTCCGCTCCAATCACTCCCTTGACCAACGCCGCTTGTAGTGCGTAGATGGCTTGTTGGATTCCTCGCTCGTCGGCTACCAAATCGTATAGTTGTTTTCCGACCACAGTCGGAGCCACGAGCACGTCGTCTATGGCGGGTAGTCCACTTGCTGTTGTAGTTCCTGTTCCATTTTGATCGGTTCGAGCCTTGGCATCTGCTATTACTGCATCTGCGCGATGGAGCGACTGCTGAAGGATACTTATGTTGGATTGTATCGTTACTTTAAACTGGTTCAAGGTCGCTAGTTCGCCTTGTAGAGTCATCATGGCAGAACTCAAAGCCTGAGACTGTGACTGCAAAGAAGTTACGGCAGAATGGGACTGCGATACATTTCCTTGTAGATTCTCGGTCAATGTTCGGGAGAGCGTGTGGATAAGAGCATCCTTCTCGGGATTTGGTGGTACAGGCGGTGGAGGGCCCGTTGGCGTGATAGATGGTAGCTCGACATCAAATGGTGAGGTGAGTAAGTCAGGGGTCTGCGGCTTGGGKGGTTTCGGTGCAGTCATTGCTTGTGGAGGAGTTTGATAGGGCGGTTGCTGGTTTTGATGAGCAGGATATGGAACGGGTGCTTGGTGTGGATATTGCTGCTGATGCACATTCTGCTGGTAGCCATGTGCAGATTGTGGCGTCGAATACTGTCGAGGACTTTGTATTTGATGGTGCGGATAAGCACCATGGCTTTGTACAGACACAGGGGAAGTATTTGCATACGGATCTTGTTGGTAATGCGGATTGACAGGCGCCGGTTGCGTTCGCAAACTGCTGGACCGATTTAATTGAGCAGTAGCTGCATTTATAGGAGTCCTCCATTCTTGAATATGCCCGTTCTGCGGCTTTGGAGGTAACGGAGGGATCGCTGGTCCGGGTGTGTGAGCTGTAGGCGGAGAATGTACTCGCGCTGTCTGGCCAGGCTTTGGAGGCAACTGGGGCGGTCTTGGAGGTGTTTGTTGATGTTGTCTAGAAGGTGGTTCGACAGGTCTAGGAGACGTAGAAAGCTCTGGAGGAAGCGGAGGGACCGGAGGAGGACCCGATCGTGGGGTTTCGGGTTGCGGTGGTCGTGACTGAGGTCGTCCTTTAACCGGGGGCTCTTTGGAAAAGATATCACGTAGAACACCAAACAATTCGACGATTGAGGATCGCTAATCAAATCAGCCACACTTCCCGTAACAACACGCAGCCTCGATGCTACTCACATCCCATGCTTCATGCCAATGCGCCAAATAGTGATGATATACTCGACCCTCCAGCGTGACGTGCTGACCAGATCGGACTACCATATCCGGGGTTGGAGTAACGTAAACTATCGGAGCCTCAAGAGGATATGTGCTGGGAATCCATGTGTCTATCGGGATATTGTACGAATTGCCGCGGAAGGAGACCGGTAAGGTCCCGACGAGGTGAAGGAGAAGCGACGGCGTGCCATTTTCGTATGCTAGGCAGCTGTTTAGTAGAGTAGATATACCACAGAGTTCTGTATCTGTTCACTCACTGTATACATCTGTCCGAGGTCCAAAGGATGGGTATTGCGCCAGCGCTCGAGCGACGTCATGGTATGTGCGATTGGGATCACGGTAGGTCTGTTTGGGATCATGATGGTTCTAGCAAGAGTCAGATTATTGTTGGAGTAGCTAATCAAGAAAGTGAATACCTTTGTAAGCACATTCCAAAGCCATGTTAACGTGGATTGCGGCACAGCCGCCATATTGCCAGAGACGCACTGGTTGTACGAGGATGAATTGGAGAAGTCACGGTTGTTGACATGCGAGCAGCTTCCCCGCTGCCTAACGCATTGCCTGAACTTTAAGGCTACGAGGCATGAGCTTGGCGCCTTTGTCACGAGTCAGAATTCAACTTCATTCTTCAACCATTTATTTCGGGGAATGAAAGTCTCGTTACATCTTCATGCTTTCGATTCATGAAACACAATTTAATGATTGATACTAACTAATGTTATGAGGTGATATTACCAGAACATCAGCCAACGATCCCCGAGCTGCTGTTATGGATCCAGTCTCCGTGAAGAGAACTCGAAAAAGAACAGGAATTAAGGTATTTCTAAAACGAAACTTGAACAAAGCAAATGAGTATCTCGGTCAAGGGCTGATTGAGTCCTCTAGACGAGTACCAACAGTCACAGACTTAGCCATCTCCAACCCCTGAAAATTCACCGTAGAGGGAAATGTGATGGTCTCGCTGGTCGATGCCGACTTCTTTCGGTCAGAGCCCACACTACCGAGTCGCGATGTCGACAGTTTGTTCCAGAGAGGCATACCAGATTCGGCATCATGTACTGCTGCATGACCAGGCAGTGCAGTGGCGGCCCACAGGGTTGTCACGGGCAGCGAGACCACCACGAAGGTGACAATGTCGTTGTTGATATGGTGGATGTTGACAGACGAAAATTGCAAGATTGAGAAGACAGCTGCGACTGAAGTTAGCAAGGCTCATGTGGAACTATGTGGAATGAAGTGGAGAACTTACCAGGCACAATCATTGTTTGACAGCTCATGATGAAGATGATCTGCATAGGACTGAATTGATGAACGCCGAGCTGCTTGCGACGATAAATGGTGTATCCCAGCTTGCAAATGAGGACTACGCTGAAGTAGATAATGCTAGTTGTGGTCAAGATGGTATTCAATTTCTGGAGCCAGATGTCACTGTTGAATGGCTTGTTTTTGACGATGAGCATACTTTCCAACACCATCTGAGCCATGCGGAACCCAATGCTAGAAACAGCAAGCCCAATCGAGACGACGAGGATGGAATTCTTTTGCCAGCACGACATGTTGGTGGATACGACTCTGGTCTGCACGACAAGCGAAGCTTCCATGACAACTTGTAGCAGGGCATCCATGACTGAAACCAGAACGCTGTTCGCAAAATCGCCTTGAGTCACGCGAGAGATGTCCCCGGTGAAATAAGCAAAAGTCTCAAACCAGGCGCTGGTGTAAATCAGAACCTCGCAGATAAGACGAAACATGTTCAGGAGCAGGGCAGTGACGTTCAAGCAAAAGACGACGGAGGAACGCTTCTTGGACCTGGTCAATAGGCACAAGAGCACAAAGGTGACGATGGTAGCGCCGAGTTGGCAGCCATAGTTGATACAGCTGACCACGCCTTCCTGGACATAGTCGTCGAAATAAGGGAGGGGAATGTCCATGGTGCTACCGTCGCTGGCAGTCAAGGTGATGTTCTGCTCATAAGGGTCGAATGGCATTCTGTTTCAATTCGTCCCAAGTTGATGAAGGGGGCAGTCAAGTCTTGAATTCAGATATTGCGATGAAGCCGACGAAGCTGTCGAAGTGGATAAGAAAGATGGCAATGAAAGTACGAGAGGAAGTATTCTGTGAGATGAGTATCTACAGAGTGAAGGAAGGAAGAAAGAAAGATGAGAAGCAGTTACACGGATCGGCGACGTTGTGCTCTTTATATACCCATGGAGAAAGTGGTGTTCCTGTACCTGAGTATCATGATAATACTTGAGGTAGAACAACCTATTGCATCACTTCTATATTCATAGTTACTGGGAAGGTGGGAGACACAATATATGAAATGTCAAACGGTGGCGGCGAGCAGAAGAACATCAACCTTCAATACGACACAAAATGGGATGACGAACAATATGTACGATATGAGAAGCGATGTACATGGATAATATACAAAAATGATGAATCATATATTTCTACAGTAATATCAACTAATATGAATCCGATCTTTGCCGCTTTGAGAGTGGCCTATTGTTGTTGGGAGTTTGCTGCAGAGAACAATACTAAGGAGCGGTCCCTGGACAATACTAAGCATTGGCCGCAACAGTTGTACAAATCACATGTATGTATGGATGTATAACAAGTAATACAGGTCCACAATTATGTGGCCCACCTGACGAATATGGAGAATATAAAGGTAATATGCATTCGTCAGGTTTTAATATTGTCTTGATTTGTGCTTTTTGCGGTATTTTCAGATAGGCTGGACACCAGACCAATTATGAAGCCTTGATTATCAACGTATCTGGCGGCCTCCAGATAATCAGGGCCTAGGCTAGAAATTGACAATCAATTTGCCTACCTCGCAGGTTGTTAAAAGGGTGAATGTACTGAGGTATTTGGTAAATGTACTGTAGATGTTGAGTGCACGATGCAACAGGTTGTGTACGAATATATCGACAAAGACAAGTATATCCACTGCGGACTCAGCTAGGACAACTGGAGCTCTTCAGAAATTTTTCAGTAAGGTAATATCAGTTAGCACGAAGCTTATGAAGGCGTGGGTGTAACATTTATACATTGTAGCCCTAATTTCCGGATTCGGCCCGGCCAACCGAGTAGACCCAATATTGAACATAAGGGGGGGGGGAAGGTTAGTATAAACTGCGAAATATCTATCCAGAAAATTGAGGGAGTTGACACCAAGAGATTGCTTAAATTCTATTTGGCCTGTCACAAAACTTTCCTCCATGTCAGCTAATAGGAAGCATATCGAACGCTGCGAAGTTTCGTAAATACTCCCTAAGTACTATCTAAGTGTCCAGAGTATGTAATCAATCTCCTTTTGAGTAGGAAAACAGCAAAGCTTGACGTACTGCTGGAAGTAGAGAGACACTGGACCAACTTGGAACAGAATGGGGATCACGTTTAGACGAGACAAAACTGTTGTGGTAATCTGCCTAATCATATTGATCTTGCATAGAAATGTCATTTTAGCAATGCAAAGACCCACCATCCGTGGAGAGTTTAGGTATGTTCCATAAAATGACAGTATTATGGAAGATAGATGATATTACCCTAGAATGAGATACAGTATTCATATTCTCCCACAATCGACGCCTCAAAGCTAATCTGCTCTTCTAAATCCTCCTCGAGCTCCTCCTTCGTAGCCTCAACTACAACAAGAGGAAGTTCCGCATGAGTACCATCGCCGGTTAGAAAAGCCCCTTTATCGCTGAAAAGCTCCACCTCAACACCCGCCCGCTTCGTTCTAATAATCGAAAGACGATAGGCAAAAACGATACCCGGAGCAGTCTCGTACGAGTCTGTAACCCTTCGCTCGCTAGAGCCACTTAGATCAGAGCCAGCTTCAATAGGAGCAGTACCTCCAGTAGGCAGTGCTGAGCCTGATACCTCCCCGCTAAAGTTACTTGCTACCTCTTTCATCACCTTAAAAGAATCTTTTGCAATGCGGAGGCCTGTAACTATGTAGACTGACTTCTTGCCAAAAAGTCCGCTATCGATATATTTTTTAACATCATGGAGCGCAGTGATTGCAGCTGCCGTTGAGACCGTCAATGGTCCAGTAAAAGAGTGAATTTCGTGATCAACAGCGCTATAGCTCTCAACGAAGCTATGGCCGGCCGTGGTGCTCACAGATGCCGATGCCATTTCGAGGAATTTAGTCCAAACATTCAGTGAACCTGATCGGGAGGTGGATCTTTCGTGAGAATGATTGGACTCCATAATAATGCTCTCTTCTGGGAGAACGATGCCAGTGTCGCTGGGGAGAGACGCTAAAACTAAAGTTGGTCGTGATGGATGCTCTAGAACGGTACCTAGTTTGATGGGTCCTTCAGATGTGAAGGTAAAATCGGGAGGAAGGAACCAGGTAGGCATTGTTTTCTGTTCGCATATTATGGTGATTCGCCTACTGTTTGAATAGTAAGATCAGGAGTGTTTAGGTAGAGTCAAGTTCCTCAATAGGTTATTTCTATTTCCAGTATGCAGATACCCCGCGACTGACAGATTGACGAGGCTGTGAACTGATTCGTCCGCTGGTTTTTCATTATTTGCTACTTTAGAGGCTACGTAAACAGTCGTATTAACCCGTTTGAAGAGGCAATCCGATATTTCAATGAAATACATGTAATCAAAGGTATACGTAGCCATTTATTGACGGATATGGCTCATGCATGTGGTCCGATAGCACCGATTGCTCAAGCGTCTCAAGATGCACCTGTCAACTCTAAATTATGAATGATTATAGGATTTTCTAATCACTCCTACCCAACATCTTCCATCTCTAAAAGCGACACCTGGATATATCGGGGTTTCAAGGGGCAAGACTACTCTGCAAGCGCCTTACAGATCGCAAGGAAAACCTCCTTATCTTTAGACTTGTCACTCCAGAAACGAATAGGGTTCACAAAATCTCCCCGATGGTCTGTATTCTGCGACATCACTCGCAACATGTTCGTCATTCCCTTGGGAGTCCTGAGCTTCTCTAAGATTTCTTCAAAGAGGGTTGCTTGAATCAGAGCGGGAAGCGCAGCAGAGTATGAAAGCATCATCGCAACAATTCCCGCGGCGACGGCAGTGGAAACTGAAGTTCCGGGGCTGAAGTCTCCTAAAGGGAAAAATTGCTTCATCTCGGCATAAATCAATTCCGGAATATTGTCGCCGTAGGTCCCCAGGACTCGCGGTCCATCTCCTGATCTTGTTGGGTTTGATCTGAGAAATGCTCCTTGATGATCCGTGGCATAGATTGGGATAACATCAGGGTGTCGGGCAGGGAACGCTTCTCCACGATCACTTGACGAGTTTCCGGCACTGCCGAGGAATATTATTGGTTTCTCACTTTTCCTCATAACACTTTCGATAGCGCTAGAGATGGCCACACTCGGCTTCGGGAAGCTGAAGGACATGGACACCACATCAGCCTTCCAGGTAAAACCAGCATGTTTGATTGCCTGTGCTGAAATAAGAATTAATTATCAAAGAAACTGAAAGGAAACTAACCTGAACAACGTTATCTTCGCTCAGTTCTAATTGGTCCTGTGCAACCGCAATGCGAGCAATGTAAAGATCGACGATAGGAGCGACCTGTAGCAGAAGACATGCCATGAAAGTTCCATGTCCGAATGTATCGACTGAAATCTGAGAGTCAGCAGCAAAGTCTTTCCAGTCCTTGAAGCAGTCCGAGATTGTGGCATTCTGAAAAATTGGAATGTCTCGATTGCAGCCCGTGTCAAGAATTGCCACACGAATCCGTGTGGTGACTTTTGCTAGCCGTTGACATCGAAGTACATAGCCAGAAATTACCTTCAAGCGATCAATCCAAGAACCTGCTTGAGAAACAGAGTTAGTAGTGTCAAAAGCGGGATCTTTCACCGAGGTCCAAAATGCTCGAGTTGTTTCATCTTCAAGAACAGTCGACTTGGGTCGCTGTAGATTTTGAACTGTAATCAATGGAACCTCCCTTGAAGCTTCAAAGCCAACATTAGCAAGCCAGCACAATGGGGCAACGACCTTTCGGTACAAAGCAATCCGCCTCTCTTTCGGAATAGACGTGTTTGCGGTGAGTGGCTGTTTAGATATTGAGTGAAACCGTCTCCGCCGTCTTTTTTGGGTCTTGTGCATATCGTCGAAATTCCTAGAATCCATACATTTTTCAACCGCTTCAACGAACACATCTTTGTAGGAAAAATCGGTCCACGATATTTTCTTGAACTCATTCAAACGCATCTGGGCCTTGGAGTGCGCCTTATTCGTGTGTGCGACAAGGCTGAGATTCGACGTTTCAAACGGTTCGATTCCAAGAGACTTTCCGAGACCGATTTCCAGAAGAATGATGCCTAGAAACAGAATCCGAGGGTATCGGTGAGTATAGTCGCCTGTTTCCAGGTATTCCGCTAGTGATTGGTCCTGTTGATGGAAAGGAATTGAGACATAAGCTCGGAGTGGTATCTGATTCTTATTATGATTGTCGAGCGGCATGAACCAAATGCTATCGCTAGTCCATCTTGCATGCATCAAATTAAAGTCATAGAACTGCCAGCACGACCGAGAAATTGCATACGCCAGGGTGATTTTGTGCTCCACACTAAGGTTGCAGTGATGCAGAATGTAGGACAGTTGCACACCATCGCCGGGGGATATAAAATAACGAAGGAATTCAGGGTCACGGAATTTGTGAAGTTGATGATTCATGTCCAACCGAAGGCGGATCCTGTTATAAGATTTTTCCTCGAGCATTTGACAAACAGCGCCCTGGGTTATTGGAATAAGGTCCATGTCATGGTCAGTCTCGTCATTCGAATTCATGGAATGATCGCTACAGTCATGACAGTTACGATTGTCATCACCCTTCATACGTCTATGATTACCTATTAGACATACCGTAGATGACTTCAGATTTTTGCATCCGTACCTGGTTGTTGTTGGGACAGGTAGGTAGGCGAATCAATGTTGAGATGAACTCACAGGGGAATATAGAGAGATATATCTTGCCAAAGTGTCATTCCTTGGGAAGCGATCATAAGTTCAACCTCAGCAAATCGCTCATCTGCCAGCACTCCATTACTGAGAGATATTCTGGTATGATGCCACTTGGCCATGTCTCTATACTTTACAGCGTGAGACTCAGGATAACAGGTTGAGTGTTCTTTCAATGCGTCGATGAGATATCGATTGACATGATCAGGGTATTCATCCCCATTCCGAGGACTGAGATATTGGCTAGAGACTGCAGACTCATCGGCATCGTTTTGATCGATTCGATCGAGTTCGACGGATAAGTTTTCGAGTCGTTGCGAATATCGCCTAATCAGACTTCGTCCTTGAAGTAAAAATTTTGAGATCGAATTAATCATTTCATCTTGAACGGGCTGATGACGAAATTTTCGAGACAATTCCGTATAGAGATATTGGGCACTAGTTTCTTTGGGATTATGGTATGAGGAGGATGACAGTGGCCACTGACTCAGTCTGTCAGACAATATCCTAGTCACCTATATACTAGAATTTGGGAGGAACATACCGTGCAAATATTGAAAATATCCCTTAAAACCAAATCACATTGCCTCTGGATCTCCGAGGTAAGATGATAGAGCGACTGGCGCTTGAAAGCCTCTGCAACGAGATGAAGATGAATGGCGATGTTAGCGCCCTCGCTAGAAGGTGGTTTGCTTGTCCTGGCGACTTCGAATATCGGCTTCCAGACCTCTTCAGCGACCGGACTCAGAAGCTCGGAACTCAATGCACGATTCTTTATAGCCATTGCCAGAACGGCGATAGGCTAAAATGTGCATGATCGAGAATTCGAAGTGAACCAGGTCGCGATCGTGCCTGTAGCAGACAAGGCTGAAGCTGCTGGTGTCTGCCCCGCGTGACCATGCATGTTGCATTAGTCATCGATCGCTAGGTCCGTTACTCATGAGCGATGTTGAGCCGTCCAACATTCAATTCAGATTGTTTGTGGTATGGCCCTATGATTCATCCGCCTAAGATCGTTATACCGCCGCCAGTCCCGATGTTTTGAAGCGTCCGCAACCCTCACTTCTCGATCTAAGTATTCATGTGTAGAGGCCCGCCTGCTTGAGTCTGATACCAGAGGGGGAATTTAATGTAGCAAACGTTCGGCGGCCCCTGCCCTGTTCACTAAAGGGTCCAGTTAGCCACATGACAGAGCGAAGTCACTCAAGGCTCTAGCCAGGATGGCTTCGAGGCGTGTCGAAGAAGCATCCACCATCAAAGCTACGAAGTCATGCTTCGAGCACTTCACGCATTGTATTCGTGAGCTCGAAGGAGCCCAGAACACGCACATCAAAAATCGCTGTGCCGACTTCAAGCTCTGGGCTGACAGTGTCGGAGCCGGTGCACAAGGACAGGCGTCGCTAGATTGGAGATTCCACGACCGACCAGACGATATATTCTTGGTCCAAGGACTTCTAGGAATGCTAGAAGAATTTCTCAAAGAGTGCTCTGCTGTATTAGAAGATCAAAAAGAGGTTGAGAAGGTTCTTCACAAGATTGATTCAATTATGCATGATCTAATATCCATGGGCGTCGCTATTCGCCGAAGTGGTCGAAAATCTCGACTCCACAAAGCCGATAGCTCGTTTGATCGTGATCGGAAAAAGTATTGCGATCTACAAACACATCTTGCTATTGTGATCGTATCGAGACCGAGTGAAGGACCGAGATCACTCTCTGAGTCCGATAGCTTCGCTGATATAAAACTTTCGCCAATACAGAACCGCTTGATCGAGGCCAATCTAAGACGTCGACACCGATTCATGGAAGCACAGAGACATTCAAACTTGCTAAAAAGTCCAACTCTGGGAATATTCGAGAGCCCTTCTTTACAAGAAGTTAGTGATATCCTTGCCACTGTTGGCGCCGATAGTTCTTTAGAGCATGAAACCCATCCAAACGAACCTGCGTTAAGGCAATTGCTACCGGTCACAGCTGCCAGAGCAGAAACACTGACAATGTCTGGGACTATTGCATCGGCACCAGAAACGGACTTCAAAGGGCTTCAGCACGACGGCCATGCTGGCTCGACAGCTACCCGCATCACAGCAATCACGGCTGCTGCCAGGTATCCGAAAGCGAAGACCTTGGGAACCCAACACTTTTCTTTCAAGTGTCCGTGCTGTTGTCAAGCTATCCCAGCCAAAGAAGCAGAAGAAAATCGATTTAGAAAACATCTTGCAAGTGACATTTGCCCCTACACCTGCATTTTCGACAACTGCCCTACGCCTTACGAACTCTTTGTTACCCAAAAGGAATGGAAAGAACATTTCATGCATGTCCACCCACCCAAATTTCAATGCTTCTATTGCAGCAAAGCACCTTTAAGCTCGCTAGCAGAAATAATGAATCACATTGAGATCGATCATCCTAGTATATCTGATGATGAGCTTGCTGATGCCTTGGCCGAGTCACCTATTCATGTCATGGGAATCACACAATGTCCACTCTGCGATTCTGAAGGGTCTCCAGACTCTCCGGATTTGATTGAGCATGTCCTTGAACACATTCACGACTTTTCCTTACGGTCACTGCCTTGGCCTAAGGACCCGGTTCCGCATCTCAATAAGGCCGTTGGGACCTTCAACATAGCCGTCCAGAACGTCGGTACGATTATTGAATGGGCCGAAGAATCTTCTCCTGAGAATGAGTGCCAACTGCAACTCTGTGGTATAGATATGAAATCGTTAACAGAAGAGGAGGTTGCATACAACGAATCTCAATTAGATTACTTTGATCAGAACGACTACTTCATGGAGGAGTCAAGTGACGGTCGTTTGAGTTCCCTATCTGGACAGTCCTACTTGTCTCGCTCTGAAAGCCAGCACTCTAGTATTCGAGGTGACGATCGCCAGAACGCCTCGCACGACAGTGCCGAATACCTACATGACGGCGCGACTATCAGGTCAGCCGAGGACTTTGCGACCCGACTTTCGGTCATTGATACAGAGTCAGCGTCTATTCAGGATCAAGAACGCTTATCACGGACTAGTGCAAGTCGATTACCAGTTTTCGGAGAAAACGACAGCCGGACAGTTTTGAAGCCCGAGTACGTAATCGGGCAAGTCTTTAGCAATCCAAGGCCAAAGGAATCATTTGTTCGATCTGGGTTATCCAAGGCACTTAGATTTATACAACCACCACCACAACCACCGGTCGATTCAATGCCCTGGCTCGTACCGCCATTTGACCGCCATTTGACCCTTATATTAAATATAATTCGTGGCGTGGAGATATACATCCAAGAAACAACGAGGAGCATGATTCAATTCAGGGAACTAGCATCTTGTATCGAAGGCTGCATCGATGTAGCACAGTCCAGCTACACCGAAATGGAGGAAACCTGGTATCAGCTTTGTGTACAAATACGAGACATCACGAATCATGATATCGAAGAATTTGGGAAACGCATCCGCAAAGATGTAATTAACCCTATGCGCACCGTATTTAACCTTTTGAAGGGTGCACAAAAAGTCATGAATGAACGAGAGAGGCGGCTAACTGATTGGATCCAATTCATGGAGATAAAGCGACGCGGCGACCTACCTGACAAGAAGATTACCGAGAAGGGAGAAAAGTTCATAGTCCTGAATAATGCGCTGATAGTCGGGCTTCCAAAACTTTTTCGCCTCGTGGAGGACTTAATGCAAACTTGCTTGAAAATATTTGTGGCTATTCAGCAGGAATGGTATCTAACAATTCATCGAAAGTTATGTTCCCTCGTCGCTGACATCCCGTGGGACTTTTCTGAAGTTGTGCGCAGTTGGTCAGCCAGGTTTGGCACTGTCAATGCACAGATTGAATCCCTGAGGCTGTTCGAAAATCTGTTCAAACAGATTTAATAATCCGTTCCTAGTCCTCGGCCTATTGATCATGGACAAAATCAATGAAAGTGAGATGGGAACTAGATCCTAGACAACCGAACTTCTTCCAATTTTTACCAGTAGGTAGAAAATAATTCAGCAAGAGTTCTCAGCAAGATCTCTGAAGAAGTGGGTACAACACTTACAGTATAGAACTAATGTGTAGCCCTATCTTTCCCATTCGGCCCGGCCGATGCCGAACAGACCGAATGTAGAAAATCATTTATAGAAGTCCAGAAGCATTATGACATCGAATTTCTGATTGTTTTCATCTATCAAACAGCGCTTAAAAGAAAAAACGAGTAGCTTAGAAAAAATTCCCATCATGACCGCAGCAGACTTTGCTTCAACATCAACGTTAAGCGCTGCTGAGAAGGATAATCTTGCAGCGCAAATCAGAGCAGCAATCGACGCAAAAGCCAGTGAATTATGGAAAATAAATCAACAGGTGTGCACTCCCTACGCGTATCTCTAGTGGAGTATGTTGACCAATTGGGTATCCTGTCAGATACATCAAAACCCAGAACTTGGTTTCGAAGAGTTCAAAGCACACGACAACATTACGAACATGCTTGAATCCCTCGGCTTCCAGGTAACACGACACGCCTACGGATTAGACACTGCCTTCGTTGCTGAATATGGCCAAGGAGGGCGAGTGGTCGCTTTCAACGCCGAATACGATGCTCTTCCAGGAATTGGACATGCATGCGGGCACAATCTGATTGCTATGATGTCTATCGCCGCGTTCATTGGCGTCGCCGAGAATCTGAAGAAGCTACAACAAACCACAGGCCAAGTTGTTCCTGGTCGTGTACGTCTGATCGGAACACCTGCTGAAGAAGGTTTCGGTGGGAAAATACTAATAATCAATGCGGGCGCCTACAAGGACGTTGACGCTTGTTTGATGACGCATCCGGGCCCATTCACCGAGTGTCCTGGATTTACTGGAGATGCATACATGCCGACACTAGCAAGTTTGAAGCTCAGCGTTGAGTATACCGGAAAGACCGCGCATGCTGCGATGGCCCCGTGGGAAGGAGTGAATGCGCTGGATGCTGCCGTCCTGGCCTATAACGGTATCGGCATATTGAGACAGCAGATTCACCCTTCGAATAGGGTACATTGTATTGTTTCAAAGGGAGGCGATAGGCCAAATATAATACCCGGAAATGCGGCATTGGATTGCTATATCAGATCACCCAGTGTCAAGATTGCTGAGGAGCTCCTTGAAAGAATAAAGAATTGCTTTGAAGGAGCTGCGCTGCAGGCTGGATGTACCATGGATCTGAAAATGTGAGGTTATACTCATGCTTTATTTGAAATATACTGAGCTTTGAAATAATAGGAAGAACACGTATGCGGACTTGAGACCTAACAAGGCTCTAGCGGTAGTATACGCACAGAACATGGCGAATCTGGGCTCGCAAGTGCGATGTGATCTTAGCTCAGCCGGTGTTCCTGGCTCGACGGACCAAGGTGTGTAAACTTCCTGATGCAATGAAGAACCCTGAAAGATTGTTGAAATTTGACCGCCGATCAGGAAACGTGACATATGTATGCCCTGCCTTCCAAGCATATGTAGGTGTCCCAGCACAGCCAGGCTGTAATAACCATACACCTGGCTTTACAGCGGTTGCTGGTACGAGAGAATCGCATGATCTCTGCTTGCAGGCAGCAAAAGGAATGGCAATCACAGGCTGGAATATCCTTACGGATGAGGTGGTTGCAGAGCGCATCTGGGCTGATTTTGAGGAGGATAAAGCAGTGAGAGATGTGGATTCGCACACTGGCATGGATCGAAGGATATTGTCAGGGAATGCTGGGTTTTGTTAGAAATAGCATACTTAAATAGTGCATTGGGCGCGAACAGCGTGCTACCATTTGACGGCAGTTTTGTCAACGAAAACAAATGCACATTTCGCTCTATACACAACCCCCGATACATGGCTCTTCTACACAACAATGTACCAATACCAATATTTCCGATATCCTGCAAACTACAATGTCTCATTTCTACAAGTTCACAGTCTGTAGCAACCTCGATCTAGACCGCAAACTCTCCCCCTTCCATATGAAAACAAACGGTATTACAGACATCAACGCACTCAGACCACCAAGTAAACTACACGCCCCTGAAATCCCCAAACGAGCAAACATCGGAGCCGTTGCAAGTGGCAGAATTGTAGCTAGTAAAGATCGAGAGCAGCTCGATGCTGCGTTGGCTGACGCTGCATACGATTTGTAGGAATCTGTCATGTAGTTTCTATCATCATGAATGTCAGATGCGAGTAAGATGCGACTTGGCGAGCCAAAGCAAAGAAGTAGTAGGTAACCGTACAATAGCGATATAAAAGTGCACATAAACCCCATTCCAAACGGTATACCAGCAAGCATAGGCACCACGAAAGACACCTCTATTCTAGCAGACCAGCCGAGCCAGAAAAGCGAAATGACGAAAAGTGGCCCACCCAGACATGCGAGTGGTAGACGATAGTATTCGGCCGCATTAGGTTTCTGCTGCTTGGTCAATAATTGATCATCCATCTGACGACGACGAAGCCAGATCTCATTATATCCCCAATAGACTGGAAGTGTCAAGAGGCACCCAGCGGCAATCGTAAGCTGAACCAAGCCACATTTACCAGGCGATAGATCATATAGCTGCACGAAGATGATTGGAAATGCCTGAAATGACATGTAATAGATCGAGTAACACAATGCTAAGTATCCCGAGCAAGCGCTGACTATGGGCTCGGTCACTAGTAGGTAAAGCGGCCTCAGTAGTACTCGGGTGATTGTCTCGCTCCAGTTACGCTTTGACTTGGATTTCGTCGTCGGCAGTCGCAAAGTAGAGGCTTCTTCAGTATTTTCGTGTAAGGTGATGAGGTTTTTCGGATTAGTCTCCGAGAGAAAAACGATCGGGATGCATGAAACTCCAGCGAAAATGAGGGCAAACCAAAAGGACCATCGCCATCCTAATGCCGGCGAGACGAATCCAGATACTATAGGCCCTAACATGGGACCGAATCCGGTCACCTTTCATCTTTTGTTAGATATTAATCAATACCATATTTAGGGGAGGATTACAATACATACCGCCATGAAGATAGCTATACTCCACCCTCTAGACGCCGGGTCATGATATATATCCGCCAAAATACCCGGGGCAATCGCAACGAACGAACTTGCAAAAGCTCCAGATAAAAGTCGGAAAGCCAGAAATGCTCCCCAGCTCTGTGCTAAAGCACACGACATGGTGAATAAGGTGAAGAGAACGAAGTTGACGATGGTGATGTATTTTCGGCCATACTCTTCGCTCAGGGGAGCCCATACTATGGGACCTGTGGGAGAATTCTATTAGTCTAAATTGCTTTTAGATAGGACAATAAGATGATACCGAGAACATAACCTATTCGGAATCATCATCAGCACGCGCTCAAGCCATCTTATCAACGGTAGGAATATACCAATCAAGAACATGGACATTGGTAGAACCTTCAACGATTCCGACCTGATGCCAAAGTCCTCTGCAATATACGTTATAGCATTACTCGTCAGAGAACTTCCCATGCTACTATTCAACACGCCCATCATAATGATGACCACCGTGAAAAGCTTCTTTACCTAGAAAGTCTTTTGAGCCTCGTACCATGATAGTTTGTCTCGCTTTCTTGGAGAAAAACTCACTACCGACCAATCATTTGGCCTTTGAAGTCTGTGGGCCAGGGTTGTCTCGTTGTCTTTTGACATCAGTTGAACCTGGTTGAAGGGCCTCTTTTCCAACATCTTGTGCGCGTGTTGACCGGTAATTTGACAACGATTATCGCTGAGCAGACATGTTGTTCTGATGATATATAGAATAAATGAAATCAGTATATTACAAAAGCTACTGCGAGATGCAATGACTCTATTTACTAGTCGATTAGCCCTAAAATATCTAAGTAAGCGTTCGGCCCGACCGACCGAATATACCGATATGTACATTTTCAGATTTTCAAGGGCTAGCCATTTTAAACGCGCGAATTTCAAGAGTTTCTCTATTAATCACATGATTCTTAGCTGTTTTGCACTCTTGAAGTTTTGCCATAATTGTAAAGTAATACATCAGTCTCATAGCATTTTATTCGTTACAAGTCTCCCGACAATTCTTAGGTCGCCTAGTTAGGCCGTACGTACAAGCAGGGTTCAAACTTCGACTTCCAAGAATATCAAAAGGTCAAAAGTAGTAAAAGTATGCTGCTTATGTGGGTTCGTGGTGAAATCTAATGTGAAAACTACAATGGCCTTAATGATCAACGAATGATGTGTAGCATTTGGTGACCGAAAGTCAGAAAGATATAGTTTGTAGTGTCATATTGATCTCCAAAATGTAGCTCTTGTCGTTACAACAAGTTGGTCCGTTCTTCATCCACCATTAAAGCACATACCTGAAGTGCTTGTTTTGAATCTGAGAAACGAGAAACTGTCAGCACCATAGCCAAGGTCTTCCCGCATCCTATGAAATACTCACATCTGTCAAATCAGACAACCCCAGAGCGATTCTGTCTTCATGTCCATTTTGGCCAGGTCCTTCGCCGTAATTGCCTTCTTCGTAGAGGCGGTCTCTCTATAATCACACATTCAGGGATCAGTAAAATCACAAACTTCGGGGAGATACGGGACCAGTCACCTTGCGGTTCTCGCGCAGATTGACAATATACATCACGGCTACGATGAAAATTTGCACAACAAAGCAGATGATCCATGATACGAAACCGGATTTGTAACGGGGAGCTTCGCGGGCGAAAAATAATTGGGGACCGATGAGGTTGCCGACGCAGTAGCTAGACGTATTCTATTAGATATCTGTAATCTCAAATTGACTCAAAATGATTGCTCACCTCACGAAAAATGCAGTATTGTAGATTGTCTTCTTGGTTCGTCCGGCAACATTTGACTGTACAAGGCTGATCGAGAGAACGAATGTAGTGCTGAAGCCTACTAGAAGGTAATAACCACTGGTACTCTATTAGCATCAGTGGCTCTTCAAGAGCTAGCGGTATTGACTCACAGTAGTCGGCCGACACGATTTGAATCAGGGAGGGCGTAAATCAACGAGGCTCCCAAAAGGGCAACCAAGAGTCCACCTATCATCAAGAAGTGCCGGATTCCTTTTATCTTCATGGCCAAGTAACTACGCGAAATTATGGTCAGCTATATCCGTGTCTGTTTATGGGAGGTATAAGTGTACCCAGATATCCAAAGGCCCAAGACCTGAGAAGCACCCGACGGCATTCCAAGCAAGGTAGACTGAAACTTGGTGAAGCCGAAGCTGTTGACGATCAACGGTGCAAAGGCAGATACGCCTCCCTAAAAGAAGCAGCCAACTAATCAGTCTCCTGAAGTTAATGACAACGAAGGCAACGTACATTAGGAATAGTATTGGCGAGCGTAAGTAAATTCATCAACCAAAACCGCGGATCAACAAACGCCTCCTTGACCTGCTCCCATTTCCACACCTTGGTATCGATMCCCGTCTCATTTTCAGCCAGCCGCAACACAGCAATAGCCTTTTCCCTTTGCGTCAACCATCTCGCGTTTGTAGGATTAGAGGGAGTCAAGAGCGTAAAAACCACACCCCACACAATCGTTAAAGACCCGAAAATGATAAAGGGAAATTTCCAAGCGGGGATAGCAGCGTTAATGTAACCAATTGCGTAACCAATCAGGCCGCCGAAGATATTAGCCACGCCGTTCATGGAGAACCAAATGCAAGTTCTTAGAGGCTGTTCACTCCTCTTGTAGAACATCGTTGTCAGAAGAACAAAGCAAGGACTCACTCCGGCCTCGAGGATTCCAAGGAACAGTCGAGCTGTTAAGAGGCCGGCAAAATCGTTGGCGGCTGTCATACAGAGTAGAACCACACCCCAAAGAGTGATGAAGATACCACAGGTGCGCGCAATATCGAATTTCTGGAAAAGGATATTGCTGGGTAGTTCGCCGACCATGTATCCGAGATAGAAGACAGTGGTGAGCCAGGAATATTGGTCACCGACGAGATGGGCATCGGTCCGCATGCCCCAGAGCGCGGCATAGGAGACGCAAGACTTGTCTAGGAACTGTTGCGAAAGATTAGACACGTATGCTAAAGGGGGGAGTGCATAAGTAGAAACTCACTTGAATAACATATGTCACTGCTAGTAAAGGCAGTAAGAAGAGGTCGATTTTCCAAACAACCTTTCTTGCCTCAGCGCTATCATAGTTCAGTTCATCCACCATGCCATTCAGGACGGTGACCCCAACGTCCGTATCCTCGAACTTCTTCATGTCACCATGGACTGTACCAAGATCAATAGTAGACTGGACATCCTGTCCTGCAGCCACATTGGTAATCTGCGACATGTTTCAAGCAAAAGTGCCAGCTAGACGTATATACAGAATGGATTACGTGCTCTGTGTAGGTCCACATTAGGCATACTCTCGGTACGGGCATGCCCTGTATAAAATATTACTCAACATCACAAAGTCAATGCTGAGACTGTTATCTCCTCTGAGGCCACATGATGTGGTGATTGAAGTCTAAAACGTTCGCCCAGAAGGAAAATGATAACGATTCTAACTTTCACACGGCTTCGGTCGGGCCGGTCATGAGGGCCGACCGAAGCCGGTGATGGGTTTTGTGCCCTAGGTTTAAGGCACTCCTACTGGTAGCTCATATGGGTTCAGAATCATTAAGGATATTTTCAAAGATATACTCAGATGTTCTAAATGTCCAATTAGAATAGAAGATTGATGGTCTTTTTGTGCAAAGATCTGGTGTGTAATCGGAAGCTAAAAGGAAGAACTATACGGAAAACGATCATGTCGGAAGATTTAGCCTTGCAGTCTGCAGATATTATTGCAGAAGTCAGTGCAGCTATCGACAATGCCTCGGAAGAGTTACGTCGTTTGAGTCTGGAGGTAGACCTGTTTCTCTCTGTTTTGAGTGCTAACCTCCTGCTGACGTGTTGCCGAATCGTAGATTTTCAATAACCCCGAGCTGATTTTCCGCGAAGTCAAAGCATGCAAGTTATTATCTGACTGGTGCGAGAGTCGGGGTTGGTCGGTGAAACGAGGTGCCTATGGCCTAGAGACTGCGTTTGAAGCTCGTTTCTCTACGGGCTCGGGTGGTCGAACCGTTTGCTTTAATGCGGAATACGGTAGGCCCGGTGGACATAGATAGCCCTGGTTTGAGACGGAGATGATTGACAATTATGTTTCATGAGCAGATGCACTGCCCGGCCTCGGCCACGCATGCGGCCACAACCTCATCGCAACATCCTCTGTAGCATCCGCCATCGCCGTCGAAACCATAATGAAACGTCACTCTATTAACGGCACCGTCATCCTAATGGGAACACCTGCCGAAGAATCCGGCGGCGGAAAATGGATCATGGCTAATCATGGTGCTTGGAAGGGCGTTGATGCCTGTGTTATGACGCACGGAATGCCGACTTTCAGTACCCCGTTATGTCTGACAAAAGCATCCTGGAAGATACGCGCAAAATTCCATGGTCTCGCGGCGCATGCTGCGACAGCGCCGTGGAAGGGATGCAATGCATGCGACGCCATTGTAAATGCGTATACGGCAATTTCGATGCTGAGGCAACATCTTGAAAAGGGACAGAGTATACAGGCGTGTATTTTGGAAGCTGGGAAAGCGTCAAATATCGTCCCGGAATATGCCGAGGGGCTTTTCAGTATTCGTGCACCTACCATGAAGAAACTAGATGAACTGAAGGCTAGGTTTGAGCCGATCTTTGGAGCGGCTGCTGACGCGACAGGGTGCACAGTGGAGTTGGAATGGTGAGTGGTATGCATGAGTGTGTAAGAAAGGGCTTCAGGACTGATATTATGGTGGATAGGACTGCATTGTACGAAGATGTGGTATCCAACAATACTCTAGCCGAACAGTATCGACAATACATGTTGCGTCACCTAGGCTTAACGCCGGAACAAATGCCGACTCTCGCAGAGTCTCGGATAGCTCATGATCAACCAGGATGCTCGTAAGTTTTCCACCCCCTCTTTGACATGTGCACTTGATTCTAATCGGCCCTCTCTTGAGTAGTGACTTTGGAAGTTGCTCCTACATCTGCCCCGGCATTCAACCGATGTTTGAGATCAAAGCCACCGACTTCCCACACTCGATCGGCTTTCGAGACGCGGCGTCTGGAGACTTTGCTCATCAGGAAGCTCTTCGAGCGGGTAAAGCCAATGCTCTGATTTGCTTAGACGTCTTGACGAATGACGGTTTTGCGGAGGTCATGAGAGATGAGTTCATTGAGGCTATGAAGGAGCGAGGTCGATGGGGTGAATCTGGAGAGAGCTTGTAGCTTTTGCATCCTTGGGATGTGGCGAATATCCCCGTATATTAGAAATGAAGTAGACCGAAAGAATGAGTTAATGGGGAAAAGTTCAATTTTATTTGTTTTATTATACAATTATATTATACCTTAATCAAGTGGAAGCGTGCCCAATGCTGGAAAATCATCATCCCAAACCTGAATGTTCCGTCAGCCAAATTCGGCTTTCCACAAGAGGGAGTACTCCGAATATACATACCATCTCATCGAAAAAGGACGGAATATCAAACAACGTCGGAAACGGCGCCTCCGAGTTGGTGAATACCTCTGGGCTGACGACTGTCTGTGTCAGAGCAGCTAATCTTTCTCCATCTGTTCGCAACTCATTTGCAGCATCAATAGCGCCGGCTTGCTCAAACATTCGCGCTGCTTGTTGCAGCATTACCAATAATCGTTTGCAGTCGACGAATTCGTGAGCGATGGGAAGGGCTTTGAGAATGAAGCCTATGGCGTAGTATGTAGGTGTTCCATTGTAATCCTATTTTCGGTAATTTGTTCATTTCAGTAAAAAGCTTCGAAGAAATTAAAGGCTTTGTAGCATACCATGGTATAGTGAAATGACTGTCGGAATGTCTCAGACTCGAATTGGGTCTGTATAATCAAACTAGCACTATCGAGAGCTCGTTGTATGAAGCCCAATCGAATTGGATCTGACATGAGATCATCGGCCAATTCGACCCCGTGCATTGCCAGGCCGTTTATATAGCTTTCAAGGAAACGTTAATCCCCCAAAACCGGCTAAAATAAAAGACGGAACATTCTTACAGTTTCATAAAAGCAAACGGCACCATGAACCGATTCCTATCCTGCTTGTTGGGAAAGGACTGATATAAAGGATCCGTGCTATTGACAACCTGATGAAACCATCGATCAATCTCTTCATCCTGAGAGACAAGATAGTCCGCCACTTCTTGAGGAAATGGACATATTTGTAATTGTGATTTATGTAGTTGGCCTTTGACATTACCTGTATACGTGACATGTGAGAAGAATAAAAACACCATAAAGGACAAATTAGAGACTCACCAGTTATAGTAAACCCATCGATGTAAGCACAAATTCGATTGTCCACAGGATGGTGATGTGGAGAGGTGAGAAGCCTTTTAGAATGTGGCAAATAAATTCTCATCCTATTTACGACGTAAGGACGACTGATGTTGATTCTATGTCTTATCAACTCTCTGTGACTGGAAAGAAGGTCGTTGCAACTCACTGTAAATCGAGGCAGCATAGTGTGAACCACCCCCTCGCACGACTGACGAGATCCTCTGTGTGCTCAACGCTCTCTTCGCCTAGCCGTAATGCGGCTTCATGTAATTTCATTTCCCCCGCGATAGAAGCAACATAACCCAAAAGACGTAGACGACCAGTCCAGACCGTGTAAAGTAAAATAGCATACAGAGTCAAGAAATCCGGTGTAGATCCTTGGAATGTAGTTGTAATCACTTGATCGATTTTTGCAAGAAATTGCAGATACTTCTCAGGCTTTATTGCTCTAGAGGCAATAGCACATATCACGGTCGACATGAGTGAATGCTCTCTTATCAAGGCTGGTGGTGAAAATATTTGTTCGTCCACAACGGAGACAGTCGTGCTGCAATGGGCCATGAAAAAGGAGTAGAGCTCGTCCCATTCTTGATGTGGTACTTCAGTTTGACCTGACTTGATGCTCTGCGCAGAATTTTCTGAATTTGGAGAGATGATTTGCGGCAGAAGGTTTTCTGAGCCTACGTGTGAGCAGAGGCGACGCCCTCTGCTCGGCGAGACATCCCTAGCATGAGATTTTTGTGATATAGAATCACGTAAATCTTGAATCTCAGCCCGTAATTGGCTTTCGACGAGCTGCAACCGCTGTTCAAGCAGTGCAATCCTTGTGCTACATCAGGGTTAACCATATGCTAAATCAAATCCAGTTCGCAAAATTCGGAAAGGAGGAAGCGCCTTACTCCGAGTCAGATTGCGATGCAGGCTTCGAGTGCAAAGCTTTTGGTGGCACAAAAACGCATTCGGCGTTACTTAAGCGACATCTCTGGCATGGATGCTTGTCAGGTCCACCACATTTGAGTTTTTGCTTTCTGCAGCGGAGGCATGCGACCACTGACCTGAATCAATGACATTAGTTGAATTAGCGTGCGGTATCGGATAGCCTATGTACATACCTGGTCCCCTCAGCGGTTGTATCCATGGAGTTAGGTATGGTGCTGACAGGACTTTGAATCTGCGTATATACTAGACGATTGGAGCAAGCATGTATAGCTAGGCGATCTATCCTCGCGAAGTGTGAATAGGGAAAGAGTTCCAGACAATGATGGATGTAGTTTGTATGTCGCGGCCCCACCGCCGAGAATAATGGCACACGAAAACCCTAAATTGTTGACTGGGGTTAACCCTGACTAACCCTTATAACATGTACGGTTCAAGAATTGTTTATAGTATGTATGTGATATTTGTACATGGTAATGTATATGTACAGCAAATGTTAAGTCCATCAAGGCCATTAGATCTCATTAATGCGTCCCAACAACCACTGCAAATGGCGATAAGACGATCTGGGCTGGTACTCTGGCTGCATATGTCCAGACATATAAGTCTCGACAAACATCAAGCCACGCTCATAATGCTGAATGCCCATGATACCCTGTCCACCATCGACACCACTCAGGCCATTCTCTGCGAAAACCTCTGCATATTCCAAATCCACCAAGGTGATGTTGATGGGTGTGCTGGGCTTCTCAGAGAATCCGAGGTGGCCGTTCCAGGTCATGTTCTGAATTGACAAAAGGGTGCCGTTAGTCATGATGATAAAGTCATAGTCTCCATTGCCGACCAGAACGCGGTTGGTGTGCTCAATGACCTTGGGGAGGACCGATTGGATTGGGTCCGCGGAAAGGTCACCCTCGGACTCTGGGCCGCCGCTACCAATGAACACGGCCTCGGAGGAACATTCGGTCCAGGTGATGTTTGTCGGGGCGTGCAGAGCCTTGACAACGTCCTTGCGCTGGAAGTAGATTTCCGCGCCTGCTGGCATGTAATCCAACACAGTGGGGAAACCGAGAATGTCCCATTGAAGAGGGCAGACGGCGTTGATCTCGTAAATGTTCCAGCATGGATTGATGGCGAGTGCATAGGTGAGCGCGGCATCAAAGACATCACAGTCTTCGCTATAACTCATAGGTGGCTGGACGCCGGATGCTGGGAAGGTGAGGTACTTCTCAATGTACTTGTCGAATCCGCAAGAGGTATGAATCTTCTCAAGTTCGGCCAACGTCTTGGAGTCAAAGTTGAGCATGTTGTTGTTCTCGGCGAGTAAAGGATAGGCTGGAACCTGCATCTGCACAGAGTCAAAAGCACCAATGACGGGGTCGTACACAAGGGCGCCACTCAAGTCGTAGTACTCGGTATCGTTTTCGTTGATCATAGCATCGGAGATGTAAGGCACGTACCGACCGGCATAACTTTCGCCAGTGACATAGATCTTGTACTTTTTAATTCCGAATAGCTTCTCAAAGTTCTTGAAGAACTTGATAAAGTCTTGCGCAATCTCTTCCTCGGAGGTAGCGGTGGGTGTACCGGTAGAGAACCCAGTACCGACAGGCTGGTCGACCCAGAGCATATTGGTCAAGTTGACCCAGCTGTAAGGGTTCTCGACGGGTAGATAAGTACCCGGCTGCCAGAGGAAGCGACCGTTTTCCTGGATGAAGGCTTCCATAGAACTGCAGCCAGGGCCACCATTCAACCAGATAGTAATTTCGTCCACGGGTTCGCCGATGGTGGGCTGGAAAATGAAGAACAATTGACGAGAGGTATCGTTGGATTCAATGGGGACGAGACCAGAGTACATTTCACCAAGGTCGAAGTTGACATCGGGCAGACTTTCGACTCGATATGCTAATTAAGCTCTCGTAAGTACATATTCGCTTATAAAACGCTATGAATTTTACTCACGCTTCGTCTCCTTGGTCAAGTATCGGAAATCTTGGGTTGCGTTCTTGGAAGCAGAGCTCGTCCGCTTTCCAAGCATTGCACCGTAATGGTCCTCATATCGTCGCTGAGCTTTAGCCGGGATGGGTACATGATACCCTGCGGCCAGTGCACCCTCGGCGAGAAGACCTGTGGCGACCAAAGTCGCTGAGATCAAGGACTGAACCAACATACTAATGTTCTTGCAGGCTGAGTAACCTTGGAAGGCGGACTAGCTTGAAAAAAGGAAGAATTTTAGGAAGGGAAATCGAACTCATATTTATGTTTTGCCTAGAGCTCTAGGTATCAATGAAACAAATGCCCTTGATTGGCTGCAGATTAGTCCAGTAGCTGATCAATGGCGATTTAGCCATAAACAGCAAGTATTAAATGCGACGACAAGGTATGATGGCACATAATGTAGCGGGCGGAGCCAGATTCCTGAGCCGGATAGGAGGGAAAATAAAATTGGATGGAATGAGACCGCAAAATTACGGGGTTCAGCTTAAAGGCGATCCCTGCCGCGATAAGCAAGCTGGATAAAGGCACTGGAGTGACTGGCCAGAGTGGAGTGGATTCGACGATCAACACCCTGGCGGCTTAGGCTCGGCTGACAAGCATTGAGGCGCATCGTCCGTGGTCAACCGTCGCCATGTTCCATCTGAAGAATCCATGCAGCGGAACTCGAAGGAGCTAGCATCGTATTCGTGATCCCTCGACAAGTGGCAACCTGCAAGGCTGTTGTGATAACTTGTGGTAAGCTGTATGACGGAGTACTCCGAAACCGATTCTCAAGACTACGCAGTGCTAAATTCGATGTCTTGAGGGATTAACTAAAATAAATTGGAAATAAATTGAGGTCGCATGCCAGTGGAGAAGTGCTTGTCTTATCTCTTTGGATACGGTAGAACTAGGCCGGGTTAGTAAGGTGATATCTTTAATTCGTCTCCTCAATCTAGGCTCGCATGACTAAAATGACAAAAGCTTGTTCTTGATTAATGCGAGAACGTCATCGAAATTAATACGATCTGTATATAGTAGAGTAATTCTATGAGTTTCCCGTGGTGCCACGGAGGTAGTGTTGTTATAGTGTCCGACAACTTAGGGTTATCACGACCACAACCCTGACCGATGGAAGAAAGCCTCAACACCAGAGCACCAGCGCACTCACCACCCAGTATCTAGATAGACTAGATATGCACAATGAGAAATATTATTTTATGATCCATTATACTATTATACGTCAAATAATGAGTGAATGATCGAGATAGGGATGTGACGTCATGTGTACGAACGAGAACCTTCATCAACTTTCAGATTTGCGATATTCATCCTCCCTTGTCCCTTCCTTAGTCTTATTCTTTCTCCTAAGCAACAAACATTATGAATATGCAGTGCCTCACCCTAAATCCCAACCAGGTGCAACCTCCGACCCGCGACTTGCCATCCGGCAAACCCTTGCCTGACAGCCTGCCAGACGCGAAGGAGGTAAAAGTGCACCCGCGCGGCAGTGACGGCACGGAGAACGCATCTCTGTTTTTCGTCGGGACAGCGACGACTATCTTGTTAGTAAAGCATGGCCTTGTACTTGATTCAGATGCTGACTGTTACTTTGATGGCAGGGAATGGGCGGGCATTCGGATCATGACTGATGCAAGTCTCGGATCTCATTTTGAATAACTGCTTCTGATAGAATATAGCCAAATTTCCTTCATGCTGGAGACCATGTGCATCTCGGGCCCGGCGTGTCTGCCATGCGCCAAACCAACCCGGCGGTAGACTTACATGACTTACCTCGGATTGACTTGGTCTTGCTGTCGCATTATCACGGGTAAGAAACTCCCGCTATCTTTAATTAACGTACTGACACCATTCTAGAGACCACTTTGATCAGTCAGTAGAAGCGTCTCTACGCCGGGATCTGCCCATCATCACCACTCCACATGCAAAGGACCATCTCACTTCGAAGGGCGCACAGGACTCATTTTCAAATGTTCATGCTCTAGACTTTTTTGAGCAGATGCTCGTTGATATCAGTGGTAATACGAGTAGTCGCAACGAAAAGAAGCCACAGGTTCGCGTAACGGGAATGCCGGGGAAACATGTTCCTACCAAACCTCTCCAGGTATTGAATGATCTCGTTCAAGCAGTAAGTCTTTACTCAACCCGTCGACCTACGAGTACTCAACTGTGATAGGTTCCTCCAACAAACGGATGGATGGTCGAACTCGGTCATTCCACGTCTTCATCAGACTTCAAAGTCGGCTACCGAATCTATATATCCGGTGACACCCTTCTGGTGGACGAATTGAAAGAAATCCCCAAGCGATATGCAGGCCAAAATATCGACCTGATGCTCATTCATCTCGGTGGCACAACAATTCCTTCCCCGGCCTTGTCACCCATGACAGTGATGGTGACCATGGACGCCAAGCAAGGCTTACAGCTGATTCAGTTGATCAAACCTCACCTGACAATTCCGATACATTATGATGATTATGACGTGTTTGCAAGTCCATTGGATGATTTCAAAGCTGAGGTTGAAAAGGCCGGTTTAGCAGATAGGGTTGTATATCTTGAGCGAAAGGATCAGTTCAAGTTTCGGGTTGTTAGTTGATATCATTGTCTTGATTTATTGGAGCATATTCAGTCTTTGTATAGCAATCAGAACTTCTCTCTACGCAGCAATGCTAAGTAACGCCACGTCGATGTATTGATAAAAGGTGCTCCCAGACATGTATAACCCGTGTCCCAACCGCAGAAGTGTAACTCGTATTATGTATTATATAAATTACTTTTAGATGTCGCCGCAACGGGGAATCGTGCCTCGTCCGCATCGCCATTTGCAGCGAAGCGCCATTCCCCGCGACTATCTTATCTATATAAACTGCCATTTCTTGCTATTTTAACAATACCATTTACATATTATAACCACTATTGTAACACACTCTCTCCCTACCTCTTCTCTCTTCTCTTGTTATCCAGAGCTGGCTACTATAGGATAAATATCTTTCTCCAAAAGCTACAGAATATGACAATACATTGTGCTAACGTATTGTCGCGACCTACACCAAACCCAACTTCCCGATTTGACGGTAAACGAGTTCGAGTCTTTCTGATGAAATGTCCGGGTTCATGATTGGCCTCTCTTGGCGCGAACGACCAGGTGTGTTAAGAGCGTCAATAAAGTCATACTCATGATCAATATATTCCATGATAATGAACGGCCCTAGAGAACATGGACTTTCCGCAGTCATTCCAGAGTGTAAGATGTGAGGCACACGAATGTTGGTAAAGCGTTCAAGAAACCGCATCACGGCTATTTCACGCTTGACTTTTTCTTCCGGAAATACCGAAGCGCCAGGGCATGGAAATCTGATCACCGCTGAACCCCCGTCTTTGAATTTCATTCGAATCCATGCATTGAAGGCTCCTCTTTTGGGAGCAAAAAGCTCATCAGGGACTCCTCCCCGGTGCTTATCTATAGTTTTTCCAATTTCTCGAAGGACTTCCCGATCGAAAATTTTGCTCTTCCAAGGTTCAAATAGATTCTCAGATCTCTCCCAAGCAAGATCATCATAATCCATACATTTTGGTGGTTTGATCAAGTCTGAAGCCATGGTGAGTATTCAATAGTCATCCAGAAGATGATTTTTGTGATAGTCGATTCGAGCGAAGGGTCATTTGAATCATCCTATTTCATTCTTTATTTTTTTTTATTGCGGCGGCGGACTCTGAGAAAGGACAGCGAGCTTCGGCGTGAGAACATGGAGTTCAAACAATGACTGGCATGGAAGGGTTTAAAGCGTACAGCTAAATGACCTCTCTCTCTGCACCCTTATTTGTTGCGTACTGTCTTCGAAGTTGCCCTAATGTTTGATCCTGCTGTTAGTATCAGCATTCAATGATGCTTGATATAATACTGGATAATTAGAAATATTGACGTTCAACCTTTACTGATTCTCACTGTTTTATTACTCGTAGACCATTCTTTGGAGCGGACTGGTCCAGGAGATGTTCGCTCCACGGAAATCTCGTGTTTGTGATTTAACCTATAACACTCACCCCGTTATACAGAGGAGTTATCGGCATTTGGCCGAACTCCTTACATGGGAGAACCGCATGCAATTTATGCAACACTCTCCAGAATTCAATAAAAGAAAAACCATCGCTCAAAAGCCAGCACCCGAAAATAGATAGCATACCGGAATGGGAAATGGTCTCGACATTCGGAAAGAGATAGCGGCCTCACCGATAAGGCTACGGACCAGAACGGTGCTGGTAGGTTCGGAGTAGACAACGGTCTCGACAGCTCCAAAAGAACTCCGGCGCCATCACCGTTCTTCCATTGTGGACCTTTAATCATCTGCCTCTCCACTGGCGTTGCGCACAGCCTATTTTCGAGAGAATCGCAGCAAATGAGGTGATCAGACTAGCCACCGTCAAATGCAAAACTCCGCATGATGCAGCATGGAATGACTAATTACTTAGTGAATTCTCGACGATGTTTGCGAAGACAAGGGAAAACTTGAAGGCGCAACAACACAACCCATGATTTATGCGCTTGCTCTCATTCATTGGCGTTCTCTTCTTTTTACGTGAGAGAGTGGCTGTAACTCTCGGCTGTTATAGTCCGATGTGTTCATTGGGTCGTTAGGTCAATCTACAAAATGAACCGCTTTGTAGCAGATCAATATGTTTTCATGATTGAAACACAGCGGTGAGGACTTAAAATTTTCTGTTAAAATTCGGTTTTCGCTCATATTGTGAATAGCGATCTCTGGAAATCTCGAACAGAACATGCCGCTCTTTGCATTGCTCGAGGAGACGTTTATCTAGGCCTGCTTGCAGTCTCCGCCTGTCTTTTTCTACTACATTACTCACTCTACCTTGCAAAGCGGCTGTGGACAAAGTCTGAAAATGACGACGAAAGCCCCCCCGTTTTTGCTCAGTTTTATACACCAATCGCGTATGATGTCGCCCAAATCGTTTTTGCGACTGCTTCGTTCGCTATCAGTGTAGCTATCCTTCCTCAGGGCGGTAGTTGGAAGAGGTCGCTGCTTCTCGGGTATGCAACCGTACTGTACATTGGGAGATTTGCCGGGAATAGCTCAACCCAAAGTCGTATATTCCGCCATGTAAACACAATTATCGTGGTGACCGCACTTCTTGCTGTTATACAAACATTTGTGCCGGTATTCATCGTCGGAGCAACCTATCGTCCCGGCACACTCGAATCTGCACTGTTTGGGTGCTTGTTTGCGACAATCCTAATMCCTGCCATATCTCCACGCCCACAACGGACTTTATACAGCGAAGATGAAAGCAATGAAAATCTTAGCTTTACCTACAAGGCATCCTTGGAGGAAACATGCTCCCTCTTCTCCTACTACTGGTCTTATGAATGGATTACATGGCTGATTATTCGCGGCCTTCGAAATGAATTGACCATAGAAGATTTGCCCATTCTACCCTCTTACGATGCACCCATAAAGTGGTTCAAAGGATATCAAAAGCAGCGTCGTCCAGGTAGCAACACATTTTTTACGTTGTGTCGACTGTTGAAAAAAGATATTCAGAAGATGATCTTTTGGGCGGCGCTGCTGGCATTCGGTGAATTTCTTGCGCCGTCCGCTCTCATGAGACTTTTGGGATATCTTCAGGATCCCGCGAATGCTATAGTTCACCCACTTGTATGGATTGCACTGTTATTTTTTGGTCCGGCTATCCGCACCTTGTGTAGTCAGCGGTATATCTTCGTTGCCACAAGACTTTTGGTCAGAGTCAACATGACCCTCGTGCAAGAGATATACCATACTGCGATCCGATCTCATATCTATGATTCCACGGTTGCTGAAAGAAAAGTGAATCATGGTGGAAGTGTAGTGGATAAAGAATTATCCAAAGGAAGACAGGCCGATATTACAACACTGATGTCCTCCGACGTGCAGGCTATCTACAATGCACGTGAAGTCTTTTTCGTACCCGTGGTCGTTCCTATCACTGTTATCATTGCCGTCATCTACTTGTACCGCTTGCTTGGATGGCCTTCCTTGTTCGGTGTGGCTACTTTATTCCTTCTCTCGCCATTGCCGACTCTGGCATCACGACGTGTATCTCGCATCCAAAGAAGCGTTATGCAAGCTACCGATGCCAGAATATCCAAAATCACGGAATATCTTGGCTCGATACGGACGCTCAAATACTTTGGATGGGAACCCGCAATGGAGAAAGAGGTGGATGTCCTGCGTCAAGTAGAACAGAGTCGGGTGTGGAAACGAAACTTGACAGCTGCAATTATTTCGTTAGCGGGAGACCTATTACCAATGATGAGCCTGCTCATCTCGTTTTCTGCTGTAGTTCTTCTTACAAAAAACAGTCTAGACGCACCAAAAGCATTTACAGCATTGTCGATCATGGAGATACTCCGGAACCAATGCCTATGGGTGTCGAATATTGTTCGTAACGCCTCGACAAGTCTTGAGTCATTGCGTCGTCTTGATCGATTCTTTGATTCTGCGGTCGAGGTTAAGCGTCATCCGCAAGGACCCCCAGCGTTTCACAATGCCACTTTTCGCAGGACTCCGGTGGCAGCGTTCAGGCTGCAAGATATCAATGTGGCATTTACCGAGTCTGCGTTGAATGTGGTGACTGGTCCGACCGGCTCTGGTAAGACTTCTCTGCTTCTATCACTCATTGGCGAAACCATACTCGAGTCGGGCGTAGCGACCTGCCCAAGAGATGTAGCATATGTTCCTCAGACAGCCTGGCTACAGAACGATACAGTCCGACAAAATATTTTGTTCTATAGCGAATTTGATAAAACTCGATACGAAAACGTTGTCGCGGCATGTGGCCTCCTCCAGGATCTTCAACAACTTCCAGAAGGTGATTTAACTGTTGTCGGGGAACGAGGGACCAGTCTTTCTGGTGGACAAAAACAACGAGTATCATTAGCAAGAGCTATCTATTCTCAGGCTACCACGCTATTGCTGGATGATGTATTTTCAGCCCTTGACACACATACTACGGCCTGGGTATATGACCAATGTTTCCGCAAGGGAATTCTTGCCGGAAGAACGGTTATACTCGTCACGCACTTGCCCTCAGCTCTGGAAGATGCTCAGACTATTGTGCATATCGAAAATGGCACTATTACTTCAGTTCAAACAAACGAGGACAGTCGATTGGCATCTTCTGGTACGAGCACAATCTCGAATGAACTGACAGTCGTAGAATCATCGGGTGCTGTCACTCCTCTGAACAACGGCGAGGCGGAAGCAAACAAAAAGACTGACGACGAAGAGTCTACTGATAACGACCCATCGGAACGGAAAGTATCCTCCCGGTTGGTGGCAGAGCAATCTTCCAAAGGCCGAATTCCACGAAATATAGGTATGTACTCTTTGCTCTTTGAGCATAATCTATAGCTATACCTATCTAACGGTATATACGTGGATAGCATTTCAATATTTGTTCAATTTTGGCGGTTTCAGCTTCGTCATCTTAGCCATGGTGTCTACTTTAGCTGTGCAGATAGCATACTTCTCCGTTACATACTGGCTCTCCATTTGGGCAGACGCATATGATCGCAGCGATTCGATACCCAATGTCGGCTACTACCTCTCCATCTATGCAGCTACAATCTTGATATACTTGGCGCTTCAATTCGGCAACGTCGTTATCTTTCAAGCAGGCGGTTGGAACGCAGCCCGAAAGATGCACCGGAGACTCCTTCACGCCATCCTGCACGCCCCCGTATCATGGTTTGACCAGAACCCCGTTGGACGCGCAATGAACCGATTCGGAAACGACGTACGATCAATGGACGCAGTGTTGCCAGAATACCTCAACAAGCTGATTGACAATTGCCTTCGGTTTCTATTTCGTGTTGCCAGTATCGCATCCGTGATGCCAATCTTTATAATCCCAGCATGCATTGTCTGTAGCATCGGACTACTGATTGGTGAAATGTATACCCGCACGCAGATTCAAGTGAAACGTTTGTCCTCCGTCAATGCGTCGCCGGTTTTTATTCATTTCATCGATTCTATTGCCGGATTGAGCGTTATTCGTGCCCGGGGTGGCATGGATGAGAAGTTCTTTTCGCTCCTGTCGGAGAAAGTTGGCGTTCACGCTCGGGCTATGGAAGCACAACTCAATTCGAATCGATGGGTTGCCGTTCGATTAGATCTATGCGCTGCAACTGTTACCGCAACTGTCGGGCTTCTTGCGTGGAAAGTGGGAGGTGATCCCGGTCTTGTTGGTTTCTCATTGTCTCATGCTGTAGGTCTTGGGCAGACGATCTTGACCTTGGTCCGAACGATGAATGACTTGGAGGTCGAACTCATTTCGTTTCAACGAGTAAAGGAATACGCAGAGATTCAACAAGAAGAGCAAGAAGAACCCTTGGCCATTGCGAGTAAACGGGATCAAGTACCCGCCCACTGGCCAAATGCAGGACAAGTCGAATTTTCCAACGTCACAGCAAAATACCACGACGGCCCCAATATTCTCCAAAACATAAACTTCACCATCAATCCCGGTGAACGTGTCGGCATCGTAGGTCGTACAGGAAGCGGTAAAAGCACGTTAGGGCTCACATTACTCCGATTTACGGAACTTGTCTCTGGCCGAGTTGCGATAGACGGGATCGACATAAGCAAAATCCCACTCAATCGTCTGCGTACCAGCATTGCGTTGATCCCTCAGGATCCGGTTCTGTTTTCGGGGGATGTGCAATCGAATCTTGATCCGTTTGGAGAGCTTGGTGAGACGGAGTTGCAGGCTGCGTTGTCGGCTTGTTGTACTTCCATTGAGGTTGCTGCATCCAATGCTACCCCTGATGACGGGAATGGAAACACGCCTCGAAGCCTGAGACTAGATACCCCCGTCGCAGCAAACGGGGAGAATTTCAGCCAGGGTCAAAGACAGGTTCTGGGCCTTGCCCGCGCGGTTAGTCGAAGAGCCAAAGTAGTGCTTCTCGACGAGGCCACGGCTTCAGTCGATAGGGAGACGGATGAGCATATACAGCGTTTGATTCGAACAGAGTTTCCGGAGTCGACGATCATTGCGATTGCGCATCGGTTGCGGACGATTGTGGATTACGATCGGGTGATTGTCATGGGAGGTGGAGAGATTCTTGAGTAAGTTTCAGTCATACGGTGCATGTTCATTGGGAGGTTACTAATTGATTTACTTTGATAGGATGGGCTCGCCGGCCGAATTGATTAGTCTAGATGGCATATTTTGTGATATGCTGCAAAAGACGGGAGAGTATGAGGAGCTCGTCCAGTTGATACGAAATGAAGTCTAATCACAGTGAGACAACACAAATTCAATTTCTGGATAAAATCAGCTATAGAGACATTAAATATTACGCACAGTTTGAGTGTCCTTCGGCATGTTTCAGACATTATTCCATAATCGTGATAAGCACGATATCTAGCACAGACAATTAGGTAGACAACTACCTAAATAGGAAACACATTGAACACAATTTGAAACACGACTTATGCATCGATCAGACTCGAGGATTTTGTTTGCATCCAAGGAACTCTTCAATGCAGTGTAATCATTAGTCAAGGGCGTTGCTCACATTAATAGTAACACATTCGTCATTGCATCAAACGAAGCTCGCATACCTAATTCAGATGTAGCACATGACCTCCCTCCAAACACTACTTACTAGAAAAAGCACTGTTCCAGATCGTTCATAAAATTATGAACTATAGAAAGTCGATAGATGTATCCAATTGCGTAGGCCAAAAGGAATATTTATTCCTCGGTTGATTTGGATTCGAGAATCGAACAACATAGCCATGCAGTCAACTGAATGTAGAAAGCCTAGCATCGAAGAGCAGTCGCAAAGCTGGCTTATCTCGTACGAATATTATTTCGAAGAAGCAGACTTTCAAGGCGGTATTGAGTTACATTGAGATAGATGACTGCTTACCGTAAGATGTTACAACAGGATACTGTATCTTGGGACCCTTAATTATTCAATTGACAAGCTCAAAATAAAACTTATTTGCTCGACGCAAAAATACATAATTTGCCAAATGAGATCGCCAGCCACAATATGCCTCATCACAAAACACTCGCAGCAGGAACGTCGGACATCATCCCGACAAAGCCCTAACACAGTTGTTTACCTCCGAAGTCACAATCAGCCTATTGTACATCAAACAAAACTACAATCGGAGCATTTGTTCTTGTCTCGACGTTTCACCCCTCACATTTAAAGTGGTCCGAGTATTAATGTCCGATGGCAAACTTCCTTCCTCCATCTCGAGGGCGTAGACGGTGAATCGGCAMAAGCCGATGATCGGGTATTAAAAAATCCTAGGTACGATCGGATTCTTTTCCGATGACTTTGGGTAGAGCACTCAAAATTTTCCTTGGACAGTGGACGCACACCACCTATTTCTCTATTAAGATCTAGTGTATTCATGGCAATTGGCTGCAGTGAAGTACTTGTGGGCGATCCTCGATTGCTTGTTGTATCTTGATTGGTTTGCTACGTAGAGATGTACCTCGAGGGTGGAAATCCGAAAAGGAAGTGGATTCCAGTGTTTTTTGTCAGAAGTGTTCCAAGTAGTACTACGTACAGTATAAAACATGGCTAGACTCTTCTTTCTCTGCTAGCCTCCAATGACCTCTTTTATTTACAGTACTTGTTTCGTGTGAGTCATTATTGTTTCTTCGTTTTGAAATGTCAATGCAGTCGTGAAACTCGTATATAAGTACTATCACAACGATCGATTACATTCTAGAATTATATACGAGCTTTACAACATTAATATTGTGCTAGGCCTCACGAAGGACAGGTCGATTTCAGGCTTAAATTGATTGTGCTTTAGTCAATTGAATTGATTGCTTCAATTTCTTGTCGACCTACATACAAATAACGGTCCATGGACACAATTGGCGTGACTAGTAGAATGCGGTATATACCTGGACCGGTCTTCAGTGCTACCTCGAATCGACAAAGCCAGGGAGAATTTAACCTGTGCTACGACACTTACATATAAATATCGCTCTGTCTTGCTGGCTGTTAGATACTATGGCGACAGAAAAGACCCCCGTTTCGACACATCAACGATCCGACTCATCGGCTCCATCGAGTCGAGCTTCGAATTCCGATGACAGCTTACGATCAGCGCATGAGACTCGTCTCCGACACGAAGATGGAGAAGATCGAGTCAGCCATTGCTCGGAGCAAGACCACGACCATGAAGGAAGCAGAGACATTGAGAAAAACCTCCCATCTCTCGATCAAACACCCACAAACCAGAGCAGGAATAACAACCTCAGCATTCTCGACACAGTGCGCAGCCACGTCTCCCATCAAGACATGCACGTCTCCGACAATGTCTACCGCGAACAAAACGCAGAGCAATATCTGCGATTCTCGCCGGCTCGCAAAGTGGCCATCGTGGCGATTCTGTCTGCTTGTTCTTTCTTATCGCCGATATCATCAACAACAATCCTTCCTGCCATGCCAGAGGTGGCGAACACCTTCAATACCACTGGTAGTGTGATCAATGCGAGTAATGCTGTGTTCATTCTTACAATGGGTCTGTCCTCCACTTTCTGGGGAACGTTTAGCCAGATTTATGGCAGAAGACCTGTGAGTTTTTTTTGTCAGGTATTATTTCAGCATCGAACTGACCTTATTAAAGATGTCTTTTTGGAGTTCGTTCTTCTTCTTCGTTTTCAGTCTGGCAACAGCGCTTTCACCGAATCTGGCTGCATACTTCATCTTCCGAGCCCTTACGGCTTTTCAAGGAACATCCTTCCTTGTTGTGGGTAGTGCGTCTATCAGTGATATTTACACACCCACGGAGAGAGCCACTGCTCTCGCATGGTTTCTGTCTGGAACTTTGATTGGTCCAGCACTTGGACCCTTCTTAGGGGTATGCCATATCCCATGTTCTCATTATACTCAAAGCTAATAGCTCCAGGGTGTGATAGTGACTTACCGTTCGTGGCGGGKCATCTTCTGGCTGCAAACCGCACTTGGTGGATTTGCATTCATTCTAGTCGCTCTGTTCATTCCTGAGACAATCCCGCACAAAACCATCTCAGACCTCGCCGACCTCTCACCACTAGAAAAGACAGTCGCAATCTGGCACCGCATGAATCCTATTCGAGTCATCAAATTGCTGTTCCAGTACCCCAATCTCTTCTTTGCCGCACTTGCTTCCGCATCTCTGGTTTGGAACCAATACTCTCTCCTTACTCCGATCAGATACGTTCTGAATCCACGATTCAACCTCACCACTCCGATTGAATCCGGGCTATTCTATCTCGCTCCGGGATGCGGCTATGTTTTTGGCACCTTCTTCGGCGGCCGGTATGCTGACCATATTGTCCGCAAATGGATCCGTAAGCGAGACGGCGTTCGCGTGCCCGAGGACCGCCTCAAGTCTTGCCTGCTTTTCTTGGGAGTGTCCATCCCAGGCTGGGTCCTCATTTACGGATGGACCATAGACCAAAAAGTCGGTGGGATCCCCGTTCCCGTCATCGCACTTTTCCTTCAAGGAGTGTCGCAGACGTTTGTCTTTCCCAGTCTAAATACCTACTGTCTCGACGTCATGCAATCCAAGGGTAGAAGCGCTGAGGTTGTTGCGGGTAACTACATGTTTCGATATGCTCTTGGAGCGCTGGGTACGGGTGTTGTGTTACCGGGCATTGGAGCTATGGGCGTAGGCTGGTTCAGCACCATCTCTGCTATATTTGTGGGCGTCTCGGGTTTCTTTATGTGGCTCACGACGATCAAAGGAGCTACCTGGCGACAGAGAGTGGATGAGAAGCTAGCCCAACGAGCGGCTGCTTGAGTTTTTTATTGAATGTTCTGTTGACGAGATTCCGGTTTTCCTAGACGAGATACTGAGTTATACAGAACTCGGTCGATAGTTTTTGGAAGTATATAATTAATTAGTAACGAACGAACGATTTCCTGTTTTATTTCGCACGTTGATTGTAAAGATCATAGCGTAGTCGATCGACATGCCTATCTAGTAAAAGTCGCCTTACGGAATGATGTCGTTTAGTGTCGCGTGATCTCATTGGACGCAGCATCCCACGGCATGTGGCAGTGTCATGCATGGATAATTGTACAGCGAATGATTAGACGATGGCGACAGTCGCAATTGAGTGCGTACTGAGCCACAAAAGATGTCGTGGTCGTACTTTTGGGAGGTGAGAATTGGTCAGATCGAGCGGTCAAACGATGACGTCGGCTAAGATCACGGATGCCTGCAGCTCTCCTCAGGCACTCCACAAATTTATCTTAAACATCGACTCTTCCCCAAACTAAAATATCATATAGCCCCATACTCTTCCACCTTCTCCGATCATTTCTGCAAGTAATTACCGCGTGAATTGACTGTTTTCATCATGGCTACCAAAGACGAAGCTAGTGCTGTCCCCGCCGCAAGCAAAACTTCATGGACTAGCTTCCTGAAGGTGATTATTCTGCCTCAACGGATCCGGCATTCGCTAATTTTGAATCTCTAGTCCATCGCATCCTTCAATGGCGACCTCTCTTCTCTGACCGCACCGCCGTTCATCCTCTCGACCACCTCTCTTACCGAGTACTCTGCGTACTGGTGCGAACATCCCTCACTCTTCGTTGCCCCCGCACGCGAGCCCGATCCTGCAAAGAGAGCGCTGCTAGTCCTAAGATGGTTCTTGAGTACTTTGCACCAGCAATACTGCTCTCGAAGCGAAAAGCTAGGAAGCGAGAAGAAACCTCTCAACCCGTTCCTGGGAGAGCTGTTCCTGGGCAAGTGGATCGAGAATGAGGATGTGGGTGAGACAAAGTTAATTAGCGAACAAGTCAGGTACGTATCCGGTGACACGATTATTCTCAGTGGTATAACTGTACTAATTTGAGGCTGTGGCAGTCACCATCCTCCGGCGACGGCGTATTCGATAGTCAACGAGAAGCATGGAATAGAGGTGCGCATCTTAGTCATTGAATGAGTTCCGCTTTATCTAACAAGAGAACAGCTCCAAGGATACAATGCCCAAAAAGCCTCCTTCTCCAGTACCATCCAAGTAAAACAACTCGGCCACGCATACCTTTCCTTAACTCCGCCTGGCAAAGACGCAACCAACGAAGCCGACCGAGAACACTACCTCATCACCCTCCCCAATCTGCACATCGAATCCCTGATATACGGAACACCGTACGTAGAACTTGAGAAAACCACCAAAATCGCCAGCTCAACTGGGTACATCTCCAAGATCGACTTCTCGGGCAAGGGATGGCTCAGCGGCAAGAAGAACACCTTCTCAGCGGTTTTATACAAGGAAAGCGAAGGCGAAAAACATCCTTTATATACTGCTGACGGCCAATGGTCGAGCAGCTTCACGATCCGCGATGCTCGCGCCAAGAAGGACGTTGAAGTCTTCACCGTGAGCAACATGAAGACAACACCCTTAACAGTCGCCCCTCTCGAAGAACAGGATGTATGGGAAACCCGCCGCGCATGGCGCGATGTCGCCGCAGCCATCGAACGCGGCGACATGGAAGCCACTTCAGTGGCCAAAACCAAAATCGAAGTCGCGCAACGCGAACTCCGCAAAAAGGAGAAAGAGGAAGGTGAAGAATGGGAGCGACGATTCTTCAAACGAGTCAATGAGAAGGACGATCATACCTTTATGCGATTGGCAACAATGCTGGACCTGACGCAGGGTAATGGCGCGGGTATCGAGAGTGATCGTACCGGTGGAGTGTGGAGGTTTGATGCTTCGCGTGCTGTTGATGCGAMCCCGCCGTATCATAAGATTGGCGGCGAGGGATTGGGATTGTAATAGTACGTAGATAGTTACTCTGTGACCTATACTTTGATTACTTGTGCCTAAACCGGAGGCTGACTCTCGATTACAGTATTCGAGCGGACATGAGGCGAGGCGTCGTTTATACTTTCATGAACGCAGGGTCTAGGTTTCTTTCTATTCCTTACATGTCTATTTAGTACCGCTTTTTCTGTTCTGTTGAATTCATGGATGTAATATAAGTAATACCTCAATTCAAGAATATTCAAGCAAACGAGGTAAATTGACCAGAATAGCAAGTCTTGCCCTAACTTGCTTCCATCTCCATTCCAATTTCCGCCTTGTATGATTGATACTAACTGATAGAACTGTTGTGACATCTGGACGTATTATGCGTAAAGCATAAATGGTCTCTGTTTGTAATACATGTAGAAATGAAAAAAAAAGACACGGATGAATAATTTTTCGATTAACGAAAAATGAAAAGAGGAGTGAGAGATGATGGATGGAGAGAAATACACAAAAATCCCATTTTTGGCTCCTTTTTTCTTTCTTTTTGGCTTTCCTTTTCCCTTTTCCTAATGCTGAGAAAAAGAAAACATCATGGTTAGAAAAAAAGAACATATTTGAAACATAAGCGTAGCGTAGCAGCAAGAGAGCACTTCCCATCGCTGAACAATTTTCCCATTTAAAAGAAAAACCCGAGTCCACCATCCTGAGATACTAATAATAAACACAATAGATAAGATAGAAAAAAGAAACACTCAAATCGAAGAGTTGAACGCCGTTAGACTCAATCCCTTGTTTTTAAGCTCAATCAATCAGTCAACATTTAATGTCCGTAATTGCCACCCCAACCGCCGCCGCGTCCAGAGTTTCCATAGTAGTTACCGAAGCCTGCCGCGCCGCCGTAGTTGCCATATGCACTTCCTTGGTGGTGGTTCTGGCTAACATTGGCCTGGTGGCTGCCTAAGCCACCGAGACCGCCGCTGTACTGAGGGTTCAAGTGAGGATAACCGCCGAAGCCCTGTTGACCCTGCTGTCCCTGGAGAGGGGGGAGACCAGTCTGTGACTGCGACTGTCCGGGGATGCTGCTGGTGGCTGAACCAGGTCGATTAGCCTGAGCAAGAGAGGGGCTTGGGCCACCCGTCTTGGAGGTTTCGTATCCCTTGGTAGATTCCTCACTGCTTACGGGTTGTTGCTGGGAGATAGGTTGGTTCTGGCCAAATCCGGACTGCGAACGACCAAATACATCAGGGACAGCTGTACCGAAGGTGGTGTTTGCTGCAGCAGACTGCTGGTTCTCAGGCTGGGCAGATCCAGTACGACCATAGACAGAGTCCCGACCTGGAAGAGCCTGGTTAAAACCAGAACCTGCTGGAGAAGACGAGTGGTCGTAGGAGAATGGCTGGCCGTACATAGCGCCCTTGCCGCCGTATGGAGCGTACTGATTGCTGTACGCATACTGATTGCTATGAGGCATGTAGTGATCTTCGTAACGGCGAGCATCATCATACATAGGACGGTTGCGACCATATTGGTGCTGCTGGTTCATGTTCATGTATGTCTGAGCATAATGAGGGTTCGAGTAGTAAGGATAGCCGTAGCCGTAGTTAGCAGCATGAGCACCCTGTCCTCCAGGAATGTGCTGGCCAGACGGTTGCTGCGATTGGGTGGCGCCGGGCAAGGTAGGCTGAGGAGTGTTCTGACCACTTCCAGGAGCTTCGGTATGACCATAGCGGCTAGGAGTCTGGGTAGCTTGAGCCTGTCCCTCAGCGCCGGAGGTTGCGAAACCAGACGCGCGCTGGCCAGTGGTGTCCTGTGAAGGATATCCGTAGTAATTGTAGGGAAGGCGCTGCTGATCGGCAGCATAGAAGGGGGAATATTCGCTGCCAGTCGTTGCTGCAGCTTGGGTAGGGGCTTGATGAGAGAAGGGCTCTTGGGCTTGAGCCTGAGTCTGGGCGGGATGTTGGGTAAATGGGTCGTATGGCTTCTGGGCTTCGGCGTATCGGCTGAAGTCGTTGAAAGGTGCTGCGTCCGTCTGGGGCACGGGAGGCAACCCAGGAGCAGGACGGGCAACAGCGGGGGTCTCTGTCGAGGGCTGAGATTGAGGAGGAGGAAGGGAAGCACGAGGAGCGACCGGAGAGTGTTGGGGTGGTTGGGCCCGAGTTTCCGCTTCTTCGCGCTGTTCATCAACGTCCACGGATTCATTACCGTTCAGTCCCATGCTGCCAAATTGGACAGCAGCGCGATCAACAGCGTGATTGGCAGGCATAACAACAGCTTCCTGCTGTTCCAAAACACGACGCTGGAAACTAGCAGAGCGGCCTTGAGTTCCAGCTGCCTTGAAAGCAGAGGCTGCATAGCCAGATACAGGTCCACGGCTTTGTGGAGTAACGGGAGGTAGAGAGTTAGGGTCTTGCACACTTGCGATCGTGCTGGCTGCGGTTGCGGTGGCAGGAGGCACTGAAACATCGGGAATCTGCTCAAGGTTCGTTTTGGTGAGATCATCTGTAGGAGCTTCGAAAGACTGGGTAGAGGGTGGTTCGTGTGCGGGTTCGTCAAGAGGTACAGGCGGTTGTTCGGGTGTTTGGGCTTTGGGGATTTCCGGGGTTGCCACGGTAGCAGGTACAGACGGTATGATCGGTTCAGGTTTCGTTTCGACGGGAGCTTCGACGGGAGGAACGGCTGGAGGTGCAGCGACTGGGGGAGGCTTCTTCTGAGGAGGGGGAGGCGTAGGTTTAGCAAACAAGCTGGCCCATCCTTTCTTCGCAGGTTCGGCTTTAGGAGCTTCCTGCTGGGGTTCCTTCACGGCCTCGACCGACTCAACGGGTTTGGCTGTTTCAACTTCAGCAGTAGCGGGTTCGGTAGAGATGCTTGTAATGACCTGCTCGGTGGGTGCAGCAGGCTTCTCGTCACGTGCGCCACCGACTCGTCCACCGCGTCCTCCACGACCACGATCTCCTCGAGCACGACCACCGCGTCCTTCGAACCCACCACGGCCACGAACACCGCGAGATGCTAGAGGCACTGTTTCGCTACCGGTGGTTTGGGACTTGGGCACATCCTTCGCCTTGGAACGGGAGCGATCGGTAGTCTTCTTCTTGACCTCACCCCATTGAGATGCGTTACCTATATCATCAATAATCAGCAACTGACTGAATATGCGATGCAAAGAAAGATATAACCTTCACTAATATGTTCAATGGCAGTTTCAAGAACACCATTGGCATCCTCCAAAGCAAACACGAGATCTTCGTCTGTCCATTCCGAGAAGAGCTCTTTCAACGTGGGTAATTCTGTCGCATATTTGAGCTTCAATTGACCGATTTCTCCTTCATCTTCGTATGATGTGGGTGCAGCATTGTCGGCGAATTCAGCTTTGGCAGATCGAGGACCGCCCCGGCCACCTCTGGAGCTGTAACCGCCTCGTCCACCTCGAGCAGAACCGCGCCCACGCGGCGCGGAGGGTCTGGATAAAACTTCGGACATGGTGTGTCTGTTGTGCTATATTGCTGACTCGCAAGGAATATGTGAGAATTGTTGAGAGAAATCGTCAACACGAAGAGTGTGATGAAGGCGGTCCTTGATGGGATGGCAGGGATTGCAAACGGGACAGGTGCCCAGGCAAGGAGAAGAATGGATGTGTCAAAAGATTCGATAAATCAAACGATGCGCCCTCTGTTAGAGGTTAGCACCAGCTCTGCAGTAAAGGGGCCGCCAGATTCGAAAAGCAGAAGATGAAGGGGGTGGATGGTTTAATACAAACAAGCAGTTAAGTAAGTAAATGGTTGACTAAGTCAGACAGAAGGAACTTTTGAGAGCTGAAATTGGATCTTGCGCGGCTGCCGACACAGGTTTAGCGAGGCGGCTAAGCTAAGCTCAAAAGGACTGTCGATGTCGTCAGAAAGAGCAGGCGGTGAGAGGTAGTGCCCGTAAGGCGTTCCGAGTTCATCAGTCAGCATCATCCAAGCTTTGACGATACAATAGTATTCAATTCGGGACACACTGATCAATTGCATCTACTGTCTACAACAATCAGATCTCATCAGCATATATACAACGAATCTGTGGGTATCAGTGGCTATTAGCCCCAGTTCGGTCACTAGCACCACCCGCATACCAACTCCTCTTCGACGGCAATACACCACATACATCACAGATGAAGAACAATACTGCCTTTCTCAAGCTAAAAGGATGGCCAAAAATCCACCACCCGCTTCCACAGACTCCCAGAGAGTCCCAGCAGCTATTATCTGCTTTGACATCGTCGTTCCGTCGGCAACTCGATGCCGCAGACACCAACAAGCCAGCACAGTCTGCGAGTGAGCACTTGGATGCCATTCTGGAAAACCCGCTGTTCCGCGTCGTCCCATCCAAACCGGCATACCCTACAATAGAATCTCACCAGAACAGACCAGAGACAGAAGAAACATTCTCAATAGTGAAGGACCCCATGAGACTGCTCGATGACAATGTGGCTGCTGGTACCCTCACTGGCCGGATACTCAAAGAGGTATTGCGGTCGCAGTTGTCATTGATTCACAACGCCTCAACGGATCCAGAACGAGCTCTGCAGAATACTGGTGCAGGAGCACGAGTCGCCAAGTGGTTCTGGGCTTCGGATTCAACATCACGCAAATCGTTCTTCAAAATCCCGGGTGCAACCAAACATGCCATCATTTTCATGGTAGCAGAAGGCCTTCATGATGAGCTCAGGGCATTTTTACGTCTACTGTACAGATCTGACTTGGGTGGCACTGACGGGAAGATTCCTAAGCGGATTGCAGACAAAATCTTCGCTACATTCTTGAACAACTACGTTGCGGCTGAAATCACACATGGGCGAGGCATGGCTAGTGCCATGGAAATATTTGCGGAGGTTGCAGACTCCATTGCTCATTCCGAAGATCTCCAGTCTACGAACTTCAAAGAATCGTTGCTCAAGCCAACGGTTTTCCATTTTGGTCGCTTCATGACTCGGGACATGAATGCTGGGGTGTTTAAAGATGTCCCCGCCTCAGTGTTTGACAGGTATTGTAACATATTAGAGGCCCTACCTGGTCTTCGACCTTATGGCCTTGCCATGCGCATATACCATCCTGTACAACAGGATGCTCGACCTTTTATGGAATATGTGCGGGAGTTGCGGAAGTCAAAATCTCCACCACGAACGGAGATGGGACAGGATGTTCTGCTTCAAACGAGCCTCAACGGATTGCGCCTTCTTATAGACCAGAAGGATTACCGGGATGCCGCGAAATACTCTCAGCATGTCAAGAATATGCTGTTTGAAGAGCGAGTTACGGACCGTCACAACGACAGCTACTCTCCTCAACTAAATCAGCTTATGGATCAATTGAGTCTGGGTCAAAACGCGCTGTCTTTTCGGTGGGAGCCTGTACCATGACATTCTAAGGTTAGAATGACCGTGAATTTATGGGACGAATACAGCTCGCGTCAAGCAGTTCCATCGGGAACCACCACATTCGCTCGGTGAGATTTCTAAGATAGAAAAACCTCTTTCGACTCGACCCAGTCCAGAGATCCCCCAGAAATCGTTTCGTCAGCCGAAGAGTCCGGTCGCAATTCATCAATTGCCCAAGAAGCCGATTCGTGCAGACTCCCGGATTGATGCTGCACTGAGTATATCACAAGTGTATAGTAGCACTCTGATCAACGGTGATCAGATTGAAAGAAGATTATGTGACCATGACCTGTATTATCAATGAAACGATACAATTCCATTCCATCCAATATCCAATATCCTGACTCATAATTCTAAAGCCTAAAAGCTCAGGCACCATCCCGCCCCGATCGCGCAAACCGGCGACCGGATAATCCGTTCATCCGCTATGAGTAATAACCATCAGATCTATTTAGTAGCTTCGTACATCTGACTCAATCCATTCTTTCTCCATTTTGTAAACCTCAATTGACTCAATTTATTCTTCAAAAGACATGTCCGGCACAAAGATCTGGCTCAGAGCAGAGACCAAGCCTCAAGAGGCGCGGTCAGCTCGTAAGTCTTTCTCAATTCGATTATTTTTTGAACCCCGCTATTGTATATGGTATGGTATGCTAATTAGGGATTTTTGGATGATGGATAGTTACACCTACGACGACCAAGGCGCTGCTAGATGCTGGATACGACGTCACCGTTGAAAAGTCAAGTCAGAGTATCTTTGACGGTATGCCAGTCCTTCGAAAATCAGATCAAAACAGAGATGTTGACTTGACCGCTTGAACAGACGAGGAATACGCCGCTGTACGCACTTCCCTAACCAACCAGTTCCACGCATCCATGATTCCTAACCACTTATTGACTGAGTAGGTTGGCGCCCGCCTCGTCGAAGAAGGATCGTGGGTCAAAGACGCACCCAAAGACACATACATCCTCGGCCTCAAGGAGCTCCCCGAAGACGACTTCCCACTCGAACATGTACACATTTCCTTTGCGCATTGCTACAAGAAGCAGGCTGGATGGGAGAAGGTGCTTAGTCGCTGGCCCCGCGGAGGCGGCACATTGTTGGATTTGGAGTTTTTGACGGATGAGAAGGGACGGCGGGTTGCTGGTATGATATAGTCCTTGCGGAGGTGGGATATGAAGGAGGCTGACGATGCGATGAAGCATTTGGTTACTCTGCTGGATATGCAGGTATGTTTATCTTAAGATCTAAGTGGAGGCTATGGTGCTGACTAGACAGGATCCGCGCTTGGAATCAAGACTTGGGCCTGGCAGTTCACACACGGCAAGGACGAGCCTCTTCCCGGCGAAACCCCATATGCCAACGAGAGTCTGCTCATCAACTCCGTCAAGGAGATTCTAGAGGCTGGAATCAAGAAGGCTGGCCGATCGCCCAAGGTGCTCGTTATCGGCGCTGTACGTTTTGCCATTGGAAGAAGTTGTCATCTGTACTAATCTGAGGTAGCTCGGACGATGTGGTAGCGGTGCTGTCCAGTTCGCCAAGGATGCTGGTATCCCTGACGAGGATATCATCAAGTGGGATCTTGAAGAGACCAAGAAGGGTATTTTCTCCTTTTCTGCCGATGATTATAATGATGATTAATCCTGACGGTGACAGGTGGCCCATTTAAGGAAATCGTCGAGGACGCTGACATCTTCATCAACTGCATTTACCTTTCCGCTGCTATCCCCCCCTTCGTCAACGCTGAGACTCTTGCTTCGTCCAAGCGTACTCTCTCCGTCGTCTGCGATGTCAGCGCCGACACGTGAGTCTGTCAACCCATACCTCAGGTACTCAGACTGACTTATACAGAACAAACCCCCACAACCCCATCCCAATCTACAACATAACCACCACATTCGACAAGCCCACCGTGCCCGTCACCAATATCTCTACCCTCGGTAACCCGGATCTGCCCCTCGACGTAATCAGCATTGACCATCTGCCGTCTTTGCTGCCTCGTGAGAGCTCCGAGATGTTCAGCACTGCCTTGCTGCCGTCCTTGTTGCAGCTCAAGGACAGACAGAATGCGCGTGTGTGGGTGCAGGCCGAGGAACTATTTAAGGAGCATGTGTCTACTTTGCCGGCGGAGTTGAGGAAGAGGGATTAACTGACCCTCTTAGGTCAGAGGGAAAAGTCTTGATATGTTTGATTCTGTTTGTTGATGAAAAGAACGATAGAAATGTATACAATGATTTACATCGAATACAAACTACAGACGTAGAATTAATTCAAAACTCAAAATTCATCATTCTGTCTTCTTTATTTTATATTACCTGCCCATAATGAGGCAAATCAATTTACAACTGACCAGCAGTGTTGAAGTCCTCAAGAGCCTCCTTGACACGCTGACTCATTGTCTTCTCGCCCTCACGGACCCAGACACGGGGATCGAAGAATTTCTTGTTGGGCTTATCGGCGCCATCGGGGTTACCAACAGTAGTCAACAGGTAATCCTTCTTCTTGAGGACGTAGTCGCGGACACCAGACAAGTAAGCAAACTGCATATCAGTATCGACATTGACCTTGACGACGCCGTAGCTGATGGCTTCCTTGTACTCGGCCTTGGAGGAGCCGGAGCCACCGTGGAAAACGAAGAAGACGGGCTTGTCGGACGCAGAACCGATCTTCTCCTTGACGTATTTCTGGTGTTTGGAGAGCAGTTCCGGGTGCAGGCGCACGTTACCGGGCTTGTAGACACCGTGCACATTGCCGAAGCCGGCGGCAATGGAGAAGTAAGGGCTGATAGGGGAGAGGGCGTTGTGGATGGCGAGAATATCTTCGGGCTGGGTGTAGAGGGAGTTGTTGTCAACGTCTTCGTTGTTGACACCGTCTTCTTCACCGCCGGTGATACCGATTTCCTGAAACCATTAGCTTCGCCACACACACTACGGACAAGCAGAGGGGAGGTACCATCTCGAGCCACTGCTTCATGGGAGCAGCGCGCTTCAAGTACTTGGCGGTAGTTTCAATGTTCCAGTCCACAGGCTCTTCGGACAAATCGATCATGTGAGAAGAGAACAGAGGCTCGCCGTGCTGCTTGAAGTAGCGCTCGTCCTCATCGAGCATACCGTCCAACCAGGGCAAGAGCTTCTTGGCGCAGTGGTCGGTGTGCAGGACGACGGGGATGCCGTAGGCCGGGGCGATGCTACGGATGTAGTGGGCGCCGGCAATGGCGCCGGCGATGGAGGCTTCCTGGTTGGAGTTTGCGACGCCCTGGACGGAATTAGCAGTGATATTAAAGCCCGAAAAGAATATGGGAATACCTTTCCGGCAAAGTAGGCGGCACCGCCCTGGGACATTTGCAGGATAATGGGGCAATTCTGGTCGCGGGCAGCTTCGAGAGAGGCAACGACGGTGGAGGAAGAGGTCACGTTCTGATCAATTAGCTACCTTGTCAAGCAGACCCAAAACTGGAAGTAAACGTACGATAGCGGGAATGGCAAACTGCTTCTCTTGAGCATACTTGAAGAGCTCGAGGACGTCATCGCCGACAATGACGCCGGTCTTGCGGGACAGCTTCTCGAGGACACCCATTTTGTTTATTTGTAGTGCGTTTCTAAAGAATCTAGTCGGTTGGTAAGTGGTCTGGTGAAGTGAAGAAGAAAGAAGAAAGCGAAATGAGAAGAATGAGGTAAAAGTGGCAGCGGAAGTGGGGATGGAGGGGGCAAGCTCAACGCAGAATTGAGAATTCAGAGCAGCACCAATGCAGACAGAGCTCACGAGAGGGGCTATCTGCTCAATTGGTATGTGCAAATATTGACTATTTGCTATGTTCTCTGTTCCTTTTTCTGCGAATGCCACCACGGTGAGAGCAGAGAAGCTCTCACCGAGTTCACCGGCAGCTTGAAACGGGGGGGGGAGAGATGAGGTCAGAGATGCCTTGATTGTCAGGCAGACATGTACTCACCTTGAATGATCGAGTCGACTCAATTGGAATGAATTTCAAATAGAATTCAAGAGGATTTTGAGGAAGTGTACTTATATTCAAAACTTTGAGCAATGATATAATAGAAGAACATCCGGTTTCTGTTCTGGTGCTGGTGGGGGGCATCTCAGAGTCCGATTTTTCTATGACGTTTCCGATTTGCCCCGCGGTGCTCTCTACCCTTACGAAGTACTTACTTACACGGTGTTACTGTGGAGCGTTTCGATTGCTTTCCATATTTTACGATTATTATGTCAATTGATTGCTGATTGTCTTGATTGGCATTGACCGAGCAATTACGTTCGTGTTAATGTCTCGTTGTGCAATGTGCTGCGTTGAGGCTGGCATAGCAACCAGTAACCCCGCGGCAATACATACAAACATCCTCTATGGTGTATGTCTCCTCATTTCCAATGCTTACATTGGACTGTACGGGCTGTATATAGCTTGTTCAGGCTCTTACTATCTAGTTAGCTTCTCTCTTTGATTCAGTTGGCTCAAGATATATTCGTACAATGCGGAAATATTCAAGCCGCATACATAGCGACTACTTGCTTATACCTAGGTAGTATGATATATATGGATGTAAACATCACGGAAAACCCCGGGTCTCAGGCACCAACCCAATTACACTTTCCTATCCATCAACACAAACCTATCTTGTGGACAATAAATGGTGCTCCATCCATGCTCTATTGGATAACCCGCCAGCACGGGATTTGATAGCCCATCCAGGCCAGAGCTAGACATTTGGAGCATCTAGACCAGCAAGCTTAGAGAACGGAATGGGGACAGCGGCCGTCTTGCAAATTATTCGTGGATTAATATATACTCAGAGGTATCCAGTGGATAGATAGGGCAAGATCTTTTCCGGCGATTGGGGGGGTGTTTCCGAATACCTCGGGTATGTATACATGCAAATATATGAAGGATCATACAAATGTCGGGCAGGGGTCCGATGACTTCTCTCCCTATCTACGTGTATTTCGTGAATCATGGAATGTACAAAATTTGTTAGAGGTGTATAAGTAAAGAAATGCTCACGGAATGTGTAACCTCTCACAGTACTACATTCATAGTACGCGTACGTATTACATAGAACACATGTCCCACTCTTCGACCCTCAGGAGTATATAGATCTCCGTATATACAAGTAAAACAGCCGAGAAGTATATGATATGAAATATATACCGAGACGCCTGCATAATGCAGAAAAAGGAAAAGAAAATAAAGACGCACGTCGTTTATTTCTAACTCGACGGCGTCTGGCTATCCATCTCGTAGAATAGCAGATACACCTCCTTTTGCATCCCCAAAACATCACTCGTCTTGCACTCTTTGACTTTTTCGTCGGATATGCGCCACCACCTATCTGCCGTTTTGCGTCTGCGTAAAAGGCGTTGCGCGCTTAGACCACCACCACTGCCGCCCGCGGAGCTACTGGTATTAAGCTTTGGAGTTCCTAAGCGGACTGAGGAGCTGCGGCGGGGAAGATTGTCTTGACTTTGATTGACGGATGGTTGTAATTGCAGCGATGAACGGGGCGGATTAGCGGTTTCTTGGGATGAGGATGATGAGAATGATGATGCTGTTTGGGCTGTGGACGGGGTTGATGTCGATGATGGCGGATTGTTCTGGTTCGTGCTCGAAAGTGAAAGTGAAGACTCGACTGGCGAGATACTTAAAGGACTAGGCTCGACTCCGCCGGAAGGKGAATAATTCGCCTTTTTCGTCGCCGGAAGACGTGGACTGCCCGCAATCGACGGATTCTCGCTACCTGCTCGACTCGCCGCGTACGAACGAAAGACGTCTGGTGTGGAGAAAGGGGGATACAAATGACTTCGTCGGAAAGATTCATAGTGTCCGCTGTTGTGGCTTCCCTTGTGACAGACTATGCCTAGTAGTTTGTACCATTTGCGATTGAGGATTCCTCCCAGAGGCAAACGTTCAGGGAACGACACTTTGGCCGCGTTTTTGGTGGAACTGCTCTGATCAAAGATGGAGCGCGACAGATGGATCGCGACAACCTTGGGAAAGACGGTGATGCGCATATGCCGCGCAATTCGACGCTTCGGCGCGAGGTCTGCAGCAGGGAGATCTACTCCGTCTAGACCTTGCTCTGGATCTGTGTCGACGGCGTGCTGGATTCGCCTTATTTGCTCATCTAGTTTTTCGATTTCAGCGGCCGACTTGGCTTTGGTTTTTGCAATGATTTTCGTTTCCAATGCATGCTGCAATCCGCACTTGTCACATCGAAAGTCGTCTATATACTCAGTCTTGAGCAACCCATCGAAGCAGGAACTAAGCGTCGCAGAGCTTTTCTGCGGAACTTGCAGCGTCAGATTCACAAACGATGTCCTGTTTGGTCGGTACTGATAATGACAGGTTTGACATTCGATTTGTGACTCTAGCTGTCCTTCAAGCGGGAATCCGTGTTCGTTATCGATTTCTTTCAGCTTATTGTCAATGATCGCAGGCAGACCGTCCTTGGAACCGTCGTCAATGCGCACAGAAACTTCCCCAGAATTTGCATCACTTTCAGCCTGCGCAATTGATGATCCGTCAACATCCGCACCAGCCGCACGCTGTGCCCGCTGTCTCGCTTTCACCGCTGCATGATACTCATCACATAACCGCTCTGCGACTATTTGCAGAAACTCCTGTGCATCCTGCTGATTGCGGCTGATTCGCGTCCGAAACGCGAACTCCAGCGCTTGGATAAACGATCGAGCAGATATCGTCTTCTTATATATCGGCCTCTCATTCAAACGGTCAAGCATCTCTTTCAGCGCCAACGTCACAGTCCCCTGTTGTAACTCCCGCAACCTGTCCGGCGGAAGACTGCGCTTTCCCGTCGCTTCATCCGGCCCCGGGAGCTGATTATAAACATCTGGACCGTCCAATTCTCGACGGTGCAGTTCGCGAATGAGATATATACGCAACTGGCCAAGACCGGCCAGCGCTTGCAAAACCGAGTTTATAAAACAATCATTGGCGGGATTCGATAGACCAACGACCCCCTTCTTGCGATCGCTACTACTGGATTCGTCGCCGTCTATGGTGAAGTTCGGTCCAAAGACATAGAACAAAGTGATGGCGGCCAAAGAGGCTCCGGCCGCATATGCGGCTACCGTTCCGGGTTTGTCAGGCATCAACGAGGCTGTCAAGGAATTGCAGTTATTTTTCCCCAGGATCGTGTATTATCGCGCCATCTCCGGGCGATTGATGGCTCAATGCAGACTTCTGCGATTGTGGGGTATCAGTCCGTCGGATCGAGCGGATGTATCGTTTAGAGTATGGGGACTAAAACATAAAGTTGTCATTAACGAGACGTTCAAGCGTTGACGCGACTCGAGGATGACTTACAAACCGAGGGTGCGGAAGACACCGGCGGAAATGCCAGGATACCCCGATTCAAAGCGAAGCCAAGCGGAAACGAGAATAGGCTGCAACAATGCTGCAGCGTGGTAGTGAATATACCTTCGATGACGGGACGGTAGCCACTTCTAGTCATGTAGATACAAAGAATTGACTAAACTGCGATTGTCGAGAGGAATTGGTGGACATGGTACTTTCGGCCGCTGGGGTGCCAAGCGTCTTTCAGTGTGTGGGGGGAGCTGACTCCGCTGCCGTGATTTCCGCCGCTGCCATTTCTCCTTCAAGGCAACACGATTCTTCTTCATCCCCTCTTTCGAGGAGCCAATATTGAATTTGGCAAGATCGCACATATGCAGCGGATAAATTGGCTAATATCGTCGACGCCTTTAGCCATCACTCAATTGCGGTAGAGCGTCGATGATGAGAAGAATGGCTCTATAACTGGCAAGTAAGATACTCCACGCCGCTGGCATTCATGGGGAAAGCAGGAACCGTCCAGACCAGAGCCGACACCGGCAGCTAAAGCGATGAAACATTTTCTCGAAGTCGACCTGCTAGCTAGCCTTGCTGATAACCCTAACTTTATCGACTCAGGGTTTGCGTGGCAGGGCACGTGATATGCAACACGTGACTCAATACGACGTCATCCACGCTTGATTTTTCCCTCCAGCACGTTGAGCACAGCCACTTTATCACACATTCTAAGACGAACAATTAGCAGATCTACTATGTATGCTCAGCATATTCAATCTGTACCTGGTGTCACATACTGCTGCAATTTCATGCCGTGTCTCAGTTTCTCGTGAAATACCGAATGGCCATTGGTGGGTACCTGCTAGGGCCTGGACCGATGGGCCCAAAAGTGAAAGCCGTGGCAAATGGTTGCACTTCAGCGTACCACTCTTCCGTACTGTCCAACTGGTTGAAGTAAACATAAAGAAAGGTACGTTGTACACGATAAATTACCTCGGGATTAGATCCAGAAAGAAGAGGAGGCCACGCGGACCGATCAGTCGCTGACGACTGCTGTGGTTGTGTTACTCACTGCTATGTATATGCTACGTAAGTAAAGTGTAGGCTAAAGCCATCGACGTGATCTCGAGTGGGTAGAGATCAAGACCGTTCGAGAGGCTATTATTAGGCCTGTTAGCAGGTCAGATCTGTAAATCATTACCGTATTTTCTCTGCCCTAGCCCGTCATCCTAGACCAAGAGTGGTATTTACAATACGGTACCTGAAACGGGCCACCTGACTGGCTGGTCAGGTGAAACACGGAAATACAAGAGGAGAAAAGAAAACATCCAAATTATCGATTGTCTTTCATTTTACTATCATTGTTAGAGTATTATTTACATTCTTCCCCATCTGCACAAATCATCAACCTCAATCTAAAATCATCACAATCGCTCGGCCGTTGACTGTCATCAGCATTCTGTCACTCGCTATTTTGCATCGACTATCTTTTATCAACGATCAGCAACTAACCGGACCGGCCGATCCTGTACTACATTCAAATTCACATTCACACAACCATCGTTAATGTCTAGGTTCTCGCAAATTTCTCAATAAACAGCGCTGGGCGTTGGCGGTTGTCCCCCATCAAAAGACGGAGCAGACCACCATGGCTGGTCCAGTCCATCACATGGCTTATGCCATGGCTATACGAGACGACAGCGATCCATCTCCAGCCGATCAGTTCTTGCGTCTAATTCAAAACCCATTCAAAGAAACTGTTGGTCTTCTATTATAGCCATCTGACTGCGGTGATACTAACTGTCAATGCGCTAGATCCAACTCAATGCCTTCTGGGTGTCCCTCGCTACGTCCCTCGGCATATCTGCTATGCTCGCTCTTCTATTTTCCATATTCCGCCCATATCACAACGCAATCTACGCGCCAAAAGTCAAACATGCCGACCAGAAACACGCCCCGCCGCCTGTGGGCAAAGGAGTCTTCGCTTGGGTTCCGCCGGTCCTGAGTGTCAAGGAAGAAAATCTTGCAGATCGAATTGGCCTGGATGCTATCGTGTTTCTACGTTGCGCGAAGATGATGAGAAATATATTCTTGATTTTAAGCGTCATCGGCTGTGGTATCCTCATTGCTGTCAACATCACACAAAGCAACGGATCGGCTGTTCCGGGGACTTCGGCTTTCACACTCATGACGCCGTTGTATATCCTCACCGAAGCTGTGTGGGCTCAGGTTGTCTGTGCCTATGCTTTTGACATTGTTATTATGTTCTTCTTATGGCAGAACTACAGGCATATTCTTGCCTTGCGGAGACGCTATTTTGATAGCTCAGAGTATCAGATGAGTCTCCATGCTAGGACTTTGATGGTACGTTGTTCCTAAATTCGGTGTGGGTATATGCTGACAATACAGATTACGAGTGTTCCACCAAACCTCCGTTCCGAAGAAGGCCTAATGCGATTGACTGACGGCGTCAATCCAACCTCATCTCTGCCGCGGACCACAATCGGACGAAATGTCAAAGACCTTCCTTCCCTGATCAGGAAGCATGAAGAAGCTGTTAGAGAGTTGGAATCCGTACTGGCTAAATATCTCAAAAATCCAGACCGTATGCCAATCAACAGACCCACAATGAGCGTTCCTAGAAAATCGCGTGGCGAAGGTGGTTCCGGAAAAGTAGATGCAATCGACTATCTCACAGATCGGATTCAGGAGCTGGAGGCTAGGATAAAGGATGTCCGTCAATCAGTCGACAAGCGCAATCCCATGCCCTATGGCTTTGCTAGTTGGGAAGCTATCGAACACGCTCACGCCGTTGCATACACAGCCCGCAAGAAGAAACCTCAAGGCACAATAATCAAACTCGCCCCAAGGCCTAACGACATCATTTGGGAGAATCTCCATTTGTCACCGCAAACGAGAAGATGGCGCCGTCTGGWCAATGTGTTTTCGATTACACTATTGACGTTGTTATGGGTTGCGCCTAACGCTATGATTGCAATTTTCCTTTCCGATCTCAACAACCTTGGTCTGGTCTGGCCTGCGTTTCAGACTTCTCTGGAAGCGCATCCGAATACGTGGGCGGCCGTGCAAGGTATTGCTTCGCCTGCATTGACTTCTTTGATATATCTGGTTTTGCCGATCTTTTTCCGACGCCTCATGCGCCGTGCAGGCGATCTCACCAAAACCGCTCGAGAGCAGCATGTCATTCACCACTTGTACTTTTTCTTCATCTTCAACAACTTGATAGTCTTTTCGCTGTTTTCCGCAGCGTGGACCTACGTGGCAGCCGTCATCAATGCAAAGAACAACAATGAAAGCGCGTGGCAAGCTATTAAGGATGGTCAGTTCTGGTACAAGGCTTTGTCCGCTTTGTGTCAAGTGTCTCCTTTCTGGGTTACTTGGTTGTTGCAACGTAATCTCGGTGCCACTTTGGATCTCGTGCAGTTAGTTACCATTGTATGGCAATGGTTTATGAAGACATTTATGGCTCCGACGCCGCGCCAAAGTATCGAGTGGACAGCTCCTCCTCCATTCGACTATGCGAGTTACTACAATTACTATCTGTTCTACGCGACTGTGGCCTTTTGTTTTGCAACCTTGCAACCAATCATTCTTCCAGTGGCCGCACTTTACTTTGCATTGGACTGTTATTTCAAACGGTATCTGCTGTTATATGTCTTTATCACCAAGAACGAATCTGGCGGTCTTTTCTGGCGAATAGTTGTCAACCGAATGCTCTTTGGAGCATTTCTGTCTAATATTGTGATAGCTTTGGTTGCCACGTCTAAGGGTACCTGGACAATGGTATACTGCTTGGCCCCTCTACCATTCATCATATTGGGTTTCAAATGGTTCTGTTCAAGGACTTATGACGATGATATGGTTTATTACAACAAGGGAGTCCTTAATGATGCCGAGGCTCTAGGCGCCTCGATGGGCAAAGGTCCCAAGCGAGCAGGTGATCGCCTGAATTCGCGGTTCGGACATCCAGCGCTATTCAAGCCTTTAATTACTCCAATGGTACATGCGCGGGCCGCAGAGACATTGAAATCGATCTACCGAGGTAGACTGGGTAATTTGGACTCTGCCGCTGAATACTCAGATATCGCCATGCAGTCCATGTCCACATCGGCTCCTGGAAAGCCAATGGACTCGGCACCATTCGAGGTCGTCGCTGAAAACCAACTTGATTTCTCGTACTTTAAGAACCGCGCCGATTTCAGAGATGAGTTTGGCGGCGATATCTATGGACGACCGGAGGATCTTATCTCTGAACGATCTCAGACGCCACGGGCCTTTATGGGTGACTCTCCAAATTCATCACGGGCTTCATCGCCCGTATCTGCATTTACCCGCAAGCAAACAGAGGGATACGACTTGGGCATGCAGCGACCGCTCGACATGGACCACCCAGCGTTCCGCCCTCAAATGTCTCGCGTCGGCAGCAACGTCAGTGATCCGAACGTGCCGTCCTTGTATATGCAGTCGAATGAGAGCGAGTCTAGGCTACTAAGCCACGCCCAGCTACCCGCCGTCGAGGGAGATAATACAATCCACACCGTTGATCGATGGCGGACACGCGGCTACGGACCTGTAGCTCAAGATGACAACAACCCTCCTCCGACATCATACGATTATTTCCGCGGGAAACGATGAAATGATTTTTTTGTTTCTGCACATTACATGACATTTATTCCAGCGTTAGGGGGTTTTTTTGTAATTTAAGCATTCAAGGTATTTTCGTATATACTTTTTGTTGAATGATGTACAGTATTTATCCATTTACAGTAGCCATGGAGGACAATGACACAAACCAAATTAACTATGTTTGGATACATTTTCTAGAAGCCAGAAAACTTCGAGACTTGTTTCGACCCGGAACACGGTGTTTCAAAAGCGGATTCTGACTATACTTTGGAAGTTACTTATATCAGATGTTGTACTGTATACAAGGTTAGGGTTAGGAGCTTGATGCCCCAATGCGAAAGCCCTGCAACGGCTATATCTAGTTGTCCCTTTCAATGAAGCGTGATTCTATAATTTGAAGAAGGATATACACTGTGGATAATTAGGATATAGTTTGTGAAGTTGGAATGAGACTTAAAGTCATAAGACTTTACAAATAGATCCTGCCAATAACTGTACTGCATATGGCTTCATCGTGCTAGATATTGTGAAGTAGAGCCCGTTCTGGCGGGGTCGACATCGTTCGGCAGAGTGCCTATATAGGGCTAAGATGAGGGTGGTGCACATTTTTCTGTGTGTTACATCCGCGGTGTACCGAGTAAATTGATTCAATTTTCATATACACAAATACCAGCTTTGCAAGGATGGCTCTTTATTGGTTCATCTTAAGGGCAAACGGACCGTTTTTTCGAGTAATGCGAGGCACACACATCGGCAACATGACTTAACGAAGTATGCCGGTAGTGCATGAACGAGGAACGACCCATGAAATGATAGGCTTACGCTTCTTGAGGGTCGCAAGCCAGGTCAAGCCATCGTGGGCATCAATGTGGTCAGACCATAATCAGAAATTGAGTCTATGGCCTGGCCTCCATTAAATTTCCCCACCGTTGCCGTAGCTTAGTGTTAATGCACATGGATCACGTTAGCCTTGTCGATTCCTACTGGACAAAAAGTACGCGCATCTTTCCGGCAGGTATAGCACATTCAAAACCTGATGGTCAAGCTGAAAGACTATTTCCGCGAATATGGTCATCTTGTGCTGCAATCAGGTCAAACAGGACGTTATCTGGAGCCCTTTTATCCCTACCAAACCGAATACGGTAAAAACCGCGAGGGGTTGAAAATGCCCCTCATGGCACATCCGAATCCTAAATTTCTAATTAGATAGTTGTGTGGTCGCCGTATATACCTTCTATATCTGCTATCTCTACCTTCAAGCAGTTAATTCATTGGTCTAACTCCACAAAACGGTCCATGAATCCGAATTAAAGAATACATAGGATACTGCGTACGTAGTCATCCCGCGCTCTGCTCGCTCTTCGTCTTAGGTATATAGGCTGGTACTGAATCCCAGTTTTCCTCATCATAGACACTGCAAATCTGATTTCAACCAGTCCTAGAATCTCAAGAAAAGTATAGAAAATCGTGGGATATCGACACAAGTAGCTTGTTGCACATTGAAGCTTCAACTACTAGCATCATGAGAGCCAACTACGGCCAGCGTTTACTGGTCACGACACTCGAAGAAAAATCACGCTCTCAACCGGAGCAGGCGTTTTGCTTGCTTCCTCGGTCCGCTAACCTGCAAGATGGATTCTATGAAGTGACTTATAAGCAGATACAGATGTCTGTTGATTATACGACCCAGTGGCTTCAGAACAACTTGGGCCCATTCTCTCCTAACGAAACGATAGCTTATATGGGACTACCGGATCTGAGATACAATATATTCTTTTATGCTGCAATTAAACTTCACCTCAAGGTAAGCCCGTGTATATATGAAATTTCTATGATTCCGTCTCTCACTGGCGGCTAACAGGTGTTTCTTCCCTCGCCCCGGAATGCCCCTACAACAAATGCATCGCTTTTCGAACAGACCCAATGTACCAAGCTGTGCTATTCGGTAGACTCGCCAGGCATCGTGGCTAGTTGTGAAGCAGTGCTTAAAGTAGCCAAGGCGTTACGTTCTTTCGAGTTTCTCTCACTTGATGAGCTTTTGAGTGCCCAGTGCGAMCCCCTGCCGTATTTGGGCGACTTTGCCCAACTCCGCGATGAGCCTATTGTCATCTTGCATTCTTCGGGGTCGACAGGAATACCCAAGCCAGTCACACTGACTAATGGGAGCATCGCTTGTACCGACAATGATCGCAACTTTCCGACTGTCTCCGGTCGACGCAATCAGGATTTGACAATGTGGGACTTCCCACCAGGCAGTTATATCTATGTGCCATTTCCGCCGTTTCATATGGGAGGCTTCACGTTTAACACAATGGTTCCCATTTTTACTGACACAGTGCCAATATTTGGGCCTGCAACGAGAATACCAAGCGGTGGACTGGTGGCTCAGATTTTACGCTGCCTGAAAGTCTCAGGGTGCCTTCTACCTCCAAATATCGTGGCTGATCTTTACAATGAGCCAGATGGGCCGGAATTGCTCAAAAGACTTAGTTTACTCTGTTATACTGGTGGTCCATTGCCCGAAGCAATTGGAAACGAGCTTATCCAACACGCTACGGTGTGTCAATTCTATGGCTCTACTGAGACCGGTCAGATACGACAGCTTCTTCCGCAAAAAGAAAACTGGCATTACTTGGAGTTTCATCCTTCGGAAAACCTTGAACTACAGGCATTAGGGGATGGCACTTTTGAGCTTGTTGTTAACACCAACGATGAGACAGCGACATTTTCACAATTCAACCACAACTTTCCTGGTGTTCGGGAGTATCGAACCAAGGACTTGTTTCTTCCTCACCCAACCAAGCCCGGTCTGTGGAAATTTTATTCTCGCAAAGACGATATCATTGTTCTTCTTACAGGAGAGAAGTTCAATCCGGTTCCACTAGAACTCGGACTTCAAGCCATTCCTGGTGTTTCCGGGGCCTTGATTGCTGGAGATGGGCAGCCACGAGTTGCCCTAATCATCGAGCTGCAATCGGATCATAATTTCGGTCCTGATCCAGAAGATGCTCTTTGGCCTAGTATCCAAGGCTTAAACGCGAACACCGCTGGCCCAGGTCGGGTAACCCGGTCAATGATAATGATTGCTAAGAAGGATAAGCCCTTTGTCCGCGCTGGTAAGGGCACCATCGTGCGCAAGTTGACTTTGCAAGCGTATGAAGAAGAGCTGAATAAGTTATTCGAGGGCAGTCCCAAAAAGTCGATGCCGTCAGTTTTATTGAACCCAACTGCATTTCGTCTAGACGATGTGAAGGCTTTGCTGCGTTCCATCATCGAGAATACTCTAGATGGGGCGGTGGTTGACGAATCGATAAACCTGTACACTCAGGGCTTAGATTCAGTAAGATCCATTGAAGCAGTCAACCAGTTAAAATCGGCCCTAGAATCGCTTAGTCTAGGGAGACCTTTGACTTGGATAACACTTGAGTTGATCTATAATCACTCATCTCTCAACGAACTAGCTACGGTGCTACTGAATTGGTTAAACGATGGCACATATCCTGAGAGCATTGATAAGGTTTCCAGAACGCAAAGTCTCCTCAGCTATTACGAAAAGTCTCTACCAATCAAGTCCGGCGTCTTGCGAACATGGGGTGTGAATCTCGAGAGGAAGTTAAATATTGCGCTTATTGGCTCGACAGGCTACCTGGGKCAGTACATGCTCTTGTCGCTTGTGCAAGACCCTGAAATTGGAAGGATTACTTGCTTGAACCGTAGCCCCAGGGCACAAGAGACATGGGAAGATCATTATTCTACAAAGCAAGCATTCAAAAACAAGGAGTGGCTTKATAAGATAACATTCCGTCAGATTGATTTTACAAAGCCTAAATTTGGGCTTGGTGATAGTCTCTATAATGATTTGAAGAAAGAATGTGACTTAATTATCCATTCTGCCTGGCAGGTCAATTTTGTGCTTCCTGTCGGCTCGTTCAAGGACAGCTTCAGTGGCCTTATGAACACCATTGAACTCGCAGCAGCTTCAGAACGAAATGCACGCATTCTTTTCGTTTCTTCTGTGGCAGCATCTGGGATGTTTTCTCCACATTCATCAATCGAAACAAAAGTGGTGCCTGAAGATAGAATCACAGATCCGAACGAAGCAATGCACACTGGATATGGCGAATCCAAACATGTGGCCGAGAACCTCATTTGCCTTGCCAGCGCTAAGTCCGGGATAACTGCAAGTATTCTACGGGTCGGACAGATTGCACCGCCAACAGGCTCCGTTGATCAGGTCTTATGGTCAGAGAAAGATGCGTTGACAGGTTTACTGAGAACGTCCAAGTCTTTGCGGATAGTGCCGTCTGACTTGTTGGATATCGATTGGCTTCCTGTGAACGAAGTGGCTAATATTGTCAACTCGATACTACATCAAGATCGCTATTCAAGGGAGGATATTCGTTTTTACAATTTGGTACATCCTACCCCAGTGCCATGGTCAGATGCTGTGCCTATAGTTCAGAATTGGTGTGGCCAAACCAGCAGTGCCGCATCATTGAAAGACTGGATTGCGGCTGTGAACACGCGAGAGAAGGAGGAGCAGGGCAGTTTGCATAACTTACCGTCCATCCCCCTGTTGGGTTTCTTCGAAATACTTACCCAAAGGGGTCCAGCGCACAAATATTCTCAGCAGAACCTCCTCAGCATCAAAAATACTGCTCTAATCAAACCTATTGACGCAAATCAATTGAAGATTTGGCTTGATGCACTGTCATGATTTTAAACCATGAAACATCGTCTTGTCTCTTGGCTTCCCTTATGATCTTCATCCAATCGCTTTCAGGGTATCTCACTATTTATTGTCATCTTCCATTATAATCATAAAGTTCAAATCATTATTCTAAAGCGTAGAGTCTCGGATGTACTATTGAATATGCATTCTAAACATACAATCCTCCTTCGAAATTACTTTCAATTAATCATCACCAAGCTCCGAGATTGGCCTTGCTACGGAAGTAAGAACTCTGTACGAGTATATCCAGAGAAGCCTTGAGCGGGACTCAGACAACGACAAATGTTTTCGCTTGAGTGTATGAAATAACGAGAATGTTATTAGAAACAGATCTAACATCTACACTACAGCTTCGAGCTACACTTGATTTGGGATACGTTCTTGAACATACTTCCTCTAATGTCAGGCAGAGATAGAAAACAGGCAATCAATCACATATAATCTCAATTTTTCGGTCGAATAGAAGGAGGTGGGGTCCGATACCAGTAGCACAAGTCCAGGCAACGACGCAGGATCCAGTATGAAGTACATCAGGGATGTATACCGCGCAATTAAAACCCTACAGCAAGACACACAGAAGCTGGCTTTACAGTTGTTTGCAAAAACGGGGCATGCTTTCCTCACTTCAATTGTTAATATATTGTACACTAACCTTTACTAGGCAAAGCGCCGGGGTGACGATGTCCCGATTCCCTAAGCGTGATAGGCCAAATCGGCGTAAGGGTCCGTACTTGTCAATTCCAGCACACTTAATCTTAGGGCAGGGAAACTTCCCTAAAGTTCTTCAGCGTCAACGATTCGTATTTCTCACCCTCAAGGTTGTCACAAGGTAGTTCTGCCTCTTAGGCTGCACATGGCGCGACTGTTAGACCTTCCAAATGAGCTCATTCTTCTTATCGTCGACCACATGCAAGCAGAAACAACACAGACATCATTGCCATTCTATAATCGGGGAGATGTCTATAGATGCTTGGTTGAACAGAATCCACCGCAACGAATCAAAGACCTGCGCTCTCTTTGCCTGGTATCTGCTCGCTTGAACAATCTGTTAAAACCGGTATTGTACCGTAATGTTTGCGTTCGCAAAAACGGGTTTCGTAGCCAGCCACTGAACCAGCTGAAGTGGAGTCTCGAGAACGATCCGAAGCTTGAAGAGTATATTATCTCTGCAGTTATTCCCTGCAACGACTCGATTTATGACGTTTATCGGTTTTTTTGGTTCCCCAACATCGAGGCACTTAGCATTCACCGGTTCAATGACTGGGAGCCTCTGGAGTTTGAAGACGATTCGCATATTGGCACGTCGCCGATTACAGTACTGAATTTGATAGACTGTGGGGCGCATGAGGAGGCATTAGCCACTGTGCTCAGCTGGCCAGCCGCGCTGGAAGTGCTCCATTACGACGCCGAACAAATAGAATGGGAGGGCCACTATGGCGATGAGCCTGCTAAAAGCTGGACATGCGCGGCATTTGTACGAGCCCTTCAGCCGCAGAAGGCCACTCTACGGGAATTGACCCTCAGTCGGCCATGGCTCGAACATGAAGGATTGGGCAACGGACCGCGCATCGATCTACACGATTTCACGGCCCTGACCACGCTCCGCATCTACCAAGTCTTTCTATGCGGGTTGGAAGACCCGCTCGAAGCCTGGAGCAGCCTTCCCCGCAGTCTTGAGAGATTGGATGTCTTTTACGATGACACGGACCTCACCCGTTTTGACGAAGACGACTTTCTGCGCGGTCTGCTGGCGCATAAAAAAGAGCATCTACCCCATTTACGGACGGTGTCCATTAACTCGCCCGAGCAGATCTGGGACAGCGACACAGAGGAGTTCAAGTCCACCGGTCAATGGACACCGCCGTATCCCCTGGCACAAGCATTCAAAACTGCAGGTATGGATGTAGAGATATGGCTGGGGCCTGTGGAACGTCCAAAGGTGGATAAACTAGACATTCCTCAGTTTCTTGAGCCACCAAGGAAAAAGCATTGCCTTGATATCGATTCGTCGTAGATATTGATTCGTCCTAAACACTTCAATACAAATTCAACAAAGCAAACTTTCATCACTCTTATTAAATGTAATTTAAGCTTTCTGGCAGCGAGGTAAAATTCAAGAGATTGTGGACAGTCAACATGAAATCTTGGCATTAGTGTTCTGGAAAAAATCTCTCTATGTAGACCCATAAAGGACATTTCGCGCGTAACAGTAAGCAAGATAGGATACGATAGTTGTTGACAGCTGTCAGGGAGATTTGACTGGATTGGACAGAAGGCTTAAATGTGCAGGAAGTTTGAAGTGACGCCATGTTACTTGGCGGTGAATTACAGTCAGACAAAAGGTAAACCTTCAACTAGGGAATCGGGATATCGTCATCCCAGCGCCTTGATATAAAGGTTAGTGTTCAATATATTGAAAAGTTGAAGTGAGGAAAAGCTTACACCGTTTTTGCAAACAACTGTACCCTCTTCACTTAGCTCCTTATGAGAGTTAGGGAAATGAGAGCTTCTGGCTGAGCAACTAGTCCTCTTTCTTCTTTAGATCTATACGACAGTAAGAAATCACATGGAACAGACCGGGGCAATACAGGCATACACGGAGTAAGTACGCTCACCCCTCACCCCTATTTGTGATGTTGAATCTTGCCAGCAAGCACAGCTGGCATAATTCTTACAAAGATGACTCCCACGACGCATACAAATTGCATCTCTACTTGGCCAATCTAGGTCTTTTAATCAAACCAGTAAAAGAGATAGCAAGTTATCAACAGCAGCCATCGGTAAGGAGGACTGAGATTCGCTGACCACTTCGCAGCCACTAAATATAATGATGGATTTTCGAATCGTGAGATACATATGCCACAAATGGTATTGAAGAGTATGCCTAACGATGTCTTTTCTTGCCAGGTGCTGTATGCATGTATTTATTGGCCGCAATTGACAAATCAAGTGTCAGATTGTCTTAATATGACCTGAAGAGTAGTATTCAGATTTTAAGATATCTTCCAATCTAGATTTAAGAATAGCTAGAGTAGACCTTGATGTACGTGAGGTGATTAGTTTGTTTAACGTCGAGAAACAAATGAGGCAAGGGCTATCTAAGAGACATATATTAAAGAGTGTTTTAACCTATACATATATCGGATATAACTAGATTACCTACATACATTCTAGTTTATATATTATGATTACTTATAGTCAACTTGTTACAAATACTGAATTGCATTCTTGAAGGAGACATGTTCTTCAGCGGTGGGTGTTTCGCTGTTTTGATTCTGCTTTTTATAGTATCGTTTAATATAGCTTGGGCTTCGAATCCCAAGCATGAAGAGTATGGATGAGGCTGTTATCTATGGACAGATTTTTTTTGCAATTGAGAAATGCGTTGAATTGTAGGACAAATAATGAGGCTACTAAAAATTACTAGTCGCATTCGATACAAAGATTGGCCGTGATTGGTTGTAGCGTAACTTGAAACGAGCTAACATATCCACCTAGCGCAGGCAATAACAACCGATGGTTTGTTATTCAGGACTGTTACCACGTAGAGATAGAAGATACCTGACTATCTTTCATCGTGTCATTGATACAGGAAAATGGCATGTCACGATGCCTGCTACTCCTATTACGGCTAGAAAATCTCGCATAGGTGCTCGGGGAGTCCGGAAAGTCAAGACAGGTTGTCTGACATGCAAGTATGTGCACAGTCCATATGTTGTCGAAAGAACCCTGTAGATAGTTAAGGAGCGTGGAAATCGTAAGCCTCACGGCTCGGACAGCATGTTGAGACTAGCACGCCGTGTCTATCTAACTAATTATTGTCCTCGTTGCTTACAAACTGCAGAATTCGACATAAAAAGTGCGACGAAAAGTTGCCATCATGCTCACCGTGTACGTCCACTGGCCGTAAATGTGAATTCGGACTTCCCACAGCCGAAAAATCGTTGGAAAATTTACGACAATATCAATATTTGAGAAGAATCCAACCTAGACTCGTCCCGCTCAACGACGTCATCGATTCTGGTTACTTTGATTACTTTATCAACATCTGTCCCAAAGAATTTTCTCTCTATTTTGAGTCTCCAGTCTGGGAGAGTATAGTCGTTCAAGCTGCCTACACAGAGCCCTGTATACACCATACTGCCCTCGCTCTTGGTGCTATGAGCAGATACGAATATCATCCTCACGCTCAATCACGAGAGTCATCAGAGTTGATGCTCGAATATTCAATGATGCAGTATAATACGGCTATTCGGAAACTCAATGATGCCCTAGACGGGTCGATAAGGAGTCTGGAACTAGCTATTTTAGGCAGTATCGTGTTTATTGCGTTTGAGGTTCTTTGGGGCGCAGATATGAGAGTAAAGATGCACATGAATGGGGCGTTGTCTATTTTAAATACTTTGACTGAGGTGGACCTGTGGCATACTCGTACTTATTCTCAATGTCTTGTCGGTGCTTTAAAGCAACTTAAGGAGCAGATGTACTTATTTGGGGGTTCCACAGCCTGAATTGGGCAGGGAACGAGATAGGCGCTTAGATTCAAGCTGTTAGTTCTAGAGTGATTCTTCATGCAGAGTAAGAAACTTAAAAGAATAATCTCAGCCGATGGGTATTCTCCAAAATCATACTAGCAATGCAAAGATACGCTGCAGCCAATGACAACCCCGAACACTATTCCATAAAGAATATCTCCTCAGTCTTGTGAGACTATAAAATGTGATTGATTCCGTTCTCTTTTCCCATTGAATTCTCAAATTCAAGTCCCCCTCCATTTCTTCATGTGTTTAGAAAATGACTTCAATCACGCCATTCAAGATTTCCATCTCAGATGAGAGACTCAAGCGATTGCAGCAGAAACTCACATTAACAGACCTGCCTTCTGAAGTGACTGGTCTCAACAATCCTCATTCGCGAGGCGTTCCTCTCTCTGAGATCAAGCGACTAGCATTTCACTGGCAGCACAACTTCAATTGGCGAGCTATTGAAGCCAAGATCAACGAAATTCCGCAATATACAGCCCATATTGCGGTCGATGGCTTTGACACATATGATATTCACTTTGTCCATGAGCGGAGTCAAATTAATAATGCAATCCCGCTTCTTGTCCTTCATGGCTGGCCGTCCAGCTTCCTAGCAGTTCAGCCGATGCTGCCCCTTTTGGTTGAAGAAGGTATAGATGAACCTGCGTTTCACGTGGTAGCACCTAGCTTGATTGATTTCGGGTTCTCATCCGCAAGCAACAAAGTATGTGTATTACTGGTCTATTTCGGAGTTTTCTATTCCGTCGAATCAAGCTAACAACATGCGAAACCTAAGAGTGGATTCAATATCGAACAACATGCAGAAGCATATCATAAACTCATGATTGCTCTCGGCTACAACAAATACGGTATTTCAGCTCTCCCCTTTCAATTACTTTCAGGCTCTGACATAACTACATTACAGTCGTCCAAGGCGGGGACATTGGATATCTCATTACTCGCGCTATTGCCATAAAATACGGGCCTCAGCACTGTCGGGCCTACCACCTCAACAACGTGGCACCAGCTGAGCCTCCGAGTAAAGAAGACGAGCCCAGTACACAACTCAGCGCGAGCGATCTAAAGGGTCTTGCACGCACCCAAGAATTTACCACCGGCGGCGGGAACGCGTACTATTTACTTCAAACCACCAAGCCTCAGACGCTAGCCTACAGTCTTACCGACAGCCCTCTAGGACTTTTGGCATGGATATACGAGAAGCTCATCTCGTGGACCGACAATTATCGATGGACTGACGACGAGATCCTGACCTGGGTCAGTATTTACTACTTCTCCACGGCTGGGCCTGCGGCTTCTCTCAACCTGTACTATGAGATGGAACATGGCGCTGATGGAACAGCATTTGATAAGGCTAAGAAGTACATTAGCGATGTGCCTTTGGGTGTGGCTCGGTTTGAAAAGGATCTGATTCTACTGCCAAGGGCATGGAATCAGACGTTGGGACCTGTAGTATGGGAAAGTGTATCTGAGAAAGGTGGGCATTTCCCTACGTGGGAGTGCTCAGAGGTTATTGTTAGCGATTTGAGAGGGATGTTTCGAAAGAATGGGATTCTCTTTGGTTGTGTGGAGGGGAGAAATGGATACGCCCATGCGGAGTAGGAAGGTGTTAATGAAGATAGTAACGCGCAGAGGCGTCATTGAGTAGCCAGGTTGTTGATGAATTTGAACGTTATTACTGCAATCTCAAATGATTCTCCATGACCATAAATCCTACAAATAATAATACCATTCTATCAATTGAAGAAGTAACGACCACAAGTGACCCGCGGCCTTCAGCTCAGTGAGAGTACACCTGAAGGTCCAATCTCCAACTTTATATCCGTCGTCGTCGCCCAAACTACGTCCGGATGAGCCACATAAAGCCAGGGCGGATTCTGTTGTAGCCTCTGCAAGCATTTCGCATAAGCCTGTTTGCGTTCATCGAGACCAACTTGTCGTCTCGCTATTTTGAACAAGCGCTGTACCTCTGTATCGTGGTAACCTAGCCACCAAGTAGCATGCGATTCACTTGAGATTTTGTCATCCAGTACACGGAATGTGCTATTGGGCGTCGAATCAAATAACGCGAGGTCTCCGATTCGTTTCGTGAGTCCGATTTGACGTGCGTATTCGGGACGATTCGTCTCGAGCTCTATGGTGACTTTGAAGCCTACAGCTTCGAGTGAAGATGCGACAAATTGGGAAATCTTCTGAGCATGCTCAGGCATGTATTCTGGAGTACGCAGCAATATAGGGCTGCTTAGATCCAGCCCGTGCAGAAGTTCGCGAGCCTTAGACGGGTCGTATGGAATAGGCTGGATGCCCGACTCCTCAAACCCAAGATGAAAAGGGCTCACGATAGTCGCAGAAGGCAGCGCAAACCCTTGATAGACTTTTTTGACAAGACTTTTCTGGTCAATTGCAAGATTTGCGGCGAGCCGTGCTTCGGGCGAGCTGAATATCCCAGATGGGCAGTTGAGATAGTACATGGCCGATAGAGTGCTGGTCGTCCTTCCCCAACGAAGACTTGGATTGAAATCTATAACGCCAAGATTGTCTGCTCTTTCGAGATTCAGAGCAACGTCTACTTCGCCGTCTTTCAAGAGCCGCAGCCTTTTCTCACCATCACGCTCGTGCGTTGCGATGATGACATCCGGACCTGTGAAGGAGTGCCTGTCCACAAGTCGTAAGGTTGCCTTCCCAATACCATCTACTCTTTCAAATTCAGTGACTCGGTAAGGCCCAGTTCCTAGGACCGGTTTTCCATCTTCCGCTATGCGGGATGGCCAAAATTCACAGAATATGTCCAAAATATCCGCAATCGGCTCCGGATTCTCGACCTTCACCGTGCGGTCATCCTCAGCAGTAAATTTGGTTTGTGCAAAGTAACGACTATAGCTCCATGACATCCCGAAATAGTCCCGAGAATGTAAGAAGCCGTGGATATAAGTCACAACCTCTGCAGCGTTACAAGGCTTTCCGTCATGAAAAACAGCTCCATCACGAATATGAAAATGCCATGTCCCGCCATCTGGTGAGAACTCCCAGGTATCGAACAAACCAGGTTTGACGTGGCCATGTGCTTGCCATCTAAGCAAGGGCTCGAAGACCAGGCTCTTTAGAGCAACGACGCTGTTGTCATCCGTGACTTGAGTCGGCAGACGAAAGTCGACATTCTCAAGAACGATACGGAGTGTTTTTTCCCGGGTCATGGTAGTGAGACTAATTTTTGGAAGAATTAGTGTAGAATACGATACAAATATGGACTCTTGGTATGTACAAGTATTGAGATCTAGAAATGTCTAATGCCCTTAGCTAGCTATGTCCCTAGGCCGATACCGCTTCACTTTGCAATAATTGGTCTATGTAAATTATCGGAAGAAGTCCGAGACATTCTAGATGCAGGTTAGTATATTTAGATAAGATTCATAAATTGGGAATATATTTATCCTAGATATTTTTTCGACTGCTCAGTAACTCAAACGGCCTTAGCGTTGAGATTCCCCACTAGGAACCATTTTCCGAGCAATATTATCTCCCATCGATTCCATCGATCCATCTTGACTTAACGTATAGGGAATCTTGCGAGGCCCATGTGTCGACTGCATTAGGGATTTAAACGGCCTGAAGTTAGTTTCTCGTTGGTGTCGGTTGTTTGATAGTGGGTCGAAATCACGACATGGCGCTACTCCGGTGATGCTTCACTATCATAGCAGATATGTTTTACAGCTTTTAATAGAAGTTGATTGGACTTACTATCTCTGGCAATACTTGTCGGAGGTACGCCGCAGAAGACTCTGTAGATACGTAACGCAAAAGACATAAGTATAAAACCCTAGCATGTCAGTGTGCTACAATATGGCGACATTTGATGCTTTTACAATTTTCCCACAATAACTAGCTTCAAAGTGTCACGATTGACTTTTTAGTGGGAACCCTGAGAGCTCGAATACGTACAACTGGAAAGTGATAGGTCAACAAGATGGTTCGGTTACCAGTCCGGACCTTATCAATCCTGAGATTTGAATTTTCAGGATAGCGATGGAGGTTACGTATGCGCACGACCACAGTCAATATCAAAAGGAAAAAAACCTTGAATCTAGAATTGTGTGATACAATCGTGGTCTGTGACTTGCTCGGGGCTAATAAATCAAAAGCATCGCCACTCAGAAAAGCAACGGGAAACACGATAAAACTGGCCATTTGATCAACCCATTTGGTCCGAGTATTCACGGACATAGCTATGACGAACTCTAAGGATATCGACGTTGTGGCTGTACCGGATGCCTCATCTTCTGACGATGGCCACGCATCCAAGGAGATTGGGGACATTGCAGTGACGGAGGTCAACACCGGCATCGAAGTAAAAAATACATCCCGATGGCGGAAAATAGTTGGCTATGTTTGGGACAGCGTTGAAGGAGATCCAGAGTATCGTCAATATGTGCAAAGATTGGACCTGTTTTTCTTGTAAGTGCTCCAACTGTGAAAAACACATTCAACCCATACTTATGATGGCGCAAAAAGCCCAACAGTATGCCTGGGTTATTTCATTAAGTATCTGGATCAGACAAACTACAGTTAGTACAATGATAACCCTTACTCGAAGACTTTTCGTGCTGATTACTTGGGGACAACAGGCAACGCATTTGTCAGTGGTATGCAGCAAGACCTCCACTTGTACGGCAATCAGCGCAACTGGTTAAACACATGGTTCAGCTTGGGCATTATGGTTGGTAGTGTGCCTGCAATGATGACACAATTGAGTTTCATTCGTCCTTCAATTCTTCTGCCTTCTTGCGAACTGGTTTGGTCTGCATTGGTTATTGGTATGGGTTTTGCGAAGGATATCAAGACTGTATGGGCCATCCCCATTCAATTTTTGCTACACTCGAGCTAACCATTTCAGATGTATGCTCTACGATTCTTCATCGGTCTCTTCGAAGCTTGCGCCTTTCCAGGATACGTTGCCATGCTCGGTAGCTGGTACGGCCCCAAAGAGCTCACCAAACGAACGGCTATCCTTCTCGAGATTGAGTCAATCGCCAGTATGTTCAGCGGGTATCTTCAGGCTGGATTGTATACAAGCATGAATGGACATGCCGGTCTTGCCGGTTGGAGATGGTTGTTCATCATGGACGGTATCATATCGATTCCGATTGCTTTCTGGGGATTCTTTGGATTGCCCGATACACCTCATACTACGAGAGCATTCTATTGGTCTGCCGAGGTATGTCATTTTCTGAAGGAATGCATCCTGAATTCTAGCCCCTCTGACTTCATCCAGCACGTCCGGTACGGGATCGAGAGAATCGAAAAGTTCGGCCAAAAGGCACAAACAAAATTGACCTGGAAGGAAGCCAAACGCATCTACTTGGGGTGGGAAATATGGGCATTCGTCGCCCCCTACACGTAAGTCGATCTGACATGAGTCTCGACATTCAACTTTAATATTAGTATGCTAATTTGATCTAGAATGATCGCTGCTTGCCACACTGCCACCAGCTACTTCAACCTTTGGCTGAAAGCCGTCGGATATAGTGTCGTTGAAGTCAATTATCTTCCCACCGGAGGAAACGCAGTGGCCATCGTGGTCACTTTACTATGGGGTATTCTAGCTGATCGCACAGGAAGATATTACTGGTTGATTGTAGGCCTTGTTTTGGCGATGATGCTTTCTAACATCTTGCTTTCGGTCTGGAACATCCCCAAGGGAGCACTTATGTTTGCCTACTACCTGTCGTATGCTGGATCTGCAACGACCCCTGTTCTTATCGTGAGAAACCCCTTTCTTGGAACTTATAGAAAGTCATGAAGCTTACTTGTGGTCAATTAGGCGTGGGGAACTAAACTCAATGCTAGCGACCCCAGCTTGAGAAAGTTATTGGTCGCCACAGCAAATGTTGTCTCTTACGCATGGGTGCTTTGGGTGCCACGTAAGTACTACTGGCGCAGTATTATTGTTGCTATTGCTAACATATCTGTGCAGTCGTGCTCTTCCCAACATACGATGCGCCAAAGTACAAATACGGCTATCAAATACTGATTTTGTTTGGTGGTCTGGCGATTATTTTCGTGAGCTCGATGTGGTATTTGTACAGGAGAAGGGAGTATGTCTTCCTTACTATTATTTTAAAATGATCCGTTATTTGCAAGAGCAATAAGCTAATAATCATACCCACAGTCAAAAACAAACTCAAGAGGGAGGCCAAGGAGTTGAAGCCAATCGAGAGGAAACTGTCGTTGAGGGATAGTGGTCCAAAAGGCTATGCATATGGAATATCGATGAGAGATATCCCCGACAGTAAGATCTGCTATATCAGCATGATACTCTAGTCAGGGAAATTGATACAAGGGCTCACGAGAGAGGTCGAACAATCAGGATACTGTTGTTGGAAGAAGAAATCGAAATCATTAACGTATATAATCCTTATCATACCCCTTGCGAAAAGGGAACGTAGATTCAAGGAGAAAATTGTCATATTATAAGAATAAGCTAATTTCTAAGCTCATAAAGACGCAGATGGACGAGTAATTAGATCCTTGAGTTTCTTCGAATCAAGAATCTCAGCTTCCTCCAAACGACCAACCTCCTTCACCTTGCCATCAACTCGTTCATAGCGCGCTAAAGTAGGCGTACTATGCACATTCCACTTGGTTCGGTAAACATTCTTAGGATCTTTCCATCTAGCCACATTTCGTTAGCACTTGTTACAGTATTAAGTTGTTTGTGGATCATAGAAACTTACTCGGGTCGCTGGCCGACTTCAATAAAAGCAACACGAGGAGCGGTATCGGCGGAGAAAGCAGTTTCAAGGGGTGGTAGAGCGGCTCTCACATCTGGACACCAGGGTGTGCCTGTTTTTGGGTCGCGAGAGGCGTGGAAGGAGATGAAAAATGGCGAGTTGGAGTCGGCGGGCAGATCCAAGTCTTCCGCCGATTTGGGGAGCTTATAATCTGTGACGATCGGCATTTTGCGATTGAAGATTTGTTTAGGATCAAGATAGAGCTCTACTTCGATGGAAAGGGTGTCGAGTACTTATGATTGAGTCTCGCGTGTTGGTATTTATGTGTCAAGAATCGGACATCTCTGCGGCTTCGAGATGGAAAAAATGACCCTCTTTGTGCCCCACGTCAACGTCGCAACACTTTTCTTTTAAGCAACTTGACTAGGTTTGATAACGCCATAAATTACGCCATGAGTTTTCTTTAGCACGTATATTATAACCGAGTCTCCTACTTAATAAATCCGTCACAATGGATCACGCCGAAGACGTGATCTGTTGTGCGCTATGACTGTTATCTCTTTATTGCCAGCCGACGCTCCAGCGTTCGGTGACCAGACACTCTTCTTCTTACCTGGTGGAACCAGCAGCGTCAGGCTCAAAGATGGCTACATTCCGCTCCTTGCAAACTTCACTCATGAAGACAAGGCTGCAAAGGGGCTACGCAAAAGATCGGCCGATGACAAACATGAGCCTTCCGTCTATTTTTCAGCACTCGAGGTAGTTCGGGATACTCGGTTTCTGTTTCTGAGCGGGAAACCTTGGAGCGGTAAAACGACACTTGCGAAATATCTTTGCTATTCCGGGGCGACTGGCGGGTTGGAGAAAGCTCGGCCTGTTATTCGAAATGAGAGCGGCTTTGTGGAAGAGGAGAGCTGGGCTGATTGCAAAATCGATCCTTACTATTACATAATCGACTGCTTCGAGACACTGAAGAGGTTGATAGACAAATTCATACCGGAGACTCTTGAAAAGTTTGTCAAAAATACAAGCATACAACAACAGGAGGCTTTGATTGTTCTAGATGGGATAGAAAAGGCGGGTGAGCAGGCAACAAGTCTGCTACCAAATATACTGTCTTTTGCTGAGAGCTTGAAAAATGTCCGGATCCTCATTCTTGGCGACACACAAACCTGTGAGCGCTGGATACTGCCAGCACCATTTATCCGACATGAGATACTACCGCTGCTAGAGGCTCAGAGAAGGGAAGCACTAGGTGCAATTCTAGGCGTTAAGCCGTCTGAAGTCGACATCGCAACTGGAGCGGCAGCTGCAAATCCTGGCATTTTTTGTCTTGCTGTTCCAGCAAGACACCAAGGCGATCTAGCCGAGAACACCATAGATTCGTGGCTTTCCTGTGCCGTTGTGCCGCCTAACAGTCCGGATAGGCTCGCAGATGCAGATTTTGAGACCTTCAGTCTGGATGTGCCGAAAGATGCGGAGCCTTCATTATCTGCACCATTGCTAAGGAGACAACTATTAGCAGCTCGTCATCTAGCTGCTTTACCGACAACAGATGCTGCTTTAGAGCTGTTTAGTCGTGAGCCTTTAGTTGCGCAGCCTATTATACGCAGTCTGCTGATTCGGCTTTCATCCTCGGAACGTTGTCAGTCTTTCAAAACGCTTTGTGAGGATCTCGTTCGTGGCTCACCAGATATGGCTAAGCGAGGTGCCCTGTTAGTGTCAGAGTTTATGGACCAAGTTCCAGATCTGAGGGAGCACGTTGCTACCCACATGCTGGCCATTATAGCTGGAGGCACATTTTCAGTCAGAGAACGAGTACAAGCAGGGCAGGTGCTTTCTCAACTAGGAGATCCACGCGATTTAACCGCACTGGCAGATATCCCTGCGGGTGCTTTCATATTTGGCTCCAGGAGCCATCCCAACTCACAGCCACAAGGGGAGTTATCACTCGGTAGCTATCGGATTGGTGTTTACCCAGTCGTAAATCGAGACTACACCGCTTTTGTCAATGATACAAAACGCAAGTGGCTCAGTCCAGATCATAGCAATATCGACAAACTGAATGCCCCAGCCACAGACCTCACCTGGCATGACGCAAGAGCCTATTGCGAGTGGCTAACTCGTAAGTGGCGCGCAAGTAAAAAAATAGGCCCAACAGAGCAAGTCCGGCTTCCGACAGAACTAGAGTGGGAGCGAGCATCAAACGGGGATCTGAATCGACTCACTGACAGCACTGACCCTGTTTACCCCTGGGGTCTGGAGTGGAAACACGATGCCGCCAATAGCGAAGAAACGGGACTCAATACAACATGTGCTGTTGGCCTCTTTCCAGAAGGTAAATCTCCATACGGATGCTATGACATGGCTGGACAGGTGTGGGAGTGGTGTTCGACACTCTGGGGCGAGGATATGGCCACCCCAACTTACGCTTATCCCTGGCAAGATGATGATCGCGAAGCTCCGAATGCTCCGGAGTCGGTCCGTCGTGTGCTAAGAGGAGGTTGCTTTTCTAGTGGGAAGCTGAAGGCTTGCGGGACTTATCGAGGAAGCTTGGAGCCCGCTGGATTCTGGCGTGGGAATGGATTCCGCATTGTCGTTAGTGAATGATGCGGTTAATATTGTTTATGACGTCTACAAGAATAACGGCAGTACCATGCAACAATGTAATATTATCCGTATTAAAGTAGTTTATTAAGCTTCTCACCGTGATTAAAGCTGATTAATTAGAAGTTAAATCAATTATGCATTGCCTAATTTGTACCCTAAACCGTGAGCGGCTCAGCCCGTAAGCTCGTCATTAGCCCTAAAATGATGCACGGCCAATTCTTCAGTCTTCTATCAATCTAAAGTGATTTTCGGCTGATAGCTTATGCATAAGTGAACGGCAAATTGTTCAGATGCTTATATTTTTATTTATCGGACAGAAGTGCCTGAATATAGCGTAGATGTTGCCATCTGTCGAGGAGATTGACAATCGATTTATTCCATCAATCACAGCATAGGTTTAGATACTCAGAGATATAGCTACATGTAAGCTATCAAATATATAAAGATACTTTTGCCAAAAGAAACATGTTGGAATGTGAGAAGATACCAAGTACTCCAGCCTCTACCCTCCAGACCCCTCTCCAGAAGATGAGACTGTCAGCCCTACTTTCGGCGGCTGCCATCTGGCATGCCACAACAGCCCAACTCATCGGTCCAGTAGGCCCAACAACAGATCTCAGTGACAAGAACATTGAATGCAACATCCTAAACTATGGCGCCAAAGCAGATAACAAAACGGACATCTCCACAGCTCTGGAAGATACATTCACTGATTGCGTCTTGAAGAATCCCGGCAGTCGTCTGATAGTCCCCGAAGGTGACTACCTCATCAATAGATCGGTTGTACTCAGCAATGCCACAAATTGGGCTTTGCAATTGGATGGATTGATCACGGCTGCATATGGTGGTAATTGGACTGTGGATCGTGAGTTGATACTTCAGGGCTTTGCGGGCGTGCAAGTCCTCAATTCTACAATTAATGGGGAGGGAGATAACAAGTTTTTGTTAGATGTATTGGTCATCGTCAATGGTAAGTTGAAACACCGCAAGGTTGACGCTGTTTGTTGAACTGACCATTATAGCTGTGGATTTTGAATTTTACTCCTCCAATGGTCTGGGTGCTTTCCAGGGTCAGGGATACATCTACAGAAATCTTAATAAGTGAGAATGACCGAGATGAACATTGCTATATCAACTAATAGTCTTTAGCACCGACCGTCCACGTCTTGTCCGCTTGGTCTCGCCAACAAATGCATCAGTACATGACTTGATTCTTGTCGACAGTCCCAAGTTCCATATTGTGCTGGACTTTGCTGTGAACGTTGAGGCTTACCACATCACTGTTCGAGGTGCCAACCTAGGAAGTTATGATGGTATTGATGCAATAGGCACAAATTATTGGATCCACGACAATGAGGTATGACTTTCTTCTCATGATAAGTTGAACCACAGTTAACACCTTCAGGTCACCAATCGCGACGAGTGTGTTTCAGTGAAGAGTCCTTCTCATCATGCTTTAGTCGAGAACCTGGTCTGTAACCAGGCTGGATCTGGCATATCTATTGGCAGTCTGAATGTTTCTGCTGAGATATCTAACATTGTATGTAACGTACTCTAGAACGACATAACCCTAACTTTCATGCTCACTTGAATGTACAGGAAGCACGAAACATTAGCATCATCCAAGGCAACAACATCGCCTTCATCAAAACATATCCTGGAGGATCTGGCTATGTGACCAATGTCACTTTCGAGAATTTCCGTTCCCTTGGTAGTCTCTATGGGCTCGACATCAATCAGTACTGGCAAAATACTTTTACGCCAGACACCGGCGCTGTTACACTAAGTAACCTCCTTTTCAAAAATTTCTCCGGTAAGTCGCTTCGATTGCTGGAGAAGATCATTTAATTGACCCCAACAGGCTCCGTCGCGAATGGCGCTCTTCGTCCCCCTCTTTACCTGATCGCCAACGACTTAACATTTGCAACAAACGTAACCGTAGAAGACTTCTCCATCTGGACCGAAACGGGAACACAAGTGTTGAACCGTATTAGTAACATTTTCGGTCACGGCGATAACAGCTATGGCACTAATGATGGAATTCCATCTTTGAGTGCCGGGAAGGCTCCTTATACTTATACCAGTACTTATACCATTACCGCATCGCCAACGAGTTGGCAAGCACCTTCGACTCCAACATGGGCTGTTGCAAGCACGGGCTACGGCAGTAAGTTTTTCTTTTCTTTTCTTGGGAGACTATATTCAGTGCTGATTTATTACTGCGCATAGCTGCGTCCCCGATTCCCGTGTATACGCCGGCTCCTCTTTGGAGACCTGGTGGAGTCGACTATGACTTGCACTACTGGGGAAGTTTTTAATATCAACACAATATTGAGATACAAAGCAATATGTTCAGAATTTATTGTTGGTAAAAGCATGTGATATGATGTCAGAACTAGTCCAACCAAAGACGTGTGCATTCTTCTTGATCTTTTGTTGGAAGCTTTAGCTAGCAGTGGTAGCCATACGGTGTATATAGCCGTGAAATACGATATGATCCCAACACTCACAAGCAATATAAATGACTACCTTTCTGATTTTAATCTACATAGACATGAGCTGAAATCTACTACCTTTATGTGATGTTTAATGTGACACGCTAGCATTTACTGACAGGAACGACAGACTGGACGTCATTAGCAGTACAGTACATATTCCTCTGATAATCCGATCTCAGTCATGTCTTCCTACTCGGCATATTGAAACTGGTGCCTGGGTAGCCCAGCACAAATTTGATTATCAATCCTTGTACTGATCAAGTGGTTTATAATGGTTGGAAATTTCACCTATCAAAGGCATTGCGCGGCAGTTTCCAAGCAGTTATCGGCTTATTCTTCGTCGACAGGCGTTGTTGCAATACATATACGAAGGAATTTCTCATATGTATGATATGCTTCAATAACTCTACTAGATTTTTGGCTTCGAATAAACAGCAAAGTGCATTTATCAAGTTTACATGTAGACAGATGTATAAATAGTGAACTACTCATTTTTTCCTTAATATACAATTAGACTGCCGTATATAGTTTATTTTGCGATAAGATCATAGCTTGAGTAATTCTCTTTACATCATTCAAAAAGTCTGGCCGTAGAAAAAATATATTATCGACCGAAGCTGAGAAAAGACTCTAATACGCTGATTCCCAGGTGACGTTGGACAGATTCGCATCCCCAGCAGACGTTTGGCGTTGCTCGCTTTAGTGGTATACTGATAAGCCTGATCGTGGTAGTTCAAAGTCTTAGAATATGCTCTGTGCCTTCGCAACAAACTTTTCATTTACTCTAATTTATATGTTCTTAGGGTATAGCTCCAGTTGGCAGATGCGGGCCCAGGTCTTATAGTAACCTCTAGAGCTTCAGAAGAACTTCTGCAGCTTCAAATCCAAAATAGTTTCCCGGGAAAAAAAATGATACGCGTCAAGGCTCGACACATTGACACCAGGAAGCTCAACGTCTCCATAAACTAAATTATAACACCAAAGGTATGTCTTCGGCCGGCTCACATCATATCTTCTGTTGAAAATAGTCTTACTGACGGATTGAGAGAGATTTACATATCTATTATGCTAGCTTCTCATGTGATGGTAGTCTAAATAACGCCTTAGACACACCCTATATGTCCTTCATATCTAACTTTTCGCATAACTTTAAAAGCAAACATTACCTTTGGCTAGGTGGGATTATTGTCCGTGAGCTAGAAACAACGGTGCTCATGGTAAACCATGTGAGAATAGCCAATAGAAGCAAGAAGGTAAAGAGCAGATACAGTTTCTCTATAGACGCACAGCTCAGGATTTCAGCATCCTAGGATGCCGAAACCCCGATCCTGCCTGTGCAGCCACAACCTACCAAGGAATGAACTATCAGTACATAGAAGTATTCGTAGATATTTATGCCCTAAAACACCAAGCGTATAGGGCTGCTATGTGCTGTTCAGTATTTCCTGTTGACTTCGTAGTCATATTTCTCATTTCGAAAGAAAATCAAAAAGAAGGCTGTATAGCTGCATGAACTCTTCTAGCTTACATACTGATTTCTTTTCCTTTTTTCTTCATCTTTTCCTCCGCTACACGCCTTTTCTTATTTGCGAGTTCTCTAGCCGAGGTTGTACGGATTGGAAATGTTCTTTCAGACGACGATGAGCTGACCGAGGTCGTACGTTTGCGTTTTAGAGGCTTAATTAGCTTCCAAGCCTCGCGGATACGAACCCACTCCTCTTCTGAATAGAGGCGATATGCAAGCTGAAGCACACCATCCGAGTATTCAAATCTTGGTCTTGTCTTCGTGGGTGATTTTGTAAATCCATTGATATCCTCAGCATTCATCTTCTCTATGTCGACAATTTGGTCTCTCAGCTTCCAATGACCAAATGAGATGTCATCGCTATGCATTATAGGGACGAAAAAGCGGGTTTGGATAGATTGGTTGTCTGTTGAGTCCACCGGCTGTTCTCTGACTATTGGATCATCCCGACGGCCATGTGAGGATGCGAACCGATCGATTAAGCCGATTATACCAAAAGTTTCATTCATCTCGCCAAGTGGGTCTTCTGAGTCTTCCTGGGGTTCATTTATCTGCTCAAGGGGCAGTAGGCGGGTAATGATGGCTGGAATTGGGATTGTACGAGAAACGCCTTCCGCGAAMCCTGCCACTAGGTGTGTCATTGGCAAATCCATGGCTACTTTGACCATTTTTTCCAATGCCCATCTTCGATTTCCTATAATTTCTTTGCAGAAATTGAAGATCCTCATTACAGTTTCCTTGTCGGAGTACTGAGGCCGTTCTGGATGTAGAATATCGAGAAAAGATGTAATAGATGGACGGTAGTGCATGTCTAGCGTATATAGGCCGAATTTACTATTAGAGTAGACGTCAAGAATTTCATCGATAACCCCGAAATATATTGCGAGATTCATGCCATGTACCAGACGTAGCGCTAAGAGCCGGGCATTGCGGGCAAAGTCGGATTCGGAAACTGGATTACTCAGTAGAGGTGGCCACTCCGAGCTGGCAGGGCTTCTGATTAACACAGAAAGAATCTGTTCTGTTGGATAATAGCGGTTCAAAGTCTTCTGGGCGGCATCATCGACCAGCTTTATCACCTCAGAGTGCTTGTGAGTCGGATAATAGCAGTTCAAAGTCTGCTGGGCGGCATCATCGACCAGCTTTATCACCTCAGAGTGCTTGTGAGTCGGATAATAGCGGTTCAAAGTCTGCTGGGCGGCATCATCGACCAGCTTTATCACCTCAGAGTGCTTGTGAGTCCCCGTCACCTTCAGGATAGCAAATAGCTGTTCTAGATACCTCCATTCTGGGCCTATTAAAATCATCTTGTGCTGGTTGAAGTGTTTCTCAATCCAAGTCGCGAGCTCGTATTGGCTACTCGCCATGGCATTTTCAACTTCAGCGCGTTTATTGATACGCTGAGCGGTGCTGGCTTCGAGTTGCCGTAATGCGACCTCGCCTGTCAAAACAATGCCATTGATCAGATCCAAGATACGTTTTTCGTCTTCTGATACTTCCCCATCCTGAGAGTCAAGTGGCTTATAGATCATATCGTGCTCGATCTCAGACCATGCGTGCATAATCAGCGTGCCCACCTGTATCTCAACAACAATATCTTCCCAGGCAACTTTTCGATCCTCGTTGATATGTTCGTATCGTAGTTTTACTACAAAATGGGTTGCTTTGTAACCCGTAAAAGTCCGCACTGATCGTTGAAGTGCCCTGTCATCAACGGTATCCTGCGTGCTCCTCCCAGGGTTATTGAGCGACTCAAGGCGTTCTTCCAGGCTCCCAACACACCTTTGAGATCCATGACCCTTTGGTATTTCCCGGTCAACATGAAATTGTTCTTCAATGATACCTGCGACCTTCTCAATGTCACCTGGAAAATAGAGTGAAATTCGAACGCCACCAAAGTCATGCAAAGCGGAAAACATTTCATCTGGACCTTTAAAAGGCTCAATTTCTTCGCCAGACTCTGTTTCATGGGCATAACCGTCCCGTCGGCGATCTCGCGATTCTTTAAGATCACGCATCCGCCTTCGTACACGTTCACGATTTCTTCGACTTATACTCCCTTTTGCGGACTCCCAGGACTTGATCCGTGATGTTATCGGAGGGTGGCGGATGTTTGATGCACTGAGGGCTTTAGAGCATCTGTTTTGGACTTCTTGAGTATAATTGGCCACCGTTTCTTCTCTGAGGCGAAAAAGTTTAAGGAACGGCTCCCAGTTGTCAATTTCTTCAGCATAATCCATGATTTGCGATATGCTGGATTGGATCCTATGCGTAAGAAGGATAATATTGCGTGTCTAGGTGCTTCTACTTCTGAGTGCCGTATCCGATGTCAGAGGAGGTTTGTGGGCAGGAAAGAATTTGTCAGTATCGCTTTGACAGCAAGGCTGAGTTCGTTGGGTCATTTTTCGTCTAGCAGTGGCTTAGAAGGATCGATAGGCCACCGATGCGCGAGAAAAAGCAACACCCCTGTCGAACTACTGCAATCCTGACCTGGCATGTTCCACGAAAATTTAGCCTTCGACTAGCAAGGCTGTGAAGGCCGCCCATGCAAACTATTCAAATTTTATTTTTCAGCCACCAAACGAAATGAAAACATTTCTTTATGCTTGATATCATCCAAAGAGTATGGGGTCATCTTACAGTGACTATGTGACAACTATATCTCGTCAGAGGCCGAGTCTAAAAAAACTCTCGGACTTTCTTCGTCACCAACCCCGATCTGCTTGCAACAGCCTTATCAGCTACGTCGAGATTGAGACAACAGGTGGTGCAGGGCCGCCTCAAGAAATCAGCACAAGTAAACTCGTGGCCCGAATTACTTCTGGACTGAAGAAGAGCATGGTACTAGTTGTGGAAGATATCCATGCTGATGATATAGAGTCTCTTGGTTCATGTCTGGATATCGATCCACTCTTCTTTTGTGGTCACATCGCATCTTCGTACGGAGATATTGAGAAAGATCCCTTACCACCGCTATTGTCGCTACCGCCGTCTCGGCTGGTTTCTGGGGCATTTATCAACATTCATCATCAAAAGGTGCTTGACTTGGGCGACGAGGTCACCTTGGGCCATGTGCCTTATGATCTCGTATTGTTAGCAAACGTCACTCGAAGTGTTCGACGCCTGCCTGCCCTGTCTAGTAGATCGATTGGTATTCTCCGAGCATGCACCTCGTTGATAAAAATAGACCTTCCTGGGGGCCACTGGATATGTATGTGATGATGGCATACATCGTTCTCACGCACACGATTTTTCAACTAACGATCAGCCCAGCATTGATATTAATCGACCCTACCTCTGACATTGTGGTGCATCCAACACGCACTGCCCCTCGCAGACTTGTCGGGCCAAAACTTCCTCAAATTCCCCGTCGAATCGCAATCGAAACGATCTCCCAAACACCGACGTATGTCCAATATCAGGCCACGGATACAGCAAGCCAAAAATTTCAAGCAACCAACTCGCGCGAGGAGCTTCTAAGATTCTTCCACACATCGCCCCCTGGATGGAGAATGGGAAACCATAGCATATTGTGTCTAACTTACTATCCAATTCAAACAATTATACAGGAGTGGATAGTCTATGCTTTGCTGATGGGACGTTATGTCAAGTACTACGAGTATTCTTCCCAGACTGCCCATTCGCGTTTAGAGCGTTTCGAGAAAGATGATATATTAGATCTTCACAGATGGCGGCGCCGGAGCCTGCAGAGTCTGCACAAGTTGGATATATTGAAACGTTTTCTCGATCACTGGGTTTTAAAAGAGGAGAATTTAGACCAAGACTTGCTCCAAGCAGCCAACACAACGACACGAGAGGGATTAGTCACTTGGAACCTGCTGAAGGGGGATATCAATTACCTGGAAGAGCAGATTATGCAACATGCTCGTTCTCTCGAGGCGCTAAACCCTATCATCACTGCTCTTGTCCAACTCGTAGATTCCAAGAGGGCGATTTTACAGGCGGAGGATACCCGACGTTTGACGTACATTGCCATTGTGTTCATCCCTATGTCTTTCATCACGGGCATTTTCAGTATGAGTGAGCCATATGGTCCGGGAAGTGATCGCTTCTGGATCTACTGGGTGGTCGCGCTGCCACTTACAGTGTCCATTATAGGGTCTCTGGTCTTAGATCTCAGATTTAGTTACCTTTCGTTGTTCTGGGCACGAATGTTGAAGACCGGGGGAAAGCCTATAGCTCCTTGAAGCGACTGCCTCGTTTGTGCTTTTCCTCTTTGGCCCGTAGTTTCTACCATCCTCTGAAAGTCACAGTAGATAGTTTATTTTGGTCGTTTCATATGCTGTTAGCTCTCACAACTCGAGTTGCATTGGATAGATTTACGAAGTATCTTCTATCTAGATATGGCTAAATAAATTATCCATCCATACCCCCTAATACCCAAAATGGAGTTGCACAACAAAATCTCTAATTGCTTCGTAACCGAGTCTCAATAACGGTCCAATATTCTTTACCAATAAGATGTGAGTTGATGCCTCTTTTCTTGTTCTTATGTTCGTTGGAGTCTAAAAGGGCTACGGATTTCCCGATCAGGCCCGAGTGCCTTTAATGCACCACCAACCGCACTGCGACCAAGATATCACGTCAAACACCCCCTATGGCCATCCAATCCTTATGAATCTGGATTTCGTAGAGTTCATATGCATGAAATATTTGTTGAAATTTGTAAAATGGGTCTTTGGGGCCAAGCGGTTCGGTGAATGATCGGTCATTGCGCATGGCAATTTCTGGCATGACACCCGCTTCAAACGGGGTCAATTTCTGTCCTGTAGAGCGTATCCTACCAAGCGTGGACAAGTCTTTGAATCGGACAGACTTGTAGCCTGCTACATACCGGGTCATGACTCATGCCGACGAGGATCTTCTTGATCGGATCAAGAGGAGCCGTGAATGCTTGAGCGCCTGTCTAGTTGAGGCGATCCTTGATCCCGACGACGATGGTGATGTACGGGAGTTTTGGTTCGGCCAGTATACGAACGGCTTTCGTCAATTCGTGCCTAGGGTTAACAGCGTTAGCGTTGATGGCTTTGACGATGACGATGATGACGATGGGAGTGTCGACAGTCTTGAGCCCGAAATGCTGGATGATGGGTTTGACAATGTATTCAATGATTAAAACAACGTTGAAAACGTCGAATGTATCGACAACGCGGAATACTTTGCAAGCCTTGAATGCGATACAGTAGCAACCTCCGATTGAAGAGCTAATCCACTATAAGCAAAATTCCAATGATTGTGGTAGCTTTGATAAGGGGGAATCTAAGGAAATACGATCTATTTGATTACTTCAATAAACACTGCTATCCGACTTTTCAAGCTATATCCTCCTGTCGAGTACGAATTTGGCTTTCCACGAGGGTCTCCCCCATGGTTCGGTTTTCATTCACTCTTGCAAGGGTCCTATTTATCCTTGCATCCCACTACCATTATTGATTGATTCATGTTTACAATCGCAAAGATCTCATTCGAACTTTTGCTACTACCACGTATCTACTCCACCATGTCTGACTTTTATTCCACTGGCCAGAAACTGGATAAAAATCTTGTTGGATCGGTCTCGAGCCTTCTGCACATAGCTGATGTTCCGCATCTTCTGTGGGGAATTGTTTATTGACCATCTACGGGGTCCCTACAATCGTTGCCTTAATATTCCTCTCAAAATCTGGACAAGATTGATCTCAATCTTGGGTTTTTCTTTTAGCACGCCTGACACTTATTAAAATGCTTTCTCTGCTCTCTCAAAGGCCAGCTTCTATCTATGCACGCTAAAATCAGATTGCTACCTTTCGAACACTCCGTAGAGTCCGTCACCCACCAGACATCATACCAGCTACCAGCTCTCCATATCGTCATTTCAGAAGTCGGACGTGCTTGAGGAATTTCGTGATTATGAAGTTGATCTAAAAGATGACAGCGCAGAGACTATGCGTCCGTCCGATGATCGACTACCATGGGCCATTCTAGGCCGCGGTCGAGGACGTTTCACCTCCGAGCTTAGCTCTGTCCGTATCCCTTGCTCTGTGAAGTTCTGCGAACCATCATTTTTCCAATGTGTCGAGATCATGGCAGTAGACGTAGGAGCTATTGGATGGCGATTCCGACCTACATCTAGGAATATGTTGATGATTGTGGTAATTCCAAGAAGATAACCAGCTGTTTATCGCGCCATTAAAAATGCAGATGCAAATGTGTTTGTTCTTTTGAATGAGCTTTGGCGTCATTTGAGAGAGAAACATATACTTCCAAGTCCTTGGATTTAATAAATAGAAACATATCTCAATCCAAACATGCCTTCAGAAACCAGTCGCTCTGATCCGACAATTTTTCGAAAAACCTGCAACTTGCGTATCGAATAGGTAGTGTCTGAGACTCGTTATTCATAGATAAAAATATCGAAAAATGAGTACGACTGCGGTATTCCCAGGGTAGACATCTGGAGTTTCCGAAATGCAAACCCTAATCCGAATGGCACCTTACAAGGACACTGAGCACACAACACGTACATCGGTACTACACAACAAACACAGCCTCAAGTGATGTCACTCGTTTGTTACAATCCTTATCGCTTCTCACCCGAAAACCGGTGTACGTGCTATCGCGTAACCAAGACCCAGTCCCCTTTCCAACGAAATGATATCATGGCTGACTGTATCAGCCCCTCGGTGAGTCTTATCAGTCTAAATTTTTCCAAGGAGAGGAGGGGTAATCTAGTCTGTCAGTGCCGCGCCCATAACCGACTAAAAGTATGCACCAATCGGGGCATCGGCTTCGATTCTCCAGACTACCCCTCTGGGTCCCTGACTCCTGAGCCCCAGTATTTGACGAACGATCGGATCAACCAGATTGAGGAACCAGATGGATGCAAGACGATCGAATGGCAAATTCGGCTTTCTTCTTCTTTTCGCTGCCGAGCATTGATGTTCAAGTTTGGAGTATTGGCACGCAGATACGTAGGCCCGAATATACTCACATTCCGACGGGACGTACACAGCGGTGAAACGGTGAAACCTCAGCCGGAAAGATACCTAAAAAAAAATGATGTAAATCTGCAGAATCGCAAATTCTAGGCCTTTTATCTAGACAGAGGTACGCCAGCACGTGCGGTTACAATACTCAGCTAGCGCTCAAACCACAGACAGCGACGTAAAAAAAAGTCGACTAGAGAGGAAGAGAAAAAAAAAAGACCCACGCGGAAATACTCACGATGCCCCCTACGTCATGAAAAGCCCACTCTCCACCAATCTAGATTGTATCTGACATCAATTCAATCGAGACTGTTCCAAAGAAACTTGCAAAAAACAGGGTTTGCTGGAATAACATAGAATGGAAAGAAAGATAGGGATAATGAAGTGATTGAGATATAAAGTGTCTGTTATTTCCGACGCAACTACCAAAGGGTAGATTAAGCTCTCTACTTAGATCAAAAACCGGTTTCTACGAGCCCTAACCCTATCAACCCTACCAACCCTAATAACAACACATACTGCAAAATGGTTGCCGACAAGAATAATGTGCGGAGAAAGGTCGTCTGTTTCTCAGGTCAGTGTATTCGCCTTGTTCACTCACATCATAAAAAAAGCTAATGCAGTGTTTGTAGACTTCGACGGCACAATCTTTATGCAAGACACCGGCCATGTCCTCTTCGACAAGTACGGCTGCGGCGCCGAACGCCGCCAAGTCCTCGACGAACAAATCAAGACCGGCGAGCGCTCCTTCCGCGACGTCTCAGAGGAGATGTGGGCCTCCTTAAACGTGCCATTCGAGAATGGCTTTGACGTTCTCGCCGACACGCTGGAAATCGACCCCGACTTCAGAGAGTTTCACACCTTTTGCGCACAGAATGATATTCCATTCAATGTTATCAGTGCGGGACTCAAGCCTGTGTTGAGGAAGGTGCTGGATACTTTCTTGGGAGAGGAGGATTCGGCGAGGATTGAGATTGTGGCGAACGAGGCTTCTATTAACGAAGATGGATCGGAGTGGAAACCCATCTGGCGCCATGATAGTGAGGTCGGACATGACAAGGCTTTGAGTGTCAACGAGGCTCGAATCCAGGCCCGCGACAACTGCGGTGAAGATGAGGTTCCCTTGATCGTGTTTATTGGTGACGGTGTCTCCGATCTACCGGCCGCTCGTGAGGCAGACGTCCTATTTGCGCGCAAGGGTTTGAGGTTGGAAGAGTACTGCCAGGAGCACAATATCCCCTATATCCCGTTTGACACCTTTGCCGATATCAAGCGTGAGATTGAGAAGATTCTTGCAGAGGACCAGGCCAAGACTGGCGGTCATGGAAAACCACTGCGCTTCAACCCGAGAGCGAACATGTGGCGACGAGTGTCGAGCAAACAAGCTGTACGTTCTCCTTTCTCGTATTCTCTCTTCACATTGCTAATGAACATAGGTTCCTCGCTTCGTTGCTATGACACCTTCAAAAGAAGAGCGCATGTTCCTCTGGCCAGAGACATTTTCCGAGCTGAAGGCTGGTCAACCAGATGCAGCAGCCTTGAAAACGCCTGGTGTGACTACCAGTGCCGTGGCATAAATATTTTATCTTGTTTTTGATACATCACGATTCATTATGAATATTGCAAAAGACTGGCGTTTTGGAATCACATCGGGTGATATGGGACGGATCTCAATTGTTTCGCATACTACTTACTATTGCCCCATTTTGGTAGATCAATCAATCTTGATTCATCATAGTCAATCCGATGTAACATATAAAACCGGAGTTCAATATCAGCAGGACGAGTCCGAGATGATCATCGAACACCGGACGACGGACGATTTCAGCCCAATGCGTAGCGTATGCAATATTGATCACATCCCTGCCACAAGGTGCCGAACACCCGGCTTGAACAGGGCTCGCGCTTCAATCTGCCGAACTTGACGTCTAAACACCCGCTCTGATTGGATACATAGCACTGATTCAGTGGACGGCCAGAGCCGTTTACCGACTTTCTAGCTGCTAGCTGCCTAGCGCGGTGACCTAAAAGGCCCTAGACAATGTGCCTGGTGGGGTTGCTCGTTTGTTGACTTTGATTTAATAGGTTCGAGGTTTAAAGGAGTCATCCACTTGACCATAATAGTATTGTTCAAACACGAGAAATTGTCCGGAAATAACGTGGCCAAAAGCCGATTCTTCAGCGTATTCCTTGTTGAAGAAGCCATCAAAGAGGGAGTTCTAAGTTGTGGATTGTGGAGAGATTTGGGCTCCTCCACATCAACAATCAAGTTTTCGTGGGGAGAGGGGAAACCGAACAATGAACGAGTCAGAACCGGCCACCGCTATTTGGATCTTATTTTGTTTTGCATATCACGTATTCTAGAAAGTGTAGAAAGCGTCCTTCTATAGGGTATGATTGGTGTAAGAAACCAAGACTGTGTGGCCCTCGGCCGTTAGACTGCGCGCTAAACACTTAAATTAGTTTGAAGCTATCACTGACTCACTGCTCACGGGCCACATTTGAGCGTGAAGTGCGCATTGACGGACGAATTTCGAGGCCCGCTTCATAATAGGGAAGATTTCGGTTGGATTTAGCTTAACTCCAGGGTGCTGCTGGTTGTTCGTGCTAACCCCGGAGGGGTGGCCCCATAAGGACGTCGTAGTGACTATGCTAGTGTCTCAAATCCGTAGATGAACAAATGAATAAATTGATAAACGTGCCCGTGTCCGACTCCGTAAATGAGTAGTTCTCGTTCGCGTAGAAAAGCGCACATCGCAAGGCCCTCTTGAAATGAGTTAATCGATACATTAGGACAATCAACGTTAGCCGTCTTGTTGTGCGATTCTAGCAATTGTTTCTGTCAATGTTATCCGAAAAAAGCAGCTCAGAACCTGTTGCGTTCGGCGAGATGACCGAGTAAGTTGGCTTCTTGACATTCTTACTTCCACCAATATACCGAATCAGGGAACTGATTCTTCGTTTGTAGACGCGCTAGAACACCGACGGAGAGAAGCGAGACAACCAATGTCGCAGAAAGCACAACCTCGGACTATGTGCCGAATAATATGATGGAGGATATAGAGAAATTCGAGATCGCCCAAACGGCCACAAACGATATCAAAGAGAGAGACGAACAGCCTGCAGAAGACCCCAATATAGTGTGGTGGGATGGCGAAGACGATCCTGCTAATCCGTTGAACTGGGCACCACTCAAGAAATGGACCAACATCATGCTCATCTCTGCCATCACATTCATTGTGTCAGTAGCACAGTCCTTCTCCTCTGGATGATTGCTGATATGATCCAGTCCTCTTGCATCGTCTATGTTTGCTCCTGGTGTTAGCCAGGTTGCTTCCGAATTCGGTGAAAGCAACGAAATCCTCGAAGCCCTTGTCGTGTCGATATATGTTATTGGTCTCGCAGTCGGGCCGTTGGTGCAGGCTCCAATGTCTGAAGTATATGGCCGATGGATCGTATATGCAACCTGCAACGTCTTATATGTGGTCTTCACCATCGCCTGTGCCGTGTCAACCAACATTTCGATGCTGATTGTCTTTCGGTTCTTCGCCGGATGTATGGGTTCTGCCCCAGTGACTATCGGTGGAGGTACCATTGCGGATTCATTTCCACCTCATCAGCGTGGACGTGCGCTTTCCATCTACACCCTAGGCCCAGTTGCTGGGCCTGCGATCGGCCCAATTGCCGGTGGCTTTCTGTCCGAGAGCGAAGGCTGGAGATGGATTTTCTGGGTTCTGGCCATTGCAGTAAGAAGAATTCTCCTTTCGTAGGTGCAGCCACTGACATTTCGTAGAGCGGAGTAATTACCGTTGGCCAGATACTCTTCACGCAAGAGACCAGTGCAGTCGTTATTCTCCAGCGCAAAGTCAAAAGACTGCAAAAAGAAACCGGTAACATGAATCTCCGTTCAAAGCTTGACAGACAGATTCCAGGCTCCGAGGTCATCAAACGAGCAATCGTGCGCCCAGCCAAGCTACAAGTTCTGTCTCCGATATCCATTCTCATGTCAGTGGCTACAGCTGTGGTATATGGAAACCTGTACCTGATGCTGACCACCATCACGACGGTTTTTGAATCTACCTATGGTTTCAACACGGGAACATCAGGTCTGGCGTATATTGGGTTAGGCTTGGGCAACATCATCGGTCTGCTCATGTTCTCCTTCACCAGCGACAGATACCTCCAGCAGAAATCCGCCAAGGGCCTTCAATTAAAGCCCGAAGATCGTTTGCCTTTGATGCTTGGGTCCTGTCCAACCATTGCCGCAGGAATGTTCTGGTATGGATGGAGTGCGAAAGCAAAAACTCATTGGATCGTGCCTATTATCGGGTCTGCATTTGTCGGCCTCGGCAACATGTTCTTCTTCATGCCGATGATGGGATACCTGGTTGATGCATACACCATCTACGCTGCCTCGGCTCTGGCGGCAAACACGGTCCTCCGTTCCATCGGAGGTGGACTTCTCCCTCTCGCGGGGCAGAGCATGTATGCCGCGTTGGGATATGGTTGGGGTAATTCGCTGCTGGGATTTATCCTCATTGGCTTCACGCCGGTCATTTTGATTATTTATCGATATGGAGAGTACATCCGTACAAAATGGCCGCTCAACTTGGATTAGTCGATCCATTCGAATGATCTTGATCATGCTCGCCTTCCCAGTACCAAGGTGATTGGTTTATCTTGCTGGGTTGATATTGACGTGCGATGATCGGTATCCGACAGAGCTGTAGCTCTTGGCATGGTAGCGAGTGAAAAATTTCGACATTGCATCAAAGGAATATAGAATGGCGTTATGTATATAGACTGGGAAAATAGAAAATTCTCGGGATAGAGATGTTTTTTGAACGGATGCAATTGAGGTTGTTGTTGAAGGAAATAGAAAGTGACAGATCTGGAAGAGGCGATCCACCAGACCCACCTGAAGCTCCTGCCCAAAGCCAATCTTAAAAAGTTTAGCTCTTTCCTAAGATCAATCACCTTGAATCAACTTCATCTCCAACTTATCTTTAAAATCTCGGTTTCTACCGCACTGTCCACGTATATATACATAACATAGTCGTGCCATGGCGGATCTCCATACCCTATCGTCATGCCCAATTGAAGAGATCCATCTTCCCTCCGACCTGGAAGAAAGGACAAACAGACAATTCGATGAAATGGTCCGCAAAGGTCGCATTTTCTATGATCATCAAACGAAACCAGGCGAAGTGTGTATAGACGATGGTTTTCTGGTGAGTTTTCCACGGATTGTGGGCGATGGTGTATAATATCCCTCTATTTGCTTTTTCTATGCTCCTTTAGCCCTGCTCACCGCAATTTCATCATTGATACGTGCTTTGCATAAGTTTGTTGATTATTTTGGATACTACGCGAGTCACTTTCGAAACTATAAAGATTCGACTGTTTATTGCACGTCTTACATTATTAGTACTGACAGGCCTAGCTTGAATATCGCATCGTGTCAATACTCAAGGGAAAGCCTATTCTTGCGCCAGATGACCCAGGGCGCAGTAATACGCCTACTCCAGAAAGCACTCGCGCATCCACACCAGTAGTGACGTCTTCAGCATCGTCACTATCAGCCCCAACGATATCAGCACCGACACAGTCGCCTTCACCACGACCAGCTGTCAAAGGCCCTTTCGTCAACCCCAAACCAGATGAAGTTGTTTACGAAGATGTTGGCTCAAAACACCGGCTAATGCTCAACAAATTCTGCCTGTATCGACCTATGCTTGTACTGCCGACAAAAGAATTTGCGCTCCAGTCCGACGATCTAGATGCATCCGATATCACAGCAGCATGGGCAATCCTGCATTCTTACCACACCTTTGAGCCAATAGTTATATACAACCGAGGCGTCAACGGTGGCTCGTCACAGGGTCACAAGCATCTACAGCTTTTCCCCGTTCCACCGTTGGCTCCGTTCTATGGCAAAGCGGACAACCTGTGGCCAGCAAAAGCCACGTCCTCGACAGAGGTATCTGATAGGATACCCCATGTACCCTTTAAACATTACGTATTGCGCATATCGCCGCAAACATCCGCAAAAGCGGTTGTCGATATGTATCTTCGTCTGCTTCAACTGACGCGAAAAGCACATGTTGAGGCAGGATACGATGCAGATGGCGACTATAATGTGACTATGACCCGAGACTGGATTGCGGTGATACCCCGAACGACAGCGGGGCCGTCAGACGGGCCATTTGGTACCAGTACAGTGGGCATGCTAGGCATTCCAGCTATCAGAGATGAGCGTGATCGAGAAAAGTGGAGGAAACTGGGAGATGCCAAATTTCTGGCGAAGCTGGGAATTCCGCAGGTAAACTAATACTTTGGCGCTGTATATATTTCTGCAATTTGAGACTAGACTTTCCAGAGTGGAGTTGAATATAGACTTGGATATATCATGATGGATTGGATAGTTCTATGTTAATTTATTTTCCGAGGTTCTGTGGAGCAGGAGTAGCTGGGCCTTCGGGGGTGACATATGCCTGCTTAAATATTAGCTAGAGTCTCATATTCGAGTAAGTGAAGACCTGCCTTGGTCATTCCTCCATCAACCACAAAGTCAGTGCCATTGACAAAGCTTGCCTCATCACTGGCAAGGAAGACAACAGCATTCGCCTGCTCAATGGCTTCTCCGAACCGGCCCGTAGGGAAATGGACTTCACGACGATGGCGTTTCGCCTGGTCATCACCAAGCCAATCTTGCAAAAGAGGTGTGCTATACCAGTTAGCATTTGCCAGAAACTACCAAAAAGGGACATACTTCAATGGCGCAGGGCAGAGCGCATTGAACCTAAACCCCTCTCTCGCATGCACAATCGCCAATTCCCTCGTCATCGCTAACACCGCACCTTTGCTCGCGGTATACGCAAGCTGCGGTGTCGCACTACCGACCAGGGCCACAACGCTCGCTGTATTAATAATACTGCCCTTCGTCTTCTTGTGGCGCCTCAGACTCAATACCGTATGTTTACAACCATACCACACACCCTTCACATTAATGTTGTGCGTCAAATCCCAGATCTTGTCCGGCGTGTCCACTGCATCGGCATCGTCGGCGTGCATGATTCCCGCGTTGTTGAATATCACGTCCGTACCACCCCAGCTGTCCTGCGACTCGATCATGGCTTGCACGTCGGATTCCTTGGAGACGTCGCATTTGATGGTTTCGACGCGCGCGGAGTCTGGGACGAGAGATTTCACTTTTTTGAGGGCTGCGGCGAGGGCGGGCTCGGAGATGTCGGCCATAAGCACGGAGGCGCCTTCACGAGCAAACAGGATTGTTGTTTCGAGGCCGATGCCACTGTATTCGTCAGATTGGCTTGCGTAGTGTAGAATAGAAGGGGGGAGAAAGATTACCCAGCAGCACCGGTGATGATGGCATTTTTGCCTTGGAGACGGCCTCGTGGAGCTGTCATATTGATTTGTGTAGCTGTTGGTATGTCTTTCGAGTTTGTACAACAAGATCATGAAAAGACTGCTGGAAGTGAGAGTATTTATGCTGTGTGATGGCGGGGCAGTCGTGGTCGTGCTGTAGGGGATCTGCTACTGTGGAGACGTCGATTCTCTTATCTGATCTATCGGACTGTTGAGCCCGTCGCTTATCGAACTCTCTGTACAGTACAGTCACACGCGGTGTCCGTGTCAGACCGACCCTCATTCGGACTGCTGTGTCCGATTATGCTCTATCCCAGCAAATAATTGAATACAATCCTAGTAAAGAGCAAGGTGCTCGTTCGCAGTTCGACACCTCATGAATCAGGCCGCGTACTCCTACCTAGTCCGCACTAGCGGCACGCGATAAGCAGGGATTCATCCTTGCCAGCTCCCACCGACGTAACTGGGCCGACTGATAACCACCAGCCACCACCAGCTTCCTCCTACAACTATCACTCTCACTAACTCAGTCGGTATCGTTCGATATTGACCACGATATGAGCAGCTGACCTCTTTCCGCATTTATCTCCCATCTTCCTTCTTCCCTGTCCGTCCTACACCTGCCCACGATCCTGCGACCAAAGGAACGGAAACGTGACCATGTCCCCACCAAGCGAGGAAGCAATCACCGCCGAAAACATAGCGACTCTCCTGGCACACGACACAAAAGTAAAACTCGCCGGCGTCGATGCTGACGGCATCCTACGCGGCAAACTCGTCGCCAAAAAGAAATTCCTCTCCATTGCGCAAGATGGCTTCGGATTCTGTTCTGTCATTTTCGGCTGGGATATGCATGACCGCACTTATTTCAAAGAGCTGAGTATCAGCAACAAGGAAAATGGGTACAGGGATTTATTGGCCATTCCAGACCTCCAGTCTTTTCGAAGGATTCCGTGGGAGGACAATGTGCCGTTCTTTCTCGTGAGCTTTTTTGATCCGGAGACCAAGGCGCCGATTAGTGCTTGTCCGAGGAATTTGTTGCAAACGTCGGTGGATAAGTTGGCCAAGTTGGATTATAAGGCCATGGCTGGAGGTATCTCTCTCTTTTTATTTTTGGTTATGATGCGTTTTATTTGGGTGAAGCTAAGTGATCAGCTGAATATGAATTCTATCAATTCCGCGTTCCACACGATGCATCGAGCAGCGAGCGAAATTCGTCGGCGACAGCTTCGTTTTTGAAAAAAAACCCCGTCGAATCGCTACCTCCGCTCACGGAAGGCATGTTTGGATACAGCATTACGAGACCGGTGCACAATCAGGACTACTATTACGGAATTTTTGATGCGTGCGAGAAGTTCCGTTGTGACATTGAAGGATGGCATACAGAGAGCGGACCGGGTGTGTTTGAGGCTGTGGGTATCTCTCGAGTTGATCTGGGGGAATCATATCCTGACTGTTCACGTTCAGGCATTGCAATTTGGTGAAATCAAGGAAATGGCCGACCGGGCTGGGTTGTTCAAGTATGTTTTACCTGGGCCATCATGAGTGATTTTGAGCTGACGTTACAGATACGTCGTCAAATCCATCGGCAGCAAACACGGAATAACGCCCGCTTTTATGGCTAAACCGCGTGAAGGCCTACCAGGTAACAGTGGCCATATGCATATTTCTATTGCGACCAAGGATGGCAAGAATCTGTTTGCGCGTGAGACGGTCGATCCGTCACCGCCGTACCCAGACGTTGCCCATTTATCAGACATAGGAAGGCACTTCCTTGCAGGTCTTCTCGAAGGTCTGCCAGATATTATGCCTATATTAGCACCCACGATCAACTCCTACAAACGGTTAGTCGAAAACTTCTGGGCTCCGGTTACTGTATCCTGGGGTCTCGAACACCGTGCAGCCTCCATTCGGTTGATCGCTCCACCCACCGCCAGCGCCAAAGCAACACGCTTCGAAGTTCGCGTCCCCGGCGCAGACACTAATCCACACTACGTCCTCGCGGCAATCCTAGCGACGGGTTGGCGAGGAGTGGAGAAGAAACTCGAAATCTCCTTGCCGCCACTAGGCAAAGGCGAAGATACAGGAAGTGCTAGCGATAAGGGAGCTCGGTTGGCCAAGTCACTCAAAGAAGCGAATGAGATTTTCCGGAGACCGGACAGTGTTGCGCGTGAAGTGTTTGGAGATGAATTTGTGGATCATTTTAGTGGGACGCGGGAGCATGAGATTGTGCTCTGGGAGGAGGCTGTTACAGATTGGTTCGTCTAACCTCCGTTGTGACTATCGTGAATGTGGCTAACTTTGAGTAGGGAGGTTCGGCGGTATATAGAGACAGTGTAATGTTGCGCGCTTACGGGTGGACTTCGTTATCCGGCTATGTTTATCGTATACTTACGGCCTTGTTGCAGCGTACAATGATATGAATATACCAATGCATTGTCTTCATGACTGTCGAAAACATGTATGAGTTAATCCACCGCATTGAACGCAAGTACAATGTTTTAGTACATCGGTTACAGCAATTGTCATAGTCCTAGATTCTGGCCGATATCAAGCCGACAAATATCGGCATGTGCGGGACGGTTCCGCCCTCCATCCGTCCACCCTTCTAGACTGCGTAGACTGCGTAGTAGACTGAGCTGGCCGCTTGCCCGTGGGCCAATAAACCAACGATTGACTGACTCCTAGCTAAATCCAGCTTCTCGCCATGTGAAAGTATTTCGCCAGACTAGGGTAGCGAAACACGTGAATCATCCAACCACCCCTCCCCTCCGGTCTCTCCAGGTATATAGCTAGTGCATAATCCATTTCACATGCAATCGAGTAACAGCCACCCTATCTCAATACAAGCAGATAGGTCGGTCAATCAGCGCAAATACCGGATCCCGCCGAAACGACCCTGCTCATCTACGCGGTGTGACTGGACGAAAGTCGGAGAGGGCCGGGAACGTGGAGAGAAATCACATGACTTTTCCGCGGCGGAGATCAACAAAAGTGGATGATGTCAGAAGTTGCCCGATGCCGCGGTTAATGCTTCTCTCACTATCCATGGCTATTGCTCGGGCAGCTGGCAGTTGGCTGTTTTGCGGGGATTATTGTCGTATATACTTCGTTTCTTGATAGTAGTTACTGTCGATAGCGTTCACTCATCTGCTGATAGAAAATCCACTATACACAAGAATGAAGGGCAATTGAGGTGTATAGTACAGTGTGGACTGATGGGTCCTCCTCTACATAGTAAGGGCTTCAGTGAGGGCGGCGCTAGTGGTACCGATAAGATAAAGATAACGCGGGGAACCATATCTGAGCTCCTGTAGTAGTAATTAGTATTACAGTATGTGGAATGTACAGATATCGGCCGAGAATAGCGGCCAACTGCTCCCACCAAGGCCAATTTTTTAGATACATCAAACGAAAAGAAACCAATCAAGCTAAAAAGAAATTGTCAGATCAATTCTGAGCTCCGTTAACCGGGGCTATTGATTGGCCCAGGGCAGATTGTCTGACCTTCTGTCCGGGCCGCGGCTATGGGGAAGGAACTGACGTCGATATTTATCAGTCGAGACGGTCCTTCCTATCGTCCGAGACTTTTCTCTTCGATACCTCCTGGGCAGATATATACCGTTGCTTGTCCTGATTGTACCAAGTGGTACATACAACTAAACTCAACATTGAACGTTGAAGACTAAACACAAAATGACTGCAATCGAAACCCAACTCCAGGGTGTTTCCATCCTCGGCGCCGTCAACAACGAGCATCGCAAGATCCTCACCAAGGAGGCCGTTGCCTTCCTTGCGCTCCTGCACCGCACATTCAACAGCACCCGCAAGTCCCTGCTCGAACGACGAATTGCCCGCCAGGCAGAGATTGACCGCGGCCATCTCCTCGATTTCCTGCCAGAGACCAAACATATTCGCGAAAATGATTCCTGGAGAGGAGCACCCCCTGCTCCCGGGTTGGTGGATCGTCGTGTTGAGATCACCGGACCGACCGACAGGAAGATGGTGGTGAATGCTTTGAATTCGGAGGTGTGGACTTATATGGCTGATTTTGAGGGTGCGCCTTTCCTTTCCGTGTCGACGTGGACTATAGGCTAATGGAACAGACTCGTCGGCCCCTACGTGGGAGAACATGATCAACGGCCAGGTCAACCTCTACGACGCCATTCGCCGTCAAGTCGACTTCAAGATTGGAAACAAGGAATACAAACTCCGCACAGACCGAACACTCCCAACCCTCATCGCTCGTGCCCGTGGCTGGCATTTGGAAGAGAAACACTTCACAGTCGACGGCGAGCCTATCTCCGGCTCTCTCTTTGACTTTGGTCTCTACTTCTTCCACAATGCGCGCGAGCTCATCGCCCGCGGCACCGGCCCTTACTTCTACCTCCCCAAGATGGAGTCTCACTTGGAAGCTCGTCTGTGGAACGATGTCTTCAACTTGGCACAGGACTACATTGGTCTGCCACGCGGAACAATCCGTGGTACCGTCTTGATTGAGACCATCACAGCTGCCTTTGAGATGGATGAAATCATCTACGAGCTTCGTGACCACAGCTCCGGTCTCAACTGTGGTCGTTGGGATTATATTTTCAGCTTCATTAAGAAGTTCCGCCAGAATGCCAACTTTGTGCTTCCGGACCGTTCTGCGGTTACCATGACTGTGCCGTTTATGGATGCATATGTCCGTCTCCTGATCAAGACTTGCCATCGCCGAGGCGTCCATGCCATGGGTGGTATGGCCGCACAGATTCCTATCAAGGATGACCCTCAGGCCAACGATGTCGCTATGGAGAATGTCCGCAAAGATAAGCTCCGTGAAGTCCGTGCTGGCCACGATGGTACCTGGGTTGCTCACCCTGCCTTGGCCGCTATTGCCTCTGAAGTTTTCAACAAGCACATGCCTACTCCTAACCAGTTGTTCAACCGTCGCGAAGATGTCCACGTCACCGCCAATGATCTGTTGAACACCAACGTTCCAGGCTCCATCACCGAAGAAGGAATCCGGAAGAATCTCAACATTGGCCTTGGTTACATGGAGGGCTGGCTTCGAGGCGTCGGCTGTATCCCCATCAACTATCTTATGGTTCGTCCTTCCTTTTCCTTTATGTGATTATATGCTAACCCCAAGCAGGAAGATGCCGCCACCGCAGAAGTCTCCCGCAGTCAACTCTGGCAATGGGTCCGCCACAACGTCACCACCGCCGAGGGCAAACGCATCGACAAGGCGTATGCTCTTCGTCTGCTCCAAGAACAAGCCGAGTCACTTGCCTCCAACGCACCCAAGGGCAACAAGTTCCAGCTCGCGGCTAGATATTTCGCGACTCAGGTCACCGGTGAAGACTATGCGGATTTCCTAACGTCGCTGCTCTATAACGAGATTTCGTCGCCGGGTAATGCTGCTAAGCTTTGAGTTGATGTTGATTTGATGATAATTAATTATGGTCGAAAAGGCGTTTGAGTCCATGTACATAAATTTTCATTACGATTCTCCATTTGTTTAGGTTCAACATATCCTTGTGCAGGTGTTCTGCAGTAACTGAAAGCCCTATTATCTTCTCTGCCATTCTAGCAACCTAGAGATCGTACATGATTCATTGTAGATGCACGACCACCAAAACATAAAAAACTAATCATTGACTCTATTCCAATTTGTATAATCTCAATAGTACTTTACTTATCCGATCTAAATATCAAAATCATCAAAAGATGGCTGCAAACAGAAAGATATCACGCTCTCCTCGCACGGAACCTGATACTGTTCCAACGTCCGCGGCCCACAAGCACCAGTCCCAACCCCAGCACTCGCAACATCCAAACGCAGCCGCACCGCGTTTTCGGCGACGAGATCGCGCGGATGTTTCGCTTCTTCGATTTTCTGTGCGCTGTGCCGGCTTGCGGCCCATTGGAATGGACTGGAGGTACCCCCGGATGCATCCGTTCTGATCGCTTTGAGGCCCCATCCGCGCCCATCAGCCATCCGCAACCACCGTGTATCCAACCGATTCCCATTCTCCTGCGGAACCTCGTACGGAGTGTGTAGCTGTGCCGTACCAGCTTTGTAAATACCCATCTTCTGCGACGACTTTTTGTCGGCGTAGCTTTCGCCTGGTCCGCGGCCGAACCAGGTCGCGTTATCGAGAGGATCTGCGAGATATAGATCAAGCCCGATACGAGGCAGGGTCTTTGGCGCGGGGCCTTCGGGGACGAGATGGATAGACACTGTAAGTGTGCCGTCGACGGCGATGGTGTAGGATGAGGTTGCGCGGAAACCCCAGGCGAGAACGGGTGTGCAGATGAAGGTCTTGGTGCTGACTTGGATGCTGCCGTCGCTTCGGCGCGCGATGTGGAAGCTGCGCAGCTGGTGGTTGGTGAGAGTGTCGATGCCGAAGCGGCGCCATTCGGGCAGGTCGAAGGGTATGTCGTTGCTGGTTGGGGGCCGCCAGAAGCCAACGCTCAGAGCTGCGTTGGTGAGAGGATCGGATTCGAGGAGAGAGTGGCCGTTGACCAGCCAGGCGGACAGGTTGCCCGTTACGCGGGAGAAGGTGAGAGAGAACGATTGGCCGATGATGGTCTGCGAGGTCCCGGTTGTGTGGATTTCGAGACTGGTAGTGTTGGTCATGGTACGTATGGGAAGGGTTAGAGACTTGTTGGGGCGGAGACAGTGCTGAAACCAGGACACTTCGGTGTGGTTGTCGGCCCAGCTGTGTGCAGTCTTGGAGAGAAAGCTCACGGATAGCCAAATTTCGCCGCTAGAGGGGATGCTGATACCTGTTGGTAGAGGGATTGTACCCTGCTGTCCAGCTGGTATGTGTGGTAAGTTCAATGTACCGCTGCTTAGAATTTTGGCGGACCTGAGATCGAGTTAGTGAGTGAACCTCCAGAGAGAAAGAAAAAGATGTACTTCTCAGAAAAAGCTTCAACTTTAAACACAGCCAGAATGTCATCCAGACCGATAAAGTCGTAGTCATTCTTGATAACGATCAAGTCGTCCTCAACCCAGGCTCGTACCGGCTCATACGCCTTCCTCAGCTCTATCAGCCCCGGAGTTGGACTATGGTCACTATAACAAAGCCCATCCATAACAAAATCTCCATCGTTAGGGAAATCATTGAAATCCCCACCATAAGCATAGTAGCCTTTCTGCCCCGGTTCCTTCGGCTCAACCCAAAGACCATGGTTTGCCCATTCCCAGATGAAGCCGCCTTGTAGTCGGCGATACTTGCGGAATGCGTCCATGTATTCCACAAGACCACCTGGCGCATTACCCATGGCATGCGCGTATTCGCAGAGAACAATTGGCTTTGAGAAATCATCCCCTTCTGCAGTCGCGAAATCTATCAGGCGTTCTAATGAAGGATACATATAGGAATACATGTCCGCAGACAGGGCATGAGCGTCGCCTTCGTAGTGTACGGGTCTGCTCGGATCGACTTTCTTCGCATACTCATACATAGCCTTGTGGTTTTGACCATAGAACGCCTCATTCCCCAGCGACCAGATGATAACGCTGGCATGGTTTTTGTCTCTATGTATCAACTGCGCCATGCGATCAACGTACGCATCTTTCCATTCCGGATTGTTCGTTGTGAATTCAGCCGCCTTGCCGAATGCGAGTTTCTTTCGTTCTTCGTAGTCCATCGACTCCGGTATGTCCATGGGACGAGCAACGGCGTCGTAGAACCCGTGACACTCAAGATCGGCTTCATCCATAACCCAGAGCCCGAGCTCGTCGCAGAGCTCTAGTAATCGTGGGTGCGAGGGGTAGTGAGAGCAGCGAAGAGAGTTGATGTTGTATCGCTTCATCTGGAGGAGATCTTCCCTGATGAAGGAAAGAGGCACAGCGCGGCCGAAGAGGTGGTGATGATCGTGTCTATTCACGCCGCGGAGAAGTATAGGCTGACCGTTGACGGTGAGATTTCCGTTTCGGATTTCTACTTTTCGGAAGCCGACTTTCTGGACAATGGTTTGGAGTGATGGAGAACCGTCTGTGCTTTTGAATAGGCTAATTTCCAGCTTGTAGAGAGTAGGAGCTTCGGCTGTCCATTTCTGGGGCGTTGCTACAGGCATGACAATCTCTGCAGTTTGTTGTCCAGTTTCGATATTCAACTCCGTTGACTTGAGGACCTCGTCACTGTCGCCCGGCTGGTATAGTTTTGCTCTAACCAGACAAGGTGACTCTGCGTGTAAAGAGAGTGAAACCTCAAGCGTAGCGTCCGTATAGGTACTATCGAGTTCGGTCTTGACAAAGACGTCCTCGATGCGCGCCTGCGAGGAAAATGCGACGAGATGCACGTCACGGAAAATACCTAATCATTAGCCATAGTCAAAAAATGTCTTTTTTGACAGCTCACCAGATAACCACCATTGATCCTGGTCTTCAATATACGATCCATCAGACCACTGATACACACGAACAAACAATTCATTAATCCCATCCCATTTGACAATACTCGACACATCAAACTCGGCCGGATTCCGGCTTCCCTGCGAATATCCAACTTCGACCCCATTCAGCCATACGTGATAGGCGCTATCGACGCCGTCAAATCTCAAACGCAGTTGGGAGGACTTTTCCCATCTGGATGGAACCTGGAATGAGCGACGGTATGTACCGGTCGGATTCTCGGAAGGCACATAAGGCGGACATGCAGGGAAGGGAAACACGACGTTTGTATAGTGCGGATGGCCGTGGCCTTGGAGTTGCCAGTGGCCGGGTACAGAAATCGTGGTCCATTCTGCGTTTGATGAGTCTTTCAGATCGAGCATGGACAGTGACTGGACCTCATCGTCGCTGGAGGTTGTTTCAATGGCGGATTCGATCACGCTTTTGTCTGATCCGAGAGAGGCATTTGGCTCGGGAGCATGTAATGGCGACGGAGCGTAGTTAAAGTCCCAGGTCCCGTTCAGGCAGAGCGATGTCTCCGGGAGATAGTAAAAGCGTGCTGGAAGACGGTTTCGTTGGAAGATGCGGGGGTTTTCATAGTCGTTGATGTGAGTTGCCAGCGCCTCATCCGAGCTGACTTGTACTGACGACATTTTCAATGAATCTGAAGCTGTTTATTTTGAAGCTACTTCAATATTGTAGCTCTCAAACGTTAGCAACAAATTTGTATTCGACGCGAGTGGCGTACTCTTGACAGCACCTACCTAGGGTTCTACTGATATTTAACCGAGTATATATAAAAGTATACCAGCCAAAGAAAACCTTGTAACAGTGAATAGTTTGCTCCCTCTTTTATTGTTTCAGAGAACAGAAGTTATCATCGACTAAGCGCTCAAAGTATCCTATCTAAACCTGTGAAAATCTTTCCTTGCTGTCAATCAAAAAGCTGCAATCTCTCCAGAAACTCTTTCGGGGATGTCGGAGCCGATAATCTAGTTTATTGATTGTGTCTTGGAAGTGGGTAAAACTAGCTTGATTCATGCATAGCGGGGAAGAATTCCCCATATATGGAGACCGGTCATAATACCTAAATAGCCCAGTAATATCCTGGCAATGCCGCGTGTGATTTTGGGTGTTGGGGGGCTCGGCTTTGCATTGGTTCGATTGGTTTACATAGTTAAAGATGCATTTGATCATGTGGTTAGCGATGAAACCAGCTCCCAAGCTGGATTTTCTTAGTTAATTTATTGAATAGCGACTAATCAAACTTTACTTCACTATAGCCTCGTAGATTGTGCGCGAACTACTCCAGTATCATCGACAATGACATGTTGACATCATCAATGAGCTTTTTACTTTGGTAAACACTCGGCGACACTCCACGACCGGGGATATGCATCCACTGCTCAAACAATCTGCTCAGATGGGATCCAATATCTACCACGTGTGGAGTGATGCATCCTCTGAGCGTATTTGTACGTGATACGGCCAGTGTGATGAGCATGACTGATGCCATTCTGTGAAATTTTGTCAATGCCTTATATTCTAAGAGTCTAGTTAGGTAAGAGGAGACCTTACGAGAGTGAGCATATCCACGTATCAACCATGACCGTATGCGGAAAACTGCGCAGGTTCTGCGCATGCAGCCAGCAAGCATTGAGGCATATTTCGCAGCCTTCATAAACAGATGGCGGTAAGTCTTCTGCGATGGTAGCCCGACCGGAATTGGAGGAAGAAGTGGTAGAAAGCGCCCATGTTAAATAAGGCCTGTGGATAATGCTTTTGCATGTTAGATATCTTTGACGAAGAAATCCACCAGCCTGAGTCCTCGCTAGCTCTTGATTAACGGGGAATTGAAATTGTGGCGGGRGAAGGTCTTTCCAGCTCTCGAGCTGATGGGCGAGTTCGGCGACGACGGATGGAAATTGATGTCTGTCGAATCCGACGCCGGTGTCTCGTGCATATAGAAGGTTGTGTGCGCGGTTGAGAAGGCGGCGCATTGATATGCAAGCTAGGAAATAGAGTGATGATTGTTCTTCATCGGTTTGCGATTCGTGTGTGTGATATACACCCGGAAGTGCGACGGACGATTCAATGTCGGCGATTCCGGTTTGAGGGAGCGCTGACAATTCGGCGAGATAATCACTTTAATACACACGGTTAAGTGGTGATATCATACTTTGATCGACTAGACACACCTTTCAAGGATATAGCAAGACCAGAAGATACGACGCAGGCATTCTTGTTCCTCCGACATTGAATCCTGCTTTTGATATGACAAAAGMAACCGGCACTTCGTTGCAGTTGCGCTAATGAAGGACCATGCTTGTAATGGCCGCTGTAAGAATGCGAAAAATAGCCTTTAAAAGAATTAGTATTTCAACGCTAGCCAACTCTCCAGCACTAGACCTACCCCGTGAAAAACAGGCATTGCGCAGCTTCAACTGAGCATTCCGCCTGTGCAAGATGGACCTTTTTGAAAGCAATATCAAAATACAACTCACTCATTGTCCGCCGCTGATTCTGCAAGTCTAGACTTTCGGAATCTGGATTTTCGTTCTCCGCAAAAGTGCATATTAGCTCGCCAGCGCACCCCAATGCAATGACTAGAAAGGCAAGACATGATCTTGTGCTCTCATCAATGACTCCAGACATGACCTCCCGTCGAAGCTGCATTGTCCTCTCCCGAGACATGGTCGGGTACCAAAAATTGATATTCCGTTCGAAGCTTTGCACTGTCTCATCTAATTCGTACTTGCCGATATAAGGGTGAATTGCAACAGGCCTGGACGGCAAAGGCGGGCGTGTGCTTTCTAGATGAAAGACAGATGTACTGTGTTCTTGTCTCAGAGCATGAAACTCTGCAAATTGCGGCCAGGCAAGGATTGATTCGGTAGTGGAGGCGTGCAGCGGTGATAGCGCCGCATTGGAGATATGGTCTGTGGGAGTGTCGGGCTGATTATGGTCTTTATCAATTATCGTGCGAGGAGATATTATAGCCTGAGGCGAGAAGTTCAAGCTATGATTTGGAAGATCTCCGCTTGATATCAGGCCCGTGATTGATGTCTGCCTCCCTCATGGTCAACGGGTTGCCTATCCCAAATGTGAGTTAGGTCTTACCAGGTGGGCTGACATTTCACGAAGAAGATCTTCAGAACGTAATGCGACATCGAGGATCATGTCGCTTTTGCTGCGACTGCCAAGATCAATTAGTGTTAGTATATTTCACGCAGCTGCAATTAGTAATGTCACGTACGAAACAGCATCTGCGCCATATGCGCAATCCTCTCCTGTTGCGGAACAGGTAGTACATGGTTGACGGCCGTCACATCTAATTTTCCATGAGTACAAATCTTTAGAATCGAGTATATGAACACATTAACGGAGAACACACCTCACTTTTCGGTGCCGACAAGCATCGCACTAGGTACAGCAAAATTTGTCAGAGGACCGCACCAACAAACAGTTAGCCCGGGACATTTGTAGGTATTGTACCGCATGTGCTGTTCTCTTACGAGATCTGTATCTCGCAATTGATTCGACAGACATTTCGAGGATTCTATTCCTAGATGCAAATAAGGGACTCCCTCAGCTCCCAGCTGCGGATCTTAAGACATGTGGTGATACAGTGTGCGGGGGAAGCAAAGCTTGCAAACCCAGCTAATAATTGGGTGTGCTAACTAGCCCAAGCAGTTTGGTACGGATAAATTAGACTGCAAATTAACCATAGCCGGTCAAGTGGGCCGTCCTTCTGTGCAATAAAGATGCGAAAATTGACCGATTCGGATTCTTGTTTCCTTACGAATATTCAATAATCCTCACTGAAAACAGCTTTTTACTGCAAACGCGTGGATTAGCTGGTATAGTTTCAGGTCTGCGATTCGCCGAACCTCTCGAATCATCGTATGGACGCCGGAGGTACGCATGATCAATTTATTTTAAACCTCGACGCATTCTCTCTCTTGTTGGCCATGGACTACTGATAGGCTACCAGAGTCCAGGTCTACGCACTAGGGATCTAGATCTGTTCTCTCAAGTACGTGTACTATCCAAACCCCAGAAAGTGAGATTGCGGAGGACAAATGAGGAGGGTTAAACAGTGCGGAGGGAATTGTGGAGATACAAAAAGGCTTAATAAATTATCATCGTGCAATGAAGGCTCGGGGATCCCGGAGCCGAGGGTAATTCATTCCGAATCATTCGAGCAAGCGAATGCTTAAGGTTCATGCCACAGTCCCTGGAACTGACTGTTGTAGAAATTCTCTCGTGAATAGGGCATACTTATTTACTTTGATCGGGGTTACCGGAACCGAAAAAGCAAAACGCTACCCCATACTTGATGCTTGTCTTGCTAGTTCGATTATACGAACGAGTTGTTAATCGCTGGTCTGCTATACCTACGCGTCTGTATAGCCAACTAATGACGGGAGCCCCTGCACTTAAATAACCACGTCCTTCCCACCCATCGTGTGCATTTCCCCGGCACACGATCATCACACAAGACGATAGCAGCCATGGAGGACACCAAGAAAGTCTCAGAAACCATTGGCGAGGGTAAGACAGTCCTCAGTGTCACCCCAAAACATGACAAACCATGGTTCCTTGTGCCACATCTACTCAAGCTCAATATCTTTCTCATGGCCGGAGTCCTGGCTCAGGTTGTCTCGGGCTTCGATGGGAGTATGATGAACGGACTGCAAAGTGTTGTCGCGTGGCAGGATTATTTCAATCATCCAGCCGGTAGTCGCCTCGGAACAATGTCGAATGGTATTACGATTGGTACGCTGATTGTCATTCCATTTGTGACCTTCTTGTGCAACTATCTCGGGAGACGTCGAAGTATCATGCTCGGATGCCTCATCATCATCATTGGTGCCGTTCTTCAAGGAGTGGCTCAGAACTTCTCCATGTTTATGGGTGCAAGAATTCTCATCGGTGTCGGAGGATGTCTTGCCTCAACTGCGGCATCCCCATACGTGACCGAATGTGCATATCCAACTCACCGCGGTACGATAACTGCCATGCTGATTGCATCCTGGCCGCTCGGAGCCTTCTTTGCAGCGTTGATTACCTGGGGCACTTATCAATCTTCGCTTCAGACATCGACCTGGAGCTGGCGTATTCCTTCTATTCTTCAAGGATTCTTCCCCCTTATCCAGCTCATATTGGCTTTCCTGGGACCAGAGTCTCCGCGTTGGCTTGTTGACAAGGGCCGTGAAGAGGAAGCGCGCCAATTTTTTGTCAAGTACCACGCCGGGGGCAACGAAGACGAAGTCATTGTCTCGCTACAGATGGCCGAGATCACCGCGACAATTGAGCAGGAGAAATTGCAAAATCTCTCTAGTTGGCTCAAGTGGGTCCAAACCCCAGCAATGCGCCATCGATTGTTCATCTGCTTTTTCATCCCTGCCATGCTTCAACTCGAAGGAAACGCCTTGATTTCCTACTACCTACACATCATTTTGGACAACATCGGAATCACAGACGCCGTTGCGCAGCTGAAGATTAACCTTGGAATTACCGTTTGGAGTCTTGTGACGTCTGTTGCTCTTGCATCTATCATCGACATGTACAAGCGACGCAAGGTGTTCCTTACTGGTCTCACTCTCCTGTGCCTTGTCTACACGATTTGGACAATTCTCTCTGCCCTTGCTCAGCAGTCAAACTTCCAGAATCACGGTCTCGCCATCGGTGTTGTCGTCATGATCTACCTTTATCAGCCTTGCAACCTACCAGCCCTTATCGGTATTCCATATGTGATGGAGATTTGCCCCTATAGCATGCGCGCTACAGGTTCCATGATCTACCAGCTTTCTGGTAACATCGCGGGCCTGTTTAACAATTACGTGAACCCGATCGCCATGGAGGCAATTACATGGAAGTATTATATTGTATGGTGTGTCAACCTCCTTGTGCTATGGGTAATCGTCTATTTCGCCCTTCCAGAGACACATGGCAAGGATTTGGAGGATGTTGGTGAGGCATTTGGATCCGATTMCCTCMCCGGASGAGCCGCTGTTGAACATGCATTGGCCGACAAAGGCGAGAAAGGCTTTCTAGGTGTTGAGGAAGATCATGTTGAGCGTATTACTGAAAAGGACAAGACAGAAGCGCTATAGCTCTATCAAGTGTGTTCGCAGTGTTGCAGTGGAGATGTAGTTAAGCAGATAGTGCTGCTAGGTGTAGATTTGTTGAATGGTCAAGCTTTTTTCCCTTCATGCTCCGTTCGTCTCCTCGCCTCTGGTCTAGTGAACTGCACGTATCTTAGTGAACAAATCCAGGCAACGTAGTTCACGTTCTCCCTAATATGTACGAGCGATCCTAATGAGAAGTTTGAAGAGAAAATAATACCACATGAGAAATTTATCAGATAGTATTTCCCCGCTTAACAGGTCGCGAAGTTCCAGAAAGTCAGGGATTATCTAAATTTAAGCTAATTTGTACCAAGGTACTCCCAGCAGAAACACGTCGATGTAATCATGTAGAATTAACCACCTGACTCTATTTTGCTTCAATCTTACTTAGAAAAATGATACCTAGGTACCGCCCAAGCGTACGCTGGCCCAGAGAACCCGCCCTGCATTTGAACAATACGCGATTGGCGGATAAAACACCCTCTCCTATCTGCCCAAATACATTCTTCCAGCAGTGACTTCGAAGGTTGTATAGGTAATGCCCATCAAATGGCAAGAGGAAATACTGAACAATAAAATGCACACATTCCCCGGATCTTCTGACCTATGATCCACATTCATGGGAGGGAACCCATCCAGTTTTACTCGGGAAAATTTCTCTCCGGCAAGCCTCTTGGTGGTATTCGAAAAATGCCCCCCTTTCTATTGAAGCGGGGGCGGGGATGTCGGATACTGAAACCTTGAGGTTGCGGGGAGAGTCGCAGGAACTCATACAACTGTACTGTGAAGTCGCGGAAATACGCAAATGAATGGCACGTGGCCATAACGGCTGCGAGATCTGCAAAATGTTCGCACTGAAATCGTTTCCGATATCCCCGAGGTTGCATTATTTCATGATCTACAAAATACTTGAGAAGATAAAGAGCCTGTAAGCCCGTCCTTTGTGACCGCTCCGAATCCTCGACCCGACTACTGCGGTGTTCTTCGGATTGAATCTGTTTTTTGTACAAGATTGTTATCATCACTGTCGTTGACCATGAAGCGGACAATGAGTCGCGAATGGATCCTGGGCCTGGCGTTGACCACCGCCATGGTGCCAATTGTATCTGCAGATTTGACGACGACTATCAGCTCCACCACTAATTGGGGCACCTGGGAAGGTTTCGGCGTGTCTCTTGCATGGTGGGCCAAGGCGTTTGGCACCCGGACTGACTTGGCTGACATTTTCTTCTCGACTAAGTCGACAACTTACAATGGGCAAAGCATTCCTGGCCTGGGACTCACCATTGCACGGTATAACGCTGGCGCTTGCAGCTGGAACACCGTCAACGGCTCTGCGATGGTCGTGTCGCCCGACATCATCGCGTCACGACAAATGGATAGCTACTGGATAGACTGGTCCAGCACCTCTCCGTCGTCGTCGAGCTGGAGCTGGAGCGTCGACGCAAATCAGCGTAACATGCTGTCTCTGGCGAAAGCTCGCGGCGCAAACATCTTTGAACTCTTCTCCAACTCCCCACCGTGGTGGATGTGTCTCAACCACAACCCTTCTGGATCAAATGATGGCTCCAGCAATAATTTACAATCCTGGAATTACGACCAACATGCTGTGTATCTCGCCACCATTGCCGAATACGCCGCGCAAAACTGGGGCATTTCCTTTCAGTCTGTTGAAGCTTTCAACGAGCCGTCCTCGGATTGGTGGAATGGTGAAACAGGAACACAAGAAGGCTGCCATTTCAACTCCAGCACCCAGGCGACCGTGATTGGGTATCTACGCTCTGAATTGAACAGCCGGGGTCTCAGCTCGACTCTGGTGTCCGCCTCGGACGAAAACACCTATGACTTGGCTGTTTCCACGTGGAACAGCCTCGGGAGTACGGCGACGAGCAACGTCGGCCGCATCAACGTCCACGGATATCAATATACTGGGGGCCGACGGGATACGCTTTACAGCCTGGCATCTGGCGCTGGAAAGCGGCTCTGGAACAGCGAGTACGGTGAGAGTGATGCGACGGGTGAGGAGCTCGTCACCAATCTGATGCTTGACTTTCGTTGGCTCCACCCTACGGCCTGGGTGTATTGGCAGGCCATCGATGGCTCTGGCTGGGGATTGATTGATGGTGACAATGATAATGTTTCTCTCGGAGCTGTCAGCCAGAAGTACTTTGCCCTATCACAGTTCACTCGCCACATTCGACCTGGAATGCGCATCCTAGACGGCGGGAGCAACTACACTGTCGCAGCATACGACTCCACAGCCCATAAGCTGGTCATCGTTGCAGCAAACTGGGGTACTGCCCAATATCTCAACTTTGACCTCTCCAAATTTAGCACTCCGGGGGTCAGCGGCGCCTTGGTTCCGCGCTGGATCACCCAAACTGGATCTGGAGATCAATACGTGAGTTACAACGATACATATATCAGCGGTACCAAGTTTTGGTCGTACTTTCCAACTGGGGCGGTACAGTCGTTCGAGGTGTCGAATGTCGTGTTGTAATGTGTTGGTACATTCGCCTACCATATTGTGTTCAGAATCAGTTATCAATAGCTATGACTTTCACAATCTTGACAAATTCATTGGAGTAACCTAGCACCTATTCTTGCTTTGTCTCTGCCAAACCGACAAAAATCTTCCTTTCCATCTTCATAGAAGCCTTTCCTGACCCATACCCCCTTTCAGCTTGGTCAGTTGAAAGCGGTACCTTCAAGGTATGTTCGGTATAACAAGGAAAGTAAACTCTTTCAGTAACCAGCCAACAATATCCGCGCCATAGTGGTTCTTTAAAACGCCATCCGTCCCCTCATACATGTACCACAGCCTTGGAAGGTACCTTGGTAGACGTATGTAGTAAAAATAAGCTTAAATCTAGACCATCTTTTCTCCTGCCTAGACTCTCTTGACCTATCATATGCAAAAAGACTGCCGGGCAATTTTACCGAGATTGTTGTGATGTCTTACTCCTGGATTTCTTTTGTGTTTGGTTGGACCGCCTGCCATTTTGCAGAGAAGTCGATGCAAGATACCTGAAGAAAAGTAATCGACCGGTATAATGAACCTGACCTAGGCAATCGTTACTACAGAACTGCATCGCATTCCCATTTGATCAACTAGATAATAACATGATCAAGCAAGAACTGTCTATTGTCTTTTCTCTTGCGGCCAAAAGAGGCGATACATAAGGCCTACTAGATTAGAGCAGATGATCATTGTTAATATCGTCAGATTAAGACTAGGGGGCTTCAATATGTATGGCTGACATATGTGAATATAGAGATACATATATATTTTGTATGGCACTCGATACATAGCACCACCTGGGTTATAGCACATTTTTGAATGGTCTGAATTAGCTGCTTATATCCGTTGACAGTAGTTAAGAGCCCCACGATAATTTGTTGCCGCCGTTATGTGGGGTTGTATTTAACCGGCAATTTTCTACTTATCCGCCAGATCTTTCTATCTTGTAGCTTTTGATTGACATGTTTCCATTGCAATTAGGTATTCGATATACCCATATTCCAACTACTGACCACAGTCAAGATCTTTCAGGTAAATGAAGGAGCGTAAAGTTGTCAGGTTGTCAACTTGTATGAACATTTGAACAGCCTTCTCCACATGAGCTATGTGGAGAGCTCGGGGAGAACATTTGTATAAATTGCTTGTCACCGGCCTCATTGCCCTCAGGACAGACGTTGAATTTTTCCACGGACACCGAAGAGGAATGTCTATTGGATACTGATAGATTCCGGTAGATGAGGTTGAAGAAATTTTATGGGTTTGTATCCATCACGGAGTCCGGAGGGATCTTAGGGCTAATGGTGTTTGATAACGAGGTGGTCATCGTACCCATTCACCATCTGCGCATGGATCTTCCGGTGCTTTTGATTATGCTAGTAGGATGATTGGGTCTATGTTTCATTGCTAGAATTTCTCAATGAGAAACGGCGGCGAGGGTTGAGAGACACGTAAATGAATATCAACGCCGCTTCAGAGCTTTAAATACAGCGGGCATATTGATCCACTGCGATGAGTAATAGCGCCTTTTCAAGAGGCTTTGGATCTTGATCGAGTAAGACACAAAATGTCATAAAGAGCAGAAAGCTTAAAACATGGATTAGAGCGGATTGCTGCCTCATAAATCGCACGCTGATGTTGGATAGCCTAAAAGGGTTTCGCCGAACGAGAACCAAACAGGGACCATGCAGCGACGTCAAGCAGTCAGACCAATTGAATCATTCCCAGCCATGCTACGCCAGTCGCATACGTAGTCATATACCCGCTCATCAAATCACTAATTACTAGGGTATTCGTAGATCGGACATCGTGCAATATGCAACAGAAACGGAAATGAGGCACAGTTCCCCGCATCGGGAGGGACCCAAAAATCTGCAAAATAGCAGAGCACTGAATGGGGCTATGAATATCCCTCTCTTTCTGGTTTTATTTCTCTTTTTCCTTTTCCTTTTTTCCTGTTCAACGTTGTTCACTTATCAAAAGTACATTTCATGTAGGTCATCCCTCGTCTTGAATATATCTATCGGATATGTAGGTATACTGACATCGTGGAAGAATAAAATGGCCCGTCACCAGAACCCACCTTTCCGCGCAGAGCAACTGGGCTCTCTGCTCCGCACAGAGACTCTCGTCAAGAAGCGCGACCTCCTGACCGAGGGCAAAGCCACACGCGAAGAATTGATCCCCATCGAGGATCAGGATATCAAGGACATTGTCGCAAAGCAGCAAGAGCTCGGTTTCCACGCTATTACTGATGGCGAATATCGACGACACAGTACGCCTCCTTCTTACCTCGGAAGTGACTAACCTAGCTAACTGGCAAGTGTTCTGGGGCTCCTTTTTCCCCAACCTCGAGGGCTTCACACAAATCATGACCCCCTCCGCAGATATGTTCCGTCTGTACATGCCCGACATCGCCGCATTCGTAGAAGAAAAAGTCGAGCCCGGCGAGACAGTTGTCTGTGACGGTAAAATCAAGCATGTCGGAAGCAGCTACGTTGAAGATTTCAAGTACCTCGCAGGGTTGGTCAAGCCTGAGGAAGTGAAAAACATCAAGATTACGCTTGCGGCTCCCAATTGGTATCATTTACGATACAAGGAAGGATATGCTTATAGTAAGGATGCGTATTCTTCTGATGAAGAATATTTTGGCGATATTGCGAAGGCGTATCAGGAGGAGTTGAGAATTTTGTACGAGGCGGGCTGCAGGAATGTGCAGTACGATGATCCCAACCTTGCTTGTGAGTATCTTCTGCTTCCTATTTTGTGTGTCGATCTGTCTTATTGGATATGTGTTGACGAAACAGATTTCTGCTCCGAAAAAATGATCGAGGGCTGGAACGCCGACCCCCTCAACAAAGGCACAACCGACGACCTCCTCGACAAATACATCAAACTCTACAACGACTGCATCGCCAAGCGTCCCGCCGATTTGCACGTTGGCGTGCACCTGTGCCGCGGCAACTTCCACAACTCCCGCCACTTCTCTGAAGGAGGCTATGACCGCATCGCCGTCAAGCTCTTTAAGGAGTTGAACGTCGACACCTACTATCTTGAATACGACACTCCCCGCGCTGGAGGCTTCGAGCCTCTCAAGGAACTGCCTGTGACCAAGAACGTGATCCTGGGAGTCGTGACCTCCAAATTCGATGATATGGAGGACAAGGAAGAAATGAAGAAACGCATTCTTGACGCTGCCGAATTCATTGCAAAGGGCAACAACATCAGTGTTCAGGAAGCGCTGAAGCAGTGCGGTGTAAGCCCGCAGTGCGGATTCGSGAGCCACCACGGCGGAAATGCGATTAGTCGGGAGGGAATGTTTAAGAAGTTGAAGCTTGTGCGTGAGATTGCGAATGAGATTTGGCCTAATGAGCCTTAAAACCCCTTCCTCTCCGAGTTATTAGTCCCGGGGGCGGATCTGGGGATGTACGATCAGCTTTCAACAAGATGATGTATGTAACGTTACGAGTTATGGCTTGGTTATGATGGGATGGATGGGAATAGGGAGTTCAACATGTCTACTTGTCGCTCGTTTACGTAAAATACCTACATATTTCAACGCAATGACTTATCATTCATCACAAGCTCTTATTACTTAGGTAGTAGATTACTCTAAACTCCCACACCCATCAACACACAACCGCACCTCCATCTCCATCTCCTCATCAACATTGACCTCATTCTCTACCACCCCTGAATCGTCTCCCCTAGCCGGCGCCATCCACCGCGAAGTAGAAGMCCCGACACAACCACCATTCAACGGAACCGGCAAGGGCCGTGAAAAGTTAACAATGTTCAATGATATTCGCCTCCTTGATTGCGGTCCGTTTGTGAGTGTGGCTATTCTCGATCTGTCAGACTGTCAGCTATCATATCTCCTCGTTTCAATGCTATTTTTGAGAGGGAGAGAAGGTACCTCATAGCGAGGATCCTTCTCAGAAGCCTGCACTTGACGACCCGTCAAATTGCCGGGTGAGGTAAGGACCTCTTTGATCACGCCGACGGTTTCGGATGTGTGACTCTGGGGACCTGTGACGAGGTAGCCGATAAGACGTCAGTCAACCAGTATTTTCAGGTATTAAGAGTTGACGCACCACCAACAGGCTTGTAGCGGACTGAATCGTTGACTTTGTATTGAGGCATGTTATTTTTTAAGGCTGATGAAAGTGGGAAGACTTTCGAAGTCTTGTGGTTGTTGGTAAATTTCTTGAGTAGTCGAGATTGAAAGGTCTTTTTGAATTATGAGATGCTTTAACCCTGATGGTCAAATCGGTTCAGGTGTGAATTGAAATTCGTCGTCAGAACGAGACTGTATTTATATTGCTACGACAGTGGCAATTGGGCAAAGGAATCCGGAATTGACTCCCTGGTATAAAGAAGTCGTGGCTGCTGTCTTCTACTCAGGATGTGAACGAGGAAGATGCAAAGAATTGCCATTTAAGTCTCATTTGCATCATCTACTTCGCCGCCAGCAGTCAAAATCCGATCTGGTCTATCCCAAACGACGGGGAAGGAATACAAGTTGAGCGACAAGGAACAAAATTCCGTACCACATGGTTTGTCAGGAGCTTGGTTCCGACGAGAGCAGAAAACAACATCATGACATGCAGTTTGACGGAACTCGGGACTAACCTTGCTGTCTGTGAGATTAATGGCTAATTTTGGCAAGGAAGATTGGACGTGTCATAGTGCTTTTCAATCTAATCGTGTAAATAACCTCGGACATGGGCTCTTAAACATGCGAGGAACAAGAAATGGAAAAGGAGTTCAAAAGTCAAATCAAAATTATATGGGAAATACAACAGGGATATCATAAAAGCCAATCGGCAATATGCAAAACCATCAGCGACAAAACAAAACATAATGAAAAAAAAAAAGAACCAATCTTCGAATGCTGCGTGGTCATTAATATATTAATCAGGCAAGGCAACGATTATCGAGTGTTGTACAGTTCGGCGCGGGTAACGGTTGGTCGGGCTTATTTGGGAGGAGCTGGGGTCTTGACGTTATTCGAGAGCCAGGCCTGGAGATGTTAGTATATGTACAGTCAATAATGTGAGGCGCACTTACCAATCCCTCGAAGATACCGGTTCCTTCAGTGGCAACACTGGGCACGACATACCATAGTCGGTCCTTGAGCTTGTTGAGTTGCAAAGCATTGGTGATTTCCTCGGGGCTGAGGTCTGTACGCGGTTTGGTCAGAGACGAATCGAAGGAGTCAAACGATTCAGACTTACGGCCTGGAGTATCCTGCTTGTTCGCAAACACCAACAGGAGCGCATCTTTCATTTCACGGTCGTTGATAATCTTGTGCAATTCTAATCGGGCCTCGCTAAGACGGGCGGTGTCGCTAGAGTCGACCACAAAGATAAGACCTTGGGTGCCTGCAGCGTGTAAGTGCCATCCTCTCGTCCTCTTTGAGCTACATACCCGAGTAGTAGTGCCGCCACAGCGGACGAATCTTATCCTGACCACCGACATCCCAGACATTGAATTTGACGTTCTTGTAGGTGACGCTCTCGACGTTGAATCCGACAGTGGGGATGGTCGTCACATCCTGGTTGAGTTTCAATTTATACAAAATGGCTACCTTGTCAATTTCTCTCCTTGTGCTTAACGCATTCGACAATTAACTCACTGGTCTTTCCGGCGGCATCGAGACCGAGCATGAGAATGCGCATCTCCTTTGAACCGAAGATCTTGCCCATTAACTTGGACACTGAGCCACCCATTGTGAAGGTCGAGTTGATCGGTCGGACGGCGATTGCGTATCAATGGAGTGAGGTCGTCGAGTGCAGTCGACACGTCTGTTGCCTCTATTAGCGATTGCCCAAGAACGAATGCAAGTGACACGGCGACACTTACATATACAGGCGGGGCGACGATAACCCGCTTTTGGACGGCAAGACAAACAGGGACGTAGGTACGAAGGTAGACGAGTCGTTGCAGGGTGTGGAGGTGAGGAGGTGGGATTTCGTAGCGCACACGAGCGAGTAATCCAGAGGCAAGAGAAGACGGAGCACGGACCAAAACAAGCACTCAGGCGTGGCTGCCCCGTAAAAGGGGCAGAAACGCCGGGCCTGAGGCTGACGCTATCGTTTCACCTGCCGGCACGTGCCCTGTCAGTTTTTCGGCTGCTGATTGGTCAATTCCTATCCGCCTATCTTCGGCACCCTCAGGTAGCTCTACTACGTACATCGTAAGTTGAGGAGCTCATAGTTACTCCTCTTCTTGATTAAAATCACTTCGCTTGATACAACTCATGATGTGAGAAGCTAGTGACGGGATGACATGAACGCAAATAACATTGCATCGGTATAGCCGGCCTAGCACGAGCATATAATATGCGACCGGCATATAGTAGTATAAGCCACAGCTGTGTGCCTCATACGATCCACCCGCGCACCGGTGGCCTGACAGCCATCACGGGGCATGTCGCATCCCTCTGATTGTCCAGACGAGCTGTAAATATGCTGATATCGGGCGAGCGAGTATGTGATGTTCCTGCCTGAGGATGCGAACTATGCTCTTTATATATCCTACGTCATCGAGCTGTCATCCGGAGCTGGACGGATACAAAGTCCTTCAGATAGAAAGAACCATGGGTACTTAAGAGAGCTGTAAAGTCAATCCCAAACAGCTTCATGCTTACACACGACAAGAAAGCCTCACCAAAGTATCTTCAACCAAAACCATGCATCAGTTCCAGCGCCGCGGCTCGGTCTTTCAGAAGGATCTCAACCAGAATGTTGCCGACAGATGCGCCTGGCAGGGCGCTCCGTTCGACGTGAGTCAGCCAGTCCCCATGTGAGGTCTTGTACTGACCCTCCAGAACCTCTATGCGGGAATTTCACTGCAATTCGACGACTCGGCAGCAGCTGTCCTTGCAATCGCCATCCGCGATACAACCTATCTCGTCGACTTTTACGAGCATCACTTTGATTCTAGGCCAGAGGCGAAGCTTGCCAGAACAGATATTGGCGACTTTATCATTGATCGGCTCCGGGAGTATAGTGAAGAACATCTCGAACGGTTCACCGGGCTGGGCATGCCGCAAGATATTGCCGATCGATGTCCACATTTATGCTCGCGCTTGTGGCGTGAGTTGGATATAGTCCCTATAGCCTTTACCGAAGGGGTCCCGTTGTTTGCCACGTCACCTAAAGACCAGACAAAATGGAATGCACGATGTATGGATGAGCTTGCTGAAGCAATGTCAAGAAGATGTGTGAGATTTTTCGGACCGAGCAACAACCCGATTCTAGACGTTGGCTACCAAGGCCGTGTCGAAGTGGACTGCGCATCTCGTATTCGCATTTCTACATTGGATGACTACAAGCCAACCGTCGGGCCCACTACCTGGGAAGCTGTCAATCATTATGCTTCAGAACTCAAAAAGCGGAATATCAAGATTGCATTCTTTAGCGCAACACCTCAGGGTGGTGGTGTTGCTCTGATGCGCCACGCGCTTGTGCGGTATGCTCGGGAATTGGGGGTCGATCTTCAGTGGTACGTCTCTTTTCACTCACTGAAAGATATATCTGAGTATACTAAAAGTTTAGGTATGTTCCCAAACCACGTCCGGGCGTGTTCCGCATCACAAAGACAAACCACAACATTCTGCAAGGCGTGTCAGCTCCAGAAGAGCGGTTCACCGAAGACCATCAAGAAACTATCGAAGATTGGCTGCACGACAATGCTCGCAGATACTGGTTGTCTTCATGTGGACCCCTGCAGGACCCATCAGAAGGAGGAGCCGATATAGTGATTATCGACGATCCACAGATGCCTTCCCTCATCCCCATTGCCAAAAATGCCGCCCCAGACAGACCGGTCATTTTCCGCAGTCATATCCAGATTCGCAGTGATCTCGTGGGTACTCCTGGTACCCCACAGCATGAGGCTTGGACGTGGATGTGGGATCGTATCAAGCATGCAGATCTCTTCATTAGTCATCCGGTGGAAGCTTTTGTTCCTGCTACAGTCCCCAAGGAGAAGGTCGGATATATGCCCGCCACTACAGATTGGTAAGTTCTGTTTGCTGGTTGTTGGAATCTTCTGACTGTGCTAGGCTCGATGGTTTGAACAAAACCATGCGTGATTGGGATGTCGCTTCGTATGGGCGCATCTTCAATACGTTGTGCTATCATAACCGAGCGCCTCTCATCAACTACCCAGACGGTATGGCCTTCTTAAACATTGACTACGTCAATTGCTGATTAGTCTAGATGAATACATCATCCAAGTCGCCCGCTTCGACCCATCGAAGGGAATACCTGACGTCCTCGAATCATACGCCAGATTCCACGAACTCCTCAAAGAACACGGTGTAGAAAACAAACCTCCCAAGCTCTTGATCTGTGGTCACGGCTCCGTCGACGATCCTGACGGAAACTTGATATACGACGCTACTTTGCAGCATATCGAAAACCGGCTTCCGCACCTGAAGGACTTGATCTGTGTAATGCGCCTAGGACCATCGGACCAGATCCTCAACGCGCTCTTATCCAAGGCTAAGATCGCCTTGCAACTCTCTACTCGTGAAGGCTTTGAGGTGAAGGTGTCCGAGGCAATCCACAAGGGCAAACCCATCATCGCAAGTCGAGCAGGCGGGATCCCACTACAAGTCCAACACGAGAAAAACGGCTTCCTCGTCGAGGTCGGCGATCCAGAAGCTGTCGCAAAATACCTCTTTGATCTTTGGACAGACCAAGACCTGTACGATCGAATGAGCAAGACAGCCCTGGAAACGGTGAGCGATGAAGTCACCACAGTGGGAAATGCATTGTGCTGGTTGTATCTTGCCTCGCACCTTACGGCGGGCAAGTCGGTGAAGCCTAACGAGAGGTGGATCAATGATATGGCAAGGGAAGAAGCGGGAATACCATATAAGAAGGGGGAGAATAAGTTGAAGAGGGCTGTTATAGTCGAGAATATGGGCTAAATCTCCAACCTAGACTAGATGCATACAGCATACCTATAGTACATAGATAGTACACGGATTGATTCAGACGATATTTCCAACTGTCCTTAACTCTCCAGCGCTGGAATCAAAAAACAAAGGGGTATCATAAACAAAACCTTCACATACAGAAAGATAAAATCATCGCCCAACAAGTCTATACCTCTCCCTCGCCAACCCGCCCTCCGCGCCCTCAACCCCATATCCCTCCCCAACCTCACCCACAATTCTCGCCGGCCGACCGCCCACCACACAAAAACTCGGCACAACCATGTTAGGCGGCACAACTGTACCGTCCAACACATACGCAAAATCTTTCAGAATAGCCATATTCCCGACCACGACGTCGTTGCCGATGTGTACATGATTCCCGATCTGCGCGGCTTCGACGATGGAGTGTTCCCCGATGAAGACGTGGTCGCCGATTTTGAGCGGGTAGTACGAATGCAGACCGCGGTGCAGACGGCTGGGCGGCCGCAGGATGGCGGCGCGGGAGATGTAGGTGTATCGGCCTACGGTGATTGCGACGGAGGGGGGTGTGTTTGTTGATGTAGATGATGAGGATGGATTCTCGCCGTCGTTGCTGTGGGAGTGGCTGGAAGAAGATGGTGGTTGCACGCGGAACAGGTCGCCGCGAATAACGGCATCGGCTTGGATGACTGTTTTGCCGCCGAGGATGATGTGTTGAGTCCCGTGGATGAGGCTACGGCGCGAGATTTTGTTGCCGGTGTCCTACTTCAATTAGCTGAATGCTTTCACATAATTAAGACTCTGAGGAGTATGGTATAGGGTGACGAACGGTTTCGATGTATTCGCCCTTCGCGGCTTTGGGCGGCATGTTGGCTGTCAGTAATGATATAACAAATCTGCTAGATTGAAGAGTATTTATTAATGCTTGTTTACTGTCGTCGTGGAGGAGTGGCAGAATGGTCGGAGAATCCCCGGAGATAAGGCGGTCAGAATAATAATCCTCCTGATTGTTGCTCTCTTTGTCCACTTTATGTTCTTTTCTATGCAATGATATCTAATGTTTTTTTAATCCAATGACATTCAGAAACTATTATCGACAAAAAAAAATATATATGTGTGATCTATCAAGAACTGATTACAATTAACTATATATGACAAGAAAATGAAACGAACGAGTGAATTAAAAAACGCGACCATCCTGCGCTTTCCGGCCCTTGGGAGCTTCCGATCTCCTCTTGAACAAACGTCCCACAAATCTTCCTGCATCGCACACTCCTCTAACGATCGATGTGGGATTGTAATGCTTGACTCGGAACGCGTAGTACAGAGCAACGGCGCCAAAAATGTTGAAACCAATGTATGCCCATCCGATGCCCCAGTTACGCCATCGTTGATCGGGATCTACAATCTTGTCAGCATTGAAGTCAAAAGTAACGTGGAAAGAACGTACAAATATCGCTACTAGCCAACACCTGGTTCGCACTCTGCAACGAGCAATAGTGACAATCGCTCGTCGCATCATAGTTATACAGCTTCCCCGGCGCAACAGCCAAATACTGCTTCAAATACTCGCCACACGTCTGCCCGGAAGGTGGGTTGAAAACACTCAACTCGGAACTTGAGCAAACGACCGGTCGACCATCGAGGCCGTTCCCCGTCATCCCCGCAATCGTATACGTCAATGGCGAAACACGATACATGAATATCCAGAACCCCGGCAACGCGTTGGGAGGTTGCATGATACCGTTGAAAGTGAGTGTAAGCGAAAACGCAAACGTCGCAATAGTACCCGCCATCTCCGCATTTGGCATTGACGAAATCACTAAATCGGCAAAGGTGGATGCGAAGACGAAAAATTGGATGATGAACAACAGCATCAAGCCCTTTTGTTCGCCGGTTTGACCTGCGCCGTAGATAGGGAAGTAATAGCAAGCCCAGACGATGATGCCTAGAAGGATTTGGTAGGGGATTTCGACGATGATATTGGCGATTAGGAACGCCACCCAGGAGTAGGCCTTTGAGGGCCTTTCGCGGACTTCGTAGAGGGAGCGTTGGCTGACGAAGCGCGGCATGATTCTGTGTACAAATTAGAGGCGGGATGTTCACTGTCTAGTGACGGAGACTTACTGCTGCACAAGCGTGGAAAAGATGGATGTTAACATGAACGTGCTAAAAAGGACGTCTTGAAATCCTTGCAGGCTGCTATTTGGTAGGAAGAAGGAGAATCCGATGAACAGAGCCGAGGCAAGACCGAGAAATAGTTTGGCAAATATGTATTGAGGATCGCGCCAGTATTGCTGGAAGACGCGAACGACGACATGCTTGAGTTGAGCCGTGAAAGGCATTGCGAACTCTCTGCCTTCGTCTGACGTGGACTTTGACGTCTCAGTACCATTAGGCGCAGTTGCAGCATGGTGTGCGTGAATGCTGTCGAGCTCCGTCTGGATATTCTTGGCTTCTTGAGACTCGCGCCAGACTGTAGGCCAGTCTTGAGTAGCTTTGCCGCTTGCACCTGCACCGATGATTTCGAGCATGTACTCGGCAGGCTTACCATAATTAGCATACTTTCATTTTATTAGTAGACAGGGGCTTACATTTTCAGCAGCATCACATTTCCGTGCTCCATTCCTCTCAAAATAGTCCAACAACGTCGTCGAGTCCTTGCCAATATCACCAAAATAGACCGTCTTACCACCCTTGGCCAAGAACAACAATCTATCAAACTGCTGAAAAAGAATCGCACTCGGCTGATGAATGGTCGACAGGACAGCCTGCCCATGATCCGCCAATTTGCGCAGAAACGCGCAGATTGACCATGAACTTTGCGAGTCGAGACCACTAGTTGGCTCGTCAAGGAATAGCAACAAAGCCGGTTTGGCGGCTAGTTCAACCCCAATAGTAAGAAGTTTGCGCTGCTCGACGTTGAGTCCCTCACCCGGTGTGCCCACGACAGCTTCCGCAAAGTCTTCCATGTTGAGCATTTTGATCACGTCTTCAACGTAATCATACTTTTCGGAGAGCAGGGTGGATTTTGGTTGGCGCAAAGCTGCGCTAAAGCGGAGCGCTTCTCGTACGGTGCTAGTCTGGAGATGAAGATCTTGTTGTTGAACGTATCCCGTCTTACGCTGGAAACTGGCATCCAACGGTTTTCCGTTGACGAACATGTCTCCAGTCACGACGCCGATAGAGACACGCTGCGCAAGAACGTCGAGAAGAGTAGTCTTTCCGGCGCCAGAAACGCCCATGAGTGCTGTCAACGTTCCCGGCTTTACCCAACCTGATACATTATCCAATAGACGACGCTGGCCCCCCTTGACAGGAATATCATAGCAGACATTTCGCCATGTAAAGATGTCACGCTGTTCCGGGAGGATGCCTAGTTCTTCTTCCGTCGCACCTTCGTTCTCGGCCGTTGGTGGTGCCTCGATTGCTCCATGTTTGGCCTGGTTGTCAGATTTTTTCATATAAGCCGGTACATGACCACGACGAAACACGAGGAATTCCGCAGTCGACGAAGTGGCCGAGTTGAGTTCCGTACATGTCAAATAGGTGAACATGAAGAAAATCCAGAAAGCAATGAGAATTCCAAAATTCCTCCATTCATGCGAATACGAATAGTCGTACTGAGTCCGGATATAATCATCGCCCGAAACCGTTCGTCGACCCGCTACAGAGCCAGTGGCAGAACAAACGAAGGTATCACCAACCAAGTTATTATATGCAGGCACGAAAGCCGAACATATAAACTCGCGGCCGTGGAATTCGTTTGCGACGAGAGCTTCGAATGCGTAGAAAACAGGGTTTATCCAGCGTATCCATGAGAACCAGGGATGCATTTGTGGGCCGGGAATCACGAAACCCGTATAGATCACAATTGCGAGAACCATGATACCGGCCAGTGCCATGGCTTGTGCGAGGCTTTTCGTTGCGGCGGCGAGGGTGCGGAAGATGGCGGACATGGCTAGCGTTGCGATGAAGGTGAAGAGGAAGAAGATAAAGAATTGAGATGGTTCGTAGCGCTTGTAGACGTTAGTACATGAACTTAACTCCGACTGATGGGCTCAACTCACTAGACCAGCAAGGAAATAGAGGACAATGTTGAACGCAGCCGATGCTACGAATTTGATAGGCAAATCAGCGACTATATCGCCCATGGCTTCGGTGAATGGATGTACGAAGGCGTATGATGCCTGCTTCTCGATGATGGGACGTTGGTCGTAGAGTGAATTAATCTCGGTGATACTAATGAGCGCGTTCAACCTGCCGTATATATTAGCTTTATCCATGTTCATGGGTCTATCTCTGGCACGTACAAGATTGCAAAGAACAATGCAGCGCCTTTGCTTTGAAATCCGGCTGTTGCGATTGGGGTTCTAAGGATTGTTAGTAAGATGCATACAAGTCAGGCCTTCCTTCCAATTACCCAAAGTAGATTGATCCAATAATCAAAGCCATGAAAATTCGGCCGATAACAGTTGTCAAAGTCGTCGCTTTGTCGTTCCATAGTCTATACACATCAGTATTTCGCTGCAGTCAATCTAATGGGGGAATAGATACCTCTGATAAGCTCTCTTCGTACAAAGACGAATCTGCATCGGAACCGACATCAAGTATGGACTCTTCGGCCGAACATGCTTCGCCTGCTGCTCATGCTTCTTCTCGGCCAATTCCTTCTCCGCAACATGGCCAATCGGGAATTCCGTTTCATGATCCTTAATTTCCTGCATCAGAGCAGCATGCTCGGGACTCTTCTTCCAGTATTCCTCAAATTCATCCGGTGTTCGGGGCACTTGTTTGTCCATGCCATCGCGGGCTTGACGTTCCTGTGGATTTGTGACCGATGTCAGAAAGTCGCCGGTTGTTTGGCGCGCGGGTTTGGCCCATCCCATGTTGACAAAATACTGCTCAGCGCGCTTGCATGGACCAAAGTAGATTTCACGGCCTTCGTAGAGCACAATGACCTTGTCAAAGACATCGTATATGGCTTGAGAAGCTTGGTAGATGGCAACACTGTGGCAACTTCCGGTGAGGTTAGATGACATCCGCAACGCTTTTACAAATTCCAATGCGCTAGCAGCATCCAATCCGCGGGTACTGTTATCCCAGGCGGCGATTGGAGCTCTCGACAGGGCCATTTCAGCGATACTGACACGCTTCCTTTCACCACCGGAGACACCGCGTACGTAGTCATTTCCGACGATGGTGTTGTATGTGTGCGAGAGGCCAAAGACTGCCATAACAACTTGAGTCACTTCTTTGACATATTCTTCGCGAGTCTGTCCCTTGAGTCGATGAGATGGAGCGCGAGCAGTAGCGGCGAATTCCAGTGTTTGGCCAACGGTAAGGTGAGGGAAATGTTTGTCCACTTCTTGATTATACAAAACCTCTCCTTTGAACTCGGAATGCATCTTGTTCATCTCCACACCGTTATAATGGATGGTTGATTCCTTCTCAAGGTCCAACCCGTGTAGTTCTCCATGAAGCGTCTTAAGAAAAGTAGAGCAACCACTACCAGGTCGGCCCAAGACCATTAGAAGCTCACCACCTTTGATAACGCCATCGAAGTTGCGCAAGATCGTTTTGTGCTCCTTTTTCTTCGCAAAGCTAAAGAATTTCCCAGGCCTCAAGGGCGCAGTCAAAACCGAGCCGACGGTTTCTTGTAATTGCAATGCTTCTCCAGAACCAGACACATTCATATCTTTGAACGTGACACTTGCTCTTGGAAACCCCATTCCTTCTTGTTGCACCAGGCGCAATCTCTTTCGTGACCACAAGTATGCATCGAACTTGTCATTCCCTGGGTCAATTCGAGGATCTTCGAGCGCCATCTCGTCCACTGTATCCATGCGCGTAATCGGGGCACTGTCGCGACGGCCTAGAGTACTGGGGCGGCGCGAAGTAGATAACGACGATGCGATTCTCGTTAGTTCTTCGCGATCACCAGGTCGGACTGGCTCGAATCTGCCGGGGAAGTCATCGTCGCTTGAATTCGGGGCTTCCGAGCTTGAAATTTCGTTTTCATCTTGCCGTTCGTGCTTCTCATGTAGGTGGTGTCGGTCTTCTGACGACGGGGTAGCCATTAACACGTCATTCGATACTTCTGAGTGGCTTTCTAGCCCTCGCTGTGTAGAAGTCATCTTGTAGACTGGAGGCTATGAGCATATACAAGATAACCTAACACGGCATCAGAGTCGTAGAGATCCCGAATTCGCGAGGGAGGTACCAATATATGTATGATGGAGTCAAAAATAAGATTATCAAATAATACCCAATAACGTACATCCGAGGAAAGACAACGACATAAATGCTTTATAGATTCCGACAGCCGATGACCGAAACCCGTACGTGATGCTCGACATCCCACGCGCTCTTCCGAAAAGGGACAGGACAGCGAAATAAGGGCAGCACAAGGTTTGTAAAAGATTGAGGCGCATATACTCTCCAAAGATGGGAAAGCGTCGTCCACCATACTCCAGACGGAACTGTGCATTGTCCAACCAGCGTGCTCATCGTGTTGAGCCGACATACCAGGAATACCACAAAAGGATTAAAGATAGAGTGGTGACGTTTGCGGTTGGAATCAAAAGCGGGCCCAGCCATTCATCGACGATTTAAGGCAGAGTCTAGTAGATTCACTAAGCCTTGGCGGGTATCACTCAAAAAGAATCACGACGAATTGGGAACGGGGCTTTTCTGTCTCTGATTCATTGTCCGGTCTTGGTACCTTCTATCTCTCATCTTACGGTAGTTGTACGATCAGCCACTGCATCATCATCATGCTCATAGCATCGAACGGAGAGTACCGGAAGATGGAAGACAATACTCTCCACGCGACGCGCAATTGCAATCACACTTTCTCGGATGTTTATTTAGACTGATCCGCGATGTGCACTAATTCGAGCTTTCGTAGATCTTCAATGTTGGATTCAGAGACATTGGCCAATTAGAAGCTGAACGGCTAGAACACCGGCGGGGTCCCGGCCGGATCCAGCAATATCCGGCAATGCATTATTACTTCGAGCGATTGTTTGCTGTCTTATTCTCTTTACTCGGTCGGCTTGGAAATTTCGACCGTTGAAACCTAAGAAGCATCCGTTCTCCGTGCTCGTACATTGCGAATACTGAAACTCGGACCTTTCAGCTGCGGCACTCGACGGATACGAATAAGGTTTTCAAGGCACGTAAGTAATTATGCATGTGACTTTGACCAAGACATCATGAATTGCATCTCCTTGCGGTATGAACCGCGATCCTAAGTAGTTTTGTAAAAACTAGTTGCGCCTTTACTATTTCGGGGGCGTTCTTTTTCGCCCCAAATTTGGTAAGGGGTATGACAGGGTGTAACTATCAAATGCTCATAGTCCATGTCGAAACCATAGCCTTGTCAGTTTGCCAATTTTCATGATCAATAAGTACTGAAAAATTGGGGAGAAGAGTTTCGTTCCGAGTACTTAGGGTTTTCTAGGTTTTTACTTCGGTTTCAATTGCACCTCTAGATCTAGGCCAACGCACACGTGCCGAATTTCACTTGTCGACTGAAATAGCTTCAAAGGACGTTGAACCATCTAGTCTGGCTGTAGATTATAATGACTCGTTTGAACTCGTGGTCATTCGTCTAGATCAAGAGGCGTTTTGATTTAGGTATGGTTCGTCGTCCTATATAAGTGTAGATCGCTTCTATAGAGCGTCAGGTTCCGGTTCGGGAGTCAGGCCGAGATATAATAACGCCATAATATGTCAGAATAAATCGATAACTCTTTCGCATTTGAAGAGTCATTGTTCCAGAGCAATCCAAACCACGTCTTTGGGCATTTAAACGAGAAGAGCGTTCGAATGATTTCCAATACAAGAGACTGCGAAGCCTAATGACGGTCAACAAAGGCAGTTCTCTTCTTAATTGCCAATGGGTTATAAGAATTGATGGATATCTGATGCAGAGGTTGATGATGAAGTCGATGACTACTGTGGCCTCAGGCCTATACCGGGATCATGTGTTCTACCAAACCCTAACCAATGCTCGACACTGTACTCGATGGTGAATCTATACCTTCAACAACCAAGAACCGCGCCCGAAGTTGATTCTCACGGCTGATATCGAAAGTTCTCATTTAGCCCAATAGTTCAGTTAATCGACACTTCGCCCACGTTCAAATTCCATCTTCATCCTTCACCCCAGAAGCTCTATCCTCTTTTCTACCTTATGAAACATCAAATATAGTGTCATACCTGTCCTCAAACGCTTTCCACTAGTCTTCGTGGGAGATCCACATTCTTGGATCTTAAGGGTAGTATGCTTTTCTGGATATTTCGGATTCAAAACCGTGGTGCGATTCTGGTTGGATTGCGATAAGCCCATGACGTTTCCGTCGACGGTGATTATGTTGCCTAGGAACTACTTTGTTTTCATCCCTAATAAGTAGTTTTTTTTAATCAATAAGTCTGCAATTTTTGCAGTAAGTAGCAATGTACCGCCTTTGACTGTGCAGCTTCTCGCTGAAGGGGACTATAGCTAACTATGTATGATAGACTACCTTCAGAAATTACTGACATTGTATATCAAACTCCATTTTATGCGTAGTTGCACCTAGGAGATTATTAAAAATTTTCAATAGAGTCAACCACAAACAGACTATAGTTTATACGATAAAGAAAGCCATGCATACTGTGAAGTCCGAGGCTACACATACCCAACTTTGTATCCAAGATAATTACACTAGCATTATCTCGCCGTTTATTATATTCGCCGCGTACTGAGTCAATGTAAGAGGCCACCACCGCCGTTTTGTGCAAAATATGGAACCAGCGAAAGATTGAAGCGTCACTCTTGTGTAGAGAATAGTCATGGAAATCTCTCCGATTCAGACCGAGCGAAATTCCCCATGAAAGCGAGAGACCATATACTATAAACCAATGACTCTCACATCTGAGATTTTCTATCCGAAAGTACGCACTTGTCAAAGATCTAGTGGTGGTGAATTGCCGATAGATGTCCGAAGATGCGTTGTTACCCCTTACATATTCGACTGCCTATTCCACTTTTTGTCTATCTATTTTGCATCCCCCTTTATCTCGACCCCTGACTTAGACATCGCTGGAGGATTTCAAGATTTATTTGCATGTCTCACTAATTTTCATTGCTTGTTTGCTACAAGAATAAATCTTTTCGATAGTTTGCTTCTGTAAAATACTCGAACTTTACCATATCAGGAATCGAGCTGGTAGCACGCTGGAGCTAGCTGAAGTGGAAAATAAATCAAACACAAAGTCTTATTCATACTTTTTGATAGTAGAGCAATAAAATCCCTTATGTAAATTATCGTTGGTGATAAATTATCTACCATAATTTCGCATAAAAATGTCAAATATACGCCAGTAATTTTAGCATACAAAGCGACACTTTGTAGTATGCACAAAGAATCCAGATGCCTGTTTCATGTCATTTCATGCATGACCTCATACTCAATAGTTTCTGAATTACAACAAGCCGTACAGCTGTTAAGTCCTAGCCACTCGATATGGACAATTACCGAGCAAGTTTGTTGCTCACCAGAGTTAACAAAGATCTACAGGTGCATGGTCACTCTCGCAGTAGATATGTCGTATAGCTTACTCCACCCAAAACACTCCTTGCTTGGGTGTTGCGTCAGTCTCTAACATGAAGTATAAAACAACAGGGTGTATATTGAGAAAGTCTTTCTTCGTCTTTTCAGCGAGCACATTTATCGCACTTACGAGACAACTTTGGACGTGAAAACTTCCGCTAAGTATCAAAAAACAAGCACAAGAACCATCACCGAAAATTTTTTTAAAATTCCTCGTCATGCTTCAGACAAATATTTTTGCAGTTTTGATAGCACTTGCACCCAGCGCTGTTCTCGCGTCCCCAGACGCCAATGATGTCCCTCCAATTGTCGGCAGCGTTGTCTCATCAGCCCTAAGTCTTGCCAGTTCGTACGCATCCGAATACAGTACGATTCCACCGGATGCCCAATCTGCAGTCTCGTCGGCCCTATCGCTTGCATCATCTTACGAGAGCTACGGAAACAGCGTCGCCAGTAGTGCGCAAAGCTTGGCGAGCTCTTATGCTAGCGAATATGGTGGTGATGGCAGCGACTCGACGACGACGACGACGGCATCGGTAACTTCGAGCACTGGCACTGGCACCAGCTCAGGAGCAAAGACTGTCACCAAAACGAACGATTCGACGGGGGCAACAGCGACGCAAGCCTCATCTACCGGCAGCGCATCTTACAACAGGGCACCATTCACACCTATTGGTGGGGGATTGATGGCCGCCATGGGCATTTTGGCGGGCTCTATTGGTGTTCTAGCGGTTGTTCTCTAAAGAAGGGCAATATATGAGGATATTCCATTCGATCTGAATTCAGAACATGACTCGAATCAATTTTCCCCGTGTTTCCAGCGTGATCCATTTTTGGTCTCCTCGGCACGTCGCCTGCTTTGAATGGGCAAAGAACTTAGGATATACTATATTATGAATTGAGAAGCATGGCATTGCCAAGGTCTTATAAGCTTTTACCGAGTACAGACCTAGGATATTGTAATGAAAACGTAACTTTCCTAAATACCTTTCGCTTGCCGAGGTCGACCCATCCGAAAATCAAAACAAATACATGCCCACAGCGTAAATTCAACATCCGTTACGTTCAATTGGTGTACCTTGATCTCTCTTCTTCGGCATTTGCTTTATCTTCTTACGCTCACTCCATAATAGCAGTATATTATGGAGAAACAACTAGAATGATGTTGTTTCGTTCCTCGGCACGTAGTTCTATTTTCAAAAGAATAAAGGGTGAGACTTCGTAGATATCGTAGCCACTAATCCAAGCATAAGGCTAGTACCATAATAATTTTACCGGTCAGCATATCCTTCAAGTCTCGAGCAACTCTGTTCAGCATCAGGCACCATGCTTTATTCCAGTTTGATTTCAGTCCTAGTGGTATTCGGGTCAAGCGCAGTTCTCGCGAGTCCGATTGAGCGTGATGTCGCAACTGTCACTGACAGTGCCTCATCGCTTTTAAGTGTTGCAGATAAGTTCAGCACGCTTGCAACATCTATTAAGAGTTACGAAACCAGCGCCGCGAGCAGTGCTTTGAGCTTGGCGAGCACTTATGCCAGCAGTAGTGCCTACATAGCCACTTCATACTCCTGGCCGACTTCTTTCTCGTGGCCGATTACATACTCATTCCCAACTACATATTCATGGCCGACTTCCTGGTACGACTCTGCGACAATGAGCACTGGTACACAAACAACAACCTCTACAGGACCTAGTAGCTCGACAGGAGCCACGTCAACACAGGTTTCAGCAGCCACTGGTGGTGCAAGTCCCATCAGGCTACCGTCTGTGCCGTTTGTTTCTGTTGAAGGGGGAGTCATAACCGCTATTGGTGTGCTCGCAGGATCCATTGGGCTTTTGGCTGTTGTCCTCTAAAAGTTTGTGAAAAGCGACAATTCGTGGAGTAGGGGCCAGACCGCATTCTGCACTCAATAATCACTTTCGTTGCATAATTGTTGTCCCTATCTGTTGAATAAGGAGTGACAGTGTTGAATCGGTTATTACAGATACCAGCGGAGATACTGATTTTCTTTAACAATGTAACGATAGCCATCTTAAATCAATTGTGCTTTACCGTTTCATTCTTATATCAGCCCTGGCTAGATGACACACTATCCTTGTAATCTTCAAGACTATAGCCATGCATGAGCGAAAGTTAGTCATGCAATTTCTCTGCCATTGGATGTTGAATGATTAAAATGCATGACAAGGCATCCCAATATCCATTCTTTCATCCTATATATGTTGGTAGACGTAATGTCATACACCAGATGTAAATCGAAACAGAATACAGCCAGTAAACACACAATGACGTCAGAAACAGCGTCGAAAGACTTGAGCACACATAATTATCATATCCGAATCAGTTTAAGAGGGAACACCAGGTAACAAGGAGGACCTGTCAGGAATAAAGACGCTTCGACTCCACCCAAAACATCTGATATATGGTGGAGTTTACTAGGAGCTAGGTAAGCGCCTAACATGCGAGAGACATTAATATGTTTTATTGATTGACCCTCTAGTTTAAAGATGTTGTTCCGATTTTACACATACATATCCTACGGAGATTCCTAGGATCAATCCATAAATCATGACTTACAAGGTGCCCCAAACCTTTCAATATAGTATACATATCCAGCGATGTTACGATGAGACCTCGTGAACGTCCTGATATCACTAATCCAGTAATATCTATCTACGTGGAACCTAGGTCGAAAATATGTAGCAATCGGACGATATTCAATAATAAAATCAGCTACTGACTGTACTTGGTCACATCTGATTACCTCCACCCTCGTGCGTCTGACGGTACAAAGCATGACACGCGCGTGCAGAACTATGTAGTATCGGCAATTGGCCGATCAGCGGCAAGCTGCAAGTCACTCCGACCAAAAGTGGTTACAGACCAATGATCCGATGAGATAAGAGTACGTAGCGTCGTTGATCCAACTAAAGAAGGACGTTTCTTGATTTGTTTTCTATGCAAACACGTTTGACGTTACAACAAAGTAAAGATCAATAGATATTGATGGAGGCATGATTCGCTGGAACGGGAGATACCGCTGAATATGCCAGCGATTTTCATAAACGCGAGGATATTTGAATGATACAGAATTTGAAGTGCTTGAACTCGACACAGCATGACAGACTGAATCCGACACTGACCAAGGTTCATCTGAAGCTACCTACAATCACGGCTCTTTTAGGGGGGGCCAAACTGTATTTCATTCTGAAAATCAGTCAAGTCGACGGGGGCATTATGAGTCTTCGATATGTCACCGAACTCGAAGGTTATGAGTATTGATATCAGCATTCAAGTAACAGTCCCGTTTCACTATCTTCAGCACATGAGAGCGTTTGAAGACCTGTTGAGCTATTCGTATGCTTTGAGGTACGTATTATCCCGAGCATGGCTAAGGCCGGCCACTAATTGACACTAATGGATGAACTTCATGGGCTCTAAAAGGGGACATCGTAACCGATAGAACAGACTGACAGCGGCAGTGATTTTAGTAAACACTCAGGCCATTTAGCGGTGTATGCGAAACATGTGGTATGGGTTCTGGAATTTCCAAGAGGTGATCCTTCTCCATCCATTGTAACCTACCTACATTTCTATACTTGACCAGTCTCACCCACGTGCTTCATGATTTTCGACAAGCAACATAGACAATAGCCAGAAAAGTAAATTATGAAAGCTGACCCTTATTTCCATATACATATGGAGCGAATTTTATCGCCTAAGTCAGCACCTCCCTTGGTTACCACGATTATTGTGCACCAGCGCCTCGCCTGCATTATACTTTCGGGGCTAGAATTTCCCTGAATAGGCAATTTACATAATTTGTAGCTCAAGATCTTGGCGAAAAGCGTTGGTGGAAATTAGTCTTACATTTTTCTGGAACGATGCGCACGCATCCCTCCAACTCCGGCATTTAAAGGTACTATAGAGTGTGCAAATGCAATTATGCCTTAACCGGATCAGAGTCTGTACCCCGTATTCGTGATTCCGTACGCTTTGATCCGGTACGTAGAATCATAAATCCATCTTTCCTACCAGCCTTGCGGCTTGGTGGCGTCCAATATGAACGTGGCAAAAGTGCGACCATGTTACGGCCCAGGGGTACCCAGGCACCACGCCAGTTGACTGTCGTGTGCGAAATCGCGATTTCTTAGCTGAGTCATGAATCGTTTTTTCAGTACTGCTAGCGATCGGAGTAATTTCATGCTCCAATTGTAGCGCGTTGACATTTCTCACCAATTGTGACGATACATTATTTAGTAGCACATGTACAGCTAGCTTAAGGATCGGTAGGTTTCTGTATTTCATCCTATCGTCCTTAACCTGGTTAGTCATGTACGCCCGGGCTTTTCACTTGATTAGTCTTGAATTCCGAGATTATTGCTTCACGTCACGAGCTTTTCCCCGCAACTTTTGACATGGAGGCGTAGATATCACCCCATGCATGTGCAGCAATCACTTCCAGGTTCTCTACGCACTCCATACTCTTTCCCCGTTTCCCCAGTCGATGAACATCTTTCGCCTAAATGTATCCGGAGGGGCCTGAAGCCAGCTAATCATGGCGGGCAATCGGGACAGAGTATGCACTTCCGCACCTCGTAATTCGCACATAGACTTGCTAGGCTAAAGTACAGCGTACCGACTCCAAAGGCGTAACCGACTAGTCCGGTAGCCATACCTTTTCACATGGTTGGCTTTCAGCCAGTTTAGCCGTCACGGACTCAGAAGCCAATCAAAAACCCGACTCGACAGCTTAGTACATTAGCGTCGCATTGGAGCGCTCAGGCGCCTGATCCCTCTCTCTGTGATTGACTGAATCGCTCCGGACCTTATCCACTTTCGCATGAGAGAATTTTGACTCCCGGCGTATATTGTGCGAGCAAGGCATCGTACAGGCAGCAGGTTGCACGGATAACAATCTTTCACACTTTCCACTGGAAATAATCTATTCTTTCAATCCTGTCGTGTGGCACATAATCTTGATCGTTTATTTTCGCGTGTATTCGGAAAGCTAGTACGTGTTACGACTCGTAAGTAGTACGGAGTACACATGCGGGACTTGAATGGAGTACGTAACGCATGACTATACCCCGGACTTCATGATGGTCTTGTGTCATGAAAGGATGAAATCCACACAGTATGTGGAGCCAACAATCGCTTTGTCTTTGGCCACAAATCCGTGATAGAGACTAGACACGATTTCGTGATAATGAACGTGGGAAAGAACGTTTCTAGCTCGTGATCGAAGACTTATATAAGCGAATCACCTTCTACCTTCGGCCTTGAAAGTATCACGCATCGAATATTGCCTAGACGGGAAATGCGAGCCGGTCCCGCCGCGTTTTACTGGCCCAATCCATGCATGATTTTTAGCGTGGTGCACTAATATGCCTTGCGACTCAGTCCCGAAATCCTCCAACTGGGGGTGGCTGGCTTCCAATACGTATTTCGCGCAGTAAATTAGTCTGAACTCTGAAGCACCAGTAAACAAAGAAGTTTGAATTGGTAAAAGTTTAAAATAGACAAGAGAGAATACCCCGTCCTTGGACCAACGTCTGGCCCATCGGGAACTGGGAGTCTAGAAAGACAAGTCCAGAGTATAAACTCGCCGCATTGTGCCCCATTCAAAGAACTTTGAATTGGGGTAAACAGTTAGCGCTCTTGGGAAATTGACTCTCCGACTCTTTATATACAGCCCTGATTCATACACCATTCTCTCTACCAGTTTATGGAAGCTCAAGGGTAACTGATTGTGAGAACATGTGAGGAACGATGAAGATCTCCTCTATTCTTGAGAGGATCTCTCTTCCCGTGCCAGTGGGGGTCCCTGGCTCAGCTGTCCCTGCCATATTGGTCGGACTTTTTGTTGCGTTGGGAGGTGTCCTTTTTGGGTACGTTCATAAGTACAAGCAATAATAGGTTGTCTAATATTCACTACTTTTATAGATACGATACAGGCAACATTAATGGCATTCTTGCTATGAAACAGTTTAGAGACCAGTTCTCCACGGGTTATACTGACACTATTGACGGGCAAGACAATCAGCCCGATTTCACGGCGGGGCAAAAAGCTCTGATTGTCTCAATACTGTCAGCGGGCACATTCTTCGGTGCCCTATTTGCTGCTCCAGTTGCAGATAAAGTTGGCCGTCGATATGGCTTKATGGTTTCCTGTGTCATTTTTATCGTCGGTGCTTTGTTGCAGGTTGCGGCAAGCACTATTCCTGTCTTTGCTGTCGGTAGATGTGTCGCTGGCCTGGGCGTTGGCATGTTATCTACGCTTGTACCTTTGTATCAAGCCGAGACGTGAGTATATCATTCCAGTCCATGGTCATCTGCATACACGATGTACATGGTTATAGATGACCACTACCTTAAGCACCTCCGTGTACATGAAGCTGACCTCGGACCTTTTTGTTAGTGCACCGAAATGGATTAGAGGAGCCATTTGTTCTGCCTTTCAGTTTGCAGTGACATTTGGCTTGTTCCTAGCAGCCATTGTCGATAATGCCACCAAGGACCGCACTAATTCTGGCGCATATCGTATCCCCTTGACCGTACAGTTAGCCTGGGCTGTCATCCTTATTCTCGGCATGATCGCTCTTCCAGAGACACCCCGATATCTCATCAAACGTGACCGACACGAAGACGCTGCCCGCTCTCTTGCTCGCTTACGACGACTTCCCATGGACAGTCGATATCTGGCGGAAATTGCGGAAATTGCTGAACACCATGAGCATGAGCTCAATCTTGGCGGAAGCTCGTACCTGGACTGCTTCAGAGGAAACCTTGGGAAACGACTCATGACAGGATGCCTGTTGCAAGCATTTCAGCAGCTCACCGGCATCAACTTCATATTTTATTACGGCACATCCTATTTCTCGAGTGCAAACATGGGCAATCCGTTTATTATCACCATGATTACTAATAGCGTTAACATGCTAGCTACTATTCCTGGATTGTTTATGATCGAGAGATGGGGACGGCGACCACTGCTGCTCTTTGGCGGTATTGGTATGGCCATCTCTCAATTCCTTGTCGCTGGTTTGGGCACAGGTCTTACTCAGAGTGATGCCACCAACAAGGCTTCCATAGTCTTGATCTGTCTTTTCATATTTTTCTACGCATGTTCGTGGGGCCCAGTGGTTTGGGTAGTCCCCGGTGAAATATTCTCGCTAAAAGTGCGCGCCAAATCCATGTCCTTGTCGACGGCATCCAACTGGCTTATCAACTGGGCATTGGCCTACTCCGTTCCTTACATGGTTGGTTCCGGAACGGGAAATCTAAATCTGCAAGCCAAAATGTTTTTTATCTGGGCTAGCTTCTGTGTTCTTGCCAGCATAATTGTCTGGTGTCTAGTCTACGAGACCAAGGGTCTTTCTCTGGAGCAGGTTGATGAGATGTACGCCGAAATCGATAAGGCTTGGGAGTCGCATGACTTTCAGGCCGCGGTTGCTCTTCGGAACTCTCAGCGACGTTCCGTCAATTCTCAGGCACAGCCTTGGAATCGCCATAGCGCAAAATCAGCGTCGTATACTGTGCATATTGAAGCTTCAAGATCCTTGACCACGGAGGATAGCGAACGCCATCAGTCACGGTCGAGCAGGGGCACCATTATTGAGCAGGAACCTTCTATCAGGTTGCGACAATTTCCTTAAAGCGCAAAAAAAAAAAAAAATTTTATACTAAATTTACTATTATCAAAAATGAGGCCATGTGACTACACAGTAGTTTTATCTTCATGAACTACGTAGTCCTTATCTCTCGAGGACAAGTGTATGTAAGCACCGTTGATAATACCAACCAGCTTTGAGTCTCCTTTAGGTACCTAGGTAGGTATGTACACTGATATGTTCTTCCAAGGTTCACTTGGCATGCAAACTGAAAGCGAATCCAAGATGTAGCACGACGTAGCGATTATTGAAAGTACTCGGGCGTTGTAGAACCCTTAAACATCAAAAATTGTGGTTTTATACTTTATATAACATCCATGGATGACTCTGAGCAGGCCGTCAATCGGTTTACGTCTTTATCACCATGACATTCCAATTGCTCATACCCGGTGATTCTGATTTCGCAACCATGGATTTGAACCCGCAAATAAGCAGTACTTTGAAGCAATTGGTGAACGAATTTTATAATTCATTTGGGGTAGCCACGAGTCGCCAACACATGCACTCATGTTTTAAGGCGAGTTTGAACATACCTTTTATGGTTGGACTTAGCTACTAATAGTTCTGTGGTTCTAGTCGAGGTATTATCAAAAGCTTCACAACTGTAAGGGTCTTTTTCAAAACTTGATAGTGGCATTAGCTCTAACCAGAGTCTCAATTTCTCAAACATGTATCTCATGCGCAGTCGTTGACGCGAGTATATCTGTCTCAGATAAACTGCTTCCTGGGGCAATGACCGCTGCTGTGACATATGCAGTTTAGTCAAGGAAGCTGTTACAAAAAATGACATAAGAATGTGTTGGTTATGTGTTGGTAAGAAAAGACCTAGTTAGTATGCGTTACGCGATTACGACAACCTCGTAGTATGTACAAAAGTCGGCCGACTGCACAATATCGGTGAAACGATGCACATGTGGTCCGTATATTTCATTGATTCCTGTAGGTCTCAGTGTTCATTCTTTCCTTGGAAATCGACAACTGTCTTTGTAGTGGGTCAAGATACTACCTATGTATATGGAACTGCAACGCAGGTACAACAGCCATGTCACGGAGTCTTTACCCGTTTTCTACCGTGACGTCGTTTCGGGGAAAAAAAGTTGAGAAATATGGTCGCGAGCGGCCTACCGGTTGCAAGTCCTTGGAATCTGAATTTTAGCGTTCACTGTAATCACATCGTACCTGTACACCACTGATAGAATGATGCCAGGAGCCGCACTGAGATATGTAGACGCTTCAACCTTTTATTATGAGACAAATATGCATAACAAAAGACCTGATGGAATAAAACCAGTCCCAATGCAACGTTTGAGAACATGTTCTGAAGCAAATGAATCCCAATTTTGAAAGTCAAGACATTGACCTGAGATTCTGAGACCTCAGCTCTGTATGAGTATTGGAATGTAACCAAGTATCTGCTACTGCATAGAGATTGGCATAGAGATTTCAGTTTGTCATTCAGAAAAGAATACTCAATGGGTAGAATCTTGTACACCTGACCAGCTTCACTTTAGCCTCCCTGCGGCCCACCTAACAACATCGGTCATAGTACATACGATTGTACTCGAAGGATCAACAAAATAGTTAAACCATAGTTTATCGACAACTATATTAAGACGCTTATTATAGCACCTCCACTTGTCCGAAAAATTGGAAGCGGGACCAAATCTCGATCCGATGCGATCTGAGCGGATCTGCTCAAGCTAAAAGAAAATCTTCAGCTTTGAGTGATCAATCTAACACAAACCACGGCTGAAGATTGGCCAAAAGAGCACTGATTTTGATGTCACGCTTGGCCCACTCAATGTAAGCCCTGAGAGAAAGTGCACAGTATGACGACTGTGTTCTTTTCAATCGTCTATTATTTCCTTCCACAGCTTTCGGGCTTTGAAGTTTGTACGGGTACTCAATTATCAGCTATAATATGGCCTATTAAGACCCAAACTAATCCGTAGTCGGTCATTCAATCAAAACATACTCTATGAACTCGCTAATGTGTACTTCATGTCCCAAGCTGCAGACGAGAATGTGAGAAAGTGGAAACAATTAGGCATGTACGTAGGTACTCACATGCGCGTGAACGAATCGATTCCTCTACGGCTACGTATGCATATGCAGCTGCCAAAAACTCTAAGATGATTTTTTCTTCTCTTTTCTTTTTTCTTGAGAATGGAGGGGTAGAGCCATTCCATAGGCTAGTTTGACAAGTTATGGAAGGACGTTTATGCAGTCCTATCTGATCAAATTTCGTGCCTGAGTGAAGTATTCTTTCAACCCTGCTTTTGCCAGGGTATTTCATGTAGAGCTCGCTGGATGGATTTTAAAATCGACTTTGCTGATTGAAACCAGGGATCTCGGCGCTATTGAGACATCCGTGGATCCGACTGACCATATCCTCTGTACTTCTTGCTATTTGCAAAGGGTGGACTGTGATGTCTTATCTGACTACACAATGCCTTACGGTAGTACAAGCTGGGCCTGCACATGTCTCTTGCGTAGTACAACCTTAGATGAGGAGAAAAAAACAATGGTGGTACAGTTACGCTGTCACTTTACCGCTTCTGGTGGACTGACACAAGTGACAGCTGAGGAAATCCTAAATGATCCCATGGGTGACCGCCGTGCCGGAAACCGAGCCAGATATGGACGTCTTACGTAGGTTGCAAGACTAGAATATCCAACAAGATCTTGAGACGGCCTGAATAAAATGGCTTGTGTCTCGGTGATTGGGCAGTGTTCTGCGCATCAACATCGATAGACTAAAAAACTAATTCGCTAATTCGATTGCCCCTCTTCTTCTCACCGTCACTTCTCTTCCGAAATGTCAGTTTCTCGATACCTATTGGATATCCGAAGTACATCCGTGCCAAACTAGAAGACTACCAATTTCAAAACCGGGTCTTAGTATGAAAGTGGATGCGATTTCAAAAGTGAATCTCGCCAATGGCAGCCACCGATCGACCGGAATTCATGTTGTCTTTTTGACTTTGTATGCAGGCGTGATATGTCACCAAGCGAATATTCAGGGCTTGTGGTCAAGACTAAAACCGTTAGTCTGCTGCTATCGATTTAGTCTTGCTGTCTTTGCTGACGATTATGCACGCTAGAGGTTGGATTGACCCATCGCCAGCCGTCACGAACACCCGATCGTCGGATTTTGAAGCGATGCATATGCACCAACAGCGTGCTAGACCAGTTTGAAGATCATTTGTATACGACAAGTTGTGATACTTCCTAAGATTGCTTAGTTGTTGGAATACTAAGAGATTAGTGGGGAGCTGGACAACTATACAGTATGGATCAGTAATTAGTAATTAGTAATTACCCATTATGGAATGTATTCGGTCTACTTGGTAGTTTATATGTGAAGATCGACTATAGTTTGTGATGAAGAGGGTATTCCTTGTCTATAATTCTTCATATTAAGAACTGCATAGGTTAACATTGGGTTTGGTGGCATTGACAGCCCTAAAGGTCTCTCATTCTAATGGTTAGCCACTTCGGCCCACTACTACTCTGATCTATTGAACACAAACTATTGATCACGATGTATTTCATAGCGACTGAAATTGTCTTATAATATGTATTATGTGATACTAACCAGCCAGATATCAACGGGTAGAAAAAGATCTTATTGGTAGGCGATTCCCGGTCCGAGAAATATGACTAAGAAATCGACAAGGATGTATAAGATGCACCAGCTCCGCCACATTTACAACAATCGGTATTCGCCAAACTTCATGTATGATTAGCAAGCTGAACAAAAATCGCTTGTGAAGGCTCAGCATCTCATTTGTTCTTTCGGCCGTGTCATGTGGGTTCGCTCCAACATGTTGGTGCGGTCTTAGCTTCGCGACTTTCCTAATTTGGAAATAAGACGGGTTCATGACACTTCAGTGATATCAAGTGATACCTGCAATGAAACTAGTAAATCTGGGTATATTTACATGTAGTTAGAAGTATTACAGGCAAAAACAAGCGAAAAAACAAGTTTATTCACGAATCAAAAATCGGACCCATAGCCACCAAACCCCTCGTTTCCAACTCGTACACCAACTTCTTGGTAAGTCTAGGGTTGCTAATCACGCAGACCGCATCGGCTCCAAAATCGCGTGCCATACGCTCAATGATAGGCACCATATCGGCACGACCTGTCAAATCAGTGTCCATCACCAGCGGGTCGGGATCCATCTGTTTGACTAGATCTATGATTCCCTGTCCGTATGTCTTGAGTGGTGAGCGTGTTTGCCACACTACTCGCATCATGGGCCTGTTGCCGTCACCTAGGAACGACAGACAGGGCCCGATGCCGGACCCTGTTGTCACCACAATGATCTTCTCGTAGAGGCGCATCACGTATGCGAAGCCATAGACTAGAACACCCCGCTTCCACAGGTATTGCGGCGGATGTTCGATTGTGTCTTTCGTCCAATCACCAGCTTTGGATATCAGGCAGGAAAACGAATTGGAAGACTGCAAGGCTGAGCCTCGTCGTTTCTCAGCTGCACTATCGGGAAAAGTTGCAAACGAATGCCAGTCCCACAGAGGGTTTTTGGCAAGCTGAATCCCTAGACCAAATCTCGTTCGTGCATGGTTCATATGTAGTCTAATTGCATGTCTAGAAAGTGGCTCTGGTTCTACCTTCACCCTGCGTAGTAGTAGGTAAGGGTGGACAATAGCCGCAATAACCACAATGAGCAACCAGAAAGCCGGTAGCCGAATGAGGTATTGGCCTAGACTCAGATCCTCTGCTCTTCTAGCTTGGTCCGAAAACGCCAACAGAAGGGCCAAGAACAGTGCAACCACCGCCCAAGCAGAGAAACGATGCGTTAGCTCGAACCCATTGTGGTGCTTGAACCGAAAAGCCGGATAGGCCGCGATCATGATGAAGAGCAATAACACCAGAATGATATAGGCTATTACGACCACTGCTGTGGGGATAATAGTCACTTGCTGCTGTGCTGCATCGGGGCTGCTGCTGTTGCCATACTCCTCTGGAAACCAGTAATGCTTGGAGATCAAGGCTACTAGTCCGACGTACCACATGAACGATGCAACGCCGCATCCACTGTGTACGCCACCCAAGTGGAAGGCCTTGGATGCAATTCGTCGTAGTCGTAGCGGAGCCGAGCGTGGGATGGAGCAGATCACTAGGTATATCGTGTTGACAACCAATGGTTGACGCATTAGACCGCATACAGTCAAATTTGCTGCTGTTGCGTTGACGAATGCGAGCAGAGAGGATTGGTCGGTTATCATGATGGCAATGAAAACGGCGAGATTTGCCAGAAAGATGAATGAGAAAAGGCGGCGGTAGACATTGAGGGCTGTATATCGTAGGAAATTCCAGTATGCTCTTAACTTTGATTTGCGTTTGGTCTTTTGTGCTTCGATATCCTCATCAACATTGCTATGATAGTCGCCGTCTTTTCTCTGTTCACATGTTTGTTGGGAAGTGTTTTGAGTCGCGCTTTGATCAGGTGTTTGCAAACTATTTGGTGAAGAGGTCAAAGTCGGTACCACCAGTTTGACCTCTTTGGCCAAATCTCCGGACATGATGAGACCAGTTCTAGCAGAGGCGATTAGACTTTAAGAGAGCGTCGAGGGTGATCAAGTGGATGATAAAAACCTCGAGGTTAATGACAAATAAGTCATCCGTGGTTTATATAGCTCCTCGTAATTCTAATTGTTGTTGTAGACATGACGATCCTTTCATCGTAAGCCCCGAGACGAATTTTGATCTTAATCTATAGCGATCTGTTATACAACCATGTACGGATCAAAGCCGAGGTCTATGTATATCCAGCCAGGTACGAGGCTATATGAGTAAAGACCTAATCAAGACGATACACACCTGCTTGTGAACGCGTACTCGGTACCCTATTAACATCCATTGTCTATCTTGGGTTCTCATGTGGGAACCAGCTCTGACATCGACCATACCCATGCAAGGCCAATCGCGACCCGAGGGCTTCTCGTCTCAAGCCTCAAATCTGCATGACTTGAATCAAATCCGCGAACTAATGAGGCACCATTCCGTCACTGGGTGCGGTGTGGAGTGTTACATGCATGATAGATTACCCAAGTGAACTGCACCCAACCAATAACCCACATTTTGTGTTGGGTGAAATCCACAGTCAGTTGGTCCAAGACAAGCTGGAAAATTCAAACAAACCCCGCCGACTAATTATTGTAAACTCGAGGCTATCGAATACTAGTTGCAGGCGAACGATTTTATGGAACCGCGAGAGTTGAGATTCAGCGTAGACGTAGACTACCGTAGGGCATACCGGAGCGAATACCTTCCAAAATAGGAAATTTCTTTGTGAACTTCCTGGTGGGTTGTGAGCTATCTGGACGCCAACTTGGAAAACCAAATAGGAAATATGGATTCTACTTGAATTATTGGACAGACTAAGATATCCTAATCGAAGGCAGATATAGCGTTCACAGGGTTGTAGACAAGAAACAAATCAAACATGCGCCTGCAGCTACTAGATTCCCGGTATTTCGGCTAATCTTGCTTAAACTCCTCCCATCGATCCCTGAGGTGGCCTAATTATGGGACATTTATATTACAATTCATCTATACTAATATCTTTCTACATTTGGTAATCTATTTTGCCACGACACACCTTGTCTGCATCGCATATTTTATAGTATCCTGTTTTCCCCTCTGCTACCTACCGAGGGCTAACTAGTAGGTACCCAGTTATATTACAACCCTTGAATTCCAAATCCAGTGCATAAAAGTCTGAGAGCCAGCGGGGTTACTCCAAGATCAAAATTTGGAGAGATCCATCTACGCGCTGTAACTAACTTCCAGCTTTTTTGTGGTAGGACATAATAAAAAGCCACCCACAGGAAAACAACCCTATGTTTGCGCAGCAGTCATGGGTGGACAAACTTCCTCTATGGCGCATAATACTCGTTTCCAGCGTCCGGTATATAAGGACTTGTTGTCCTTTGCACTTGATGAGCAGCCTGTCGCATATGATGAGCAGAGACCGTTGTTTGTTGATGCTGAGAATCCGGCGTTGTCGCTTAATGCGCGTCAAGTGAGGGTCTTTGTGAGGACTGTTATTGCTGGTTTGAGAAAGAGGGCTGGTGTTGAGACTGGGGATTGTGTTTTGGTGACGTTGCCGAATAATGTATCTCTCTCCTTTGTCTTGCGTCGATATTACACAGGCTGACTTACCCAGGTATTATACTCTTCCATATTCTTTAGTATCATCGGTGCTGGCGGCATATACATGGGCATCAATCCGTCGAGTCAATATGCAGAACTAGAGCATTTCTTGGAACTGTCTACGCCTAAGTTGATCATCACAGCTCCAGCGGGATTGAATCTGTTGCAAGAAGTCACGGAAGCGAAAGGTATACCACAGAATCGCATCTGTGTTCTAGACGACTATGCCATCGCATACTTATCAGCAATCTTGTCGTCGCGGCCGTCCAGTCCAACTGAGGCTATGCAGGAGGACAATATCAACCACGCTCGACATCCAGAGACTCTGAACTTCTCAGCTCTTCTTCGTCACGGCCAAGAAGACTGGATAAAATTCGACGACAAAGTCCGCTCCATGACCACACCAGCGGCAATGTACACAACCAGCGGAACTGGCGGCTTACCCAAAGGCGCATTACTATCCCACCACGCCATAATAATGCACCACCAAAGTCTCTACTACGAAACACCATACGATACTACGCGACTGATCTGTATACCAATGTTCCACCTCTTCGGCGCCCTGTATACACACATTTGGCCCCTTCGATACGGAGAGACGTGTTACGTCCTGCCCAGATTTGATATTGCGCAATTCGTGCAGACGGTATACCTCTACCGGATTACGGAGACTTTTATGGTGCCTGCCATGGTGCAGGCACTGAATAAGTATCCTGATTTGGAGCTTTCACAATTTTTCAGATCATTGCGCTACATTGGTACAGCAGGCGCATCCCTTGATTCGGCGTCGGCACAGCGTCTAGAAGCAAAGTTGCATCCCGAGGCACAGATATCGCAGATTTGGGGTATGACCGAAGTTGGAGTGGCTTTTCAGATGCGATATGGATGCCGCAATGAGACGGGTAGTATTGGTCGCCTGTTGCCGAATTATGAGGTTAAGCTGTTGGATGTTCATGGTTTGGAAATTACCTCTGACGATACACCCGGTGAGCTGTACGTTCGTGGTCCGGGTGTTTTGATGGAGTATAAAGGTATACCCGAAGCCAAAGATGAACATGGCTGGTTTCGCACCGGGGATATAGTCTCTGTCCGTGCCGGTATGTACTATGTTGTCGGACGAGCGAAGGAACTTATCAAAGTCAGGGGGTATGTCTCTTCTCCTCCTTCTCAACAACCTATCCAGGTATGCTAATGACTCTGCTCGGATGACAGTTGGCAAGTTGCGCCCGCCGAAATTGAAGGCGTTCTCCTCAAACACCCTTGCATTGCCGACGCAGCCGTCGTTGGCATCAAAAAGGAAGGCTCCTCCCACCAACTTGAGGACGAGCTCGTCCGCGCATTCGTCGTGCGACGCAGAACCACAGCCGCAGCACGCCTCACAGGCGACGAAATTTATCGGTTTGCGCGCCACCAACTCGTCAGCTATAAGTCGCTTACGGGAGGGGTCGTTTTTGTCGATGAAATACCGCGCACGCCTAGCGGCAAAGTGCAACGGTTCAAGCTTGTGGAGATGTGTAATTATAGGGATATTGTGTCTAGTCTACAGCTGTTCTTTGGGCCGCCGCAGGTTGTTGATAATCCGATTAGGCTGGCGGCGGTGCATAGTTTGGGGTTGAGGTCTGTCGGTCATAGGAAGAGTGGTGTCGGAACGCCACGGATTGAGTTGCGTTCCTAGCATCAAATCCGCTTTGGTCCCTTTGGTCTTTTCGATATCATGTATCATATGATTAGATAGTCATGGTCATATGCATAGTCGCTTGATTCAATTACAATATTTTAGATACCCACATAATAAGCCTACGTTGTGTATGAAATAACCTAGAAATGTGTAAAGGTTGAATTCTGGCAAGAAAATAGATAGTTGAAGTAAATGACATGATAACTCAACACTAAAGCAACTCCACGCTCATCATTATGATTCTCCAATCAAAATTGCATCTGGCTCAAAATGAAAGGTCGTTCCCATTCCAAAAGAATAGGGAGGTATAAGAATGGAACAATCGAGACGGCGAGATCATCAATCATAAATAGGTAAAGTATCGAATCAAAAGAATAGAATTAAAGTAGAGTCTCTTGATGCGCTATAATCCTCCATTCGCCGTCACTTCCCTGCGCCCACGTCGTGCTTCCCGTCGCATTATACTCCCTCTTCCCCCTATAGGCACTGATGCGATAGGTAATCGTACCGGCCATTAAATCAATCACCATCGGACGCACATCCATGAGCGAGAAATCATCGAAACGATGGAAGGGTGGCGCCAATACCTCTTGGAGAGTCTTTTCGTTTTTATCGGGTTGGTCGGGGTTGAGGGCGATAATGTCCTTGTTGGGGAAGAGGAGGTTGGCGCTGGGCGAGCAGAGCTTGTTGACGGCGTGGGCCGGGTCGGCAGACGTCAAGGCTGTCCAGAGCTGGCGCTCTTTGAGCTTGAGGTCTTCTTGAATACGTTCGTGCATGGACGGCATGGTGGCGGTTGGTTAGGCTGTTATTTATGAGGCTACTCAGGATGTTAGTATTGGTCGAACAGTCTCTGGCTGTGCAGTAGGCATACCTTGATATGATAACGAGTGTAGATGTATGCTTGATGGTGTCTGAGCTCTTGTGTAGATATGTATTCAGGATGTGGTGTTGAAAAAAGTGACGCAGTGAAGGAGGATAGAATAAATATCTCCCCCCACACAATGCCCTTGACGTCACTCGTCGAATGTCATCCAAGCCACACCACTCACCACTCTTTGGTATTAGATACTACTACTATCCCTGTTGCTAAGACACGCAATACACTCAGTAATAGTATACCCTGTCTGGCTCAGCCAGTCCCATACAACCACCCGCGCCATGACGTTGACCCGACCGTTGTGGCGGATGGGGATTGACGCGGTCTATGGTAGTCTGCTAGTCTCTCCACATGGCCGCGCACTTCAGCTAATCAGATTGGACAACGAGATTGGATATGACATCTGGGACATGGACGATCCGATCACTACGGAGCAGATGTCAACGGCGTGGTAGAGTCGCTAACGTATCCACTGGAAGGCATTGGTACTGTCCATGGATGTTGAGTTACACGGTCGTGGGACGATCGTCAATGGTTGAGCGACGGTGCCGTAGTCGAGAACTCTTGCGATGCGTGGAAATTCTCCGATATTAACAGAAGATCTTTGTAGAAACGTGGTGATAATGATAGTTCGACTCTTACTTTTAATTCTGAGATCGAAGAGATATTCCCAATGGAATCAAATTTGTGTGATGAGGAAGAGTTCTGGTGTTGTCGCTCATGACGTCATGACCCTGGCGATAAGCTGGGTCAGGACAGGAACTTTCTCTGACTGTCTTGAAGGAACGCAACAGCTCTAGTTAGTTATTATACAGATCGTTATCTTAGGTATACATAATCTACAAGATCCGCGACAGTATTGTCGGGAAATGCTGACAGGTCGTAAGTCACAATCGCGACATCAAAAACGCCAATAATGCACTGCCTTTGATTATCCACCCACTTCTGCCTTCGCAATGGTGTCTACCTTTGCGTTGCTCTCGTCCGTTGCATCGATATTCGCATTCGCATCAACCTCATAATCAACCGACGGTGCTTGTGGAGGGAGGTCTTGAGGAGGTGGCTGATTCGGCAAATTCGACATGTCTTTCGGCCTCGGCGGCCATTCCGGAGCCGGATAGCTGAGAAGTTTGCACACATCCTTTCGTTTCAATCTAAAATCTTCGTAGAGTTGTTTCCACMCCTCGCGATCGCGACAGCCACTCTCCTGAGGTGTGCCGGGGTTATGGACGCAGACCGGTTGCATCTTTGCGAGTTGTGCTGTAGGCCACAGAATCCAGGGTTTGGGCAATGGCCAGTCTGAAAAGTGCACCAGCTTAGCCTCGCTGAGGACCTTATCTGGGTTCCAGGTCTCGTAGTCATTGCCCAGAAATTTCTGGTGGTCTTTGGTACGGAACTCGCCCGTCACGAGACCGTACTGCCGATGTGGCAGAACAAGTGCCGACCCGCCATATCGTTGATTGAGCAGTTCCATGTCATATAACGCATCCCTCCCCGTGCCGAGTTGMCCCGCCTCTACCCCTTGCACCTTGTCCATTAACGCCTTGTATTCCTTGTAGGACGGCTCTAATAACACCAAGAGAGAGGTAAGTTTTATGTTTTCGGGTGAGTTCCAGTACGCTCGTGGCATCGCGACGGTGGAAGATGGGAGGAAGAAAAGTTCATCGAGGTTCTGGAGGATAAGAGTGTCCGAATCGATCTGTAGGATGCGGCGATAGGTCGTTTCTCGAAAAGCCCACAATTTGTTGATGCTTTCATCCCACGTCGCGCGGTCTTCTACATGCGGATTAGTATTAGATCAAAAATTTATTGTATGGTGTGGAGATGCATGCAGACGAAAAAAACATACCCGACTCGTGTTGATGCAGACTGTCCATCGTAACCGGCTCCAGTTGAACCTTGTACCGATCGTGTGCCAGATTTAACAACTGACTCAACCGATCATCCGCGAAGTTCACCTTCAAATCCCAATCCTTCGGATAAAAGAGAATCCTATCCGCGCGACTCCCTAAGCGATCTAACGCCTCAAACACCATCACCGAATTACACAGATACGTCTCATCCGTGGCATACTGCGTATAAGCATATTGAGTCCAATCAATGGCGTCATAATTGAGATACGGAGACAACCCTCGCGGCGGATGCGATCGGTGGAAAGTGATATAAAGGATAACGAAAAAGACGAGAGAAGCTATAACATATTTGCGTAGTCTGCGCGGCGTGATACCGGTGATGGCTGATCGCGGCGACCAGTCAGACTTGTAGTCGTCTCGATAGTCCTCGGGGTCTGAATCATCTGTCAAGTCGGCAAGGTCGAAAGAAACTTTCTTGCGGATGGAAGTCGCTGATAAATTGTGTCTATGCATGGGGAAAGTGAAAGAGATACAAAGAAAGAAAATAATTATAAGAAGCAGTGAAGTACAATCATCTCTAAGCGAGTGTAAGCGAGCCAGTCGTTGTCATTATTCGATTATACTTGTTGTTGTTGTTGTTGTTGATAAGATGAGGAAAGTGATGCCTCCTTTCTTGCCCTTCTTCCGCGTAATCCCCTGAGAGATTGCACGTGATTTATCTTATCGATATAGATGCAAACAAGGCAAACTCGAAAAGAGCAATTTTTCGGGGCTTCCCTTCATCCTTCTACTTGAATTGGACTGGAATCATTCATGATGTGTACTTTTCTTGGTGATCGAGTACTCGACAAGGATACCAACATCCTGCAGGCTATGACACAAATATCCTTGAACGCCCATATCCGCTAACATTTGCCACCCATCATTTCGTCAAGTGGTGATCACAAACGTAACCAGAGAATAGGCGGGCAGAGTCGCTTCAACGTCTCCGTTGCTGGACGCCGACAATGCCGCAGGCGATGAAACAGAATTATCCATGACATACGCCTCAACAGAAGCAACTGATACTCCGCTGACAGTCACATTCTGACTCGTTGAGCCCGAATTGAGCATGACCACAGCAACAGTTCCGTCTGTGTTTGTAAAAGCTGCACTTTTAGTATTGGTAGGAGTGCCAGAAGTGGCAACACGGACGGCGTTGGGACGAATATATCGTGAGAATAGTGCAAATGCCCAGAGTGTTGCAGACGGAGTCACGGTTGTAGATGAGCCGGATCCTTCGAGTGTGACGAGACCGGCCGCATTGCTATCGGATTGTGCACCTGGTTTTGTCACTTTAGTACTTGACATGATGCTCCCAGGCAGCTACATCACTACTCACCAACCCACTAAAGAAAAGCGCTGAGATCACACTCCACCAAACCTTGGTAAATATAACCAGCCCACGTGAAACCCTCACTAATTGCACCGAATGAATACCAGGTCGTACTAAACGCATCATCCAAGTCTGCATACTCAGTTTCCCACACTCTCAGTGTCGTATTAATAGGAGAAGTCCCCTGAGAGGTGTACCAATGTGATGAAATACGGGAAAGATACTCTTCCGCTCCGGCCGCGATGATTTGCTCTGTGTAGGTAACTTGGTCATTCCAGCCCTCAGCGTCACAGCAGACGATGCCAGTGCTGAGACCCGCTTCTTGGATTGCAGCATAGAGGATTGGTATGAATGATGCTGCCTACGTTCCGTCCGAAAGCATTGCATCGTATGATGCACTAGGACAACTCATGTTAAACTAGGTCTAGAACGATATATTAGCGAGAAATGATACTGACGCGAATTCGGGCTCGTTCAAGAATCCAATGAAATCGATAGTGACACCTTCACTTTCATAGTCCTGAAGGTATTTGACCAGATAATTCGCGAATGCTTGTCTCCAGTCGCCGGTAGTGCAAGTCTCACCGGTCACGCCACAGAGGTACCCGCCATCCTCCTTACACAGACAGTTACCAACCGAAAATCATTGGGTGATCGAGGATAATAACGTAGTCATCGTTCGTCTTCATAAATCCCGGAGCACTCCATGCATCTGCGTAAATATACTCCACACCCATCTCCCGTGCCTTTTGCGACCAAAACACCTTTTTCTCAAACATCAGCACCTATCTTTTACACACGATCCTTTGAAATATTTCTGGCACAAACCTGACTCTGATCGTCCCCATCCCACGTATACGTCAGCTGAAGGTGATCCCGGACTATTAGGCTCAATCGTATTGTCCGGATCGGCCGCAATCCGATTTCTCAGAATTGTCAGGCCAGCACCATCAGTCCTGTCAAAAAGATAAGTAAGAGCCTGATTCTGTTGAATAGTTGGCGCATCCTGAACGGCGACCCCGAATCCAAAGGCTTCCGAAAAACCAAAACCGTCAATAATTTGGTATGTGGTAGCTCTGTCGACGGTTACTTGTGCTGAGGCATGGTCTGGGGCTAGGCTTATTGCTAGTGGTATAAGGGAGGTGGAGGGACGCATGGCTGGATAGTAGTGCTCAATCAATGGTAGTTAGTCGCTGATGTACAATAAACAATTCCTCAACTTAGAATATCCGTAACTAGTCGCAAATCTCCTACTTATATTGACATATAGTATGGATTCAAGACATGGAAAAATGTTTGTTCATATTGTTCTAGGTTTATAATTGCCTACGTAATTGTGTGCCTTCATGAGGAGTCATTTTCCAGCCACATCAATTCTTGTCTCACGCCTAATTGCTTGTTTTGACAACAAATAAGAGAATATGTTAACAGCGTTTCCGCAAATCCGAGATCTGCAAGCCCTTCCCCATGGGATTCCGGATAATAGGTAGAAGCCATGTAACCCTGGAGTAGTTCATTGATTTGTATTAACCCTTTCTTTACCCGGACCCATATGTATATGCGAGTCAATATAATCCAAATCAACCGGGAATTGATCGGTGGAGAAATCAAAACCCGCATACCTAGGTAATATTGCTTGCCGATGCTCCACTATGGTCAGGGGAGTTGAGGGGACCAACCCTTTATCACACATTGAAACGGACCTGTTCAAATGAAAAGCTACCGATAACAAAAGCTTTTACTGCATACCACCTTTTTTTGTACGCGTATATGGCTTGTGGTGATTGAGTGACGCATAGAGTCAAACAGACACCCAGTCGTACGGAACTCGGGCACGCAAGCCCTAGCCCTAGCGTGCATATTTGGGAACAACCTCAGCGGTGCGTTCAATGCTTAGAGTTTCACGGCCTCTGTAGTAGAGCTGATGGCAGAGTTTCCTTGTTTTTCCCCGCTTCTATATGCTTAAACGTTCCTAATCAATCAATAAGTGTTCCGTTTACGGGAGTAATCATATTTGAAAACAATCGAAAATCAAACCCGATACCGTTGCCGTATGTCGCCTACACGTGGTTCACGACTGCCGGGAAAAGATTATTCTACAAGGCTTATATGGTCCAATCACGCGCCCAAGAAGTACTAGAGCTGAAGTCATTGGGGAATATTCTTGTGTCTGGGTATCATGGTTGTACAGTGGCCTGTACGTGCTCGCCGCGAGGGGCTTACACGGGGATGGAGGCATGTACGGGGGCCCTTTACGGGGGCTTATACACTGGCTCGTACTATATAGGGACGCATGCTCGGGTCAAGTACAGGCCATGCCAGTCCCTTATGGGTATGGAATCAACCATAGTTCTTTACGCGGGTCCCCTAAAATGAGGTGATTCGGTGGGCGGGACTTGTTTCGCAACCATGAGTCTAACGAGGCTACAGGTCCGCAATTCAAGAGCCGCAGGTACGAGTATCAAAGGCACTGTTGAACAAGATCTTCCATTCTTCGTACATTCTGCTCAACGCGGGTCCGACGGAAACATCTCTGAATTGACTTTTTTTGTGGCCTCGCTTGGAGTGTATGAGCATATATAGCATTATGAGGTTCCCAATCACGATGGCAAGAATGCAGGGAACCGTCATTGTATCTGAACCATTATAATGCGGGCAACAACTGTTTCGGTGGTTGCTTTGACGAGCGTATTCGCTGCACTGACCAGCGGATCCACGACCGGCCGACCGCAGAACGGCCCAGCATGCGTAAGTTACCATCAGCAGGGATTGATTCAGTGTAAGAAAATTAATGATCTCTAATTGAAGTATGAATTTGCTAGTGCCGCGCCCTGAAAGGAATTTTGCCTGCCGATACCTTCGTTTCCAACAGCACCGAGTACAATGCTGAGTATCACGACTATTGGTGTGAGTTGAATATCCTAATATATCGATTGATACATCCAGGATAAGCTAACTGGAATAGCGTCCACCGAGGATCTCACTCCTTCCTGTGTCTTCCTCCCAGACACGACGGACAAAGTCGCCCGAGCAGTCCAGCTTTTCACCCGCCTCAACTGCCAATGGGCCATCAGAGGTGGTGGTCATAGTCCCATTCCTGGAGCGGCTAATATCGATGGCGGAATACTTCTTGGAACAGATCACCTTAATACAATTGAGATCAACCATCAAGAGGGCTATGTTCGCGTTGGTGCCGGCAACCGCCTGGGTGCTGTTTACAATGCAACGGATCCACAGGATCTGGTTCCCATTATCGGAAGATACGAAGATGTCGGCCTCGGTCTTGCTGTTGGGGCTGGTTTCTCCTTCTTGTGCAATCGGGAGGGTCTGACCATCGACAACGTTCTCAACTATGAAGTTGTTATCGCAAACGGGACGGTTGTCAACGCCAACAAGACCAGCAACCCCGACCTCTTCTGGGCTCTCAAGGGTGGCAATAACAACTTTGGTGTGGTCACTCACTTCAATCTCAGGACGTTTCCCACCAATGGTACTGTCTATGGGGGAAACATCGTCCATCCGGAATCCTCCTTTGATGGGGTCGCGGAACTCTTTTACGACTATTTTACATACCAAGCGATCGAGGATACTCTGACCCATGTAATGCCCTCCTATGAATATATCGGCTCGACTGATGTCACAACTGCGGTCAGTCTCGTGGTCTACAATGAGGCTGTTGACGAGCTGCCTCCAATTCTGCAACCCTGGATTCAAGTCCCTTATACCAGCAATACCTTTTCTCGGAGAACATATGGAAGCCTCGCTCAAGAGGAGGGAAGTGGCATTTTTGATGGATTTGCGTGCGTAACTTGATTATCTGTCTCTTTTTCTGCTTTCACAGACAAATATAGAGTGAATCTCATGGGCTGACTGATCTATAGCGTGGACCAGCGTCTCTTTAGCGTCTTCCCTGATCGAAAATTTCTTAAAGAAGCATGGGACATACAACTTCAATGGCTCCGAGACCGTAAGGACGTGCCAGGTCTGGTCGGAGTTCAGGTTCCTATGCCTATCACCCCAAATCAAGTCGCCCAGGGGGTTGCCAAAGGCGGAAACGCCCTTGGCCTGGATACAACTAACGAGGGAAAAAGCATAGTGGGTATGTATTTACAAACCCCAAAGTAACCCCGTCATAGGACTTGAATGGGTAGTTTTCACTAATTATTCTTCTAGTTATCTTGATGCTGCTCAACTTTAGCAATCTCTCGGATCTTCCACGTTTGAGGGTCGAGCACAATGCCTTAATGGAAGAACTGGTTGATCTGGCTAAAAAGCGTGGCGTTTACCATCCTTATATGTACGCATATGTTCAAACCCCTCTAAGGCGTTTATCATTCTAAATACAGCTAACCGCGCCTCGTCACAGAATGCTTACCTACTCCGGAGCAGGTCAGCAGGCCATCGCCTCGTACGGCGCAGACAATGTTGCAAAATTGCGAAAAATCGCGAGGGCTTACGACCCAACCGGTGTATTCCAGCACTTAGTTCCAGGAGGTCAGAAACTCCCTTCGGACTAGAGCTAAGAAATAGCTCATGGATGATGGACCGAGTGCAAAGGGCTTGGCTGGTAACAACTGTGGAAAATAGAAATTCTGTGATTTCGCATTACTACCAGATTCTATATTTAGCTTTCTTTCTTACATGAATGGCCCAATGCAATCGGCAACTTATGCAGGGCAATCCCCTCTTTGAATATGTTTATTTTCTCTTATCTACACATACACACTCATTTTCCTCCGGCTGGGAATTCTTCATATATTTGGCATCACTGCAGACATTCACCAATATTCAAAAGCATATCGCGAACGCCTCTTCTCTTATCATTTATCTACATCATATGCATGCATACCACCCTATGTACTATATGATCTGCGCAGGATGTCACTCCCGGTTTACAATCTTCACGTCAATGGGCGTGTTCCATGAGAGTAGGAAATCCATGACTCGTGAGATTTGCTCCGGCTGCATCTGCTGGAGAATCATGGTTCTGCTCTGGATAGATTCCCGATCTGGCGGCGTCAAATCCATATCTGGAACTTGATCCCAGTCCCAATCAAGGCTTGTTTGCAATTCATCAACTGTAAGCCTTGGATCAGTCGTTATAGTATTGGATGTGGTAGTAGTAGTAGTAGTAGTTCTAGTAATAGCGTCAAGTTGCATTTTGCGCTCTTCACTTTGAGCTGTATTTATCCGGCTATCGTCGTTACAGAGCGCCGGTGTAGGGCAGTCGGTTCCCATGAGTATACCGGTACCCATCACGTAATCTACCCAGGACTCCAGCGACCCTGTGTGCTCTATCTCCATCTCGCCCAGTATCTCGGGAGTGCTACCATTATGTGGCAGTTCAGAAGGGCTGGCTGTATTTGATGGTTGTTTACCAGCACTGTTCGCGCTTTGGGAAAACATATCACTATCAATATGGAGATCTTCGTGCCCTAGTTCTGAATTGGCTGTGGTGGAGATAAGCACGCGGGCCTCTCCTCGTTGTCCTGAGCTGGAGGGATTTCCACTTATGGATTCAGTAGTCATGAAGTAGGACCGTGGAAATATGTTAGGCTGTGGTGAAGGCGAGGATTCTGCAGTAGCCGGCGTTGTTCTACACACTGGGGATGTAGAACTAGAGTTGTTTGTGGCCTGTCTCATCCTCTGTAGAATTGTGAATCTATAGCAGTGAAATGATTAGATGCCCGCCGTATCAAGTACACATTCAATCGATCAATTGACTTAAACAGAACAGTAAGGTAAGCAAGTAGATGACTGACCGGTTTTTGGCATCGTTGGCAGACCTACGGTGTAGCACTTCGTCGACTATCTGTGCCCAATTTCGACCTCTCTTCTCAACTTCTGCGAGGAGAATATTGTCTTCCTCTGGTGTCCATTCACTGCGATCCAGGTCTGGGTCCAGAAAGTGTTGCCAACGTTTGGCGCATTCTATTTCAAGTCATTCGGTCAACTCTTTTCAATCCGATATCAAACACGCAAATAATATACGTAAGTAAAGAAATCACGCACGATCTGGTTGACGAGTTCCCACTACCTGAGCAACCTCGGTCCACCTGTAATCATGCAGTTAGTTTCCACGAGTAATATCATGTGGATAGGTATCAATTGCAAGTAGACCAGAAAGGATTACTTACACGGTCGAATACTTTGCGACGCCCTCATGAAGGCGCTTATTCTCCTCTTGGCTCCAAAGACCCTTATTGATCTTACTATCCAGCTTGATCCATCGCTTCCTACAATCTTCTCGCTCCATGTGTCAGAAGCTGTTAAAAATGAAGCTGTTAAAACTGCGTCGTACCTTTGTTGCTTCTCCCCGGCAACTTCTCCGCGATTGCTCGCCAGTCTCTAGGCTTTCCTAGTCTTGATGCTGTAGAACCATGATGGTAATCCAATATGTCAACTCTACGCTCTTTTTCTTCGATGTGTTCACAATGTATGTAACTAATTCAATGGAGCAAAAGTCTCACTAAAGATCAATGTACCTTGCTTGACAACTTCCCCACGCAATATTCGATCTTCTTCTTCCGCCCACAAGTTTCGAGCTTTTAGTGTGTTCTCGCCATGCATTGTACCGCATCGACATCAGAAAGTTTAAAAACAAAGGAGAAGCAATGAAAGGAAATAAAGGGAAACCAATAAGGCGAACGTGTTTCGGGAAGGAGGATTGCAGGACTCGGCAGGCAACCTTGGATTGGCAGCGACATGGGGACCTTGTCACTATCATAATATGGCGGCTGAAAGCATGAAGAAAACGATCGAGATAAAAAGCGAAAAAATTGTCCAATACGCGGGTCCCGGAAGCATGAAACAAAGCAGAATAAATACTGTAGAGCATTTCAGCCCTGACTTTTGTTATGCATTGCGACCGGCACGACTTGCAGAGTTGTTTTGAATAACCTCCTGATGATTTGAGTACGGCCGTTCGCGGGGGCGAGATGGTGAGGCCTGACAAGGGTAGTCGGAGGTCTTACTCAGATTTTGGCGCTTGTTTATGTCATTATTGGCGATACGATGCTTGCATGTACTCCCCCGCAGTGATTTGGCTGTATCGTAACAGAAGCTATACATATTAATTTACGAACAAGATCTCAGAGTAAGAAGCTAACCTTCTCTGTACAGTGCACAAATTACCTATAAAACGAGAGCTAATCACAAACATCATTGTGCTCTTTTAGCCCCTTACCGTTATCGTATGTGTGCGGCGCTCGATATGTTGGTTATATCACCCAGCAGACATAATTGGCGGGGAACGGTATAGATCGTATAGATCCCTGCTACCAACACAATCACATTGATGAGCGCGTCTGTGATTGAACATATTTGGCTTCCATTGATCCAGAGAGGCTGTGCAGGTGCTGGGTCTGGCTACGTTATATTCAGTGTGATTTATACTCCTCCTAGGCATGCTCCGAGGTCTCAAGTATGTGTACTTTGGAGTCGACGAGCAATATGAAACAGGAATATTTTACAGTCTCCCCGACCTTCATTTTTGAGTATGTGTTTTTGACTCAGTCATATTCTACGTTTATGCATAACTACAGTCATGCGGGGCGCCACAATCGAACTCGACGTGTGACAATATTTGTTTAGATATAAGTGCTGTATTTAAAGAAGACTAGAAGTTCTATGTTGTCGTCTGTGCAGCCCCTAAAATCTCAATGAAGTAGCATAATTGGCGCCTACAAATCAAGTCCATCTCTTGGCGGAACGTCGCCACACCCGGACTTGATTCTACGTAAAACCGACTCTAATTCCGGTTTTAACACTCTTCTAAAAATGGATTAAGTTGCTTCGTAGTGAAATGCCCCTAAACTGTTCCGAGTCGTAGTCCGAAACCTTCAGACCCTGAACCGGTTAAATACACTTTACGCTTTCGGCAACACTTCCCTAGGTATGACACTGATGTTTTCCCATTCGCCTTTCAGACAATTGCCTGATCCATTTGAAGCCTGATACGATTACCAAGATGTGTTGATTTGTGATCAAGCAAACAAGACTTTCAGCGCCGAGGTCATGCCCAGAATAATGCACTTGTTTGGTGCCTACAACCGCCACACTTCACCCTCTCACCATCCTTGCCACTGATGCTTTACATATACTCAGATTACTGACTAAACATCCTTGGCACAGTGCCACGCACTTTATACATACGAAATGCTCAATTACTCATTTATATGGGGATAGGCAACCCTAGGAAGACTGCCTTGCATGGGTAGGATACCGCAAAACTGTCTTGATTGGTTAGCCCGATACGACTATGGTTTGTTTACACCCCAAGGGTCATAAGTATCGTGACATATCAACTGATGATGGTCAGGCCGCTGAACCCTAGACTGTGTATTAAACCTTGATCCCCACGTTCCGCCCTGAAAAGAATTTGATCAAGGATTGGCAGATATTGTGGAGCCCCGCATTCTACAGTTCTCGTATTTCAGATTGTCTCCCGATGTATGTGTAAATGTGAGAGGGTGATGTCTGGCTGCTGGCGGACGCCTTAATTATTTTTTTTTTTTTTAGCTCAAGGATTCGATTCCATGCAGATAGAGCTTCAGAGTACCCCCAAAGGAGGACCGTGACACATTTTAGAGCCTCCCCTAGTGTTCTTCCAACTCAAATCCACAAAGATTTTCAAGATTAGGTGTCTAGTCAACACATGCGCTAGGGGACTAGCGGGTGGAATAATATAAGCTTATATAGGTAGTTCAAACTAGATAATCATTGGGTAGAGATAAGTTTTGATTGAAAATCCATCTGAATACAGTCATGTATTTCTCAAGGTTACTACATAAAATTAGGTATGACGCTAATGTATGTTTACGTTGCAAGAATAGACTATCGTGAATGCCCCCACCTTCCGTTCTCGATATTCTTGTACTTCATCCTATCTCATGTTTACAGTATAAGCGAGGCAACGTCTGGCTACTGGCCAGATAGCCTGGTGTATTTGGCTCATTAGTTGCATGACATGTGATGAGTGTTCTGGAATGCTCCCTGGGGAGCGATCCGTGACACGATGTCATGTAATGCAAGGTTAACTGGAAATATTGTCCGACGAGATTTCATGCTAGTTGGTTGAAGAAAGGTTATCAGTGAGTTGGGGCTTGTTAAACCATCTGAATACACGTAATTATGGCCAATGTGGAGTGCACAGATGACGACCCGGATCAAACTTCCAATAAACTTCAATCAGTTGCTAACTGAATAAGGTTGGGCAAGGTCAATTTTAACTGTGTCTCGATCCCAACGTCGTTTTCTCCGCATTTCCTCTGTATTTATTGCTGCATACAAGTCTGGAGATACTCACTTTACGAGGAGTCTCACCCGAAGTATGACTACTTGGAGCTTCAGCTCGCAAAATTGGGGGCTGGAAAATAATTAGATCAGCTTGAATCCCTTTGCCCAGCCTTGGATACGAAAAGACCAAAAAGGAATCATCAGTCGAACGTTCGTGTCATAATGCTGCATAAATCTCTATGACAACACTCACAATGCTCATACGCGGGTCCAGCGCTGGCGGCCCGTCCCGTCCCGATAGGTTCCTCAATTCAGTTACATTAGTTAAATCCTGTGGCCTATTGAGTAGATCTGCTAACTAGCTGTTATGTTAGTCTACGCAGTAGACCCGCGTACACAGTATTTCCCATTCATCAGGTTGACGATAGCGGCGACTGTGGACGACTGCTTACTGTACAGCATGGATTTGCTAGTTCTGCGTCCCCTTCGGCCTTGCCAAATCATGTTTCGACAATTAGTCCTCTGGGCCGTGTACTTACGGTGCTACCGTCGACCAGTCGGGCCCGAGTGTTTTCCCCAAAGCCCTTCAAAGCTAGTTCAATTGACAAATGTAAACTCGTGATCTGGAGACACATGTCCAAGAAATTTAGGTATTATCAAACCCCTTGACAGCTATCTCTCTCGAGTTCCACCCATTGAAGGGGGAGTGAGAAAAACGGTACACAACCTTCACAACGATGCTGTTGCCAATACTCTACACTTGGATCGTATTGTCAATTTTTACCTGGTACTTCCGATCCTATCTACGGCTACGACATGTCCCCGGGCCGTTCTGGGCTAAGTTTAGCAATTTGCCCCGGTTTTTCTGGGTTGCTGGAGGAAAGGCTCATGATGTTCACATTAAGCTACACCAGAAGTATGGAGATCTAGTGCGGATAGGCCCAAATATCGTCTCCGTGACAGATCCGGATGAAATTCCCAAAATATATGACTTCGCAGGGAGATATCTCAAGGTGGGGGCAATCCTGTCTATAGTGACCAAGATGCACTCTCTTTCAAGAAAACTTTTGAGTATAACTGAAATAGAGAGTGAAAAATAGACTGTTTGCTAACATAGATACCATATAGACCGACTTTTATCGCGTTCTTACATTCACTGCTGGGGGAAGACTAGTAAGAACGATTTTTTCTACTCAGGATGGCCAAGAGCATCATACCTTACGAAAACCAATTGCCAACTTATACTCGATGAGCTACATTGCCTCCCATGAAAAGCTTGTGGATCAGACAATGGATCATTTTTTCAGGCGTTTGGATGAGCTTTTCGTTGATACTAATGACGTTTGCGACTTGGGTACCTGGATCCAGTATTTCGCCTGGGATGTGATCGGAAATCTCACCTTCTCCAAACCGCTAGGGTTTTTGGAGCTTGGTGGCGATGTGGAGAATATAACTGAGAGTATTGGAAAGTTTTTTGGTCTCAATGGAATGGTATGTATACATATCTTCACCCTGGTTGCTCTCTCCGTGAGTCTAATCAAAATAGATAACGCAAATGCCTTGGTTGGACTACCTGTTCTTCAAAAATCCTATTCTCCGTAGGGTTAAAAACGAGAAGGCAAGTCCGGTTGTAACATTTGCTATGGCAAGAGCCAAAGAAAGGCTTGAAGAGCTTGAAAAGAATAAGGCAGAGACAATGAATGATAGAGATTTCCTTTCCGGTTTTATTAATGCGATGTCCAAAGATCCTTCCATTCCAAAGTCGTATGTCTTTTCCCTTTCAAAGTCTCACAAAATATCTGAATTTTTTTTTTGCTTGCTTATATCTGAACCTCTTATCTCTATTTGCAGGGCCTTGGCTGCATGGGCAACCTCCAACATGACAGCTGGCAGCGACACGACCTCAATTCTGACCCGAAGCGTGTTCTACCAGCTCTTAAAACACCCCGAAAAGCTCCAGTGTCTATTATACGAGCTTGACCAAGCGGAGCAAGAGGGTCGCCTATCAGAATATGTGTCGTGGCAGGAAGCACAACAACTACCATATCTAGACGCTGTCATCAAGGAAGCTGGACGCCTGCATCCGCCATTTGGACTTCATCTAGAGCGCTATGTGCCTCCTGAAGGTGCAATCATCTGTGGCACACATTTACCAGGCGGTACAATTGTGGGCACCAACTCATGGGCCATCCATCGACGCGAGGATACGTTCGGAAAGGACGCCGACGAGTTCAGGCCGGAACGATGGCTGTGCGATGAAGCAGAACGACGGAAAATGGGACGCGCTATCCTTACTGTAAGCAAGAAATTTTGATATTTCTTTTTCATTCTGACCTTCCATGGTTTCCTTTCAACTTGATCAAAGGTCTAATTCACTCTGTCTCTCTTTCCAGTTTGGAGCCGGTCGTAGAGTCTGCCTGGGTAAGCATATATCAATTCTAGAGATGTATAAGCTTATCCCCAGTGTTTTTCGGCGGTATAAGGTTAGTTTACCCTGGCAATCTCACGTAATTTGTTTTCTGGGAACAAGGGTCTAACACACTGCAACGCAATAGCTTGAATTTGCGGTGCCCAATGGCCGCTCCTACCATGTGCACAACGCATGGTTCACACATCAGACGGGCTTAGATGTGAGATTTGAGAAGCGGACAGCTAGCAATTGAGGTTCTGAATCTGCACTCAATTCAGCCTCTCCCAGCCCATGTCTGTTATTTCCCCTGCTGCTGCTTTGTTTTCCATATGTATATGCATTATTCGTATTAGAAAAAAGATATTGTCTAATGACGCCTTATGACTGGCAGATCGTCATTGCCTTGGAAGCCTTGATCATAATGCGACTATAGACATGGAGACGAATCGTTACCATCTTAAGAATACGTTGGGCTATGTACCAAAATATCAGGCGGTACCTCTGGCCAGACTATCACTTGATTTATTAACTTGAAATCATGTAGGAGCTACTCAAATACCTACTATTATCTACTATGTTAGGGAGACGGAATAAGTGAAAGCGCTGTACCCTGCTCCTCATGGTATATGATCAGTCCAGAATTACTTGGCGAAAACTCCTCATTTTACCACACTCAGTATCTTGTAGCATTCCAATTCCTCATCTCTCATACCTAAAATATGCGTCAATTATGGGAAATTCGTATGTATGTGCTGAAAACTCTAAACATAAGCTCTGAATTTATCTTTTGTTAGATCAGTGACAAGATCTAATCTCAAATTACCATGACTAATGCTCTGCTCTAGCTATTTTCTTTTAGCTCCTTTGAGAGATAACAGCGGACCCGACTCCCCCGAGTACATATTCATATTTTCGTATGCCCAATGCCCAGTGCCGGAATTTCACCTCGAAGTAACACTTAGAGTGGGTCATCACAGCAACAGACAACCTTAAATTGTTGGATGTAATGAACAACTGAGGCTGCAGCAAGTTTAAGTGTGTTCCGGACAATTTCTGAGCGCAAACTATGGGTTCCTGTCAATAGGCAAATCCGCTGTTAGGCTCGTATAGTAACGCCACACTCTAGTACGTACTTGACAAAGATGTCGCTTGACTCGCTTCTACGATGGCGAATTCGGTCGCAAAATTCCCTGACGCTAGGAGCTTAGAACTACTGAATATATAGAGTATCTTAACGGTGCAAAGCGGAATGGATCCTTTTTCTGTCTGCCGGATACAAGGCGCTTTATTATATGGTGGGGGCCATTGGCGCAGGATTGATCACGATTTCCCATTTTCGTTGTTCTTGCTTTAATGTTTGTTGTATGGAGTATTGTTTTTTATATTAGATCCCAAAGTAAATGATTTGGGGTTAGAGCAAGGCCCTAACCATAATCTTCTCACTAAATTTTACGCCGGGTACCTATTATTGGAGCACTTGAGGTCATATTTCATGAAATGCATCCAGGCCCCGCGTGCTAGCGTCGGCGCGCCCGTTGTTTGTTCTTTGGCTCAGGCGTGGGCCCCATAATGACTCGGTGTACCAAATATACATATAACCAAGAAGATTCCCATTATCTCACGGATGAACAGATCCCTCTGTACTCCAACGCTTCTCCCCTCGAGACATAATGATTTCGTTCATACGATTTGGGTCCATCTTGGGGTTGATTGCGCAACTAGCCGCAGCCGCCGGGTCCTATAACATATCACCCTTGGTTAGAAAGCTGTCCCCTGGCGCAGAGGTGTTTTATCCATCCGCCGCAAATTGGTCGGAGGTAACTCCACGATGGTCAACTAATGATGCCCCGACCTTTTTCGCAGCTATTAAGCCAGCAACTCCCGGCGACGTCCAAAATATCGTTCGTTATGCATCGAGGAATCAAATTCCTTTCCTTGGCGTGGGAGCGGGGCACGGCTTCACGACGACTTTGGGTGAATTAAAGGAAGGCCTGGAAATAGACTTAAGCCAGTTTAATAAGGTTTCCGTCGACGCTAAAAACAATAGGATGACGATTGGTGGAAGTGTCAGGTTCGAAGAGATTTTGGATCCTTTGTATGCCGCTGGCAAGGAAATTCGTAGGTCAGCCCCACGAGATTTGAATTATCCACTCGGAATGAACCGTTAACAGGGAGCGTGATTTTCGGCGGTGGTAGAGGTTGGAAGTTGTCCCTGTGTCGGCATGGTAGGGGGCTCTCTTGGAGCTGGTGTCGGAAAGTACCAAGGCGTTCATGGGCTGATCATCGATGCCCTGGAATCAGTAAAATTAGTTACTGCCACAGGAGACTTGATCACGGTATCCAAGCATCAGGAACCTGACTTGTTCTGGGGCTTGCGTGGTGCCGGTTTTAACTTTGGCATCATCACCGAGGCTACTTATCAGGTTTATGACTTGACGAATAACGGCTCSGTGATGAACGCGGATTTTGAGTTCGCAGGAAATCTCAATCAGACCTTCTTTGAGTTTTTGGCGTCATTCAATGGCAAGCTGCCTCCAAAGTTAGCCTTATTTGGTGTTCTCGCCAACGACGCCACTGTTGGGGTGAGTTTGAATGTCCTCGTGGCTCAAGTACGATCTAATTTGTATGAACGGGCTCCGCTGACCGTAAGCTTGTGAATATTTGCTAGCCCACGATTCTTCTCAACGCCGTATACATCGGCCCTCAAGATGAGGGTCTTGCTTATCTCCAACCCCTTTTGGAACTACCCTACCTTAGACGAAACATCACCCAATTGACGTGGAACACAGTGTTTGATGCACACATGTTTGGCTCTATAGCGGCCACCTGCAAGGGCGGAAACCCGCAAAACAATTGGTCACAAGGGTTGGCAGGTATCGACGTACCGACGCACGTTGCCTATTATAACGCGTTAGCCGATCTCTGGACGCAACACCCTGCGGCGGCCAATGCGATTCTATCTATAGAAGTTTTCTCCCCACAAACAGCACTTAGTGTTCCTGACGGAGAGACAGCATATCCATGGCGAGATACCGCAGTTCAGATGTAAGCGAATTACGCCCAAGCAAGAAGATCTGGTCCATGATCAGTTAAGTGACTGATATATTCTATCTGCCCTACTACTAGTATTCTCAACTTCCCCGTCAACGATGACACGGTGACGAACTTTGCAGAGAAATGGGTCCCTGAATTTACCGAGACTGGCGGCTTCAACGAGTCGCGGGKGTATGTGAGCTATGCACACGGAGATGAGAGTCTAGAAACAAAATACGGCAAGGAGAAGCTGCCTCGTCTTACGGCGTTGAAAACGAAGTGGGATCCAAAAGGCCTCTTTAGTTTCAATAACGGGTTGCCAGTATATTAAGTGAAGAGTTGTTAGTAGATGCCGAGACCAATGTCGCTGACTATTAGAAGGAGAAGCTGGGAATTCCTCATTGTATCAATAAATATTATTCTTGATACTTGAAAATCACAAGGAGATAGATTTCTCATACGTGTATGTACCTAGTGCAACAGATTTGCTAGGCTGCCGTTTACGTTCTTGCTCGGTTTTCTTGATAGGATACCAGATACCAAAATGTGATGGACGTAGCCATTATTTGTACAAAAGATCAGTGTAAAACAGTAAAAAGTCACAAGGATTATTTACTACGTCCTCCTCGCCCCCGGTAATTCATCTGAGAAAGTTTTCTAGGGCTTAGAGTAGCACGTGATATTCATATTACTAAGTATTATACTGGCATTTGATTGGTCACTTGAGTTAAGACCAGATTTATTTAGGGTGGAATTCTTGGCATGGGTCGAAAGAAAAACATCTCTTTTATCAAACTAACAACGAGGTTTTTTTTATGACAATTCACCTGCAACTTACGAAAGGGGGCAGCAGGTATCGAGACTAGATACATGTAAGAGAGGATACTGGAATTCCGTTATAGTATTGATTGGTGTTATATTCTCGGTAAAAATCTGGGATAACAAAACGCCTTACTATACGAATTTCAAAATTATTTACGACTATGTTACATAATGCCAATTAGCTGGGAGCTCTGTAGATCAGCGGGCTCACCTGAATTTCTGATTGCGTGGCTAAGGCGCTCGACAGGGAGCCGCGAGTTGGAAGAACGCGCCGACCTGATTCAATTGAGCCTACTTCCTACCATGTCCTTGCCTTGTGACAGTACTTAGCTCCCCATGAATGAACTGATAGATTTACTCAGTACAATACAAACGCGGGCCCGCGTGAGGGAGTTGTTGAGGTGTCCTAGGTATTCCAGTGAGCTTTTGGGACGAGGTGCGATGGGCCCTGGCGCTGCATCGGACGACTTGCCTAACCCCAAGAGGGGACCCGCGCAGCAATCGACATGCATTTGCAAACATTTGAAGCATTTACATATTGAACGAAAGTAAATATGCATAAAACACAAGAACTCTCATTGACTGTCTTCAAATTCTCTCCACCAAACATCTCAACGCTCTATCCGAACTCTTCAACGACCGGAAAAAGGATTGACGATCAACTCACCACCAAGATGGTTGACGGTTACCCAGAAAATGCCGTCGCTGTCATCGGCATGGCTTGTAAATTCCCTGGCGCAGATTCGTTAGATGACTACTGGCAGCTGCTGGACGAGGGCAAGTCTATGTGTGAATCGGCACCCGAGAGTCGCTTCGCCACGACAGAAAATCGACGGCATCAGGAGAAATCTATTTACAACGGCAACTGGATTTCCGACATTGATGCCTTTGATCACAAATTCTTCCGCAAGTCCAGTCGTGAAGCCGCCTCGATGGACCCACAGCAACGTCTTTTGCTACAGGTTGCCTATCAAGCACTTGAATCCTCGGGTTATTTTGGCCCAGTCGAACCACGTACAGATGTCGGTTGCTATGTCGGTGTCTGCGCATCCGATTATAATGATAATGTGGCAGCACATCCACCAAATGCATTTTCAACACTAGGCACCCTTCGTGCATTTTTGACGGGGAAAATCAGTCACTACTTTGGCTGGACGGGCCCCTCTGTGTCCGTTGACACAGCGTGCTCATCTTCTATGGTGGCTATTGATGCTGCCTGCAACGCGGTTCAGCTCGGTAATTGTTACAGCGCCATCGCTGGCGGCGTTTCCCTTTTCACAAGTCCATATTTCTTTCAAAACCTGTCCGGAGCCTCATTCTTGAGCCCAACAGGGCCGACAAAGTCATTTGATGCGGATGCAGACGGGTACTGCCGCGGGGAGGGTATTGGTTTGGTAGTGTTAAAGAAGTTGTCGAATGCCTTGGCCGACAATGATAACATTCTAGGCGTGATACTCTCTAATGCTGTTGCTCAAAGCAGTAATCTCGTTCCAATCACTGTGCCATATAGCCCTTCACAGACCTCTTTATACCGTAGAGTCCTCAAGCAAGCGAATGTGTCTCCGGAAGAAGTGACCTATCTGGAAGCCCACGGCACTGGGACGAGGATCGGCGATCCACAAGAATATGATGGTATTCGCGAGGTATTTGGCTGCCAGGGCCAACGTGAGCAGCCTTTTCACTTTGCTTCAGTGAAGGGCAACATTGGCCATACCGAAGGTGCATCAGGCGTGGCCGGCCTTATTAAAACATTGTTGATGATGGAGCGACGTGTGATACCAAGACAAGGCAGCTTCAAGCAATTGAACCCGAAGATCACCTTAGAACCAAACTTGATGATTCCTACATCCTCTGTACCGTGGACTGCCAAGACATTGATTGCTTGCATCAACAACTACGGTGCTGGCGGGAGTATCGCAGCCGTGATAGTCAAGGAAGCTCCCAAATTATCCACACAGAAGAAGTCTTCTTCACTAGCGATTCAGGCTCGCTATCCCGTCTTTCTCTCGGCACACTCTCCCCAAAGTCTCAGTGAGCTAGCCTCAAAATTACGCACGTATATCAACCACTTGCCTCCTTCATTGACCAGGAACACCCTGGCGGATTTTGCATTTAACCTAGGAGATCGACAAAATAGATCTCTGTCGAATATAGTGGCAACTACCGTGTCTAGCATGTCTGAACTTGACGATCAGCTCCGCATTTTGTCATCTGTGCCTGATTCTGCTCCTGCGCAGACAGCTGTGGTAGACCCCAAGCCAATTGTACTCGCATTTGGGGGCCAAACTAATCGATCCGTCGGACTCAACCCGGCCGTGACAGAGGCGTCCGGACTGTTTCGGTCTTATCTTGACGAATGTGATCGAATTCTGAAATCACTCGGTAGCAATAGCATCTACCCCGGCATTTTTGAGTCCAACCCGCGTGATGATATCGTTGGTCTTCAGACAATGCAGTTTGCCGTGCAGTACGCCTCCGCCAAAACCTGGATGGATTCCGGTTTGCGTGTTGACTATATCGTGGGCCATTCATTTGGTCAGCTCGTTGGAATGACTGTCGCAGGCATCCTATCTCTCGAGGACGGTTTGAAGCTAGTCCACGGCCGTGCTGCGCTGATGCAACAGGGATGGGGACCCGAGCGCGGAGAGATGGTCGCTCTAGACGCTGACCTCAAAACTACGCAAGAGCTTATCGCAACCTCATCACCAAATGACAAGCTAGAAATTGCATGCTTCAACGGACCGAAAAGCCACGTTGTCGTTGGCTCCAATGTCGCCATCGATGGACTAATCGACAAACTGCGGGTTTCCTCAGCTGTGAAGTATAAGAAGTTGAACGTAACACATGGCTTCCATTCCCGCTTCACTGACGCTATATTACCGGCCCTGGAATCTCTCGCAGAAACCCTGACTTACTGCTCTCCGCAGATTCCATTTGAAGCATGCTCGGATGGATCATCCTGGTCCGCTCCCACCCCACAGCTGATTGCGCAACATACCCGTATTCCGGTATACTTAGGACAGGCAATTAGTCGCATTGTATCCCGTCTTGGGTCATGTATCTGGCTCGAAGCAGGATCTAACTCATCTATCACAAGTATGGCACGCCGTGCTGTAGGCGACGACGTGCAAAGCCACAGTTTCATTCCCCTTAATCTTAGCAGCCCTGGCGCTATTGGGTCTTTGGCTGATGCTACAGTCCAACTATGGCGTAATGGCCATCATCGAATTCAATTTTGGCCATTTCATCGTTCTGAGAGGGTTTCTTATACGCATCTCAGCCTACCACCTTTCCCATTTGAGAAAACCCGGCACTGGCTGGAGTGGGTGGAGGCCAAGCCTGTCGCTMCCCCAGCCGCTATTTTACAGGACACAGACAAGGATAACCACAATAACCAACTTCTTTTCTCTCCCATGTGGCTCGATGCTAATCGGCAAACTGCTAGAATTCGTGTCAATCCTCGCACCGATGAATGGCACAGAGTAGTTGAAGGCCATGCTGTCCTCAACAATCCTCTGTGTCCTGCGCCACTCTACATCGAGCTGGTCGCCCGGGCGATGAAAATTCTGGGGCTTGGTGAAGTGTCTGCATTTCACTCTCTGGAGATTATTGCACCCTTGGGATTGAGCCAGGATGGGGATTTGGCTCTGCAGCTCGAACAGCAAACCAACAATAATTGGTCATTTTCCTTTGTCTCGCAGCCGCTCAATGCACCAAAACAGGACCTAGCCGTGCATGCGACCGGAGCTGTCACCATTGCCAGCGATAACAATAGTGTAAAGGCTGAGTTTGATCGAACTGCGCGACTACTTCCCTATAGCCGGATCAAGGAATTTCTTTCCCAGGAAGATGGAGAGGCTATGCATGGTGCTCTCATTTACAAGGTATTTAATCGGGTTGTCCAGTATGACGACTACTACAAGGGAGTTTCACACGTCGTGGCTAAATCCGGTCAAGTTGCTGCAAATGTCGTACTTCGCAATCCGCCGTTGTCGTGGGCCGCAGAACAGGTCTGTAATCCACTGGCCTTGGATAACTTCTTACAAGTATCTGGACTGCACGTTAATAGTCTAAGAGACTGTGCGGACACGGATGTTTACGTGTGTACCAAAGTTGATCGACTATCAATAAGTCCAAGTTTCTTTACGTCTTCATCACAACCTGGACATGGTTGCTGGGGGGTGTTTTCGAATTTGAACGTTATCAACGACAAGCAAGTTGAGAATGATGTTTACGTTTTTGATGCTACAACCGGAGAGCTTGTTTTGACGGTGGTCGGCGCTCAGTTTAGCAGAGTTCTCATCAACTCGCTTAGCAGGGTATTATCGAGAGCTAATAACTCGAGCATATCTACCACCGCAGCGGCAACGACCACAATCACCACTGCATCGGTACTACCTGTTCCAGTCACAGCACCATTCTCCGAAAGTCCTTTTGCTAGTACCCAATCGCCTACAGCACCGTCTTCATCTGCCACCAAGGCCAGGGTGGTACGAAAAAATAAGACGCCAAATATAGATAAAGAACTCCGACAGCTGCTCTCTAGGATTACAGATGTTCCCGAGGAGGAATTCAGTGGTCAAGCAACACTCGAAGATCTCGGTATTGATTCATTGATGATCACAGAAATAGTCTCCGAGATTAGTACTACCTTCAGCATCAGCATCCCACAGGAAGATTTGCAAGATCTTGTGACATTTAAATCTCTTAGTACCTATCTTGCGCGTAGGGGTGCTCGTGGAAACAGCGCCGATGAAGAAGAGGAGATTGTCGAAAAAGATGATTCGCCAAATCTAGTGGTTCTTTCCGATATCGCGCCTGCGGTTCCCAATACGGTCCGCGCAGATTCTAAGAGAGACGAAAGTCTTCGGCTGCAATTAGCTCAATTGGTTGCAAGCCATTTAGAGGTCCCGGCAAGCAACTTCGTTCGAACAACAAACTTGGCTGATCAGGGGCTCGATTCGCTCCTCTGCATGGAACTCGCAAGTGATATTGAGCGTTCTTTTGGTGTAAGGATTGACGTAACCCTACTTACTACAGAGTCCAACTTTGGCGACCTAGTCGACATGGTCTTTGGAAGGGGCAATGGGAGCGAAAAGCCACTACTCCCATCCTCTATATTATCTAGCTCAGGAACTGAGAGCTTGGGAACTTCTACCCCAGCGGGTACCGATACCGACTATGAGCAGATCTCACTCCCGGATAGTGGGTGCAACTCCATACAAGCTTTTGAAAAGATTCAGTTCGACTATGACCAATATGCGAAGGAACTGGGATTCATAGGGTTCTGGAAGAATGTCTACCCGACACAGGCACGACTTGTACTCGCGTATGTTGTCGAAACCTTCCGTGATCTAGGTTGCCCGCTGGATGCACTTCAACCGGGCCAGACTATCCCACTACTACCCATCTTGCCCAAGCACGACCGTCTCCGCGGCGTATTCTATGAAGTTTTGCGAGACGGACAGGTTGCAGACTATACAGGCAAGGATTATATCCGCTCTGAAAAGCCCCTTGATTCGGAAACCTCTGCAGAAATTTACTCGGAGATTATCCGCGCTCACCCACAGCACGCTAAGGAGCACGAGCTACTCCATCTGTGTGGCTCGATTATGGCAAAGCTTGTTAGTGGCGAGCGAGACCCCCTTCAATTACTGTTCGGAACCAAAAAGAATAAGGAGCTGTTGGAAGAGGTTTACAGCAATGGGCCAATGTATCGGGCTATGAGTCAACTATTGGCCAAGTTCCTCAAACAAGCACTTAGTAATCGTTCATCCCCCGTTCGGATTTTGGAACTAGGCGCAGGGACGGGCTCAACAACGAAGTGGGTAGTCGATACCCTCGTACGCTCCGGAATATCATTCCACTATACCTTCACCGACATATCAACGTCACTAGTCGCTGCTGGCAGGCGCAAGTTCTCCAAATATGATGACTGTATGGAGTTTCAGGTGCTGGATATAGAAAAGGACATTCCCCAGAAATTCTTCAGGTCCTTCGATACCATCCTTTCCACCAACTGCATTCACGCAACAAGCAACTTACCGAACTCCCTCAGCCATATCTACCAGATGTTGCGACCTGGAGGGTTTGTTTCTCTGGTCGAGTTTACCAAGAATATGTTTTGGTTTGATCTTGTCTTTGGTCTCTTAGAAGGTTGGTGGTTATTTAATGATGGCCGCCAGCACGTTCTTGCCGATGAAGCCTTCTGGGAGCGTTGCATGCGGAACGTTGGATTTCAACACGTGGCAATGACCGAGGGCCCGAGCCTGGAGTCCAACACCGTGCGTATTATCACTGGCTTTACCAACAAAGCGACTGAACCGCCCCGTACAGCGTCATGGATTGAAAGAAAGAGAGATGAAACCGAGATTGAAACCGTGGCTTTCAACACAACTCCGGATGGTGTGATACTGCGTGCCGATATTTACCACCCGTCATCGTCTTCGATTACGGGCACGTCGGGGTTATCTTCACTAAAAAAATGGCCTATTGGTATGTACTATCTAATGGCTTTCCTGTATTGATCGACTCAGTAAGCTGACTCACTCACTAGCCTTGTTGATCCATGGAGGTGGACACGTCATGCTTTCAAGGAAAGACATTCGAACAAAGCAAGTACAACATCTAATCCGTCATGGCATTCTTCCAGTTAGTGTGGACTATCGGCTATGTCCTGAGGTGAATATTGTCGACGGCCCGATGCGTGATGTCCGGGAAGCCTTCGTTTGGGCGCGAACGCAGCTGTCTTCTCTGAAGCTGTCCGCATCACCTTACTTACAAATTGATGACAGCCGTGTAGCTGTGGTTGGCTGGTCCACTGGTGGCACGTTGGCTTTGACGCTCGGATGGACTCCAGAAGTCAAAGCTCCAGACGCGATTCTTTCATTTTACTGTCCTACCGATTACGAGGATCCCTGTAAGTGTTCTGCAATAATTCTCTTTGCAGGTGCGGAGAAATATAATACTAATCTGAACCCAAGGCTGGCAAGCACCCAACTTCCCCAATAAGTCCGAGGCTGAGGCCCAGAATGAAGATTATGATCTTCTAGAAGGAGTGTATAACCAGCCCGTAAGCTTTGAATCCTCTTTCCTAATTTTTTTGCATGCATGTTTGTTAATTTTGACTAACGGCGCACATTAGATCACAAGCTACAATGTGCCACCTTCTAAGCGGGCAACTGGAGGATGGATGTGCCCGTCAGACCCACGATCTAGGATCATCCTCCACATGAATTGGCGTGGCCAAATGCTTCCAGTACTTGCCAATGGCTTACCGTCCAAGGATGCCTCTCGTAAACTGTCTACTGAAGAACAGAAGCAAATAGCTCGTCTCCCGCAACCGTCTTCGGAGCAGATCGCCAGGTTCAGTCCTCTCGCCCACATTGTGAAGAACGAGGTCCATTCGCCAACGTACCTTGTGCACGGGACTGAAGACGATCTAATCCCGTGGCAGCAGTCGCAGCGGACTTATGAGGCACTTGTTGCGGCTGGCGTGGATGCAGGTATCTCAGTGCTGGAAGGCCAGCCGCATCTCTTTGATTTGTTCAGTGATGGAGATGGAAAGAAGTGGGAGCGAATACTGGAGGCTTTTGACTTTATTTTCCGGCACCTAGGTATTGCATCAAAGCAATAGATAGATGAGCCTTTGGCTTTATTTAGTTCGCTGCCATTTGATTATAAGCTTTGTATTTACTTACTATATTGCCGCTGCTATATTCTTATACCACACCCATGTAAAAATTGTTCATAGCTTGTCTAATAGAATACTGTATCAGAATTCTGCACTTTCCCCTCGCCATACTGTACACGGATGAAGCCGATGGAGATTTATCTCTCAAACAAGCTGATAACTCTAGTAATGTCATCATATAGGCATGATATTTGTTTTATCGAAAATAGCTATTCATTTCGTTATGAATGTCCGAGTACGTCCAATTCGGCTTCTAATGTGTATCTGAAGAAAATGTTTATAGATCCATCATTTCTGGTGCAACGCTCTGCTTCTTTGGTTTTCTAAGGAAAATACCGAAATTACTGCATTTAAAACTCATTTGAAATTAAGAGAGAGAAAGCTATCTATGGTCGCCAAACAGCCTCAATCAGAGAGACTATGCTTCCGTCAGGAGTCTTTGTCCCAACAAATTCCAAACGGGGGTCAACCGATGCGAAAAGAGACTTCCAGTCAGATTCCGTACGTTCTAGAGAATTCCAGCCCAACATTTGAATCATATCGAGATTCCTAGCAATCTACAGTCAACGCTTGTCTTAAATCCAGGGAGTGCTGGAGGAAATTTCTTACCGCCACTGTTTCTTAGTCCATTCCGGCTGGGAGACATCGGGTAAAAGAAACTCGTAGATTATTACACGCGATCCCGCTTTCATTGCCGGGATCAAGTTTCGCAAGATTTCAGTGGCATACTTGTCTGCCCAATTGTGCAGAATATAACGGAAGAAGTAGACGTCGGCGTGCTTTACGGGCTGCGGCGTGAAGAAATCATGAGCTTGAAAGCTGACACGCTCCTGCAGATGCTGAGGCAGAATGCGTTGGCCTTCAAGGACCGTGCCCTCGAGATCCTGGACAACAAAGCGTGTATTAGAAGTTGCGCCAGCAAGAGCTTGGCTTACACCCCCTTGACCACCTCCAACATCTACAACGATGCTACCAGGCACATCCAGGGACTTCCAGTCATAACCTCGAATAAGATGAGAGATATCGTAAAAGGTTCCGCTAGTCATGAAGCGCATGGCAGCACCAAAGCGTCTTGCTCGCTCACTCGTCTTCGCAATTTCTAGATAGAATGAATCGGCGGTATTGAATTCGACGTTGAACCCCGTCTCGTTCGGTTCTGCCGAGTTCGGCCATTTGGCCTCGGCTTCGACGACCTTGGTCCCTGCTGGCGCGAGTTCTTCGACAAGGAAACCCACGGTATCTAGAGCTGCGGGATTGACTTTGAGGAGACGGGAGACCGAGGAGTGGGCAACAAATCCCGGGCGAGACTCAACAAAGACGCGATACATCATAGTATGCTGGAGGTATCGCCGGAGTCGGATCGGATCTAGCTTGGTCTTCTCGGCGAGATCTTGGATGGAGATGTCGCCTTCCAGGGGAACATAGTGCGGGACATTATGTCGGTAGATGAAGCGAATGCTCATTAGATCTGTAAACTGAGAAAGTCAGCGGTGTTTAGTGACTCGCTTGAACAGAATCTGCACACATACTGCAAACAAAACATCGTAGAGCTGGCCGATGGGACCTTGAACTAGAGCTTTTAGCTCGGTCGTTGAATCTACGAGTTTTTTTCGGACTACCTCTAAATCGCCGGATAGCGTTGGTAGATTGTGCTGGGTGAAGGACGTGGGCTCTAGTCCCTGAGATGCAGTGTACTCGTCAAGCGCACGAGCACTTTCGAGGATATTTTGAGCAATTTCTGTTAGAGTAGCCATTGTTCTGTATCACGCTGGATTTCTTCAATATCCTCTTATTCTCTCATTACGAACTCTCCTTGATTGAATTTTTGTAACTCTACCCTTTTTGTAAATCTTCACCTAATACTCCGTGAATGGACCCGCGTGCCATAGTTAGGGGAGCGGACCCGAGCGTGGGAATTGAGAAAAGAGCCGTGGCCTCTTAGGAACAACCTATCAAGAATACAAGCTTGTGTCTTTGGCCGCTTTGGGCAGACATCCGATGAGAAGCGACGTATGGAAACCGATGCCGCAAGAATGCCAACAAAGTCCAGTCAACTACTTGGTAGTGTGGATGGAAATTTTCCATTGTGCAGATATTAGTGTGCATGTGGACCACTGCCAATGAAAGGCTATTATTTCCTTGTTCTGGAATTGAATGAGACTTACTGATAATCTTAATATTTAATATGTAGACCAATTCTAGGCTAATCTATCTTTCTCAAGTACTGTAACAAGACTCCCTGAAACTCCATCCCTCAACCACCCCCAGATTGAGTACTTCGTGGCTGGATACAATTTGCCTTTCATTTGTGTATACCCAGCTCTTCCTCTCGATCGGTTTCTTTTGGTCGGCCGAGCACTTTTCCAACCGCGAGTCTTGCTTGTTTCTCCCAATCCCTGTCTCTTACAATAAACAATGAAAGGATAACTGCAAGAGCACCGCAGATAATGGTTACAATGTATGCATTGCTGAGGCTAGCAGCAACAGCCTGAGAGACTCGATATCTGTCAGTCTTGCTAAGGGACGAAAGAATATCCGAACCTAGCCCAGATAGAATTCTCTGAATACCGGACCGTGGCTCATCTGGTAAAATTTCGCTGATTTTCCGGATCGCGACGTTCAAAAACACGCTATTGGAAACGGCCAAGGTGAGTGCGGCACCACCCTGTTGCGCAAAGGCCATGAAAGCCACGGCATGTGGAATCTCCGCTATTTTCACTTGGGTTTGTGCGGTGGCAAAACATAATGTCACGAAACAACCTGCACCGAAGCCGATGAGGACCGAGTAGCCGTAGATCCGTGCATCACTGGTTGTTTCATCCGTGCAATACAGAAGCACGGCGCCTGTCAGACCGAATATGGAACCCACAAGGAACCAAGGCTGAAACCAAGGGTAACGTGCCGTAACCATGCCATTACCGACGATAGTGACTACCAGGAATATGACCAAGGGGAAACACTTGATTCCCGACTGGAGAGCGGTATCAGTCTGGACAAGCTGGAAAAACAGCGGCAGGAAATATATTGGTATGAAGGTGAGTGTTATTGCACAGATTTCCGCCGCAAATATTAGCAGGACTTGCGGGTTACGCAAGAATTGGACTGGGAAGGATCGATACTCAGTGCTGGTTCCGATGCACAAGGCTTGTTGAACACCAAAGACGACTGCCAGAACTCCAGCTACAACGAAGAGCGCGATGATTTGACCGCTATCCCAGGGATATAGGATTCCTCCAAAGTTGATTGCCATGAGACATGAGATGAGCATACCGACAATCAAGATTGTCCCTAGAAAGTCGACCTTCTTCCACCGGGAGATGATCGATCCTTTCGCGGTTTGCAATTCCGGAATCATAAGAAAATATACCGGGGCAGCGACCGCGCCAAATATCAAATTAATGTACAGCGCCCATCTCCAGCTTACATTCAGTGCGAACGCGCCGCCGATAATTGGGCCGAGTACTGTCCCTAGGCCCCATGTGAGTCCGGTCAATCCCAGATATGCAGGGCGTTCCTCGGGTGTTGTGAGGAAGCTGAGCATCATCATCACCCCTGTATACATTCCGGACCCTCCAAGACCGCAGATCGTGCGTCCCACAAGAAAGGCAGTCATGGTTGGCGCAGCACCGCACACCGCAGAGCCCAGCTCGAATAGTGCAACGCAGACGATGTAGGTCCATTTAACATCGAATAGACTATATACTTGACCCGTACATCTCACAAAGCCACGGTCAGCACATTGAAAACTTTAACCGGTATTGCAACACTTATCAGAAGAAGTTTGTGGTTGCTGCTCCGATCAGAAATGTGACAGAGATCCAAGGAAGTCTGTCGATGGCGTCGAATCTCTGAACCACAGTCGGCTGGATATCTGCCACAACTGTGTTGTCCAGGCCGTAGAAGAAGGTTGAAGACAGAATAGCCAGCACCACGAGAAACCATCGCAGACCCTGAATTGACCTGGTGGGAGTCGGTGCTGTAACATCGCCCAGTTCGGTGTCTGATGCAACTTTTTCGGACATATCTTTGAACTTTGTTTGCAAATGATATCCAACCTTGAACAGATGATGTTTAATTCTAGAACACTTGCCCTAAGGTGATTCCATTTTCACTAGTAATATTGTTATACTTCAGGACCCGCGTGGTTCGCTAAATCCCCGGGATTCGTGCGCCACCCTATTATTTGCCAGGCGCATATGCATTGTTGACAAGTACGAGGCTGGCAAGCCATTGCGCCGGTTTTAGATGGGAATTATGCCGTTACTTATCTCCGTTTCGGCCGTTATTCCGTTGCTTTCGGTCTTCTTTTATCTTTATTTTTGGTCCCTAACCTTTCGCTCATTTCTTTGTCTGTTCCACTAGGGTCATTAGGGTTATGTTTATCAGGGCTAATATACCAATCCCATGCTAGAAATAATTGAACAGCAATGTTTCTAGCTCAATGGAAGTTGAATATCCCATCTCTAGAAAAAGACTATTGAAAATAATTTATACAATGGTCGTCAAAATGTTGACAAAGGCTTGTCGGCTATTACTACTCTTGGGACTAGAAGTGCAAATATCAATCTCATTAGGAGAGAAAGTAGTCATTGTTCGCAGTCAAATAAATGCACTGTGCTATCAATTCCTTGTTTCCAAGTACTGCCTACATTTCACTTCTTGCCGTAGCTCTCCACAACCCTACGGATCATATGCTGTTCCACCGTCAGCGGATTGTCCTCCTCCGACCCATCCAGCGGAGACAACTTTGTATCACCATTTCCATCAAAAAAGAACACAATACTATATCGGTCTCCCGGCTCGCGGTTGATAACGCGGTGTACACTGCTCTTATACTCATTCTTGGTCCAAAAACTAAGCATGTCGCCAATGTTGACAACATACACGTCTGGATTCGGTGGCACGGGTTTCCATTCGCCCGTTCTGGAATCCAGGACCTCCAACCCTGGGCTCTCCTCCTGAAGAAGCAGAGTTATGGCGCCGAAATCGGTATGTGCGCTGGCACCGTATTGCGTCTTGCCGTTTTTCTCATCCTCTGGACGCGCTGGCGGGTAATGTAGCACGCGCATCGGTGCGATGGGATCATTGGCGATGAAGTTGTCAAATATCCCTGAGCCATACGGGAGCGTGCGCTCGATGAGTTTCAAGACACTGATAGATAGCTTCATCAGCGCCGCATGGTACTCTTCAGCAGGCTTGCAAAAGTCATCCTTGGGAAGCAAGGATGTATCAGGCCAGACATTGCTTCCCATGAGAAAACGTCGAGCTTGCACCCGCGGATCATCTTTCGGCAAGTCTAGCCCTGTAAAGAAGCCTTCTTTGAGGTCAGGTAGGACGCCATCCTCGTAAGACTGTGAGGCCAGTACATCGTAGCCTCTAAGACCCTGATTTGAGTGAGCATCTAGGGCCTTTTTAGTCTCGAAGGGGAGGGAGAAGAATTTCTTTGCTCCGGTAAACACCGACTGTTGCAGATCCTTGCTAATGCCATGGCCGGTGATCTGAAAGAAACCTGTCGAGCGGCAAGCAGACCGCACGATGGGAACGATGGCTTGAGCCTCCGGGGAGTCTGGGTCTGTCAAAAAGGCTGAGATGTCCACAGTGGGGATTTCAAAGATGTCGCCGCTGTCGATTCTGGTCGTCGCCTTGCTCACTGCAGTGCCAGCGGTCGTGGTACTTTCTTCGGCGACAATGACGCTGGGGGACATGATGAGGACAGGACGATGGGGAAATAGTTACCTTAGGGTGCTTGCCCGCTGATCGAAGAACACTACTATGGTCCAGAATTGTTGATTAGATTATGGGCATTTTTGAGTCTCTCCCCAGAGAAGAACCCTGGACCCGCGTATGTTGCGTCGGTGTGCTTACACCTTACACTACATGGTATCGAGAATATATACGTCATCGGATCTGTTGGTTTTCTTTCTCCTTAGAGAAATTCGAGAGTAAGATTTCGAAAAGAGCTGCAATTGCTTTTTTCAAGAGCAATATAACACGAGTTTGAAAGTCGGTCTAATGAGCATGAAGGATTCTTGAACTGGGAGGATACACGCGGGCCCAATGACATAATCTCCACGCCAAGACCGGGTGCGTAATTTACAATGCATAATTACCGCTCAATACGTATGGTATTACGTGGAAATACTGCGTAGTATGGAATCCCTCGGATCAAGTGGAGAAAAAGTTCCTAAACGGGGCTGCCGGCGCGGGGAGTAGAGCCTCTGCGGACGATCTCTGCTCCACATCTACATACTTCTACGTAGTATCTACGAAGTAGTACTATATTCGATCAGTCTAGAATATCTAGATTGATACATGTGTGAAATATCTGCATGGCCTAAGGGCTGTTTGAGTGTGAGGTGGGAAATGTATTTGGAGAGATCGCTTTTATGCTAAGTCCTACTCCTTCGGTCGGATATAATCCTAAAACCGAGCAGGGATTAGAGCTATCCCATGGATCTTGGAAGCTCACTTAGAAACCCCGCCATCACGGGGCCCGCGTCTTGTCAACAGGTGCTTAGCAGACTTGATTTAAGTACGATCAAGAGCTCGTGCAATTCGTGAGTAGCAATTAACTTATGCTACAATCTACACCTCGCAGCATTGGCAAATAGAACACTCTCACGAACCGATACCCAGCCCAGCAGTTATGACGCGAACTCTTCTCACCGGCGGAAGCGGCTTTATTGCCTCTCATATTCTCGATGTGCTACTCAAACGTGGCCATTCTGTCGTGACGACTGTTCGCTCACAGGAAAAGGCAGAGCAAATCAAGACGTCGCATCCGACCGTCTCAAAGGAAAACCTGGACTTTGTGATTGTGCCCGATGTTTCCGCGCCTGATGGTAGCTACTTTTTATTTTTATTTTTTTCATTTCAATGGTCAACGGGGACTAACTTCTTTAGCCTTCGACAAGGCCGTCGTTTCTGATCCACCTTTTGAGGCTGTGATTCATACAGCCAGCCCGTTTCATTTCCGTATCCAGGATGTCAAGAAGGAACTCATTGATCCAGGTTCGTGCACAAGGTCTATGCTGAAGACCTCATGCTTATGATATTGCTGTTAGCTATCGATGGCACTGTTGGCATCCTCAAGGCCGTCAAGAACAACGCTCCGGCAGTCAAGCGAGTGGTGGTTACCTCTTCCGGTGCTGCAGTCATGGACTTTACCCAGCCCAAGACATATACTTACACAGAGGTAACAACTTTAATGAGATCTGAAAAACTGATATCTTCCCATGCTGACCCTGATCAAGGCGGATTGGAACAATATGACGTGGGAAGAGGCTGTTTCTAACCCCCTTAATGCCTACCGCGCAAGCAAGGCTTTCTCTGTATGCTCACAAGTTTTCATCCCCTACATTCGATAACCGCTGACCACGCCTTAAATAGGAGAAAGCTGCGTGGGATTTTGTGGAGAAGGAGAAGCCCAATTTTGCCCTCACAAGTGTAAGTAAGACAAAAATACCATCAAATATGGCCTGAACATCTAACACAAATGACCTTTTAGATGAACCCACCCATGGTCTACGGTCCTATAATCCATCATATCAACGATCTCAACGGACTCAACACTTCCAACGAGCGCATCCGTGACATTGCCTTCGGTAAAGCAAAGGATGGCTTGCCATTCACCGGAGTATTCGTGTGGGTAGATGTCCGCGATCTGGCATTGGCCCACGCTCTGGCTATCGAGAAACCCGAGGCAGCGGGTCAGCGATTCTTGATTTCTCCCGGCCAGTATACCAATAAAGATATTGCGGAAGTTATCAGCGAGGAATTTCCCGAGCTTCGAGATGGGTTGCCTACAGGAGACGCTTTGAAGGGGGGTGATTTCCCGCCTGGAGGATGGTACAACTGGGACACTACCAAGTCCAAAGAGGTTTTGGGCGTGACATATCGGCCTTTCAAGGAGTGTATTGTCGACACGGTGAATAGTCTTAAGCCGTTTGTCAAGTAAATATGAAGACAGAAAAAGCAGATCAAATACAAGATGAAGCTTGCTAGAAATCACACAAGAATTAGTCATTAGCTATGAAATTTGACGATCATTCGACAGTCAAAGCGGGAAAATTACTGTTAGTGAAGCTCAATAAATGGCTTCCGCAATTGCTACACTAACTAAACAATTTCGATTTCCTTTACATTTATATAGGTATCTTGCGATGTATTGGAAATTGCGCATCGTAAGATCAGGCTTCCCAACAGCTATCTCGGGGTGCCATGATGTTGGTCCTGACGGAAGAAAATAATCACAAAAACGAGGACATCCATGCCACTTTCATTTTGTTTAAAATATTTAGTTGCCTGCATTTTGACACTTGTCAAAGGTCGGTCACCAAATGCGCGCTCCACACGGGACCCGCGTACGTCGTCCACGCCAGCCCACTGGAAATAAGCCAGACGCGCAATGGTAATAGAGAATCTTAGAATCAGAGTTTTACTTATGTAGCATGAGCAGAGATATAGACAAAATCAATTGACTAGCCTCAATCATTACATGGATTGAATTAGACAACTTACTACACTTTCCCGTCCATATTTACTAGTGCAAGATCAAAATCCATAAGATGGCCATGAATAGGCTTGAGACAGGCTTCACATGGCCAACAATTAGCCTTCGTGAAAACGAGGGCGACGCGAGATCACTCCCAGAGTTAATCGACTTCCACGCTAGAGAGAACCCAGGTCATCGATTCTGCATCCAGGCACAGAAAGATGGAGATGCACCGCTACTAGACATTACATATACACAACTGAAGCATGCTATCTTACGATGCCAAAGCTGGCTCTGTGAAAATGTGGCGGAGATCCAGATGCAGAATGGCATAAAGGACCGGCCTGTTGGCCTGTTCATGGACAGCGACCTGACACTTGTTTTATACCTTTTTGCATTAATGGGTCTAGGGATCCCTACCGTCTTGCTCTCGACCCGACTCAGTGCGGAAGCCGTGAAACATTTAATGCAAAACACGCGGACAAGCGCGATCCTTGTCTCTGCACGGTTGAATGGCACGGCCGATGAGGCACTGTCGTCATGGGATACGAATGATTCCATTCCGCCGTCAAAGTACTTTCCCGCTGCCTACGAGCAGTTTTTGACAGAAGAAGTATCACCATCACCTAAGACTGTGAGCTCACAGAACAATGTCAGTCGTGAAAATTACTATGTCTCGGAATCGGACTGTAACGTGCTCATACTGCACTCTAGTGGGACTACAGGTCTGCCGAAACCAATCTATACCTCTCATCGGCATTATCTCAGCTTTGCTCTTTGCCATGAGTTCAAGAACAAGGAAGAAATGTTGTCACCAGTCCTATCGACATCTCCGCTATTCCACGTAAGCAGTTCCCGTAATTCTATATCAATAATGATGAGGAAATGACTGACTAGTCCCCGCGCACAGGGATTTGGACTGCTACCACCATGCCTGTCATTGGGCGTGGGAAAACCGTTCTGCCTTCCAGAAGCAGGCACCATTTTCACCGGTCCATCAACAACACAGCTCTTGCGAAGTAGCGGCGCAAAATCACTACTTACTGTGCCATCGATCCTGGAGGAAATCGCTCTCCTACCAGATAATGAGGGAATCAATGCTCTGAAAGAGCTTCACTTCGTTGTTTTCGGAGGCGGATTGCCCAAAGAGACCATATGTGACAAATTAACAGCTGCAGGGGTGAAGCTCCTCAATCATTATGGCGCTACCGAAACAGGGCCTTTGGCTCCTCTATACGTGCCGCAAACGAAGTATGACTGGCATTATTTCAAACTGCGTACTGACATCCAGGACGCGCTGCAGGTTCGTCTTGAAGCCATCGGCGATGAGGCAGATCAATGGAAACTGAGTCTACGGCCAGTAGGCTGGAATGAACGGTTTCCAATCCAAGATATCCTTGTTCCTCGTCCTTCACCAGACTCTGACAATGAGTATACAGTGTTGGGCCGAAGTGATGATCTTATCCGCTTGGCCACAGGCGAGAAAGTCCGTCCCACAATCCTCGAATCCATGCTGGCTCAAAACGAGGCCGTCAAAGCCGCGGTAGCTTTCGGGGACAGCCAATTTGAAATCGGAGTGTTGATCGAGCCGACGTTTACAATCTCGTCTGTCGAAGAGGAGAATAAATTAAAATCCTCTCTCTGGCCAATCATTCAGCAGGCTGGAGAGAAGATGGACTCCCACGCTCGCATTTCGTCTCCTGAGGCAATTGCCGTGGTACAAGCAGGCAGCCTCCCTCGATCTGATAAAGGCACGGTGCTGCGACGAGAGGTCAACCAGCGTTTCGAAAAGGAAATTGCGGAAGTCTACCGTAGACTTGATGCGGTTATAGACTATTCGATTCCGGCTCTCCGAATAGATTCGCTTGAGGACGACCTCCGCAAGCTGATTAGCGACAATCTAAAATGGACAAACAATAGTGAGTTGACAGATGAACGGGATTTTTTTGAGCTGGGCATGGATAGCCTCCAGGCAACCATATTGCGCAGGTTACTTATATCATCTCTACGTGACGGGCTCTCTAAGGTTTCAATCGGCCGGGATTTTGTCTACCAACATTCGTCTGTTGCTAAACTTGCCAAAGCCGTGAGAGAGGGATGCCAGGATCAGGCCATGGCATCAATAGACGGTAGTTTCCTCGAAGGGTTTATCGATACCTACTCCCTGCAGCTACCTCACGTAAATGGTGACCGCAACGCCGCAACTGTCCTCCTCACTGGCGGCACCGGTAGTCTCGGATCCCATTTCCTAGCTCACCTCGCTCAAGATCCCGCGGTACGTCGCATCGTCTGCCTTAATCGTCCATCCAAGCCAGGCCAAGACCCGTATGAGCGACAGGTAATGGCCCTTACATCAAAAGGCCTAAGTGTCACCCCGGAAGAATGGTCCAAGGTTACCGTATTTGGAACCAACACCAACTCCCCCAAACTAGGGCTGTCTGAGGATGTTTATACCTGGCTATGTGAGCGAATCACTCACATCGTCCACAACGCCTGGCCGATGAATTTCAAAATGCAAGTATCCTCGTACGAATCTCAGTTTCGCGTGATACAGAATCTTTTGCTACTCGCTAGAGAGGCGAATAGTCATCAGCTTTCTAGAAAAAGAATGCGGTTTCTCTTCATCTCATCCATATCTGTTGTTGGACGGTATGGAAAATTTACTGGAGAGACAATCGTGCCCGAGACGCCGATAGAGGACTTTCGGGCAGCGCTCGATCTCGGATACGCGCAGGCCAAATTGGTCTGCGAAAAGATCATTGAACGAGCGCGTGCCGATTTTTATGACGAGATTGAGGCTGGCTACATTCGTGTTGGGCAAATCGCCGGTGCTCAAAGGGGATTTTGGAACGCAGATGAACACTTTGCCAGCCTTGTTGCTTCGTCAGAGACGCTGGGACAACTTCCGGCAATTCGCGGAGTAAGCGCTTCAATCTCCTTTTTTCTACCTTTATATCTCATGTAATCTACCCTGCTGACTGAAAATTTACTTTGCAGACACTCTCCTGGCTTCCTGTTGATCTAGCCAGTGCCGTGCTGAAAGAAATCATTTTCAACCCAGAGCCTCTGGAGCTCGTCTATCACTTAGAGAACCCAGTGCGACAGCCATGGAACGAGGTACTCGATATTCTAGCCTCAGAGTTAGATGTGGATAAGCAGCGTCGTAAGCCTATGGCCGAGTGGTTAGAGGAAATGAGGCGGCGGCCCGTAGATGAAAGCAATCCTGCCGCCGCACTCGCAGATTTTTTTCAGGAAGACTTTGAGTGGATGTCTGGGGGGAGCATAGTTCTGTCTACAGAGACATCTAGACGGTATTCGCCTACCTTGAGGCGAGCAGGTCCGGTACAGGAAGAGACCATCCGAAGGTATCTTCAGTTTTGGAGGGGTATTGGTCTCATTCACCAACGCAAAAATCAGGTCGAACCTTCGAATCCCTCTTCTTGTTCTTGACTTTTTTGTCGTTAGAATTTTGCCGTGATCAATCTTTATTTCTACTTGCTCCTGTGAATAATTGCATTAGAAGCACAAGCCCGACTATGGAAATTTGGATATGACTGCATACATAGTATCGAGAGACACAATTTAAGCGTATCGTTTCATTTTTTCGAAACAATTTTACTAGAGGGCCAGCCGTTTCTAGATCAAAACCTCTTGAGATTCATTCTAAAGCTCTAATTTATAGCCCTGGCCTACCCGTACGCATGAACACGACTGATGGTCGATCGCGAGGCTCAAACTCCTGATCAACCCGAAAGTGAAGCTCACCACCTTCTTGCTGAAAGCCAAGCTTCTTATAAACATGCCTGCCCATACTCGACGCCTCCAAGGTAGCTTCCAATCCACCACGTCTTTTGGCCTCGTCCAATCCCCATCGCACCAATTCCGTAGCAACCCCAAGCCTCTGAAACGCAGGGTCAACGGCGCATAAATCTAGTATCATGAGAGCCGGGGAAGAGCTCGATGCAATCTCATTGGCGACCTCGACTCGGCGAGCATAGAATGAGCGTAGGAGCTGTCGCGCATATTCCTGTTCTGCCAAATTTCCGGGATACAGCGCATTCACATCCATTATTTTATCGATGTCATTTGTGGGTGTATCGCCGTATCCTTCGACCATGGATGCTTGAGCCCAGATGGCCACTCCGGCGATATCTTCCTTGCCAGGCTCATCTACACGAGACACAGTAGCTTTAAGAAATATTGTATTTGGGTACCCATTTCGATCCTTTGTAGGGGCGGACCACCGTTTGGTATTACCGGATATCGCATTTGCCCGTCCCTCGGGTGTATCCCAGCCGGGGTGAAGGGTTATCCATACATTATCCTTGGCTTGCCGGGCGAAGGCAGATGCTGCGATGTCGAAGAATCTACCAAGGTCTTCGGCAGTAGTGATAGGCTCTACTTTGATAGAAACCCTTTTCGGCTGTGTTTTTTGATTGTCCATCTCGCGATTCCCTTCTTGTAGCCCGAGTGTGGTGATTTAAGTAATTGTCTGTGACAAACAACAGCTATGATGATATGTTCGCTCACGGGATTCAAAGCAAAGAGCTATACAGTTCGTCGATGATTGTTGCAGCTATATATGTAATATAAACATTTCAGATCTATCTTGATTGCAGGTTGTACTTAAATAACTTAGTTAACTACGTGTTCAACTGCTCTTCGCTGAATAAGCACGATTCTGTGAGTCACATGCGAACGGGATTACCCGTTCTATAATGGGTCAAGTATAGCAAGGAGTGGACAAGAACTTCCCTGTCACAATTTATGTAGAATTTTGGTAATATTCTAGAAATTTAACTGCTCAAAGCCTAGTATTCCCAGGGTTTTAGATTTATCACTTCTCACTTTACCCACCCCTTGTACATTCAATTCTAAGATTTAGATAACAAAAGTAGAATGTCTTAATAGCTTAATTGATTTAGACCAACAGTGGTGAAGTAAAAACTAAATATAAAAGCTAACTAGGGAGATCAGTATAAAGGATACTTGAAATAAAAGTTTGGCAGTCTTTTCATAATGGGTCTGCTATAAAGGCCGTCGTCACCGAGAACTCAGCATGCGACGTCAATTCTCTCATTCGAAATTCATTCCGTTCAGGCAATGGAGGGGAATGACAAATGACAGCTAACTATTTGGTGCTTGGCATATAAACACTCATTTCAAATCCATTGGTAAAGGGTAGAGTCATATTTCTAAACCCATTCTCGGGATTCCGCATGTACGCTAGCAAGTCTGCATAGCCTTCGGCGCTTGATATAGTATTATCGGCGAGAACAACTGCACCATGTCGGAGGTATGGCTGAACTATCTTGAGAGTCGGAAGCGCGAGCGAAGACCAAACTTCAAGGTAAAACTCTTTAGTCTGACCCAGAAAAAGAGCCGAGAGGTAAACTTACTATCGAGAAGGAGAAAATCAACTTGAGGCAGTCCAAACTTGAGTGTCTCAAGTAAATCACCGACCCTAAGATCAATCTGCTGTTCTACAAGCTCGCCACACTGCGCCCAGTAATCTCGAGCAATTTTGGCCTTTTGCGGTTCTTTCTCGGTAGCAATGACAGTTCCAGATTTCCCGGTCACGGCTTTGGTTTGTGCCACAGCAAGGGCGAGATAGATCGTGCTGACTCCAAAGCTGGTCCCTGCTTCAATGACGTTGGTGGCCCCCATGGCATTGATGAGCTGGTACATGAATTGGCACTTGTCTTCGTCAAGAGCGATAAATTTATCTAACATGAGCTGGTCGAAAGCTTTGCTCGAGCCCTTGGGTCCGTGTTTATCTTCTAGGTCATCTAGAACTTTAGAAGAGTACACCTTGCCTTTGTCCAAGTTCGAGATAGCGGCTTCTTGCTCCAATGAGATTCGATGGAGTTTGGATAAAAGCTGCAGAATATGTTCGGGCGCGATGACGGGCGAAGGCGAACCCATGCTGGAGAAAGTGTTAAATTATAAGTGAATACTTAAGGATGGAGGAGACTTGAAGACTGGAATGAGAGCAGACAACGAATATAGGGCTGGACGACTGTTTATAACTTTCCGATTAATTAGATCTTCACGATAATTTTAGCCAATGTTTATTTGCTTTGCAGTGGGCATACACTGCCATGCACCTGCAAGTCGTGAGAAGGCGCATGGGGTCACCTGCTTATCTACCGGAGTCCTTCCCAAACTCCCCGGATTAATCATGCTAGCAGATCAGGGCTTCACGGTGTCTCCTTTAAAACGTATTCTGCCGATAATTGGACCACACAGGTGAGTGGGACACCTTCTAATCACATTTAACATAGCCATTTACAACAGACCAATGATCCTATAAGAAAGCTATATTTTGACTGGAATCATAGCTTCAACACGTCAATATCGGTGATTCAGTTAATATGAGGTAGTTTCTCAAGCGTCTAGCTAGTGATCAACACCCCAAGTAGAAAAAATATAAATTACGTAAATGATTTGTCCCTCAGAGTCACATGTGAGCTCTCTTCGTTCAAGGCTGTTTCTGCCTCGACCCCATCGATAGGAGATCCCACGTCGTCTCGGTCCACCTCGAAAGGTTTGATCTGAAACAGAAGCCAATACACGAACCCAGAGACAATTATGCTCACAAGCCAACTCGAGGAGTATAAGTAAGTGGCACCTTTCGGAATCCCAGCTTGCCCACACACCGCCGCTAGTCCGGGCATGTTTGGCAGTATCCCACAGATGAAGGCAATAAAGGCCCGCAGGTTGAATCCCGCAGTAAAATGATGCGTTCCGTGCTTCTCGTATAAGGAACGGATCCTAACACTTCGATGCCGACATATCCAGAAGTCCACGATAATCACGCCAGCGATTGCACCGAGGAATAGTGAGTAGCCACCTAGAAATGATGAAAAGGAAGCCGCACTGCACATAAAATTAGTGGCAAATCAAAGATCTAATCCGAGATGTGGAAGAAAATCTTACGAATTCTGTATGTACCATGGCATTGACAAAATGCTCAGAAAAGCACATATATAGGCCCCGCGTCTGGTGTCAATGTATTTCGGAAACCACAGTGAGATATCGTTTGAGAATGAGACACTATTTGCAGAAATGTTCGTTCCAATTGCCGCAAAGGCCCAGCACAATGCAGCGAAGAATTGAGCCGCTCTGTTATTCCAAAGGAGCGCCACCTGGAGAGGATTCCATGTTAATTCTCCGTAGATAACTTCTGAAGCACTCGAGACTGTCGCGCCCAACAGTCCACATAACGAAACAAGAAAAATCAGACCGATAGCCTGAGTCCAAAATACTTCACGGGGTCGTCGCGCGTATCGTGTGAAATCGGGCATGTCTACATAGCGTTAGACACCTTTGCCAGCAGCGTATAAAATCGGGGATGGAAAAAATATACTCAGCGCCAAGGTTGCTTTAGGGCCTATTGCACTTGTCACACATTGTAGAAAGACAACCGCAACTGGAGTTCCATCCTTGATATGGCTTTGCTTCGAGAATACGGGACCGAATCCGTGGGCTGGCAGAATCAGCGATCCATTAACTACTAGAGGTGTTCTTCTACCCTCGTTACTCACCTGAGGCAACCGCCCAGCTGAAAAGCACAATTCCAAACACTGGCATGACTATGGTCTTCACCAGGAATAAATACCGCAAAGAGGAAACCTTGAGATAAAGCAGGGGAAGCTGAGCGATAATAGCGAGAAAGAAGCATAAAAGCTCAGACGATGTCACTGGTGAATTATGTGGTAGATGGTTTGGGAACGTCTTGAAAGATGGCCAGATGGCTTGGATCATCACTGATATGCATTGTCCTGTTTGAAATGACTGTGTGCCGAACCAGATCACCGCGACTATCCCACGCACTGCGAAATAATTAATAAATTTCTTTTGGCTTCTATCAAGCCTCCCTAAACAAAGAACGTACCGAATACTGCAAAATAACTTCCCCTCATTCCGAAACTCATGCGAGTGAATACGGGAAAGTTGATTCCATAGATCGCACCAACATACCTTCAACTTGTTAGAATGCCTTTCAACACATGGAGAAAGCCCGTCTCAGTAGTATGAAGATGAGGTCAAGACATACGCATCTAACATAGCCGGAATGCATACAAGCACATGTCCGACAACCATGGCTCCAAGAGCCATCGGTGGACTGAGTCCTTTATTTACAGCAGTAGAGGTTACTGTATCCAATTAGCTGTGTATAGACCCCATTTTTTTTTATCCGCGACTATTCACCTTGGTACATGCTAATACTGAATGCCTCAGCTATCCAGAAGCCAAGAAGAGATGGCCAAGCCCATGTCCGTTTAGGTGAGTCCCTAGGTATGGGTTCGAGATCTTCATTGGACTGCCCCAGCGAGGGGTCACCCTGTCTTACTTGTAGTCGATTTCGAAGTCCCATGTTTGTTCTGGGATATGGCAAAATACGGTAAGCTCGTCAATTGACGAGAATTTATCCAGTCTGCACTTTGTCTGGTTGTAGAACTTTCTGGGGCTACGAGCTTTAAGTTCCTCCAGGGCAAAACGTGAAATCCCTTGTGGAGCTTTTCTTATCAACCCTATCTATAACTATCGTATGAGTAGAAATGGATAAGCCACTAGATAGTTTTGAGATTGGAGTCAGAACTAGGATAAAGATAAGCTTAACCTAATCCATTGGGGTTCGAAAATCCTCGGAGTGACTTCACTGACAAGTAAAATGTAGTAGCGTTTTGACCCCAAATTAGTGCCTAGTTTTGCTTAGTACATGGAATTTATTGTTCGACCTAGTAAATCGTTGGCCAGTTTCATAATGATTTTTATCCAAGTCAACGCACAGCTATAACAACAATCACCATGACTTCCACAACTTCATCGCCAAGGTTGGTAACCGTCGCTGCCTGTCAGCTTGGTCCTGTTCATCTTGCAGATTCTCGGCAAGATGTGTTGAAGCGCATGTTGTCGCTTTTAGAACAGGCCGCACAGCAAGGAGCAAAACTTGCAGTCTTTCCAGAACTCGCTTTCACGACTTTCTTCCCACGATATCTCCTTGCGGAAAGAGACTTAGATCAATATTTCGACGTCGAAGATCCAAGTAAGGGCGGAATTGAGCAATCTCCAAACATTAAGCCTCTTTTCGACCGTGCAAGCGCACTGGGTATTGATGTGTATGTGGGCTATGCGGAACGCACCATCCAAAAATATGGAACCCATGTCGATTACAACTCAAGTGTTTATTACTCGGCAAATGCAAACAAAATTATAGGCAAATATCGCAAAGTCCATCTTCCAGGAACGGTGGAGCCTCGCACCGAACCTGGCGCCGTTCAGCAGTTAGAGAAGCGCTATTTCCGCCCAGGAGACCTTGGATTCCCGGCATTCAGAGCCCCCGGGCTTGTCGAGGGGGCACTAAAGAAGTCGAGCGGCATCTATAATGCTACTCAATCAACTGGGAAAGGCGATCCAATCATCGGAATGCTCATCTGCAATGATCGGCGTTGGCCCGAGGCATGGCGCGTGTACGGCCTCCAAGGAATGGAAATCTTATGCTGCGGATATAATACCACTGCATTCCCGACAACTGCCACTGGCCATCAACTGGATTTAACTCCAGAAGCGGCGGAGGAGATGGTCTTGTTGCATCATAAGCTTTCATGCCAGGGAAACAGTTATATGAATGCTTGTTTTAGCATCAATGTCGCAAAGACGGGCGCTGAAGATGGGAATCCATTGGTTGGTGGAACTATCATTGTGCATCCGCTTGGTCATATAATCAAGGAAGCTCAGACGAAGGAGGACGAGTTAGTTGTTGCAACAATTGATTTGGCAGATTGCCATCGACCTAAGAATACTGTTTTCGCGTTTGAGAAGCATCGTCGACCCGAACACTACCATCTAATTCTGGATCGTACTGGGGTCATTGAGCCAGACTTGCTATGATATGGAAATGAATAATCTACAGAGATCATTAACATGTAAATTCGAGTTTAGCACTATCTTCATTGGTAGGACACGTCACATTTGAATCGATCAAATAGTATATTCATGAATCCCGAGATGAACGGTTTCCGTGCAAGGAAAGCTATGCCTGGACGTACTCCGTGTTTCTCTTTTCTGTAGTATTATGACCAAATTCATAGCACCAGTAGAAAGATTTCATCTAAATTCCTGATCAATTCCTTGAATTTCTTCACCAGAACCTGAATATTCCATGTGCTAGTCTAATTAACTTCAGCAAAGCATCTAGAATCATCCACGCAGGCCAGTCCAACCAGATACTCACAATTCCGATCTTCTTGTGCAAGTCATGAAGGCTGAGATGCCCAAGACTTGACTGCGTTCGCGTAATTCTTAATCTTCGAATACATGGAGCTCTCCAGCGTAGGGACCTGGAGTACATCTACAATAGCATTTGCTAGCTATCACTCCTGGTAGCAATTGTTGCTAGTAACTTCAACATCCTTGCCAGGTACCATATTCGGTCTTTGGTATTCTGCCGGGCATCAAACGGACTTCTCCTTTCTCGCCGCTTCTTTATCTTCCACGAATTTCAATTACATGCTGACGGGTATAAGCCAGGATGAGATCGATGCGATAGTTGCATTCAAGCTTATCCCGTGTATGATTGACATAAAAAACGAGACGCCACCGAGCTCAAGAATCGGATTGTAACTACTTCCTACAAATAGCAGAACCAGGCCACACGGTGTACATGAATTATGTACTCTCTACAGCTATTATGAAACCAGATATATCGTATCAATCAAGGATGATGTCTGACCAGCTCTGCGAACATCAAATGCGTGAAGTGGTAAATCATGGGGTCGTAAGCTTCAAATTGGAGTCCGTTGGGGTAAAAACTCTTGGAGTAAGGATTTCGAGTTCTCCACCCGACGCCACAGAGATAATGAGAACCTCATGATAAGCCAAACAGGTTAGCTGTAAAGATACAAAGGATATGGAGCGATACCTCCAGAATCCTCTCTCTAGCCATAGTCGCACTCTGAATTGAATCGATCACAGGTAGCCACCATGGGGTTAGATACCATCGTGAGAAACGGTCTCATTGTGAGTGATCGCTCAATTACCCTGTTCAATATTTCAACGTCTCTAGCTATGCTATGGCACGAGGAGGTCGATTGCTGTAGCTTAGGACTGAATCTAATCAGGTCACGGAAAGCGGCGTGCTTCCTTCCGGGCAAGAAATTGGAATCTCCAACGGGAAAATATCTCTTATAGGATATGATTTGCCTGAAGGGCCCGAGACCAATATCATTGATGCGCAGGGAGCGTACATTACACCCGGTGGTGTTGATTCGCATGTTCATCTGGCACAAAGAAATGCACCGACTGGAGACACCTGGGAGACAGGAACACGCAGTGCAGTCGCCGGAGGTACTACGACAGTACTTGCATTTGCATCACAAACGAAGGAGATGGCATCCTTGTTCCCGGCCCTTGACGAGTATCACGGAAGAGCTCGTGGCCAAAGCTACTGTGATTATGGTTTTCACTTTATTCTTACGAATCCCAGTCCGACAATCTTAGAACAGGAATTACCTCGTATTGCCAAGGACGAAGGCATAACAAGCGTCAAACTGTACATGACTTACGAGTTGTACAAATTGTCTGACCGTCAACTCCTCGATACTATGCTTGCATGCCGGTCCTTGGGACTGACGACTATGATACACGCTGAGAACAGCGACATGATCAATTTTCTGATCCAGGGCCTTGAGAGAAACGAGAATACGGCGCCTTTTTTCCATGCGATTTCGGCACCAAAAATTGCTGAAGATGAAGCGTCATACCGTGCCATTCGACTCGCAGAATTGGTTGATGCTCCGGTGCTACTAGTTCATGTTTCTTCTGATGGAGCCATGAAGCATATCAGGGAAGCACAGACGAGATTACTTCCGATCCATGCAGAGACATGCCCCCACTATCTGTTCCTATTGTCTGATAAATTAGCAAACCACGAGCATGATGCCTTCCATGGTGCCAAGGGGGTGTGCTCCCCTCCGCTTCGTCACAACCCAGACGATCTCGAAGCTCTTTGGCGCGGAATATCAAACGATACATTCACGATATTCTCGTCAGACCACGCACCCAGCAAATACGACCATCCCCAGGGAAAAAAAGCCGGGATAATTGATGGAATTCCCAAATTTAGTAGTATCCCGAAAGGGATCCCAGGAATCGAGACTCGACTCTCTCTTCTGTTTAGTGAATCAGAAGGATGCCTTCCGAAGGAGCGCGCTCGACTGAGTCTAGCTCGTTTTGTGCAACTCACTTCGGGCAATCCAGCAAGGCTATATGGGCTGACGCAAAAAGGATCCATTATGCCAGGATTTGATGCAGATCTGGTTATCTGGCATCCACACAGCCAAGGTGAGAAAATTATTACACAGGAGAGACTTCACCACGGGGTGGATTATACGCCTTTTGAAGGGATGCGTGTTCGAAACTGGCCTCGCTTCACGATGTTGCGAGGCGAGATTGTATGGAATGCAGACAAGGATAGGGTGACTGGAGTGAAGGGATTCGGGAATTTCTTAAAGAGAGAAAATGGTCGCGTTCTGGTCGGAAAGCTTGGTCAACTGCCCGCGGGGATGATCGAAGACGAGAGAGATTTGTGGCGCCTCAAGTCTGTTACGTAAATACGCGACTTTCAAGCATGTAGATAATAATGGACGAGTCATCGATGCCCTTTGGAGGACTTCGTAGATCAGGACTATGAATTTCATACAGCACATACCTAGTCTATCACTAGCACATAAAAGCCCTAGATTGACGGATTCTGGTTGCATAATCATTAATAGCCTGTCTGCAGTGTATTCTCACTCATATTTGCTATGAAATTCCACAACGGCATTGTGTTCTCTGATCAGAAAGCTTGTCAAGTAACTTGTTTTGACGGCTTTAGCTTGCAAAAAGCGGATTCTCATATATATTAATTCATCCACATGGCCTTCAGGAGATTCTAAAATTAGAAGAATAGAAGTATTTTTTTCGATTCCCAAGGCATGATGTAATATACCTAGAAAGTTATATGGAGAGATGTTGCAGAGTATAATAAAGGGTGGTGGAGACCAAGTCGTATCATTTTCATACAACCTCAAATATCACCACCAAGTTTATTTCTTCACCTTTCAAGAGGGGAAGAGAGAACATGAAAGAAAGCAATTTTTGTCAGCATAGCGAAGGGAATTAGTCGCTAGAAAGTGAACTGTGAGAAGATTTATAGTCTGGCCCGTTCGGAAATCAGGTCGACAGCTTCTAGAGCCAGACCCCTATTGCTGTTAGGAGTATATTCGTATATTCTCTTTCATATCCATCACGAAACTTACCAAGATGCCTGAAATCCAGTACCACCGGCCCCGTAATTATGGATAACAAGCTTGCCATCAATGTACTCACGTTCCACCCTTGCACCGCCTTTTCGGCTGGCTGTATAGAATTAGTAACCGGTTATTTCGGACGATACATCCAGAACACATGATACTTACGACGAAGTCCGACACCGTGCTTAATTATCTTGAGGTCTTCGGGCTTTCCAAGCTGAGGTACTAGGGCGCAGCATTTTCGCTTAATGATCTCCGCAAATTCCATATCGACTTCTCCATCCCAGTTGTTCTTTTCTCGACACCCACCCAATATCACACCACCCATTCCATCTCTACCCCGTGGAAAGATATGGGTTGCATCTGCATCTCGATGTGGAGCCTGGAAGTACATTGTGGGGATTGGTTCTTGTGGGCCTTCGACGAGCATAATTTGACCCTAAGCCGGCTGTGAGACATGTCATAATAAGCCTGTAGGAGATACATACCCTCGCAGGATATAGCATCTGGTCCTCAACGCCACCGAGTGTAAGTGACCCCAGTCCAGTGCAATTGAACACCACCGATACCTCAGGATATATACTGAAAACCTCACGAATGTCAGTGAATATCTTTCGATGTACTTCAATTCCACGAGACTGAGCTTCCATCTGTAACCTACAACCATCAGTAATGAAGTTGATTTTAGGTTGTAAATCTAGTCATACCAGGGAAGGTATCGCTGAACATCAAGAACAAATGAGGCCATCTCAAATCCAAAAGCTGCACCGTCAGGAAGTTCATCTTTCTCGATTGGTTTCAACCCCCCAACAAGATCCTCAAACCAGATTTTTCCCGTAGAAGGCGTAATGATCCCGACCTCTTCTATCGGCCGGTCATAATGGAAGCGAATATTCATGGCCCTGACACCAGAGTCAGGCCTCAATCGAGAAAGTTGTTTAAACTTCTTGTATGTGATAGAGTCCCATTTCTCCTGTCGGCCGTTGTCTGCCGAGGCAGGAAACCAATTCGCACCTCCCCAATTAGACGCGTAGTCTGCAAAGGAATCGCCCGGTAGATACTTGGCTGCTATTGTAACATTTGCACTTGGATAGCGGTCTTTCAGTTCCAGTGCAGTAGTAAGCCCTACAACGCCAGCACCAGCGACGACATAAAACGCTATTTCAATCAGTAAACATATCTTTCAATGATGGGGGAGTATCCTCTCTTACACATTATATAGTGGGCTCTCTACGTTATTGGAACGGCTTTCCTTAGGGAATTAGAAGTGGAAGGTAGTAATACCCGATATGGAGCCAAGTCTTTGAAAAGGGTAGCGAATTTCGACATATACCAGATTTCAAAAGGCCACTTGACTACTTTAGCTATCGGAATGTGTTGATAATGCCGGTTCATCTGGGCTCCACTCACGACTTCCCAAGCATTGGAACACAGAGTTGGAGTAGAAACTCAGTTTCACCCTTTCGACTCAACTAAGTACTGTCTTATTAAAATGAGATTACCACTGGCATAATGCTTTTCTCCAAAAAAAAAAAAAATCTAGAGTGGTCACGTATGATCGAGGAACTATTGACCAGTGACAGTTTAGTCTCGACGTCAGTCTTGGCTGGAAACACATTCGCGGTCGCAGACGTTCCAGCCTTCATCAACAACCCTGTAGTCGGGTATGCAGAAGCAATACCTGAATGCGACACTTTGCAATTCCTACCGGCCTGGAGTCAGTATAAAAGGATCTCTTCTCAGGCAGCGTTCATTTGACCGAAGTCATCCACGGACGTAGGATAGATATCGGGGACCCGGAGCTCTAACGGTAAAATTTTTTGATAAAAAGAGTGCCATGTCAATTTTTTGAGACGTAAGAACTGCTAACTACCACCAGACACAAGATTGTTATGGTACAGTATACTAGTTTCTCTCTCGCGGGTCTATTGGCATCAATCTCAAGAACACTTGGTCTCACTGCGAACGGATTTAAAAACATTTTGGAGTAAAAAGTACAATCACAAGTGAGAGATCAGAGAATCTCGCAAGGTTACTTTGAATGATTTGAATTTTGTTGAGCCAAATGAATACTTTTTCATTCGCGATTCTATGTATAATCAATTTGTGACTTAAGAAGTTCCGGCATTAAGGTTATATCTATATACACTGTTCATGAACCTACGTCTATCACGTAATTGATCGGTCGTCCTGTGGTAAAGAAGGCTTCAAGGTTGTCCAGGTTGATCTGTTCAAAGTTTTGCCAACTAGTAACCGAGCAAACTCCAATGTGAGGGAGAAGTGTAACTTTCCAATTGTCCCTTAGTTTGGAGTTAACTGCCGGTTCCATTTCATGAACATCGAGGCCGGCTCCAACAACTTTCCCCTGACTAAGAGCTTCTATTAGGGCTTCCTCGTCTATCATTTTCCCCCTTGCAATGTTGACTACTCTTAGACCCGTCTTCTTTGCTAGAGCAAATTCATTTGTTGACAACAAGTGGTGTGTTGCATCCGAATAAGGAGCTGCAAGAACAATGCAATCCAATTCAGGAATCATGTCACTGATTTGAAAATGGTATTTCGCCCCATTTTTCAGGGTTCTTTCCGCGTAGATATTTCGGCGTGGACCTTGGTAATGAATCTTCATTCCCCACGCTGTTTCACACTTTTGCGCGATTGCAAGCCCAATATTACCCAGCCCTACGATTCCCAATGACTTGCTGGAAGGGTCGCTAGAAGTGAGCCCAAGCTGTCGGCTTGCGTCCCAGTCATATCGGGCACACCATTGTGAATAAGATAGGTAACGAAACGTGTCGAGAACCAGGAACCATGCAGTGTTAGCCACGGCCTCGGTGCATGCACCTGGTGTATTACAAAACCATATACCCCTGGCTGAGATACCTTTGACATCAGAAGCATCATATCCATGCCCACTACAGCAAATGATGCGTAGACTTTGGGGGAAATGTACTACCACCTCCGGGGCGAAAGGACGTTGCGACGCCAATTTGCCCACTTTATGCCACCCACTGCGGACGATGGCCACCACTTTGGAATACTGACCTCCTGGCTTCAGTCGCTCGATAAAATCGGTAGTTGAGTCGCAATCATAATAAAGAAGATTGAACTTTTTTGCTAGAGCTTGACGACGTTCGGTGTCGACAGCCTGCACAGGTGATTCAATGAAAAGGATATCCGCTTTATCTGCCATTTTCTCGAATAATTTCCCCCTTATCTTTACGTCAAAAAGAGTTAATTATAGGTCGGATTAAGTCTGTATGTATGTCAGTTGACAGAGAGTACGTATCGCAGAATTTGGGGTAAAAACCCCACCGTGGAGTCAATTGACAAGAGTCGCAAGTATCGCACATGGGTAAATCCTCCCACGAATAAGGACAAAGCTAGCTAGTTCACTTACTTCTATTGAGGTGGAAGGAATACCAACGATATTCAACTTTAGATTCTTGTTCGCAGAGGCTGTCCTTCTGAGAACGATAATGGCCACCGATCACGCCGATGTCATCTTACCTCAGGTTTCTGGATCATCCGGATTTCGACTGATCAATATTCTCCTAGTGAACCCAAACTCTAGTGAATATATGACTAAGAACTGTTTGACAGCATTGGGACCTAGTTTGCCCTCAGATGTGATAGTCCATGGTTTCACTGCTCCATATCCAGCTCCCACAGCGATCGAATCCCAAACCGATGCCGTGCTATCCACTGAGGCTTGTATTAGGGCAATCAAACCCATCGGAGACAAATATGATGCTTTTCTTGTTGCATGCTTCCGGGCCCATCCTTTGATCAGTGTGCTCAAGGAAGAATTCTCTCAGCCTGTGCTTGGAATTATGGAGGCAGCCATGTACGCAGCACGTATGCTCGGCGCCAATATGGGTATAATATGCACATCGGAACGGTCTGCAACAGCTCACGGCCGTACCGTCTCTGAATATGGATTCTCGGACTATTTTGCAGGATGTGAAGCAGCTAAGCTGGGTGTTCTCGAGCTTGATTCTCAACCAAGAGCCGAGGTTCATGCCGTAATCACACAAAAGCTCAACCGCCTAGTTCACGAGAGAGGTGCTGATTGTGTATTGTTGGGCTGTGCCGGAATGGCAGAGATGCGAGCTATCTGCGAGGCTACGGTCGAAGGAAGTGGTGCGAGAGTGTTGGATGGAGTTGGACTGGGTACACAAATCTTGATTGGACTGGTGAGAGAGGGTTTGAGAACTTCCAAGAACGGTATCTTCAAGGATTCTTCACTAGACAGAGTGAAAAGAATGCAGGACTGGTTATGAGTATTTCTAATCAAGAATGATACCTCGTGTGTAGCAATCGAACCAATCCGGTCTACTAACTGGGATGTCTGCAGGTGGTCGAAACGAGACACATCGCAGAAAGCACGTCTTTAGGTGACTTAGGACTTTAACCTCTTCCCTTACTCTCTTGCAATATTTCTCTGGCACAAATGATTATGCTCGGTGCGACTTCTCTACACCCATCGGCAGTCTAATTGCGTGTATGCGATTTCGAACAATTTTAGTTCTCTCTGCATTGGAAGTCTTACCAGGGTAGAATATAATCGTATGTTGCACAAATGACAATAAATGTAGATTTCTCTTAGTCCTCTATGGTGCTTTTCGAGTCCTGTATTCCGAAAAGGTAGTATAGTCAGAGTGTGGGTGACGGCTGGAGTTGACTGACCATGAATGTTTAGGTGATCGTCTGCATCGAGGCTCAACTAGCCCGCATAATAAATAAGAGATTGATCTCATGCTCGCCCTTAGCAGTCAGTCACGATATCTTAAACTCCATTGTAACTCAATATAATTTAAAACCAGCCTAAGAAGGTGGACACGGCCGAATCCCTCCGCTGTTAGCTGCTTATGTAATACCTAATTCATGTCTCCACTTCGACTGATAAGAACTGCATTCGAATAGATGATATGATGAAGCACTGACAAGCATCCCCTCCTCTATTTGAAGCCATGCGGCCTCGTATTGAAGTTGCACCATGTAGATTTTGCCGGAGGCGATTTGCTAGACGAGAGCATCTACTCCGACACGAACGGACTCGTGCGTTCTTCTGTTCCACTACTGCGGCGAGTACGTCTGACATGCACAGATACGCGTGAGAAGCCATTTCACTGCCGCTGCGGCAAGGATTTCACCAGACGGTGCGTGTCAGCCTTACGAATAGAGACCCGGATGAGAAACTGAATAAAAATAGTGACCTGTTGTCACGTCACCTGAGACTTCAGAGTGATTCCTCTGGTCATGAAGAGATTGGAAATTGCAGCGGAATATTGCAATTCGAGAACAGTAGTCCTATCCAAGCTACGCATATTGAATCAGAGCTTGATGGCGCAACAAGAACAGGGTTGGAAAACGAAGCACTCCGTCCTCTGCTACATGGATATATGAATAATCTACCTGACACTGTACCTTCTGCTTTTGCGGCAAGGGCAGCAGGTCAAATACAGGAGTCCGAGGATACGAACGTCTCCAGACCCATTTTACTTCCGTCGGACACCTCTCAGAACGTTTTAGATGAAAATTTGGAAGATCTCAACGTATTGTGGGGAAATGTTGATACCAACTTTTCCCTGGAAGGCCTAGCATTTGGTCTTCCAAATGATCTCATCTCTCTCCCAGGATTCGATATAACTGGATCAACACCCTCGGGCACCTCAGGGCAGACGATCGACAAGGCAACTCATCAGACCATACCAGATAGCCCGCCATCTGATGACGATGCCTCGCTTTCCAATTTTCAACTTCCATCTTTACAACGAAACGACGAATCCAATTCTCAAGAATATGCTTCGCAGGACACCGACTCATATACTAACTCTTTTAGTAAAAATCAACCTAATCATCCGTGGCGAATCAGCAATGAGGACTACCACCATATATCAATGCAAATTGATAATATACGTCCAATCATACCGAACTCTTTTAGTTTACCCTCCAAATATGTCCTCTGCAGATATATTGAAGGGTTTTTCACTGGCAGCCATGAACACTTGCCTTTTTTGCACCTACCAACTGTGTCGATTGCGAATCTCTCTCCGCTTTTGATCTTAGCAATCATCGCTATGGGTGCACAATATCGTTTCGAGCGAGAACGGGCAGTGAGGTTCTACAAGGCATCACGATCATTAATTGACCACCACATCAGCATATACCGCCAGTCAAACTCCGTTTATACCCCGCGTTCTCACGTTGAGACTATGGACTGCATTGACAAGACTCATTTCGAGGTGTTGCAGGCTCAGATTATCCTCACTACTTTGGGCACTTGGGGGAATCATGGTCTACTCCATGATTCGCTCGAAATTGCAGGTCAAATATCACTCTATCTCCGTGATAGCGGCTTTCTCCTACACGACCGTCATTCTGATGATGGATTGTGGAGCACCTGGATTCAGCAAGAGGAGCAAAGACGCACTATATTTATTGCTTATATAATATGCAATAATCAAACCATTTGTTACAATATACCTCCAAAGATCTTGAATAGTGAAATTAGTTCACTGTATCTCCCTTGGCCTGAGGAGCTCTGGAGAGCGTCAAGTGCCTCAGAATGGAAATCTCTACGCTCGAAATGGCCGATCTGTGTCTCCTTTGGCGACGGTTACGGCCAATTATTCCATAATAAAAGAATTCATCGGGATGGCTTCACCTTGTCTTCTTTTGGGAGTCTGATCCTCATCCACGGTCTCTCGCAAAACATATATCTCGCATGGGAGGCATCATTCCGCATGCCAGTATCAGCTGGAGACCAACCTAGCTCACTACCTGTTGAGTTTCTCACGAAATTCCACACAGCGCTCCGACGATGGCAAAAAAGCTGGGAGACAAGCTCCGACCCATCCATCACACCCTCCTCTCCGAAAGGACCTCTTGGTTTCAATGCAACGGCGATATTCCGAATTGCATGCATCAGGCTACACCTCAATCTTGGCCCGCACCGCAGCTTACGAACGGGGGATCCGGAAGTCATTGCTTCAGCCTTCTGCAATGCCTTAAGGCCCGCTCAAACCCCTCAAATCTACCAGGCTGTCCTCCAATCCATTCACGCTCTTTCCATTCCCGTTCGCCTTGGTGTGGAATATGTCGCGAGGACGCAGACCCTGACATGGAGCACGATCCATGCCCTTTCTAACCTTGAATGCGCCGTGTTCTTATGTAAATGGCTCGAGACGCTCGCGTCGGATCCGTCACATGTTAGTAAAGATACGCGGCGCATTCTCAGAATTATTACCAGTGTGTTGCGAGAAGCAGATCTGGCACCGCCAGTTAACTGGGCGGGTGACTTTCAGCCTGACCAATTACGGCGGATGGGTGCGATGCTGGTGCGATTATTGTCAGAGATACTAAAGGGCCCTCATGTTTTCGAAATGATGTATGTGTTTTGTGACTCTCTCCGTACCTATGCCAACTTGCTAGAGAATGATCTCGATTCCAATATGGCGGAATGAGTGGAAATGGTTTTATAATGAGTTTAAGTTAGGTGAGAGATGGCTGGCTTCATCCAGTAATAGATGCCGGAACACGTTGCTCTCGCTTAATATTCGAGATTTTTTACTAATTTATATTAGAGACTATCAGCTCTGGATCCCATAAGTCCTTGTATATAAGCCAATTAAACCTCATATCTATCTTCTACTATTACCTGTCCACGACGCCACCGACGCCAAATAAGAAAGCCCATCATCGTGGCCGCGGTCAAAGGAACCGCAAACGCAATATACACCCACCACAATTTCGACACAACGAACGTCGGTTCCGAAGTATTCGTGTTTAATGCCACGAAATTCGTGCCGAAAAGACTGCAAACAAACGTTGCCGGAAGATAAAACATGGTGACTCCGGCAATTATCTTCATGGAAGTGCTATCTTTCTTGGCCTCGTGGGCGACTTTGGCCGTTTCCGAGGCGATGCGTAGGTTTATTCCGCTGTCGTGGCCAGTGATCAGGTTGTATAGTAGCGTAATGAATAGTTGGGTCTTGCGTTGCGCGTTGACGATTTGTCGGTCTTGGTCATGAGCGAGGTCTTTAAGACTCAGCAAACTATCCCGGACATGCTCGTGTGTGTTCATGTCAATCTGCTTTGAAGGATTGGGCGATGATTGCTTGATTAACCGTCGTAAGCGTTTGTGATCCTCCAAAAGTTTCTCAATATGAGATCTATCCCGCTCATTTCGATGTTCTAGTGTTATTAGATTCCGTGATAATTTATGTGAAAGCTGGATGTAGCGTATGAATTTGGCGGAATCGGTGCCCTGGAAGATTGATCCCTGGTATATTTGCGTCTCGATCCATAATAGGCGGCGGTAAAGATCGTCTATTTGCGCACTTCGGGCGGCGAGACTCTGGAATAGGATCACCGCGTGTAACGAGAACGGATGCATGCGAGAAGCACGCTCAGAAAGCCCGCTGCCGACACTATGGAGCAAGCCGCGATACTCTCTGCTCGCATTTGGTAGCATATAAGTTGTCTGTCTCGTCGTAATATTGTGTCGAAAGTAGAGCGATTCATACTCGTGCTGCACTCGCAAGTCGGTTGACTTGATCACGTTGACTGTTATGGTGCTCTCTAGCGATGATATGTTGGTTTCGTCGTATAGAATATCTTCTCGTATGTTGTAACTTATATCTAGTGGATAATCAGCATATTAATATTCCCTCGGTGAAAATAAGACTTACCCAGGCAGATGTCTCCATTGACTTTGACAATGCGGCTATGGTAGCTGGAAACGAGCTCTGAAGTGAACAATGCTACATCGTCCATGTCGATGTTCCAGTATTGCTCGAACAATTCAAAGGCCTTGCTTTTGTCTTCAAGAAATGTGTCTTCATCGCGACTCATTATTCTATCGATCCGTTCACGATCAGCCTTTGCTCAGTCACTGTAGTAGTAGTGTCTTAGCCTTACACCAAACGTACATCCGGCCCTCCCTCGGCTGGGGTTCTCGCAGACAACGTTCGAACATGCTCATCAAACTCCATTGTTGCTAAGAAGTAGATTAACTTTTATTTCGCTCGTGAATTCATATATCTTGAAGCGTACCAGATTCATCAAGCACAACCAGACGCGTATTGCTTTCACTATCATCAGTACCGGCATTGTGTTTATTCGAGTTCAGTCGTGAACCTTTCCGGCCGCGGCACAAGAACAACGCATAATCCAAAACTTTATGTCGAAGATGATATAGGCCAAAAGGTGGTTCCTGTAACTGAACGCCCACAGTCTTGCGTTCCACGAGCGGCTTTTCGAGCCGTCCGTCATCCGAAGTCGTGCTTATTGACGACATGAGGCGACCATAACAATGACATGAAGCATCACAAATACACAAACACAATCTATATTATCAGTTAAAAGAATATAGAATAAACTTGCAATTAGATTACTCGGGGATCATCAACATTATTAAAATTTGTGGCGTACTAAGGGGATCTAATTCAAGGAGCATGAGGCTGAGCGCAGATCCCTGTCTCCCCCTCATTTGCAGGCTTAAGCACAGCCACATTGCGATGGTCAACCAACCCGTTTAGAGATTTCGGTGCTTCCCGAGAGTTCTAGTATCGTCAACTAAGACACTGATCAGCTGAAATAATTTGTGTAACATGAGATCCCTGAGTATCACGGCCTCCTATTCGAGAGTCTGTAAGCACCGAGGCTTTTTTCCGCCTAAGCCTTCTTGACCTACCATAGACCTGATAGACGGGTCATCTCCATACCTGGCCCGAGCGCCAGAAGGATTAGAACTTCGTTTATCTATTGCACCATTCAGAACTAGAGCTTGGACGGCTAGAGGGTCAGACCAAGGACGAATTTGGCCCTCAAGGATCCAGATGCTTGTCAACCACGTGGCAGTAGATTCTAGTCCAAAGTTTAGACGGATTGATATAATTCAAAGTACTCCTGAGAGACTCACGTCCCGTTTCAGAAGCTATTCTAAAGAAGCAGCCTTGCAGAATCCGAGACTGGATACTTGTTTATCGAATTTGTAATCCACTGGCCCCAAGGATTCAGATGGATGACATCCACGTGGCTATCCTGTTTGATGTAAAAAAGCGGAAGCAGTTCCAGATGCATCCTCGATTGCAATTTTCTTCAAAAGCCACTCGAAGCAAGTGGATCGCCCTACAGAATCCCGGATGAAATGCTGAGGGATTTGGTTGGCATCAAAGTTGGCCCCAAGGATCGGCATCCATGACAACACGTGGAAGTAAACCCTACTTAATGCTTTCAATCATATTGCATAGATTAAAGGATATTTCAAGGCGCGATGTGTCTCGTATCCGTTTTCAGAGGCTGTGATTACAGCAGTTCTACACTGTGACCAGCAGAAGAGATGTGTGGAGTTGAAATAAGTTCATCATTATTCATATCCGTCCATGTAGTTTCCAAAAAGAGCCGGAAATTTCATCAATCTAGCAAGTCTGATCTAGGCCATGTTTTCGCAGCAATGGCATTCAACCATGCAGCCAAACGATACCTAGCTCGTGCAATCAATTCTTCAATGGCCAGCCTGCAATCCTCGAAGTAATCACCAGCCAACTCGGTACCCGTCAGGTAGTCCAATCCTGGCTTGAGAACTGTGTCGCACACGTGAGAGTTCGCATCCCTGGCCTATATCATTGCCGAGCTGACAGAATCCATCACGTCTAATTCACCCAATCAGCAAGAAATCTTTGAGGCATATTCACCTGTTTCAATACGAGAAGTGAGTACTGGAACCCACTTTTGAGCAATTTCCAGCGAGTCACCGCCTGCATTCTCTTCGGCATGATAGCGTCCCAAATGTGTCGCGGATTTGGGTGAGATTCTCCGTATGTCACGTTAATACTCCTGCCGCCTTTTACTAGGTTATCGGTATGGAGAGGCTCAACGCTGGTGGATGTCACCGATAAACTAGTAATAACAGTTAAGCGACATGTTTAAAAATGAATGTGGCCGCATCATGACTTACATGAACAATAAAATTCCAAGTTTTCAACCGCTCTAGAGACCGGATTCTGACTATCTAATGGTATATTTGTCCGGTTCGTTCTAAGCATCACATGCAGCATGTCCCGAAATCTTACCGGCAAGATACGTACACAGTTCTGTATAGCGCTGACCAGACATCCGGACTCACCACATTCGCAAGTATAGTCTAAATTGCAAGCCTTCGGGGGATCGTCATGTGCATCAATGTAATAAAAGGCTCGCGTGGAAAAAGGACCTATTGAAGTGTGCTTGTAACTGTCTGGTAAGTGGAGAAATCAGCCACGTATTAAGATGGAATATCCCTGAGTAGGCCGTGAAAGTAGGATTGGGTAGAGGGCTTGACAAAGTTTTGTGCAATATAGGCAACTGTCTCATATTCTAGACTGCTTCAAGCAATAGAGCTAGAGATCCGGGCGGTAAGCAACAGAGAAACAAAACATATGAGTTTGCATCTTACTTGGAGTACGCTGCTCTTTTTCTCGAAGGGTTTTCAATGTTGATCCTTTCAAGAATGGAACGAAAAGTAGGTATATATGAATGTACATGTAGAAATTGTAGCTTCAGGTGCCGATGAAAGCAAGAGATACTAGGACACTCTTTATAGTACCTAGTGTACAATTACACTATCATCCAATATTGTCTCAGATGCAGCATAACGGCTCTTGTAATTACTGCAAAGCCTTGGCTAAGTACTGTTTAATATTGAAATGAGACTGACAACTTTCAAGGATCCGCAGCTGTTGTGCTCAGTGATGTGTCTTTGGTGTTGCCAGCTTCTTCGCGGATGATGACTGGTTCAGACATTACCGTAAAAGGAAAGCAACCTTGGCCTATTAGGGCTAGAAACTGCTGCCTGAGAGATGAGGCATTAAATCCACAACAGCCGGCATGACGTCATGTCTCCATTCAATCTCATCTGCGTGCCTCAGGCCGGCCATCGCTCATTTTCAATTATTTTTCCACTGACACTGTGGTGAAATTGATCAATTAGCTAGTAATCTATAGTCCTCTCTGTGGTCTACGTATATTCTCAGCGATAACATAGTACATAGTAGTGGTGCGATAGAAGAGGTAGAAAAGTGTGGGGTAGAAGCATCATCGAAGATTCCTCTGGCTCCTACGTCATCCAACAAAGCTTAGCTGCCATGGACGATATACATACTACTGCGTACATAGCAAATAGTGGTAAAATGATATATCTCATAGTCTGGCCCTCACTACGTCATATCCCGCATCGTCTGCCGCTGCCCAGCTATATAAAGACTCTTGGTTTTCCTTGATCTGCTCAACAGTAAATTCAGCTTCACACATCTCACAATACTCTACCCTCACGAACTTCTTCAATAGGAATCACACACCCAAACGTCAAGATGAACTCCGAAAGCACCAACATTGATGCTATTAACACTAGCACCCGCACCAACACCGACTTCACCGACGGCAACAACACAATGAACAACCTGAACAACAACAACACCGACTACAATAACGACTACACCCAGAACAAGACAGACTCCTTCAACTACAACGCAGACAACAAGCGTGACAACCTCAGGCAGGGTGTCTCTCAGCCCGCTGAGACTGCAACCACCAATACTGATTCTTTCGAACGCGACTCTGCACCTCGCGAGTCCGTGGGTCGTGGATTTGAGGACAGCGAGTCTGGAAACCGCAACTTCGAGAACCGCGATACTCAGAGCCGCAATTTCGAGGACCGTAATGTCGAGAACCGCGAGGTCGAAGATCGTGAAATTGACAACCGCGACTCCAACCGTGACGTCAACACCGACTCAACAAACCAAGACGATGTTCCCAAAAAGGGCGTCGCAGGCGTAATCCACTCCAACTTTGGCGCCGACAAGACCACCACCTCCACTTTTGAAAAGTCACAGGGCGAGAAATACGGCGAGAACTTTGACGAGACCGGCGCCAAGATCAAGGGACGGTTCAGCGTTGACGAGAGCGCCGCGGCATCTGGCTCTGGTGGTGCCACGGGCGGTGGTGAATACAGCATGGGCGGAAAGCAGGGTGCTAAGGCTGGAAAAGATACTAATGTGCCAAGTGAGCATGGTTCTCATGGCAGCGGTACTCAGAAGGAGAGCTTTGGCCATAAGCTTATGGATAAGGCTGAGGGTATGTTTCGAAGGCGTAATTTTGGGATTGTTGGCTGACTCTGTCGATAGGAATAATGCACCGACACCACCACGACAAGGCCGAGAGCCGCACTGATGTTCAGTAATTTACCGGTGTTGTGTGGTCAATTGATTTGAATGAACATCAATATGTGTATATTTACTTTCTCTTCATGCATGACTTTGATAAGTTTATGAATACGAATTTACTTACGAAATAATTGCTCCTTTATCATAATTTAAATTCATAACAACTTTATCAAAGTATGAGTAAGCACATCGCATAACATCGAGCATTTGACTATAACAACGCCATGATCCATCACTCCTCCCATTCCGCCCTACAGATTGGGCAAGTCGGTTGACGTGCACTCTCCTCAAATCTCCTCTCAAATGAACGAATCCATGAATCCATACAATCTCTATGAAAATTGTTACCGCATTGCTTTCGACACCAAACCAGATCCTCATGTCCGTTCTGGAATTCATGTCTATCCTCGGATTCTTCTTCATCGTGTTCTGAAGAGTCATCATCGTGTTCCACTTCATGCCCCTCGGGCGTATCTGAATCGTCGTCCAGCAGTGGTAAGAAGCAGATGCTACATTCCCCTTCAACATGTCGGCGAGTCACCTCTCCGCTTCGGGAAGTTCGCTGTCTGGCCGGATTCCGTGCTGGTCTAGAGGGCTCTCGAGATGTCGGCGTACTCGTCTCTGCTTCAGAGCTCTCTTGTGCTGATCTCGTTGATGAGGCAGTAGTCCGTTGTCGACGAGTAGACTCACTGACTGTAATCCTCGGGTTTCTGACTGTCATTCGCGGAAGAGGCCTAGAGGTACCCGATCTGGATACGGTTGTCCTTGGCTCCTGATTATTGGTTCTTGTTGGGGAATCTGAGGAACCATGAGAGACATCATTTGTTCCATTCGATGATGATGGATCTGTATATAGTCCGAGCCGTTCCAATTCATAATTGACTCTTTCTTCCACGTATTGACGAGACACTTCCTGCAGATTGAATTCTGAGGACGGCCGTGGAGTTGTAGAGCCCAAGGGTATCCTTGGTGTGTGGCCACGAAATTGATTCATCGTCATTGCAGTTGTAGGACTTGTATCGTGCTGCTCGGTATCGTTGATTCGATGTGATGCAGATGATGTTCTTATTGATCTTGAATAATCCCTTCGTTCTGCTAAAAGTGTCTCGACAACATATGTTCGTGAAATTTGTCGCTGATACGAAACTTCAGTTGTGGTTTGCGCCATGCGACTGGTACCAAATCTTTGAGCCGCCTCACCACCACGATAAGCAGCAGGAGAAGGCGACCTCGAAAGAAACCTCGCCGAGGCATGTCTCCTTTCGTGAAACTTCTCAACCTTCCTAGACCAGTCGTACACCAACCCCCCTGCCTGCCATTGATGATGGCGGTTACATAAAAGCAGCGGAGCCAACTCCTCCAATACCTCGTCGATGTTCTCCTCTCCGGACTCCAAGATACGAGTTCCTTCGTCTAGAACACGGCTCGCATGAGCGCGACCGCGTATGTCACTAGCAGGCAGTCTACAACGTTGACCTGTTGTTCTCGCGAAACCAACGCAGCGAGAATCGGAATCCGGCGCTACGCCGAGAATGTTTGGGAGATAAAAGGGACTTTGGTCCCGAGCTTCGATAGAGATAGGCATGTTTTGTTTTCTGGATGGATGAGTGTGTAATTGCCTCAAACAATATGTTGACAATGATTAGTCGTCTTTATGTACTTTATACTCGTCCATGGAAAAGCTGCAGTGACGTCTTATAGCGAGCCTAGAGGTTCTTTCTCTGACTCGAAGTGTGGCTTAGCTAAGTATCTATAAAAGTCCATACGCTTCTCACATAATAACGCGACATCAAAATAAGCCAATACACCACACCACACCAGCTGGCAACTCCCTTACTTACTACAAAAACGGCAAAGACCAATTTGCGTATCTCTCGTCTCTTACACAAAGTGTCTCAATCTAAAGAAATGACATGGGTTTGATTGGCGGCTAGACCAGGATTGCATGGAACGGTTCAACCGAAGCAGCGTCAGCCAGAGTCCAGGCTCCTGCGCGGCACTAACAGAAGAGGGGTACAGAGGCACTGTTGAGAAGTTGCTGGAACTTTTATGAGCGCCTGTTGCGGCATGAATTGATTACTGTCTGGTTCGACTGTGGCAGTGTCGGGATGAGCCCTAATTGCGAAATATCTCGAGACGGCTAAGCAGGTATTATGTTAATGTTCATGGATGTAGAGCCATAGCCCTTGGGGAAAAGAATGCCATCCCTGATTAATGCCGCAGCATTTTCTCGCATTACAATGACTCTTGTAGTAATTTCTAAGATTTTACAGCAAGTACAGCCACATTTTGGTTTGGTGCGCAAGCAATCCTGTGGCTGGACAGAATGATTAGACTACATTTGATCTCATGCTGATTTCTCAGTGACTCGGGGGGAGCCAGGCTTAGAGCATATGTAGGTAGAACGATGTCGGATATAGTAGAATCTTCCATGTCCACTTTGCCGAAGCGAAAAAAAAAGTGTCTAAATGGTGGTACTTTTATTAAGCTAGATGGCGGATTGGATAATTTCGTGCCCGTGAGAAAGAATTCCCTTGGAGTTGATGGTTGTGGTTTATCGAAATTTGGAGTCGTTAGACAATCGAATTCAGCCCTAAGTTGACCTCGTTGCTTTAACAATTCTGGTGGCAATAACAAGCACTATTCAATCAGCTTCACTGAGCAATATTATTTGTATTTTGGTTCTCATCACACTCGAAAGACGGTCTCCAGTGTGTAGTAGCTTGTATTGATGAATTTCTTTACAGTCCACCTCGATCTGTGCTCGAGGTACTTTCCTCTACTCTTGGCCATTTTTTGAAAGATGATTCTAGAAGACAATCAGTACATGAAGATGCTTGTTCTAAGGTCAGTGTTGATTCCTGTTGTTCGATTCTTTCTACTAACGTTCTATTCAGATCAGACGAAGATGTGAAAATTCTATTCACAACACAACGCTGCTCTCCAGCTCTTAGATCAAGATGCTATTATCACTCAATTTGTTCATACAAATAAGTACCATTTATTTGTTGTAAATAAGAAGCTACCCGTTCAATCGCTTTTTTCAGCACATTCTGTGTATTATGAGATTTCGTCGCTATACTAGTCACGTCAAAGGGGATTATTCCTCACTATTTCCTTCACTGCTACAGTCTTTTCTAATTTATCTCTTTGCGTGTCCTTTCGTCTCAAAGAAAATATTTCCTCCCTTCTTCTATGCCCTCTTCAGTATCACTCCAACACATTCTACTCCAACCCTGAGATCCTTCATCGACTCATCTATCGACATCCACCATGGACGAACCACCAGAGTACATCCCAGACGCTGAATTCGATCACGGCGCCGAGCGCGCCTCTCTCGAAGGCAGAGACTACAACCGCCCTCTCCCCTCCTCCCTCGTCCTCGCGCGCACCACCGAAACGCAGGCTACAATCCGCGCCCACAAGATCGTCTCCGCGTACATCGCCGCCTGCCCTCCCTTCGCAGACATGGCCCTCATCAACGAATGGCGTATTGTCTGCCGCATCAATCACACAGACACCTACGAGATCTCGCTCARGGGTCTGCCCTGCCGTACCGATGGAGCCTGCGATGTCAATGAGACGTACATCCAGCTTGCGCCAGGCCCAGCTGTTATGACGAACGGGAGACTCGAAGGAATGGCCAAGACGCTCAAGATTAGTGTCAAGAGTGGCTCGACGATTGGAGATTTGCTGGATGAGATTTTTGAGAAGAATTTGAATCAATTCCAGTTGTTGCATGGACGAGGTTTGTCATCCCCTTTCTCGTCTGGATACATAAAGGCGACCGAATATCCATGGCTCATGCCACGGATCATTTTGAAAATATCCATTCTCGACCTGCGCAAGAAATGTGCTACCTTGCTAAATCGATCTAATAGGCAACCGCTACTGGCTCTGGGGTATCCTCCAAGTAGCAACCAGAACCTTCCACGCGCTGGACGAAAATGTCGTGGGCATGACATATCTCAGTCAAGGCTGGGACCAGGAATTTCCAATCCGTCCAGGTGATTTTCGAGCTCCGGCGAAGGGTTTGTGGCTCGATAGCAGTTATTGGCGTGAATGAATTGTCTACGAGGCATGTAAAACATGTAACGAGCGACTTACGACGTAACACGATTGAGACGATTTGTGCCGGGAGACCAAATTGGGGATGGAACTAAGATGGGGGAGAGGTAAAAGGAAAGAGCGCTTGAAGTACGGAGCTATTTGATTCTGGTAGACAAATAGAAACTAAGAATAGAAGCAAGCAAATCAACACATTCCTGGTTCAAAATTCACAGATATCGGCGTTGTAGATCTCTACTTTGCATGCGAGAAAGAAATTTGCTTACTATCAAACTGAATTTGCTCCTAAGTAGCATCACATATACAGCCTATAAAGTAGAGTAAAATACACATAACTTTTGTCTGCTCTATAAATGCAAATCATCGAAAACTTTACCATTGTCTCCAAGAGACAACTATTGAGAAACACCACCACGACCTCCGACCGCTCCCACAACTTGAAGCTGATCAGCGGTAAGACGGACCTCTGGGAGTGGTCGGCCTCTACCCGTGGGCCAGCTAATGAAACCAGTCTCACACAAGTAGCGCAAATACCGGCCAACATCCTCGCGACTGATTCCGTAACCTGCGCTCTCATCAACACCCGTCCAGTGGTCTGCATCTAGCTTAAGAATCTTGACTGCATTCCGATCATCGAGTTCAGGCGCCTTTGTGTTTCCCGGTAGATCATTCACACAGAAATGATATAATGGCATGAGAGCGTGTTGTTCTTGATCCTTCTCCTGACCACCGGCAGAAACGTACTTTTCAAGATCATGCTTCCAGTCTTCGTAGCTAATTTCGGGGACATCATAGCCGTAGTATTCTAGGATTGAGAGGTATTCGTTCATGCGGAGGCGGGGGTGGCCGGTGACGTGGACGACGTTGACGCCTTCAAGAGGGTTAAGGGCTGCTGCAACAACGACGCGGGCGACGTGGTTGACTGGAACGGAGTTGACTGTGTTGACGATGCGGGGGCGAGAGTGTAATTGAATAGATCCCTTCAAGAATCTGATGAGGAAATCGTCGGTGCTGTAAAGATAGTTTATTAACAGGCATTCGTCACAACAGGATGATAAATACTAACTTGCAAGTTCCAGTCTGGGAGCATCCTAGAATATATCCAGCTCGAATTACGGAGCCACGAAGACCTCTCCTACCTGCCTCTCTAACAAGGTGCTCGGAAACCCACTGTTCACCAAGTCAGCAAACGTCCGTTGAAATCTTTTCTACCTTTAAATAAAACTCACCTTGGTCTGACCATAACCAGTACCCAAGTGGCGACGGCTACCCTGCATATCATCGTCCTCAGTTATAGCGCCCTCGCCAGTGCTGATCTGCTTCTCAGAAAGACGGACATAGTGCTCAGTATCGAGTACACTAGTTGAAGACACGAATGTGAAGATCTTGGGCTTGCCAATGTTGCAAAGCTTCATGGCTTCAATAGTCGACAACACATTAGCAGCCATCATCTCCTGGTATCGTTTCACCCAGTGGACCGTGGCACCATTGGCAATGATCACGGATACTTCTTGCGCTAATCTTTGCCATTCCTCATCGCTCAAACCTAGCTGTGGCTTCGCGAGATCCCCTGCAACGCAGCTAAGACGCGACTTCCACTGGTCTTGCCACAGACCGTAACCCTTGAGTGAACGCTCGAGACGTGCCATACCAGACTCAGCATCTTTAGCACGGACATGTGCGATGATACGTAGTTGTCGGGTGTTTCGCTCTAGAAGATCCTTAATGATAAAACCTCCTAAGAAACCAGTTGCTCCAGTGATGAAAACCGTTGGGCTCGCAGATGCTCGCACGGTAGATGGGTCGGCGGCTTGAAACTTTTCCGGCAGTGTCGTGAGTAAGTGATCCAAAGACTTTGCGTAAGCGGGATCCTCTTGGCTCTCTTCTTGTGTTTCTCCTCCATGGAGTTGCTTGTCGATTTGAGCGCTGAACGCCCGTAATGTCGAATGTTCGTAGAGAATATTGATCGAAACTTGCGCTCCAGTCTCTTTGCGAATGTCAAGCAACATCTGCTGCGCTAAAAGACTGTGTCCACCAAGGGTAAAGAAATCATCATCGGGAGATACTTTCTTTTCGTTCAAGCCACGAACAAGAGTAGCCCATCTTGTGGCGACAGTTCTCTCGGTCTCCGTCAAAGACTCCCATCTCTTGAGGTCATCAGCAGAGGCAACCTCTGTCTGTTCAGAAATATCAGGGAATGGAAGATTTGGTTTGTCAACCTTGCCGTTGGGGTTCAATGGCAGTGCTTTCAAGAAGATGAAAAGACTGGGTACTGCGTAACTGGGAAGTCTGCCCTTCACATGATCTCTGACCTCGGTCTGCATTGCTCTGAATTTTTTGAGGTAGACTTTGGTAACACCAAAGTCAGTTCCCTCATCGGGAACGTCTTCCAAGCCGTGGGATTCGAGCCATTGTGGCCATAATTTCATCTCCGGAACAATGTAGCTGACCAGTGTGGGTTCCTCGTTTCTGTCTCGTCTGACGAGGGTCTTGCAGTCTCTGATCATAGGGTTTTGGCTCAAGTTGCTGTCAATATCATTGAGTTCAATACGGAAGCCACGGATCTTGACTTGATCATCAGCTCTGCCAGTACATTCAACGTCGCCAGATTCCAAATAACGACCCAGGTCACCAGTTCGGTACAGACGATCTCGGGGTCCCTTGTAGTACTTCCTCCACGGCTCGCCTTTGTTATTTTTTTGGTCTAACTCGACCCATTTGTTATTGTCAACGAACCAGTTCTGCACGAATTTGAGATCGTTCAAGGCTTGATCACCACGGTAACCTTCGGCCAATCCAGCTGCCCGAACGTAGATTTCACCAGTCTCTCCCACTGTACACATTTTGTTGCGGTCTTCACGGTTGACGACAAGTAATTGCACGTTTTGCATACCTGTTCCTGCGGGCACGGTGTCCTTGAGGTGGTCCATGCCATTGGGGTCCTCGGCTCTACTTTTAATGGAGTAATAGCTCACGGCACGCTGTGTTTCGGTCGTTCCGTACATGTTGATTATATTGACGTTCTCGGCAAGGGCTCGTAAGGCTTTGCAGTCTCTTGTAGTCAGGACGTCTCCGACGAAGAAAGCACTCTTGAGACTAGGGAAAGTTGCACTAGCTCCACCGACAAGAATCTGTCCCACTTTATGCAAGTTAGCACCTGTATATACCATCATACCTCAGTCTTAACATACTGGCAGGAGTCAAGTGAGTCACTGTTGGCGAGTACTTAGCCATCCACTCGGCCAGTCTTTCGTGGGCGATATCAGACCGTGAGGGCACTAATAATTGAGCACCCAAAAACAATGGTGTGAAAACTGTTCTTACTCATTAGTCAAAATACTGATTTGAAGTGGTCGTATTGACTTGCCATCTCGTTGGATCGGATCGTGTGCAACTAATGCCCAATGTTAACCATTGCATAATAACGCTAGATGATCATGGTAGGTAAATAACTTACTTCCACTAAGCATGGTGAACTTGCTTTCTGAGCTCAATCCAAAACGCTCGGCCATCCAAGCAAAATATTTGCAGAGACTGTAATGTCTGCCCAAGACACCCTTAGGTCGTCCCTCGGATCCTGAAGTGAAAGACAACGTGGGATTGCTGTCAGGTCCGACTTGTGTAGGAGGGGGAGCAGATGCTTTTCGTAAGGCCTCAGAGAACACGTCTTTTCCGTCAATCTCTCCACCAGACAATGTTCCATCGTCCCCGATGCGAAGTGATGGCACCTCTGCCTTGAGGTTCAATTCATCGTCGATATAACTCCGGACAATAGGCGCAAGAACACCGGCTTCATCGGTGGCTCTTCCAATATTTATCAATGCACGGGGCTGAGCGACTTCGAGGTATATCTTTTGTCTGGCCGGAGGGTATGCGGGGTCCAGGACTGTGAAGGTTGCTGCGGAGGACAATGTTCCCATGATGGCAACTACCAGATCAACCGATCGATGGGCGAAAATCATGACAACGTCATCGTTTGTGATACCGGCATCGTGGAGATAGTGGGCGAGTGTGTTTGATGCCTCATAGATTTGTTTATATGTGTATCGACGTTCGGGGCCTTCGGCGGAAGCAGTTTCGACGACGCACGTGCGATCCGGATGGGTTTGAGCTGTTAGAATGATCACGTTAGAGATCAGTTCCGACAAGCAATAGACCTGGCTCAGTATTTTGACATACCATTTTTTCCGAAGATATCTTGGATTGATCCGACCTGTGACGGTCATCAGTTAGCATACAAAAATTTCCAACCCCGCAGTCATTAGGGAAGAAAAACATACATAGCCGGACCAGTCAAGGTCGACGGTCGGATCTGGTAAAGCAGTCATATCTTATTTCACGTATCGACTCAGCATATAAATAATTGAGTCCGCAAGTCAAATAAGATCAGCAGAAATGTAGTGAAGAAAGGATCATGTTAATAAAGTATGTGACGGCATACGCAAAGATTTCCGGCTGGGCGGTGAGTCACCAGCGAAATCGGCGTGGGGTAAGCCGCCATCCCTGTTTGGGACAGCTCTTTTTTTTCCATCTTCCACTCCAATACTCCTTCAACTTCGAACTTCCTCTGTGACGGTTACTGCACTCAATCATTGGTGATGAGTTGATATTTGAATGGAAAGTGTCAAAACTTGGGAACATGATATCAGTTGAAATTGATCTGTGCGGGGAGTCAAATCAAAAGATGGCTGTGCTTGCGCGAGCACTGCTAGGAATCAAGCTCCTTGATTCCAACGCACCAGTCCAGGGATATGCTCAAGGGGCCAAGCTTGCTACGGCAGTGTTGTGTTGATATTTCGCTGACTTTGGCTTTACGATTCTAGCCATTCCGAGCTTATCTGAGATTCTTGGAGTATAAAACTCGATTGTAGGCATAAAGAACGATCACTCGGGAGAAGCTTCACAGAAGATGATTGCCATTATCAGACATTCTATGACCGATTGTTATCCTTTGTATAGTTACTTGGGTTAAAAAGAGCTGAAATACAAGAAACGATTGGCCAGGCTGCCGATAAGGAACAGATCGCAATGGGCGGGGTTGCGGGACACGCGGAGATCTTCCATTCATGGTTCTTCATGTGAACTTTACCAAATAAATAGCTTTGATATCGCAGTAGAACTTGCTGTTTATACGTCACTTCTTTCTGATCTCAATCGATCCGGCCTCACCCACAATATGGCGGACACTGTCGACAAAGCCGTGCTCAAGCAAGTGCAGATCGCGCTACAGAATGCCGATGTTGAGCTTCAAGACATTAATAAGAAAGTTGGTCAACAAAATAACAGTAATATAACAAGCAATAGTGTTTAACTCGGCTGTATTAGATATGGTCCAATCCAGAATTGGCCTACAACGAATATATGGCTCACGACAACATCTGCGCAATGTTTGAAAACTTGGCCACTGCACGATCCATGAACTATCAGATTCGCCGCAAAACATACCAACTCGACACATCCTTTGAGATTGAATACAGAAAGGGGAATGGGGGTCGAATCGTCGTCTTCAATGCGGAGTACGATGCGTTACCAGGCATCGGCCACGCCTGCGGCCACAATTTGATCGCTACGAGCTCAATCGCGGCCTATATTGCTACTGTAGAGGCTCTAGAAGCGCTTGATACTTCTTCGCTACCCGGATACACCGTGCGACTACTCGGCACTCCGGCCGAGGAAGGTGGTGGCGGAAAATTGAAGCTCATCGAGGCCGGAGCATACAAAGGTGTCGATGCATGTCTCATGGTTCATCCAGTTACGCAGGGAAACAACGACGAATCCATTCCCAGCATTCACATTGCAGGGCCCGAGTCTTTGCTTGCTAACAACAAAATCAAGATTAACTATACTGGCTCTACCGCTCATGCAGCTGGAGCTCCTTGGGAGGGTATCAATGCGCTCGATGCAGTGGTATCTGCGTATGTCAATATTTCGCTTCTAAGGCAGCAGATTCTACCCTCGCAAAGAGTGCATGGAGTTATTGCCAATGGCGGCGAAAGGCCGAATGTGATTCCGGGCTCGGCGAGCCTGCATTACTACATTCGGTCGCCGGATACAAAGTCATTGAACACGCTCACGGATCGAGTGTTCAAATGCTTTGAGGGTGCTGCAACAGCAACAGGTTGTAAAGTCGAGTTTGAATGGTTGGTATAATCTCTGCATGACTCTATGCGCTGCTAACACTCTCTTCAGGATCAACAACTATCAGGAACTGAAGAACAATAAGCCCATTTGCGAAGCTTACATGGAAACGCTCAAAGCGATGGGTCATAATTGTGTCCTCAGCGATCGTGAGGTCAAGGGTTCCCTAGATGGCGCCTCCACCGATATGGGTAAGTCGGCTCTTCTCGTCATGGTATTGCACACGACTCACTCAATTGATAGGGAACGTCATGCACCAAGTCCCCGGATTCCATGCCCTCTTTCAAATTCCGACAGAAGACGGAGCTGGAAACCATACTCACGGCTTCACAGCTGGAGCTGGTTCATCCGAGGGTTACCGGAGAAGTATCGTTTGTGCAACTGGTATGGCCGTAGTTGGTCTACGCATCTTGATGGATGACGCATTCGCAAGATCTGTCAAGGCTGATTTTGAACGAGAGTAGTGAATCATGTCCTAATTAATCGAGAAGTTATGCGTAATGGACCCACCGGGGTTAACTAGATTTAATTCCGGCGTTGGTATTCTTGAAAATTAGCGTAAGCTGAGCTGAACTGAAGAATTCCGCGGATCATTTAGCTGCGTCCTTAATTTATCCTCGCGGACATGTAGCTTTGAATTGCAACTGCTCTTAGTGTAGATCATGGTATTCCCTAGTATACGCTGCCTCACTTGTAAGAATCGCCGTGTAAAGGTAGGTTCATTTCTGGAGCTACCCCACTGCCATGAATCCAAGCTAACAGTGCCTAGTGCGATGCAACGCGACCGCGTTGTCACCGATGCTGCAAAGGAAATCGGGATTGTTTTTGGGAGGATAACAATGCATCAGCAACCGACATTCCCTTCAAAAACGAGAATGCATTTGCACAGGGCAGGCCTCGGCGCCCCCGGAAACGGATTGGGATTGTCACTAAACCACAATCCGGAAACTTTTCGACATACAAGGAGCCAACACCTTTGAACTTACAGAGGGTCGACTTTCCTATAGAAATTTATGCTTTTCAGTATTGGATTGAGAACCTTGCGTCATGGCCGGAAGATCTTTTCGACGTTGGGCAAGAATATGGAGCTGGTGCGCGGTACCATTCGCGTTGTGTGGATGAAACGAAATCCAGTCTTCATCTCGCCGTATCTGCGTTTTCGCTTGCTATTTTTGGGCGAGCTAATAACGCGTATGAGATCCTTCAGCGTGCTGAGAAGAATTACGCTCGAAGTATCACAGAACTAAGAAAAGAGCTCAAAGTGTTGTCAAACAACATCATTGATGAGTTGCTTATTGCAACCATGATACTCAGCAAGTATGACGTGTGTTCAATTCACCACACCAGGTACTCCAGAAAAATGACTCCTTCTGACACATATTCCAGAATATAATGTACGGCTTTAGAGTACGAAAAAGTCTGAAACCGCTCCCACCTGCCCGATATTCAGGTCTGCCACTCCTTGGATCATATGCGTACCATTACAAAGGTACAGCAAGCCTTTTGCAAGTTCGGCAAGAAAGAGGTTATACGCAAAATGTTCCTCTAGAAAAGGCCGTCCGGCGGACTATAGTAAGCGTACATAGGTATTAGACCGTCCGTTGGTTGATTACTAATTTATGTATTCCAGATAAGAGCACATCTGCTCTCAGGCGACCCTGTCCCAGAGTGGTTACAGGACGATACCTACGGCGAACCAGATCCGGCGCTGGCATTAGACTATCTCATGATAAAGGCTGCCTCCCTACGGTCAAGGTCAATCATTGTCATAAATCAGGGCAATAGAGGAATGCCTTCATTTATCCGACATGGAGAAGCATTGAAGATGGTGCTTGCTGAGGCCCAAATGTTAGACCGTCTGTTTGCGGAATGGGCTGAAAATATTCCACAAAGTTATAAATTTATAACTCATAAAATTCCCCAACACAACGACAAGAAAGTCCCTCTTGAGCATCATAATCTTTTCTTTGACCGAATGTTTCATTCTTATGCTACTCATGGACACGCAGTCGTATGGCACCGATATCGCGCTGTCCGACTCCTTATCAACAGCATTGAGATGGATTTATTATCTCAAGTCGCTCAATACCGACCCGAGAACCCAGGCAAGTATCTGGAACTGTCAAAGGTATGTCAGGAGACTATTAATAATCTTATCACCGATCTATGCCGTGGTATCCCTTTCTTTTACCTCCTCAACTCCTGCTTGAATCACGGCCAGCGACACACCGAGCGAGCTGTGGAGCTAGATGATTCGATGACTATCATCTCGTCACAATTTCCTCCGCTTATGATGGCGGTACTACTGGCATGGCCTATTACTATTGCTGTTGGTATTGAAGGCGTGCCTCCGGACCAGATGGAATGGTTGAAATCTAGGCTTCAAGCAGTCACTCAGATGGTTGGGTCACCGATGCTTCAAGTTACCAGGAAATAAATCAATTATTTGCAGTCGATAATCTATAAAGGTATCCTGAGAGGGCAGAGGACTAAAAAAGATTTATATGAAGGTTACCAAACAAGTTCGAAGCCTTGGGCCATGTGCTCATCTTTCAACAAGCTCATTCGGTTCAAACGCCAGATCTATTTGCTAAAACTCGGGGGATGGTTGATGGTACAAATTCGCAAAGCAGACGACATGATTAAAAAAAATAGACCTAAAAATGACCAGCAACAGCTCTCGCTTCATAAGGCTCTTCAAGGTGCTTCGCCTCCTCATCTGTCAACACCCTATCCCTGAGGCCAGCCATCTCCTCAATTCTCTCCGCCGAATTGAGACCCACAATCGGGATTGTGCCTTTACTCTTATTCCACGCCAAAGCCACCTCACTCATCTTCCACCCTTTGTCAGCCGCCAACTTCTCAACTCTCGAGATAATCTCTTCATCAGCCTTGGTCAAACCATTAATATGCGCCGTCGGCCCCTTTGATCGTGCTGATACATTGTACCCAACGGGTCGCGCCAGTTTACCCGCAAACAGAGGCGAATACGGCACAAGGCCGACGCCAGTCTCCTTACAGAACCGGATCATCTCCCTCTCTTCTTCACGGTAGCACAGGTTGTAGTAGTTTTGCATACTGATGAATTTGGTCCAGCCGTTCTTTTCGGCGACGAATTGCATTTGCGCGAATTGCACGGCCCACATGGAGCTTGCGCCGATGTAGCGTACTTTCCCGGACTGCACTAGATCGTGCAGTGCTTTCATGGTCTCTTCGATGGGGGTGTTTTTGTCGAAGCGGTGGAGTTGGAGGACGTCTATGTATGTGGTGCCCAGGCGAGCGAGGGAGTCGTCGACGCATTTGATTATAGCGGTTCGGCTCAATCCTGATTCATACGAGTCAGCGGTTGAATAGAATTTCAAAGGAATTCAACAAACTCACCTCCCTGATTGACATAGTCCTTGCTCTGCAACAATAAATCCGGAAACCCTTGTCCCAGAACAGTCTCGTCCTCTCCAACCGCAAACGCGCACTTGGTCATAATCACAACTTTGCTGCGTGGAATCTTCAATTCTCGAATCGCAGCACCAATCACTTCCTCGCTCTGTCCACTAGAGTAGACGTTTGATGTGTCCCAGGTATTTATGCCATTATCGTACGCTGCTTTGAGCACTTTGAGGGATTCTTCCTTGTTGAGAAGCCAGTTTGCATAGGGGGAGGTGCCGGTCATGCTCAAGCCCATGCATCCCAGTATTGGTAGGGAGACGCGAAGACCGGAGTTTCCAAGACGAACGTATTCGACTTTGGTGGCGTCGAGGGACTGTTGGAGACTTGCGGGTACTTTGAATTTGAGTGACATTTTGTCGAGATCTTAGATGACTTTCTTTAATGGTTGGAGTGGGTTTAAAGCCTGATTGATAACTTTTTAGATGTGTTTTGATCTGAATGATTGAATGTTGAACTTTTTGAGGTTGTCGAGATTATCAAGACCCTTTTATACCACAACCTGAAAGACCAACATGCACATCAAAAGCATGAATTATCTCGTCAGTCCACCGGAGATACTCTTAAGTCCTCAAAATCCGTTCGTAAATGCTAAATAATGTTCCGAATGTCAATCAGATTAGTTCTTATACGCAAAGTTTTTGGATTGTTGACTACATACTCCCCTAAATTTGAGGTGGTGGAGCCTTGCCTGAAGCGGAAGGCGTAGCATGAATCTCGCGCGTTTTTCCATTTTGAGTTTAGCTCCATATCGGGGTTGTTGGGAGGAGTTAGGGCTTAGCATATTGTGGATATTCCATTAAAAGCATCGGAATCCTTCCTTTCCGATCTATTATATACAGACTTTGTGCACGAGAAATGTTTCCGTCATTATGTTGCGGTACTTTGGCTACCGAAAAGGTCTGTGTAGAATGTACAGTGAGGCTATCGAGAAACAAAATCTAACTCGACCAATCAATAATGCACCAACATGAATCATAAGCCCGACATTCACGCCCTTGAATAGAGTGTGCAATAATAAAATAGAATCTCAGAGCGATTAATGACAGATGTTCTTTCACGGTGATATGCCTTGGAATACGAAAACCGTTCACGCGCCTTCGTCTACCATCTGTCCAAGTCAAAATCATGTGTCACCATCGGTCTTAACACCCTTGTTGGCATCTTGTTGAATATCGACTTTAATACTCTGTTTGGCCTCCTGTTTGTCTCTGACCTCATTCCTGCTACCCTGCTTTCTGTTATTCTTTCTGGGGTGTCTTCTGGTGTGCTTCCTGCCATCGTTTTTGGCATCCACATTAGCATCTTCTTTGACAAACTTCTGGATATCCTTCCGCGGATCCCTTCTGACCTCTTTTCTCGCCTCCGGTTTGATAGTATATTTGACGTTTTTCTTCACATCTGCAATGACAACTTTCTCAGCACCTTCTTCAGCATCTTTTTTAGCAGCCTCTTTCGCACGTCTTTTGGCCTCTTCTCTCGCCTGTTGGATGGCCAATTTTCGGGCCTCGTATGCAACGCGCATTTGCAAACCCCATGATTTCAATACGTCTGGATTCCTTGCGCACCATATTGCAAGCTCCCTTGTGGCAAGAGTATCCTCCAAGCAGTCATGGCCCTTCTTGCCCGTTTGAATGTTCATGTTGAGCCAGCTAAGAAGCAATCTCTTCAAGCCGTAAGATTCCGGAAACTTTTTGTTCTCGGTCTCTGGAAATACTACTTGAGAAGCTAGAATCGCTGTGTCGACAATTCTTGGGTGAAAAATGCCCAGCACGTTTAAATCGTTCTGCAATGCATGTCCAACAATAATAGTCTCAGCGTCGATGTATTCCCATAGTGCTTCTCTAGCAGCTGCCCAACCTCGAAGGGTTTGGCCTTGCTCAATTGCGTCGGTCATAGATCGGCGTGTAATGCCGCTGACCGTGGATCTCCAAGCTAGGACTTTGGATACTGGATCGACATACGTATTCATAAGGGTCTCGCCTGTCAGAACATCTACTGCGCATAGCAGCGCAACACAGTCTGTGTTCTTCCATAGCCCAACCATCTCACAGTCAATTGCAACTACTTTGCGCTTTGGCTGTTCGAGTGCTTGTGGAGTTTGACGAAACGCCGAATATGGGACATTGGTGTGGAGAATTCGTTCAGTAGGGACCTGCAACGTATACTGCTCCGCAGCAAGAACCTCCATTGTGTGACAGGCAGCAAGAAGAAATTGGTACATAGACTCTTGTTCGGTTTCCGTTAACAGAGTGTATATGTTGCATCTGTGTAAAAGCCCGTCTTTTTGAGTTATTTCTTGCTCCTGAGCGATGACCGTTTGTTGAAAGCTACTGTCTTTGAGACTGATACTTGCAATATCTGTGTATTTATCAGTCACGGCCTTTACCGTAAATGAAAAAGCAGTTCAAAAATTGAACATACCTGGGACTGTGACAGACTCACGCGAGCTAGCGGACATTATAGGATTTCCTGGCTCGACTGCTCTTTCGTCGACTTTCTGTAAGGTGACTACTCGCTCATCCTTTGAGACATGAGAAATTTCGAGCATGGCATCAATCATATGGATATGAGCATGCTGTTGTAATGCTTCATCGGTAACGAATCCTTTGTCGCAAACCGAGCAGCGAACAAGATGCTTAGTATGGAAGCAGTGTGATCTGAGAGCCTTACTCGAGCCGAACGTTCGACTACAGAACTTGCAGGCGTAAGTCTGGTTTTCCGCGTCTACTGCCTGTTCTTTTTTTATCGGCGCCACTTTTCGCGTCGATACCGCGACTCTAGGCGTTTGGTTCTCAGCCATAGCGATGGCGAAGAACAAGCGAATCTAGGAGAGTAAGCTGGGCTACCTTTGCAACCCACCAAGGATAGAATGGTCGAGAAGGTCCAGATTCGATCAGCTCAATGAATTTGTTTTTGTGGTGAGGGGAAGATCACAGTTTTTCAGGAAAGATAAGTAAGCGTGTAAGGCAGGTGCAGCACATGACTTCGCTGACATGAGCGTGCAGACTAACGAACGCAGAGAAATACAACAGCACTGTGAATACCCTAACCGTTTCTTCCCTTTGATCAACCTCCAAACAGAAATTCGGATTAAAAAATGGGCTTGCTTGAATTTGGTCTCATGTCGCCAGCGGGTGCTGGACGAACAACAAAGAGGCAGCTTCCTTGTCAGCGACTATCTAGGTAGATAGACATAAATACTGAGATGTATAGTATCCCTGTTAATACAGCGACTTACTCCCCAGGATCAGAATCGGGATTACTCTGAGCATCCCGATATTCATTCAGCAGGGTTTCTATGTTGTACACAATATGACAGAGGATGTGCTTACACCTTCCTTTCAAGGTCCCGGGGTTTCGTTCTCTCTGTAGTTTCCTTTCACATAAGCAGCCTTCCAAAATTGATTCAATTAAGAGAAACGTTCAGTTAGTCAAGATTATTTCGTCTCAAGAGCATGTAATCAACGATGACTCGCAGTGTTCATCCCAACTAATCGAATTGGATTGTTGAGACCGCGGTATGTAGCGCATTCTTGCAATCTGTCATTGTTTACGGTATGATAGATATTCGCCCCGGGTGCAGATAATCGACATGCCCGACGAGACTTACTACAAAAACCAAAAATATGATAGACAGCGGCGGCCATCTCACCGATTATGCTTGAATTGTTCAGTAAAAATTCTTAGATGTCGATGAAAAGTGAGCCTTTGCTGGCATCCTTGACTGCTTCAGTTATGTGGAAATACTAAGAACAAAATAAAGAGAATGACAAAATATGATTTTACTCCATAATAAGATTAAAGCAACATTTTTAAAATGACAGCTACAAAAGATATTTGCATACTTTGATTAAAGGAGAATACATTATTGCTTCTAAGCCAAATCCGAGAGGAATCTACAACCTAGAAGGGTCGGCATGGCGGTTAATTCCATTTCTGCACTAATTGCGGCGTTATTGTAGGCTGTAACTAGCCTAAAGGATGCCTGGAGTACCCCCTTGCAGAACACCCGTTGTTGAGTAACAGTGGGCTTTTACCAGTCAGGCTCCCGTCGAAAATCTCCCTACTGAAAATGTCTCGAGACTATTCAGCTGATCCGGCCTGAGCCCGGTCTAGTTAGATACGTACGTATTCGAGAACCATCCTTGTAAATCTGTACAGAATGCAAACGTCTTTCACAATCTGATGTGGCTCTGATTCCATCCAGTATTCGAAAAGATGACTTTGAAGTTTGAATAAACAACCATGCCCGCTTCGCGAAATATTACCGTCATCACCAAGTACTACGTCAAGACGCTAGAAGCTGAGCCTCGAATGCTACTGGTCATATGATACATCCATCTCGATACTAAAGGCTCGCCGAGTCTGGAGGCTCTCAGTCTAAGCCCCGCCGCCAAGATGTCGCTAAATTTGGCAATCGATCAGGAATATTGAGTGCATGCAACAGAACATCGTGAAGAGCGAAGAAAATCTTAACCAAATGCAGTAAGATCTGACGAGAGATGTGATCTCTCGGACTCTCACACGCTCCATAGATTTCTAGTTACAAAAGTGTGTACAAGCATGGAAATTCGATGCGACTAGCAATTTTTGATTTCTTCGAACAGTGTAAGGAGTCAAATGTATTTTGTACATACTCTGAGCTTTTGAGCAAGAGAAACTGTGTGTACTCCGTACTCGGTGCGACATTCACGGTCCCAATGTGTCAAATGCTGTCACACAAATGGCCGAGATGAAGCGGCCGTAAATGCGGCTTAAATTTGTTTATTTTGAGTCGAGCCGGCAAGATTTTTAGCGTTAGTCAAACTTACCAGAAGGATTGATTATGGAACGAGTTCGTATTCTTTCTCCGGAATGGAAAATCCCCCATCTTTCATGTGTTCCTTCTTCTCGTTTCGAATGAACAAAAGAGAACTGCCCCCACGCGCTGAAAACTATCTACATGAAGATTCGAAATGCGTTGTTACCACTGACAGTCGAAGTCAGCCTTGTCTTCCCCGAAAGACCGCGAGGCTGAAAAGGCTCCTGCAAACTAAGTTTAGGATTGACTCACGCCAAGCACAAAAACATCCCAATTCTCAACAGCCACGTCTCGTAGCAAAGAGGATCCACTATCGCGGCTCAATCGAACTCGACAACACGAGCAAAAGACTTTCTGAGCTAAGAAGAAACTTTGCACTCCGTCCTCTCCAGTTCGGGTTGATGCCAAGACCTTAAATAGGGGAATGATACCCAATATCGTTAGATGCCACGGCTCGAAGCGAGATAGTCAAGAGCCTCATAGGCTGCTGACATGGTCTGTGAGCGACCCGAGTCCCTGAACACCTTTAGCTTAAAGCGCTTTGCTGTCTAGCTGGGACTCTGCGTAGGCAGATATGCCAATCAAGACGTGAAGAGGGTTTGGTGTCGAAACGAAAAGCAGAACGAGATACGACCGCAGTCACTCAGGTTGCTTAGCGAAAAGTTTAATGCATACCTTGCTTCTCATATGCGACTCTACAGCAGTCGTCTGATCTTTGCTGGGTCTTTCTCAGAAATTGCAAAGTAGCGAAATAAGCATCAGCCCAGGTTCAGTGTACCAATGCACAGACACGAGAGACTATCGGGTCCATTCTTCCGTCTCCAGCAAACAAAAAATGGGCAAGTACGAGGGACGGAGCTATCCATCTCGTATCCAAACGGAGTGACAAGGTTTATTTAAGATTAAAGACAGCCAGACGTCGGTGAGCCATGTGACGGTTGTCCAATGAGGATCCCTCGCTCTATAGTTCTTGCTCGGGTCAAGTTGGGTGGCTGTAGACTTTAGGTAAGATCATCAAAGTTTGTGAATCTGCTTTTGTCTTTTGCGCCCATTTTATCTCTTAGCGTTGGTATGAAGGTAGAGGCTGATAGATATTTAGTTCGCTTGCTGTCCCTTCCTCTCGTAGATGCATTCTTTTCGTCACACTACTGTTAATACTCCTGATAGGATTCATTCTCTCGTTTTAATTGAGCTGATATCAGACGAAGTGATCTTTCAGTCAAGCCAAAACAGATCTTATCAACACCGTCATCATGCGCTTCGCTGAGATTTCCCTCATCCTCGCTCTGTCCACTGCGGCAGTTGCTGCTCCTCACCCGGACGGAGAAAAGACTCTATACAAGGTCGGCACGAGCCCCCGATACATTCTTGCCCGTGGCTCCGGCGAAAAGGTCCTTCATAAGGGCAGCGCCTCCCAACTGCTCGCCCGTCAAACCTCCGGCGAGAGTGGCTCCGCCGGAAACTCTGACACCTGCTACGGCGTAGACGCCACATGTGCCAGCTGCTTCGGTACTAACTGGGCCCCTTGCTCTGACGGCGTCACTTGCTACGACAAAACCGACCCTACCAGCACCTGCACGTCCTCTGGCTCCAGCGGCAGCGGCAGCGGTAGTGGTAGTGGAAGTGGTAGTGGCAGCAGCTCCGGTGGTTCTGCTGGAAGCTCCGACTACTGCTACGGCGTAGACGCCACATGCGTCAGCTGCTTCGGTGCTGGATATCTTGAGTGCTCGGATGGCGTCACTTGCTACAACCCTTCTGATCCGACCACCTCTTGCCCCGACGGTACCTCCGGATCTGGTTCGGGAACTGGAACCGGTTCGGGATCTGGCACAAGTACCGGTGGTGCTGGATCTGGCTTGATTGGCATCAGCACTACTGCCACCGCTGCCGGCTCTACAGCTACCTCTGGCGGTGCAGGCTCSGGCGGCTCCTCCCMCACCTCCGCTGCACCGACTACCCACTCTACCACATCTACCACATCCACCGCCTCCTCGACATCGACCACCTCGACATCCACCTCCTCCACCTCTACGGCCGCTCCTTCTCCCATCTCTGGCAACAAACTCGGCGGCGCTGCTGGCTTCTCCATTCCTTTGGGTTTGTCCGCCGGTGCCGGTGCTGCAGTGCTCGTTGCTGCTGCTCTGATCTAAAGAGCACCTTCCATTCACTCACTAGTCTCTTTCTCAATTGTTTATTTATACGCCATTTATAAAGATATCCTATTTTAAAACTCTATATCCCAATATTACGCTGTTTTTCATACTTAGCTGGATGGATCTCCTTCTTTGTATTTAATCTTTATACCTAATCATTCTTCTTGAAAAGATTTCAATAAGTGTAGATTGCATATAGTCAATGATCTAGTCTATACTTGCTTCTCTGGCAATGCCTCTTGAGTAAGAATCTCCTTCTCCGACACGTGCTGCCCAACAAATACATTCCCATCATCATGAATAGTGACAGAAATCAGCGTCTCGGGAACTGGAAAAACATAACTAGATACTACATAGACCACAAATGCACTAGAAAAGCCCCATAAATAATTAAAGTTGTAGATCTTTTCGGCTCCTCCAATGTCGACGGCAGGGTTCACTGCATTAACGAGGCCCGGCAGATTGGGACCGAGTGAAATAAGCAAGGCTGCTGCTGCGCGCCAATTGCAACCTTTCACATAGTGATAGCGCGCATGCGGACGGTATAGCGCAGGAACGTCGATAGCCTGACGCTTTATGACCCAGAAATCGGCGATTAATATGGCAGCGATGGGCGATAGGAAAATAGACAACGCGCCCATGAAGTTGATGAGACTTGTTGCAGAATAGACTATCTTCCAGGGAACCATGACCCAGCCACCAATAATGGTAGCGACTACCGCTCCACGCCGAATATTGATATAGCGTGGGCACAGAGATGTCAAGTCGTTGGCAAAGGAGACCACATTTGCTGATACGTTGACCCCGATTTGGGCAACAACCCAGGCGAGACCAACGAAAAATGCTGCGGCTCGACCACCTGGGCCTTCCCAATGGCTTGCAAGCTCCAAGGGATCCCAGATATATGAGCCATACAGAACCTTGCTGGCACTTGTTGAGATGATGCCCAGTACACCAATGAAAGTACACACGGCTGGGACAAGTAGGGCTTGAAGCCAAATTCCGCGTGGCTTCTTCAGGTACCGCGTATAGTCAGGGATGTTTGTTGCCATTGTAGCCCATCCTCCGCTCAAGGAAGTCATGTAGGACAAGATCATCCACGAGCGAGTCGATCCTGTATATTGTGGCTTCTGATCCCAGATATCACCACTACCACCGGCCAACTTGCACATGCCAATTACCGTCCCTACCGCGGCCGCAGTAACGAAGATACCCTTGAATACAAAAAACCATCGTAATTTGTGGGGTGGTGTTAATAGGAAAGGAAGCTGAATTGTCCAAAATATGAAATGTGACAGGAGCTGCTGGCTTGTGATTCCTGCACTTTCCGGGAGGTGGTTCGGAATATTCAAATACGAAGGCCAGATTGCGCGGATGACTTGTGTCATGGCGGTTGACCCGGCATATGTTTGAATTGCATGCCAAAACAGAGCGGTCACCATTCGAATAACGACGGGGACTCTTGAGAAGACATATCCGAAGCTTGAGCGAGCGGCAACGGGATAGGGAACGCGTAATTTGGCACCGATAGAGCCGTTGAAAGAGATTGGAATTGCAATAATGAATGTTCCCATGATGAGACATAGAAGAGCTTCTTTATAAGTCAAACCTCCTGATATGACTGTTGATGCACCTTCCCATGATTGTGCGGACAAGATATCACTCATCCAGTAACCTAGCAATGCCCAGTGACCCCAGATCCGACGTTCAACTGGTGTTACATCGTTATCAATATTCGTCCATGTACCATCTGGTGCGAAGGTTGTCGGTTGCTTAGGTAGCTCCCATGCCTTGATCGAGGTTGCTTTGGCTCGGACATTGCTTTTGGCGTCGTGAAAGGTCTCTGAAGCAGACTTTCGAGGCATAGTGGATAATTATCTAACAATCAACATACAGAAGCCAGTCCTTGCCACGTACAGCTCGAAGGTAGTAGTCAGTAGTAGTATGGTAGGTAATCTAGCAGGAGGGCATGCGAGGAGATGGGGATTAGTACGTAGATATATCTACTTCTTGTGGAAGGAAATGAGTATGACATGTTGTTCTCGAGCATAACATCCATCAGGACCTTAGCAAGTCGATATCTTTGGACTAATCTTATCACGATGCTCCAGCTGGCGCTTGAAGGGCTAAGATAACGAGGGCTCGGGGCAATGACCGGCCACTATCTAGAAGCCTAAGAGTCAGAGATAAGCAGCGACCCCGCGGCCCACCCTGATATCCCGCGGGACGCAAGCTGGTTTATCGCGCTGTATATGGGTCATCAGCAATCTGATAAGAACATCCCTGTAGCCCTTGGGCCCTTTTGATTGATGAGGCGACGACTATCTAGACATAGCCCTATACATTTTCAAGAAATGCCATCGAAGATATCTAGAAGTTCTCGTCCAATCGACTACTCAACACACAGTTCGCATCAGTCAAAATGGCGTTCACTAGCTTCGCCGGCAGAAGCTACAACGTTGTCTCTGATGAAGTCAAACAATCCGGCAGTTTCGATGAGATTCCTATGATTGACCTCACACAGCCACAAGAAAAAGTCGTTGAAAGTCTACGAGATGCTTGCACTCGGGTCGGGTTCTTCTACATCTCTAATCACGGCATTCCGCAAGACATCATTGATCAAGTATTCTCCACGGCGGAAGGTTTCTTCGGCTTAGACGACGAGCTTAAACAACAAGTACATTTCAATAAGGGGACAGCCTTATGCGGATATGAAGGCTTCCAGAATGTTTATACAGATGAGACGAAAAAGCCGGATCTGAACGAAGCCTTCAGTTGGCGTTATACACCAGATATGGATTCCTTCAATGAGAAAGCTGAAACAACGCGGGTTGAAGAGAAGAACGTTGACAATTTCCTCACAAGTGGTCAAAATCTCTGGCCCAATGCGAAACCGGAAATGCGCCGAGATATAAGTCAATATTATAGCCATGTGCTCAAGTTGGCGAGAAAGTTGATCCGCTTATTCGCTCTGGTGCTCAAACTACCAGAGGCATATTTCGATCAGATGATGCAACACCCCGGCTCAATGGGCAAGGTCCTGCATTATCCACCACAGCCAGCCAAGGGCGCCGATCCACCTTTTGGAATAGGCGCACATACTGATATTGAATGCTTCACAATTCTATGCCAAGGAGGTGATGTGCCGGCTCTGCAGGTTCTCAACCCTAAAGGCGAATGGATCTTGGCACCTCCTATTCGGGGTACCTTTGTCGTGAATATTGGTGATATGTTAGCACGGTGGTCTAACGATACTTTCCGCAGCACTATCCATCGTGTGTTAAATATCACAGGCCGTGAACGCTACTCGATGCCTGTCTTTATTGGACCAAATTATAACACTGTGATCAAACCTCTGGAGACCTGCCTTGCGGATGGAGCCAAATATGATCCCATACCAGCAGGTTTATATGTTTGGAAACGACTTGCTATAAGCCGACTCGATAAAGATGAGTACGAGAGGCAACGAGTCAAGATGGAGAGCCAGCTCACATTGCCAATTGGTGCATGAAAGTGCAAAAACAAAATCGTGTATATAAGCAGAGGCAGGGTATAAAAACAATGGTATCGTCGAACATCGTAACAAGATTTCGAGTATTTATGATACCAAGAGCAAGAAATTCGAGTAAATAAATGGTTTTCAAGTCGGCTCAGAAGGTATAAAGTCGTACCCAGAATAGTTGAGACCAGGGATTGTCCATAACATGAGATTGTCAAGGTCAATGAAAGCTGAGGAAAGGGACTGGTTTGATAATGGCGAACTGGCGACGTCATCTTCTAATACTAGAGATAAGTCAACAAAGGTCTCAGCATTCCCATTTCCGTCTACAGATAATGTGTTTAAAAAAGGCTCTGGTAACGCGACTTTGGAATTTTTCCAATCGTCCCATCCAAGCGCTCGAAGCCTAGTCAACGTGTAAGATACCCATTCACTCATTTTCGCTTTCATCCGAAGTTGCCATTCAAATTCCTTCATCAGATTCTGAAGATCTTCCGATTCTTCCAGGGTAACACTTGTAGCGCGGAGAAGACCCAGAAAGCCTCCCAGTATCGTTGCACATCCACCAGCAGCGAAGAACCAGAAAGCTTCCATATGCTCAGGGCGAAGATAAGACATAAATTTTACAAGACTAATCGCTCGTGTGCGAAGCATTCTGCGGATGAATTGGACAAACTGTGGATCAACCTCAGACTTTGACTGTTGTATGGCCCAAAGCAGGCGGCGATGCAGAGCTGCGGTTGTTGCATGCAGGGCAAGATGGAGAAAGCCATTCACACATAGTTTTCCGGGTTCTATATTTTCCAGACTCAACACTTCAGGGAGATTTTTGAGCATTTGAGCGAGATCGGTTCCTAGTGGTTTTGCGATAGCGAGAACTTGCTGTGGTTCGAGCACTTCCGCCAGAGATCTGACTGAGTAGAGCTCACGTAGCATACGTGCTGTAACGCGACTCAGGCTTACTAGCTCCATGAACAGAACCTTCCCGTTCTCAATGCTAACACTTCCAATCTGGTCACTTACTTCCTCATCGCCAGCACCTTCTGAGAAATCGGTACTTTCTAGCGGCTTCACAATCCAATCCGCTGCTTCAGAGATGAGGCAAGGCCGCCCAAGAACAAGTGCCGAGAATGAGTCCTGAATATATAAAGCCCAAGCGAGTCGTTTTCGAAGACCCTTTTCCCACTCCGGGATATCCCAATTTGAGCAGTCCAAATGGAGACCAAGATGTTGGCCCAAGCCCAAGAGAGACGAAGTGAAAGACCACATCCAAGAGTTATCCATGAAGAGTGGATTGCGATGACGTTGTAGCAGCAAAAGACCCGCTTGTATAGTGTTTAAACGAGGACGATGCATGGCATCCTGCACGGCGTGGTGAGCAATTCTGACCAAGGCAGCCTCGTTGATTTTTTCTTGTAATAAGAGATCCGGATCATAAGACCACCAGCAAACGGCCAACGCATATACGGCAGCTAAAAGATGTGCAGTGATTTCACGATACGTCCGGTTGTATTTCTCTATGAATACATTCTTATGTAGAATTGGGAATGACGGGTGAACAATGCGAAAGTACAGCTTGACCAATGTCGCACCGTGTGGACGCACAAGGGACTCGACATCGTCGACGCTGACTTCATCCCATATGTCGCCTTTTCGGAGATTTTGCGAGACTTCCACGTCAGGTGTCATCTGAAAGAAGACATTTTCATGGACCCTTCGCATCGTCATCGGACTCAGCATTCCACTAGATGTTGTCATATTATCGCCATCTCCCGATGGTCTCACCCTAGAGCGGGCATGAGTTGTTTGCAACAGATAAGAATCATGTTCGCCACCAGGTCCAATCAATTCTGAGAAGCGGCCCTTTTCGAGACCGAGGGTCTTCGTCAGTATTGATTCCTTAGGATAGTCAAGTTCTTGGTCCAAGGTGGATTTAGGTGACACTGAAGACAACTCCTCCGAAGGGCCTCGCCCGCGGGGTTTCCTAGCAGTGAATTCCTTGGTATTTGCCGCAGCAGCACGTCGTTTTGGCGGGGGAGGCTGCAAAAACGTGCATGAAGACAGGCCAGCAGCCTGGCAGGTCAAGCAGCTCGAAGACCCGTATAAGGTGACGCATCGCTGCTTTTTCTTGCGGCAAACGTCACATGCTCTCATCCTCAACAAGCATGCATGAAACGTTGTAGGCTCTAAATCACAACAATCAATCTAATAGGATGCAGCTGAGCTCGGTGTGGAGGAGTCTGGTCGGCTACCCAATCGCATCGAGGACCGACAGGAACGCGATATGCTGGGGTACCGCATAAACTAAGCATGTACCAATTGTGCTCCCAGTCCTAGCGGGATGAGACTAGCTGAGTTAGAGGAGATAGTGACACGGTGGAGAGACTCAGGAAGGATACAGAGATAAAGAAAGAGTATTGTCCAGATGAAGTTGTGAAGTGGAGATTGCGTTGGGTGGGCTGGCGATAAGATAGTGTCAGTGGCTGATAAGGAGAGATCGGCCAGTATCCCGAGGCCGCGGGCACGCATCTCCAGTCCGGGGAATGAAGCAAGCATTTCAAGATTGATTTTGCTCTCGAAATGTTTTTCTCTCATCCTTCAACCTTTCATTGTCGTCAATTTCCTCAATTGATCACCCTTTGTCCAACTCGTGACTGACAAAATGGTAGCTGCTCAGTCGATCAAGAGAATAGCCGGCGGGGTTGAGGAGAATGAGACTGTGTCATTCGAAGCACAACCGTATGCGTTTCGGATTAATCCTTCAGCGACTGCACTTGTGATCATTGATATGCAACGCGACTTCCTGCTGAAGGGTGGCTTTGGTTACATACAGGCAGGGGATGCCGGAGTGGCAAAAGTACAGGCCACTATTAAACCGACACTGGCGGTTTTGCGCATGTTTCGCGAGCGTGGAATCCATGTCATCCATACACGTGAAGGCCACCGACCCGATTTGCGAGATTTACCTACACCAAAATTGTTGAGGCAGGCTCGCGCTCCCAATACTCGTCACTCGATGGTCATTGGAGATGTTGGTCCAATGGGAAGACTCCTCACGAGAGGGGAATATGGCCATGATATCGTTGACGAGCTGCAGCCAGTGGCGGGAGAGTATGTTGTCGATAAGCCAGGGAAGGGCAGTTTTTTCTCTACTACACTACACGAGCATCTAGTTGATCGAGGCATCACACATTTAATCGTGGCCGGTGTCACTGTGGAATGCTGCGTGACCACCACAGTTCGAGAAGCCAATGACCGAGGATTGGACGCTTGTATCCTTAGCGACTGTACAGATGGATTTGTACCAACCTTCAAATCTGCATCGCTAGACATGATCCATTTTTCGGAAGGGTTATTTGGATTTGTTAGCGAATCACAACCACTGCTCGCCGCCCTATCCTCACTTCCAGCTCGTTCTGGCAAATCAGCATCTGAATGGAATGGCTCAATGAACATAAGATCGCTGAAAAATGCATATTTGGGCGGCCTTTCTCCAGTAACAGTGGTAAAGCGCGTCCTCGAAAAGATTAACGCAGATAGATCGCAAAATCCGGCCGTTTGGCTCAACCTTGCATCGACCGACGACCTATTGCGCAGAGCTGAGAGTTTAGAACAATCCGCAGACCGCCATCTACCTCTATTCGGTATACCTTTCGCCGTCAAAGATAACATTGATGTTTCCGGACTCCCTACCACGGCAGCATGTCCAGAGTTTGAATATGTCCCTGAAAAATCAGCTTTTATCGTAACAAAACTCGAAGCTGCCGGAGCGATAGTCATTGGTAAAACGAATCTGGATCAATTTGCAACAGGGCTTGTTGGCACCAGATCACCATATGGTGCGTGTCATTGTGCTTTTGATTCTACGCGAGTCTCGGGTGGTTCTAGTTCGGGTTCGGCCGTGGCCGTCGCCTTGGGTCAAGTCTCTTTCGCCCTTGGAACGGATACAGCAGGGTCAGGTCGCATCCCAGCCTCGTTCAATGACATTGTCGGACTTAAACCTACCAAGGGGACAGTATCTACAACCGGAGTCATCCCCGCATGCAGGACGCTCGACTGTGTCTCTTTCTTCGCCAGCACCATTTCAGATGCAAGAAGCGCATGGCTTGCCGCCAAGGAACACGATCCTGAAGACCCTTATTCCAGAAGCTCGCCATCACTGGCATCTTTGAATAGTAGATCACTTCTACACGAAGAGTCGACATATACCGTTTCGTTTCCCCCTGAAGATATACTGAAGAGCACACTTTGCCCTGCATATCACGAACAGTTTGCTAAAGTCCTTTCGCTTGTTCGGGGTCTGGTCAATGTCGATGAGGTCAACTTTGACTGGTTATCATACCTCTCCGCTTCCGATTTGTTGTACAAAAGTGCTTTTGTCGCCGAGAGAACCGCTGCACTGCAGGAAGTGTTGAGCAGCAAAGCAAAGAAGATAACTTTGCATCCGGTAACACAGAAAGTTCTTGATTTGGCAAGCTCCATGTCAGCAACTGATGCATTCCGTGATATTTACGAAGCTCAGCGGCTATCTAGCGCCATCGAAGGTGAGTTCGACAAGTGTGACATCCTCGTTGTACCCACTGCTCCAAACCATCCAACCATAGCAGAGGTAGAGCAAGATCCGATCGGTCCCAACTTGAAACTGGGTATCTTTGCAAGTGCAGTCAATGTTCTTGACCTAACTGCCGTTGCTATTCCAGCCGGTCATATTGAGGGTTTGCCATTCGGTATATCGATCATTGCTCCTGCGTACAGAGAGGGTGTCATTCTCGAAGTGGCGCAAAGGATCCAAGCGCGATTGAAACACTTTGTACTATGACCGGCTATAAACATGATTATATCTGAGTATAATAGCAGTTACTCATTTTCTCTCTTCGATACCTAGATAAAGCAAACGCAAGTCAAGAAAAGGAGAAGAAGAGCTGTGGCTTTAAGGTTGTTGAACACCTGAGCCCGAAATGGCTTAGCGTAAATATATATCCTGAAGTAAACTAGCGCCGGCTCCCCTTACAATTTTCCGTCCTTCCCAGCGAGACTTCATATATCGAATAGCTGATCTTGATCTTTAAACCCGCAATTAATCTCGTCATCCGGAGATTCACTGCACTCATTGAACTGCTATGGCACGACTTAATTAGCAGTCTATTCAGGCTTCGACTACAGAAATGTCGTCATGAGCAAACATTTTGCCGCCACGTTGTACACATCGCAACATCTATCGACACGAACGCGATGGCGGCCTTTCTACAGATGCAGCCGCTGTTCAAGTACTGCTAGCGGACCTGCTCTTTTTCGTCAACTTGAGGACGGTACAGGTTAGTCTGTCTCTCTCTTCGAGTTTGCTTAGAGCATTAGTAGCTGATGAACAGCACAGAGCAACCAATCACAGAGGATGACTTATTTAAATATCAACGACATCGCTGGTTGTATGTACTATGGAAAATCTCTTCTTTTTTGCTTCCACTGACACGATGGCTAGAAAAAATGACGCAAAAGAGCAGGATCTACGATATCGATCCTTTAATATCGCGGCATTGATAGAACGAGCTCTCAAAGCCAAGAGGGAACGTGCTTATGGTCTAACATGTATGTTTCTTTCCCCTTAAATTTATACTTGATAAGCCTTGATGATGTGTACTGACTTCATATACAGGTGTTAAAATTCTCAAACTTCTAGAAGGCGATCACAACAAAGTCCTTCTCTTGACAATGAGTGATGGAGATGAGCTTATTGCAAGATTACCGAATCCAATTGCTGGCAGCAATTGGTTCACCGTGTCATCAGAAGTAGCCACTCGGCGATTCGTGGAGAATATCTGCAATGTACCGATGCCTAAAGTCTGGGACTGGGATTTTCGCGACCGCAATACCGTCGGCGCTGAATGGATTATTGAATCCAAGGCTGCTGGAGAGCCACTTCGTAAAAGCTGGTTTAATATGAGCCGCCAAGCTCAGTTGGGTATCATCGAACAAGTGGTTGACTTAGAGACCAAGCTAGCGTCCCTGAAATTTTCGAGTCACGGAAGTATCTACTTGGAACGCTGGCTATACGCCAAGAAATTGCTTTGTAGGAGAATGGCCTCCCCGAAAGTAATCGTGAACAGAGATGAAGCATCCGCATTGATGTCTGAACGATTCTACAAACAGTTTGTCATCGGACCTTCGACGGATCGAAGATTGTATCGTGGTCCTGGGGATCTTTCGAAACAATTCCGAGGTCCTTGTGAGTGACGATTTACCCTCGTTTAGCTGGATGGCCAATACTAATTGCCTTTCGTCCAAAGTCACGGACCTCTTTCACTACGCTAGTATTCTATCAAGAAACGAAAGAAGATACATCCTGAACAATCCGTGGGCGAAGGCGGACTATATCACATCAACGCAGGATAAGCAAGACCAGAGCGAATATATGGAACTGATTTACAAATACTCCGCTTTGCAGGAGCAACTCATCCGGCCAGAATTTAACAACGACCCGTGTACACTCTCCCATCCGAACCTCAGTCTGGACAACATATGGATCGATCCAAGAACAGAAAAGATAGTTTCTTTGACAGGATGGCAATCCACAGCTATAACGCCACCATTACTAAAACGTCCATATCCCAGATTCCTTGATACGGAATTTCAAACACAATCGGGCGACCGATCCCAAATATTGCCGAAAGAACGGTATCGCGAACTCGTCAAGATATCAGAGCCTCTCCGCTACGACCGCATATTCAGCAATCCACAAAAATACGAACTTCTCGTGGGTCCAATGTCCAGTATATTTAACACATGGAACAATAGCGGCATTTTCCGTTTGCGAGAATCTCTTCTTGCGGTTCGCAACTTGCAGCAGCTTGTTCTTGCCAATCCCGTACCGGAACTAGAGCAGTTCAGTTCAGCGGAACTAGAGAGCCACGCCAAAGAAAAGTACGCCAGACAAGAGCTTGATATGCTCTTCAATATGATTCAAAATGTTCAACATACTGTCAACATACCCAGGGACGGCCGCATCCTAGCTGAAGACTTTGAGCGCGCACAAAAGTTGAATGAGGACTATCGGCAACAGTATATCAATTTGGCCGCAGGTGGTCGTAAAACTCAGCTAAGAAAGGCATGGCCATTCGATTCTCGGGACGATAAAGAAGCACAAAACAAGGCCTCCATTCCACGGGAGTCTTCCTTAGTGAAAAAGCATCCCAGCATCGGAAAATCTCCAACGGTCGTTCGGAAGATTATTGTAGACTAGTGTGGTATAAACAATGTACAATATTATTCAGATTATATACATACTCCAACCGTATGACACCAAACCTGAGCTATCTCACTTAGGGCTATTTAGCTTGAACCTCTAAACTCCGCAATCTTCTATAAATTGCTTCTCGCCTTTCTAACCTTCGTGCTCTCAAGGAGATATCTATCTAATCTCTCCACCAAGTCCTTCGGCAGCTCGACCGCACGCGGCACCGGCTCCCTGGACCTCTGAGCCTCTTCATCCAGCCATGCGGGCCAAACAACATCCAAAAACTTAGCCACCTGCACAGCTGTACCCAGCGGATTCTCAAAATTCAACGCATGCGCTCCTTTCTCCACAAAGGCCTCCGAAACCTGGCCTGTCGCCATACCACCACCTCCCCCTCTTCCCGTACCCGTACAATCAAGCAATCTCTTCCGATACGCCGCATCACTAATGAAATCCGCATTCCTGCTCCAGAGATACAACGTCTTGCAATGTATGCCCGGCATGAGATCTTTGATTTTGTCGCATTCAGCTCGATAAAATCCGCCAGGTATGATACTCTTCTCAGAGCGAGTTGCCCAGTCTTCACTCGGCGCAATACCTTCATACGGAGGGTCGGCTTTCATATACCACACAATTCGCTGCAGTATCGGCGTTACTAACGTCACACGCTCACTCGTCGGGTCTGGACGCCACAGTTCGTACTTGAGCGTCTTCTCAAACACTCTTGACTCAAATGCGCCGTAGTATGGAGATTTTGCGAAATGTTCTCTGGCTTCAGCCATGTTCTTCCATGAGTGCTTCAATTGATGTAATCGATATTTGAACTGAGTAGAATGCCGAGTTCCCTCGCCGTCGTCGTGCCACGATCCATTTTCAACGACGGGCTCAATGCAAACTAATGCATGGAAGAGACGCGGATGCCATGCTGCTGGGGCCAGGACGTGTACTGCACCAAAGGACTGTCCCATGCCCACCAACGGCGGAGCCATGTACGCTCTACTAATGCTACCATCTTCCTGAGAACGAAATTGATTAATCATCTGCACGATATCGCGCGCCGGATCAAACCATTCCGCTTCATCCCCGATTTCGTTTCTGTTGAGTAGGAACGATTGTCCATGATTGTACACATCAGCTGCGAAAATGGCTTTGATGGTGGTTCCTGAGCCGACTGTGCGGAGTAGGTCGCTGAAAAAAGGCTCGTATTGCTCTTTTGTAGATTCGAGGCCGTGCGCGAATATTATTGTTACTCCTTTGGGATCGGTTGTTGCCGTTGTGTTTGTGATGCGGTATTCGTTTACATGTAGATAGAGTCGAGAGGTGTTAGGGTCCCGGACGGCGCGTCGATAAGCGCGTGATTGAAAGGCGGGAATCGTGTGTTGGACTAATGTCCATGGCTCAGATGATATTGAAGCCATAGGAATGAATGTTACTGGAGGCTCATTCCTACCATCGCATAAATCTCAAAGAGAGAAGGCTACACGCGGGTTGGATATCAATCCTTGCACGTGTCAAGTACCAGCCATCCTTGCCGAGACTAATGTATAATTCTCAGGACTACGTACTGCACGAATACTTAGATAATGGAATCGGCCATGAGAAAGCATCTATGGCAGGCTCCATACTCTAGATCACTTCTCGGCGCACAGTTTTACATGCAAGGACAAAATGGATAACTCTTCTTTGCAAATAACATTGGTGAAGAGAGGGCCTTGTCTGTCTTCCAAGGAGAAGAATCGATGACTGAGGCATCCATGGGTGATTCGCAATCCCTCCTGGAATCGGTAAAGCGTGTCTGCAGGTCAGGATATAGTATAAAACTAAAGCCAATCAACGAATATCTTTTCAGAAATCTAGACCTGAAACGGAGTTGAAGATGTCTCCCCGGTATATGATTGGCAAAAAAACACAGATCGGCAAATTCAGTCGCCAGTGGCTTGCTTTAGTGCGAGCAACATCCCCACTACGAGGCTATTATATCATCTTATTCGTTCATTTCTGTTCCACAGCCCCGCGGACATTTACCGGAGTAGATGTGATCGAGTGGACTTCGTATATACGAAGCACCTGCGTAGACTGAAATCCGATGATGTTGTCCACATTGTCATGATTGACGTGGTATGGTGACTTCAAGAGAACAATATGAGAATTGCCGTCATGGTGTTCCAGCCCTGTGTCTAATAATATTGACCCACCATGGACGCCTAGCCAGTCGAGGTATACAAGACGTCTTTTTGGGATTTGTTAGATGGATTTACTCAATTGAACTCCGCTGATTTCAAAATCTCGGAACGCAAGGCTCATCTTACGCCGATTGAAACATTAATACGATTCTTCGGGCAACTACTGGGGCGCCGGACGTAAGACGACGAGAACTGCGTCTGGTGTAAAAGTTCTTCCACCAGTGATCCTCAGTTTACCGCACCAATAGATCAGATAGTATGTACTCCGCACATATGACATTACTGTGCTCGGGAAGAGATTCGAGCTGGGTAGTGTGTTGATTGCACTGACCGATCAACTGTATGTGATATGTCGTAGTTCCAGAGACTGTCAAGAGGAGAAAGAGACGAGGTTAACGCTTTGCTTAAAGACGCCAGCCCGAATGAAACTAGCCCGGCAACTCAGCCATCCATCACGTGATGTCTGGCCCCGTCTCTCCTACCCAGCGTTGAGTCTCAGACTCAGCCAAGTTCCAACGTAACAAATCCTTCACTCCACCCATTTCAGACTCCTCCCTGCCGACCGTACGACGACTACGACCGTCTCCTCCTCCATCCGCCATACCTACCTTTCCGCCTCTCTTTACAATTTAATATTCGACACCGACAGAATCGTCGCTTGTCAGACATCAAGTGTTCACGCGGTTGGCTGGCACTGCCGCGACACTGAAAGCCACCGGGAAAGGATCCCAACAGCCCGAGAGCCCCCCGTCGGGGCTCGCAAATCGCCATGGTTCGGCACAATGAAGCGCCTCGTGATAGTATAGACAGCACTCTGCCTCAGATGTCGGATCTTGTGCCCGCTGATGGCTCGCTATTCCGTCCCTCCCATGCTCGACAACCGTCACATCCCAATGTGTTCTCAGACGACTACTCGATCGACTCAATTGACGCACCTCTCTTTTCCAACCATCAACGAAACCATTCCTTTTCTTCCTTTGACTCAACCTCTACCGTTGAACCACGACGTTGCGATACACCTAAGCCAGTGGCCGAAAATAGCACACGAGTGAACCTGTTGGATCAGCAGCCGAATCGCCGGTCGCTGGCTTCTGTCCATCAGCAGGATGAGTCTTTAACACTAGGTAGGACTGTCAGTCGTCAGTCCCATGCATCCTCTGCCTCGATTGAGGACCTTAATCCTTTTGCGGACCAACCAAATCCGTCATTTGCCGAGAGCGCTCGGCCTTCGAGTATTCGAAAGGGCATAACTGCATTAAATCGACAGTCTACGGTTTCGACTACCTCGACGCGGTCAGGATATACTGCAGTGCCACGGGCGATGAGTCCATATCGTGGCGCGACGACTGGTCCTAGTCATCCGTATGCAATGTACCCGCAAGTTGGTGTCGGTCGATCGCCTAGTGTTGCCACAGTATCGACAATACGACACGCCGACAGCCCACTGAGAGGGCCAACCGGGCCACAACACCCGTACGGGATGTATCCGCAAAATATCGACTATGAAGAAGATTTAGGGGATCAGCCAATCCCAGTTGGCTTCCCTCCTCGTGGAATACAGCCTCAAGGAGCTACGACACAAGCAGATGAGGTTGGGGACATCATAGGCCCAGACGGTCATCTCGAACAACTCCCACCATATTCGCGCTATCCCGATGGCGTAATCCGGCCAACAATGGGCAGGGGTCCTGCCAGCATAGCCAGTGACATAAGAGGACGATGGGAACGATATCAAGACGAGCCACATACCAGGTCAGATTCCTCTTCAGGATCTGGGACCTTGATCAATGTCGACTCTTCAGAACCATTACGGTCACCAACCACGTCATCTGGCCGTTCATCAACTTTAGTAGCGCCCGTGCCGCTAGAGGAGAAATTACGTCAAAAAGGTCAACGGAAATGCTGCGGCGCGCCGATCTGGCTTGTGGTAATGTCGAGTATGACCATGGTGATTTGTGCACTCTTGGGTGGTGTCATCGGTGGTGTACTAGGTGAAAGGGCGGCCGAACATCGGGCACAGCTCGCAGCTGCTAAGCATTCCTCGCATCCGGCGAGTGTGGTTACCGTGACTTACACATCCGATGTTTCACCTTATACGTCCACGCCCACAGGTATCGCTGCTCTTCCGACGGGTAATTATCAGGTTCCTTGGACAGTCACCAATGTGTCCAAATTCTGTGTTAGCACGTCTAAGCAGCAATCCTGGAATTGCCAGATCATGGACCCGCTTCCTATTGACATTCAAGGATCCTCCTTCATGTCTAGTAGCCTTACTGTCCAGCAACCTAGCATTCAAGATGGTCATTTTAACTATGGCGCCCAGCTCCCTTACGACATCAACCCCCTTCAGCAACAACTCAATATCATGATCGACAAGGAAGACCCCCAGTTAGGGCCTGCGCTTTTTTTCCAAACAATGTTCAACAAACTCGTTATAGTTCAAGACTCTCAAGATATGCAGTCGAAACGCTCACTCGATGAAAGGGACACCAGCGGATTTGTCAATGGGCAAAATCAAAATACAAACTACCCGAAGCCTTGGTTTTGTTGGTGGAACCAGACACAATTCGAGACATTCATTTATATAAATCAAACCCAGGACGCCACGGGTTCCGGAACAACTTCGACCACAAGTTCAACCACACAGCCTGCCTCGATCACAACGGCTCCATCCCCTACGTCGGGATCTCAGAAGCGAGATCTAGATCTATTACTTCGTGATAGCATTACCGGTAATTATCCTAGGAAGGTTAAGATCAAGGAAAACCGGGTGAATCCCACTGCGCCACAAGCATATTGCCAGCAGATGCAGGTCAACCCAGACAACAGCATTACTCCGATCGTGGGTCAGCGTTTCAACATCAACGAAACGGTCCCGACGGGTGAGCATGGCGGCCCTGTCCCGTGCTATTGCGAGTGGATGACCTGATCATACGTGTTGCATCGATCTGCATATCATTTCCTGGCGTTTTCCGAGTTTTCCTATCATCTTCCTGACGTGATACGATTGTCGTTTATGACAGCAAATCTTTCTGGTGTACATCTCAAAACATGGGTTGGAGTTTTGTGTTGGTTTATTAGCAATTATGTTGAGCGATTGATTTATCATTCCTTTGGTTTTCTTCTTATGTGAGGGTGGCGTTGATAATAATTATTTTGACTTTTGAGAAGAGCACCAAGGCTCTAGGGATGGCCGGGTATTTGGGAACACATTTTTTATTGCGTTTTGGTGTTATCTGTTCGAACTTTACCGATCAAGCATAGCTTTGGGTAACTACATCTTGTTACTTTTTAACTCTACTTAATTGATCTTCAAATTGTCCGAATGTCCCTGATCTCTCTGCAGGCTTAGCGATAAAATTGTGGTTCTCATGTAGATGATCACTCGCGGTAGATGACCAGCTTCGACGTCATCTCCAAGATTAGATGGCGACTCTTGGATCTTGTTCTCCCCTGTGCTGCTACGTGTTGATAATCCAACTATTTGAGACTGATTAAATTATTCTTGCTCGCAATCATCCATGATTATCAATTTTTGTCTTGATTATCGACTCCGTGACATTCAATATCATAACTCAATCTCAGCTCACTTCCTAGATATATTCGAAATGCAGTCAATCCTCCGCATATCACGGTCAACGACCGTGAAGCCGATGTGTCCATCACTGCTCAGAGGTAGAATGCCAATCGCAAACCAAACACTTAGGTATCCATCAACGATCAAGCGATACAGCCATCAATCATACGGCGGCGACGACAATCCTCAGGGAGACCGACCCGCGTCTCGCAAAAGTCGCGACTTGGAGCATCCTGGTTCGTCTGCACCCATTCACCAGTTAGCTATTTATTTGAGTCCCATATCTAATATAAACACAGGCCCTCCACCACCAGACGTAAGCAAAGACTCAGCCGAATCCAACCCTTCCTCGAAGAAACAATCAGAGAAACAAGAGCAAGAGCAAGAGCAAGCAAAACATGAAGACCTCTACCAGAAAAAGCAACCGTCCAACAAAGCACGACCAACCCTTAGCTCGGGTCGCGAATCGCCAAATGTCGACGAACAGGGCAATGTTCGAGACGATGTGCCGGAGGACGTAAAACGGCACAATCGTGAGATGGAACAGAGGCACGATAAGGCGTACAATCAGATTGGGGATGAAGGGAAAGTTAATAAAGGGTTCTGGAAGGGGAATGGGGAGAGTTTGACGGAGGAGCAAGGTGGTGGGAGGGCGCAGCGATAGTTGGGCCTGCGCTTGGTGGGATGTATGAATTATAGTAAATTGATTGTGCTTATATATATATATATATGCTATTTATGTTAATTGATCGGTTAACGAATACACAACTCATCATCGCTGCTCTGATAACAATGGCGTATTCTCCGTTGCCTGCTGATCCTGCTCCGCATTCGCGGCTGGCGTCTCGTCAGCCATAAACGGATGTTCAATGACATCCTTCTGTCCCAGATATTCAAAGTAGATGCCCATCACGAGAAGTGTCCCTTGCAACAAAGCAGTAATCACATATACCCCCCACGCACTCCAGCCCTCGGCACCCAGTCTTTGCGCCAGACTAGCGGCCCAGACTAGACTGCCGGGTGTCTGGATACACATCATAGGGATACTCAGACTACCGACCTTTTGCAGGCGGAACGTCGTCCAGATTTGAGGGAAGTATTGAATGGATGCTAAAACAGCGGACATGATTCCTAGTACGTTGGCCCATGTTTGTAGATTGGACGGATGTTTGATAGCCACCACGAGGGAGACGATAAGTACTATCACTGCGTGGGCGAGACAAGTGATGGAGACAATGACGGCTGTGCTATAGCTCGGTTGTTTTTCGTCGTTCTCAACATTCTCATTGCCATGGGACTCATTTTCTGTTTCGGCAGATGTTGTGGGATTGACCAAGGAAGTCGCTCGGGGGAAATAGATCAAAAACAGGAGGAGACTACACAAAATCCTCGTTAGTGATGACCACAACCATGCCCCAGATGCATGACTGACATGACATAAAACGACAAACACTGCACCCCAACCTGGAATATGCCCAACAACCCCGCAAAACACGACACGCCCGAAATCTCTCGGCAGCAGGCTACGTCGCGTGCGCTCCGAGGGAGAACTAGTATGTTCGCGAATGCGGCAGTTCCCGACGTCGTGCCGAGGAGGACAAAGTATGGCGACAAGCCGAATGAGCTTTTTAGCTGGATGATGCGGATATGTTGGGGGAGGTAGGATACGAGGATTCCGACGAGGATGAGACTGTTGTAGATAGAGCAGAGTTGTTAGTATGGAAAGCAGGAGCTCATAGGTGGGTGACGTACAGTGATAAGATGAAGTTGAAGCTGACGCCGTGAGGGAGCTCAAGGTCCTGGCATTGCGGGGAGACGGAGCCCATGTTTGCAAGCTGTATGCCTATCTCCACAGGCACTTCCACTTATATGAAGCAGAGATAGATTTTGTTATATAGACGAAATGGTAGTTGAGAGATGTCGAGGCAGCTCCCAAGGTTGGCCGATAAACAGATAAGAAGGCTGGAGCTGCCGCCTGACCACCTCGGCTCCACCGTGCTGTGGCTTGCTGATTGGCTAGTGCAGACTCAGTTGTAAAATGGTCGCGTATACACTGTCGAACAGCGATGGATTAACCTATTAAAATCGATATATCCAACTTATAGTTACCTTGTCTATCAGAGAGGTGTAGATGTTCCTGCGAGTAGAAGGTCAATCCGTGCCTTGTTTTGCTTCCCGATTAGGAAATACAGTTCCCGTTTAGGCAACCTGATTGTCTGGGATGTTTTGGTTTGGATCGGAGGATTTACGGCCTGTCTCATGGCATATCTATCTATATCATGTGAAACAATTTCATCGAGATATTTGGGTCAATTACTAGGTAGGAAAGAATATAGATCTAGAGAAGACCGTGAACTGAGTGAGAATCGACGCTGGGTATATTAGTAGAGCGAAAAAGAAGGGGCTAGACGCACACGTTAGGCATCCCTAGTGGAACTGTATACATACTACATAGTAGTACGTACTGACCACCAAGGAGCAGGATGCGTCATTGAGCTCGCGTCATTGCGAGATTCCAGGCGAATGCTGCCAAGAATCTGATCTGGATGTATCGTGCGTATTGTTACAGTAATGCATGAGTCTTGATATGGGGTGGTTGTATGTGTATTGTGGTATGACGTGGTATGCTTCCCCCCCAGTTTTGTGTGGCAGCTCAGCTTCCCGCCAATACGTCACTCACTGCTCATCATCCCTGGCTTCCTTTAAATATTCTCCCCACGGTTTGTCCTCGTTCATGCTCACCTCTGATTTCACTCTTCATAAATTAAAACTGTACAGGTGTGTTTAGTCTATCATAATTTCGATCATTTCATTTATTTCAACTACCGGATCATTTCACTGACCTCGCGAGCTTCTAGCTGACATTGACGTCACTTAACGCGCGAGCTTTCTACCATAGCAACATAACACCAAGGTACAGAAAGCGAACACGTGAACAATGAGATTCCGCTGGGCTACCGGCCTCTTGGTCGTGCTAGCTACTTCTGAAGCTGTCGGTGCTAGCAACTGGTTCAGTAGGTCTGGTATGTGCTGCGGTCGCTGACCTTTGGAATGAGAAGACTAACCGATGTGTTGCTGCAGTGTACAATAGCTGGCATGAGACTGAGCTTGAGAGATGGCTCGCCGACCATGGTAAGTGAAGATGCCACCCCAGATTATTGATGTGCAACCACTAATCTAAGTCCAGACATCCCCTTCCCAACACCTGCCGACCGCAAAGACTTGGAGAAGTTGGTCAAAAACAACTGGAATGCCAAGGTACAGGCGCCTATTGCCGACGTCTCTGACACGGCTTCAGACCACTTAAGCAATGTCAAGGAATGGATTTTTGATAGGTGAGTTTGCATTACTTTTTACATTTTAATTTCCACTTAGCTAATTTATCCAGCTGGACTGAATCTCGTCTGAAAGCTTTCCTTGATCGTCACAGTATCCCAGCCCCTCAGCCACGTAAGCGTGACACACTCCTCCGCGCCGCGCGTGAGAACTACGAGACTGTCGCAAAGAAGCTTGGCGAGACTGCTGCCTATCCCGGAAACTGGTTGTACTCAGAATGGAGTGATTCGGATCTCAAGGAATGGCTTGACGCCCGTGGATGGCCTGTTCCGCAACCTACTACTCGTGACCGTCTTATTGCAGCTGTTCGACGCCAGTCTCGCCTTGCTAGCCTCGCTGCTCAGCAATCTGCTGCTTCACTTTCGGCCTCCGCAGCTGCTACTGAGCAAACCCTCAGTGAAGCTCTCTTTGACGCCTGGTCTGACTCTAATTTGAAGAAGTTCCTCGATGAGCATGGTGTCAAGGTACCTCAAGGTTCGAAGCGCAATGAGCTCATCGCCTTGGCTCGCAAGAACCGAAAATACCTCACTAACCAAGCCTCGTCAATTTCTGCATCTGCCGCTAGCGCATACGGTGCTGCTACTTCCAAGGCCGGGAATGAGTATGCACAAGCAACTGAAGATGCGCAGCTCAAGGCTGAAGACGCATTTGATGCAGCAGCAGCACAATGGTCTGACTCTCGATTAAAGGCATTTTTGGATGCACGTGGCGTTCCTGTGCCTCAGCACTCGAAGCGCGATGAGCTGCTTGCCAAGGTCCGACTCCACAAGCACAAGGCTGCTACTGGTTACAGCGCCTGGACATTTGATACCTGGACCATTGATAACTTAAAGTGAGTATCTGTATCTATGTTAAGAAGTCAATCTGGCTAATATAGAAACAGGAAATATTTGTCGTCTGTGAACAACAAATACGCAAAGAAAGCCGATGCCACGCGCGAGGAACTTCTCAAGCAAGCTCAAGAACAATACGCAAAGGCATCCAAGTCTGGAGGCACTCACTATGCTTCCGCTACTTCGTACCTTGCTCAGGCCACCGCCGCAGCTAAGAAAGATACTTTTGACGAATGGTCCGAGTCTGATTTGAAGAGCTACCTCGACTCATACGGTATTCCCACATATCAGGGTTCTCATATTAATGAATTCCGTGCCGCCGTCCGTCGTAATGCTCAGTACTTCCGCTATGGCACCAGCACCCCGACTCAGACAATCTTTGCTCGCATTCAACAGGGCGCTGGGTGGCTGCTTGATCAGTTGAAATTTGGTGCTGCCGTAGGCCGCGCCCAAGGTCAGGATGCCGCTGAGTCTGCCAAGTCAAAGGCAGCAGAAGCTACTCAAAAGATACGAGAGGAATTGTAAGCCGTTGAGGGTTTGCCACTTATAAACGATACCCACCTAAGCAACATATCAGCAATCGAACTACGGTGGTGGAGTGATGGATGATGGACAACCACCAGAATATGGATTATCGAAATGACCAACTCACGAATATAGTATGACCTGGGAGTTTTATCTTTTCGGCGTTGAGATTTTTTTCTTCATTTCTTCTATTCAAGGCTGTTTTACTCGCTACTTTAGTCTAGTCAAATTTTTATTTAGGTAAACAAAATAATGAATCTTACCTATACAGAAGATTATTCCTTTAAATTTCCTATCACTTATCACAAATGCGATTAATGAATTTAACAGCTCTTCGTTAAAGTGGCAGTTATGCCTGGTGTTGTTTGTTTAGGGCTATACTGCACAGTTCCCCTTTCGGGACTAGGAGCAGGGCGTGCAATATTAACAACGTCCAGGCAGTCAAAGACTCTGGACTTAGATTGTCCAATTGCCTCCATATTGACGGAAGATTCTGACTAGTTTATATCAGTAGATATGTTTTCAGGGTGTCCTTTCTATATAGCAAAGCCTGCTTGTCGTGTAAACCAAGACTTGCATGGTAACTCCCTGTGCTTGATATCTATTGTGAGCTTGATCATAGGCTGGGCCATTAAAATTCAACTGGGCGCATGATTCTTGAATAGAAGGATGGAAGAAACAGTCTTCGTTTGCTTGCTCGCTTAGCATACTGCTTAGAAAAGAAATAGCACAGATCTTGACAACCTGGGCACTTTCAGGACATGTAGTTCTCAATATCTCTATTTCTTCTTTCTTGCTGTCTGGGAGTCCCCGATAACAACGATACAATAGCTGCAAGAGTTTGTGCATCCCTTCCTTTGACGATAACACGACAACAAAAAGTCTCATGCTACAGATCGTGGGACTAACGCCAAATAATACCCAACCATGACCTACTCAGTCCTTCCCATAGGGGAAATCCACTATCCACGCTACCCAGAGAAACCCCCTTACGACCACATCCAGCCAGGTTGGTTGCACGACATTGATATCACAAACGTCCAATTTTGGCTCCAACCTGGTGTTCCAGACATCAAATTCTACCTTGAGATCGAGCAAGCCATCGACATCCACAATGCCAGATATGCACTTGGCGTTCGCGTGTTTCAGGATATATCCGCCATGGAGACAATGCTGAAGTGGGTGGGCATAGAGGGGAAGATCAAAAAGAAGGTGTTGAAGAACTGGTATTTGCGAGTTGTTAGGATGTATGACTATATTGAGGAGGAGAGGCCTGCGATGCCTAGTCTCGCGTTGCCGTGTGACTTCAGACGACAAGATGAGGATGAAGCATACAACAGCGAGCAGGATGGGGAGTATGAGTTAGATGAAGAATACGACGCTGCCCTGGTGGCAGGCATCAATCGCATCAACGCGTCTACTGCCACCATCACCGACACATCAACAGCCGACGTCGTCAGATCCACCACAAACAAGCTCAAGGAAGTAAACCAGATGGAGACCAACGAGCACAACAAAATCATAAAATCAGCCATAATAGCGCACAACTTCTGGCCCCTTTTCAACCGCATGTGCAATCGCGACATGAACTTCTTCCGATTGCAAATGGACGAGGTGTGCCCCCATATCAGCAATGAGATCAACTGGAGTTTTCTGCTTTGTGAGCCATGCACCGACGTCTCGGCCATGATCTTTCTGTATGTGATGAGCGTGTGGCAGTCGCGACCTGATGGGAAGGAGGATGAGCTTGCTGTGCCGCTTATTTGGTCGTTGGCTATCCAGTTACGGATCCTTGTGCCGTCTGAGCAGGTTTTGAGGGTTCTGGAGCATACCAGGGCTACCGATCACATTAAAGGGCTGAAGCCTATCAGTCAATGGAGGTAGTCTGTCAAAATTAGTAACGTCAATGCCTTCCGAGGAGGACCCTGGATATCAAAGTCTTTGTGCTGCTTTTTGAGAACGAGTAACGGGAGGGGCCGAGGGATTTTAGTGAAAGGGTAGATTTGATTCGTCTCTACCATGTAAGATATCACAAAATTGGCAAGCAGGAGGCAGCATAGAGCAAAAATAGTCAGATTTTTGAACGATACACCGATCCAATCATAACATATAAACATTAAGCACGTATGTCTGCAGTTTGTATACCTTCATCCATATTTTAAGTTTTGAGGAAATCGAGAAACACCAAAAAATGCGCACGTAAAGCAGTGCAAGAAAGAGAGCCGAGTCTCTTTGAAAGGGTCGTTTGTCAGTTAGTCGTAGAGATCGCATCAATTGAGTACATCACCGCAAAGCTCTCACAAGCTTTGCAAGTAATGCTTCACTTCCTAAGCCTTTGGCGCCTCAGGATCGCCCTCCGCAACAAGCTTCCCAACAATCAGATACTTCTCCAAGAACCGCTCTTCCCAACCCTGCAAGTTCTCCAATTGCTCTTCGTCGAGACCGCTGAGATCGTCGAGCGGACCCTTGAGATCCTGGGTGAGCATCGACTCGTCAAAGCTCTGGCATGCGAGACCGCGAGTAGCGTCGCGGCCGGCAAAGTTCTCGTATGCTCCGCCCTGCGTCACCATCATCAGTACCTATACGCTTCGCTGTTCGGTGCAAGATGGAATAATCATACCGGCCCGTAAAAGTGTCGTCCCGGAGTGACATCAAACACTCTACCGCGCACAGCTAGATAGACCGGTGCGCCATCATTGCCGTTGAATGGCAACAACGTCGATGGGGTGAAAGTGCGGAAGACGACGGGCGCTGGGGCTTTGGGCAGTGTCACGGGCTTCTTGGGGCGGAACTGAAGGTAAACGACGACGATGAAGACGGATGCGAGGATGAGGTTGATTGGCGTGGCGAGGGTTTGCCTGTGAGCCATGATGCCGGTTTCAATGTGGGTTCTGGATATGTAACGATTGAACGGCGTGTTGACGGGTACTTACACCTCGGCTGGAATGTCTGCGGAATCTAGATGGTAAGTCCAAAGCTATATATCAGCGAGATGGGGATCATACCGGAGTCCATGATTTCTGATATTCAAATAAGAGACAGAGCTGATATTTAAATGTCGTTGATGGTGATGAGAGCAGCAGAGATAGCCGACGGGGCGATCGCATATAAAGTACGGCCCCGGTTGGGGGCCTTTTTACTCCGATAGCTCACTCGTACGATTAGTATGGCTTCCGTCATGTTCTTTGACGATCCCCGCTAGCCGCTTTGAGCGGGTATAAATATCGCGCGCAACAATCAGCGGTACTATCAATAGTTTGTTACATATATAAATAAGCGGAGAATGGTATTTAATATCAAAAGTGAGTGCATCTGAACAGAGCCAATGGAATTATATGTTGCGTTTTGGGACCAGGGTTAGGGTTAGGGCCCAACGGCGGGCGGGCTATTCTTGGAAACATGAAACGTCATTTAGTTTAAGGGCAGCCTGCAATCAAACTACGCCCCTCAACTTCTTCTTCTTCTCTGTCAGCTTCATCTTTTCTCTTCTCTTCTCTCAGTCAGGGTGCACGTCTGGACCCTCTGTACAGTCACACTCCAGACACCGCATCTGGTCGGCTATTGTTGTACATAGTTTACAAGACGCCCCTCATTGTGCCTGGTCTTTGAATTTGCGCGCGTGCGGTGTGTTTCGACCTGATAGCACAATCTTTGTTCTCATTGTCCTCGTTTTATTTAGCCTTCTTGTCTACGCGGTCTCCTTCTTTCTTTCACATCTTAAATAGCCGTTTCCTATTATCCTCTGACCTGATCTTCAACCGTACTCCTTGAATACTTTGAAGGCCCCTCGATTCAGCTCATGTTGTGACCAACAAGATGTGGTCGAGGATCAACAAAAACCGCGATCATGCTCGCCATATTGGCGGGCATGCATCTGTCGAAAGCCCAAAAGGTCAGCCTGTGCTGCAGACAACATCTGGCAATCCTCTCCCGTCTCGGAGCATGTTGAAAGACTTGCCAGCTCTGCCGAGGTAAGTGAACGTACTCGGATCTTTGATTCGTACCGTAAGCTGAAAATTATTGCCTAGAGAATCTACGCAGTCTCCCAGCAATGATCGCGTGACTTCTTCTATTTACTCGCGCGACGATAGCGGGGTGCGATTCACGGATGGGAACATGCCTATTTCACCAACACGCGACTACGCAGAGTACTCCAGATATGCAGAACAACAGCAGGAGCCTGAAATATCTCCTCCTGACACTCCTGTTGATCTGCCCAGCGCACAGGCTCACTCAGACGTCTCACCCATCGATGACGACAAACATTTCTTCCCTGAAATGCCCAAACATAGAGCAAGTCAATTGCCAGTTCCTCGCAGAAACATCACCAATGATATACCTGTAAACGTTGCAGATCAATCATCCAGTCTTCAAGCCAAGCGAACCAATACTGAAGGTTTCGAAGGCCCATCAAACAAGCCTACCACATCGCGAAATACTACATCTCCAAAACCACGAAGTGCAAGCCCGCCAGTCGGGATTGCCGACGCTCGAAGCAAAGAAGCTACCCGTCTATTCAGTGCCGGAAAAGAAAAGCTGCAAATGTTTACCAAAACGCGTGAACACAAACAGCGCGATGCCAAACAACCTCGTGAGCAATGGAAAGGTGCTAGTGGGCGCTTCGCTCTTGTCCCACCAATTGATACGAAAAGTACCGTGAAACACGGCAAAAAGCATGTACATGCGCAACGTGTCACAGAGGACCCAACGCGCGAATATTTGAACTCCAGCTCTGATACTTACACGATCACGACTATTACCGCTGGCCCTCCACCAGAAGAAAAGCTTCGAAGCAAAACGAGTCAGTTCAGATTGCGATCTAGGAATGCGTCACCAGATAAGAAGGATTCGCCAAAAGAACCAGAACGAAAAGTCGAATCGACTGTGAGCCGCAAGGCCAGTCCCGTAATCGATGTTCCTGGCATCGATCCGGCTACTCCTCACGATGTACGCCAATTCTCTGGAAGTAGAGCAAACACACCTACGCTCGACGCACCAAACGAGTCCAATATCTCCGACATGTTCCACGATCTGAGTCTTCCTCAAGAGCCGAGAAGCCGTTTCAGTGCTTCGACGTATGCGCCCACTGAGGCTGCGACTACGCCTCCAGGCAGCAGTCACGCCGACGTCCCACCTATGCCTTCTTTGGAATACTCGCCTATTATGACGAGAAGACGACCCATTCCAAGTTCTGCAGCATCCATCATAAGCATGAAACGGAAGCCTGTTTCTGCTGATACACCAGAAGTTGACATCAAGAACTTGTCTCCTGAAGAGCAAGCGCAACGCCGCGTTGACAGTTTGGAAGGTCGGCGTAGACAGCTTTCATTGCGCAAAGAGAGTATCAAGACAATGCTTCATGAGCTGACTGAGGTCATTCAGCCTAGTTCAGTCGCATACGACATGGCCACTCGCGACGAAGTCAAGAAGACTGTCAGCTCTTTGAAAAGTGAACTTGACGATATAGGAAAGGAGGATCACGAGATTGGCCTAAAGCTTGTACGGCTCTATAAGAATCTGAACAATGTGTCTGAGTTCGAGCAGAGCAGTTTGTGGGTCAAGCGGATCACCAGTTGAAGTTCTACGGTTTTCACTCTCTTTACGTTTTTCCTTTCTGTGCGATTTATTATTTATTATTCTTGTCAGCCATTTTGTTCTCGTTGAAGCTGGATCTTCATCAAGTCTCTTGTATTTCTGCATTGCATGTACCAGCCAGCGTGGCGTTGTCGCATATTTCCTGATTGATACCCTCTTGACTCTTTTGATAATTCGTTACTAAACTCATGTACGAGTTCGAAGCATTATGCAATATGGATTTTATTCAATTGCTCTCATTGTGCTGAAGATGCATAAATATCGTAAATACATGAAATCTTCGCCTGTATACTCATGTCCAAGTATAATGACGGGTCTTATGACAAAACGTGCAGGACGCCGATCGGCCGTATTCCGGGTATCGTTAGGGTACTCGTTTTCGCGGATTAAGTAGCGCTATGGTATGACGAGGAACGTAGTTGAAGAAGTGGAGGAAGCGAGAAAGCTTGATGGTCGTTTACTTCTTTCCAGATTTCTTGATGCCTTGAGCGCCGGTGTTCAAAGGACCTTTGCCTTTGGCCTTGTCCATGAGATCCTTCTTGGCCTTGGCCTCTGTTGCGTCGAGTTTCATTAGCGGCTGTCTCATGTGAAATTCTAGAGCTACTTAACGTACCAGCTCGCTGTCTCTCCTTGAAGGCGAGATCATCTTCATCTAGTTCCTTCTTTTCCTTCTTGGCCGCCTTGAGGGGCTTTGCTTTGCCGCCTGAAAACAATAGAAATTAGTAAGTGTTGCAAATGGCATAGAATCGCAGAACTGTACATACCGTCTCTTCCTTGACCACCCATCTTGAATGACGATAATAAATGATTTGCGCTGCGCGGTACACTTTCAGGAACGACAGAAGGGCAGAACGGGTTGAGATTCGCTGAGGGGCAGAGAAAAAATGGAGTTTGAGCAGGAGGCGGCCGGCTTATCAACTTTATCGGCGATGGAGGTCGCACTAGACCGAACTCGGTTGGCGGCAAATCTCTCAAGACATACGGCAAACTTGACGTCGTCTCCCCGTCTAGCAACTCGAACATCAGCATCAGCCATAGCACATCATCGCTGGCGGTCTGTTTATTATCATACGCACGCTTCAGACTTTATGATTAGGTGACACGGTCAAGGGCAAGGCAGGACCATTAGCCGGTTGGACATCTCAATCACCATATACTACGTTCTTGAGTTTGGAGCATCATCGCTAACCGAGTTCTCTCAATTTCTTTGTCTCAAAACCAGCCTTTCTCTTGTTGAAGTTTAGCATCGCTTGTTTCAATCATGGCTTCCCGCCGGTCAAGGTCGCTATCAACCCCGTCCGAGGGTGAGATAGTCGAGTCGGGATCAGAGACGAAGGCAACTACGTCGCAGACTTCCATGAATGACACGAATGTTAACCGTCGCTCCAGACTGAGTCCATCGTTTTCTCCCAGATCACCTGCATCGGGTGCTGCGAGGTCGCCACCATCACGGCGTCGATCTCGATCTCGATCTCGGACGCGTTCCCCTTATCGACGCGGCGGGAAACGTCGACGATATGATGACTATGATGATTATGATAACTATCGACATGGCTCCTCTTCTTCCTACCGATACGAGTCGCGGTCTGAGCATGACCGTAGATACGACTCGCGCCGTCAAAGAACGTATCATGACTACGACCGAGACGATAGCTACAATGGCGGGCTCCGGTATATGGATGACTACGATCGACGCGACAAGCGACAAAAGACGCGCAGTCGGTCGCCATTCAGAGACGTAAGAAAGCCAAAAAAGTACGATGATGCTGATGACATTGGGGAACCGCGCAAAGTGGCATTTAGAAACCAGTCAGTGAGCGAACGGGGTGTTTCCCCTGTTGTCGCTCAAGATGTTAAACCACATACTGAACCAGGGCGTCAGGTTGAGTCTAGCACAGAGGTTTCTACTGGTCTGAATGGGTAAATTTCCTCACTCTCTAGCGTTTGCATTCGACTGACAGACAATAGGTCAAGTCCAGATCTTACCGAAGCCCCCGAAGAGATTCTAGACGAAGCAGCACGGCTCGAAGCCCGGCGCAAACGGCGTGAAGCTATCAAAGCCAAGTACCGAGGCCAGGATGCACTGCGCATCCAAGCGTTGCATCAAGGAGCTGATCCGGATCTTACCCCCGTCACACCAATGAGTGCAGCTGGTGAGTCTTATGTCACAAAAGGAAGGGGAAATATCTCACTAACTTTCGCAGAATCGCCCAAATCTCCCGCCTTGGAAGTTTCTACCGAAACCCCTGAAAGTGAATTTACAGTTGCCAAGGATGAAGATCTTGCTAATGGTACCCAGCCTATGGAAGGCGTTGAAAAAGACGAACCATCTGCAGCAGACTACGACCCCACTCAAGACATGCGAGAAGAGCGGCAGAGACATGATCAGCAATTCAGTGAGGATGTATCATCAGCTGCGTACGATGAAACAAAAACTACTAAACAAGACGTACTCATCCCCGAACCGCAACCAGAGGCTCCCGCTAAAGACCCATACGATATGTTTGCTGAAGATGATGACGACATGTTCGCTCCGGAGCCCGAGGAACAACCTGAGCACGCAAGCGCCAAGGCTGTTCCCAAAGCAAAAGAGCTTGATATGACTATGTTAGACAATTGGGACGATCCTGAGGGCTATTATAATGTGAGACTGGGTGAGTTGATTAATGGGCGTTATCATGTTCACCAAAACCTTGGCAAAGGAATGTTTTCCTCTGTCGTACGCGCCACCGACTCGAAAACAGACAAATATGTGGCTATCAAAATAATCCGAAACAACGACACGATGCGAAAAGCCGGGATGAAGGAGATTCAAATTCTTGAACAGTTACTCGAGGCAGACCCAGACGACAAGAAGCATGTCATCCGATTTGAGCGGTATTTTGATCACAAGGGACACCTTTGCATGGTCTTTGAGAATCTTAGCATGAACTTACGAGAGGTGCTAAAGAAGTTCGGTCGCGATGTCGGGCTGAACCTACGAGCCATTCGTGCGTATGCACAGCAAATGTTTCTCGGCCTGAGTCTGCTCCGCAAGTGTAATATATTGCATGCAGACTTGAAGCCGGACAATCTGTTAGTAAACGAGCAACGAAGTGTTTTGAAAATTTGCGATTTGGGATCTGCATCTTCTGCCTCTGATAACGACATTACGCCGTACCTGGTCAGTCGATTCTATCGTGCTCCTGAAATCATTCTCGGGGTCCCATACGACTATGCGATCGATATTTGGTCAATTGGCTGCACGTTGTACGAACTATACACTGGCAAAATCTTGTTCACAGGTCGCAACAACAATCAAATGTTAAGATCTATCATGGAATGCCGCGGCAAATTTCCGCCGAAATTCCTGCGCAAGGGTGCTCTGACAGGTGCTCATTTCGACGACATGCTCAATTTCCACAGTACAGAAGAGGACAAACTCACGGGAAGAGTCGTGACAAAGGTGCTCGATTTCAAGAAACCGACGAGAGATCTCAAATCACGATTAATGGGAACTGGCAGCGGTGGCAAGGGCTCAAAAGGGATGACGGAAAGTGAGACGAAGGAGCTGGCGCAGTTTGTGGATTTGCTAGATCGGTGCTTGAGTGTGAATCCGGAAAAGAGGTGTACTCCGGTGGAAGCGTTGAAGCATCCTTTTATTTCGAGGAAATAGTTCGGATTTCTGGTATGTGTATATATTTTAGCATTAATTCTGATTCGAGCGTACTCGTTGAATATAATGACCATCTCAGGATACTACCTATCAGATCTCTGTAAAAGGGACTATTAACAAGGCCGCCTAGGAATCGAGTTGATTTACTTTGACAGACGCGGAAAGACAGCGCCAACCCATATTTGAATGCTCTATTAGTGTGCTACAATATACTATGAAATTCGTCTCAAACCATATACTCCAATGCTAATCAAACAACAGAAATGCCCGTCTCAAACGACGCCTCACCCTCAAAAGTCTCCAACTCAGACACAAACACATTCCACCCCTTCTCCGACGCCATCGGCGCATTACTATACGGCGCTGCACCCGTGTCGTACAGAAGCTTCTCCATCTCCGGCAGCAACGCATCTGCCGCTTGAGCTTCCATCTCCTTCTGAGCTAGACGACTAACCCCCCCTTGCTCTGTGTACCATGCGGAGTCGTCGAGGATAACGCCACTCTCGTACAGGTCGATGAGCTTGGAGTCGATACCTGCCTCCTTTGCGGCTTCTAGTGCCATGCGGTGACCGATGGCTTGGATTAGCGGTAGGGAGAGAGGGAGGATGTTGCGGTTAAACTCTTCGCTGCGGTGCATGCCGCCGATGAGTAGGAGGTGTTGTTGTGCCTCTGTCATTAGTGCGGCTTCGTGTTGAGCGAGCGGGCTGTTGGGTGAGGTGGGAGGTGGGATTTGATAGCGACCGATTAGGAGCTCGCTTGCGAGGCCTGGACGATGTGGTTAGTATGCATGCTCTCACTTCGGAAGCGTAAGCAACGTACGAATAGCGAGGACCCTAATGTCACCTTCTGCGGTCCCTACTGCTCTGAATTCCATCTATAGACAGATCGTTAGGTCGATACATTCCCCAACGGGTGGGGTTTTTGATTTCTCACCTCACTCTGGAGAGTCTGATTATGCTCATAATATCCATGCCAACCACATCCCTCATTCAAAGGCTTGATACTCTTCTGAAAATTCTGTATCGCAACAGCCTTGAACGCAGTCGCGACAGCATGCCTCACGCGCGGATCAACTTTCCTATTCCTGAAAATGGTTGCGGCATGCACGAGAAACGCCTGAAGAACATGAAACTGCGCGATAGCGTGCAATATGGGGAGATGCTGGGTACGAAACTTGATGACGGGCATTGGCTTGCCGTCATGACCCGTTACTTTCCGTCGCATGCTGAATTGTGCTGCGTTGTAGACTGCGACTTTGAGCACGGGGATTGCGGTGCCAGAGAGGAAAAGTGTGCCGGCTGAGACGCGGTGTATGGTGTTGAAAAAATGCTCTCGCTCGTTTTGGGGTTTATCGAGACTGCCCAGGAGTGCTGTGGGAGGTAGGACGACGTGGTTGAAGAGGGTGAGGGCGTGGTCGATGGGATTAGCTCCAGTGCGCGGAGGTAGGGCCCTGAAAAGGTCAGGGGAAGTCTTTTCATCGTGTGGAGATGGACTCACTTTGCAACCACGCCTTTGCACATCTCACGGCCGTCTCCCAGGGGCACGAGGAAAGGACGGACTCCGCGATCCTCTCCGTCAACGACTAATCGAGCAATGACAACGGCAACAACGGGGAGGCCCCCTCTTGGAGTCGTCGGTGGCATACATCTGTTCTAGATTAGGGCTCTATTCCTGGGCAACTCGGGGTACGCTATCTGATCACAAACTTTGCAGCTCCCCATGAAGGACTGTGAAGTTCAAAACCACCGTCTGGCAAGAGTGTGGCGGTAGTCTCTAAATTTCTCGCGTCTAGTCCATGGCCGACCTCGGTGAGCATAAACTGCGCTCTAAAGACGGTCCTCCCAGTCAGCCCTGGCTAATCTGTCTGTACAAAGGTAGAACCCACGAAATCTCAAAACTCAAAGCACGCTGGAGAATCCAGTGAAGATCTGGCCTCTTGGCTGCGAACGGAGCCACAGTGCCCACAAACAGGTTATACTGGATACTGATCAAAGTCAAAGCTCCGCCGTCAACTGCAGAGATCAAATCCGTCTGTAGTTTCCAAAACTTCGGACCGAGAGTTACAATGTCTTCTATTGTCAAGCCTACTTTCGATTAGCTGCTGGTCGCATTTGAGTATTGCAGACGTTTAGGGCTGTACCGTATACATCGCAGATCTTCCTGGCCCTCTCATATGTGAGTCGGGTGCGCTCTTCTATGGTCAGGAGACGTTCCGGTCTTTTGAATAAAGGTGATTGAGCCAGCTCAAGAGTAGGCGAGGGCGATTGCCATACCCGATTATAAAGGGATTGGTCTGCCAGTTCTGCAGTTTTAAGTTCCGGGTTTGGAGGCAACATATTTGCAATTAATCTGTAGGATGATAGATTCAGTCGATGACGATCAATTGAGACATCTCCATGAACTCCCAACAGTGGGCATTGAACATATATATTTCTACGGCAGACGGACGCACCGATATCCTCATCGGCAACGACAGCTCTGTACTCCGTACTCCGAAACTATGTAGAACCTAGGTAACTTTAAACTATTGAAAATTTGAGATCAAACTACCGAACCTTAGAGGGTTGAAGAATTGTGGATGCTTGTTTACGCTTTTTCGTGCATGGTGTTCGGAAAAAAGCCACAATGCGGCATGTGTGGCTGGCGCAGTGGTACGTATTAGTACTCGGAGTGCCCGTAACTGACAACACAAAGCAGCGTGAGGCGAGCTGAAACGGTATGCTAGGATGTGTTGTACAGTGGATCGTATGCAAGTTGGGCGAGAGATGAAGACATAACTGGGACAGTCCTCCGTCTGCTACTCTAATCATTTCACGATGGTGAAAAAAATTCAGCTCAAGTGTGGATGGACAGTGAATTGATAAACCCCTAAACACCCGGATTGACGGGAGTGTTTTCCCAAGTCGTTACCAACGTTACAAATTCCAGAACCGGGAACACAGCACAGCAGAAAAGAAAAAAAAAAAATGGACTCGGTAATGGACGCCCATTGGGCTACTATTATCATCAGTTCAGTGATTTGCTATGTTCGCATCACCCCGATGCTCCCCATAAATCAAAGCTAACGCACCCCTAGTTCGTCGGCTCTGCAATCTACAACTTATGGTTCAGCCCATTGGCAAAGTATCCAGGCCCACTGTTCGCACGAATCTCTGCTTTTCCAGATTTCTACTGGTCTCTCACAGGAGATCGACACATGTGGATTGCGCACTGTCATGAGATCTATGGCGACGTGATCCGCTACCGGCCTGATGGTTTGCTGTTCCGCACGCCTCAGGCGCACCGGGACATCTTCAATGGCAAGGCTAACGTCAAACGGGCCAAGTTTTATGATATGATGACCCGAAATAAGCACGACACAAGCACTATCACGGGCACGGATCCGGAGCTTCATGCGCAGAAGAGGCGGGTTCTGAATAGCGTCTTTTCGGACAAGTCGCTTCGGTCAATGGAGCCGTTTTTGGTAAAGCATGTGTCTCGCTGGTGTGAGCTGCTTGTTGATGGGGACGGTGCGGCATGGTCGGCTCCAAGGAAGATGTCTGATGTATGCGACTATTTGGTGCTGGATGTGCTGACGGACCTTTGCTTCGGACAAAGTGTTGAAACCAAGGAACCTGGGGAGAATCACTATCGAGAGATTCCTCATGCAATTACCTCGTTTCTTCGGATCATATACCCTGTAAGCTTTTTCCTATCGATCCATGCAAGCAGATCTTCGACTAATGACGAGCAGATTGGTCATTCCCCATGGCTAAATCTGATTGTCTGGTTAAAGCCAAGGGGCCTCGATTGGGTGTTTGACGCCATGACTCCGCGAAACATTCGGTTCCTGTATGACTTTGTTAAGCAGTCGTTGGCGCAACGCCTCAAACTCGAGGACGAAAGCCCTTCATCAGAGAGCGGGTGCCGAAGCGACATGCTTCACTATCTGATACATGCTAAGGATCCGGCAACCGGTCGCGTGGGATACACACCAGAGGCATTGGAGGCAGAAGCAATAATGCTTACAGTTGCAGGCTCCGATACTACCTCTGTGATCATGGCCGGAATCTTTTTCTACCTTGTACGCACACCGCGTGTTTATCGCAAGCTTGTCAATGAGATTAGGAATACGTTCACCTCTCTCGACGACATCCGTGGCGGACCTAAACTGATGTCTTGCCAATACCTTCGCGCTTGTGTCGACGAGGCTACACGAATTGTGCCAGCAGGGCCCTCTGAGCTACCCCGATTCGTACTCCCTGGAGGTCTGACAGTAGACGGCAACCACATCCCCGAGGGTACAACTGTCGGAGTAGCTCACTGGACCTTCTATCGCAACGAGGAGTACTTCCCGGACCCCAATGTGTATCGCCCCGAACGATGGATAGTAGACGACGCAGAAGAAGTTGGCGTTACTGCGGAAGAAGTGGCCAGAGCGCGCGCAAGTTGTTTGCCATTTGCTGCCGGTACAACGGGCTGTGCTGGGAAGAATTTTGCCCTGTTGGAGATTTATATGACTATTGCGAGCACATTGTGGCAGTACGATATGCGCTTGCTGCCGGGTGATCTCACTGGGGCTGGAGGTCAGGGGCAGGGCTGGGGGAAGAGGAATCCAAATACCTTCCATGTTAAGGATAGCTATATCAGTGTTAGGGATGGGCCGATGGTTCAGTTCAAGCGGGTTTCTTGACATGATCACTGGCTGGGATAGGTTGGTCGAGTGATTGTGGGTTCTATTCGAGGTGGTGTTGTGGGTGATGACATGAAAAAGGCAGGACAGGCACTTGCTGTAATTGTACTATAGAAAGTTGAAACCAACTCAATTAAAGAGCTTGGCGCATGATAGAGGGCCTCATGATATATATATCACCATTGAACGGGTACTATATGGTGTACAAAGTCAGAGGGACGCGGTATTTCGAAAGTGAATCGATCGAATCAATCACAATATTGAAGAGGTTTGATCAAGTTGCTTCAATGGCTAGCCACCAGTATGAGGACACAATCTAGAGAAGTCCTCGTTGGTTCATCAAATTTTATTGAGACTAGATGTCCTAAAGCTGCTAACTTGGGTAGATCGTTGATACGGCCGAGTATGGTTTCCGCGGGGAGATGAGGCTCGACGAGGAACAAGGGCATTGCATTGATTTAATGAAATGAATTTATTTGAGTAATCTACACATTACGGTCATGCTCTGATGTCCGATATGTTTCAAATATCCCAATATCCAGATTTATGAAGATTCAATGTTGGACATCGGGCTGGAAGATTGAGATCTCACGTCAACACTGGTGCAGTTCGACATATATTTCAAACGTGGCAACAGCCTCTCGGGCAGTCATCAATTGTTCTCCGACCAGACAGTGAAATCAAAGATGTGGTTATTGTTGGTCATTATAACTGTTATTCAAGAGGACCAGATATTGCTACACAAAATCTTTCATCTTGTCCGTGATGAACAGGCACAGCATACTTCGTTCTGCCTCAGACATCCATAGATGATCATTGCCGTAGCCCTAACTCAAAACCCTAACTGTAACAATCAACTCAAAAGGCCGAGCAGTTCCACCAAATTTTCTTGTAGTAAATCACATAGTCTACTTCAAATTCTCTCTGAAACAACACAATTCATGTCAAAAACTAATCCTCTAAATTTTACATGTTGGTGGGATCAGTTATTTCTCTAGGCGCCAGGGGCTGTCGAAAAATATACCGTTCTACAAATCAAAAATAACTACCGCAAATCAACTCAACCTGGAGTACTGCCATGGGATTTATTACTTGTTTCATGCACAGGCCAGAAATCAGTCTTAATCAGTCTTAATCATCTTGCATACTTTGCCTAGTCGCACCCTACCAGATCCGTCACTGGGTACAGATAGATACCCACATACGTACGTGGTAGAGAGTCTGGGTTCCTATCTAGTCCCAACGATGGAGTAGCTAGATGACTAACGGTACCTATGCATCAATACGACAGTCATGCAGTGTACCAGCCAAGGTTAGCTTGCCTAGGCATGCGCAGTGTGCACTGTGCAGTGGGCATAGTGCAGGCTGGGGTTAGAACGTAGAGTTTAGGTACGGATGGTGGAAAGAATTATCGGCGCATATCTTATGATTAATGATCATGAAGGACCCCTCGTGGAATAAACTGGTCGGCTGGTTTGTCGCTCTCAATGTGTGAAGCCTGAAACCTTAGGCCCACTTTCGGACGGCTATCAGTTGATATTTGATAAGATGATACGTACGGAGTTTATTGTCGAGTGGTGACAAAGTTCGGCGATAAAGCATACAAGTTGCCCCCGTTTCTATAGCAGAGTTTCTATATGGCCGGTTGCTATTGATAATCAATCAACAATCAACAATAAATCCGGCAAATATACCGAGAATCGAACATGTGTACCTGATTGGTCGCTCACAGGCTAAGACAGCCAAGTAAAGCTAGAAAAAGCCAACAGCGTAACGTGGTCATGGCATGACCCCTTGAATTCCAGCACGCTCCCCGCCCTGGGAAGCTACTCGCCAGGGCCAGAGCCTTTGTCTGCAAGCCTGGGTGGGTGTGTTGGGCGAACGAAGAGTGGGTTCAAAGTTCAAGGTCGCCTTGATGCCTCCGCCTCACTTTGAGGTCTGATCACCTTTGCTTTGAGTCTTGACAGTGTCAAGTTGACAGTGGACAGTGCTGGGGTTGATCTGGGAACTGTGCTTGTGATTGGCTGTGGGCGGGCTGCGACGGGATAAGGCCTAAGGCAGCTAAGTTCAGTCTAGCCAATGATAATGCACAGACATGGACCCCACTTTGATTTCCAGCCCTTCCCCGTCTCTCTATCGGGTTAGCATCAAGTTGCCATCAACACGAACTGGGACGGAGACTGGCGGACTATTGTGTACAGAGTAGAGACTAGAAGTATGATTGATATGCAGGCTTCTTGTTTACGCTGTCATCAGCAGGTCGTTTCCGTTCTACCATCCATACGTACTAGTAGAGAATAAATTTGCAGTATGGATCGACATGCAATAGTACAATGTACGTACTATGAGTACGCATTGGATAAATCAAGCCAGCACGGATCATTGGTTCTCCGATAATTGATAATCAATATTGAATCTACTTCCGTATCCCGTGGTAGGACTGATCTTGGGCGGACAGTGACAGCTCGTGCTATCCAGCCCGCCACGGACCAATCAGCGCAGCGTGTTCCGTGCTCGAGTGCATTAATGCCTCAGGCTGATAGGCTCGACGCCCTCTACTGATGCCTTGATGCAGTCGATGCATCATCGACTTTGTGAGCAATCCACTTTTGGGTTTGGGGCCATGTTCGTAGTAAAGTTAGGGAGGACTGCTTACCGCTCTTTTCTCGGAGGTGAATCTTGATTGTTTGAGTCGATGAATGGAGTGTCGTGGAGCAACGGTGTTATTGGATAGATCCGTTTCTCCATAGTCTTGACTAGAACTTTCATTAACTCAACTTTTTACTAAATACGTACTACTATGTAGTAGGGTCAGAGATGGGAGTCAGTCAGGATGCACTCCGTCAAGTCTTGCATATCACTGCATCATGGCCAGAATAGCAGCCAGTCAGAGCCCACCAAATAAAGCACTTGCAGAGTTAGTCTGGCCTTAGGCGCCGTTCTTGGAGCCAACTTCCAAGACTGAGAGTGCCGGGTGGAGCCTTTCGAGAACATTGTCCTACATGCAAGGAGGGCCATCTCGACGTCTGATTGGTGTGTGTGGTTGGCTGTCGGTGTGTTCATCTGCATGATGGAACAAGTTTGTGACGCGGTCAATGCGTCGTGTCAGCGCGATAATTGGCTAGATGTGGCTCTCGGTGGAGCAGGCTGGGCCAATAGATCGCCTCCACGAGGCAGCTTCCACCGAAACGTCGACTCTTCCACGCACCTAACTTGTTGCCACGCCAGACTCCCCATAGTAATCCCGGTACGAGTGCGTGGCTGAAAGACATCGTGTGACCAGATTGGGTTTTACGTCTTTTCTCCTTTTCATGCGGCTGTCCGTTCGCAGTTACAGACTCGCACTATTCCGTGCGTCGCCACTTAGTCTTGTCCCCAACACTAGACGACTCAAAACCAAGAGTACGACTCACAGCCTGCTGCTGCCTGGCTAGGGCTAGCGTGATGAAAAATAAATTTGCCTCCACTCGTCCTCCCGTCAGTTGCCGTAATCGCGACGTCTGTCTGTCTCGAAGAAGTAAAGTGCAGCCAATCTGAATCTCCTGACTCTCAGAGTTTTGCTTTGCCTAGGTAGCTTTGCCTGCCGGACCCAGCCGTGCTAGCCCACCCATTATGCAGTCTTTGGTTGCTGTCTAGTGTTTGTAGTCGCATCCTGGTCTGGACTGCATCGACAGATGGCTGATCATGTCCTGGTGTCGGGTGAGACGAATAAAGCATACATACATACATGCTCCATTCATTCATACATACATAGCATAGCATTAATGCGTAGCACTCCGACATACGGAGCCCTCCGGTCGATGAGCGCACATCACCTACTATAGTATTGCTACCTACAGAATACCCTCTGTGCGGCGACCACCCCTTTTCCTCGAGATGATGATCACTCGTGGCACTGCCAGTATGCGACCAGGACTAGACCCTGGACTAGTCAGTTTAGTTGGTCGGTCTGTGAGTCGATGACTGCACAGACTCACGCCAGTGGATTAAAAATTAAAAACAGAAACGGGGCAGGAAAGGGAATCGCCCCTCTCGTATCCACCGGGCAGTGAGTGCAAGTGGTACGGACAGGCTGAGCGAGGCTAGAGCTGGAGCTACTCGTCGTAGTCGCACTAGTCCAGTTCCCATGAATAATAGTGGCCGCTAGCCCGTGTTAGGAATAGCGCCAGAGTCGACCCCGTCTGCTTGCTTTTTACTGGCCGGCTCATGCTTTTTGCCGCCCTCTATGGTTGTCTGGCTGGGGTTGCTCTTGCCTTCGCTGGTCGTTCTGGCTCCTGCTCTGGTCGCATCGACATCACCATTTCCTCCCGGCGCTCCTTCCTTCCTGCCTACTTTCCCTTTCCAATCGTCGTGGCTCCTTTTTTATTTACATTTCTCACTCCCCCCTCCCTATCCTCACCTTTCTTACTCTACGCCTCCTTCTATCTTCATCGTCTTCTCTCCGCCGCTCCTCTATTCCTATTACCATTCCTAATCACCTCTCTTCTCTTCGTCGCCTTTCCTTTTTTTATATTTATCGGTCCTTMCCCGCCACACACACCTGGTGTTTACTTCCGAGGGATCCCCGACTGCCACTCCTGTTCTGTTCTATATATACCGTCAACCCTGCGCGTCTTATATATATATAAATATCCCGCATATTCATATATATAAGCGTGCATCTCGGATCCTCTGCTGCCATCTGCTCTGGTACTCCGAACTGCTTCGACTGCCGTGGACTTAGCTCCCTCCTTGTTGGCCGTAAGGTTTCTAGTCGGGTCCCAGTAAAGACGATAGCAATATCGTCTTTACCACGATCCTTCTCCCAAACCTGGATTCCTTCTTTTCACTTTGACCTTCTCTCCTTGGACCTCTACCGGCCATTCAGTCTCCTCAGTTTTACGTGCTATACATATCTTCTACTTCGTCCCTTTCCAAGGATTTCTCTCACCCAGGATACTCCCGGATCCAAGGACTTTTGCCAGGACAATTGCATTCCATTGGAGATTGATTCGACAAGATCATTCCATACCAGGACTCGACCCTCCGGCGTAATGTATCCTACTATGCTACCCACACCACCGCCGTCTCCACCACTGCTACGATGCTGTACCCCTGAGGAACGATTAGGACTGCTGCTGGCCAACCGTCTGGAATTGACAAGTATCCTTGGCGTTGGCGCCTATGGCGTCGTTTACACTGCCATCGACATCCACACCCATATTCCCTATGCGGTGAAGGCTCTCAATAAGATTGGACTCGACCCAAGGCAGCGGAAATTCCAGCAACGCGAAATCAAGCTCCACCACTTGGCCAGTCAGCACCCCAATGTTGTCTCCCTCGTGCGCATCATGGATTCTGTTGATTGTACCTTTGTGGTTATCGAATTCTGTCCAGAAGGTGATCTGTTCTCCAACATCACCGAGCGTGGTCTGTTTGTCGGCAATGATCCATTGGCCAAGCGTGCGTTCCTCCAAATCCTGGATGCTGTCGATTATTGCCACTCTATTGGAATTTATCACCGCGACCTGAAGCCCGAGAACATCCTGGTCACCGATGGTGGAATGACCGTCAAGCTTGCTGATTTCGGCCTGGCCACAACCGATTACCTTACCTCGGACTTTGGCTGCGGCTCCACATTTTACATGTCACCTGGTACGTCTTCTATTGCCATCAAATATGATCAGGGCTAACGATCAACAGAGTGTCAACAGACTACCCCTCGACCTGGCTCATGCTACGTCTCACCTGTCAACGATGTATGGAGCCTGGGTGTGATTCTGGTAAATTTGACCTGTGGCCGCAACCCATGGAAACGGGCATCCAATGAGGACGCAACCTTCCGTGCTTTCTTGAAAGACCCGGAGTTTCTACGATCCATCTTGCCTGTGTCTCCGGAGTTGAATGTGATTCTGCAGCGCACCTTTGAATGCGACCCTTTCAAGAGAATCACCATTTCGGAGTTGCGACAGCTCATTCTTGAGTGCCCCAGGTTTACAATGCCTGCTCCGACAACTATCCCTGCTGCTTCCACTAGGAAACCTGGACATCCTGAGGTGTTACCCGGTTATTCCTACTACGCCTACCCACCTGCTCCGCGGGTGGATTTGCTTAACGCACAATATTCTGATTCCGCTGTTTCCGATACCTCCCTCACCGACGACGAGACTATCTCTTCTGTCTCGTCGGACTCGGATTATGCGTCCGAGGGTGAAACCGAAGGCTTCTCTTTTGTCGATCCACAGGCTGTGCCTGAATTCTGGGAACCTGTGCATATTTCGAACGTGCCGGAAAAGCCATTTGCTTTGCCTCAACATATTGAACCTTATATTGCGGTTTATTGATCGATTCATCGCTTTGACATACGTGCTATGATATTACGACTATACCTATACGCATCCTTGCTTCAACCTTGAACCTTTATCGATGTTACTTTTATTCGACCCCTTGGGATTTTTATCTTTCCGAGGACCACCTTTGGATTCTTTGGCCCTCTCTTTGGATGCTCCTTTTCCGCTCCGGACATACATTTTTTCGACTCTTATCTGGCTTCCATAATTTCACGGACATGGCCAGAACTGCAAATATCTTTTTAATTTCGTGTGGGTTTTCATTTCTGCTATGTATCAATATTTTGGGTTGGTTGCACTGTTTGCAAAAGACTACATATTACGAAGATGGAAGGCGTTTGTTTCATATTTGATGCTACATATTCATGTTTTGGTGTGGTTGTGGGAAATTGAGCAGAAAAAAATACCCCTTTACATTGTTGTTGATTATGGAGTTGGGCAAGTACCCGTCTTTTGTGCGAATGGTTCATTTCATGTATGATTCTTTTTCTTTTTACATCTTACTATGCCGGCTCTGTTTGTCAGATGTTCAGAGCGCAGGTCAAATTGGTTACTGGGTTGTCATTGCCACCGTCAAGTAGGCGACGCATACCAGTGATCGAAGAGCATACGATATCACATTGCTTAATGTACATATAGACTATCTATGATATACTATCAATATCTGAAACCAACTAAACTTGACACTCCACCTTTCCATATGGTTCCGTATGACTCCGGTCGATGATGTAAGTATACTTCCTGTTTTAGTTAGTTTTACATCATTCGTGATATAAGTGGCAATTATGAGTACTTGTATCGCCCCATCGCTAGGTTTGACAACCTTCAGGGTGGTAAATCCTTGAAGACGATGTGAGATTCTGTTAAGTAGCGCAGCCTGCGACATGCCTACCCTTCTTAAGTGCATATGGTGTCTCAATGTTTGTTGTATAGTATCTACATCGATATCAAATAAAACGGCGGTAGCGACAATAGATTATCGAATATTTATATACTTCCAAATCATATTCCTACCTCTCTAAATAATAGATCTTGACAAGCTGTATACAGACTGGGATAGACTAGATATTCCTGCCCCCAGTAACCTCAATAGTCTCCCCATTAACATACGAAAACCATGGACTCGCCGCACCCACAATCGCCCTCGCCGCCTCCTCCGGCGTCCCCGGCCTTCGCAACGGAATATCCGTATAAGCCGTCGCCCCCGTCCCTTGCGCTGCCGCAGGTTTGCGTCCCGGTATCCCCAGAGCCACCTTCGTGCCGTCCGCGGCCACGAATGTTGCGCCGTCTTCTTTTGCGGCTGTCAAGCGTGTAAGGATGTAGCCGAAGGCGATTGTGACGGCGCGCACACCGAATTGAGGGCCCCATTCTTTGGCGATTGTTTTTGTGAGACCGACCACGCCAGCTTTGGCGAGGGAGTAGTTTGCTTGACCTCTGCGAGAAGTCAGTGTCAAAAGTTGCATATGGGTTGAATGAGGGAAAAAAAAAGGGGGGGGGGGGGATTTACGCGTTGCCGTGTGTGCCACTTGTAGAGCTAATGTTGATAATGACGCGAGGCTCCTTGTCCTTTACGCGGAAATAGGGCGCGGCAGCGCGGATGAGTTTGAATGGTGCTGTGTTGTGGACGGAGATCATGGTATCCCATTGTTTATCAGTGATCTATCCTTTATAAGTTCTGGCTGCTTCTGACAGATTGCTAGATCAAGGGGGAGGTGGAAGGGGGCGGACCTTGTGAATAACGCCATCCCAGGTAAATCCAGCATTGTTGACAATGATATGAATCTTGCCGCCGCCGAATTCTGCGGATTTCTTGACGAGAGTGTCGATGTAAGCTGCGTCCATGACATCGCCTGCAACGGCGATTGCGCGGTTGGGTGAGATGTCGTTGATGCTTTTGGTGACTGCTTCTGCTTTTACTATCCTATTTCATTAATTTCGCACAATCTAAGAAGGAAGACAATAAGTGGAAAATACCCTGATCGATATCAGCGACTACGACCTTGGCACCTTCATTGGCAAAAAGGCGTGCTGCTTCAGCGCCAATGCCTTGTCCTGCGCCGGTAACGATGGCGGTTTGGTTGTGGAAGAGTCCCTGGGGGAAGTTGAGGTGGGAGGAGACTTGGCTAAGGCGGTCTTGGGGCGCCATTTTCTATTCAACCTTTGTGAGATATAACGGTGTCTTGATTAAAGGTTGATTGAAGGTAATGGAGGGTATGGTGTGGATTTATAACATTGACTAGAGCAAAGATGTTTTGCGGGGAAGAGTACTTAAGTCAGAGCTTAGTTGTTAGTATCCGAGATGCCGGCCGCAAGCCGCTGGCCGGAGCTTGCCCTAAGTGGTTAACCGAGGCATGTCTACAAGGTCTTACTGATCAATTTTGGAAGAGGAACAAGTAGTTTGTTTTGATGATTTTTGTATTTGTTTTGAAGTGTGAATAAGAAATGTCTATGTCTATATACATGGGTATCTAATTGTATGCTTTTGTTTTGTGTTTTTTGTTTGAAGATTGATGTTTTGGATCTTCGTCGACATTGTCGAGCTTGCCGCTTAGGATGAAGGTCCAATGTTTAGGTTCATCTGGGTACCAGAAGGGCAGCCGTGGGTAGCATGGTCATCGTTCCAGACAAGGTAAGCATCGGCGCAGGCAGTGTCGCCAGGAGCGCAGGTAGCAGAGGGGCATCCGCCGTCGTTGGAAGTGACAGCAAAGCCGACCTTGGTGAACTGAGAGTTGGTGCCCATGTCGATGAGAGAAAGATCCCAGAAGATAGTGTCGCCCTGCAAGGTGTACTCGTATTGGAGGACATCGACCTGCTCAGGCTTCATGGCCATCTTGATGGAGATACCGCCGCCGTCGGGGTTGGTGCGCCAGCTCTCAGTGTAGCTAGCACCAGGGTCGAGAGTCTTCATGGAGCCGGCATCCTGGCTGACGGACCAGTAGTAGATGGTGTCTTGCATGTTGTTGTGGATGTTGACGCTGCCACCGCTGCCACCGCTGGTGTTGGCAGTGCCCTGGGTGGAGGTGCTGTTGGTGCTGTTGGTGCTGTTCATAGAAGTAGGAGCAGCAGAGGCAAGAGTGCCAAAGGCAGCAAGGAGACCGAATGCCTTGGTGAAATACATGTTGACTTGAGGTGTTGTTTGAAAGAAAGTCTGAAAGAATATAATGTTGGAAGACTTGTTTGTCTTTGAAGGAATGAAAGAGGAAAAGATTGTTGTTCTTATATCTCTTCTTGTCTGTAGAGAGATACTGTAGTCTGTTGATCAAAGGAGTGTTTGATTCTTGATTGTTTGTCTGATTGATGAGAACGAAGATGGACTGTAGGGTGCGATTTCCATCCATATTTATAATTTTTTGGATCATCGTGCTCCCCCAGCAATTTCCCCAGATTACCCCAGAATTCAACCGACGTTTCCCCTTGGGACCTTGTGTCCTGTGCCTGAGCGTTGATTCGGGTCGAAGAATGACCTGGCCATGGTACGGTGAAGGCATATTCGGTTCCTCACCGGCCATGTCTTTGTACCGGAACTTGGTTCTTGACATCGATTGGTCCAGGGCAAGGGTAATGTCAACATACCTTTATTACCCAGCTTGATTGTTTATCCGAACTATGGTTTGGGCTTTTGTGACTCGGGTACCTAGTTTTCTCCATGGGTAATCTGGGGAGCTTATGTGTTCAGTGGCGTCTGCAAAATTTGATAGGCCATCGGCAGAAAGCCTCGTGTGTGCCACTGGGTATTTGACGTGGCGGCAGTACTTCGGAAACCAGAGTTTACCCAATGATCTTCCGTAGGGTGGTTGCCAATGAGCTCAAAGGTGTGACCTTCATCCTGAATATACTCAAGTATTGAGAGCTGTCATAGTCGTGGAATAGAAGGGAATCGAAGGGAGGTATTGCTTTGAGTCAACATTGAATTTTAGGGTTAAGTGGTTGTAAAGTAATATGGTATTTTTGTATTAATGTATATTCACAAGTAAATTCAATAGCAATCCGTCAATCAATCAATCACAAAGCTAAAATTCATTAATCTATCTATTTATATCTACTATTATACAAGTCGTGGACATCACTGAGGAATCAAGACGGCCCGGAAGTGCACATTGCCGTTCTCCAGCTTCTCAATGGCCTCTTTGATTCCCTCTTCGGTCATGGGGAACTTCTCAATCACCGGGGTGATGTTGTGGAAAGAGGCAAATTCGAGCATCTGGAGTTGGGTGGCTCGGGTTGCAACCAGAGAGCCGACAACGGAGATACCATTAAGAATCAATCCCATAGCTGGAATGGAGAGATTGTCGCCAGACACAGTGAGAGGGTAAATTCGAGAGCCGGGTGCCATGATAGGGATGATTGCATCCCAGTTGGGCTGCGTTGCTGCAGTGACGAGCAATCTTGAAATCTTTGGTGCGCCCTTGAGGTCAAGTTGATCCTGTCCTTTCGTGGCGATGAAGTGGTGTGCGCCGAGTTCAAAGGCTTCATCCTTCTTCCTGTCTGATCCTGAGAGAACGACAACCCGGGCGCCCATTTGCGATGCGAATCGAATAGCGAGATGACCAAGACCGCCGACACCCAGAACACCCACCACTTCGTTAGGCTTCAAGTCCGAAAGGGCTGTGTAGACGGTGGCACCACCACATTGCAGAGGCGCGGCATCCTCATCCTTGATATTGTCGGGAATCTTGAACAAGAAAGCCTCGCGGAGAACGGCATTGTGTGCGAAACTACCTTGGTCGGTGTTGCCGCTGCCGTAAAGAACGCGCTGTTCGCAAAAGACTTCTGTTCCCTGGAGACATTGCATGCAGAGGCCGCAGCTATCTGTTTCGTATCCCCAGCCGACTCGGTCACCCTTTTTCAAATGCTTGACTGCTGGTCCGACTTCCTCGACGATACCGATACCTTCATGTCCGAGGACTATATCGCTGTGTCGCTGTATTGGGTTAGACTTGTGATTTAGACTAGGGCTATTGAGTATTGAGTGCTTACATAGTGGAGATCGGTTCCACAAACACCAGATGCGGTCACTTTGAGGTAGACCTTGTCGCCAGTGAGTGAATCCGGTTTGGCTGTGGTACTCTTCTTGGGGAAGCCATCCTTGACACCCTTGAAGACGGTGAATGAAGACATTGCGTTTGTGAGAGTCGAAGTGTGATTTCTGTGGTTCTCCGTGTTCAACAAGTGCGTGCGACGCTAGATAGATGGCTTATTGTTGGAGTGTTGCTGCTGTGACAAGGCGAGGATGACAGCGGAGGTCGCGGCGACTTATATAGTTTATCCCGAGCGAGGCCATGGCTGAGAAGTCGTTGCAACAGTAGGGTACGTAGTAGGAGAGTGTCGATTTCATGGATCGGATGAATCAATTACGTAGCTCCTTTGTGCATCTGAATATGTGGCGCCATTGCCCAATAGGAGTGACTCCTGGTCTCCACTCTGAAAATCATTCAAGCCCGGAGTTTGAGCTTTTTTCCTCGTTCTTCCGCCTCGTCTCTATTTGTGTCGAAGAATTGCTAGAAGAACACTGTGGATTAACGCACTGAGTGGATCTTCTTACTAAATATCAGGGACAGTTGTGATTACCAAGCATGATGTATCGGTTCTTGTTGACGATGAAGGATTGCAGCTTGATAATCACGATAAGCCGAMAAGCCGATAAGATAACAGGGTCCGGCTCGTTGGCCTTGGCAATCAGGCCTCCACAAGATGATGGCAAATAGTCCCATGTCCTTCCTTCCTGGGCTTCTTCTCCCACCTTCAAACCGACAATACGATACAAACCGACAGTGCTGCGTACAGTGAACGTGCAATCCAAATGAAGCATTCATCGGAGCATCTTTCGCGACTCCAGACTCCGCTACGGTCGCGTCAAAAACGCAACCAGGTCGCCAGAGCATGCGATGAGTGCCGTCTCCGCCGGGTAAAATGCGACAGCTTCTCTCCATGCTCCAATTGCAAAACCAGGGGCAGCAAATGCACCAATAATGCCAACAAGATCATATCCCTGCCACATGCACACCAAGAAATCGATAACCTTAGAAGCCGAGTTGAAGACCTGCAGCGCGAACTGCAGCAACTGCGCCAACAGACCGATAAACAATCCCAAATCCCGTCCCCGGTGACAAGTGTACCCACGCCGGAGCTTTCTGTTTCTGAAAGCATCCACTCTAACAACGATGGAGTCTCACGAGGAACAAACTGGAGTGGTATTCACTTTAGGACTGCCCGCTCGCCCAACGAGACATGGTATGGTCCATCGTCGCTCTTCTATTTCATGGGGCGCATCACGAATTTTCTGAACCTTAATCTCGATCAAGCCCAGTCGAAAGATCAGATGGTGCCCGACTCCGTCAGTAGGCAACTATCTGGCCCCTTGACTGGTTTCGAAAATCGATTAAGAAACGGAATCGAAGACGGCCATTACCTGACTCCAACCCAAGAGGACTACTTTCTAGAATCATATTGGAGCTCTTACCATACTTCTCTGTTTCCAATCATCGACGAAAACGAGTTCAAGCAACACTATCGAACATTGTGGACGACCGATGGAAATGCGCGAAAAGACTCGGCTCTCGTTGATATTGTGATTGCACTGGGCATGCAGTACGGCATGTCAATCCTCCCGAATATGAAACACCAACTAGCAGATGACTTCGATGCCACTATTGCCGGTCGATGGTACTATCGACGATGTCAGACATTACTCGCCTACGAAGTGGAAAGTCCTACTTTGGCGACCTTGCAGTGCCATCTGTTATGTTCGGTATTTCTATGTTCGGCTTCTTTTCAGAACACCTCGGACAGTACGTGTGCTATGGCTATGCGTACAGCTCACATGCTTGGACTCCACCTGTCCCCTCCCCAAAGCATGCCCCGCAAGGAACGAGAAGTGCGTAAGCGTTTATGGTGGGCGCTGTACAATTTAGATAGCAAACTTGGAATGAAGCTGGGTCGACCGTTTCTGCTCTACCAAACCAGTACCACGCCTACTTTGCCAGATGATGACATTGAAGCTGCGATGCTTTCCGGTTCTAGCTTTGCGCCTCTGGGAAACAACGCTACTTGGCTAAGTTTCAACCTACAAAACATGACCATGTTTCTTGCAGCTAGGGACGCCCATACTGCATTCTATAACAGAGATCTGAACCTAAAGGAAGGCCAGACTCTATGGGATGACTTTAATAATCTGGAAGGCCAAGCTGTATCTGTCTATCCGTTTGTGAAAAAGCTCGAGAATTGGACGAACGGCGTCCCCAGCCCCCTCATGACAAAGCGCAAGGATGGCAGCAGCCCATTTTCCACGGGCGGCACAGAACTGGAAATCGAACAATACGCGCCCCTGTGGCTTCAAAGGCAGCGGGTAGTTCTTGAGCTAATGTACCACAATCTGAGTGCCAATGTCTGTCGTCCTTTTATTTCATTCTCGCTCACTCCTCCATTGACCGTCGCGGAAGAATTGGCGTTCAAATGCGCTGGTCATGCCATAGCTCTGACAAGCATCACGCATCAAGTTCTCGCTTCGACGACTATCTTGTCCGGTTGGCACGAGGCATTCCAATGGCAGTGGAATAGTGCCATGACTCTCGTCGGCTTTGTGCTCGCTTACCCGCAAAGCTCAATGACAGTTGCAGCCAGAGATGCTATCTCATTATCAGTTTCTGTTTTCGACATTTTCGGACACAGCTTTGCAGTAGCTAATAGCGCAGCCACCATTGTGCGGAATCTGATCACGAAGATAGACTTCCTTGCCAAACGCGCCTGGCAAAGACAGTCTGTAGTGGAAGGTCACGGAAGAACAAGCGATCAAGCTCCGGTTTATTCAAACACCACGTACTCAAAACCTAGGACAGATATGGATGATAACATGTTTCAGCCGTCAGACGGCATCCTAGACTTTGGGGACATGAACCTCGAGTCGATGCAAGATATGTTTCATATGGCTTTCGATATCGATCAGTGGAGTGACCTCAATGGCTTATGGTCCCAGACAAGCAAAGTTTAGAAGTCATTCCGGCCGAAAACCTGAATCAACACCATAATGCTGGAAAGTATATCGCCAGTCTCAATTGGGGAAAGTCGCCGCTTAATGATGATCGATCGGTGATAGCCAATAGGAGATGGACCGCATAATCCACTTTTGCCACAACCAATAGGAGTAGCTCCTTTATCAGATCGTCCAATAGGAGCTTGTCCTTTGATCTATATCATGGAGCTTCAAATTCTTCAACGCTTTACGGAGTACTTATTTTACTATGAGTAATCCTAGCCGTGATAACCCGTTATCATGAAATCTCATTGCGCACTCATTTCGGACCAGCCCATTCATTACAGCACACTCATTCGCCTGTCATATCGATACATATCCGCCACATCCGCACGTGAGTGTACGACATCCCTATACTTCTGAAACAGGCGCAATGGTTTCGCACTCAAAATATTTGCATCTACTGCGAAGATGCTCTTTCTGAAATCTGGGTAGAATGTCTTCCAGAATGTTCCTGCTGCTCCATGTCATCATACAGATCAAACTTTCGAACTTTAACTTTATTTCGTCCGATGTCTCCGTGCTATAATTAGTAGTATTTGTATGGAAGCCGAATTGAAGCCACGATGAGGTTCATTGTTCTTTTAACTCTTGGTTATTACATCATTATTGTGCTGAGACAGATAAAAACCCCGATCTTATACTCAAGTCCGCGATAGACTGTTTCAACCAACCACATTCGCAGGAAAATACGAGGAACGTGAAACAATGAACGTAATCATAAGTCGGTCATAAGTCGGACACAACTCACGGTGCCAGTGTAACCTGCCAAACACATGACCATAATACCTAAGTTGTCAAGAAAAAACTGTCTTGTACGTGATACAAAATGTCGTACAGACATTCGGGAAATTCAATCCCAAGGCCCCCGGTCCGGGAAAATGCAGTTGATGCATCATCGCCACTGTACTGAAGCCAAACAACTGGTTGAAATGTTGAGAGAAGTTGGAACCGACGAGTAGAGGTGGTGACACAGAGTCGTACACGTTGATGTTGGATATCCGGACACCCGGTACTGATAGATTCCAGTCATGTCTACTTGGGAAAGTTCATCTGCATTTTGTTTTTGGTGTTCATATGACAGCGCATAAAATATTACACAAGGTATATCTAGAGTAATGATTTCGACTTCAACCGAGACATTCGAATCGTGTTACGAAGATCTCAAGGCATGCAATTGTAGCTTAGAAAGTACCGTAGCACAGGACTTCTTATTCAGCACACGATGCAGGCATAATTCAGATTGGATATCATGATAGCGGATAACATGGCTGACTGATTTCGGTACAGCCCTGAGCCGAGCCTCGAGGGTACCAGACGAGTGGACTTGGCTCATACATATGGTGGCTTGTCACTAGCCGTGAATATTACTGATTAGGGCTAACGATGTACCATATGCAATTCAAGTATTCCTAACGAGTTACATGATTCGTCACTTTAAAGATTCAAAACCTCATAATTGCATTATTAAGATTAGGGTAAATTGCTACCTAGGCAGGTGGATTAACAGGGTAAGGGGCCAAAACGCAAGGCTGATCTAATCGTACATGAATGAATGAATGAATGAGTAAATGACACGAACCCGAAATTATCTATCCGACAACTCCACTTAAAAACCAAGAAATATTAGTTACAGGTCCAAATGTTTGCGTTTGTGTACATAGCAAGGCGTCAGGGTAGGGTATCAGGGTAAACTCGGTGTAAATTTGCCCAGGTTTCATACGTGTCAAGGAAGTCCAATCACGTCGTACGAGGCGAACCTTGGTGTATGCTCCGGGTGCGGCTGTTGTGGAAACCCCTCCATTGTCGTTGCCGGTTGGTACGATGTCACGCCTCCTCCGCACTGATTCGTTGCTGTGTCAGACATGCCAATGGGCCAGGAAGCTGGGTGGTGTGCCTGTGCAGTGGCGGCGGCAGTGTTGTGGGCGACGACTGCTTGCAGATTGCCAATCAAAATATTGTAGCGATGGATGGCCTGAAGCAGGAAGTTGATCTTATTCGAAGATAGAGCATTGTTGGATTTCGCCTTGCCTTTCTTGAGGGCCGAGCATTCGGTGGTGTGTAGCTGCTCGTGTTTGACCATGAAGTCCCGTGCTGGTGTCTCCATTGAGGCTGGCGACGGGTATCCGGATGATGAGGATGAGGATGATGACGACGACAAACCATGGTTGTGCATGCTGATGTTTCCGAGGACGCCGCCACTGATCCCAAGTTCGGTGTCAATTGCGTCCCTCAACGCACGAACAATCTGGTGTGACGTCGTAATGCTCTGCTCGAGTATGCAATCTTGAAGTGCAAGTGCATAGTTGTATGGCATGGCATGGTACTGTTGTTGCTGGTGCCCAGACCCAAACCCGTGATCATTCCTATTGGCTCGATAGAGGACAAGATGATTGAGAATGTCAAAACTCCGATCAAGTACGGAAATGAGGAGCCATGAGCTTCCACCACTAATCTTTGGGCACACGACACAGCTGAGGAAGATATGGCACGATGACAGACAGGCCGTGACGAGTTCCATCGTTGGGTCGAAACGCCACAGGGTAAGGTCAGACTCGAGAGTAGATAGCTGTCGTTGGCTCGCCTCCAGTCTATCGACGCAGTTACACGGACCGGCTACTGTTGACGAATTCGACTGTAGGCCGAACCCCGTACACGGCTCTTCACTTGGTGAAGGTAAATATGGCACCATGGCAGGTGAGGCAACATGTGCGTACGTAGTCTCGAGATGACCGTAGAACACCATGTCTGTCAATGGCAACCCAATTTCACACACGCGTGGCTCTGCAGGAGATGTAGGTGATGTATACACGGGGAACATGGGACTGGCAAAGGCATATTTGCGAGCCATTGGATGAGAAGCGTTTCTCATGTGCAGCTGTGCAGGATGAATGAAATTGTATCTTGCTCTGATATCGTGTGTTGACTAGTATATCGTTAGTATATTTTGAACTTAACCTCAGTATAGAGAGGCACTTACGATACTCTTTCTCCGCTTCCTCTGAGAAATCTCAGCATCCGTCAAAGGCCTCAAAATTTTCCTTGTAGACGCGCCTGTTCCCCCCAATGCAAGCTTCCCTTGTTGAGCCGCCTGAAGAGTCTCCAGTTTCTTCAATGTAGCCTTGTTCTTGCTACCCTTTGGCTTACCTGCTCGATGAGCAATGCTGTATCGACATTTGTAGTCATGCTTCTTGCAACGAACGCAAACACCGCCACCTGAACAGCGGACCTTGGATTGACGACACGCGTCGCAGGCGGCGCGATACCGCGGTTTGCCTGTCTCGTCTATTGACTGCATCGAATCTTGTCTATTGCTGAACCTGCTCAAGTCCGCGATCAACGACCAATCTATCCGGCAGCACCGAAAATCTTGATATCCGTCGAATTGACAATCAAGACACCCGGAAGAAGAGAGACGTAGATATGTAAGGAAACAAAAGAGAACAACAGAATCACCAAGGTAGATAAACAATCCAGATACCCAATGACGACTCAAGCTATGGAATTGCCCGTCAACCCTACGGAGCCCGAAATGTGCTCAAGTATCTGATTCGAGCGCCGCCAAATCTGGAAATCCAATACTTTTTTTCTTGTTCTAGCTCCGATTTTTGCGAGTAAGCTTTTCACTTGGAACCAGGGGTAAAGAACTAGGACGACTTATTTTACGAGACGTACCTAGAAACTAGACCCATTCATGTATACAGTATATAGATGGATGGATCTATCCGCCAAAAGAGTAAGGACGTGGGTGTATGGCATACATGCACCAACAACAAACGGGAACCGTTCTAGCCTAAACGTCTTTAGGCTGTTGAAAATCAAATGCTAATTGAGTCTTTCTCTTTATTGTGGAAGCTTTGCTTTTCTGGGAAATGGTGCTCAAAGGCCAGTCAGTGATATGCATTAGCTCGGTCGTTGATCTTCGTGATGGCTTTTGGCTAGTGGGGACAAAGAATTAGGGTTTGCGATTCGTTTCAGCAGGCGCTGTCAATCATGAATATATTAACGGAAGGATTTAAAGTGTTAGCTCACTATGACTGTGACTGTCTTTTTGAAACACAATTAATCATCGCTCGCAAGACAAAAATAGACCGGCAAATAGAAGGGATGTGGCGCATGCCATGAGTTTACGAGGCCAATCTATGTACGTATGGATGCATGTCAAAGAAGTCTGGGCGGAGTCAACCAGTTTCCGGAACTGACTGGGAAATGGGAAAATCCAACAGGCTAGCTTCTCTGTTGACGGGAAAGAGCGATCAGTTTTCTTTTTCATTTCCTTTGTTCCAGTCATGTTGCTCCGTCTCTTAAACTTCTGAACCACGTCCCCAAGGCTGTGGTAAGCAGTACCGGGTGCAACGCTGTATCGAGAACCCCGAAAGCTCCCTTGGGTGGATCTAATGCTTAGGGGGAATCAAATCTCATTACTCGCATAAGTTCTTCCCGCGTTGTTGCTTACTTGCTCATGTACGACATAAAGATTCGAGTAACGTCCCCGATTGGCAGGGGGCGCTGAAAATCACGAGACCAACTGATGTTCTCTGAGTGGTTGAAGTATGGGAGTTGGGACTGTCTGGCAGACGTTTACCAGATTGGGGCTGGTTTTTTGGGCGTCATATCAACAAAGAAGGAAACCGAAGACATTCAGACTTCCACGCAAGTCAAAAGAGGAAGGGAGATCTCGATTACAGTTTTAAATGCAGAGTACCAGTGTGTAGCTATACTACTAACAATTCTGACATGAGAGCTGTCGGATTGCACGGAATAAAGATATCATTGCAGGAGAAGTAGATCTATATATGCACATAACTAAAGACATATTTCAGCCAAGCCGCTGTGTCGGTAGTCAAACGCTCGAAGAAGACCTGTCAGATGCGAGACTGCAGCACACACCACTAGAACATGGAATATCTGGTGGGAGCTGCCAAAGATATTGAAACGACCTGGCCGCAGTCTCTCTGGCACACGAGCTGCATAGATGGTGGCACCAACTATATACAGAAACCCTTGAAGAAGTAGCCAATAGAGCCCAATCTGATCTGTCATCTGCTCCGGGCCGTACAACCATAATCCGTGAATCACTGGAAAAATGGCAGACAAACCCATCGAGACGAACATCCCGGCTCGAAAAGCGCGCCATTCTGGGGTCCGAAATTTAGGCGACAGACACACAAAAATGCATCCAAGGCCTATTGTGCAAATCATGGTCCAGTAGATGAGCTGCAAACTGGGCGCACAATAGAAGCCGTAGTAGACACTGGGAATGAAACTGCCGGTAATGAGACCAACGATACCCACGTAATCCAGGGCGTTGCCAATACGAGCCACGGAAGGTGAATGATTTGATATAGTGTGATAAGTTGCAGACATCCCCAAACAAAATGTGGCACCGACAAAGAAACAGGCAAAGGCGGATATATCAGCCTGAGTCGCCGATTGGTAGCGAGGCGCTAGCACTTGATACAGGCGGATACCCGCTGGTAAGGCCACCAATGCAGGTAACAGATGCGAGTATATATTCACGGTTTCGTTGTGGAGGTATGTCAGTGAGTGGAATGATACAAGAAACGAGGAGGATGCTGGCCGATAGCCGTCGTGGATGTAGTGGTTGTCCTGTAGCCAGGGTGGAAGCTCGTCCCAATGAAGTAATTTCCGAATTGCTTTTGCAGGATGTTTGACAACCATTTCTGGAGTGATGTTCTCATTGGCGGGTCTCTTGTTGTCATTGCTCGATTCGTGTTTACGAGTCGAAGCCCGCAAACGAGGATCAGACATGGTGCTGGTCTGAATGGAAAGAGTCAACGAGACTAGAAATAAAGGGGAACAAAGAAACTACAAGACACCGCCGTATACAACACGAAGGCGATGTTACTGTGACATGAGAAAGAGGATTGCAACTCGATGGCGGGTCGAAACCCCTCTCTATTCAAACAGGCGGGACTCTTTATGGTAGTTATCTACAACAGGTTCTAAAGAAATGGCGAAGCCTTCAGAAATGTTGGGATGCTTCATTGAAGACACCATTCCTTTTTGGGACTAGACCCGGAAGCAGGAGATATATCACATGTCAGGCACGTGATAGATCGAGTCAAACAAGACAAACATGCGGGTCAAGTGCTTGAGTCGTCCTAATGGCAAGGAAGGCAAGCACCACGCCAAAGAATCCGAATGAAACAGTTCGACTTCAGCTATCGACAAACAAAGCCTCCAATAGATGCAATGCAAAACATATCATTCATGTCGTGAGCTACTAGTCAGTCCAATATGAGCTATCGAGGTCGAAATCCTCCCTTCAGGAGACCGGATACTGGCACGAGCATTAGAAACAATACCGCCGGGAGTCGATTGCGGCCCGTTTCCGACCCTCTTGAAGCTGTTGGTTTCCCGTCAAAGGGCGACAAGACGTATGTCCTCATCCTCATGGCAGCTTCCCTTGTGCAATAGAGGCAATAGCCGATCGACAGGCTAATGCTTTCTGCCCCAGGCTATTAGACCACAAGGCTCAGAGAACATACTACGACATCGTCGTTGATCGGTACATGCGATTCTGTTCTAGCCACTCGCAGGATCTAGAAGCAGCATGGGCATCTCTACCTGCCAGCGCGTCTGCAGATGCAACCAAAAATCCCCCATCGAATCTTCCCGCCCTTCCGATTGGCACACCGTCTACCAAACCCGCTTCTCGAGATGACTCCGCAGAAGACCTTGTTGCGAAGACAGAAAGCCTGAGCCTATCAACAATCAAGACTGCTGAGAGACAACGCCCGCCGGCAGCTGAATTATCCACATTGCTGATGTCACTACGCAAACTCCGCGAGGGGATCTTGGCAACGTCATTTATGACTCCCATAGACTTTCAACAGCAGGTATATATCTTCTCCATCCGATTCTCGATACTAGCGCGCCACCCACCCTCGTACTTTTCTTCGTTGCGTTATCTGGTGGACAGCTTGCACACAGTTTCTCATCCGCTCACGCCACATGTCTTGGCCGAGTTCACATCCTACCTTATCCTGGACTATGCGTGCCGGCAAAACTCGCTTGCTCCCGCCTATACATTATTGATCCAGGCCAAGGAGAAATATGGCTTTAAATCTTGCGTAGTGGACCGAGTCCTTCATGCGCTCACTCATGACAACTGGATAGCATTCTGGCGGATTGCAAAAGAGGTAGACGGCTATGTACGAGCAATCATGGGCTGGGCAACAGACCACATGACAAAACAGGCACTCAAGGCTGCTGGGCGAACATACCTGAGTGTGAACGTGAGTTGGCTGCTGCGAACATCCACTGGCGAAGAAGGCTGGACTTGGCAGAGGCTGGCAGAAAAGGAAAAGCTAGGGTGGCAGCTTGAGGGCGATTCGGTCGTTATACGGAAGCCTAAGGTGAAAACCTGAAACGTTATTGCCTATGTGCTAGACATCGATCGGGCCAACTATCGATCCTTCGCATTGCATCGTTGCAATGCCAGCCAGCTATGCCTTACTCGTATAATACGGCTTGTCGTAATCTGGTAGTGTATGACAGGGGGKATCCCTTCGGGTATTTCAGGAGCATAGCAATCATTCAGGCTATTATTAGAATTGGCATATCTGCATCACAACTTGAAATCTGCATTGGCGCGATCGAGATTCATATCTCCATTGTGGGTCTGCTGGGAAACCATCTGCCCTAAGCCCAATTTGCGGTTCTGCGGGTTGTCGCAGCACAACTCGTAGATAGTCGCTAGATTGAAAGTGAGACTCTGAAAACCATGGTTCTCAGAGACGAGTGACTCTAGAAGAGAGCGAGACTGCAATATACCAAAATTGGGTTGAAAGTCAGTGGTCTGCAATAAAGTTACGAATAAAAAATGAACTAACCTCGTTCAATTGACCGGTATATAACAAGCAAACAGCAAGATTTTGCACAATCATTGGCCTGTCTAACTGTGCGGGATTCTCAAGTAAAGCCTTCCACTGTACAGTCGCCTCGTCGTAAAAGCCTTCAGCCATTGTTGTCAAAGGTTTCAAAATCCCATCTTGTAGCACTGTAGACTTCTCCAGTATGTCTTTGGCAAGGGCAAGATCCCCAATCCGCAGAGCTAGGAGAATAGATCTTGCTTGATTATCAACATTCCTAGAATCTCCCAAGTTGCTCAGTGAACGTCGGGCTGCGTCTAGATCGCCCATTTCGACAAGGGCATTAACAGTGCGTACTCCAAGATCGTAGAGCCGATCCCGCCATGTTTGTTTTTGTGTCTTGTCTAGACCTGGCTGCATGAGTTCTCTGCGAGCCTCGAAACCGAGCTCATATAAACCCGTAATACTCCTGCGTGAGTCACCGAACGCAATACTCTGAAGACGAACCGCAAGAACACGCAAGGGCCATGGAACGATATGATAAGACCGCCTGGCGCGATCGTGGACGTCGCTGTCGACTTTAAAATCGGCATCAACATAATAAAATGTCGAGTTGAGATCTTCCAAAGCTTTCGACTCTTGCGCGGCAAATGCGCTATTGCCCGTTAATTCTAGACAGGCCAAGCGAGTATATAGCAGTGTGAATATAATATTTGCATCCGAAGAGTGAACGAGTGGAGATGTCAATAACTTTGCGCTCAGATGCGCCGCTAGAAGAAAGTGCCCCTGTGCAAGCTGTTTGTTGAGAATTTCCATAGAAGCTCCGATCGTCTCTCCTATGGAAGGGTTATAGAAGGAGGAACGAAACATCGGCGGGATCTCGAGTTGGGAGAGAGGATGGTATATTTCCGGACGTAGCAGAAATGAAAAGTCCTTTGTGACGACTGTGGAGAGCTCATAATTTGCGAGTATACTGTCGAGTTCAACTTTCAATGGGCTGAGATCTAGGGGATTCGAAGGGGAGAAGGAGCCGGCGTCATGCGAGAAGCGGGCATGTTGCGACTGGGACTTTTGAGGGGACCGAGGAGATGATAATAGATCTTCTGATGATACGGTGTCACTATTTCATTTAGCAAAGATCGATTTGAAGCATATATCAAGACGCACTCGTCAGATAAGTCTAATGGCCCTTTGGTTGACGCACGCGGCCGTGTTGCTATTAGAGGCATGTTAGTATGCGTAATTGCGATAACGATATCGCTGCATTGTGTGGTCTTCTTACTCCTTGATGTATTATGCTGATGCTTCTGACTCTGGGAGCTTGCCATTTTGATGGCGCTGTTACATATCAAATGAAGGTGTTCATGAGTTGAATTGGATGTAGCTCAAGGTCTGAGTGGAGAACGAAGCTCAAGCTAAACAAATCTCCGGAGTGGAGCTTATTTTGCCTGGCGGTGTGGCATTACTCCTGTTTAGATGTTGCGAGTTGGCCTTCGTCGCAACCACCTTATTCGACTGCTCTTTCTTGATTCAGTACGCTTCTTACATTCTTTTCTCCTACTCACTTTTATCGAAGCGACTATCTTGGGGAATTTAGTAAACAAGCAGTCGATCCGCGCAGTCAGTCACAATGGCGAAACAGAACAAATACTCCGTGATCCTTCCCACCTACAATGAACGGAAGAACCTACCCATTATTTGCTGGCTTATTGAAAAAACATTCCGCGAACAGTGAGCAATGCACGCTATGAGTTACTTATGAATCACTTGCTTACTGTCGTAATTAGAAATCTCGACTGGGAAGTCATCATCGTCGACGACGGATCCCCCGATGGCACCCAAGAAGTCGCAAAACAACTCCAGAAAGTATGGGGCACCAACCGCATCATCCTCAAGCCTCGGGCTGGCAAACTCGGTCTCGGAACAGCCTACGTTCACGGTCTTCAATTCGCAACTGGAAATTATGTGATCATCATGGACGCCGATTTCAGTCACCACCCCAAATACATCCCCAAGATGATTGAGATTCAAAAAGAAAGCAATGCGGATATTGTGACCGGTACGAGATATGCTAAGCGCGGCGATCTGAAAGGCGGTGTGTATGGATGGGATTTGATTCGGAAATTTACATCTCGAGGCGCCAATCTTATTGCGGATGTCATGTTGATGCCCGGCGTTAGCGACTTGACTGGCAGTTTCCGGTTGTATAAGAAGAGTGTTTTGGAGAAGGTCATAACGAGCACGGAAAGCAAAGGATATTCTTTCCAGATGGAGATGATGGTCCGTGCAAAGGCATTGGGCTATAAGGTTGAAGAATGCCCGATCACCTTCGTCGATCGTCTGTATGGCGATAGTAAGCTTGGTGGAGATGAGATTGTTGGATATCTCAAGGGTGTCTTTATGCTGTGGTTGAAGGTTTAATGGCTTTTTTTTCCCCTTCTGTATTCCCATTCCTTTATAATAACATGCTACCTTTTTCTGACTGAGGACTAGAGGCTTAATGAATGACTTCTTATCTACTCAAAGAGCCTCTCTTCCTTGTCCTCTCTCTCTCTGCTTTCCTGATGACCGTTCCCTATGCTAAACGAGCATTTTTGTGACTATACTATGTTCTGATATATCTCATTTGTCTTGATCCCGACCTTGGTGCATTACTTTTTGTGTATTATATTTCTCCCATTACTGTCAATGAGATAAGGCGGTGCCTTTAATCTTTTAATTTCTCACTTATCTAGACGCTCTTACATCTTCCAGGTATAACTTGACTCGATTGATCAAGTCCTGCCTGGCGTCATCTTCCTCGTCGCCTCCCAAGTTGTGTGATGCTCCAGGTACAATACCGCTGTGTTCATCATCCCATACCTTCTGATAAGACTTATCCGAAGCTGCCCTCCAGCGCTCCAGAAGCTTAACCTTGTCTATATCCTTTGGAACATGTTCGTCGCTACCTGAGTATAGAACCAAAAGCTTACTTCTGAGTAAATCTCGAGTCGCAATCATCCCAAACGTCTCCTGTAGCCGTTTATCAGACAAGTCCGAGCTGAAGAGATCATCCTCTCCAGGATTCTCAGGCGCGTCCGGAGAAATCAGGCTGAGGAAGCGCCTTGCTGTGATTGGAGCGGGCGGATATCCGATCTTGGAAGTCATTGATGGGGGTAAAATGACATCGTACGCATTCCCTGAAGAATAGGTGCATGTTTTGGCCATTTCGACGAGCTGACGATATGCGCCTTCAACTTCTGCATCATGGAAGTTTCCATCTTTATCAGTAAGTCCAGCCAAGATTCCTTCACGATCGGAGACGGGGGCTTGCATGATTGCACCATCTACCACAGGTCGATTGATGTGACGGAGTCCCTTGTCGAAGACGGCATCTATTGGTAGTGGATTGGGTGAGTATAGATAGTGCAAGACATCTTGACTACCCGTAGAGTGCCCCATGATTACAAGCTTGGGCGATTGCTGGGTCTGACTTGTCGGCAGGGACTGTTTCTTGTACTTGGTGATGTACTCGACGCATTGTGCGATGTCTTCTACATCCTGGCCCAGTCGACCAGTTCCCCACATATCATATGCCGAGCTCGGGATAAATGAGAACAGTGCCCATTCTGTAGACTCAAGACCGGCAGCGAGATCCTTGAGGTACGGCACAGTACATAACCCATCTCCCAGACCGCCTATGAAGACCAAGCTATGAGGTTTCTCATTGGCCCTGGATGTGATGTACTCAAAAGCGACAAGACTTTCTGTCTGTAAGAGTGTTAGCATCGCAACGAGACATGTTGTACGAGCTGACACACGATGTGGTGGACCTTGCCCGAATCTTGGGTTCCGACGACTCCATGAAAACCACCCATCGTGAGAGGATAGAGGGTCTTTTGGGGGGCGAAATGATGCTATCCAGGTGAAGAAGGTCGAATAGGCTTCAACACCCAGATATGCTATCAACTGAAATGAAGAATTGACTGTTGATGAGCTGGAGGATAAGGAAGAAGACTAAGATTACATCAATGGTTGCTCAAAGAGTGGGGCAGGATTCAGGGTTACAGTACTTAGGGCTTAGGGTTATGTAACGAGAACTCCTTTACACAAAAGTACGAAGCTATATTCTGTGCAAGAATAAGTCATAATCATACATTAAAATTATCTGCTCTTGTATTTTCTAAGCCTGACGTGTACCAATGGTACTAAGAAGAGACCCTATTCCTCCTTGAAGTTTATCGACAGTTTGGTAAAGACAATCCGGGTCACTCGAAGAGCCTGGTGCAATTTCCCCAAATCCAGATATTGCAGAATCTACAGAGAATCTCTGTTGAGTTGATACGACAATCTCCCGAATGTCCTTTAGCGTATTTTGCGTCTTGATAAGCATGTGACGAATCTGCATCGTTCGGATGATTTTCTGTTGCTCGAAGTGCGGATCTTGTGGGATCATCGGACTGGATAAAGAGGAGAATGACGAAAATGGACTTGCTGTTGTAAATGGCGATGGGCCTAGCTGCTCTTGGGAAAGAAGAATTTCAAGATGATTGACTACCATCTGTAAGGATGCGATAAGGAGGTACATCATGGAGGAGCTCTTTTCGCATGATTGACATGCCACGGTTCGTTGGCATGCAGAAATCGTCCCAGTAATGTATTGCAAAGATTCGCCAAATGCAATTGGCTGAATAATGCCTACCGGTGACTTGAGCGCATGAAGTGAGACCAAATTCGAAGTCTGCCAGTGAAAGCAATCACATGCTGGTACGTGTGATGGCCATGTTGCCGGATAGCTGCTCGTCTCTTGAAACGGCAAAATAAAGTCTGCATTTCCTGTGTTCACCGATGTTGAAGGTTGCGGACTGTGTATATGAGACTCAAGTGATCGTGTTAGAGATGCTTGTTGATACATCAGCAGGTTATCGTGAACCTGCAATGCGCTTAGGCTCATGTCAATGCTCTCTGGCGGCGTTGGCGTTGCTTGCGGTGATATCCAGTTATAAGGTGCATATGATGCATGCTAGAATATTGTGAGAACTCGGCTCTACCACCAGAAATGGGAATCACTGCAAACTCACCTGTGTTGTCGGTACTGAATAGTCAGAAGTCATCCAATCCGGTGTCGAAGAGACGGAATGAGGCGAGATGCTGAGAGGAACTGGATCAAGAGTATATGGAGGCGTAGGACAGCTCGTTTGACTCTTTGCCGCATGGAAAGCAGCTTCTCTCAAGCGAGCTAGAGTCTTTCGATTGCGACTTCCCTTCGGCTTTCCAATTCGTGCGGCGAAACTGTAATGGCAGGKTTGATGGKGATTTTTACAATGCACACAAGGCGTTCCTCCTGTACATTTTACCTTGGCCTCATGACATGCATCGCATGCTGATCGAAGCTTGGGTGTTTGTGTATGGGCCATTGCCTGTCAGGAAAAAAGAGAATCTAGAAATCTCCAAACTGTAAATCGCTCAAGGAAGTATTGAGTCACAAACCCGATAACTTGGGACAGGAATTCGGATGTACAAGTTTATAAAGTCGTTCAATTATTAGTCCCCAGACACATGTGAATCATCTAATCCACCCACAATTTCATCGTTTCCAATCACATTACTCAGATGACACTTTTAGTTTCAGCTGTGATTTCTGTGTAAAGTGGCATTGTAGGTAGCTGGTACAGTACTCTGTAGTGTAGTATGAGGAGGTGGACGGCCTTGCAGTATGCACAACCCTAGCTAGGTACCAACTTTAGCACTCACTGTAACGTCTTTCGGAAAACGCCTCGAACCGGGGGGCACGGTAATTGAGTGAGTGAGCAAAGTGCATGCATACAGGCTGAATCAAAAATGCTTCTACCCTCATTGTTTGGACTACATGGTGGGGTGGAGATAAGAGGCATTGGTTGGTCTTGTGTGTTAGTGGTAATGAGATGAAAGACAGATTGGCAAGGCTACGTATCCGATTCGTGATATTTCTTTACTAGTATGGGCGCCAAAATAATTAAAAGCATTCGATATCGCTACCTGTTTCTTTGTTGATGATTGTGTAGTATTATTTATGTATATTTTTCAAGTATCAATGAATGAACTACCATATCTAGCCCGGCCAGGGCAAGGCGCAAAGACTCTTATACGACCATGAGATTAGTGAGATATCAGACAAGTTCAAAGCTCTTATCCGATTCCAACCCCCATTTCTGCCCCAGAAAAGGAGGCGCGTCAGCCGTAGAGCAGCAATCCCCGGATGATCTCGTGGTGCTGCTCACTGATTTGATGGCCAGCCCCTAGTCGATCACCCGCTGTACTTAGGGCTAGGGTGCAAGGTCATCCAGCTGGCACATGCGTATTTACGCTGTTCGTATCGCAAAGTGGCTATTTGACACCATATCTGGTGGAAGTATTGGCTAGGAACTAGAGAGCAAAACATTCTAGAACATCTTCTTTGTGGCTAGATGTTAGAATCAGGCAAACCCCGGGTGAGGATGCATTCATCATTATTGGAGTGACTCTAGAAAAATGGCCCCCATATGTGTAATTTATGTACAACGTGCTGGACATACGTATCTCCATCGTCGATCGGTTGTTCTGGATAACCATTTTCCCAACATCTCCATCCATAGGCGCTTCGGGAATCCCTGAAGCGGAAAATGTACCTAAAATGGATGGTGATTCGGCTCACCTCGCCATTGGTGGCTGAGTACCACTTTTCGCGTCAACGGCAGAGAACTTACCCCTTTGGGCAAGCAAAGCCCTAACTGAGCCTCCTCGCTCACTGTGGTTCCTTTGAGGGGAATGTCTGTGTTACCCATCTTTTTTTCAGCTACCATGTTGTCATTTATTTCCATTCGCCCTGTACCACAGCCGTATCTAATGTCATGCTCCATATTTATCTTTAATCTCAACCGCTTTGTTGCTGTATGCAGTCTAGATGAAAGCCGGAGAATTCGATTTCTGCCTAGCAAAGATCATGGATAAATTGTTCTAAAAGTACGCATACACTTTTCCAACCTGAAGCCATGTCACTTATCAGGCTAGATAACAATTTTACCGAACAGGCAACCACCTAGTAGTTAGTATGGATTGTTATTAATCAATGTAAGGCCCCCCGCAGACGACCCCAAGCCAGGGATGCTTGTCACTGTTCAGTAGCCACTCGAAAATGATTGAGAACGAGGATTACGATATTCGAGACCAAGGAACGGATTAATATGATATCATGCGACAGTCTATGTTGGTTTTCTGCTTGTCATCATCTTAGGATCGATACATCCGTAAACACTTGTTTCTGTTGAAGCTTTGGCCAATGCTTAGATTATAACAAAGGGCTTTGTTGGGTTTTAAAATACACAATGTTTTTGGAATCATGTATGAACATTTCATGAAACGATTCGAGTACCTTTGATGCGAAGATGCAACGTTAATGTTCCTTTGACCTTTCCCTGGTCAACGATTGGGTTTAATGTTCCTCGATGACCCATCAAGTACGATTCCCCAACATGCATTGGCTGGCTCGCGTAAATAAGCAAGCAGGGTCCACGCTAGAGACTATTTGAGGGTATTTCGTTCAAAGAAATGCTCCAGACCAACAACTAAATTTAAGTCGTAAGCCACAAGTCATCTTTACAAGGGGGACGAAACTTGGAAATTATTAGTTGATCCTTGTCTTTTCGCAATCTTTTCTCCGCCACTCAGAACTTTTATTTTTCGGTGTCTGATACCGACGTCAGTATTTCAAACTCTGAAGTCCCACTGTATGCAGTCTTTCGGTGATGAGTTTGTACAAACTGCATCAACAATCGAGTATGACATTCACGTTATCTCCGGGGCTCATTCTTGTCGTTGAAACGTACCCCCGAAACTACGGAACCTCCAACTGTTATTATAGTTCACGCGTATTTGGAACTTTCTGATGCATCTATGGTTTCTTAGCCTTGTCAAATTGTCAATCTCAAAATTTGAATATTCTCTCTCAGGCTGAGGCATCCTTTTAGATGTCAAATTCGCCTGCCCCTGGTAACTCGATGTTGTACGATGACTATCTTCACTTCAATTCCCCGAGATCTCAAGTAAAGCAGCTGAAGCGAAAGTGACACGGTATGGTATAAGTACACACTCCTGCTTTGCTGACACTCAATTTAGATTAATCAAGGGACTGTTCCTGCCCACCCTTGACAGTGATACAAGATATGACCGCCACAATCCGTCACTTTGATCATTCACATTTATTACCGGAGACAGTAATAGATCCGTTCACACAGTTCCACGAGAGAGCGCCTTCGAGAGTGATCGGCAAGTAACAAATGCCGCGACCTTGACTAAGCATGAGATCAGTAACGTTAACTAAGTAGTAACATCTGACTCAGGGGTGTGTTACTCAATCTCTTCTGTACCACTCCTTTGAACGAGTATTGTACTATGAATAATATATGGCATAAATGGGATGAAATGAATATAATTTAGGCATTGTTGCACTGGCCGGGTTCAGCCGAGTCTCAAGTGTCGGTGATTTGTCTATCAGTAAATAATTCTCTGTATGGACGAGATTTTGAAAATGCTTGAAGGATCATGATCCAAGGTTGCAAGCGGTAGTAACATATGAAGATTAGAGTTTGTCTAGCAGTCATTAGACCGGGTAGATAGGAGCCTGTCATTTCTGTGTTTGGAGCTAATCTGAGTGACAGACTGAGACACCAGCCTGTCTTCAGAAAAGCTGATGCATCTCAAAGCTTCAAGATCCGTATTGGATATGTGCTTTGTGCACCATACAAATTGAGCTAATATGACTGGCTTGCCTGCAGTCTGCTCCCTCAAATGAGAGTCGTTAAGCACGATCGACAATTCTTTTCACAAACAATTTCGCTTAGCATAGCCCGTATCCTTGACTTTGCCGGCAGTTTTTCACAATGGCCGATGTCATTAGTAAGTAAGTAACCCATTCTAGCTGCCTCCTACACCAATCAAGGCTTGAAACTTGACGCCGAAAGTGACGAGCATAGCAAAGGTATAAAGAAAGCTGTTGATGGATATTGTGCCAGGAACCATGTGACTATTTGAATACGAGTTTGTGAGAATCCTGACTTACATCGTCGTATTATTAGTGATGACTACGCTTTGACCCCCAGGACAGTAATAAATGATGAGGTTGTAGGCTTGAAGAACGGGCACTGAAGCGTACTACAGTCAATACAATATAAACCCGGCATCCGTTGAGCAATTCCATGTAAGTGAGAATGGATGACTTAGATATCAATCAAAAGAACGTCATCACCGAAGACGGGTGAAATAGCGAGACACCATTACACCCACTTTCGATTACGACTGAATCTTAGGGCACGCTAACATAGCTGACAAGCATTGCTATCTTTGAGCTTACAAAGATCTAGTTGATCGATTAACCTGAGCCATAAGTTTGTCGCAGACCTTCATACTTGAGACGAGGAACGCAGTCACTATATTGCTAGCGGCATTCTCAGGCCCATCCATGCTGCTTCTGAATTGGGATGATATGTATATATCTGTTTTAAACACAGCTATCTCACAAATTTTGGCATTGAGGCGGTGCGATTATATGATTGGATTTCAATTGTGTAATAAGGTAAATCACCCTCCCCTCCTGAACGGATGAGCCTCTGTATTTAAGACGTACTAGTCTAAACTGACCAAGTCAGGCTCACTGATCAGTAAGTAAAAATACTTCAGCGTCTCCGCCAGACAAAAGCTCTTTATTGAATCTATCCTACTCGGATACAAATCCATTATATTTTCCAACATAGCATGCATAATACTCGTTCTTGAGTGTTTCTCTATAGGCTCAAATATCCTTCACCCTATTTCCTGCTATGATGCATCGCCCGTGAGACGGTACATGATAAGTATAGATTCAATAACCTCCAGATAAAGTTGATAAGATGAATTATCAACATCTATAATCTACCTTTAGATGTCGGAACCAACAAAATGGTCGTCCGGAGATACCAGTCCCTGTAACGGCGGCACCGGCCAGACATGGATTGCATTACCCAAGACAGCAGCTACAACATGCCGCTCTTGATGAAATCATCTTAGTTTCCTTGATCTTCTAGCCAGACGCCTGATAATGCACCTGCAATACCGCGTACTACCTGGACTGGAGTCAATTCCTGCTTTTCATTCACTATCAGCCATCTGCTATATTGGAACGCTGCCATGGCTCTTTCGTCGCCCTCTTCCTCTGGCTCTGTGGGTTAGTGCCATTACCAGATTTCAGCCAAGGAAAAACTGAATGGCTATGCAATATTAGAACCAATCTGAAGCAGTTATAGTCACCAAATTATTCCTTCATATTCACAACTATACAAGTACCCTTCACAAAATCAATCTTGTCTACCCGCTAATAGGATGACGAAGCCAACAATACCCGATATATCTTTAGTGGTTAGGGAGTCTATATGACTTATATAGATACTACTATATTCTCAGCATAATTCTGAAGCTTCACCTTGTCTAAGGCAGCTTTGAGTTCCTATATTGAATCTTAGGCGATCTTCGGAGTTTATGTAGGTTCGTAACGCTACTTTTCACCAGAATGATATGTGACAGCTGAGCTACTGATTAGGCGCTGAACCCGAGTTTGGACTCCATTTCTGGCATTTAGGGCACCGAGAAGCAACCCTGGCGGTACCGGGTGTAGAATAATGATCAAAGTATAAGATAAGATGTCTCGCTGAGCGCACATAAAAGGATGCATAGGATCGAGTGAGCTAGATTTCTCTTCTCCTCCCCTCTTCATGCTCAATATCATCTGTAGATCATGCACCACTTGTATATAGGTTAGACAGTTTTTAATACAAGAGTCTGCGGTCGAGATATGATACATGTTAGTGCTATACTGAAATTAGTTGTTTCCGGAGCGCATGTCAGACGGTAAGATGTAACTATGCATAGAGCATATATAAAATTGGGTCACAGTAAATTCTGCTTCGCAAGAGTAGTTGCATGTTTTCATTTTAAATAAGTCTTAATGTAGGTTTGGAAGCTATTGAAGCAAACATTCTCCGTCTTAAAAAGTTCCTGACTCTCATTATCAACTTGCTTCGCTTCTTGCCCTGTTTAAGTCGAGTGGCAATCTAGGTGGCGAGTATCTGCGTGTTGTTCCTCAAAAATAAAATCAGAGCTGACATTCGATGAACTGCAGTACATCTACAAAATTAACTCACTATGTGTATTGTAAGTGTCATGAAATAATGGACTGAGAACCTGCTCTAACCAATTTTCTACCACAAACTATGGAGGTTTATAGAGTCGAACTTGTGACAGTGTCTCAGGAGACTTACTGTGCAGATGCAACGTCGTAGCAACCAAGTGCAGTAATGACATGTGTGTGTGTCTTGGTTTTTGCCACGGGGGGTGGATATGGAAAAATCGGTATTTCATGTCCTCAAGTCCTGATATAAGCTGGAATCTTCCTGTCCGATGATGACTTGGGACTGCAGCTTTCATTGGGCAGACCACCAAAGTCTATCAGAAAGTGAAACGGAAAGAGTTCTAGGAAGTGTTGGACAAGCACAAATTCATTACGTTGTCAATTGATGTCAAAATTATGTCGACCTTTATTATACATGCTCCTTATCGCAACATCCACCAGCTGGAGCCATCGCCCTTCATCCAAAGTGACGTCTGACATTTGCCACGTGTTATCGCTCCTCCTGCTTGTCTTTCGTGTGGAAGCGTGGGTACTGAAGTAATTATGGCCCAGAGCGCCGGCGAGGTTACGAAAGCCCTTATGTTCGAAACTGTCCGGTAGAATCTCCACCATAGCCGACCCTTCGCGTAACCAAAGACCATGTGTGAGGCCGGCTCCGTGAACACCAACGAGCACGTCCGTGCTGCGAATGATCTGTATCTGTTGTGTTAATGGCAGTACAGCGAAGTCAATAACTTGTATGAGAACTTTATCCTCATGATATTGCTCTCGCAGTGCCTCAATGCGTGCGTCTTGATCAATTAGCTTACGCGTGCCTTCGCGTTTGATAAATGTCACGACTACCTGGTCTGGCAGCTTGATGGGTTCTGTGATATTGAAGTGCTGTCGGACACGACGTTCGAAAGTCCGCAATAGATCTGAGTGTTGGCAGATATTTGGTTCCCAATCGCCCTGCCAAATTGGGTTGCTACCGCCAGGCAGAGGAATAATGACCAGGCTGGTGTTGAAATCTGTTGAGAGATCAGGAAGTCGAGTCACCGGCATTTTGGCAAATAGTCGCCATAGATCGAAGTATGGTCCGTTATTGTGACTGTCGACGATAACTACCTGAGTATTCAGGGCGTCTTCGGTACTGATTATAGGGTGGAGGCTGCCCGCCGAACGTGTCATCTGGAGGACATCGAGTGTCATACTTGTAGCCATAATTTCCATGAGACTATGCCAGATGTTATCCGCCCCTTCGCGCTTTACCAGAATAGTGATTCCTTCCATCGCCTTGTTGTCTGCGATCTGCGAATCTAGATTGACCAAGTCATCGAAAATGTGACGGGGCCCTGTTTTGTACATGTATGAAGGAAATTCCTCCAGAGTGGGTGCAGTCTGATTGCTCTCTACTCCTCGGGGCTCGACTCTCTCGCAAGAAAACTGAAATTTGCCTAAAGAGGAGCTAAACACTGCATTTTGTCCGACACAGAAAGAGTCAACTCGTCCATCCGGAGTAGTCTGGCTGTGGAAGCACATAAGTTGCGATGGAGAAGCGGGCGAACAGTACTGCGCACGATTTTCTCGAAACCCTTCCAGATATGCCAGCCCGAGGCGTTCTGTACAGGACCGCGGATCGGGATTTTTTTCGAGGTAGTCCACGGGGGGTCCTAAAGGATCAGGCACCAAAGCACTGCCACTCCCACCGAGCAGTCCGGGTTGTGGCCCTCTCATCGGATGAAGAAGACGCAAGGTAGTGAGAATGACGATGAGCGCCGATATGCCGGCAATAAGACGCCTCAGAGACAAGAAGCTATGGTTGAACATGGTACCGACTCCCCTGGTCAGAGACCGGAGAATAGTAACGGCATAAAAAAAAGAGACAAGGTCCAAATACTTTGAATACTGCAAATAATGACTCCTCAGGCGATAACATGATTTAGTACCAGGTGGTGATGACTTGCTTGCTTGCAATAAAGAAGCGGTGGTGAGCACTTACGTTATAACCTGATGAGACAAGCTAATGTGCGCCGCGCCGCACAGAAATGCGGCGCAGATTTACTACCATTCCGTGTACCGTTTAGCACTGTGACTGAGCTGGCCATACTGCATTAGCACCAATTTTAGTACAGCGGGTGCGCCGAATCTGACACTAGAGGGAGACTGTAGCCCAATAAAAGCGGGCAAAACAGGGATCTCTGAAGCGGTGTTGGCTCCTGAACTGCAGGGTCCCCATGTTGATTTGTAGCCTCCCATCAATAGGACAAGTTCTGTCCGTCAATAATTTCTGGGTCCTGGCACAGAGCGAATCTGGGATGGCGGGTAAAAAATAACAGCATTCAAGTCCCTGGACAAGATATGGCAGTTGCGCTTGCAGCGCTGAGGCTGGATAAATCTGTTGGGCATCGGATTGTGTTACCTCAGCCGAGGCTTCTATTTAGTACAAAGCGATTGTCAAAACAACCCTACAACATAGTGAAGGGATTTAGTGCCGTGGGCCCATCAAAAACCAAAAAAAAAAAAACACGCTAGCAAGAAGTTGTTTGAGAACTTGAGATAAAGCTATTTACTCCGTGATTGGTTCTGCAAGGTGACGGAGTGTGCCGGACTCAATGAATCCAAACCCGCACTATACATAGTACATAATGGTAGCATGACCTCCATGCACCTCACTGACTCACTGACCAGGGCCACATTCATCCTGAGGGATAGAGTATCTATTATTAATGCGCAATACCCTGAAAGGAATCGCGCACACGTGGAGTTGGGCAACTCACTTGTCCCCCTTTAATTCAGTTTAATTCTTGAAAATACATTCATGTATGAATGATTTTCTATCTTTCTCTCTGACTTAATCCTTTTTACAATACTCAAACAGTTCTCTGAATACTTATTTTGGAGGCCTTGTGATCAACAATGGGCCTGATGTGGTTTTTTGTTAATTTAAATGTTGCGACTCTGTTCAGTGTATTGGTGTCGGCTGTCGAGGCCCAATCGTCTACATCATCACAATGTATCCCGTCTCCGATCGCCATTGCCATTCAAAACGTGACGGTAGCAAATCAGCCAAATGGTGCTATTGTGAGAGGCCTAAATATTGGCGTGGGAACACCTCCACAGAAGATAGCGTTCATGCCTGGGTACTTCGACTCGAAATTTCTGGCGGCATCGCGATTTGCTAACTTCTGGGGCAGATTTTTTAACAATTCGTTCGCATACACCAACAACGATGCTTGCATCGTCGTTGGTAGTCAATATTCAGGCAATGGATGTATTACAACAAGAGGGGGAGCATATGAGGCGAGTCAATCCACCTCGAATGAGCCTGGAAATACCAGTAACTTTTCCCCTGACTCACCACGGCCATCCCCCTCGCCCGTCGTTGATACATTCGCCCTGAATAACAACACTTCCTTGTCCAACTACACATTCGGTGTGAGCCAAGACGATCTCGGCTACCAGCTCTATAACCCACAGGCTTCTCTGGGGTTAGATCGAAACTCAACGTTTCTACGAGCTCTTAAGGATGCTGGTAAAATTGGATCCAGGTCATGGTCATTTTTCTGGGGCTTGACAGCACCGAATAATTCATTAGATGGTCATATTATTGTTGGTGGATATGATAAAGAAAAGATAACAGGCAACGCTGCAAATTACACTGGGACCATCGATTACGCCGCCAGTTCGGCCTGCCTGTCAGGCATGGTCGTTGATATCACTAACATAACCATCTTAGACTTGAATGGCACAGTGAACAGCCTGTTATCGAACTCGAATACAATCCCGGCATGTCTTCGTCCCGACTGGCCCGGCGCTCTTAATCTCCCCTGGGATCCTTTGTTCAATAAATTTGCCGAGTTAACCAATTATAATTCAGCTCTTCTGGATCTAGCAAATAATACAGTACGGGCCTTCGGGTCTAATTATTATGACATGAGATACCTGTCAACCGATATTCCGTAAGTTTGGATTCTGCTATTCTGCTGTCGCTTCTTCTTGATGTTCTTATAGACTAACTGATTCCAGATTTGGGGGTGACTTGGAGATTACACTTGAAGGAGGACTTGCAATCCGCATCCCAAACGATCAACTAGTGGTTCCAGATCAATATCTTGACCAGAATGGTATTTGGCAGGACAACAGCACCGGTCCGGACCTTCTTATCAATGTTGAAACTGGTTCATACCAGTTGACCTCGCTCAATCGGTACTTCTTCTCCGCCGCCTACCTGGCAGTAAACCAGGATGCGGGACAGTTCACCCTATGGAAGGCGCACACCACGCCTAATCAGAATCTCGTCGGCCTCGATGAAAAAAACCAAGTCGCGTCTGCGTTCTGTAGTCCTACTCCGTCTTCTATTGCATCTTCGTCAACACTCGCGCCTTCGCCGCAACCGAACGGCCTCTCCGGCGGCAGCATTGCCGGAATTGTTGTTGGTGTAATAGGCGGTGTAGCCCTCGTCAGTGGTACCGGATTTTTGTTCCTTCGATATCAGAAGAAGAATAAGATAAAGAAACAGCAACATACACGGCAAGTAGCAGATCCCTCCAGAGAAGATAAATCGACAACACAAACCCTCACGGAGGGTTACAATCACCCTCAACACTATGAAATGCCCGTTGGAGAGCCACCAAATATTGCACAATTTGAACTGGATGCTTCACCTTCCGCAAACCGCTGAGAGACATTGTGTAAATTATACCAAAGCTTTATCCTATAACTCCACCAAAATCGCCCTTCGTTACATCGGCCGTTGGTATGAGCTACGCTTTTGAGCTTCACCGTCAAAGATTAAGTCATTTGAAATTTCAACACAGCATACCCTGAAAAGTTGATATGTGATGAAATAACGTGTGAAGTGCATACTTCCGTGATGTGGAGAGAAATACATCATGACTTACCTGTTAGTCTAGGGGCGAGGGCCTCATAATCATGTATGGAGTAGCCAAAATACACCCTTGGTGTGCTTAGGATCGCATAGCAAGCTGTTCGATCCAACATGGTAGGCTGAGCTAACGCTGTTAGACTGTTAGCACCAACAAATAGCGGCAGTGGTCGTCTTTCAAGGGTCAAAACACACCAGGGTCGGAGACTGCATTAGTTGGCTGCAACCATCCCAATGCCACTAAAGTGAAGACGGTGTAGGAACCAGTTGTCTTGCTACATTAGGGCGGGAAACGCTGCCCATGATAGACTAAAATTGGCAGGGTCAAATTGACAAATGAGCGTAGTAAACCCTATCGTCTAAATTGCAGCTGACACCAGTGGGAAAATTATGCAATTGCAAGGTTTGGAGTTAGTCACAACTACCATACGGCGCTTGCAGTATTAGGAATGTCAACAATCGATGATACGAATCACTATATTCTGACTGCCGCCTTCCGGCTGTTGGGTAAATGGTTTAGGTGTAGTTTGTGCTTAATTCAAGAATTCAGAGGTTCGTACATGATGGGCAGATTAGGAATCGTCAGTGACGTGGACGCGTCTACGGTGATGGACTGATGAGATGCATGGTCGACGACTGTCACGATGAGACCAAAGAAGAAATATCAAGTCTGGGCCAAGATAGGACGGAACAATCTAATATCTGCAAGCAGTGAGATTTAAATAGACTTCTGAAATAAACTGGGAAAAGAAAAATCCTTTACTTCGCTGCTTAGGATGATGGACCTGGGTTAGGATGATTTGGAACAATGCAAAGTTATTTCCTCCGCCGGAGTCGTCAAGCACGGTTTGCTTCATCTTTTGGTTGCCTGTGAAGGGCCACGCTATGTGCAAGCTTGGAACTTTCTAATTCAGGAGTCTGAAATAAGCGCCCTCTGCGCTGCCCATCCGAAGCTAATGCGATGACTACGCCATTCAGCATCACAAGTGTCTGCAAAGCGGAGACTGTTGGTCCAATCAGACTCGACCAAGAGAGTTGCGAACCCTTGAACAAATGGCGCTGAGTTCTGTAACCGCTAATGGGCAGCATAGAGCCAGTAGAACGTTATTTATAACAACCCATGTCAGGGGCCAGCAGGCTGGAAGTAGGTCCAAGGTATAATTACCTAGCCAAGCAGCTTTTCGGAGTGCTATATCTACTGAAGCATGTGAACCAAGGTACGAATATTAATGATAACGATACGGCAACTGACACAGTCCCTCTAATACATGCAAGTTCGCTCACAAATCCTTTAACCATGCTGTCTGGAACCACGTCCTCGATTATTTTCTTCTTTTGTTTTTCGTTCTTATTTCAGAGCAGAGTATCACTGGGAAACAACAATTGTACTCCTCATCCTATCTCTGTCAAATTGGGCAATGTGTCTCTCGACAATACGACAGCACGGGGAGTATCTCTCTCGATAGGGGTTCCATCGCAGCCTTTCGCTTTTCTCCCGCAGTGGTATGTAAATCCCTATGCTGTCGTTATCGTGATGAAATGGAATTCCTTACCAATGATATACAGGCCGCTGAACGATACGTTCGTCTACGGATTGGATGGTTACTGTGGAGATGGCTGGTCTGAAGCTGCTTGTCAAACTTTCCGCGGCGGCATATATGATCCGTCCAAGTCATCTACTTATCAAGATGCAACCAATGCACCGCATTTGACCGAAGCCTCGCCGTATCCATCTTTCGACTGGGCTGCAGATAATTTTACCCTCAATCCGAATATTACACTTTCGAATTTTTCCATTGGAATTGCCCGAGCTGATTGGGGAGAGCAAGGGTACCATCCGCAGGTGGCTTTCGGCATGGGCCAGAACTCGACATTGCTCAATACTTTATATGAGTTTGGCCATATAGCATCCCGTTCCTGGGGTATGTACTGGGGCCAAACAGGGGCGACCTCAAGTAAACAGAAGGACGGAAATTTTGTATTTGGGGGATTTGACCAAGCAAAAACTTCAGGTCCTAATTACACCGCGACTCTAGACTTTTCCAGGTCCTCTTGTTCAACTGGAATGCTTGTTGTAATTACAGACATGGTGCTGAATTTTGCAAATGGCACAGATGCGAGCTTATTTGGCGGAGCAGAATCCTCGGCGATGTCGGCTTGTATTGTGCCAGACTATCCAGTTCTGCTCACGCTGCCTTTGGATCCATATTTCTCGGCATTTCAAGACCTTACTGGAACACTCATTACAGACCGATCATTTGGAATTTATTATTATGGGATGCTCTACTCGAACACATCAATCGCGTAAGTATGTTTATTCTATCACAGGGGGACAAATTCACTAATCAGATTCTATAGGTATACCGGCGATTTGACCATTAAGTTCAGCTCTGGACTTTCTGTGCGCATACCAAATGATCAGCTGGTCGTTCCTAATCTGACTATTGACAAATCCACTGGAAGCATTCTTGCCAATGACTCAGCACCAGAGCTGGTTCTCAATTCCATCCAATCAATCAACGCCGACGATCTTCCACAATTGGGCCGACAATTTCTGACGAGCGCGTACCTCATGCTTAACCAAGATGCAAATACTTATACTTTGTGGGAGGCTAATCCGGTTACCAACGAGGACCTAGTCGCTGTCGACCAAGGCGGCACTCCGGTCAGTATATTTTGTACTGCGACTTCCACGAGCACTACATCGCAATTGCCGCAGACGGCAACCACCAATGCAGCACCTTACAACAAAAATAGCGGTGACAAGGAGGACTTGTCCAGCGGGGCAATTGCGGGCGTTGTTGTTGGATGCGTAGCGGGTATGACCTTAGTAGTAACAATGGTGTTCTGCATAATTGCAAAACGCCGGAGAGAAAGAACCAAAGCCAACGATAACGGCATTGCCTTGAAATCCCCTGAAGTTGTTTATAGACAAGGAGGGTCTCCCCTTGAGCTTCATCCAGACTCTTTTGATCCGACAGCTCCACATGAACTCTATGGCAAGCAACAGCCGCAATCTACGCCAGCTTATGAATTGCCATAGTTAGCAATTAGCTGAACTGTACAATCGGGTGATGTATCAACAACGTTCCATAGCATTATTATATGTTGAATATTACGAATGTTTTGTCGTAGTTTACGGAAACTTACAAACAGCAGCAGTAGTTGAATGGTATAGACACGTTTAACATATCCATACTACATATCCGGCCCTGTTTCACCCACAGATCACCGTATATAACCTCAGATAGGGCCTTGATCCCCTGTATTCCCCTATACGTGTTTAATATGTTCACAGCAAAAGAAATCGTGCTGAACCAAGCATCCGCCGTCTGCATTGAAGGACTACGTACTTGGCCTGCTCTATGGACGAAAGGGGTTACATGTTGCCCGTTTACACTCGTTAAAACAGTGGAAGATGGTGGTTGTTGGCGAAAGGTCTGCGCAGCGACGGGGGCTTATCCGCAAATGGGGATTTCGGTCAGGGACGATTTCCAGATGCGGCGACACCTGAAGGTAAATGACTAGTAAAATACTTCCTGTTTAGATAATGGGTTAGATTTTCACTACTATGTTGTATGAGCAAACTTTAGTCTCTGCTACCTTCCGTCTGACTCAGCAGCAGGTGGCTTCATCCGCAGCTCTTGTACCGACCAGGCCTGGGCCTCGCAAGACTGTCCACAGTATTGCACAGACGATATTCCCGGTGGAATCTTCAATTATCTACCGGACGCCGGCGTTTGTGGCCTGCGGGGGAACCAAGTACTGCTGCGAATCTGCCAATGTCACCACATGCGACTGCCAGACTGGGAACGGGGCCTTTTTTCTCGCCGGCTCCATTTCAATTTTCACAACATTTGGTAGCTCAGTGACTACGACCAGCTCGTCGACCTCATCTTCCTCCACCACCTCCTCCATCACTACGACTTCGACCTTGTTATCTTCTACCATTTCCTCCGTGACAAGTTCAGCTTCTCCTGCTCCCGCCGCTGCCTCCGTGACAATATCGACGACTTCGACCATTGCCACGAGCACGAGTACTGCATCATCATCAAGGGGATCAAGCGAGGCAGTAAAAGTCGGCATCGGAGTTGGTGTGCCGCTTGGTATTGCGTTCCTAGTTGTTATTGGAGTGTTTTTATGGCGAGGGCGAAGAAAGACGATGACCTTTTCAAACCAGATTGAGAATAGTAGGCCGCCAAATTATGACAATAAACCGTTAGTATGGAGTATGCCTCATCAGCGGGAGACTTATGAACTACCATATACAGAAAGACCTGAATAGAACGTATATGAATTACCGGAGAGATAATAGGACAGCGGTTGTCTCAACAGGCTGGATTTGAATGAATTCTGTGTATATAGTTGATATAATGAGGTTAGGCTGAAGAAAGAAGGCATATGCATATTTTATATTTACCATTAACGTAGTGATATCTATGCAGCATGCTCTTGCACTTGAAAATCAACAAGATTTCGAGTAGTTTTATTCCCAAGTCTAGAACGAGTTGATAACATGTGCCTTCTAAGAGCTGAAGTATTTCCAAGATTTTTTAAGAAATGTACAGGAAACTCAATATCGGGTATACGACCCTATACATAAATTCGTTCAACATCGCTAAATGACCAGTAAACGTATAGACGCAGTCTCAAAATATGTTCATTTAAGTGAAGTTTCGAGGGTTCTTATGAATCAGGGATTCATATATTGTGTAACAACGACCGTCTCACAATGGTGTTTTTTTCGTCGTCACTCTTTTTGTACTTCCAATTCGGAGACACGAAATCAGTCGGTTCCGTGGGTCTCGGAAATGGGAGTCCCGTGGAAGGGATCCATGACGGTGAGAATGATGGCCACGGTATCGTCGTGGTAGGTGTATAGGTTGAGGAGGGTAATATGGTTGGTATCGGCGCGCTGGATGTGTAGTATGTGGAGCTTACAGCGGGTGTTGATGAAGAGTAACTCATTGGCGTCGAAGTTGGTGAGGCAAGTGTTGTTGATGAAGTTGTTGTTTGTGGGGCGGTAGTCGTTGAAGAAGAAGAAGAAGAAGAAGTACTTTCTGTCACAGTCACGGTCACAGTATTTGTTCTAGTGGGCTCGGGCTGGACTATCGAAATCGCAGTTGTCGCGTCGACTGTGGTTGTAGTAGCCGTAGACACAATGTCCGTCATTGTTATCGTCTGGACAACTGTGTCTGGAGCTGTTGTCGTCCCACTGCCATTCACATTGACGACCGAATATGTAGCTTTTCTTCGCTCGATGAGAGGAGTGTGATGTTCAGTTTCTGCAATTGGCAACGCATACGTTCGGCATGGCAGTGAGATTGCCGCTGAGAGGAAGAGAAGTGTTGTGGAAAAATGCATGATCAAGGAGGTGGGAGTGTTCCCTTCTTGTCTGGGCAACTTCGAAAGCTCCTCTTGTGATCAGATCGTTCTCGTATGAATCGTCAAATCATCAAAGTGTCATAAATAACATTGCAATCTCGACCGTAGAATTGTCATGGAGCATGTCCATGAGAGAAGTCAAAAAGACAAACCTCCAAAGTATCGTGGATGCTGATAAAGTAAAACAAAGATGGCGGGGCTCAGATCTTATCAGTGTGGGGCCGATCGGTGGCTGGGAATGTATCTAATTGGCCAGTCTTGCAGGTACGTCAAAATGAGCCCCTCCCAGCCACATTATTTCGTGTTCCAGCCAATGAAATTTACTGAATTTGGATCCACTTGGATTTAGCTGCATATGTCATTGCACACTCTATAGAAACACTGCATACTCCGTAGTAAGTTTCGATGTTCACTCCGAAGTATCCGAAGTATCCGAAGTATTCGAAGTAAACGAAGTAAACATGCTGGCACAACAGTAGTTTGTCTCCGGTCTCTCCGTGCAATCGTGGTTGGTCTAGACCCGATTATCCAATCTGAGAAGTTTCAAGACACCGCAAAGTTCGTCGCGCATGGACCGTCGTTCATATCTCTGTGGTAGACAGTTGGTTGTAAGGAGTCCTTGAGCTCTGAGTAAGCCATAATCTTAATTAAATTTGATTGTATATTCAACGAATACACAGTACATGCAATCTTACTCGATGTGAATGTTCCTTATGATGTGGTATCACGCCAGCTCGTTCCTTCTCTGTTTGTTGCCCGGGTGCCTGTTACCAGAACTCTTTCTCTTCTCCTACATCTAAATGGCATTTCTTACTTTACACCTACAACTGGACACTCATCATCTCTTCGACTTATGTCATTCAAAACCAGCTACTTCTTGAAAGCAATCACAGCCAACAGCCAAGGTGGGCGACATGACAGGTAACCCCTCTCCCCCTCCTCTTGTCTATTGCTACTCCCCCAGCTAACTTTCTGCAGACCATCCTCCATCAAATACCGCCCAGAACGACAAGACCAATAACGAAAACCCCGATGGTCGCTACGAAGCTCTCGTATCTGCATCGGCAAATATAGTCCTCACCATGCTACATCGTGGCAGATTCCTCGAAGATGAGCTCAAACGTGCACTTGATCATATTCGCACAAGCAATGAGTTTCTTCAAAAGTTTGTGGAATTGCTTGATTCAGTTGACGAGGAGCGATGCGATGGAAAGGAAGGTGTTACGTCCTGGAAGGAAGTTGCTGAGCGCGTCAAGTCTGTTGTGAAGGGTGCTCGTGGACAGGATGATGAGAAAGATGGGTCAATCGTGGTCAATGAGGAGAAGGACGGATTGGATGGTGAACCTTTAGCCGAGTGAGGTGGTAGCTACTGAAGCAGACTGTCCTGTATTATTCAAAATGCAATTGGTAACTAGGCAGGGTTGCAGAAGGCCTTCTAATATGAGATCCTATTGTGTCTCATATGGTAGCTAATGAAACATTGCCAAATCCTCCACTCGAACCAATCCCGACCCCAAACCAGCAGCTGCCCAGCCAGCACAATGCTGATTCGGATTCCAATTAGTAGCGATAACATGCTGCTGCTCATCATAGATCGTGATAGTCAAAACGCCATTGACAACCTTACCACCTTCCACATTTCGCACCAAACTCAAATTTTCCACTTCCAAATCATCCGTGAATCGAGTCGTGTTAGGTGTCTGCTCATCCTTTCCAGCAGCCCACTCGTGTAGGAACCATCTTGTGTGGTAATATGCTTCTTTGGCATGCAGAAACCGGCGAAGCGGGTTGAAGCAAAATATGGAACCCTCAGTACAACCAACCATGACAGATGGATGCCAGCGACTCCCGCTCGCAATAGTTGTTATCGTGCTTGGAATTTTGCCAATCAAAGTAGAAGTATAGAAGCGGCGGGKGGATAGTCCGCGCACAAAGTCATTTTCGTCACTTGACACAAATGCTTGTAGATGAGGATAGTATGAGATTTGCATTGTTCCTAGACGTTGTCTCTGCGTCTCTACTACGTCCTTGACAGTATCGAGGAGAGAAGTAAGCCTTGTATTTCCGTCCATTGATACGGTGGATATGAGGTGGGGATGTTGGGGGTATGCCGATTCGATGTTGGTAAGGTATGTTGAATGAATAGGAACGTAAATATATGGAACAGGTTCGTCCTCTTGACCACCTGGCCTTGGCGTGGTCTGGTACATGGCGATGTTGTACACGGCGACCCAGCCATTTGCGCAACCGACGGCTATGTCGGTAGGCGACAGCCAAGTCATGCAAGTGGAAATTGTTGGCGAGGGTATAGCAGTGAATGCGGCTGACTTGACATGGACTAATACGATATCAATAAGATAACCCGAATCGACCAAATATGAACTCCAGAAACTTACGATACTCTGTGCTTTCCGCATTTTTGTTCACTTTGACATCAAAAACTCTCGTTCGACCATCTGAAAAGACACAGGCGAGTAAACCCAGGTCAGCTCCAACGACTTCTTCATCACGTCGTCTTCGACTAAATCGACACCAATAGATTTTTCTTATATGCCCAAAGTTCATGCAAAGCMCCTGCCGCAATTTCGGCTTGCTATTAACGTTTATCGTCTTGATCATACCATCCTTGCGATCTTCAGCGTCAAAGGACCAAATCTGCACAGCTCCTGGATACGGTGGCGAGGCAGAAAAAGCGCGTGACGCGACTGGTGGTTCAGGCGGATCGTTCTCCTTCTCTTGCTCCGAACTGATTGGTACCGAAACTGCGAGATATTGTGTCAGCCCGTCCTGATTAGGAGCCCATCCCAGTGCCTGAATTTTGCCGGAGAGATTCAAGATCCACCCATAATGATTTTTTCGTCTCGGTCCTGCGGGTATGTCTGATGGTTTATCATCATTTACTGAAGAAGATGAGGTTCCTATTTTCTTTCGCCCCCTGCCCTTCTTGGCAGTGTCGGAAGTTTTCCCCTTCTTATGCGTTTCATCGCGATATTTCCATGCGTCACCGAAATTTAGTGACTCAAGTTGACCTAAATGAGCTGTCGATAAATTCTCGCTCGGACCGTAGATGATCTTATGGCTAGACTTGCTTGGCCTGTGAAGGTATATCTGCTCCGCCCGCTGCTTGCCAATCTTTTCTACTCGTTGCCTCTTTCTAAACGCAGGCCCGTAATTCGCGTCGTAATACCAATCCCATGCTTCTGTAGCTTCGCGCTCCAATTCTTCGGCAGATGTTCCATGCGCGGCTCCAGGACCGAACTCGTCAGCACTTGGAGCGTTTTCTAACGCGTTCCGAGTAGGGAATGTTGCATCAACCCCCAGGGACCACTGAGTCCTAGCGGCCGCTGTGGCGAGTAGGTCGCGGTCATCCGTTCCAAAGGACAACTTGATATGCATTGACTTGCCCACATGCTCGGACGGATTATACGCGCCACGCGTATGCGTGTCAGTTGGTTTGAAAAGGATTGTCCCATCGTCTCTTCTTTGCCTAGCTGCATTACTATTTGGAGTGCGACTACCACGTGCAGTAATAGACAAATTTGAAAGTCTGGCGGCAGCTTTTTTCGATTCTTCAGCATCGGCTTCATCTTCAAAATCATCATCATCGGCTTCTTGTTCTTCTTCCTCCTTCACAATTTCATCCTCTTCATCCTCGTCGTTCTCTTCAGCAGCTACTGCTTCTTCGACAAACTCATCATCCGACTCATCTCGTTGTCGCTTTCTCGATTTCCCCTTTGATTCTTCAGATGCAGAGGGTTTTGCGACGTGCTCCACATCTTCATCATCTTCTAAGCCGATTGCTTCAAATGCATCTTCGGTATAGCTTTTGCGGGTTGCTGCGCGGCGTATTGATCTTCGCGGCGCCATTGTCAATTCATCTCTAGCTTCTTGATGAACTTTAAAATCCCTTCCTGCTATAAGCACTCGTGTCGCTGCTCTCTTCTATACATCTGTTGAAATTGCTTGCAGGAATCAGCAAGATGTATGAAGAAGACGGTTTGCGAGGGGTGATGAATTCGGTTAGCGCATATTTTGATACGAAGATCCAAAATTCGTGTAACGGTATTTACAGCACTTTGTATTATATTGGTAATTTATCAGCCAATCACTATCCAAGCTCTCAACAACGACATCATCGAGAAGACAAGATCAAGAAGACAAAAAGACAAGGTAAGGTGTAAGAATTGAAATATAGAAAGTATCTACAGAAAAATTTCTGAAGTTCACCGCGGAACATATCCCATTCCCCTCCTCCACCACTCCCAAACTCCACGCCTCTTCATAATCGTCCCAAACTCCTTCATCGACTCGACTTCCCTCAAACCCACCTCAACAGAAACCCCCTCCCTCGCTTTTACATTTTCTCCTCCTTCTTCGCCTTGGAAATCCTCAATAATCAGTTGAGCCGGCCTCGTCACCAACTGATAATCCTTATACCGTAATCTCTGCACCGTATTCACCCAAGCAAAAGCATCTTCCTCCCTCCGGGCCTCGACGTACATCACACCGGGACAGCCGCCCGTTCGCAAGAGAACGTAGCAATTGTGCGTATCTGCGGCTTTTTTGAGGCTTGCTATCTTTTTGCGGGAGGTGATGTGGTGTGTGCGGATAAGGGCGTTGAAGAAGTTCATTCATCCAGTGCCTTTATAACCCTGAAGGTATTGGGATATCTAGGAGAATATCCAAGTATAGATGAACGTATTTCAGAACAATGTTTTATGGTTGGGTTGATGTGAAGATCAGTGTATCCAGATACGTAGGTGTGATGTATCTAGTAGATATGGAAAAGGATTTCATGTTGATGATGAGAATGATGAAGATCAGAAGTCTCGGTCCGACTTGATGCCGAGATTGTCAGCTTGCTGAGTGTAACTATACGATTAAGTTGAACCGAGTCAAAGAACGCTAACGAGTGCTACTGTATATTCATTTGATACATGACATAGAAAAACCGATATTACACGCCTGGCCATCGACTACTGCCTCGCCTCCGTCACAACCCCCTCATAATCCCGCGATCGAATATACTCAAGCGTACGCTGGAAATGACGCTTGGGGTTTTCGAGGCTTGGACTCGCTTCCCCATCATTACTTTGTAGATTGGAGTGTATTAGCTCAATCAACCCGTTCAAGTACTTCGTCGTCACTGTTTCGTTTTGTTGATCAAAGTAGTAGACGTATCGATTGAGGATTTCCACGAAAAGTTCCACCGAGACTGCAGTATCCATGCATGCATCAGCCACGCGAAGAGCACGTTGGAGACATTCGAGGACACGTTTCCCATCGCGATATAGCTAGGTGTATGTTAGCTTTTATCAATTTCATGTTACTGACAGCACTCACAGATTTTGGATCTTCTTCTCGTTGCGAATTCTCCACCACCCACCATAAATGACTTGCCAAGTAGACAGCTCGGCATTGGTCTGGCTTTTTCAGCAACTTGCTTCCATGCAAGGCCACCTTGGTGATAAGAGTATCGTAATTCTCCTTCGAGAAACCCCTGGAGTTGTGAAGAGCACTGGCAATGATACAGACAGCTTGGAATTGCGCTCGCGAATCGCTAATAGCGTCCTCATAGATAGTGAAAGCCTGTGCAAAGAACTCATAGCTCACTTCCTCGAAGCCGGTCTGATCAGCAACTTCACCACACATGATAAACAAGCGCAGGGACAAGTCGGCGCATCCAGGACTATTGACTCGCTGATAGAGGTTACTGATACACTGATGCATAAATCGGTGTAACGTTGATGATTGAGACTGCCAGTTGTCGTCGTAATGCTCTCGAGATTTAAGTTGTCGGGCCAAGCGTAACGAGACTGTCACAATCGCCGGAGTCGTATATCTAACCCGTTCGTTACCTTCCGCATAAGCAGTCCTAACGGCTTGCAGAAGCTAAAAAATAGTCAGCATAAAATTTGTTTTTTTTGTTTTTTGTTTTTTGGTAAATGGGGCAGGCGTACCTTGAGTTGTGTATCATTGTCCGGTCCTTTGATAAGATGCACCAGTCTTGCCAACCATCCTTGTTCCTCGATCGTCTCATCCGTTTCTCCCCGTCGCTGAGGATGTACACCAGGATATCCTGCTGGATGAGGCGCTCCCTCTTTGATCAGAACTTTGAGAACTTGAAGAATTCTGTCCAAGTTCTCCGAGCTGATTATAGCAGTCTTGTTTGTGAGAATAATCTTGATAACTTCAGTGGCAACTGCCCTTCGTGTAGGATAGGATTGAGAGGCCAAAAGTGGGATGTAATGTGGCAATGCAAGGCCTGTGAAGATTGAAACGTAGAGTCGGATTGGAGCAAGCAGTAAATTCAACAAATTTTGCTGCGCTGGCGCAGAGTGTAAATCAGCTTGATCCGCATGCTCTGCGACTTTCTGAGTTGCATAATCCAGTACCTGATCAACGTATTCAAGTCGTTCGGGGTAGATGTTCCTGTACTTCATGTTAATCAGGTTTGCGAGTAGGTAGTGTCGACAAACTTACAAAGCAAGGTTGATCAAAGACACGAGTAGAGCAATTGTGTCTTGAATGGGCAAACCTCTCGACTTAATGAGGTTCACAACTTGCTCATAGAAAGTTTCATACAGCTTGGTCTCCGCCGGAGCCTTAACTCCATTCGTGTCTTGCTGTTCAGACGGTTTGGTGCTACTTTCCGCTGCAGCCGCTTCTTCAGGTGCAGCTCCATTTTCCTGAGTCTGTTCAGCACTGGCCTTCTCAGTCTTTTTCTCCTCAGACAATTTGAAGTTCTCCAGCAATCTTGCGACTGCCTCCTCTTCATTTTCTTTCTTCTTCGCCGGGTCGTCTGTTTGTTCTGTGTCCTTGATAGCGTATGAAGAGAGTCGGTCCATAAGACCGATGACTATCTTCTTCATATCAACGTAAGGGTTCAGTCGCGCGATACTAGAGAGTAGTAGGTCCAACGTGTGTAGATGATATTCGTCTGGGAAGACCTTTGTGATAACTTGGACGTGTCAGAAGTTCCTTGCGTGAAGATTTTGAAGATGAACACCCTTCTTCTTACCTTCGAGTAAATACTCCTGCGCCAGAACATCCCGACATTGAACAACCTGCTCCAACAAAGGCGGTAGAATGGTGTTTTTGTACGTATCGAGATCCACCAATTGACTCAATCTGACAATATTGCTTCCGACAAGCAGCTCCAATTCTTTTCGTTCTTGCGTTCTCTTCTCGCGCTCCCGAGAATGACCTTGGTGCTGTAACCGAACCCAAAGCTTGTTCATTTCAACAAAATTGGTCAAGACAAAACTGATCGAGTCCTGTATATTCCCCTGTGGACCATCACCTGTACCTTCGGGAAGATGATCCCTCGCCTGACCGGACAGGTAATACCTCAGAAACAATCCGCGGACGGGATGCTGGACACCTCGACTCATTTCCATCATGTCCTTCATGATCTCCTTGACGGGGGCATCTTCAATTGACATATAGACTGTTCCCACGGTGATCATGAGATACAGACGAGGAATTATGTTGCCGGCATATTGGACGAGTTCGTACAGGTCTGCGAGGTGGTTCACCGGGTGGCTTTCGCGCAGATAGACGGAGAGATGTCGCAATGCATCAAAGACCGCCATGTATAATTCGTAGTATTGTTTCGGTCCTAGACTCGAGGTTCGCAACTCCGAAACAAACGTAGATCTACAGTCATCAATTGAATATGTCAGTGGAATTGGTATCAAACTTGAGATTTGATAGGAAAGCGGCTGCCTGGTCATCTTCAGGGTAAGACGGAGCAGAGCACATACGCGCATTTCAGAGCATCCATGAGCTTGCCAGGTGTTTCGAGGCACTTTCGCATCATATGCGACTGTTGTCGTACCACTCCCAAGGCCTCTTCGAGAAGCCGGCCCTGGTCTTCGGCGGGGGTGGGCGTGGTCGACATGCTGGGAGCTTGCGTGCAGTCAGCACACTCGAGTACCGCACCGGGGGAGATAGTGAGAAAACGGCAAGATCAACAATGTACTCGTCGTAATCGATGCGATATTGACAGGTCGCGCACCAATGTTTGTACAGAGAGCGCAAAAATTGGGGGTTCCGGAGGTGTTGATTCTTACGTTCTGGGGGATTGATCTGGAGTCGGGAAGGAGCACGAGCTGTCCGCCGCTCAGCCACTCACAGCGGCCGCGCTAGTCTGCCCACTATGATATAATCACCCTTACTGCCTTCTGGAACAGACGTTAAACCATTGAATCATTTACAAATTCTATGGAAATCTGAATGCAGATGGTATGGAGGCAGCGTTCATGGAACAACCGCCCCTCATAATGCTTCATTGTTGGTAATCTCGATCAACCGAAACCACCTCTCTCTGGCAGCTACCTACAATACAAATAACCGCAAGCCTGTGCCCTATTGCTCAGACTTGTCTGGTGAGGATAGACGTGATAAAACAGCATCGTAATGGAAGAAAAAATGCGTAAACTAACAGGCGAAGAAAAAAGCATGACCCCACTCGAAAGGACAGAAAAGAAGAACTCCGCAAAGCTGATGGCATGATGCTGCGTTAAATAGACACAAAAAGGAGGTTATGATGCGTCCAAGAAAGGCCCTTACGGCAAAGGAGATAGTATAAGGCAACCCTAAAGTAGACCCAATAGAGGTGAGGGCTCGAGACCTATAGATATAGAAAAAACGTGAGACCTAACACCTGGGTGCTTTTGGCGACTTGGCGTCAGCTCGCGAATGCGAGGGAATAAGAACTGAATAGCGACTGGCTAGAAAGTCGTTGGAGATGAGTATTGGCGGACGCCAGGTGCCCCAAAAGGCGCTGGCATGCTGCTTGCAGGAACGGGGCTTCCAATGTCCCCCGGCACAAAGCTACCACGGTGGCTGGACAGAGGGCTGGTGCTGTCTGGTTCGAACTTGACATAACGGTTTCCACTTCCATCTTCTTGAACGGCGAATGATCCGCCTCCGTTCTGTGAGCTTCCTTCCGTATCACAGATGTCCATCATTTCATCCAGTGTAATGGCTGGATCATTGGGAGACTTCAGTTGTTCAACTTGGTCGAGAAGACGATTGACTTCGTAGAATCCAGGAGCAAATTCTGAAGAAGCGGTTGAGCTTAGGTGCTTGATTGCCTGGATGACCAAAAGACGAATTGCCACAGGTCGAGATGCGTGGGTACGATGAGGACCGCCAGAGCCGAAAGGTCGATTGGGCCAAGAGGAACCTAATTCAATGTTAGCATTTATGCAGCATGAACTCATAAACGTGGAACATACCAGCTGCCACGTTCCAAGACGTTGGGAACGGCACGCCAAACGGACTATGGGTGGCCCATGAGCTGTTTCCTTGTCCAGAAAAGCTAGGGTGTTTTGCTGCTAGAGGACGCATGTCAGTGCAACTGTTCATAATTTTAATATCATTGAGAGCAAAAGGACTCACGACTTAACGGGTCCGGAAACGGTGGTGCGCCGAAACTTGCACGAGACAGTCCAAATCCGCTTGGGATTGGAGCTCCCGGTAGAGATTGCGACATGTGCGTAGAGAATGGCACATCCGAATCATCAAGCAATGCGCTACTACCCAGCTGAGCACTCAAGCTATCGACATCTGAATCTCCTTTCTGAGGACTCGAAGGCCGTTTGATCGGTGTCGGGCGAGAAATCGGCGCATTCTTGGGTTGGCCATCAACTGGTGGTCTATCATACGATCCAGAGGCTTGACGAGAGTGTGCAATAGGTCTTCCAGTCAGCTGAACAGTCGACATCACACCAGAGCCAGGTGCCTGGCTGCTGAACGCTATGTGACCTGGGTCTAGAGGGAATCCGCGATTTGGGATAGGCATTGGACGAGTACCACCGATTCCTGGCGGTAGGAGGACTCCATTTGGTGCGGGAAACCCTCTGTACTGCCCACCGATAGGCCCAGAATGGGGAGGATACATTGCCATGTTCTCGTTGCCCATGGGTCGCGTCGCTAATCCAGGCATTCCAGGAGGAGGATGAGCAGGCAGTCCGTTGACGGGTGGATAACCTGGAGGATGAGATCTACCAGCACCACCCATTGGCGAAAGAGGCGCTGAAGGTTGTGGATGGKGTAGGAGAGGTTGTTGTGGGAGACCGATCTTGCCTGATGAACTGAGAGGAGTGCTTGACGGCTGCGATAAAGGCAAGCTCTGCGGCGAGATGGAGGAAAGGGGCTCAGGACCACTGGTGGCTTGAGATCGTGGAGACGACGCGTATGATCCTTGCTGCGATGGCTGACGAGGGCGAGCAGGAGTTGAAGCTTTGTGGATGATAGGTGTCGCGACTTGAAAATGAGGGGAACTGGCAACGGGCGCAACTTGTGGGCTTGGAAACACAGGTGGGACAAACCCAACCGCAGTAGGCTGTGATGCTCGTTTGGGGCCAGCCACTGTAGGCTGCGATGAGGATTGTGATTGACTACGCTGCTTGCCAGTGCCTTGCTCCTCACGAAGCTTGCGATCCTGTTCCTCTTTGGCCTTTCTATCTTTCAATTCCCTCTCTTTTGCTTCCCGTTCTTCCTTTTCTTTCCGTTTAGCATCCTCACGCTTTTTTCGTTCCTTTTCCTTCTGCTCTCTTTGTTTGCGCTCAATCTCGGCTTGACGCTCACGTTCGTCCTGAAGGCGTTTCTGTTTTTCAGCTTCCTTGCGTAGACGCTCCTCCTCTTGGGCTTTTTTCTCGGCCTCTTTCTTTTTCCGTAACTCCTCCTTCTTCCGTTTCTGTTCCTCTAGCTTCTTTACTTCGAGAGCACGAGCTGCAGCTTCTTCGGCAGCTTTCTCAGCTTCCTTTCGAGCTTTCTCTTCCTCCCGAGCTTGTTTCTGTTGCTTCTTCCTATCTTTCTTCTTTTGGGCCTCGCGAGCTTTCTTTGCTGATCGCTGTTCGTTTAGTGTTTGCTCCTCCATCAGTTCCTGAAGTAGCAACTCCTGCCGTTGCTGAGCGACTTTTTCCCGATACGCTGTTAACACCCGTTGCTCAAACATTCGTGCGGCAAATATTTGAAACATTCGCCGTCCTTCCTCCATGCGTTGTTCCTCGGTCATGGTATCCTTACACATCAAATCAGTATATTTTTTTCCCTTGGGACGCTTAACCTTGCGCGACTAACCATTTCATCGTCCTCATAGTCTTCCTCCTCCTGACTGTCATAATCTTCCTCTTCTTCGTCATCGTAATCGTCTTCGTCCAGGGGTCCATGATTATGTCCTGCGTGGTAAGATTGATGTGCGGCTACCATTCCATATTGCGTGTCTTCCTCGCGCTGCATTCGACGCTCGGCTAGTTGTTCCATCATGTCGATGAAATGTTTCCCATCGTTCTTGAGAAGGTCATCGGCGACAGTCAAGATTCCGTCTAGCAGAAAATTAGATGAGTCATGGGAAATACAGGTTGAGAAAAGACAAGAATTGTAACAAACCTTTTACGGTGAGACTATTCCCAAAGGCAAAAAAATCCGCACGTTCACCATGACTGTCGTCATCTAATTCGTCGTCGCTGTACGGCTCTTCATCATCGTCCTCTTCGTCGTAGTCATCTTCCAAGTCATCTTCATCTTCTGGTATTTCATGCACTCGGCCATGGTGATGGTGATGGTGATGATGGTCATGGTCGTGGTCGTGGTCATGGTCATGATCATGATCGTGGTCGTGGTCGTGGTCGTGATCGTGATCGTGATCGTGGTAATGATCGTGGTGATCATGTTCATGGTCATGGTCGTGGTCGTGGTCGTGATCGTGATCGTGATCGTGGTCATGGTCATGGTCATGGTAATGATCATGGTGGTGATCGTGGTGATGATCATGGTGGTGATCGTGGTGATGATCATGAATGTGCGAATGCGAGTGGGAGTGGGAATGCGAATGGGAGTGCGAATGGTGCGAGTGATGTGCATGCGAATGTCTATGCGCATGACGGTTGAGGGCGTGGAGGTTGCGATGGTATAGTCGTGGCGGAGGAACGATAGGGGCGCCGTTTTCGAAAGTGCCCTGGTTGGTGTTGGCATATTGTTCGAGCTCCTCATAGTAAGCATCGTACAGTACCTCCAGCTCCTCTTCTATTGCCGTCCGCTTTCGCCCACAAACAGTGCAGCTACACGAATGCTTTTGTTGTTCCTTCATTTTCTTCAGCACAGCATCCTTTTCAACCTTGACCAGGGCCCTTCGCTCATCTTCGCCAAGCTCAAGCCAGAATTTCTTGATATTCTCCCGTTCCTCTTGAGTAGATGTATTCCATATGCGGTCCTTGGGTTTTTTTATTGTTTGATTACTCGGCATGGATTGTAGTTGGGGCTGTGATCGACCTCCTGTCGCAGAGGGTGCAGAAAGAGACGTCGAACTTTCCTCGGCTAATTTCTGAGAAGTGGATGGAGTCTTGGATTTTTTCTTCTTTTTCGATTTGGACGTTGTTGTCGTTCCGTTTCCATTGGTCATGGGCCCAGAATGGTCATGTGTGTCGTCTTCATCGTCAATCTCATCTTGGTCATAGACGTCCCCATCGTCCGCGTCGGACTGGTCTTTGTTGCTATAGTGCATCTGATCTGATGGATTTGTCGAATTGTCAGCACTGTGGTCTTGTTGCTCGGCGGCAAGTTTAGCGGCCTGCTTCTGTCGCCTCTTTTGTTTCTTACGATTCACTGTCGGCGCCATGGTGTCTGATTCGGGTCTGCTGCTATTCTCGCTGGCCGAACGATCTAGTTGCACTGGCACCGAGGCTGCCGTTGTTCGCACAGCTGACGGCTGCTTCGTTTTCGAAGTCGCTGGGGCTTGGGTGGCAGCTGGTGGTCGGTGAAAGGCGGCAGACATGCCGCTTTCTCTGATATGCAGTTAACCTAGACGCAGTGTCTGATGTACATGAAAAAAGACGCTATTCTTTCCCAGAAAAAAACTTGGCCGGGCGATGAAGATGCTGATTCGTCGTCAGATGGTACTTAAGAAAGCGTAGACTGTGGTTGGTCGAGGTGAGGATGTAACAAAGGTCGTCGGTGGTGGAGGGGAAGATTCTCCAAGCCGCGGGCGGGTTGCGGACAAAAGCAGCTGGCCGCGAAAGGGTTGAGATTCAAATTGTGGTGATAGAGAACAGACTGCCGAGATCTGGTCAATCACAGGTTGATGGTAGTCGTGGAAGGAGGAGGAAGAGTGCCAGAGTGACAGAGCTCTTTCGTGAACGATTGCAGAGGATGGAGACAGAGATGAGATCAAATGGGATGGTTGGTTTGGCGCGGGCCCTGACCTTCCTGGCCTTCTGGCTGGTCCAAGTGCCGCCCGCCGCTGGGCACAAAAGCGGGCTGCCTTAGGCGCCGCAAGCGAGCTTTATCTAGAACATATACAGTACGGAGTGCTATGGCAATTTCTTTGCAGAGGATGGACTTGATATTGACCGATGGTTTGTCAAACTCTAGTAACTATAGTTCGGTTGAATTCTCTAGCACTCGATATCATAGAATACTTTAGTGCTGATGCAGTTTTCACGGGGCTACCCAGGTACCCAATTATTGCGATAGTCTCGCCGTCACTATGCTTGCGGAATTGACTTTGGCAAGTGAGTCAATTTATTGCAGCTCAACAAGATATCATTGTAAATAAATCATAGACGATGAGGAGATGAATGCACTTCGTAGTATCACATAAACTATTACGATGTGCGTTCGCTAAATAATGTCCAGAAAGAAGGAGCAGACCCAGAGGAAACTCAAGAAAAACATCAAAAATCTCACCAGCACAGAGCTCAGTCCTTCCCACCTCCACATCAAAAGTCAAATGTCTCTTCGAACTGTCTAGTCAAACCCGCCAACCTACCTGAGACATCTCGCTGTTCCTCGACCCTGCGGCCGCTCGGATTGGTGAGGCAGCATAGCCCCCGGTMCCCGCCGATGTGAACGTTACAGGGGGCTCAAAAGGTAGAATCCAAGTGGATTTTGACGCTGTTTACTCCATCCATACTTCGAGCCGATCGACAGCGTACCTGAATTTCGAGGATATCCAGCTCATTAAGACCATCCGGTGTCTTAGAATCCTCGTCGTTTCCCCCTCCGTGCCTGCCCTTGTCTCAATTGTCTCATCGAAACGATTACTCATTCTGTCTAATACAAGCAATCGACCGACGAGGCGCGGTTCGTGGTTCAGCCAGCCAGTCGTGAAATGCCATCATAGTCAGTTGCGATATTTTATCGACAGTCCTCTAGTCATCAGGAAGTGTTGAATTTCCCCGTGTTGCAAGCTGTATACGCCCCGAACTTATTATATCTACCACTCGAGCTCCTCCTCATCTCGCCGGGCGTCTACTCATTTGATCCACGAAAACGACCGTTTGCTACTCTCTGCACTATGGCTCAACAACCGACGGATAATGTTATGCGAAGGTACGTTTACCTGATGGAATGTTGTGTTGTTCTATAGTCAGCTCGTGTGGAGTAGAGGGGTTCTTGGTCGCATACATTAGGAGGAAAACATATTTGAATCTGGAGCTGACGCTTTCGCATAGGAAATTGGTGATTATAGGTGATGGTGCTTGTGGAAAGACCAGTTTGCTCAGTGTGTTTACTCTTGGTTATTTCCCAACAGTGAGTGGTTCAACATTGCTTAAGTTAATCATTCCATACTGACTTCTTATAGCACTACGTTAGTAGCCATTATCGTCACTACTCTACGTCCAGCTAATCCGCCTAGGTGCCCACCGTTTTTGAAAACTACGTTACCGATTGCCGAGTCGATGGCAGATCAGTGCAACTAGCATTATGGGATACGGCCGGTCAGGAAGACTACGAACGACTACGACCTTTAGCATATTCCAAAGCCCACGTCTTGCTGATAGGATTCGCCGTCGACACACCGGACTCGTTAGATAACGTCAAGACCAAAGTATGCCTTTTCTCCACAACTGCGTTCGATTTCCATGCAACTAACTCGCCATAGTGGATCGAAGAAGCTAACGAACGATGTCCCGACGTCCCAATCATCCTAGTCGGCCTAAAGAAAGATCTCCGCGACGACCCCGTGGCCATTGAAGAAATGAGGAAGAAATCACTCCGATTTCTCACCCCCAAAGAAGGCAGTGAAACCGCCGCGCAGATTGGAGCTCGCAAATATCTCGAATGCTCCTCGTTAACGGGAGAAGGCGTGGACGACGTTTTCGAAGCTGCGACCCGAGCGGCGCTTTTATCATTTGAGAAGGAGCGAAATGGGTGCTGCGTTATTCTATAATTGCGACTTCCATGCTTTATGTTTTGTGACGAGCCGCTGCTAGTGTTGCCATTGTCAATCTGAGTTGACTCAAAAGACTGGATACCATGCCAGATTTGCATCTACGGCGTTCATGTATTGTGTTCTGTTCTATCTGCAGGCGCTTTCTATTTCTTTTTCAAGTCATTATTCCCTTTCAATCTATCTTCTTTTTCTCTTTCGTACCTGAAAATATTGATCGACTGTTTTGTTATTGTACGTATTGAATTGAGCAAAAACTTTTCATCCAAAGGACTTCTTCGAAAGGTAGATGTTTTGACATATTGTACACTTGTATATATACAGAAACAAACGAAAAACGAGTTTTAAACTGTAGGCCCATTCACCAAACAATCAATCTTTCACCAACTCCAAACGAAAGGAATCGATCACATCCTCTTCCACCCATGATTCCACCCTTCCCTACCGGGACTATCAGTCTGCAGCCTCGCATACTCAATCGGAAACAGATCCGTGAAAACACCTTTCTTATTCATGGACACTCGGAAAAGCTTCGCGCCTCTTTCGCCGCAGCTAGTGCGCAGCTCTTCGCATGCAGCGGACATGGCTTGTTGTTGGCGGTAGAGTTCGGTCTCCTGTTGAGTGCGCAGATTCGCTTGGTAGAGTTGCCAGGCGCGGTGGATGGTCCAGTGGCGTAGGTAACGGTTGCGTGAGAAGCGGAGGGGGCGAGGTGTGAGAGGGTGGTAGAGGAAGTATCTTATTAATGCTGTTTAGCACGTTAGCATTCATACGAATAGTTTTGCTAGGTGCAGAAAGATTAAGCAGGTGGTCGTACTGATACGCCTGTCAGGTTTGTATGCTGATTTCCGTTTCGCAAGCGATGGCGTCGTGGAGAACGATGATGTTTGCTGTGAGTTTTTCGCTGAGAGGGTTTGTAGAATTGTCGATGTTGATGGTGTTACTTGTGGTCTTGTGATTGGGATCCGGAAGACGTTGGCTAGCGAGGCTAGGATTGGGGAGTGAGGTCGCATTGTGAATTGGGTTTTATACTGTCAATCGGGTTGCTGTGCTGTTTCCCTGTCCGGCTCTAGCCAATCAATCCTGTCCGTATGTTAGATGATCTGGTTGTGGTTGTGATGTTTGACTTGTTGATAGAATACGGAGCAAAAATAATTGGCTTTTCCGCTCTAACTAAGCGCGCGGCTAATTCCTGCCGCCAGCATTGGTCATTTTGTACTCTACGCTGAACGCTCTACGCCGAATCTCTCTACCATCTTCATCTTCAAATTCGTAAGAATGTATGTACAAATAATTAGCATGCCTGAGTCGAGTTTTATGCCATGCACCCATCCATAGAAATAAGCCCAAATTCATCACACCATAATCGTCAGTTCCTTCAGCATGCAAAGAGTATGTCTATCATACAACCTTCTTCTTCTGCCGATCATAATTCAACACTCGTCTCTTGCGATGCGTCTGTGCCAGTCGCCATCGACAATAGAGCACCAATGCATCCTTCAAAAGGACAAAAAGGCMCCCGCCGACTACGCTGCGGCCCCATCGACTCTGTAAGAGTCCTGCTCTCCCTGATGCGAATGCTGATTGTGGTGCTGTCCATGATTTTGGTAAAGCCAGTTTTAAGAGCCCACCCATTCCAGCTGAGATCGCAGGGAAGAGCAGTGCACCGAGGACTGTGTCCGCAAGGTTGCTCGTGTCGTGGATGAGTTCTTGACGACGTCGACCGAGTATTTGCTGTTCTGGATCTTGTTGTCCATTTTGCACTCCTGCTTGGCCATCTTGGTCTGCTTGCTGGCCCACGTTGTTGGGATCCGGTGCGTTGACAGGCTCATCAATATTCTGCCGGTCATCATCCATCCCAATTTGTAATTCCAGGTCAATCTCCATCAGTATTCCTCCGTTTCCGCCGATGCCTAAAGCTGCTCTTTGATCTCCTCTTTGCTGGTCCCCCTGCTGTCCTTCCTCCTCGCCACGACGAGGCTGCACCTCGGCAATCCATTTTCGCTCCAATTTCCCAAATACTCTCTCATAAACAGCACTATAGATACTCTTCACGTAAGGTAGAGCCGCGAATGTCATCGTAGCACTTGGTGGCCAGAGGGTACCCTGGGGCTCGAATCCCGTTGGGTTATGAGTTGCAAAGAATAAAACTGGTATAGCTGGTAGTACACCGTCTGCCCACGACATGCGAGAAAAGATGAGCACGATAGGGATAAAAGGAATGCCCACGTTTCGGACAGGACTCCATGCGTCGTCAACGCCACGGTCAAATATGTGATGCACTTCATCTGAGCCAAATACCAGATGCATGGAGTAAACCCCATGCGCACAACAACCGGCCCATATAGTCCCAGCAAATGTAAACACTAGTCCCGGTATAACCAATTTCCCGGCAAGTTTCTCACAGGCCCGAACGATATCAACAACGTAGCTCCGAGGGCGAGATATGACGATTTTGGATTTGCACTGCGGACATTGTAGCCGTACATCGCCTCTGTTCTGCCTGCGTGTTCGCGGACTCTCGAGTTCAGCTAACCAGTCTAAAAGACACGCTTCATGTGCAGTCAAGGCGCAGGGACAAGGCGACCGCCACTCGGAACTATGCGGCAAATCTTCCGTCTCGTCGCTATAACAGATCCAGCATTTCCTGGGCTCTTCCTCTGTTGTCGTCTGTTCGGCTATTTGGCTCCTTTTTTCGTCTTGGTGTTGGCTATCGGTTTTATTTTGATGCGGTAAGTCTCGTGGTGGCGAAGGCGAGGATGAACCGAAGCGTACGGAGGATGGATTATTGAGGAAAACTGAATCTGGTTCGTGGTTTACTGTTTCTGGGTCTCTGTTATCATCTTGTAGACTTGATTCTCTCGAGTCGTATGTGCTCGATGAATCATTATGTTGTGAGTATCGTCGTCGACTGGACGTCGTCTGTCGCGGGGGAAGCGATGCCATAGTGGTGACTGTATGAGGGAAGAAGGACGATGCGAGAAACGGCTGTTCGACGTGGCTAGTATCAGATATTCATGATCAATGGATATAAATAATTACAAGTAATAGTGCTAACGATCTCAATAGAACAATATCGATAAGTTGGTGAAATAAGCTTGCCTGGAGAGATTGTTTGGCGATACGTCACGTTGAGTGGGCCTCGGCTCATCTTGAGAGTTTGACGTTAGATCAATCTTGCCGCTCGACGGCCGAGCTTCCGTCCACTACACGCTCTATCTAACTCAAATAGGAATCATCTCGTGCTTCACAATTATCGTCCACTTTCATGTCAAGTTTAAAGTTGTCACGCAATCAAGCATGCAATTACTTTTTGCTTCAAGCCATATCCCATGGCCAGGCCCCTTGTATGCTAAACCTATGCTATATACACATATTGTAACTGTCAGGAAACATGAAGATACAATCGAAGAGAAAAAGAAAAATGGGTTGATAGAGAAGCCGAAACACGGGACTATCATTCTGTTGATGACAAGCTTTTGAAAGTAACAATCCAACAACGCCAGGATATCCGTAAGTCGCAGAAAAGAGGCGGTAAAAATGATCAAACGCATATGACAGGATGGAGACGAGCATGAACATTCCGTGAATCTAGTGAAACTAGTTCAGCATCTGTGTGACGCCACGCTTCTTCATCAATGCTTTTCGCTCCTTATTTTTGGCTACACGTAGAACATTAGCATAAATGTGCGGAGGCTCAATGCGGGCTAAAAACTCACCTTCGTCATATACAAGGAATTCGTGGAGGGCGCTGCCAGCAGGAACCATAGGAAGGACAGGAACCTTCTTGTCAGTAAAAACTTCCAAAAGAGCAGGGCCCTCGCTCTCAATGAGCCACTTCAACTTCTCTTCAACTTCTTCGGGTTTGCTACATCGCTGAGCCTGAACACCCATGGCTTCCGAGAGCTTTACGAAGTCAGGGTTCTGCTGATGTGTGTGGGCGTAACGATCTTCGTAGAAGAGGTTTTGCCATTGCGTAACCATGCCTTGTTCTTCGTTATTGAGCACAAGGACTTTGACACCGATGTTGAACTGGGCAGCAGTCGACAATTCGGTCAAGGTCATGTTGAAAGAAGCATCACCATCGATATCGATGACAAGGGCCTCAGGGCGAGCAACCTTAGCACCAATAGCGGCAGGCAATCCGAATCCCATGGTACCCAACCCTCCAGATGTGATCATAGTGCGAGGATGACGCCATCGGAAGTGCTGAGCAGCCCACATTTGATGTTGACCAACACCGGTTGTGATAACGGTGCGGTCCTTCATGTGAGCCGTCAAGTCACTAAGCTTTTGAATAAGAGCCTGAGGTTTGATAGGGCCGTCCGTAGTCTGTTCTTCGTAGAGAGTCAATGGGAAACGTTTCTTCCAGTCATTGATCTGAGCGAACCACTCTGGTCTTTCAGGAACAGCCTTCACTTTGGGAATAAGCAGGGCCAAATTGTCAGCACAATCACCCTCGACGGCCTCGGTAGCCTCAACAACCTTGTTAATGTTCTTTGGCATGACCTCGAAGTGAACGATTCCACCACGGCCTTCCAAGGCAGCGGCTTTGGCTTGAGGGGCAAATCGAGCAACGTTTAGGGTGACACGATCATCGAAACGGGCTCCCAGCGCAATGATCAAATCGGCCTCCTGCATGGCCATATTGGCGTAGGCTGATCCATGCATACCGAGCATGTGAAGAGACTTCGGATCAAGCTCGTCGAAGCCTCCCAAACCTTGAAGAGTGGTGGTTACAGGAATGGAGGTCTTATCGGTAAACTCTTTGAGAAGCTTGGGGCCATCGGGACGAGCCAATAAGCCTTGACCAACATACAGGACAGGCTTCTGTGCGACGCCAATGAGATCGGCTACACGGTCGAGGGTGTTTTCGAGGTTATGACGTCCAAGAGCGCGAGCTGCTTCGCTGGCAGTAGTCGGGTAGAATGGCAAGGTGCTGTTCATAGGAATGGATTTGCGGAGGATACCGGCAGTGATGTCTTTGGGAAGATCGACCAAGACGGGACCGGGGCGACCGCTAGTCGCGATCTCGAAAGCTTCTTTGATGCGTCGGGGGAGTTCGGCCACACTTTTCACCAAGACGTTCCACTTGGTGCAAGGGCGAGAGATACCGACCACGTCGGCCTCTTGGAAAGCGTCGGTACCAATAGCGGAAGTTGGCACCTGACCGCAGAAAACGACCATGGGAGTTCCATCGGACAATGCATCTTGCATTGGGGTAATCACGTTGGTGGCGCCGGGGCCGGAAGTGACCAGGACCACACCAGGCTTTCCAGATGCACGGGCATAACCTTCGGCCATATGGCCGGCACCCTGTTCATGGCGAGGTAGAATGAAGTCAAAGTGTTTGGAGTTGTAGATGGCATCGAAGACAGGTAGAATTGCACCACCGGGGTAGCCAACTAGACATCGCAATTAGATGAAAGGATCTTGGTAGTCTGTTGATGTCTTGTTCAAAGTATGACTCACAGATATGCTTAACATCTAGTCTCAACATCATCTCATGGAAGATTTCGCCACCACTGAGTCCGACGAATCTATTGAAATAAAAAGCACATCGATTAGCAAATATCCCCAATTAGCCGTATTCTTCAAGGCCTAGCGTACGAGTCATCGAGTTCAGGTAGTTTTCGGTTCTCCAGAGGAGACACATTTCGAGTCTCTTGGTTGAAGGCAGGACTGGGCACGGGACGAGCCTCTCTGTATATACCAAGTATTGTCAGCTGCCAATTTCAATTCCCAACTCTAAGAAACCCCGAAAATTCGATACAGAGAAGAAACATACGACGATGCAGTGGCCGTACTCTGTCCTCGTTTGAAAGTACGGTGGGGCGAAACGGCGCCAGCGACCAGAGTAGTGGAAAAATGCCTGCGATTCGAGACGAGCTGTCTCTGTGAGGGCAAGGTGCGTAAGGCACTCCTTGACGAACGGATAGGCATCATCTTGTCGACAATAGACGATGTCCTGGCGACGTCGAAAATTGAGTTGGGGGAAGGATAATTCAGCAGGGGGTGTTCAGAAGGAAGGAAGAAGAAGTTCGTTGGAGGTAGGCCAGACCGACAATCCAGCGCCATCCATTTTTTGTTTGCTCTCTCTGGGGAGCCGAATAAGAGTCACAGATTCTTGCAGCGCACTAGTCTACTTTGGGTGCCAGTTTCCACCATCTTCACTAATTGGCGCTCCATGATTGGTTTACTGGGCTCCCCGCAGTGGATTTGAGAGCTCACTGGCAGCTGTGATTGGAGGACGGCATCCGATTATCGGCCGTATGACTCGGCTGCGGACCTGAAGCACTTGTGACAGTCAGATTGCATGAGATGGGCAAATCGTTTGCTCTAAGGGGTATGAACAGACCAGTTGCCCCAAGGAGTATGACAACTAACTACGAGGCGAGCATGGAGTACGAGGTTGCCAGCCAATCTTTGTTGTTACATGCTCGTGCAGAGAGCAAGTAACTACCCGAAATACCGAACAAACCACGGATAATAGGTCTGATTGTTTACGGATATAAGCATCAATGTCCGTCAGGCCACTTTACAGCATCTTCAATCTTTAATCGCCGAGCATGACGATGCCTGAGATACCAGGTCAAGGTAATAGTAGTAATGTGCGTGCGCTGTGCGGTTTCGGCGCTGGATGGCGAGGCGGGGAGCATGAAGACTAGCCCTATTCCAGTTAGTCCACGATCAATTGAAATTCTGTGGAAGCCTCAGGGTTCAGGCAACTTCAGGCCTCAGCAGTGTAAGGCAGATGCTCAAGCTTCCTTTATAGGAACGTCATCACAGGTTAGTCGTATACTATCGATAGTGTGTATGCTATATGAGGCACAGGCACAGCAACTCAGATCTTCCAAGCAAACATTCCTTCCTGATGATTGCTCCAGTTGGTCGTTGCATTCGTCCTACGGTCGACATCAATGCAGGCAATGGTCTCGGCCTGTTCACACAGTCAGCTTAAGTATTCAAAATTTCTCATTGATCCCTAGATCTCGGGATTTCCGGTCAATCTATACCGAAGGGTTTACCGGGCATAGTCTGGTCCTTTATTAGCCGTGTGGACGGATAGATTTTTAGCATTTGCATGGCGGGGTGTTACAGTGGGGATGCCCTAATCAAAATTCATGTTGTATCATGCTCATGGCGAAGGAGCATGAGGTCACGGGTGTTCAAAGGTTGGCGCCTTCCACCTTTTCTTCCATCGCATCTTCGAACTTCATCCCTCTCATATCCCTTGCTAAGCTGAATCAATACCTTCTATACTCTATCTATATCAGGAGCGTTTAAGCACGCGATAAACTATAAAGCAGGGAGCTCCTTTCCTCCACTTCCGCAACAATGGCCCCGCAGCAACTCCTTGTTCCTCAGACCGAAAACATCGCAGACGTCTACGCAACAGACGATATCTCGGCGCAGTCGGTGGCCCCTGAGATAAAAGCTCGCTGGCAGAATCTCGTCAAACAATTCACCGAAACCTATGGCAAGAAGCCCGATTTCGTTGCACGCAGTCCTGGCCGTGTAAACATCATTGGCGAGCACATCGACTACAACCTGTATGATGTCCTGCCCACAGCTGTCAGCGTCGATGTAATCATTGCCGTCAAGGTCGTCCCGACAGAGGGATCCGAAGCTACCGTCAAGATCTCCAATGTCAATTCTCAAAAGTTCCCCTCCCGCGAGTTCGGTGTCCCCTTTGACAAAGACGTCGTGATTGACCCTAAGAAACATGAGTGGATCAACTATTTCAAAGCAGGTCTGGTCGGAGCATTGAAGTTCCTCCGCAAGGACAACCCAGCTGTGCAGCCGGCTTCCCTCGAGATTCACCTAGACGGCAATGTGCCCCCTGGTGGTGGCATTTCCAGCAGTGCTGCATTCGTGTGCGCCAGTGCCTTGGCTGTTATCAAGGCCAATGGCCATGATGTGTCCAAGGAGGACCTTTTGGACCTGGCTGTCGTGTCCGAACGCGCCGTGGGCGTTTACTCCGGAGGGTTTGTTTCAATCACTTCTCCTTTTTTATGTAGTACATCTAATCATTGGCAGAATGGACCAGGCTGCTTCCATCTTCTCCCTACGCGGATTCCTCCTTTACACGAAATTCTTCCCCAAATTCTCCGTTGAGCACGTCCCTATCCCAGTTGCGGACGAGGAAATCGTATTCCTAGTTGCCCAAAGCTTCGTTACCTCTAACAAGGCCGAAACCGGTCCTCGTCATTACAACCTTCGTGTCGCCGAATGCACATTAGCTGCTGTTGCGCTTGCTAAACAACACGGAATCGTTTTAGAAAAGGACAACAGTTCATTGGGCTATAGTTTGAGAAATTTTCACGAAGAGCTCATGCGCAAGCAAGGCCGTCTTCAGGACCCATTGGAGTACCAGATTGACTCCGTCATTCAGACCACAACAGAAACATTCACCCAAGAAGAAGGCTATACCCGCGAAGAGATCGCCAAACTCCTTGATATTACAGTACCCGAGCTCGAATCCCGATTCCTTTCCTCCTTCCCCGTCGAAGCAGAACGATTCAAGCTTCGTCAGCGTGCCCTGCACTGCTTCAAGGAGGCACGCCGTGTATTAGATTTCAAGGCTTGTCTGTCTCAAGCCGATAAGCTAGACACCAAACGCATTCATTATCTCGGTCAGTTGTTAAACGAGACCCAGGACTCGTGCCGGGATGATTACGAATGCAGTTGCCCCGAAGTCGATCAGATTTGTGAGATTGCTCGTCGCGCTGGTACTTGGGGGAGCAGACTCACTGGCGCCGGGTGGGGTGGCTGCACGGTGCATATGCTACCCAAGTCCAAGGTTGATGCTGTTAGCAAGGCATTGCACGAGGAGTACTATTCCAAGCTCTCTGGTGTTACTCAGGAGCAGTTGGCCCAAGCTATTGTTATCAGCAAGCCATCTAACGGAGCTTTCGTGTAAGCCATTCCTTTCTTATCTACCTTTTGAGGTTATCATTTCTGACTTGAATTTAGGGTTCATGGTGCTGCTTTGGAAGCTTGAAAGGTTTAGGACATAGTCTACTAATCAGGGTGGATCAATGTGTGTTGCATATAGATCTGATATGATGATGATACCGGCATAGACTGGGCAAATGCAAGTTCCATCGTCTATGTAACACCGTCAGATCTCGGAGTCTGTTCTTATACACCGTTCTGACCAGTGCGCGGCAGTTGAACCGATATTTGCTTTGCCTCCATCTTTAGCAAGTAATGGGCTTGTAGCGAAAGACGAAAGGAAGCAAAAAGCCATCCAGTCTTTGTCATTGTAAAACGCGAGCCGGACGCCAGTGGGGTTGTATGAAAGCTCGCTTCCTCGTTCTTGTGCGTCATGCTGCTTTGTTCGCCGGATTTTTCTCCATCGGCATAAAAATATATCGAGTATACAAACCTTAAGTGAATGCCTATTTCAAGACTTCTTCTTAAAGAAGTCACTCATCTTCTTCATCCCCGAAGTATTAACCTTCTTCAAATCCCTCACAGCCCTCGACTCGGCCACTTTCGCCTTCTTCTCTTCCTCCTTCCTACGTTTCGCCTCCGCACGCTCAGAATCACCGTCTTCATCTTCAAAGCCGCGCTTGCGAGTGAAATCTCCGCCCATTGCGCGCGACGCAAATGCCTCTGCGCGAAGAGCGGCTAGTTCCTTCAATCGGTCATCGAGAGGGCTAAAGTCGAAGGGGCTTTCGGGCGACTTGAGGATTTCGTCGATTCTGGTGGATAGATTTTGTGGTAGGTAGGATTGTTTCATAAAGGCGAGGGCGATGCGCAGACGAAGTAGTCGCGCGACGCTTTCGGAGGATGATGATATTTCTTCCACGGTATAAGTTTGGGTAGCTGGTGTCGAGATTCCGGACTGTTGTTCAGAAAATGTAGCAGACATGGTCGTGGTGGATGTAGATTGTGTCTCGACGACTTCCAAGTCTTGGCTATCCTCGTTTTCGACGACAGTAGCAGTGGCAGTTACTGTATCTTCGCGCTTGACGCTCATCAGAGGAGGTGCAAGAGCCTTGTGAATAAAAGTTTGTTCTAGACTTGCGGGAAGTCCTTGGGCGATCATTCGGTCTGCCTTTGCGATGAGCTCGTTGAGAAGCTTTCTCTCGCTAAATCTGTACAATTTCTCGTCCGCGGCTTCCATCGTATCACAAATTGCTTGCATGCGTCTCTCAAGTGTTGAACGGAACGAATTATCATAAAGAACATGTCGTAGGTGTGCGGAAAGCTCGTCCTGCGAGTCCAAAATATCATCCAGAGGTTGAAACATGTTCGACGTCGAAGTCTTGTCGGCTGGCGCTATGACCGATAACATGAAGAACAAGACATCAATTGGTGTTGCAATCAAGAGTTCTGCCTTTTTCGCAATGTAGCCTTTCGTTTCTGGCTCGCCATCGTCCTTGTTCGGCGTGAAGAGGATGCTCCTCGGAGTGAAGTGTGTTGATGCGACGGCCGTGAACTCGTACAAGCCAGCACCTTGTGGGTCGAAGTAATATCGATTGAGGACTCCAGAACTAGGGTTCGGAAGAGAAAGAAATCTGGCTGCATCACTCCTCTTTGAAGGTAGAATGAATGTTCTGTTGGGCACGTCGACTGATTGGGGAGTATTTCTTTTTGAACTTGAGGAGCTCTTGGTTTCCTCCGAAGGGCCTTCGGTCGCAGGTTTTGATCGCGTACTTGGCATCCTGGATAAATCTATTCACCAAGGTCAAGGTTAGTATTTCGAGCAATCGAAATTGTCCTTATGTCAAAAGTGGTGGACTTAATGATTATTGTCTGGAGTGGCCGTAATTAGTCGGTCCCGGGCGGACGCGACACGCGCCGATACGCGTCAAATTGCAAGCAAGGATGAAGGAGCGCAGAATGGAAGGCTCACAGCCGCACCTATCAGCGCTCGTGCTACTTCCATAGCTCTTTCTGACTTGTCACAGCATCTCTGCTACGTTTAGGGGCCGATGCAAATGACTCGGAATATTTGAGAGCAGAACAGAACAGCAAACAATAATCTCTCGTTTTCACTACAAATTTCGGAAATGGTGGGGTTGGCTCACTACATGCATGTCATTTCAATGCGATGAAAGTTACGGTGTCGATCAATTGGAGGTGCTCAAACAGCGTGTGCTTGCGTCTAGGAGGATAAGAAGACAGTATGTCGAAAAGCGATTGGACTCATCTTGTCACGGCTAACGATGCTCTTCAGTGGTCGATCCGGCATCATGGCCTCCCAAATCACCGAGGGAGGCCCTACTCGCTTCTCCCGGCGGCCGCAAGAGATATATTGAACTACGAAGAGAACGAGAAACAAACGAGCAGACTTCCCCCTTGAAGCGGTCACGTACAACGCCGAACCTCTTTTCTCGGAAGCTCGCCCAACATGAAAACAGCAATGAAGATGTCGGTGTTGGCGACGGCGACGACATGGAAGAGGACGAGGAAACCCTACGGCTACAGTTGGCGGCTATTGAAGCTAAATTGAAATTGAAGAAATTACAATCCGCCAGATTGAACGCGGCAAGCCCACGCAAAGATGACACGTCTTTGCAGGGGAGTTTTACGTCGTCGTCTTCTTCGGGACAGCCCGCGAGCCGAATGCGAGCAATGAGAGAGCGACTGGCAACTTCGGAGCAAGCAGATGACGTTCAGGTTCCATTGTCTCCTTCCAAGAGAACGATGTCCCAAGATCCGATGTCTCCCCGTCGAGCACTTATCAACTTCAAAAAGGCGAGCGAGGTATCGCTTAAACGACCATCTGGTGCAAGACCCGGAACCGCTCAGTCGAAGGCTTCGAGCATTCGTCCTGGAACCTCTCGGTCTTTCAACAACCAAGACAGTCCGCCGGATATCTGGTCAGCCGCTGCGGATGACTTGAAAAAACCCAAATCCTTCAGCGAGAGAATTGCAGAGACCAGGAACGCCGACAGAGCCAAACAGCAGCGCACCGAGCAGATACAACGCAGTCGCAACTCAGCTTTTCAAGTCGATAATAAAGAAATTGAAAAATACAAGGAAGAGGCTGCTTCAAGACCGAAACCAGCGAGCCCTGATAAGCGGCCAGCGGAGACTTTTAGTCGCGAGCAGGTCCTTCAATCGTATGGCAACCCTCAAGTGCGAATCAAAAAGTCTACGACAGCCCCGAGCCTTCTAGCCTCACCACCCATAACTTCACGACACCTCAATCCTGTGTCAATTGGAAATGCCAGTCAAAGTTCATCCAAGGAACCGGATATTTCCAAGTTAGAACCACTCTCTGGTCTCAACCTCTCAAACCGCATTCTACCCCAGTCATTCCTTAGCCGCACACTTGAGAATAAGACGGTCCTTCGAATTCCTCAGCTTTTGAAATCAGTCAAGGCTCCTGAGTTTGAATTGCCCGAGACCATAGATGGAGACTATGTCGTCTTTGGAATCGTCGCTTCCAGATCTGATCCAAAGCAGCACAAGGAGCCCAAGAACTCAACGAAAGAAAAGGATATGTACGATGATGGTCTGAACAATACAGAAAAGTACATGGTTATCACCCTCACGGACCTCAACTGGACTATTGATCTTTTCCTGTTCGATACCGCATTCCCACGTTACTACAGACTTTCGGAGGGCACGCTGATAGCTATACTAAACCCAGCAATTCTTCCTCCACCCCCTGGCAAAATTGACACCAACCGCTTCAGTCTCTGTCTTTCATCTTCGGATGATACTGTTCTGGAAATCGGCTCCGCTCAAGATATCGGTTACTGCAAGGCTGAGCGTAAAGACGGAAAGATTTGTCGATCATGGATTGACTCACGTAAGAGTGAGTTCTGTGACTTTCACGTCGACGTGCAAATTCGGCGAACACAGGCATCAAGGGCCGGCGTGAATGGTGGCACGGGCCTGTTTGCTCCTGGCGGCCGCAATGCATCACGTATAGCCGAATTTAGTGCCTCCAAAGGTCAGCGTGGTGGTCGTCGAGGGCTCAAACCCGAAGGTAGTAGATACGATTGGGCGACTCAGTCAACATACTTTGTCGCACCTGCGCCCAAATCTGCATCCTCCCAAGGTGCATCTATGCATCCTCGCTATGGCATGGGAAGAGGTGCCTCGGCGGCAGCTCTCATTGATGGAATCGACGATAACCCATTCACAGACCAAGTTCGTGGCAATGCGAACAAGGAAGAACGTACACGCCGTCGGCTTGTAGAACAGCAACGCGAGCGTGATATTGCACAGAAATTAAGCTCTAGGGGTGGCAGTACCGGATCGGAATATCTCCGTGCTGGGCTCGAGCAAGCGGCATCAAAAGCTTCAACAACCAGATTAGGAACATCATCAAATCCTGGACTGTCTACGCCAGGTTCTCAGGCTCCAACGGCCAGCATTTTTAAGTTCCGCAAAGCAGATGAAGTCAATCTCGGTCCCATGAAAAAGCGAGCACGAGCACAATCAGATGATAAAGTTTCGAACAGCGGCGTACCGGCATCGGTCAAAAAGACGCGGTTCATTACTGCAAAGGGAATTCGAGAAGCTGGCAGGGATAGTTTGGGGGCGTCTACGGGTAGTGAAGCGCACAAAAGCGCGCCGCATATGACTATGAATAATGATGATGACGATGATGATGAGTTGGAAATTATCTGAATGATAATAGAGGGTTTGGTATTGTTAGTTCTATTCACATGCATACGTACATCTCTGTTGGGAGATAGTAGTCAGGCGTTTATCAAGAAAAGAATCATGCATCAGATTAGATGATCGGGTCTGGTGTTGTCTGGTACTCTCACGCTCTCTGATGACTGAATAAAGTTCATTCGGGTATTCCCTCTTTCAACCACTTTTAATACATGTAATTCTATAATCTAGTAACCATCTCTTTGCTTGTTTCCTTCTATACCCTTACCCTTGGCGATATCCAGTTGCTGCGCCATTGCTTGAGCCAAAACGCCAACATCAGTAATAATCGACACCATGTCAAATCCTTGCTGAGCACGCTTTTGAGCATCGGCACCGTCGACACCTGAGAACCCCGATGTGAGCAGAGGTTATTTTCAAGGGAAGGAACCAACACCTACAGAAGATAGCGGCCTTCTTTCCGGCGGCCTTTGCAGCCTGGAGGGTACGCTGGATCATAGCTTCGTGCTCCTCTCCCCCACGGACAACACCAGTCTGCTTAGCAAGATCGAAGGGTCCTACAACCTGATTAGCAGCCGTTATTTTTTGGGTTGTGGACAGTCTACTCACCAATAAAAAGCACATCAAGACCATCAACCTTGGCAATCTCCTCTACATTTTCAACACCAGCCCTCGACTCAATCTGTACAACGACCGTCAAGGCCTTATCCGCACCCTCGTCATAATTTGTTCCTCGAGGGAGAGAGTGAGCGGCAAACATAGGTCCGTATCCACGGCTACCGGTAGGGGGGTATTTGCACCATTTTACGACTTTGGCGGCGTCTTCCTACATATCCACAAAAACCAGGGTCAGAAATACATGCTTGATGTATCAAAAGGGGGGGGGGGGGGGGGGGGAAAACGCAACGCCGGAGGGGCAAANGGGGGGGGGGGGGGGGGGGGGGGGGGTGTCAAAACGCACAGCTGAGTGGCACATAGGGGTCATGATTCCGTGAGCGCCGGAGTCGAGGGCACGCTTGATCATCCATTCTTCTGCCCAGGGGACACGGATAATAGGGCTGGCGCCTTCGGAACCTATGGCATTATTGAGCTGCATCAATTAGCATTTATACATGGATAAGTAGGCGGGAAACGTATATCTACCTCGTAGTAGTCCTTGTCTGAAATCAAACCGTGCTCGGCATCAACCAAAACCCAGCTGAAGCCGCCATCTGGTGAGCCAACTGTGGAACGGAGGATGGTCTTGACGACACCTGCGCCAGGGAGACTGGTTCATTCATCGGTTAGTTTTCAATATGTCAGAGCATTGAAGTGATGCAAATAACTCGCACCAGCGAAGAGCACCGCGGACTTACGTGAGCCAGAAACCATATGCTGTCGAGGGACTTCCCAGAGTGTCGCGGATTGCTGTAGTGAAAGACATTTTGATTATTGGCGGGGKAGTTATTTGCGATGCGATCTATATACTGCAGTCTATAACGATGCGGGGAGAGTGATGATGACGAGATATTTCAAATATAGACTCTCGGAGCTCTCACCAACACACGATTGGAAGGAATTGAAGATAGAAAGGGAGAGAAAAGAAGAAGAATTACAATTGCCTGGGAAGAATTAATGCGTTGCCTCGCTCGGGGTTCTGGCCGAGCCGTTGAGTAGTCGACTTATCCGAGCCCCAAAAAGGCGTTTTTCCGAGCAGCCAAACTCTCTCTGCGCTCGGGATAGTTTATACCGATACCCCGCAATATTCTCCATAAAAACACAAAACAAAATGAGTTTATGCTGTCTATAACTATGTCCATGTCTATTCAAATCATCTGTCGCCACCTTCATATGCCAAATTCTGTCGCGATGCATTCAGCATCTCGAGATCTTCCTGCATCTTCTCGTAATTCTTCCCCCCTCCAGTAATAACCTGACTAGGATGAAACACGTTGAAAATCAAACTGCAAATGACCATCAACGAGGAGTCGAATGCATACAAGTACGCTTCGTGCTCCTGTAAAATACCCTGCGCTCCCTGCACGTACTCGATAACTCGGTACACGGAACGGATCATGATCAGCGCATTCACGGCGTACATGATCGTCATGTACCGCGACCAGGGAACAGTGACCACCATGGATGCTTCGGTAGGTGAGGCGAGCATGCGACGGTGGAAAACAACCGAGATGATGATGAAGAACCCGAAGAATATCAGCTGGACAAGGAGACCGACGATGATGATATGATTCCCGAGGTTGATGGTATTCTGGGCTTTGGCGTTGGCCATCATACCACCTCCTATACAGTTTTTTAGTCAGAACGAGCGGGAGAGATTCATGATACTCATATGATGAAATGGAACAACTAACCTCCGCTCTGGATAAGAAAAGACAACACATCGCCAGTTACAAAAATCTTTGTCATCCACGACGGCCGGATGAGAGATCGAGAAGCGCCATTGAGAAGGAGAATAATACGTCCGAGAATCATATATATCGAAGCCGCAAAGAGGGAAGGAGCCAGCAAAAGTAACAACGTCTGTATGATGTATGGCCCCAGCGTCCAATTTGGCGTTTGCGTTGCGCTGCTATATCGTGCTGCATATCCAATCGTTTCGACTGACGGTGTTCGGTCTTAGTAAAAACTCCAGGTTACGAGAAAGCAGACAACTTACAAAGTCCTCCGATGACGAAGGGTATAAAGTACCATGACCGCTTCCGAATCATCTGAAACATATGAAGGAGAGTCGTGATGGCGAAGATGATCGCAAAGGCGACAGCAGCGCCTTTGGATGGGTCATAATCGTAAAGTTTGTAAGCCCCCGACATATTGACCGGTGAGATTGGAATTAAAATGAGATTCAAAGATCAGATCGACAACGGAGTACCCAGATGAATATGATAACCAAATAAATAGCCCTAAATATTGATGAAATGAGCCTTAAGAGAATGAGAAGAGTCTAAACTAGTGTGATGAAGCTTGAAAGAGTATAGGGAACAATGGACGATGAGAAAATAGCTGTCATATATATAAACAATCTCAAAAGAGCCTGGCCAGGCTCAATAGAAGTGGACTGCTCCGTCAATTGATCGTATTGGGGCTAGATACATGTTACGTAGTCTAATATCTCCATTTCAGATCCAATCAACGAAGTATCCGAAGTGTCAACCTTTAGCGTCTCCTCGCCCGTTGCTTAAACGCCCTGTAAATTCCTATCTCGTGTATGACAATGTCTCATTTTCTACTCGAATTCGTATTAAATTCCTTAAGATAGCGATTAGATCCGCCTTAGCCCCAAAAGGGGGTGGGAGATTTTGATAATGGGGCTCGGTTTCGGTCCGCATTGGCTCGCGTAAGTTATAGTTATTTTTGCTGCCTGATCGATCGGACTAATCTTTTGGGCTTTTTTTTTTCATATGCGCTGTGGTGGAGTTTGTAGACCCTGTCAGAGAGTCGTTGTGGGAATCTTCATGCCATTTTTGAGGTAAAGAACGCATATTGAATGACTCGAAACAGTAGAGTATACTCAGGCACGGTGCATAATGCTTAAACACATTTTTTTACTCGCCATACGAATTCAGACATGAAGCAATCGGAGCGCTTGATAGTTGGTACTTATTAGGCCGGATGGGTCATGGGTGGCTGAGCAGACTGACTAGGGGAGTAGCTTGCTTACTGCTTACTCCATATATAATTCCTGATTGACTTTTTGGCCAGCTCCAGATCAGATTGTCTTTTTATTTAGCGATAGATGTAACTGGTATTAGCCGATAGGTACGTAGACCGATTGCTTCCTCGTTGAACAATTGGCATTGGCATGCAGTTTAGGGAAGCTGTTGTACTTCCTAAAGAAGAAAGCATTAGAACATAATTTTGTGACTCCACGATACAATCTAACCAGATGCAGGTAAGAACCGTGCTTTCCCCTTAAGCTAGTCCTATTCTGGAATCTCGGAACGAGTACGATCGTTACGTTGAGCTTAATTTAAGTTGTTTCGTATGTAGGCAATCATGATACGTACTCGTAGGTTATTACCGTATTACCATGTTACATAAGGCTCCCCGTATTGCTGTATTTGGACCTAGCATATGTGATTGTAAACACACTACATATAGGAACGGTTAGATCAGCGTGGCTATACAGTTATCCGTCAACCAATATGAAATATAGATGCCTGGGAAGTATGCACCAAGAAAATCTCAATCCATGACACAATGAGTCCATTAGAACGGAGTACATCTTCTGCTCTCAGCTTGCTCAGCCACCATGCATACCAAATTTCTAAGCGTCCAGCGAGTAGTAAAGCCGATCGAACTTGCGCAAAATTTCATTTCGCTCCGCATCGGACAATTGCATTCTCTGTGTCTGACGGTAGCCGTCTATCAGCCAGGCATTCACTACGTCCCTACGACTTTTCGATCGCACAGCGGCCTCGATCCTCTTCGCAATTCCATGGAAAGAATAAGCAACTAGTCCCATGCCGGCTGTATAAATCAAATACGAAATCAGTCGCCGCGAACAGAAAGCGAAGAGAGGATACATACCTGAAGGCACTTTTGTGGCAAGTTCGACTGTACCTTTAGCAAGCCCTTTTGTTGCACCCAAAGCCCCCTTCTCCCCGGCCCCTTTGACCGGTTGCGTGGTCATACTAGCAAAGCTATCCGTCATGCCATCCACGAAATTTCTACCTCCTATCAACGCACCTGATTTCTAGCCTCGCACCTCGCTATAGTCTTTGGGCTTATCGCCATACAGTCTCGGCACTTGGCGAAAGCCCTTTGCAGCTGCATGCAGAATATCAACAACTACCCCTTTGAAATATATACCGGTCAATTTGCCAAATCCTTTCAATGTTGTCCCGGCTATATTGCCGGCGGTTACCAGAGGGCTCTTTCCCCGGTCACTATCTTGTTGTCTCAAGGACAAAATGCAAGGCAGCACAGACGCTCCATATCGTGCTGAATCAGTAGGACCAACGTCATCTGATGGTTTGGTGGGACGACTTTTGACAAATTCTCTTATAAGAGTTTGTAGCATTTTGCCGGTTGATTTAGGCATATCTGAACCAGTCTTTGTGGTAGCAGACAATATATCCGTCAAAGTATCCCAACGTCGGTTTTCGATCATACTAGCCATCACGGTTTGTTTCTTCTGAACTTCGCCATCACGGAGGCTCTTCATTTGTGGAACAAGATCTGGGTATATCACCATGTATGACATCAGTTCCGCCGGGTCTCCTCCAATGGAGAAAAATTCCAGACCTAAGTTCTGAACAAAATCGGCAAAGTCACTGTGGGTCGCAATGCGAATACCCAGATTTCTGTAAAGCATCTCCCAAAGCGACGAACGGCTGCACATCCCCACAACTGCCTAGAACTGCATTGACGATGTTCAATGAAGGGATGATATCTGGCACAACATTGTCTTCAGTGTACTCGGGAGGTGGATTATGAACATTGCTGTGAGTCGGTCATTTTGGACAAAGTTTGCGCAGTTTTTAAATTCGAGGTTTATATTCACATCTCCACCGGCTACAAGTGATTATCATCTCATTTTCTTCGATGAGCAATGGACAAAGTATCAATCATTTTGCACGTAGCCTGATCCAGCGGCCAGGTTATCCTCGATTTAAGGCGAATAGGGCGGGGGAGAAGGAGCCGAGCTTTGCGCGAATTCCTGTTCGGGTTCCATTCCAAATGTGAAATCAATCTCGAAGGTCATCCAAGAAGTGATGGAAGAGGAAATATTGAAAAATGAATCCTAATGAGCTCTGAAAAAAGGAAGGTTACTCATGGAAGAAGAAAACTCTGTCTCGACCAAGCCCATTGAGTCGGAAAAGCCTAATAATTGGAAAGTTCCATGACTTAATGTTCTTGTCTCAAAGATGTACTGAAGTCAAAACGCTGAGCCGAAGTCAGTGTCTCAGTGGGGCTAGTAATTTATGCGGATCTGCGGGTCCGGGAAGTTACATACCGAGAAATCCCTGGTATTTTTCGTACTCGTACTCTATTTCTCAAAATGGAAACGCCAATTGAGTTTACCAATCAGCTGCGTTGTGCCTCAGGCATGACATGCCTAGGCGGTGGAAGCAAGTGTGAGTCTTGCCGTTCCGGACTCAGCCATGATAACATCGATTGAATATACTAAGTTAGTAGATTTCTTACTTGCATCGCCTGCCAGACCAAGGCTACAGCATTTCCTGGATAATATCACGTGACAGCATGAACTGCGAACAGCTGCGAGTCCGACTGAGATTTCGGTGATTTCCAACCGACTGACCATGCAGACTCGTCGAAGTCATAACAAATCACGTCGAGGATGCCTGGAATGTAAACGCAGGCGGGKGAAGGKACCCTCTCTATGAATTTCAACCTTTCTACTATGTGGCTAATTTCTACAAGTGTGACGAAACTCGCCCACAGTGTTCGAACTGTACGAGACGCCATCTGGCATGTGACTATGGGACGCCATCGCTAGTCTGGAAAGACTGGAAAGAAGAGAAGACATCGCCCCATAGTGATCACCAAACTCCTCCTCAGGGTCAAAACGATGACATCTTTGTCACATTGGAACGATGGACGGGATCGCAGGGTGCTGATGCCATGCCTGCCATGGAAGTCAATGTGGTTGATCTGGAGTTGATGATGCACTGGTGTAACTCGGCCCATAGGGTGCTGGCTCGGAATGAGGCCACGACGTGGATCTGGCGACAACTGGTTCCCCAAGAAGCGTTCTCTCATCGTTTCTTGTTGTGGGGGATTCTGTCTGTATCCGCGCTGCATCTCTCGTGCTTCAAGGCAGAAGGGCATCAATCGATATATATCAAAAAAGCCGCATTCCATCAGAGTAGAGCCTTGACCCTGTTTAGAGAAACATTACAGTCAGTCGGTTCATGGAACGGTAAGGCTGTATTCGCTTTCTCTTCCCTGGTTGCGATCTATGCGTTTGGGTCCTTATATAATCAGGAAATGTCCGACCCTATCCAAGACATCTACCAGATACTCGTCCTAATACGTGGGACTAATCAAATTGTCGCCCGTGTTCGCCAAACTCTAGTGGAAAGTGATTTCGCGCCGCTGTTGCAGGTAGACGAGTATCACAACGACATTCCGGCTGATACGAAAACAGCAATTGCCAGACTACATGCGCTGAACGATTTGCTTCAAGAAGAACCAGAAAGCCACGCAGCATACCGAGACGCGATTGATGACCTCGAAGAAATGTTTGTCCTTTTCTATGGCGGTGTGAACTCCATGACGCCAAGTGGAAAATGGGCCATCAAACTATCGCCGTTGTATTTGGATTATTTGCAGGAGCGTCGAGCCTTTGCTCTGGTAGTCTTAGCTCACTACTGTGTAGTGCTTCATTGTTTACGGCAGCATTGGTGTATCACTCCGTGGGCAACGCGGGTGTCCAAAGCTATATGGAATGTGTTGGACGGCCAGGGGCGAGAATCGATCCAATGGGCTATGGATCAGATATTCGAGCAATCTGGATCTGCATAGAAAGCTGTCATCTATGCTCATGCTTTTGGGTTGCTAGGCCATCAAGGTATCAGAACTGGTCCGTTAGAAACACAATTTGACAACAAAAGTTGATGCCTGGAGGTTGTGAGTATTTTTAAGGAATTACTTACCTCGTATTCGTTTTACTTTACTGTTTTGGGCCTACGCCCACGCGGCCACTAAGTGGGTCCAGCTTACTATAAGTTTGGAACGATAACATTAGGGTTTCCATAGGGAGGCAAGTCATAAACAACTAGATTTTCAACAATCAAGTATAAGTACGACTACATTTCCTCATAGTCATGTCGTTCTTTTTCAGACTGTTCAAGCTACTGGCAACTTTGAGATCTGCTTGCATTCATCTATCATGGCTTGGGKACTTTACTACTATACTCCCTCTACCGCTGCTGCGGGCATCTTCATTGCCCTGTTTGGCCTCAGCACTGTTTATCACTTCTACCAGTTGATGCGGACTCGGACGTGGTTTATGATTCCTTTCTTAATCGGCGGTATCCGTAAGTTCTTTCACCATTCTGTGGGCCATTGCTTCACGATGTCTAACTTCTTATGACATAGTTGAAACCGTGGGTTATATCGGCCGTATACTCTCCGCAAGCCAAGCGCCCAACTATTCAACAGGTTCATATGCAATGCAGAGCGCTTTGATCTTGATTGCACCCGCCTTCTTCGCGGCGAGTATCTACATGGAGCTCGGACGATTGATACAAATGCTCCGCGCGGAGAACAACTCTGTGGTTCCCGTGCGTTGGTTGACCAGGACTTTTGTTGCTGGCGATGTGCTTTCATTTTTGATGCAAGCTGCCGGTATGTTGACAAACTTCTTGTGGGCATATTTATCATCTAATTGTATTCGCTCTGTATAGGTGCTGGCCTCATGGTAACGAGCTCTTCCAACCCCTCGACTGGAGAACACGTCATCCTCGGCGGTCTATTCGTGCAAATCATCTTCTTCGGCTTCTTCATGATCACCACATTGATATTCCAAATTCGCATCAACAAGAACCCTACACCCGCTACAACTGGGCTGGAGAGTCTCTGGCGCAAACATTTGTTCGCCCTGTACGTTACAAGCACACTCATTATGATTCGATCCGTCATTCGTGTCGTCGAATATATCCAAGGATATGATGGATATCTTTTGTCTCATGAAATTTTCCTCTATGTTCTCGATGCGCTTCTGATGTTTGTCGTGATGGCGTTTTTCCATTTTATCCACCCTAGCGAAATCAATTGCCAAATTGGTCGGGGTGAGAGATTCTTCCAAAAAGGGTTTGAGGTACGCAAGATTGAGTCTATCTCCACATGGGAGTTGGAGAATCCCACTACAGCCACGAACACCGTAGCTGTTTGATGATGACTAATGAGACATATCTCAGTGTGCTTGTTTTTCTCATTTACCAGTCTATTTGATTTCTTTGTTCTTCCTGTTTGTTTGTTTGTTTGTTGTGATGTTATCTAAAGATCACTGTGCTTATTCGAAGCGCCAGTCTTGTCTGGATCATGATAGAATGAAATATAAAATTTGGATTTCACGACCATGTATTTACACTAGCATATATCTAGTTATGATGCCTCCATACGTTCAAATGTTTACTATTCTACATTCGCTTTTAAAATATCTTCAAAGTACCACGTATCGTATTACGGTACTACCTAGTAAAGTATTACAGTTAGTCATCTTTTGGAGATCTCCAGGCTATAAATTAGTGAAAAAATCTAAATTTTCGGTCCCGCTCGTACTCGTATGTCCTTGCCCATTTGGGAATATAACCGTAGACATTTTCGCATCTATCTCCTGATGCTTTGACAATAACACGTTCCGTGGACCTACGGGGAAACTATGGAGCTACGACACTTCGTCACTTCTAGCCTTCTATTAAAAAAAAAGTTTTAGAGCGCCTTTTGTGACATCCATGGCTTACCGTTCTCCCCCTGATTTACAGTGATACAAATGTATCCCAGTGATATTTCTGGAGAAAAAGCAAGGAAAGGAAAGGAAAAGAAAATTATAATTGTAAGCGGGGAAGTCAAATAATAAGTCTACACTTGTTACATACATATAGGTATCCGTTAGAGGGATTACCCATACGTAGGGTTTGAGACGGAAAGCCCTAACACTAACGAGCTCCAGATCACTTCAGGTTGACCTGAGTGTCACCAAGTATTTAATTACAATCTCCATTGTACAAATCTTCGGATAAAGTTATTTTTTAGATTTTTCTAAAGTCTCCGTGCAATTTACACAGCACAAGATATGCAGACTTGGTATTGATCTCGAATTTGACCTGCTCTCCAGTCCATGGTAAGAAATACGCGCGAAGGTCTGAAGAAGGCGCACAATGGTGTACTCCATCTGCAAATGAGCGAAATACCGACAGAGACATTTTCGTGGGTCCGTACTGAAGTGTATGAATTCTCCCTCTGGGGAAGTCCACTCCTTCCATCGACCTGGTTGCCAACTATCTGCGTCAATACCGACAGAGGTCGGCAGTCGATGCATTCCAAAAATGGACGCGACTATAAGGAGGAGCCTTAATGAGATGAACTTCTCCTGAAAAGGACTGTAGTGGCGCGACACATAAAAACAACATGACCCTTTTTCACCATCTCCACCTCTTCAGGGAAGACTTGTATTGTGCAACACCTCTCGAAATTGAAGCAAACTATAAGCCATCAGTCCAGTCGGAACTGTATCATCATTGGAAACTCAACTTACTGGATGGAGTGAAGCGTATGGTCTCCTGGATGAATATGTTCAGAAAAGGCAATCTTTCTAACGAGGCTAGATCAGGAGCTTTCTCGAAGCCCGGGCTTTGAGAATTAATTTTAGCTCGAGTCAGCTATCATAATTAGACCTCTATCTGTATTTGGCGAAGTGGTTTTTTATATTTCTGATCGTAGTCTGGTGTATACTTGGGGATGTAGTTGAAGTTGATAGATGGTTCAAGATAATCCTATGACAGTTAGTTCCTAGAGGCTATGAGTACACATGATTTAGTGATGGATAGGGAGTCTCTAACCTTCTTTGGAAGAAGTAACGCTAGCAAAAAGTCTCGCGTCGACTGGAGAGAACAAAAATGAGCTCCCAGATCTGAATAGATCGTTGGATCCTAGCATCATTGTGTTGTCTGTTCCTTACCGGTAAGTTGTTTGCAGCGCCGCCTTTTTCATGGCCTGGCGAATTTGTTCGTTCACTTTTGGAGGTAATGTGTATGAGAAGTAGAAAGAAAGAAAGAGAGGAAGAAAGAAGGGGGTAGCTATTGTAGTCAACCGCCAAATCATTGTAGCTACTATTTCAACACACTGTGCATCGGATTCAAGAAGTCCATCTGGGTAACGATCTACATCTTCAATAAGGATCCAAAGCTCTAAAGCTAGTCACTCGAACTGAGGCCCTTGTTAACCCTTCGAAAGAGTGTCATGAGGCTAAGATCAAGTATTACGCTCTCTTGCCCTCCTTGACTGTCATGCATTCATGCGACCATTTTATAGGTGTTACCGGAGAAGCTCTGGACCCCAACGTCTCCAAAACTTTCTTGCGTACGCTCATCGAAATACCTTCACCCATATCATGTTTACACGAACAAGCAGAGTAGAAAGAAGATACGTAGGACCAGGTAACAAGATACGCATCGATGTTACGTATTATGGCCTGGTACGTTACGCAGTACGGTATTGAGATTCATGGTAGTGGAGCCGATCTAAAATCTAACTCCACATTATCAATCGTTGACCTTACCTCCTCAGGAAATTAGCCGAGAGGGTCAGCCTAGTGTACATACCCCAGATAGATTATAATGTCACGAATACTTCAGTAGTTTGTCTATCCACGTAGTGATTGTGGACATATATCCTTTTACAGGGTTTCTCTAGGCTTGTCCACTGTCTACTTGGTTTAATCTCTACATATTTAGATCTGAGTCAACTGTATTTCAATTCAATTGACCTAGGTGTATTCCCGCTGATTGCAATGAACTCAATCCATGTCTGAATCGGTGCATATCGACACCATCATAAAAATGTAAAAAACAGAATAGTGGCCCAGCAAAGATGAAGCGCAATTCAAACGCCTTGCCATGACATTAGAACATACAGGTAAAGGGGGAATTTGACAGAGTAGGCCGTTTGAGATGAAAAGAGAGAAAGATAAAAACAAAGACAATCACTCGAAAAAACCTGATAACCGTGAATGTGAGAAAAGGTATCTTTGACTTCGGTACCACTAAAATAACTCCATGAAACTCCCGCTGCGAGCCAATCCTGAGAGATGGGCCTTATGATGGAATCGTCAAATTATGCTCGAAACAGAAGATGTCCATTGGGGACAAACACCCCTCAATGAGCTCTGGTCCGCTTGGCGGCCGGGGCAGGCGATCCAGTGAATGGGTCGGCTTCACGCTTCTTCGACACAGACACATCGGCAGGCTGGGTCTTCTTGCGAGCCCAGACACTAAAAGGACTGCTGCGTTTGTCACTCTTCTTCGTGTCTGCAACAGCAGGATGAACAGGCTCTGTTTTGTCGTCACTGTGCAAACCAGTAGTCCGAGTGCGTAGCGAACGTTTGGGTGTCGTCTCGAGATCTCCTTCAGAATGCACAATGTCTGTGCTTTCAACGGAGTCGACAGGGTCTTCAATATCGGTAGTAGCCTCTTCGTTCTCATCGACAGAGCCAGACTGCTGGGTTTCCGAAATTGGTGCAAAGAGACGGCGGCCTTTGATGGCTGAGCGGGTCAAACGCGGGACATCGAGATTAACACTACTGTCAAGCAAGTCTGGGCGAACGGCGAAGAAGCCCAATTCGTCTTCTTCGTTCTGTTCATCCTCAGAATCACTGCGTTGATAGTCGAACTTGCGAAAAACTTTCTTGCCACGGCTGATAAGATTGTTAGCATGACTATAGTGACTTGTGGGAATTTCAAAACTTACAAGGTGTAAAGCATCCCATCAGTCCGCTTGACAGCTTCTTTAGGATCAACTTCTGGTGCTACACGACGAGAGCTGACACGCTGACGCTTAGCCTTGGGAGTCTCGCTATCAGAAGACATCTTGGGTTCTGTTTTGCTCAAGAATGGGTTGTCGTGGCTCTTGTTTACCACAGGGATACGATCGCGACTGTCTGTGAAGATTTCGATTGAGCTGTTGTTGCCTGTGGAATCTTCGTTGAAACTGTCCAGAGAAAATCCACTGGCTTTCTTTGTGCTTTTCGTGTGGCGCGAAGATGAAGCATTGACAGGAAAGAGAGAACGTGCTGCGGCACCAAGATTGCCTATCGACTTCTGATGGCGAGGGGTCTTTGCAGGGGTAGGCAAAAGAAGCGAATGTCCTGGAAGGATTGCCGACCGGGAAAACCGATTTGCTGAGACTCCTGCGCCGTCTGAAAGATCCGAAGCTTCCAGATCCAAGGTCTCGCTGAGTAGTGACGCTTTTCCATGCACTGGCTTCTTGCGGGGAGAAAGCGTGCTGGGAGGTGACAAAGMGTCGATTTCGTTGCGACGCGCGGATTTTTTAGGACTTGGTGGAGGGGGAGTTGTGTGCGACTCGCTAGACCGTTGCCCTGCTAGTCGAGCAGATTGTCTTGTGGGATATGGTTCGAAGCTGTCGTAGCCAGCGCCATGTCTGGGTGCCCGTGGCTCGCGTAGCTCACGAAAGTCTGAAGGCGGAGGAGTGGTCGCCATTGCGATCACTTAATTTGAGAGCTTGAGAATAATCAGGTAACGATATCTGTTGGTAGCATGCACAAAGTTTGTTAAGTCTGACAGTGAAATGTAAACAAGGGATTGTTGATTATCCCTAAAGCGCGAGCACACAGTCGCGAAAATGAAGGAGTTGACAAGAGCACTTGGGATCGAGGGTAGCCAAGTTGAACAAGACACGCCAGAAACAAATTATCGAGGGGATGATACGTCTTCCAATTGTTGCAGTGCCAAAAGACAGAAAGAATGATGGGTAAGAGAGGAGGAGATGGTGATGTTGATATGGAGAAAGACTGGGATGAAGTGTGGAATGCTTGGTTGTTGGCAGATGGACCTCCAGCCACTCGCTTTAATTCGGGGGGCTGACACGGCCGCCGCTAGCCTGTTTGGGCTCCGTACCACGCCTGGTCGAGCGAACAATGAAGAAGAACAAAGAGATATCAGTACTTATGGCTTGTTGTGGAGGCTGCAACAGTGCTGACGTATTGCTGTTTGTTGGTCATTTCTTCAATAATCTAAACTTTCTTGCGTAGATTGACTGAATGAGGAGTGTTTACTATGTACATAGAAATCGATACTTACGCTGATTGGCCGATTGCTGCCCGCCGACGATGCAGCCAATCTGCCCCGCCGATTCGGTTTTTCAATGTTTACCCCGACAACACATCAATAACGCGTTGTACATCGTTTCATAGTGACTTCTGATATCACCCTACACAATTACTGCGAAACTTGCAATACAGGTGTAACCGGCAGTAATGGCTACTCCGAACGCGACCGAGGAGATGGAGAGACTGCAGCTATCGGACGAAGACACAGAAGAGCTATGGAACTCGCCCTCACAGCGACGCGCGAGACAAGTGCCCCAAAGAACGCCGGCATCGGGAGATCGATTACAAAATCAAGATATCGAACCCTCACTCGACCAGGAAGAGGCTCGGGAGCTTGCACTCCGAAGTGAGTTGCAAACTGTGAGGAACGTGAATTTAGCCATTGAGGGAGTACTGGAGAGCCTGGAACGAGCGAGAGGAAATATGGAGGTTTGTGACTATCGTACAACACCCTGATTTCGGGATTAGCTGACACATAAGCAGACCGTATCACGTACAGTGGACTCGGCATCAACGCTCCTCAACACATGGACCCGAATCCTAGCACAGACAGAGCACAACCAAAGACTCCTCCTCAATCCCCAATGGCAAGGCGCCTCTCATGATATCGCCGAAATGGAAAGCGAAGCGGTAGCTAAACAACAAGCTGTCGAGCGCAGAGAGCGAGAACTACAAGAACGCCGGGAAGCGGCAGCACGAAAAGCGGAACAAGAAGAGAAGGCGCGAGCAGCTGCAACAACGGCGACAGGGCGAGGTCGAGGCACAACGAGAGCAAGGGTGGTACGTGGAGGATTGGGGAGGACGCCGAGTGTGTCTGCTTCTAAGAGTAGTTCTTCTACTAGTACATCGAGAACAGCTCGACCAGCTTCGGCGGCATCAACGCGACGTCCAGTCAGCGGGATTGCCCGTGGTTCCAATGCTGCCACTCGTGGGCGTGGTAAGCCTTAGACTATATACTCACAAACAATTGATACCCAGCCGTAGCTTGTTGCTACATCTATGCACAATTATGGTAGACTTCGCGTTCCTGAAGGCTGAGAGTAAATAAAGCGCGGAGAAAGTTGACCAATGATATATTCCGGACGCGTGGAAGTGGGGCATGTATACTAAGCTCCCCTATCTGTCTTTGATTGATCTTATCGGCCAGGCAGCTCAGAATGCGACATCGCTTCTTCTGAAGCTGAGTACGAGCGAGATTTACTTAATCAATAGCAACAGCGCATCGTCAACCATCATCATGAATTTCGCGCCCTACCAGGACGAATCCCCCGAAGTCGAAAGAGCTCTTTCACCTCCACCACCATTCTCAACGGACCCAACCAATCGCACCAGGTCACCCTCCCAGAATCAATACAACAATAATAATAGACAACAGCAGCAGCAGCAGCAAAGATCGACTCCACCTCCATATCAAGCATCGCCCACTTCACACTTCTACAACCCATCAAACGGCGGATACGGATATCAAGAATCTACAGCAGCATCGGCGTCATGGACAGATCCCGAAAGCCAACAGCAGAATAGCAACGGATACGGAGGCGCACGAGCAGACCTTGATGCGTTCGAGACGAGCCTCCCGCTAAGGGTTGATTATGAGGCCATGCTGGCGTATTTGTTATTGCCGCCGGCAGGAGGGGTGTTTTTGTTGTTGTTTGAGCATAAAAGTGATTATGTTCGGTATGCTGATCAGACCTTTGGGAAGGGAGGTGGGTATAACTGGCTAACTTTTTGAGAAATAGATTCCATGCGTGGCAGTCGAGCATGCTGTTTAGTGCTATATTTGTTCGTCTACCCCTTCCTACTAGCTATTTGTCCGAAACTCTTGACTAACTTTGACAGGTTCTACATCTCATATTCTCCTGGTCGAGCATAATCTCCTGGCTGATGTTCATTGGTGATATCGTGCTAATCGCCTTTTTGAGTCTACACGCCTACCAAGATGGTGCGTACATGCCTACACAATCATTAATTCGATGGAGCATCAAACTGACAAGCTGTATAGTTTATTCCCTCGATCATTACGAGGTACCGATCTTCGGCCGACTTGCGAACTCCTTCGTTGATGATGAGTGAGGCTGGTTCTGTCTGATGATCGACTTTACCGAATTTTCGTTTTCTATGTCGCTGTCTTTGTACTGTACAATTGTCGATGTTGAGGAGTCTTGAGCGTTGAATGCGCACTGTAGTTTGATCTTTCTATCTTGTATATATTCTAATGGTATGTTGGCATATCTCACTATACCATATACATACCTGAAGTATGCCTCGATGGCATCCATGGAGAGCTAGGTATATCAGGGTTACACATGTATCGTAATCTACACGGTCGGTAAGATAAGATCAATTACATATTCGTACGGCCACTCGAAGAACTGGATATACCAGGAAGGAAATTGCAATGTTCGTTTAACCTAGTCATAAAAACGTATTTACATAAGAAAAACATAACCAAAATCAACCTCTATGAGAGGATTTTGACAGCACCAAACGGTGATTGTTCGACATGATTAGAAAACGTGAGAATCAAGGGTAACATGCTTGTTAAACCCCAACATTAAAAAAAAGCAAAATCAAGATTAGAGATCAGGAGAAAAAGTAGAAGGGTTTCAGGGAGAATAGGGGGGAAATGACGAAAAACGGAAAAGAAAATAAAAAACAAGTCGCTCACAAATATACATCTAGTCGATACCCATTCATCGACGGCTGAGAATATAGGAATTTGCATGGGTCATCGATAGATCAAAAAGACGTAAGAAGTTAAAGAAGGCGGGTCGGTCAACAACGGAAAATAAATGTGCAAGGCACAACACAATAGAGTTGCTCGTGTTGATGGTTAGTTTATACATTGTCGTTCAAAGTCGTTAAATGCTTTGCAGATAGTTACTTGGAACCAAGCCAGGGTGGCCTCGGCTTCCAGTCACTTCTGCCTCCCACCATCCATCATCTTGTAGGCGCAAGACCGCAAGGATGTCTCCTTTAGAGAATCCGAGCTCCTCAGGGATTGCGGCATTGTAACTATACAGAGCGCGAGCTAAACGTGAAACATCATTAGTATCAAATATGAAACAAGCATATTAAGATTCAGACTTACCAAAATGCAGAATCGGACGACCATCGCGGCTCAGGTGTCGACCAGGATCGGCAACGGTAATGCTCTTGCTGCGAGATCGTGATACGGAATCTGCACCATTGCCGTAGTACATAGATTGCGGTCGGCCAGCATTCTGCCCTCCACGTCCATTGTAAGAGTCATAGCCGCCTCTGTATGACTCCACATGGCCTCCAGAGAGTTGAAGCTCCATTCCATTAGCACTAGCTGGGCGAGTCTCTTGTGCGAACGCTGGACGTGGTGAAATTGGCCGGGTAGCTTCAACGGGGGACGCGTGTCGAGAATACTGCTGTGGCGAGTAACCACGATCACTGCCCGGGCGAGTGTTCGTAGTTGGAGACTGAGTGTTGCGCACGTTGTAATTCCTAGACTGATACGTTGTCGGAGCACGACTTGCACTTCCTCCTTGAGCTCCGGCCCCTGTACTGTACTGATTGGCGCGTGTATCTACCGGTCCAGGCGCAGGCTGAGGGCTGGCGCTTCTTCTGAGTGTTGGGGCAGGAGACCGAGCACGAGGTATGTCTTGAGCCGGAGCAGCCCTTGTAGTGGTACGCTGGGGTCCGCCAAAACTTGGAGCAGGAGACCGAGAACGGGCCACTTCTTGAGCAGAAGCCTGAGGCCTTGTAGAGCCTTTTTGAGGACTGTTGGATCCACCAAACATATTCTGAGCTTGACCAACATACTTCTGGGTCGTCTTTTGCATTTGGGCCGAAGTAAATGCCGGCTGAGGTGCGTCCAGTCGTTTAGTAGGTTCATTGTAAGAAGGAGGCGGCGCATCTGCATTACCAGTATTTCCATAAGTAGAACTGGTGGCAGATGGAGCAGGCGTTGCTATGCCATGATAGCGGTCTGCGGAAACTCGGCCTGCTGAAGGTTTCCCGACTCCTTTGAGGTCGGCAAGCGCTCTGGCAATCGGGTCAAGGTCGTCCTCCGGAGGCTGCGATGCTTGTGCGGGCATTTTGTCTGGCGAAGCTACATCGAACACATTGTTTCCAATGTTCAGCTGAAAGTTTGCTCTGGGATCCACAGGCTCTGGGCTAGTAGACCGTGGAGGCTCTGGTGAGGGCTGCTTGTAGGTAGGCTTTGTGGGGCTACGAGAGTAAGACTGCGACTGGCGGTCTTTGTCGTGGCGGCTCTTTCGACGGAAGGGACTGTTGCTGAAAAAGGCGCTTCGCTTCTTCTGAATTTGCTTTTCCGGAGTCATTCCGGGGATTGCAACACCGTTGGTTGGCTGCTTTACTGGTGACTGCTTGCCGCTGGGAGGCTCTTGGCTTGAGAATGATGTAGGGTTGGAGATGTCACTCGCGTTATCTTCTCGACTAGAGGGCCTGTACGCGCTGGTCGCCGAGCTACGCTCAGATGCAGGTCCAGTGCGGCAGAACATTGTCATACCGTCTGTCGGGTAGGAATTGTGAGGCACATTTCCAATCTCACCATGCTGGTGGGGATCATAGTTAGGTGGCAGTTGACCACCACGTCTGAGATCCAGAGGAGAAGGCTGTACCGGCTGCGGAGACTGCGCGGTTTGAATAGGCTGGACGGGTTGTGCAGGCTGACTCTGCGGCATTGGTTGAGGGCTCGACCTCTGTGGATTCATCGCAGCTTCTCTGCTCTCTGTAGTGGCGAGGTTTGGTAGGCCCATTTGAGCAGCCAACTCTGAGCTGGGGTCGTGGTGAGATTCGTAGGTTGAAGGCTGAGGCGAGGAGCTGCGGAAGGCAGGATTGATGGCTCTTTGAAACTGTGCCACAGAATAATTGTCCTCGTCGGAGGCTTCTGAGCTGGTGTCATTGATGTCTCCACGAGCAAAGTTGATAAATCTGGGAGCATCTGGAATCTCTTGTCCGGTACCGCGGTCTTGAATAAAACTACCGATGTCTTTTTCGACCTCGCAACCCTCCAATGAGACACGAATCTTCTCGCAGGACTATTGGATTTGTTAGCTATACTTCCTGCTCGAGACCAAATTATAGAACATACTGCATCGTCGCTGACACAAACAGTCGAGGCAATGTTTGCATAAGCCCACAAACTGCTCTTCGTGAAGTCGAGTCTTTCTTCTTCAAGGTCTTGGAATTTCTGTTTAAAAAAAAAGTCAGCCATGACTCAAGTCAATACGATTCACCGAGACCTACATCACAAGCCGCCTTCCATTCTTTATTCCAGCGACCGGTCGTCTCCTGAAGAACCTTCACAGCTGCCTCGTATTCATTGCTATTTGAAGCAAGCTGAATTTGTGTTTTCTCGAGCTTTGCCTTATTCTTTCGCTCCTCCTGGCCCATGACCATGTGACCTTGTGCCAGGTAACCTTTGATTCGCAGACAGTCTTGCTCGTATCTATCTCTTGCCTTATCCCCCTTGTGTTAGCTGGACAATTGCTTTCTAGATGATAGCCATCACGACCAACCTTATTCACTGTATGTGTCTGTTGATTCTTGATCTTCAATAATTTTTCAATGCTGTTCTGTACTATCTTTCGTCGCTCTTTCATACCACCAGCGAATGCTGCTAGTGGCTCTTCCAATTCGCTCTTCATCTGCTGCGAAATAGCAGCATGTGCCTTTGCAATGGCTTCTGTCTCGCCTCGTACAACATCAAGAGAAACGCGTAAGGTGCCGGTCTCATTCGAACCGAGGGACTTGCGACAAAGTGCGAGCAGTTTTCGTGCGTATTCATCCTCAATTGCAGCGCGAGCTATGAACTTTAGAACTGAATGGAGTTGTTGGGACCATTATGTAGATAACTCACTATTGTAGAAGGATTTTACTTCGTCACACGTTACTTTTGCATTATGCATTCGTTCCAATAACGGAATCACACCGGCATCATCTTTTCCCCAAAAATTATTGGCAACTGGACGTGACCATTAGTATCGAACTCGTCCAAAGAATGGGCACATTTGACATACAAGACATCGACACGGTCGGCCCATCCACCATGGTGCCAGGCATTATAAATTGGCCTTCTATCGATTCGAGTGTTTCAGTGTTTCTGAGCTTCGACCAGCGTGTGCTCGGCGTAACCCGCTAGGGAAATGTAAAATAAAAAAAAAGAAGGGAAAAACAAAAAGAAGGGACGATAGCTAGTAGATAGCCAAAACTCTGAGTAATAATGGATAGTCGTTACAGTCGTTGCACACAGTGGTATCCAAGATCCAGTGCGTTGAAGAAGGGCAGGAAATAATCGAAAGGAGTATCGGAATGGAGCACAGTTTCGTGGGGAGCTCCAGAGTAGCAGTTGCCCTGGATGTTTATAGTGGGCGTCTCTCGGGGCAACCGCGACAGAGTGCTCAGGTGGCTTCCCGAGTCCCACGCACTAATCCTAATATGTACAAAGGTTAATGACGTCGCTTGTGTTCCTTGTTCTATCACGTGATGAAACTCGGTACATGGGAGCCTTGAAATTCAGGCAACTACAGAGTGTAATTCCGATTTCCAGTCAGGAAAGAGCTACGGAATACATGTCTTCCACTACCAACATCACTGATCAATTCTCGACAAGACAAATTCAGTGTATCATTCATAGTGTAGACAACAGTCCTACGTGTTGGTGGGGGCCTGGGCAGGGTAGCTCGCCAGCAGTGGTAAATTTGGCCAAAGTAGCATCGATCTCTGCCATTTCTTCGTCTGTCAAATCAATGACCACACTGTTCTCTGCCACCCTCTCCGCTGTCGTCGCACCAGGAATCGGGATGATGGTCGGCATCCCTGAACGTCTTTGCAGCGCCCTTACCCAGTTGATCGCCAGCTGAGCCGGTGTGCAGGCCCCCGTCTGGGCCATTTGCTCGACTTGCGCGACAAGCTGAAGGTTGATTTCGAAGTTACTCGGCTGAAACCGAGGGAAGTGTCGCAACCTGGAGTCCGCTGGGATGTCCTCAATTTTCTTTATCTGGCCCGTCAACATGCCTCTGCCAATTGGCGAGTAGGCAATAAGTGGAATCCCGTACTGGGCGCACGCGGCTGCAACCCCGTTTTCCAAGACCTCTGTCGAAAACCTTCCGTCTAATTAGTTTACTATCATGTTAATGGATACCAATAACTAACATCGACAATTCGACCTCGACGGCAGAGACCTTGGCGACTTTAACAGCTTCATGAATGGTCTCGGCGCGCACTTCAGATAGAGATATGCCTCCAAGCTTGCCTGTTTGTATGTACTCCTGTCCATGGTGCCGAAGGTAGTTTCAAAGGGCACATTTGGATCCCGACGAGCGAATTCGAATAGATCTAGCTTCTTGCGGCCTTTGAGCTGAGCAAGACTGTCGTCAAGCGTTCTGCGGGTATTATCAGGTGAACCAACCGATCTGCCAGTTTGGGGATTTATTCCACCTTTGATACTGAGGGCAATCTTAGGGGCATCCTCTGGGTACTCTTCAAAGTATCGTTCTAAGAGTACAAGACTGTTGTATTCAGGCGTACCGTAGAACTCCCCCCCGTTCCAGAAATTGCCTATCATGTGTTAGCCTTTGATATGAGAGTTGTAGACTAGACGGTCGCGGTTGGATTGCAATACGTACACCCATTTCGAAGTGCAGTGCGCATGGCTTTAAAGGCTTGCTCTTGAGAGCATGGGTTAGCTCGCCATGTGAGACCCATGAGGCCGAAGCCAATAGGGCCTACTTCTTTTCCATTTATTGAAGGCATACTTGTTCGTAGAGGATACCGGCTGGCGGTTTTCGAATAGTGACAAAAATGAGAAGAGCCTTTGCTTTTTGGACAGCTAAAATAACCTCTAAGGTTGTAAATACCGGCTAGCAATTTGACGAGAGACAGATTGTATGCGAACTTAGAACTTTTGCGAGACGATCTTCATACGCAGTCTTGACCTCACCATATATATCTGTGTATTGGGGAAAAACATCTCCAAGATCTTCTTCCTAGCAGCAAAGCACCATTTGACCCAATTTATGAAGTCCGGTCGGACTTACATCAATCCCTTGATAGTCTTGCAGGGTTCAGGTCTCCGGTCACCTTGAGAGAGCAAGGATATTCTTAAACATGGAGCGATATGACTGATAGACATCTACTCACACGGGCCAGCATTCCACGTGTTCCACCCTATGACAACCTGTGACAAGCCGGGTTTAGCAGCGAATCAGTTCGAATCTATGTCGATGCTGCTCATCGGCTTTATGCATCTTCGAGAATGGTGCAGGAACAATTTTTAGTCCGTGGCATCCATGGAGATCATCGGCTTTATGCATTAATGCCTCTTTATATCCGAAAGCTGTGCATCACTATATAATCATGGAGCGTGGTTGAAGACCGCATCGATTGCCAAAATTGTATATCTCAAAGATATATCTACTCAAACGAGACATTTGTCTTTTCCTCTTTCATTCTTCCAATAAGAATCAGCTTTTCAGCCCATAGAATCAGTCAATCGTCCTGCCCAGCCTAGTGGAGATGGAATGTGTGCTGCAACATTGAATGATAAATATATCGTATAGACAACCACCAAAACTATACAGTTTTAGCGAAAGACGTTTGGTCGTCAATGTTCTTGCTATGTACGTAGCAAAAGGTGAAGTCTATATATACAAATATATATAAGGGCGGCTCATCAATGTAGACGACACTAAAGCTATGGTCTGGGATGATCCTCTAAGTCCTCCAACTGCTCAAAGTCAAACTCATCACTACTGTCAAGATCGTAATCTAGTTCATCACGTGCAAGTCGCTCTCAAAGTGATCTTGGAAGCAGCCTCCCACTCATCGTCTTGAAAACATGTATAGTGTTGTTAAATTGACCGGGGAATGAAATTGATCACCACCTCTACTCACGACCCATAAATGTGGCCGTCGTCACATCAACGAGATCACAGCTTCTATAAGAAACATGCATCTTCAACAATGACCTAGTCGACACCTTCCGAGTTTTCGATTGACGACAACCGATACGCCATACTACTAGGTCGATTGAGTACCGAAATCGAATTCCAAGACGCGGTGACTGGTTAAGGGAAATTAGTTGAGAATGATTTCTTATCTACAGGCATGAAAATCGCCAAAGGGTGTGGGAAACCAAAGAGCGAGCAACGTATTCGTCAATGCTGTTGTCGGAGACCTCAAGAAAAAGCAAGAGTGGACGGCACGTGACTCTGGGGAGTTGGCCTGATTAGGTTAGGTAGATCAGGCTCCCTCCACCTAACTCACCTGGTTCTCGGACTCTACCCTTTCGCTGCACAACCCAGGGACACTTCATCCAAATCTCACTTCCCACTCACCCTTCCCGAGTCCTTTCAACCCTCCTACTGTACTCGAGTAAGGAGCTCTACATCCGTTCTCGATACGTTTCGATTCCCACTGTCCAGCTCTGCTGGATCTGGCAACCTCCCACAAAAGAAACCGATCAAATTCTGTCCAACGGCCGTAGATCAAATGATCGCGTCTCCTAGATGACATTCCGTCCCCCATCCCCTTCAGCCCAGTCATCGATTGCTTCTGGCACCGAAAAGTCTTCCGCTGTGAGGTCCTCGAGATCCCAACACTCAGTCTGGGGTGCTCCGAGCTCACATTCGGGTCAGCGTCGCGGCTTGACTCCGCTTTCGACTACCAACATATCGTCTTCGACCGCCCCTCCTCTCTCATCTCCCTTTTCAGGCATTCTTAGCTCGAGCATTCGCTCCACTCGAAAACCTCCGTCTCCAGCTACAACTCCGTCAGCTTTTAACTTTCAACATCCTGGCTCGCAGCCACTGTCGCATACTGCACATTCTCTGTCTTCTCCCCCGAAGTCCAGAGCTATCACTCCCTCTGCGGGCGCTCATCTGGCTTACTCTGCCAGTAACGCCTTAGGAGGAGGAGGAAGCGGGGGAGGCGGTGGATTGGGATCTTCACGAGGTGTCAACTTCTCTCCGCTACTCTCAGGTCCGACGGTGAACTCCCCTACTGGATTTGCATCGGACAAGCCAGGCTCTGCCGTGAGCTCGAGTCAATCGTCTCTTACAAAAATATCTATCGCTCAAGTCTTTCTGCTTCTGGACTCCATTACAGAAAAAGAAGGAAAGGAAAAGTGGGAAGTTAAAGCGGCGCAGATTTATAAAGTGAGTCACGAAATCCATTTTTGCTCTCCTTAGGAAGTGACCAATATCTCATCACCTATGTTTCTAGCTTGTCGAATCCAACGGTATGGAGGTGTTTTCAAAATACTTTCGCCGCCTTCTCACAGGTAACGCGCCTCAAATCTTTCCTGGAATCAACAAGGTTGTTGAAAATGCGGGGAATTATCCACTCCTCGTCCAAGAGATGCAAAAGGTATCTCAAGACTTAGATCAGGCGCAGAAGATTGCAGAAACCATCGATACCTCAGAAGGCGATATCTTCCGTGACTTTGATCTCTCAACATTCCTTGACCATTTCAAGCTTGATGCAATTGTCAAAGTGTCCCTTGCTTTAGCTTTCAAATTTGCAAGCAGATCGGATTTACGGGCAAAAGGTAAATCTTTTAATATATGCGATCGTATCATTTGACTAACAGCTTCACAGCGGATGCGATTTTGACTAACACCGTACCTCATTTTCTACATAGCTTATTGAACCCAACTGAAACAACAAAGGATTTCAGCGCCGCGTATATCGGCCTAACCATCGAACGATTCATCTTGTTTCCTCCACGAAATTTCGATGACGAGGTGAAAAGCAGACTCGTCCAGGCAGCAACCATGCGCTATCGGAACCAAGCCCTCGAATTGCCCTTGGACGTGTTCAACGCATTACAAATGTTTGACCTTGGCAGTTCTCGAATGGCTGTTATTCGGCAGCTACATTCTAGAGGGCCCAAAGCAACAGCATCTTTGGAAGCCGTCAACGAAGTTATGGCGTCTTGTGGATCTGAGAGCTGGGGCGAAGAACACGTTGGAAATGCCCTGGTTTTCATGCTTCTATCGCAATATGGACAATCATATTCCTTGGAAAAATTTTTACGAGCGGTCAAATCGCATTACTCCGATAAAGCCATCAATTGGTCACTGGTCTTCCGGGTCTTTGATCGCGAGTCATTGAGAATCACGCCTGGCCAATTCAACAAGCTTTACTCTGCATTGCTAAGCATCGCAGGTGATGACACTAGTCTCGATGTCCAGAGATTATGGGGTGGCGACTGGAAGAACAGGCAAACTCAGATCTCGTTTCTTACGGCTTACCTCAATTCGCGCATTGATCCGTCTCAAATCCCCAATTTCCGTGCATCGTTTCCACAGGACTTGTTTGAGGATGCTCCTGATGCTGTTCGTATGCAGGCAGAGCTTGCCGAAAAGTCACCGATCCGGTCCGTCGATGCCATCAAGGCGATCTTTGATCTAGCCTTGTTCTCTCAGGCTTCTTGGAATTCTCCAGAAAGCGCCCCATTGATAAAGATCGTCCTATCCCAGGACTTGCCAGTATTTTTGCTCTCCGCCCTGGCAGTTCCTCAACCGTGGACGGCTATCCAGCAAAGCCTTGTGCTGCGTACACTAGCCTTTTTCATACTCAGACAAGAGGAAGGTTACCAACTTGCTTTGTACGGTGTATGGAAGCAAGATCGGCAATGGCTTGCAGAGCAACTTTTCACTATGTTCACACAAGATCCGACATCGACCGCGGCTATCTACGAAAATGCCGTCGAATATGGATGGTTGGAATATCTTTTGAGTTTTGCAAATGGCCTTGCCCTCGACCTTGCCTCCCTAGCTCATCGTAAGGGCGATTTCGATCTCGAAGCATGGGTGAGAAGCGCAGCTCAAAAGGGACAGATGGATATGGGTAGTCTGCTCTCGAAATTTCTTCGCATCAAGGCCGAGGACGAACTTCAAGCACATCGGCCAGAGCAAGCTGCTCCACAGATGGTCAGCCTTGCTGTGAAGACAGTCTATACATTACTCACAATATTGGAAGAGTACGTCGGAGACCGTGAGAACTTGACGCCTGTTCAACGTATTTGTGTTCAAACGTATCCCCGGCTTATCAATTACGGGGAAGGGTTTGATGACATCATTGATGCCAATGGTGAGAAAAGCAACGCCATTCCCAAAGCCATTGATGAGAAAATGCAGGAACTGTTTGGCCGGATGTACCACGAGGAGCTTTCGCTTCGCGAAATGCTTGAACTCATGCGACGGTACAAGACATCAAGAGACCCAGCAGAGCAAGATCTTTTCACGTGCATGGTTCATGGTCTGATCGACGAGTACCATTGTTACCACGAATATCCATTGGAGGCCTTGACCAAGACTGCAGTCATGTTTGGAGGAATCATTAATTTCCGGCTGATTGATGGCATTCCTCTCAAGGTTGGACTGGGTATGATCCTAGAGGCTGTTCGTGATCATCAGCCACATGATCCTATGTATAAGTTTGGTGTGGAGGCGATCGAACAACTAGTGAGTCGATTGCCGGAATGGGTCGGATTCTGTCACCTACTTCTACAGATTCCAAGTCTTCATGGAACCCCTATCTCTCAAAAAGCCGAGGAAGTCTTGATGGAGCAAGGCCACCAACCAGCAAATGATACCGGCCCGGCTAGAGTCAACGGTGATGGTGCCACCAATGGTGACCTGGAAGATACCGACTCCTCTCGTGTGTTCCGCTCGTTGCATGTCGGCCCACCGTTGCGCCCTGAAATCTACGAAGACCCCGATGAGGAAGTACAAGACAAGATCTTGTTTGTTCTGAATAACGTCTCAGAACAAAACATTGAAGACAAATTGCGAGATTTGAGAGATGTGCTAAGAGACGAACATTATCAGTGGTTCGCTGCGTATCTTGTTGAACAGCGGGCAAAGCTACAACCGAATTTTCAGCAGCTGTACCTTGACCTTCTAGAACTCATCGGCAACCGAACGCTCTGGGCAGAAGTCCTTCGCGAAACCTATGTTAGCTCTATACGTTTGTTGAATGCAGAAACTACTGTGAACTCGTCAACCGAACGTAGCCATTTGAAGAATCTTGGTGCTTGGTTAGGTTTATTGACTATTGCCAAAGACAAGCCTATCAAGCACAAAAACATCTACTTCAAAGGACTGCTTATGGAAGGCTACGACAACCAGCGTCTGATGGTCGTTATCCCCTTCACTTGCAAGGTCCTGCTCCAAGCCGTCAAATCAACAGTCTTCAAACCACCAAATCCATGGCTGATGGACATTATCGGCCTCTTGATAGAGCTATATCATTATGCAGAGCTGAAGCTTAACCTCAAGTTTGAGATCGAAGTACTTTGCAAAGACCTCGATCTAGACCATAAGTCCATTGAACCTGCCTCCGATATCCGGGATCGCTCACAGCAAGGCGAAGAAGTCATATCAGCAGCTAACATACCAGAAGGATTGGAAGTGTTCGAGGATATGACTTTAGCTGGCATCAACCCAGCGATTAGAACTGAGCGGTTGTCCCCTGCTGCTATTTTGTCAAGCCTCCCTAGCTTGGACAAGATTTTGGTATTCCCATCTTCCGCGAGCAGTATGGTCGACCCCAGCATTCTGCGCCAGATTGTACATACTGCCGTCGAGCGTGCTATTGCTGAAATCATTGCACCGGTTGTTGAACGCTCAATCGCTATCGCCTCGATATCTACGGTCCAGCTCATCTCAAAGGACTATGCAATGGAACCAGATGAAGAGAAGGTACGACATGCCGCGAGAACAATGGTACGCCAGCTCGCAGGTAGCTTGGCTCTTGTAACATGCAAAGAACCCCTCAAAATGAGTATGACGAACTACATCCGCATGATCCAACAGGAATATTCTGAACAACCCATGCCCGAAGGTCTCATTCTGATGTGTGTCAATGACAACCTTGATGCTGCATGCGGTATTGTCGAGAAGGCTGCTGAGGAAAAGTCCGTACCTGAGATTGAAAAGATTATCGAGCCACAGCTAGAGGCACGCCGTCGTCACAAAGCCGCCAGACCCAATGACCCTTTCATTGATCCTTCTTCAATGAATCGATGGGGAATGCTAATCCCTGAGCCCTACCGTCAGATCCCTGGTGGATTGAACAAAGAGCAACTGGCTATCTACGAAGACTTCGCTCGACAGACTAAAGGACCAGCTTCGAGCCACCTGCAAAACGCATCGACCGATTCTGGCCGACAGTTACCTGATGTTCTTCAGGAATCTTACCCAGCAATTCCCAACCTCTCCACTCCCGCAGAGCCACCGGCAGTACCTCATCAAGCGACACAGCCTCAACAAGATAGTCGCCTACCACAACCCTCTGCAGTTGGCGCGCAATCTCAATTGAATGGTTTCCTCGACAGTCAGAATCCTCGTGAAAAGGTGGAAATTCTCATCACGGGTCTCCAACAGGATGCTCGAAGCGCTTCAGAGGAACACATCAAGGATTTGGGCCGAGACAGTCCTGTCATTCAAGATTACAACCAGATCTTGCGCACGATCATAAGTTCCCCCAGTGGCGAAGATTTCGCCAGGTTGACATGTCTGAAGATTTGCACCAGTCTCTACTCACAGACAGAGAGTCCCCTTGAGATTGAGGTTCTCGTTAGCTTGCTTGCCAAGATTTGTGACATGTCCTCGATTGTGGCAAGATATACTTGGGCCATTCTCTCGGATGTTGATGACGAGCACATGTTTAACGTCCCAATCACCGTTGCTCTTATCGATGCCGGATTACTCGATCTTCGACGCGTGGATATGTTGCTTAACAAACTAATTCTTCAGAAGAATAACAGTGCCTTGGATCTGCTGGCAAGCTTGATGGATCGTGTTTTATTTAACGATGAACCATCAGCCTTGAGATCAGACTTCTCCGGCAGTCTTGAAGCAATGAACCAGTGGCTTGTCGAAGAGCCAGACCTTGCGGTTGCTGTTGACATTATTCGCAAGCTACGTGAGTCTGGAGTTTCAGAGGTCGTGAACCCTTACTTGAGTGACAAGGCGAGAGCCAAGCGTGACCAGATGGAGTATATCTTTAGCGAGTGGATTGGCGTCTATAAATTTGCTGGTGCTACAGATCGCACCTTCCAGTCATTCCTCAAGGATCTGCATAACAGACAAGTGATGAACAGCCAAGAAGACTCGGCACTGTTCTTCAGATTGAGCGTGGACATCTCAGTGGCGATGTTTGAACACGAGTCTCAAAACCCCAACGGCAGTCTTGATGAGGCATTCCTATATATTGACGCTCTTGCCAAGCTAGTTATACTACTTGTTAAATTCCAGGGCGAAACCACTGGTGCAGTCAAGGGTTCCAAGCCAGCCTACCTTGATTCGGTTCTGTCTTTGTTGGTGCTGGTTCTCAATCACCACCAAGTCATGCGGGGCGACGCTTTCAACCAGCGAGTCTTCTTCAGGCTCTTTTCAAGCATTCTCTGTGAATATTCTCTCTCTGGTCTTCATATGAGTGATCAGCACCAGGAGATGATGTTCGCGTTTGCTAGTCGATTCCTGTCCCTCCAGCCAAAGTATGTACCAACCTTTGTGTATGGTTGGTTGTCTCTTGTCTCCCACCGTGTGTTTATGTCAGGCATGTTGAACATGCGTGATGAAGCGGTTAGTATTCTTTGCGCCCTTGAACAAATAAAATCACAACGACTAACAACGTTCCAGGGCTGGGCACCATACTGTGAAATTATGCAGGTTCTCCTATCCTATATGGGCGAACAGCTGAAGCCAGGAAACATCTCTTATGTTGCCAAGGACCTCTACAAGGGCGTGCTGAGAATTCTCCTCATACTACACCACGACTTTCCAGAATTCGTAGCAGAAAATCACTTCCAATTCTGCAACGTGATCCCCGCTCACTGCGCTCAGTTGCGCAATCTTATTCTCAGCGCCTACCCATCGTCTTTCCATAAGCTTCCAGATCCATTCCGCGAAGGACTAAAGCTGGACCGACTTCAGGAAATGCGGGAAGCTCCAAAGATCACAGGCGATATCGTTACGCCTCTGCAACAGGCAAATCTCAAGAACGTCCTTGACACATCATTCCAGAGCAATGTGGTAAACGATAGTACCATTCAAGCGATCTGCGATGCCCTGTACAAAATAGCCGATAAGGAGACAGGTCTTTTCATGACCCCCATCCATGTTGATGTTGTTTTGATCAACGCATTGGTTCTCTACATTGGTGAACAGGCTGTAGCATCTGGCGGATTGAAAGGGAACACACGTGCTGCCTTCGAGGAGTCTCCTCACTCTATGCTACTCGATAAGCTAGCCAAGGTCCTCGGTCCAGAGGCTCGGTACTACCTGCTCAGCGCGATGGCAAATCAGCTGCGATATCCCAATAGCCACACTTATTACTTCAGCTTTGCGATTCTCCAGCTATTCGGAATCGACTACGCTGAACAACAGGAGTCTGATATTCGTCAGCAGATCATTCGTGTTCTGCTAGAACGGCTGATTGTTCACCGGCCACACCCTTGGGGTCTGATCATTACTCTCCAGGAACTGCTCCAGAACCGCAGCTACACATTCTTCAGACTGCCCTTCATCCAAGCAGCACCAGAGGTGAGTTCTACTTGAATATTCATGGTAATTTGTGGACCATCTTCTAACAGAATCCAGATTGGCCGTCTCTTCGACGCTCTTCTTCAACATATACAACAGCAGAGCCCTCGCGTTCTATCTTAATTCGTTTAATACCGTACATGATCTCATCTTTTGGGCAGTTGATGAGTGGTTCACGAATCTCTTATACTCTCTTTAAGGCGTTTGGTGGTAAAAGGGTCTCATTATTCCTTCTTGCGTCTGATTTGCGTACTACTGTTTTTCCTCCCTTCTCATCTGTTCATTTTCATGGCGAATCGGATCTTCATTTAACGTGGAAACGTCCTCTGGCAAAAGAAAAGAACACCAATACAGCATGATGCAACTTGCAATGAATGGATCGGGTGTTTGACTTGAATTTTTCTTTCATGTGATTTAGGGTTGTCTTTTGATCATTGGGGTCTCTAGAGATGGGGCCTGTCCTGGGAGATTGTGTTGTGTAGAATTGCATGGGCGTCGTCTCTTTATTTTACATGTATTATAGTTAATAGGATTTCTTGACTTTATAATTACATACATAATGTTATACGTTCGCGAACTATGGTCCATGTTCTAGTTGTATGTAGACAATACTCATAGGCCGTCAACTGTCAAATTTGCATGTGATCGCTCCTCCTGGTTTAGTCTTGTTTTTCCCCGGTGACATCACATTCCAACGCGCGCTCTCGCAACTAAACCTCTACAAAGTATTCTTTCCATCAGATGGCAGGCAACAATGGGTGACAAAGGCAACTATTCAGATGATGAAAATGAATATGAGGAGGAGGAGTCAATAGTATGGAGAACAGCGGTACGTGACACTCCTTTTCGAGTCTACAGCTGATTCCAAGAGCAACACCGAACTGACCAGTGAGAACAGAGAATCGTCCTTACACCCTTTCGCGCTTTATTCTCCAAAGAAGCTCGAAAGACATATCTTGGAGCTATCCTCTTTCTTAGCACATCCATAGCGCTGTTCTGTGTTGCCGCTGTGGCTTATTGGGTGTTTTATCTCAATTATGTCCCACAGATCGGGCTAAAGCGTGTTGTGCATCTCCAATTTAGGTAAGCTAATTGCTTCTTATTTTTCCTTCTTCTTCTTCTAGATACTGACTACGAATTGGAACGAAAAGCGATGAACACCCCTGGGGAGTCACTAGCCTTGGATCAGATCTCGCCTCTCTCCAACAATACGATGTAAGCGTGTCCTTGAAACTCCCACGGACTCCAGCAAACCTTGCTACAGGCAATTTCATGCTTGACCTATCATTATATTCCGCACCTCAGACATCAATCATGAGCACAAATACTTCTACCACATTAATTGCGCATTCAAGACGCCCGGCAATTCTCACATATACCTCTCCGCTCGTGGATACAGCGCAGACACTTTCCCATATGCCGCTCTACTTATTTGGTTGGAAGCGCGAGGCAGAGACTCTAGATGTGCCTATGTTTGAGAATCTTGAATTTGCGCGTAGCTGGCGGAATGTGCCGGCTAGCCTAAGGTTGGAGATTCAGAGCCGTGAGCAGATGCAGGTATACGGCGTGGAGGTCAAATTCAGAGCTAAGTTTAGAGGGTTGAGGTTGGTTATCCTTCTGCAACATTTGATCGCGTGTGTGTTCATAGGCTTACTGTAAGCAGATGGTTAATGTACAGGTGGAGACTTTTATCATTCTTCGCTTTTACATCCATGTTCTGGTCCGTTTCCATGATCTCAAGCAGTATCGTGTGGCTACTAGTCTCTCAATATTTGGGCTCGACGGCACACGATGACCAGCGCATCAAGAACGAAGAAGACACGGAGGATGGCGTCAAGGCAATCAAAAAGGAGTCTAGCGAAAGGGACGACGGTATAGTGAAGCAAGAGGAAATCGAAGAAACAACGAATATCCCTCCACTTGGTACCCAATCTGGCAACGAAGCGGAGGATGTGGAATCAATCAGACGCATCCACGACAGCAGTGATTCAGGGCGGGGAACAGCATTTGATGGTCATGATACCCTTGGCGCTCAGCGTCGTCGAAGCCTTTTGTCTGAATAGGGCATCTCTTGTATGCTAAACAACAATTTCCTGCTCTCGGCGTTTTGACCGATACTTGTAAAAGTAGCCCAATGGTTGGGTGCCATGCGTAAGACATATTCCAAGCATGAAAGTTGCGATGTATGAAGTTGAAAAAGAAAAGTGAGGCGATGCGGGGAGTTGTATGTAATCTGACGTTATTTGAGAGGGGAAAATCTTCATCCCGCAGTTTCTTTTCTTTCCTCCGCATCTCTCGTCAAGATCATTCCAGGTTTCATAATGCATGTCCTAGTAAGTGTCAATCACTCAATCTTCTTATGTCTCCGTCGATACTATCGTATACAATTAGACTTTTCGTTTAGAAATGGCTGCTAACAGATCAATTACCCCGCGGTGCAGGTAACAAATGACGACGGTCCGCCGTCCAACCAGTCCTCCCCCTACGTTCACTCACTCGTCCATTCCCTCCAAAACGCTGGCCATACAGTTTCAGTGATACTCCCCAATCAGCAACGATCATGGATTGGCAAAGCACACATTGTCGGCGCCTCCGTGAAGCCGACATATTTCCGCCCGGGAACTCTTCATCACGACGATGGTACCATCCACCCTCTTCCCCGAGGCAGTGAAGAAGGCGACGACGAGGAAGGCGATGAATGGGTACTGATTGACTCTACACCCGCGAGTTGCGTTCAAATCGGTTTATATCACTTCTTCCAAGACCGAGGACCAATTGATATCGTTGTCTCGGGCCCGAATTACGGTAGGAATACCACGGCCGTTTTTGCGTTGTCGAGCGGCACAATAGGAGGTGCAATGGAGGCGGCGGTTAGTGGCAAGAAGTCTATTGCTCTGTCGTATGCCTTTACTTCCAGACATCATGATCCGGTCGTCATTGAGGAGGCGTCGAAACACTCGGTTCAATTGATAGAGTATCTGCATGCCAATTGGGACGATGCAGTTGATTTATACACTGTCAATGTGCCACTTGAGCCTGGTATCAGCAAGGCTAAGGTTGTATATACGCATATGCTTCACAACCAATGGTCGAGTGGCAGCTGCTTTGAGGCCATTGATGCGTCTGCCTCTGGTGACGAACCGGGTCTTCAAGAGCGCGATTTACGAGAACAAAGCGAGGGTCAATTACAGGATGGGGGCTCATCTGTTTTGAATAAGAAAACGGCATTGCAACATAAGCACTTCAAGTGGGCTCCTAAGTTGACTGATGTATATCGAAGTGTGGAGGAGAGCAAGGACGGAAATGATGGCTGGACAGTCAAAGAGGGAATGACGAGGTATGTCTTTGAATTTTCCTTATCATTCTGATCTATTTGGCTAATGAACTTATGATACAGTGTCACTCCGCTCAGAGCGAATTTTATGCATGCAGCTGGCATCCAGGGAGAAATCAAGCTAGGGTAAGTGGACAGACACAAACATAACAACAACAAGGCGAAGAATTGGGAGGTCCTAGACATAGAGTTATAGACTTATCTCACCTGCACCATGTCTTGTCTGAAGTGAATGTATTTTTCTGATTTTATTCTCTCTAGAACCAGGAAAAATGATAACTTCGACTTTTACTGCATTCTTAATTACGAAGATAAATACGTTCAGCCTTTACTCGAGGAACTGTTCGACAAACTTGCGAGCGAAAATTCCTGCAAGATCGTCAAGTCGGTCGCAGACCTTCCCGATCCTTTCCAACCACTGTTGCAGTATCGGGCCTATGAGGAGATCGATTTTGACCATATCATGTCGCATCCGTCAACATCCTTGACGAACTCGTTCATTATTCGGAAAGCTCTGATCAGAAAGCATTACCTATCGACTACAATAGCCAACTGGGTCTCAAAATACCCCGACAGTATCTTGAAGAATCATTTCAAACCAGCGTTTGACTTTGAGCTAGACTTTGCAGAGTTTCTTGACGAGGCGTTACTCGAAGCGTATGAGTTACGAGAGAGCTTAGATCAAAATGAGTCGAGTGCAGATGACGAGAAGGAATGGTGGATCTTGAAACCAGGAATGAGCGATCGTGGACAGGGTATCCGTCTGTTCAACAGTGAAGCACAGCTTCAGGCGATATTCGAAGAATGGGATGTCGAGGAATCAGATGAAGAAGATGAGGAAGGAAATGGAGGAGACGGTACACAGGATGAATCGGGCTCAAGACTCAATCCGAATAATGAACAAGGTGTTGTTACATCGCAGCTCCGACACTTCATTGCTCAACCATACATACATCCGCCTTTGCTTCTCCCCTCGGCTTCTGGGAGAAAGTTCCATATCCGCACCTACGTCCTCGCAGTAGGATCTCTTAAAGTATATGTCTTCAAGGAAATGCTTGCCCTTTTTGCCGAGAAGCCCTACAAGGCTCCGTGGGAAGAAGACGACGAGATTCGCGATCTGAGTAGGCACTTGACAAACACATGTCTGCAAGAGAACGGTAGCTCTACCGAAGGCACAGTACGAAGATATTGGTCGCTAGATGATGACATTCCTAGCTTGGAGCCCGGTTGGAAAGACAGGGTGTTTGATCAAATATGCGCAGTCACTGGGGAGACATTCGAGGCCGCCTCTCGGGGGATGCTTGTACATTTCCAGACTTTGCCCAATGCCTTTGAACTTTTCGGTTTGGATTACTTAGTAGATGCCGCCGGAAAGGCATGGCTTCTGGAGGTGAATGCTTTTCCAGATTTTGGACAAACTGGTGACGATCTCAAACATGCCGTGGTTGGTCGACTGTTCGAGGCTACAATTAAAGTGGCCATCAAGCCATTCTTCGCCAAATCACATGCAACAGACCCTGATTTGAGACTGGTCACCGACCTAGATCTCGGGCGAAAGGCGTGAACAGGCTAATGACTCACCAAACAATGACAGGTGGCGGTCAGAGAAGAAGCAAAACGGTTACACAGGCATAGTCCTTTGAGTCAAACTTGAATATCGATCCAATCGAGCATATTAGCAGTACATTATCTGCCACTATACAAACCCTAATAAGCAGATACCAACAAGGGTTGCCGCTTCAGATGCACAGCCAGTCACACCGAGTTCTTCACACTTGCAATCCAGCCTGAGCAGTGCTTCCTGTATAAAAGCACCAGTCCTAGCACTATTTAGAAAGAAATAAAATATGAAAGAGCGGGAAAGACCAACAATCTGCCGCTTTCCTGAAAAGGTCGACGCTGTCTGTCGGATGCTGCCTGTTCTCTTCCTTTTTGAGCGAGGGCAACTTCCTTCCTTACGTCGCGTCTGTTGTCTCTCTTCTTTTTCTTCTCTTCATGGTTGATTTTGGTCTGCCTTAAATTTGCATTTTCTCATCGCTACAGCAAAGCTTACGTTTTGATGCGTCAAATGGAATGGTCGCATCTTGTCCAACATCGTGAGATTCATCTACAACATGTCTTCCCTTCCTACGACGACGGATTGGCGAGTCAGCGCAATCGAAGGCGTGCAATTCTATCTCCCCCTTTTGACCGGTGCATCCTATCTTATAGCATCTGCTGCTCAGTGTCTCTTATCCAAAGATCGATCCTCTCAACCAGTACGCTTACGACCCGCGGTCGGCAATACTATCCTAGCTTTAATGGTAGTTATCCTCACCTCTTACAGCATCAGCGCTGCACTGTTATCCTATGAAGCTCTCAATAGGAGACAGCATACATTCGAAAATTCCATCTTGTTTTCACTGTGGTCGGTATTGTTATGGGCTTTCCTGACTGCTCGGTTTGCCATCAATAATCCTAGACTTGGATTTCCATCATGGAACTGTTGGGTTTTTTATCTGGCTGGCGAGACAGCCCTTCTCGGTCTTCAGTTATCAGCTCGTTTGCCAATCCATGGAACTACATTTGCTCTGCAAGTCGTACGTTCGGTAACGTTGTCGATGCTCTGTGGCCTGGTATTAGTGCGACCCTTCAACAAGCCCGAAACAAGAAGCTATGGACAAGATGACTGTAGTAGCGAAGAGAATCGTCCTCTGCTGGGGGGCTTTCGGAGTGATGCATCTTATTCAACAGTCAGTAATACTGATTCCAGCACCAGCGAATCAAGGCAAGATACGACCTCAAAGGAAGAAGCTTCAACCTTATCGCAGGGGTTGGAAGTGTTCCACTTTGCAGTACCTCTATTATGGCCGAAGCGCCGACTTGGGCTACAATTACTAGCCATAGGCGTTGGTCTTTGCTTGCTCGCTGAACGTCTACTTATGGTCTACGTACCTGTTCAACTGGGCATGATCACCAATACCCTGACTCAGGAGAAGACTCTACCGTGGCAGCAGATTACAACCTTCGTTCTCCTGAGACTACTCGACTCAAGCGGTGGTGTTTCAGCTCTCAGAGCATATATGTGGATGCCATTGGAGCAGTACACATACCAGAGGATAGCAGTAAATGGCTTCAACCAAGTCATGGATCTTTCGTGCGACTTCCATGACGACAAAAGCTCGGGTTCGGTGTGGCATGCGATTAACCGAGGAACAATCATTCAGAATGTGGTTCGCAAGGTGCTTTTTCAATTCGTACCAATGATTTCTGACCTATTCATTGCGGTAACTGTCCTACACGTCACCTTTGGCCCATATATGGGCCTCATCACTGCAGCAATGATAGGGCTTTTCTTATGGTCTTCTAGCACTATATCGAAATTTCAGAAAGCAAAACGGAAGAGATACATTTCATCTATCAGGAAGGAAGTCAATATCCGTTGTGAAGCAACGAATAATTGGCTCACTGCCACCTATTTCAACAAGATTGATTACGAAAAGCATCGCCATTTTTCTGCAGTCAAGGATCGTCTCGGCTCTGAACTATCCGTCCGTCGATGGTTGCGCACGGAGAATTTTGTGCAATCGTCCATTCTATCACTAGGCTTGATATTCGCCTGTTTCATAGCTATTTATCAAATCTCTAACGGCACGAGACCAATTGGAAGCTTTCTTATGCTGCTTGGTTATTGGGCCCAGCTCTCTAGCCCACTTGAAATATTCTCCAACGGACTCACATCTATCACGCTCGACTTGGTAGATGCTGAGGAGTTCATGGCTCTCTTGAAGAGGGTACCGTCCATCACAGATAGTTCCGGCGCAAGTAAAATACAAGCCCAGGCAGGCGTTGTCAGCTTCAGCGACGTGTCGTTTTCTTATGACAAGAAACGTCACGCGCTCAATGGGGTTACATTTGAGGCCCAGCCAGGGCAGACAGTGGCATTGGTTGGAGAAACTGGGAGCGGCAAGTCGACTACCTTGAAGCTTTTACTTCGCCTCTATGATCCGGACTGTGGGTCTATTGAGATCGATGATCAAAATATCTCTCATGTTTCACTTCAAAGCTTACGAGATGCTATCGGAGTTGTCCCTCAAGACCCTGCGCTTTTCAACGATACCTTGCTCAACAACTTGAAATATGCAGACGAATCCGCCACTCTTGAGGTCATTCATCGTGCGTGCACAGCGGTAAGACTTCATGAACGATTTCTCAGCTTTCCAGATGGTTATGAAACCATAGTAGGTGAACGAGGTATCAAGCTTTCAGGAGGAGAACTTCAGCGGGTAGCAATAGCTCGAGTCCTAATCAAGGATCCCAGTATTGTGTTACTGGACGAAGCAACAAGCGCTGTAGACAGCGAGACCGAAGCGTACATCCAACAGAGCCTAGCTCAACTTACTAAGGGGAGGACGACATTGGTGATTGCACATCGTCTATCGACGATTGTCAAAGCAGATCAAATACTTGTTTTCAAAAACGGAAGTATAGTCGAACGAGGAACACATCAAAGTCTCATCAAGCGGAATGGCTACTATTGTCGGCTGTGGAAGCAGCAGGTCGGTGCCGATACAAAGACAAACGGATCAGCCCTAAAGCCTGAGGCTCCGGAATTTGTTCCTATGGGGATGATGAAATGAGGGGACGTGACGGATGAAGATCCATGAAAGGTACCAGCTTTATATGGAAGGTATATTGATAAATTGCCGAATGTCGATAACGTGTATGTGTTAGATTGAGCAGCTTTTACTCGGCTGGATCATATACAACGACAAATATCTTTTTGATCACCAAGAAGCTTCATCAAAGCTTACAGCCGATTAGCACAAACCCTATCAGCATGTGTACACATTCGAATCATGTCTATATACCTTTATAGCTCCAATTATTACGTAAAGATGAAAATCGCACTCACAGATACCAAAAAGCCAATTGCACGCTCGTGGGGGACTCTTTTTGACGGCTAACCAAATCGCTGTTTAGCCAATGCCTTCAACCAACCCATAGTCTCCTCCTCCTTCTTTTTGTACTCTGCCAACCGTTCCTCCCTCTCCGCCTTTCTCGCCATCAAGATCTCTTCACGACGTATTTCCCGCTCATTCTTCTTCCTCGCTTCTTGCTCCTTTGCTCGTTTTAGCGCAGATAAATCATCGTCGCCACCACCGCCCATTAACTCTGAGTCGGGTGCAGCTTCCATAGTCGGAGAGCCACCGCGGCGGCCTGACGCAAATTCACGGTTTGCGGCTGCCTTTTCCCTTTTTTTCTCCAATTTGCGTTCGTGTGTCCCTGGTTCTGCGCGAGGGGCGACTTCATCTTCGAAGGCTCGGAGATTGGTTTTATGGGATGAGGTTTCGTGTTTGTGTTGAGTGCGAGCTTCTGAGCGGGCTGCTTCAGCATCTGCGAGAGCTTGTTCTGTTCAAACTGTTAGCCAAATGGAAGTGGCATAGAATGAGCGAAAAAAGAAATTACTTACCACGCCGAAGTTCTAAGTCTTGTATATTCGGTATAGTAGGCCCAGATAAAGCTCCCCTAGAGGTAACAGGTCCGCGAGGAAGCTTAGGTCCACATTCATCATCATCATCTCCATTATCATCGTCAGTTTCCGCCACAGGGGGATCATCCTTATTGTATGGCATCATATCATTATCGCTGCGTTCTCCAAATTGATCCAGCTTTTTGACCACTTCCTTGTTGTGATCGACTCGTGCATCATTCAAGCTACCCTTGGCTTTCTCAAAAGTGGCAGGGTCATACCACCCTTCAGCGAGTTCTCCACGGTTCCTGATATGTTAGCCGATTGCCTATATCAAAAATGGGTTCTCGACACTATGGGAGTGAAATGCTCATGCTTACCATTTTTTGATAAAACTCTTCCACCTCCCCATGACTTCCTGTTCATCCATATCCTCTATCACCAATCCCTTTTGTATATCCAAGTACATCGCAAACATCGGCTCTAGCAGAGAAAGATCGAATTTCGACAAATGTCGTGCATTATACGGTAGAACAACCGGCGCCGCGGATACCGGAGAAAGCTCTTTGCGCTCGCGGTGGTGATAACGTTTCCGTTCCCGATTTTTGTCCCCATGCTTTGAGTCATGCGCCGGTGATCGCGAGCTTCGGTGATGATGTCTGCGATTCGGACTGCGGTCTCTGTAGCGATTACGATTGCTGGAACCGAGCCTCGCAGGCGACACAGACCGAGTGTGAGACCTATGGCCGTATTGGCGCTCCGCGATGCGCTCTCCGTGGGATGTGCGATCCATAGCGACGCTTTTAACGAGATATCTAGGATGAGACTAAGGTTTTGTCTCTCTCGGGGTCCAATTACTGTAACTCAGGAGGATTTTCCTGTTGCTGGCGCTAGGGCGACGCCGGCTGCCTTCTTTCAATATAAAAGCAATACTACATATTAGGTCTTTCGACTTGTATCTTGGATGAAAATGAGCTTGAAGTCATGCATGCCAAGCAACTCCGGACTAACCCGAATATGTACTAGTTTGAGTCTAGACCTGCGGCTCAATTGCGAGTCTCGGCTTTGATGGTACGTAGTACGTTTTTGTTCAGAAGCTTTGGAATACTCGGGTACAGGTTGAGGAAAACAGAGAACGTGACATTTAAATAAGAATTCGAACTTCACTATATGGAGATAGAATATTTTCCTACATGTAAAATACAAAGAAGAGAGTAAATCTTTGGCGCGAAGTCCGCCTAGCTGCTCTGCGATTCCTCCACAGTTGCAGATTGGGCTGGCTGGGACGGTGTCTTCGACCTGTTTGCGGCAGCCATCTGCCAGGCAGGGATTGAGGCAGACTTGCCCAGCTGAGACAGAGGGTTGGTGGAAGCCGGGGAACTAGTGGCTTGGCTGTTAGAAGCAGAAGGAATAGGAGCGGTGTTTGTGTTTGGTGTTGTTGCAGGAAGGGCAGTTGCTGGTGATAATGCTGGCTCGGGTGTAGCGGTTGGTCCTACTGGCCGTCCGGTAACCGGTGTGGTTGCGGGGCTACCGGCGCTGAGGCGATTATTCAACAGAGTCTTTAAGCTTCGAAGTTCTGTGCCGAGTTCCTTGAGTCTGCCTTCATTTCCTTCTCTTGCCCCTTCCAATGCCTTGGGGATGCTATCCTTCAGGCTCTTGACTTCGTCGCTTATTCGGCGGGTTTCGTCATCGCGTCGGCGGGTTGAAGATTTTAGTTCCGACAGTACACTCTCAACTTCACGGAGAGCAGCATCCAAACGCTCTGTTCTGGCGTCTTCTGCAGATTTCAAAGCTGCTGTGTCCGTAGAGAGCTGATCAATCAGAGTAAAAGCGCGAGCAAATTCTTCGTCAATGCTTTGCTTATCCTGTTCTAATTGTGGAGGAGTAGGAGGTGCTATTATAGGCACTACATATCTCTATCCTCGGAATCAGCGAGAAGAGAAAATTATCGCACTTTTTTTTTAACTTACCTTGGCTAAGACGTATAATCCATAACCAACTCCTCCTGTTATTGTCGCCATAATAAACCAGTCGCGCCAGTCCCGTCTAGGGACCCTAATCATTCGATCAGAACTTATACCACAAAGATATAGAGTGACAGTGTTTCTTACTCAGGCGGAGGCTGCCATTGACCATACGGACCGGGACCATAACCGGGCTGGGCAGCTGTCGGCCGATAAATAGGCTGTTGTTGCTGAGCATATCCAACAGGTGTCGCAGTTGTCGTGGTTGTTGTTGTTTGGACCGAATCTTCGCCTGCCCGTGCAATAGCAATATCTATTTCTTCTTGAGTGAGGTTTTTAGATTGTAGGAAAGCGACTCGTTTCTCTAGCGGCGAGGAGGCGACGGACGGATCCTGGAGAACTGAGCAAGATTAGCTCGTGTCACCGTGGAGTTTTTCGAGATGGCTTTAAATCCGAACATACAAGTAATCTACAGCATCAAGTTAGTTGTGCGCCATAAGAGGCGAAACAATAAGAATGACTTACAGCCGAGGAGATGAGCTCCTCGCGAGGAGCCATGATGGCGACTGCTCAGCGATCAACCCAATATATCTGCTCGCCTGTCAAGAAGATGCAGCAATTGATCTGTATTTGCAGCATCCGCGTAAGGTAGACCTTGAGCTCAAAAAAAAGTGTAGGCTGTTTGCTGATTTCATATGTCGCATAAGTTGAAAGAGGTCGTTAAAGCGGTTGCCGAGCGGCGAAGTGAGATCCTCCATCCTGGACCTCGGAAGTTGCACGAAATTGCGCTAGTTCAATTTCGGSGAGCCGGCGCAGTTGCGCACGTGATGTCTCACGACTCTTGGCGGCGCGCTTTGTTTTGGTCGCCCACCGCCTGCCGTTCTTGTCATCTTTGCCAAGGAAACGTCCCTCCTGCCTTTTGTTTACTTTCCGTAACAGTTGGCGCATTTTTGTATTGGGCTGCGACTACCCTCACGATATACATCGACAATCCGCGCTCACAATTCTTCTCATTTTTGGCTTATCACTTCTTTCTCAGAACGTAGAACTTGATCTGTTCAGATTTTGAGAATCGCTTTGGTGCAACACGCGGCCTTTCTGGTCGGGAAGGAAATAGCATCATGTCGCAAGACACGGGCTTGTTCAGCATCAAGCGACCTCGCGAGGTAAGAGGAGCAATTCCAATCGCCTGCAAGTCCTAGATTATACGAGTGTTTATTTTCGTTCCATGAACACACAGCTAACATTGTAAAGACGCTGGCAAGCGTACAGAACTTCTCCGCCTTGCCTCAGCCATCATCCGCGCTGAAACGCACAAGTATGATTGGCAGTCACCAGAATCCTCCATATACTTCTCAACACTCACGCTCAACGTCACTTTTCAATTCACATGGCCGACCTCACCAACCAAATTTCCAGCGCTCATCCTCAGGGGCCAGCTTTGGACCTGAGGCTGGTCTCTCAACCGTCAGACGATCTGTTTCTAACAACCTCTTTCAAAACACTGCTGTTGGACGACTCAGCTATGCGCCCAATTCGTTCCCAACGAATAGCGCTTCACAGCAGAATCTGCAACGAAGGAGCAGCGTCTTTTCGCGGCCATCTATGGCCGGGGGGCCCATGGCACATCAATCATTCTTCACTCAGGGACCTGTTCCTGCTGGAGCTCCAAAAGATCCGCGGCCGCTCAGAGATCGATCATTTCAAGCACGAATTGGCCAAGAACTCTTAGAGTACTTGACACACAATAATTTTGAGCTGGAAATGAAGCACTCCTTGGGCCAGAACTCGCTGAAATCACCAACGCAAAAAGATTTCACTAACATCTTCCAGTGGCTATACCGCCGAATTGATCCAAGCTACAAGTTCCAAAAGAGCATTGAGGCCGAGGTGCCTCCTATTTTGAAACAACTACGCTATCCGTACGAAAAAAACATAACTAAATCTCAAATCGCGGCAGTTGGTGGTCAGAATTGGTCGACTTTCTTAGGAATGCTTCATTGGATGATGCAACTTGCGCAAATGTTGGACCATTACTCCGTTGGCGAGTACGATGAGGCGTGCGCTGCAGCTGGTGTGGATATTTCAGGAGATCGAATCATCTTCCGATTTCTTACCGGGGCCTACCATGACTGGTTGCAGGGAGGCGAAGATGAAGATGATGATGTGGCTGAGAAACGGCTGGTTCCGCATGTCGAAGCGATGGCAGCTGAATTTGAACAGTCGAATGAGAAATATGTCCGAGAATTGGAGGTGTTGGAGGCGGAAAATCGTGCGCTCCGAGACCAGTTGGAAGATTTGGAAAAAAATGCGCCGGATATGGCGAAGTTGGATAAAGATTTCCGGATTCTTGAAGACGACAAACGCAAATTTGAAGATTACAACTCGAATGTGCAAGGCAAAATTGACAAGTACAAAAGTCGCATCCAATTTCTTGAAGAAGAGCTCAAGAAAACCGAAGACGAGCTTCAAACAGCGGAAGAAGAGCGCGGAAGTCTGCAGGCTAGTGTTGATAGCCAGGGGATTACGATCCAGGATATCGATCGCATGAACACTGAGCGGGAGCGCTTACAGCGAAGTCTTGAAGACACTGTGGGCCGACTCGAGGAAGCACACGCACGTGTGATGGAGAAAGAAACCGAAGCAAATCAAAAACTCGAAGACCTAGAGCAAGTTGTGAAAGCTTACAACACGCTAGGCTACCAGAATAGTCTAATTCCAGAATCTGCCATTAATGCTAACGGCGAGGACTACGAAATTCGACTGAATGTGAACGAAGCAAGCTTCTCTTCCTCACAAATGGGTGTCTCACAGGATCAAGGCTCTCCCGAAGGCTATCGTCTTCTTGCGGATGCAAACAACGGCTATCAGCCAGTTCATTTAGTGAAGCTTGACCTTCGTGGAGTTGTTCGTGCAAACTTGATATCTCTTCGGAAAGAGATCAACGAGCGAAGGAAGAAGGTCGCGGAGAAGGATATGGCGGACCGTGACCTGCTCAATGACATCAAGGAGGCCATGGACGAGAAACGTAGCGAAATCGAAGCACTTGAACACCGGAGACGCGCTGCCGAAGAAGAATTCGAGCGTACCAAGGAGATAACAACCACACAAAAGGTTCAGTCAGATGCTCAAATCGAGAAAATGGAAAAGGAGCTAGCGAAGATGCGCGCGTCACTTATTGAAAGCGTTCAACTGATGGAGCAGCGAGAGATGAACACCGATGTAGAATACGAACAACTTACACTCCGCGCCAATCAACTTCGGGAAGAGCTCCATACCGGTGTTGAGAGCATGTTGAACGATATAATTCGATTCAAAGTTCACGTACAGAAAGGGCTGGAGGATTACGAGAGCTTTGTGGTTGAAGAGGTCGAACAAGAGCTCGGCGGAGAGATGCAGTCCATGGAAGACACGGAACTAGCAGAAGCTCACGCAGCGTGAGCGTTCTTGACCTTCTTTCTTCTCGGCGAATAGGTTCCAATGGCATTGGCGCATATCGGTTATACTTCAGGAGTTATCGTTGGCTTGTGTTTCCATATACCCTCTACAAACGTTGTGAATGAGCAATGAAATGTGAAAATGCATCATGTATACATCTTTTTTGTTGTGTTGGCTGTTGATCAAATTGATCGTTATACTGCAGATTGTTACCTAGGCATACATGTTGATAGCAAGGAGATATCCAGCTTGACAGACTTTCTGATACAGACGCAATATAGTATGAACATAGTATGAACATAATATTTCTCTATTTGCTGATTGGCTGATGGATGGCGCTGACTAAGCAAATATTTTTGAGAAGCTCTATCTCCTCGTCCTTTTCGGCATTCATCTCGTGCATCACCTTCCATCGTTCCCTACGAATCCCATATAATAATCAGAACAGGCTCTTTGCCTTTTATGAAGCCCTGATAGGGCTTTGATTGACGGAAACCACCGGCTTACTCTATCAGATATGACTTTAGCAGTTACGAAAATTGGTTCTCGTATCTCGAAAATCCTTCCGCATCACTACTTAACGCTCTCGGATTCCGGGTCATGAAACTTTGCCTGCGCGCTTACCGTCCTTTCCAGCTGGGCTGCAGGTGTCATATAAATCGCTGTGATGGAATCAATTCGATAGCCGCTTCTGGGCGGCGCACTGGTCGTCCTTTCCGCATACCAGAAATMCCTTCGAGCCGAACTTTTGCAACCATTGGTGAAAATCGAAAAACGACCTCGAGGCCATCCCGTTCGTTTAGACAGGTTTCTGTCGAAAATCCACAGAAGCGACCAGAACCCAGTGTACAAGACGATCAGAGTCCGGCAGCATGGATACAACAGCTCGAGCCATACATACCCCTCGACTTGCGCGACGGAACAACGAGTGATAATTTAACGACAAATTCGACGGAGAATAATGAACATTTTAGTTCCGATGGCGAAAAAATTTCGGCTATCTTAAGCCGTGCGCGTCGATTACATCGCCTAGATTTGCTAGCATATCTTGGATTCACGTTACAAAGATGGCCGGCCGTCTATGCGCTGATTACGACGATGCTAGATGCGGCGGACAAGCTACAGATGATAGGACATTCTTTTGAAGGCACGCCATCCAACCTGCAATGGGAACTTTTAGACGATGATCAGATTGTCACCGGTATCAGTAATAATTCTGCGGCATATGTTTCTATGGAAGCTCTCACAGATGAGCCGCGTTACCTTCTAGCAAGAATGGCCATCATGGGACAAATCTGGCAGAGCTTAGGCTTCATCGTACTGACCGCTGCAAATAAGACATCCCAGGAGTCTGAGCTGGCCATGTCCTATGTATATCGAACGCTTGCTCATCTCCACCAGTCCGGTAACATTTCAGATGCGATATATAAGTTTACAAATCGTACCGACAACGGAGATACTTTCCGACCGCCGGGGATGCATTTATTATCTACACATATCATGAACGTTCTGTCAGACGCTGCATGGCTGGACCATGAAGCGGAAGCGACGAGAAAAGCAAAAGCTGCCGGTGAAGATTCCCCATTTCGCCCTTTTAAAATGGGTATCCGGCATTTGGGTTCTCAGATCTGGCTCGAATTTATTCTTTGGGCTTGTATTGAACAGGGTCATATCATGGAAGGCCTATGGATTCTCAAGCATCTGCGAGGGAGCAATTATGCCGCAGCATGGAAGGTTGCCTCATGGAGCCCTCTTCTTGAGAATCCCGAACTGATCAAGAACACTAAAATTGACATCCACGACTTTTGGCCGCATCCCGATATTCCGAGAACACCTGACGAACTTCAAAACAAATCGGGATTTTTTCATGGTTTGGGAAGATTCACTATCAGCGCCGAAGTTTTCAATGCTCTAACGACACAAGCTGCAAGTTATGTGCAGATCAATCACGAATCCGATAACAACGCTAAGGATTTGATTGAGCTGCTTGCATCTGTGATGGAGATCAAACAGTCATACAGTGACAAAGAAATTGGTAACCAAAACGCCAGTGGTTATCATATTATCCCAGTGTTGGAATCACAGATTTTGAATCCAAAATTACACCCAGAACAGCTAGACCACCTCTTGCATGCTTTGCCACCTCCTATACCTCCTTGGAATGACGCTGTTCCAACCGATCGTCAAGGGCTTTCTGCATTCGCTGAACAGAATTTATACGAAACCTCATCTCTCTACACCGGTCTGCTGCAACAGAACTTGCGACTATACGCACATCACCAGCAGATTGAAAATGCAATGAGAATTTTTGACACTTTGCTTGAAATCATTGACTCCAGCAAGTTGGATCGCATACAGGATTTCTGGAGCAAAGGACAGGATAACGAAGGCGTTTCGGAAATATCATATAAAGATGAATCGCTACCTCAGACCTCTATTGCTATCGATCAATCCCCGATCCCAACATTACCGAATGGCGCGCTAGGCGATCTTCTAGACTTGGTCAGGATAAGCAAAGCTTATGCTTTTGGCAAATGGCTTCTTTTCTCCAAGGACGCGGATGGGCCTATAATCACTTTTTCATCATACGGTGATCAAAGCTTGGCCCCGTCCATTTTACGATTTGCTGCAGCAATAGATAACCAAGAACTTGGTGATCTTGTCATCCAGCAAATACGAGAACCCATCTCACGTAACACGTATAATGCGGTAGCAAATTTCTACATTGCCTTTGGGCAATGGGAAGAAGCTGAGGGTATTTTCAAACTCTTGATCGAATACAGAAAGAAAGCATGGGGCGAAACTACTCTCGCCACATTGGCTTCTACCATCCTGCGTCTCGAACAGCGAGTTTGGGAGGAGCCTTGGGACGAGCAACTACAGACATCTCTTCTGCAAGCCCAAACAATGTTGCGCAAGTTTCTTTGGGGTCGTTACAACCCTACGAAGGTGTACAACGAGAGTGTCAATCTATACTACAAACAGACCATATACCGGTGGCATTGTCTACTCTCATCGGTTCCTGGAGCTGTTGCTCGGGTCGCCAACGATGTGAAACCTGTGTATACCAATCCGCTAGGACGGGATAAATTCTCGTTCATTCCGAGTCCAGCATTCAATATCCTACTAAGTGCTGTCGTAGAAACACGCGGCAGCCAAGTTGGAATGGGCTTGTGGGAAAAGTGGTGCATAGACATTGAGCGATCGCACGCAGCCCGACTCGCCGTAGACGAAAAATATCGCTTACAGATGAGCGCTGATCCTGCAAATACGGAAAATCTCGACATTGAATACGACTGGCCATGGCACTATGAGCGACAACGCAAAGCCGTTAACCCTAACCTCAATACACTACGGATAATCAGCCGCGCAGCCGTTATGGAGCTGAAGCAATCTCAAGAAGTGGCGCCAGACAGAAAAAACATGACACCTTCGCAGCAACAATTCAGAGACCAGGTATACCATGTTCTTGATTTCTGTGTTGATCGTTACCAACGATTCAATCGAGACAAGGACGAGATTGGCCGAGAGACGGGTGGCCATTTGAGACGAATCAGGATGTGGCAGTCAAGGAAGAGGAGGAACATCGTTCGATGGGTCTACGGAGACCTCGGCGAGGACGATACTGGTGGCGTTGAAGAGTTGTTGGCAAAGACAGGAAATGAAGAGAAAGACGGGGTCTATTGAAGATGACCCGGGTCGCCGTTTTGGCATTGTATATTACCCCTGTATAATATTATATACTTTGCTGTCATTTTAGCACTGGTGTACCTATTTAGAATGGAGTTTGATATGTATATTTGTATTTATTCATATAACATTATACAACCGCTTTTCCTGAATTCATCAATACATGTACTACCATGAATCGAAAAAGCAACGAAATCAGATGTGGTATCATCTAGCGCCGAACATCAAATTATTATTGAAATGAACGTTGTCCTTTTTTGGCCCCTATTTCAGAATCAATCTCCTTCATCCATGTGTCTCCTGCTCATCATAATGCACCCTACGATCCCTCTCAGGAATCGATCAATTATCCCACTCATGCTGATCAGCGTCGGGAGGGAAAAAAGATCCCATAAACTCCCCGCTTAGCGGATCGTAGGGGAAATGAGAATCAGAGATGGAAGAACCACTCACACCGGGGTTCATCATGAATGGCGAAAAGCTCAGCGGATACGTGACGGATTCCGCCGCAGTAAGAGCGGCATTCTGCTCTAATTCAAGATCGCTGAGGAGTTCGCGACGTCTGGCGGCTTCTGTTGACGGAGTGGCTAGTGACTCCATTCCTGTGCTCCAGTCAAATGCTTCTGAATGTTGCGGAGTGTTTCTTGATGGTCCAGACGTCACGGCTGGCTGGGTCTGGAGCGGATCCCGAGCTTGGTACTGTTTTTGTTGCTCGAGGATGGCGTCGCTGGGCAATGGAGGCAGATCGCTGACATCGTAGTTCATACCAACAGCTATTCGTCGCATGCAGCTATCGCAGAGTTGCCATGCTCGAAGTGAGGCGGTGCTGTGTTCCGACATTGCGTACAACCAACGGATAGCTTTTTTTGCTGAAAGGAATGTGTTCTTTTCTTCGTCAGGCGCATGCACATTGGCAAATGATAACTCTAACAATAGGACAGTAGTTGCTTGCATCAGAAAGTGAAGTATAGACCACCATGGAGCCAGTTGATAAAGCTGAAATGGGTCAGGGGCATCGGGTATCAAATCTAGCATTCGCGCAGCAGCCTCGAGCGAGACTAACGCCATCTTGTGGCTGAAAGAAGTACTTTTGTTAGAGGTAGCGTCTCGACGACAGAGACACGGCCGACCAAGTGTGATGCGAGCGCTGTAGTACTGAAAAGCAAGTCCAAGCTTTGCGCGGACCTGTTCAGGCGAACTGCTCTCCTTCTGTGTGAACTTGAAGGCTTCCGGTAACTGATTGAACCACAGATCAATCCGTGATTTCAAATCGCCTATACGGTTCTCGATATGAGACCAAGGAACTCTCACTGCATCGGAAGTGTACACTTTGTTCACAATTTCTTGGGTGATGACTGTAAGATCCATATACAGTAGAAAAAGTAGACCGGAGTTAAAAGGGATACTTCGAATCCACGCAAACCGATCAGTCTTCTCACGTCTATCGACGTTTTGACCACCAACCGGATTTTGCGGCATCAGCCTGATCAAAGAGCTTGCAACCGCGTTCTGAATCTTCTCTTCTCGTAGAGAACTGTTGCTCATGATCTCTTGAACGTCGGGTTCATTGAATCTTTCCTCTTCAAAAGGCAATGGCATCGGTGTGGTGCAGACTCCGTCAAGAATACAAGTGGCTCGACCTGTCATTACACCGAGAAGGTGCTCAAAGGAGTAGAGAGACCACCACACACGGTAACGAGACTCCTTCGATGTGTTGGCTGTCGACTCGCTGGAGCTTTTCATGTTAATGCCCAAAGCTATGGCAGAACGAACAGCAAGACTAGATATTCTCCACGCTCTATATGGAAATACCGGTCAGCTTCTGATCCCTTATGACAAAAAGGTAATGTCCAACTCACCTATTGATCTGATCTGTCGATAGTAGGTAGAAGGCCATCAGACCCTCTACTTGGACTTGTTGTAGATCAGGATGGCTGAAAAGATCATCGTCTGTCATGCTAAGATATCTGGCACGCGTGAAATAAATCAAATGGTCCTGCGTATCATTGCTCTTCCAGGATGCTTGCACCAAATGAGAGTGTTTGGCGGCAATAGCGAAAATCATGTTTAAGATTGCCAACCATCTATCACCTGGGCGTGCCGAATTTTCGAAAAAATATTTGAATTGTGAGCTGAATAGGGGGCGACTGATAATTGGATAGAATGGATGTACAGTAGTTAAGTAGTCTTCAAATAGGCGGTCGGCCTGTTCACGAGAAGGCATTTTGTACTTGTCGATAGGACCCGAGACATTGATATCGAGATCATCCAAATGATAACTGACTGAGTTGATGGCGAAATCTTCGTACTGGCGTGTTTGCGGCTCGCCTTCGTACATACCAGGCTCGCCTCGGGCTCGTTGCACGGATTCTCTTTGAACGCGCTGCATCCAGCTTATTTCCGAGTTCTTTCCAATAAATCCTGTTGCGCGGACATTCTCTCCTCTATTAAGATCCTCCTCAACACGATCGATTGCTTCCAAGGATCCGATTGAGGATGGTGAGGACGGCTCGAGATCGACATCATCCAAGGGCGTGCGCGAGGATGAAGAAGGGTGGTCAGTTGTATTCTGCTCTCCATCGATGGCGTATTTATTCAGTGTCGCTGCGATGCGATCTCCTACGGCTTCATTCACTGTCGAGCGCAGATCTTTTAAGAGTGATTCGTAATCGTTTGCTTTCTGCGATAGTTCTTCCATGTGTCTGCATAAAACGGCAATGAGTTAGAAATCTGATGGCAAGACATGAGAACAGACACACTTTACCTCTTTGTCTTTTCCCTCATCCCATCCGGATACTGACATCTCACCCTCAGCTCTCGACATTGGCGACAAATCGGCGTATCACCCGAGCATTTTGTCTTCCTTTGACGACAGCTTTCACATGCCTTTGCGACACGACGACTGTACCGAAGACTTGCACCAGCCCGACTTCTTGGAATCGCAACTTTGGCCATCGCCAGGTATCCTTGATTTGCCTGCTGCGCTGGGATAGCGACAGCATCGGTTTTTTCTGGCGTCGATTGCGTCTCTTGGCTTCGGGATGTCGTTCGAGAGGACATCGCGAGGTTGTCACTGTTGCTCTGCGGATTCAATTGCGAGGGATCGGCTGAGGGATCCATGATGAACGATGGTTTCAATGATTCTTGATTCGTAATCTGTTGATATTCTCCTCTCGGGTTATTTGTTTGGTTTGGATGGGCGGCGAAAMCCCGCCGACAGGTCGATTTTGCTCGGTATGCGACTCTCTCCCACCAAAAAAATCTTGCTTCCCACTTCAGAGTCGGTCGCGAACCGCCATCAAAGAATAAACGCGATGAATTCCGTTATAGCATGAACGATCGTCCTCAGCGTGGTCGGTAGTGAGGGGCAGTCTGTGGTGAAGAAAGAAGTTATCAAACCGCAGAAAGCGGGGCGGAATCCATAGAATCAAGGCGAATGGACCAACATATCCAATTCCGGCTCTCTGTGGAAATGGTCTTTGACTGGCGAGACATAATCAGCCTTCAGCTGAATCGCGATCTCCTCTGTCTGTCCATACAAAACAAGAGAGCCTCAGCCTGTGGTCATCGATGGATCACTTTTCGCCTCTTCTCCGTTAGTCTCAGTGATTGAGCTCCGATTCAGGCTAGAAGTTTTTTACACGTGACGAGCTAAGATGGCGGTCGCATTAATCGATGTTCAAGGGCGATAAGAAGATTCAGAATGTATATAAGTCATAAATATTCATGATAGCTAAGAGATATGGCAAATCCAAACGCAGAGACCTACACAAAAAAGCGAAAATAAGCACAGCAATCTATACCTTCTGTACAAGCCAGAGTCAAGCTAAGGACTGATTCAGAGTCGCTCCAGAAAGCGCTTGGTCATTCATGTGGCGAGGCTGAATCCACCGTTCAACAGGCTGCTCGACGCAACGAAGCTAAAGCCGTGAAAAGGATCCGTTTCACCCATGCTGTTGGAAGGATCAGCAGAAAGCCCCACATTCTTGAGCATTTCGCCAATATGCACATCGTCTCCCAAGGTAGGGCTCAAAGCCAGACCAGTGAAATCGGTAGAGAAGTTCTCCGCCAAAGCAGGGTCGGTGATGAGAGGTTGGATTGGGGCCTCTAACTCGCGTCGGGCAAGCGCTTTCCAGTCAATCTTGCGGAAGAAACGATGTTTCTTGATGATATCCAGGTCCTTTGGCATATGATATCCCAGTCGCTTATGCGGCTCTTTGCGAAGTAACCGGATGAGCAGGTCTTTCGCATCAGGTCCGAGATAGTATGGCAGCGCCAACTTCTGTTTGACAATCTTTTCCTGAATCTTTGCATGATTGTTGGCTTTAAAAGGTGGTGAACCGGTCAACAAATCATATCCTAGAGCCCCCAGAGACCACCAGTCGCAGGCCTTCCCGTAGGGTTTACCCTGAACTACCTCGGGAGCCATATACTCGATCGTGCCGAGGGATGAGTTGCAACGGTCGTCATCGCTGACTGAAACTTTGCTTAATCCGAAATCTGTGAGTAGCAAATGACCTTCAGAGTCCAAAAGACAATTTTCCGGTTTCAAATCTCGATATACAACACCAACGGTTTGGTGCAGATGCTCAAGTGCAAGGACCATTTCGGCCATGTAGAAAGCCGCAGTATCTTCACTAAACATGCGTTCCGCTGCGAGATGAGTGAACAACTCGCCGCCTTGAGCATACTCGAGAATGAGGTATAGTTTCTCGTGGTCCTGGAAGGCGTAAAAAAGCTTGACCACGAAAGGGTGGCGGTTGACACTTTCGAGGATCATACGTTCTGTCTTTGTCTGCTCCACTAACTTTCTGTGCACGGTGATGGATGCCTTGCGGAATTGTTTCTGAGCATACAGACGGCCAGTCGGCTTGTGGCGTACCAATAAGACCGTCCCGAAAGTACCCTTTCCAAGACACATCAATTGTTCAAAATCGCGACTGGTCATTTTCCTGCACAAGTCATTCTTTGGAGTGCTGGACAGCTTCTCTTCCGCAGCAGCTTCCTCGCTGATAAAATCGTGCTCAAGGGGTACCTCATAGCTGGTCATAACTTCGGTTCGGTCGCTATCAGAGGAGACACTAGCGTTACTCGAAATGACAGAGTCTCCCGAGCGAGGGATTCTCTCGGATAGACTCAGGGCGTCAAGCTGCAGTTTCAGTGCGCTGATCCCACTTGGCATGTTCGTGGTAGGGACAGCATTGAGTTGCGGCGACATGACCCGGGATCCAGCAGTAGACATATCGGAGTCTTCATCACCAGAAGCCATGGGAGTGAAACCTCGAACTGTGGACAGAGCCGGATTACCATGCCCAACTTCAACGTCGGCACGCTTTCCTTTCTTCTTCTTTCTGCGGCTCGCTGCCTTCTCATGGAGTTGAAATACTTGAGCTCCAGCTGGAGGGAGGTTTGTACGTCTCAGTGCTGGATCTTCGCCGGCTTGCGCATGTCCAAGTCTGCTCGACGCATTGTCCTTGACTCCATTCTTTTCCGGGTCAATGTCCATCTGAGAACTAAACACGTCGCCCACTGATAAATCATCCATTGTACAGTTGGGCGCAGGGCCTTCGTTCAACTGCTCCATCTGATTCGCCAAGCGCTGAGCGGAAGACGGTCGGTAGGTTGTGTCGAACATTGCGTCTGATTGAATAAACTCGCTCGAGTAGATCGATATAACAAGCAATCGAACGTTGTGCGGGGAAGGTGTGATAGTCGCCAAACAAATGTGGTTTCGAGATTCAAGTGTCAACAATGTTATGCAGCTAGCATGTTGTTTCTAGATCTTATACAACCATACGTAGCGTAAGGATGGATGTTCGCATACAGCCCTATTAACGTCCGTCCTAGCTCAGGACGGACCCTGTACCCCTACCCAAAGCACGTCGCTGGCAGAGACCCCGGACCACAGCAATGAGGCGGATCGAGTGATCTCAAGGGAATCGGGGCGGATTGAAGCTGGCGAGGAGCGAGCCGAAGTAAACAGAGAGTCCCACGGAGTCAAGGCGAAAACATTGCACGCGGGGGAGAATGCGGAAGTTGACGGATTATTTGCAGAAATGCAGCCCATAGAGAAATCGAGTGATATCGATTAAATCGAGACGTTTGGTGATAGTACAGCGGAAGTTGTGTTGTGGAAGAATAGAAAGATGTGCGAGGCATTTTCAGAGACTGAGAGTAACGATGACCGGCTTGGCAGCCGCGCTAAGACCCGATGCGGCAACCGACAGCTTCACGTGTAAATGTCATAGGCCGCAATATTTTACTCAATTATTTGTTAGTTTGATGAGACTTTTAGCTACAATAAGATTACTATATCCCTCCTCGCGCTTTGGAAAAGTCCTGCTCTGCAAAAAACGCCTTCGACCTGGTGATTTGCACCCCCGCTCTCTCCACAAATGCCAAAGCACTCGGCTTCTCCACCAAGACCGTGACGGAATCATTGCCAAAGTCCATCGTAGCTGTGCGCGCGACAGAAGTGGCGAGAGCCTCAACTGTTTGATAAGAGGTGTTTTCCACTCTCTACGTTCAGTCAGCAACGACTAGGCTCATTATGTAGTCGGATCATAGCTTGTACAACTCACCTCTGCTATGGTTCGGACCATCTCTTGATATGTTTTCAAAAATGTCGAAGCCCAGGCAGCTTCTCCGGAGCCTCGGAAATCCAAAGTAATGATCACAGCCTGTTTTTCAATTCTCTCATGAGAATTGACACCCAGGATGCAGTGACAACGGATGCTCTCTACGCGAAATTCTTGTTCCACGATTGCCACCTGTCTACTGCTTTCCACGGCATTTTCCAATGAAGCACTATCGTCGGCATATACCCAAGTCTGGAGAGTGCGGAAAGACAAGCCTCCCTCTGCACGCAGGTGAGCATTGGGCAAGTGTAGTAAAACCTCGCATTCGCCAAACATCCCATTCAGAACCTCCGGGGATGTAGCACTCTGGAGTTCTTTAGGCACGGAGGCGGAGACGCCACTTAATCTCCGACTGGCCTGACTTGCACGTCTACGACTTGGAGATTCGGGATGAGCTTGGAGATGATCCATTCTCCGCACTCCGGCGATAGTTTCGTCTAGCAGGCCCAGACCGCAATTTGCGATCCGTCCAGCAATGACCCGCACGTCATTACTGACGATGGCCTCTGCCGCTGCAGACAGGCGACCGCCATCTTGGGATTTTGTAGAATCACGCACCGCAGTCTCAATGCGGCGATAGAGCTTGCCGTAGTCTAGGGAGAGCGAGACATCGTCGGCATTCGCTGCAGCGACAGCGGATGAATATGAGAGCTTCACGGCTGCTGTACATGGCTGAGACTTGCCAGGGCGATGCCATGGATCAGGGGCTGCTGGGAAGTGAAGGTTGATATTGCGTAGAGAGACATTGTCCACGATACTCGGGCGAGTAGCTGGTCTTAGATTGGCGATGCCAGCCATTTCGGCCCGAGATGTACTGCCGAAGCTGCGACTTGCACACTCAACAAATTTGCTACCCAAATCGGTACCAAGAGAGTTGCCAAAAGTATTTGTAATTTTCGATAGAGCAAGTATCAATGCGTCAGATCGTAGAAGGTGATTTTGTTGAAGCTAAAAAAGATCGCTGGGGAGCGCTCTTAAACTTTTCGGGTCACTGTCCCGCATTCAATCAGCCCACCATTTACATCATCATCATGATACAAACACGGTACATACGGTCATATGACAATCTCGCAGCCCATTGAGATGATTTTTTAAATTTTTCAGAAATACCGAAGATGATGTTGTATTTTCGCTAGTATTACCTCCACTTTGATTTCTCTGTGTTGAATTATTGATTTCTTGTCGTTCTCCGAAATTATTTTATTTTTTGATAAGCAAGCTTATAGCGCTATATCATATCGGGCCTAGCTCTGGGCATCCGTTTGGCATCGCAAACAATACAAAAGCTTCAGAACATCAAAGGATACATCCTCCTCTGCTCTCAACGAAGGTTTCAAATAACGTTTTCTCTCGCTAATCATAAACCTGCTACTGTTGTCATTCGAATCCAGAGGAATATTCAAAAATGAAAATATGATTGAAGAATTGTTGGGGAGTTTGAAAAGAAAGGTTCATCCGGTCATCATGGTTTCTGACGCTGTCAAAGTCACGGCTATGTCGAGATCACTGTCCAGCAGCTATGGCTTGGAATATTGTACATAGATATGTACGGTATCTAACAGATGATGAAATGCATTGTCTTATCGATCCTACAATGTTAGGAGACCCACATAGGTCAACTTGCATGCATGCCTAGTCATGGCAGAAATATAAGTCGAACCCCTGTGCCAGTCCAGTACCTACATGAATATTTTCCCTTTCAGTTCCCTTCGTGATTACAAGACACTCAATCTCTGGAGATTATATTCAAAGCATCATGGCAAACAAAGTCTTAGCCACTGATCCCATTCCGAACGAGTCTACACTGCTCATACCCAAGTCTCCAGATCTTGAAAGGTCTTCCAGCCCATGTAGAAGAGCCAACGATGATTTTGAAGATGCAAAGTACTCCAACAAACGCCTCGATCTGACTGAATTTGCTTTGCTCCTTCGAGGAAGCACACCAGTCATCTTGGCATACACGTTACAAAACAGCTTGCAAACCATATCCGTCCTGATCGTTGGACGGTCCTCACCAGAAAATCTGGCGACGGCTGCATTCTCGTACATGTTTGCCATGTGTACAGCGTGGCTGATTGCTCTTGGAGGAACCACGGCTCTCGATACCCTGGCATCTTCATCGTTTACAGGGAGCACTAACAAGCATGATCTTGGGATCCTACTGCAACGTGGGTTCTTTGTCCTCGGTTTATTCTATGTTCCAGTTGCTATACTCTGGGCATTATCAGAACCTGTGTTCCTTTTCCTCGGCCAAGATCCGAATCTGTCTAGAGACAGTGCAAGGTTTTTGACTTGCCTTATCCCGGGAGGACTGGGGTACATCTATTTTGAAGCTATGAAGAAGTACCTGCAGGCTCAAGGTATGAAGAAGCAGTTCCCAACCTAAATTTATTCTCATTGTTTACGATTTTCAGGAATCATGCGTCCGGGAACGTACGTCCTTTTGATAACTTCACCAGTCAACGCAGCTCTCAACTATCTCTTCTGCTACACTTTTGACATAGGCCTGCTGGGCGCACCGATTGCTACAAGTATAGCATACTGGCTATCGTTTGCTCTACTCGTATTGTATACTCGCTTCATAGCCGGATCAGAATGCTGGGGAGGCTGGTCTCACACAGCATTCCAAAATATCGGCACGTTTGCTCGCCTAGCTTTCTTGGGCATCATTCACGTTGGCACTGAATGGTGGGCCTTTGAAATTGTGGCACTAGCTGCGGGTCGTCTAGGGACCATCTCACTTGCTGCGCAGAGTGTGATAATGACCGCAGACCAAGTCATGAATACGATCCCTTTCGGTGTGGGCGTCGCTGCATCTACAAGGGTTGGAAATCTCCTCGGCGCTAGGAATGCTCACGGTGCTGCGCGCGCCGCCCATACAGCTGCATTTCTTAGTATCCTGCTCGGCGGGGTGGTCCTCGCCATACTGATGGTTACACGAAACTCGTTTGGACGAATCTTCAACGACGACGATCACGTAGTCCGTCTGACCGCCGAGGTTCTTCCCTACGTGGCATTGTTCCAGATTGCAGATGGGCTAAACGGTAGCTGTGGGGGCAGTTTACGAGGAATGGGTCGTCAGCATATCGGAGCACTTGTCAACCTGGTTAGCTATTATGGTGGCGCGTTACCACTGGGTATCTGGCTAGCCTTTCATGGCTGGGGTTTGAAGGGATTGTGGGTTGGTCAGTGTATTGCGTTATATCTGGTTGGGGCTCTAGAATGGATCATTGTCTATCTGAGTGATTGGGAGAAAGAGGTGGATAATGCGTTCAAAAGGTTGGACGTGCGACTTCAGCTTGAAGATGGTGATGTCGATACGCTGGTGTAGATGATGGGTGCGGTATCCCATTGGCTTTCTATTTTCATGACAATTTATGATTATCAATAGGTTTCAAGATAAGCAGATTGGGACTAATCAACATTCACTGTTCGTTATACCTTTGCTTCTACTTTGGTCTAGCAGTGCTTATAAGCTTTGAAATATAGCATCCCAGAAAGGTAATTCGACGCAGTCCACCAGATGCCAACAGATCCTCACCTAAACAAACTTCATGACGACTGGCTCTGATATCCGTCGATCTCCCCTCTTTCCCTATCTCTTAAAGATAGTAGACGGCACAGTGACGATGACGAAATGATCTCTTCTCCGCGGACCTTCCCAATCCATCGATGCTCTTCAATCCACCTAGATAAGACGATGCGTCGGGATCGCACGGCTCGTGTATTGACTTTATGAACAACTCACCACGCTAACACCCGAGAATAAGCATGCATACATGTGCGTACAACGAGGTAGTCTCGTATTACTGGCGTTGACCAACTAAAAGCTCTGCAATGGACAGGATTTCGGTCTCGACTCCTCTAGAGCGATGATTAGTGGATCATGTAGTTGATTTCGAAGTTGGTAGTAGCTTCATATAAGCAAAATCAGTACCCCGCAGATAGGGGAAAGCAATTGAGTTGACGACGTTGATCGACGTAGAGAGAATCTATCTACTTCAGACTCATTCTTACCGTTAGCCCTAATCCGGTAGGTAGATAGAGATGCATTCAGAATTGATTGACTTGCATCAATCCTGCTGTCATATCTGTGAGTAATCAGGGTGATATTAGTATGATCCATTCGAGAATTGTGTCATTCATTGAATCTCTGTCCGTACTCACCAGCCTGCTCTAACACATGGAAACCAAAAAGCGACAAAGATAACAATCATAAGATAGCTCTTTTTCTCTATACATCTATGTTGTCATATTTTTAATCGAGAATAAAATCATGTATGCCTCACTGTTGACTTTCGTCGCCTTTTCTGCCATTGCCTCTGCGCATGCAAATCATGACCAGAGCCCAATTCCTGGTCCTCACAAGCAGTTGTGGTACAACTCCTTGCCCGGCGATGGAGGGACTCAAGTATGTATTCTTTTCATACATTCTACACATTCTACACATTTTCTTAAAGTCATAATGAACAATGTGCATGAAACTGATACCAAATGCTCGTTGCACAGGCTGACTCCGTCTTCTCTGGAATCTCGACATTCGGACGCCTTCCCTTCTTCCCTTGTCTGGCAAGTGAAGATGAGAAATATGATATTGCTTTCTTAGGTATTCTTCCTCCTTTTTTCACTGCTAGTTGTTGGTTGTTGATGGCTTCTACCACACAGGCGCTCCGTTTGATACCGGGACTTCTTACAGACCAGGGGCGAGGTTCGGGCCTAGTGGTATCAGACAAGGTTCTCGCCGTTTGAATCTTTAGTATGACTCTCGCCTATGTCATTTCCACTCCTTTACTAACGATTCAATTATCGCACAGTGGAGGATACAATGTCCCGTTAGAAGCCAATCCCTTCTCAAGCAATATCAAAATCCTCGACTGCGGTGACATCCCCGTCACTTCGTATGTTCGAACTTATAACTCCACTCAATACAAGATTTGAAGCTCATACACACGTTTCAAATAGATACGATAACACCTGGGCTCTCCGTCAAATTGAAGAAGGGCACAATAGCGTCATGATGCGCAAACCTTTCACTAACGCCGAAAAAAAGGGACTGTCCAAAGCCGGGAAGACGCTACCACGTGTAATCACACTAGGCGGTGATCATACTATTACTCTACCGTTGCTACGTAGTATCAATAGAGCTTATGGACCGGTAACCGTCATTCATTTTGATAGCCATCTGTGAGCAAGCATTGTGACAAGCGTGCGTTTCCAAGGGGTAGCTAACGCTATCAGGGACACGTGGAAACCAAAAGTCTTCGGCGGCGCTCCTTCAGAGATTGCTAGCATCAACCATGGGACGTACTTTTATCATGCGGCCATGGAAGGGCTGCTTAGGAACGACACAAATATTCATGCTGGAATCCGCACGACGCTTTCTGGACCGTCAGACTATGACAATGATGGGTATGTTGGCTTTGAGATTGTAGAGGCCAGGGAGATTGATACTATCGGTAAGTCTAGCAAAGGCTTTTGTTTGAATTACAAATGCTGAACGCTTTGTGTAGGTACCGGTGGAATCATAAAACGTATCTGTGATCGCGTCGGCACCATCAACCCCGTTTACCTTTCCATCGACATTGATACCCTCGACCCTGCTTGTAAGCCAGTCACTTACCTAGTTATTGCATGAAAATCGACTAATAGCAAGTAAACAGTCGCCCCTGCTACGGGCACACCCGAAACCGGTGGATGGACGACCCGTGAACTCCGCACAATCGTCCGCGGTCTTGACGGACTCAACTTTGTCGGCGCTGATATCGTCGAGGTTGCTCCAGCATATGATACTAATGCTGAGCTGACAACTATGTCCGTACACCTGGCTACATCCATATTTTACATTTTACTGACTAATTGAGAACAGGGCTGCGGCGGACGTTCTCTATGAAGTGTTGACGATTATGGTTAAGAAGGGACCGTTGAGTTTGTCGGAACGTGAAGAGCTATAGTTAAGCCGTTTGGGTATATTTCAATAAGCGGCAGTCTAGATTTGGGCGACGTTGGTCGTCGTTACGCAGGTAGTTAATGCAGGTACTCACTCAGCTACCGGTTATAGTTAAAGACTTAGGGCTAGGGCTAGGGCTCGATAATCTCAGCTTACTCACATGTTTTGGAAATATTATTGTCATCCCTTATCTATGATTTCATCCGGCCAGACCATCCTAAACTTAATAATTCCCCGTTCGAAAAAGTAGAAAATATACTTAATCAGCGTCAGTAGACTAACCAAAAAACGCAGGTGCAGGGTTCTATTAGCTGCATATCTTGCAGTCAAGGCTGCGATAAGGATTTCAGCAGCCACTGAGAGTGTGCAACGACGCTGCTTATCAGCTGTATAGGCTTGAGCACATAGCTAAAAGAAATGGCAGCTGGGTAAAGGGCGAATCAAGAACTGAGGATAAGTGATGATATACACATCCTTGTCATAATCTTGATGTGTACGTCAAATGATGTTTTTCTACTGTCACCGGGATCGATCGTTACCAGCACGAGAAGCCATGGCAATAGGGAATGTATGAAGAAACTAACTTAGTAATAAGAGTGTTCCTGGCATAGCGTATATAAATTGTCAAGCCCTTGTCGACGTTAATCACCTGATAAGATAGCACTTGAAGTCGTGTAACGATCTGGATACATTACGAGTTAGAGATCTCTTCACCGTCATCAATATATCGCTTGTCGTTCTGCTATGGAAGTCACTATGACAACCGATAAAGAGAAGCGCCAACCCAAAGACTTACCTTCTGGAACAGAGCCCTCAAACCTTGACAATGAGGTTGTGGTAGTAGACGACGATGGCACAGCCGTCAACGCATCCGGGTGGAAGGACCAGCTACACCGGCAATATGGTTTACTCAGTCTATGTGGTATTGCTCTGACGGTGGATAATGCCTGGGTTGCTCTAGGTAGCTCTATTTCAGTATCTATCGGTAAGATTGTCGCCTTTTTTTTTACGGAGAACATGGATGAATTGATGCTTTCTCTGAACAGCAAATGGAGGACCTCCTGGCCTTATATTCAGTCTGATAGTGGCTGGGGCATATTACTCTTTTATTGGTCTGAACCTGGCGGAGGTATTAAGCATAATCTAACTCAGACTGGAAGAATACATACTAACCAACTCGACAGTTCGCATCAGCCATCCCCTCAGCAGGCGGCGTCTATCACTGGGCCACAGTCACCGGCGGACCACGCTGGGGTAGGATCTTGGGATTTTATGCAGGTTGGATCAATTTCTTCGGCTGGATGTTCGATCTCGCCTCCCTCGTACAAATCACTGCGAACATCACAATACAAATGTACGCAACCTATCACCCGGATTACGTCCAGCAGGCGTGGCATACCTACATTACCTACCTGCTAGTGCTGTGGATAAGCGCATTCATCGTCATCTTCGCGAACAGACTATTACCCTACTCGCAATATGCGGGTATGTTCTTTGTCACTGTCGGGGGAGTGGTGACTATCATTGTACTAGCTGCTATGCCTAAGACGCATGCCACTTCATACTTTGTTTGGGGCTCATTTGACGAAAACAATCTGACCGGATGGACGGGCGGTGTTGCATTTCTTTGCGGAGTACTCAATGGAGCTTTCACTATTGGAACCCCTGATGCAATTACGCACATGGCTGAGGAGCTTCCTCACCCCAAGAAAGATTTACCGAAGGCTATTGGGTTGCAGATTGGCTTGGGGKTTCTCTGTATATTCTCCTCTTCTCCTTCCTCTCCTATGTTAATGCAAATTGAACATGTGATGAGAGCTGACCGATATAGACGCATTCTGCTTCGCGATTGCACTCTGTTACTCAATCACCGATCTGAATGCCCTTCTATCAGGAGTCAACAGCTACCCCCTAGCTACCATATACGCACAGGCAACTGGAAACAACGCTGGGGCTACTTTTGGCTTGCTGTTTATTATCTTCTGTTCGTCACTCTTGTGTACCATTGGCACTGTGCTAACCGTAAGTCCTCCCCAGCAATCACCTTAATGAACACTCTCTAATATGCGGTGCATAGAACTCTCGTATCTACTGGTCGCTTGCACGCGACAATGCCGTCCCAATATCCTCTCTATTCGGTAAGGTCAATGAAAGCCTCAGCTGTCCGGTCTACGCAACCCTGCTATGCGGTATGTCCCCGTTCCTTCCATTCATACCCTTTCTATAGTCTTATTGAGATATGTAGTAATCTTCGCAACTGGCCTCGGCGCAATTCCTCTTGGAAGCAGCACCGCGTTCATTGATCTCACGGGCTCCTTCATCATCCTCACCACAGTATCCTACGCAATCCCCATCGTTGCAAACATGTTAACAGACCAGAAATATCTTCCCAAGGGGCCATTTCAACTTGGCAGGGGGGCTACTAGTCGTTTCGTTGGCTGGGGAGCTGTGGTGTTGATTATGTTTTTCAATGTTTTCTATTGTTTCCGTGAGTATTTTCTTCTTTACTTTACTTTCCTTTCGGTCCATGTATCTGGCTGATTGGTGACGGCTCAGCATATTCGATTCCTACTACGAGTGCAGCAATGAACTACAATAGTGTAATTCTTGTGGGCGTGGTTGCGTTGACGAGTATTTGGTGGATGGTTCATGGAATCAGAAATTATGCTGGGCCACGATTGACGCATTTGTATATCCATGAGGGGATCGAGCAGGTCAATCATGTGGCTGGCACGCCCTTACAGTCGCAGTCGGAAGAGAAGACTGCATCTAGTGAGTGATGGCTCGGTTATTCACAGTACTAAACTATGTCGCATACATTTCTTGATGAGAGATGGGGTGAGTTAGGGCTAGGCTAATCCACATGCGTGTATTGAAGCGCAAACTACTTGTATATATCAGAGAGAAGAATCAATTCGAAAAAGCAATATCCACGAAAAGAAAGAAATCCGGTAGAGCAATAAAAATCATTACACAGAAAGTAACCCCTAAAATTAGTGAATCCATCCGAGTACCGTTGATCGTCTCATTAGAATTTGAAGTCGGCCGTTTGCAATTTCATTGCCACACACACACACACATGCATTACCCATCTTGCAAGCTCTTTTGAGCATTTCTATCACCTGCAATCATGCCAAATGACGTCCAATACACCACGTCAGCTGATGGAATGAATGGTATGACTGAATCGACCTGCATCAATAACAACGAGTCCGGAACCCCGGTGTCCTTTGTATCCGTCACTCGGCTGCCGAAGCTATCGATTCCCGTTCGTTCACCAGAGATCTCTTCGGCCATCCTATCCAGATCAAGTCCATTTCGCTAGAAGAAACGCTTCAAACGATTCGTAACGCCAATGTGTCGGCACCCCTTTCCCATGGCAGGCTCGCAGATGAAGTAAGACCAGTCACATGCTACCAGTACGGGCGTCGTTCGTACCCAGCATAATCGCCTCGGGGCGGGCTTCGTGGGCGTCCGTATGGCCTTCCTGCAAAGTAAGGATCGTCATAATGGCGAGGCGGAGGTGGCGGCGGTGGTGCGTAAGGGTCGTCGTATGGTCGTCGCGGCGGAGGGTAATCCTCCATGCGTGGCCGTGGAGGGCTCCGCCGTCCGTAGCCATCCCGGTCGTAGTAATCACGTCGCATAGCTTGTGGGGAGCGTTCACGATAGTGTGGTCGGGGACTGTAACCACGTGGAGGTCCTCGTCTATCGTAATCATCCCCTGGAGGATATCCGCGACGCGGAGGCGAACGGGATCGGTAAGGGTCGCGATATGGAGCTCGCTCTTCTGCGGGTTGGACCTGGAAGGAATTAGCAGGCGCATACTTTCACGAGGGATAATCAACGTACATCAGCAACACAATTCACTTGAGAGCCTTTCAACTCGCGGCCATCGAGCTTCTCAACGGCTGTTTTGAGATCGGCGTGTGATTCGAATTCGACGAAACTTGGACTTAACGTCAGCCTTCATCAGCCTTTGTAGGACATTCATCGGCTTACCCTCTGCCGTCGCGCTCACGAGTAGTTTCGGAATACACTACATCCAGCCCAGATTGGCGAGCGAAATCTTTGAGATCCTATGATAGCATGCGTTAGGTTCCTGTCCGTCATATGAAAACTCAAATGTATATGATCTTCTTGTGATCCTCGGTTCGAGCTACCAACTGATAGCAGGTTATACTGCAGTTGATAGCGCATCAAAGTCAAGTCTGTCATGCAGGATCATAGCTTACCTGCCAGCTGGTCTCGGTAGGAAGGCCTGATACTTGCATGCGGAATACAGTACGGCGGGGCCTGGGCGCACTAGGACGGTCTGAAGGGCCATTGAATGTCTCCTTGTGGCGGGGACCACGCGCAAATTGAACAGTCAGACGTTCTCCCTTGAAATCGCTACCATCTGTATGTGTATCCACCGGTCAATAAAGGGGTCACGTGGGCCTCGATCGTCTGGCGGGAGGGGAGGAACATACGAAAAGCTAATGAAAAGTAAGTTAAGTGTGAACCATTTCAAAGGCTGAAAGACGTACCTGGGACAACGTCCCGCGCATCCAAGGCATCTTCATATTCGATGAAACCAAATCCGTTCATCAGCTTGATTTCCGTGATTTTGCCGGTGCCATGGGAGCCGAAATATTCTTCGATATCCTTTTTAGTCACTGAAGGGAGTCCAGCGCCAGGAAGGCGCCATAAAACGTCAGCACGTGGTGGCCTAACGTAAAGATCCAGGGAAAACAAGCGAAACCGCTCAAAAGCTCCATGGAAGGTACGTCTCCGACCATGGTCCTTCAAGCAGGCCGATACAGCTCCGAACCCTTCTCTTGCTATCCGTAGGGCAAACCAACTAGAGAACAATGGTGTGGGGATGGATGGAAGCGTCCAAGAAAGTTCTTGCAAGAGAACGGAGTGTTGAACACGGGGGGAGAAGCCGTCACGAAAATGGCGGAAACTCAGAGTGAATTGGTAAAGACCTGCGTACCATTGCGGGGAAGATTCCCAAGATAGAGCCGTGTGGACGAAACCTCACTCATGGCTGACTGGAATATAGAGAACTGATCGAGACCTTGGAGACTGGCCGGATGGTGGACAACGGCGGCGTCAACGGACCGTTTTGACGAACTCTTCTAGCAGAGTTCTCGGGACCGTTTGAAACCAGAATGACGAAAAGAGTGGAAAGGTATGACAGCGAAACAGAGACGTCGAGGCGGTGAATTGGCGACGACGTGGTTGTCGCCGTCGGTGGGCCACAGCCTCAGCACCAGAAGTAGCGGAGAGCGTGCTAGAGCTTAGTACTTACACTCACCCGGCGCTAAGGAATCCAGTTCGAAGTGCTGGGACCGGACAAAGACAGGGCCGAACAGCTTTCTGGTGATTTGAATAGTGAATAGTGTATGATGGGATGAGAGAGAGTTGAATAGAGAAGAAGAGAGAGAAAGAGTGAGGTGAAGGTGGGCGACTGAGTGAGCTTCCCTCTGGCGATCCACGTGGCCCCGCTTAGACTGGACGCTTGGCCTTGTTTTGCATTTCGTATCACGCTGCAGCTGAGCCTACAGCTAAGCGCCCAGCATGTCGTTGTCTGAGGAACAATGGAGAAAGAGCGCCTTGCAGCTTTGTTATGATGGAGTTGAAACTATTCAGCAGGAGGCTATAGCAGATGGAGTACATGTTGACAATTCCATGGTACGGCTTCTAACCCCATGGGGTGCGAAGACATTCCACGCGATTATTGGCTGTCCTGCGATTTAGCTACATGCTTATTGTATGTCTATATTTCCAGCTTGGATCGTATGTGCTTGAAGGAATAAGGTGAAATGGAAAGGTTTATTGGTAATAGGTAGGTGGCAGGAACTTCTCACTTTATGCTTCTCTAATCGCTCGTACGGAGAAAAGTATGTGCATAGAACATCTCTTATTTTACATTCGGTCGGTCCATCAAAAATACTTGACACACAAATCATGGCAGCTATCAGGTTATGAAATATTTGGGTCCCTCACCTCCTTGAGGAGTCTGCCAGTTGATGTCTTGAGTCGGAACTTTGATGTCGCAAGTCTTGCAGTGGATACAGCTGTAATTTATCCGAGGTTAACACTGATCAGAAAAAATAACGTGATGGAATTACTTACTTTTGCGCGTTGATCTGGAAGCGGACGCCCTGCTCTTTGGAGGGATCTTCGAGGTATTCATAAACACCAGCAGGACAGAATCGATTTTCGATTCCGCGGTACTTGGGCCATGCTTCAGCAGTATGTGCATCCCAGTCTTTGACTTGAAGATGGACAGGCTGGTCTTCCTCGTGATTGGTGCCGGTACGGCTGACACTAGTCAGGATATCAAAACTAAGCATACCGTCAGGCTTGGGATATTCAATCTTGTTGCATTGCGAAGCCAGCTTCGTTGCCCCTGAATCTGTGCTGTGATGTTTCAATGTCCAGGGAGCTTTGCCACGCAGAACAAACGCCTCAAGACCCGAGTATAGGATTCCACCAAACAGACCAGCAGTGCTGAATGCAGGTCGCATGTTTCGAACCTCCTTGAGCTCTTTCCAAATCCAAGATTCACGCAGAGTCTTTTCATAATCGTACAAGAAGACGCTACCATCGTTGCTTCCTTGCAGAGCAGAGTATGCAGCTTCGGCTGCGAGCATACCCGATTTGATGGCAGTGTGGGTTCCCTTGATCTTAGGAACATTCAAGAAACCAGCAGTATCTCCTATCAAGGCACCTCCAGGAAATGCGACTTTCGGGATGGATTGGAAACCACCCTCATTCAAGGCTCGCGCGCCGTAAGAGATGCATTTGCCACCTTCCAAAACATCCTTGAATAGCGGATGGTGCTTCAGCTTCTGGAATTCTTGGTATGGTGAAAGCCAGGGATTAGGGTAATCAAGTCCGACAACCAACCCGATACTGACAAGGTTTTCGCCAAAGTGATACATCCATGCTCCTCCATAGGTGTCTGATGGTAATGGATATCCCATCGAGTGAACAATCTCGCCAGCTTTGAACTTTTCCGGTTGAATCTCCCAAACTTCTTTGATGCCCAGACCGTAGGTTTGTGGCTGACTATCCCGGCGAAGATCGTATTTCTTGATAACCTGCTTTGTCAAGCTACCATGGCAACCTTCACCCAACAATGTTACTCGCGCATGAAACTCCATGCCTCTCTCGAAGTTATCTCTAGGCTTCCCGTCCCGGCCGATACCTAAATCATTAGTGGCGACACCGCGCACCGAACCGTCGGGCTTATACAACACTTCACTTGCAGCGAAGCCAGGATAGACTTCAACGCCCAATTCCTCTGCCCGTTCTCCTAACCATTTTGTGAGCTCACTGAGACTAACGATATAGTTTCCGTGGTTGTTCATCTGAGGCGGCGCGGGGATCGGGATGGACATGTTCTTTGTCAAAAAGCGCATCTTATCACTCTTCGCGGGTGTGACATTTTCAAATCGTGAAGGATTGCTTTTATCAAGCCAGTCTGGTAGTAATTCGTTCAAAGCGGTGGGTTGTAAGACGTTTCCTGATACGATATGAGCTCCTATTTCGCCTGCCTTTTCCAGGAGAACAACGCGAAATTCTTCATTTCCTGCTTCATTGGCGAGTTGTTTTAGGCGGATAGCTGATGCGAGACCTGCCGGACCTGATTTTAAATCATTGTGAGCAATCATGTATCGTACATTCCATGCACAAAGAACAAAACTTCCCAAACTTACCTCCTCCGACAATACAGACGTCGACCTCATCTGATTCTCTTTCGACCTGATTGGGGTCTACATCTTCCTTCGCATAACATCTCCTAGCTGATCGTGAAAAGGCTCGAGTCTGTCCAGGTTGTATGCGGGCATTGAATGGATCGGTGGCATTGCAGTGTTGACGTCTGTTGTGTGGTGTAAGCGGGGACAAACGGCGTCCAGGATTGACAGCAGAGATAGCCCGTGACGATGGCCTAGTTCGAGATGAAGATTGGATCTCGCGCTTCAGCAAGAAGCGCGCAGCTCCTTTGGAAGCCATGATAGACAATTGAGGTATATCCAGCATATACCATCAAGGTGTGAAATAAGATAGAAGATGTAGAGCGGAGAAATATCCGTCGAAAAGACCATGAGGTTTGTACCGGAGACCCGGTTTCGGCGACAGTCCCCATCACCGAAGCCTAACCGAGGCCAATAAGATAGCCGCTTACTAACGAGATCCCGCCAATCATATTCACGACGAATACAATCAGTTTCCTCCGCTTCTAAGCGTCAGGCGTCATGATTCTGCATAAGTCGATAACTTATTGAGCCTCGTATGAATTATGAATTAATTCAGGATATTTTGTGTACGGACGAGCCGGGACGGTGTGGGAGAACGGTCATAGTGTGGGAGCAGAGCCTCTCCCGTGCTCAGATAGAGAAGCAGGCAGCCATTACGTAGACATTTTTCTAGGGCGATGCGATTGGGCTGAGCGGATCGACATGTGATTCTTGCGTGCAGTCATAATCCAACAGCGTTCAAGAGGGGTAGGACCAGTCTATATTTACTTTTACTTCTTGATGAATACCGAACCATGTGTCTACAGAATGTGGCTGAGTCTGGGAATGCTGCAGCCTGCAGTGGTGTCATCGTGAGACTTTTCGAGTCTCGTCGCCTTGTAGCCTTGCCAGCCAAATAGCGCCAAGCATAGCGAGAGACTGAGGGCATGTTCATTGATGGTGTGACATTCCGACAAACAACGCAACGAGTTGTCAGCAACAGATAGATGACAATAAATATCTGACGAGAATGCGACAAGCGACGTGAAAGGATGGCATTATCGAACAAATCTGACTCATATCTGTTGAACAAAGAAATGGACAGATCGACTGATCACCTGGGGACGCGCCGACGCTGGGCCAGATTGCGACGCGTATGGTCTTGGCGTGTCCGGTGTCCACCTCCTTTTTAGGCACAAACCGTGTTCGCTCGGTCGAGATAAGAGACTGTCCTAGAGTACTCGTTCTTTTCCAGCTGGAAGAGAATAAAACCATGGAGGATATGGAGAAGGAAATAAAATATTTCTATTCAGAGTAGATATGAAGCGAAAATCGGTTGATGATGGGCGGATATTGTAAGTGGTTTGTATGTAGCCACGGCAGAGACACAGAAGAAGGAAGAAAAGGAAGAAGGATGGCGGCTGGAAAGACTTTTTTGTTCGCTTTTCACCGGCTAAAGCGGCGACGTGTTAGGGAGTGAGTTCTGGGGACAATGGGGAGGCACTGCCTGCAAGCGGTGATTGGGCTGGCGATAGAGGAAGGTGGTGGGTGCGACGATGATGGCAATAGGCGACCAATCAGACCGTATTCTGGGCGTCGCGGAAAATGAGTGTCTGACAATTAGGCTACCGACGCCAATCAGCAGCGGGCAACGACTGCCGAATCAGGATTGGTAGGGGGCTAGTGGGGCGTTGAGCAACGCTCTCAGATTATAATTGGCTTATCTGGGCTGCACTGAGTCTCAAGACTTTCCACTCGAGTGGGTCTAGCTAAACCAATCATGGCTGCCATATGACTCAGATGCCGCCAAGAGAAGCACTACCCATGGAAGCGGATAGCCAGCCTGGAGCGAAAGCGGACAGATCCAACGCTGCTTTTAGCGCCACCGCCGGCCAGCCTCCCCTGACGACAGCCCGCACTCGCGCGTATATAAAGAGCCTGCCTCCCACTCCCGCCCGTCTCGACGAAATCTTACTCTAGGTCTTGGCACCGCGCGGAAAACGCCAGCACGTCACCTTCTTCCCTACCACCAGCACTACCATCACCAACTGCTCCACCATCACTCTCTTGTGCTCGATCTCTCCACATTCCGCCTTTTAACCTCACAGCAGTGCGCTTTTATTGCCACTCTGCGTCGTGTGTTGGTCGCTTAATCGGGAAGAAACTCACCTTCTAGACCTCACCATCCATCGATTGCTTTGGTCGCATCGTCGACTCGTCGCATCGCCTCTCCCTTCCTATTATCAGATAGATTTGAAAAAAAGGAGCAGAAAGGAAAAAAAAAAGAAATCAATCAAAAATACATCTTGCATATCTAATCTCGTTGTCGTCGGCTTACTTTGTTGCCTTGATCCCACCCGACCGTCGTTGTCAAGTTCAATCCATTATCTTCACTCACCTGTTGACGGATTGCTCCTACCTCGCGGTCTTTCCTGTCATCATACTTTTCAAAGCCATTGCTGCATCCTTGAGCATCTGTAGGGGAGGCATTTAGTTGTTCATCTCCCACAAAAGCAAGGTATGTTATCTTGATTTGCCGCATCCAACTATGTCATGCCATGTCAAGCGAGTCGTGTGCTGATGCTTCAAATCGCTTCACATCAGGCTACTCTCTCGCAACACCACTACTGGCAATACGACAGTGATACATTGATCGTCATCATGGATTCACTTACAACTCATCCTTCGAATGCTCAGCAGGCAAAAGCCTTCACCTCACCAGCATCGCTGTCCTTTCCCGGGGGCGCCGGAGACCTGACTCCGCCTTCTTCAGAAAAGGAAGGCAACTTGGCTGGGTTGAATGGTCAGCAGCAGGGAGCAAATGCCAACGGCAATGGGGTGACACCCGCGACTCCAGCTGCGACTCCTGGTGCAAACAATGTGGGGAGTGGCATTGTGCCTACTTTGCAGTGAGTATACACTTTGCTGTCTTTTCTGGCCCACCAGAAAGCTGAACAAGACCTTTTCTCGCTTGAAGAAACATAGTGGCGACTGTCAACCTTGACTGCCGTTTGGACCTGAAGACCATTGCACTCCATGCTCGAAATGCGGAGTATAACCCAAAGGTACTACGAACTTGAAGTGTCTTGGTTGCAACTTTTACTAAACTGGCATTCCTTGTCTAGCGTTTTGCTGCCGTCATCATGCGTATTCGTGAGCCCAAGACCACTGCTTTGATCTTCGCTTCAGGCAAGATGGTCGTTACTGGTGCCAAGTCGGAAGATGACTCGAAACTCGCGTCGCGCAAATACGCTCGTATTATCCAGAAGCTCGGTTTCAATGCCAAGTTCACGGACTTCAAGATCCAGAACATTGTCGGCTCGTGTGATATCAAATTCCCCATTCGCTTGGAAGGACTTGCATCGCGCCATCACAACTTCAGTTCCTACGAGCCTGAGCTTTTCCCTGGTCTAATTTACCGTATGATGAAGCCCAAGATCGTCCTCTTAATATTCGTCAGCGGCAAGATCGTCCTTACCGGTGCTAAAGTCCGCGAGGAGATATACCAAGCCTTTGAGCTGATCTACCCTGTGCTTTCTGGTATGTTTGCTACAAGCTTTTGTAAAACTATTCACGACTAACAAATAATCAGATTTCCGCAAGACATAAGGGTTGGTCACTCGGTGAGATTGCCGCTTATGTGGTAATCTTCGCTCCAGTTTCAAACTCATGTATTAACATTATTGTTCTTCTAACATAGTCCACCGGGATGTGTTACTCGTCGTTCGTCATCTGACCGTTCGATCGAACTACCTCCACATCCACCCGGACTCGCCCTATCACGATTGGTTGATGTTAAGCATTTTAACGGCGTTTTAGCGTTTCGATTCACTCTTCGGGTTTTTCTCTTTCCTCTTCTCTTCAAAAGAATCCGTTCCCAAACTGTTATATTAGAAGGTTGCATAACCGCAGACTGTTTTTCCACTTTCTTGATATGGGCGGTACAATCTGCGCTGGTCGAATCAGTGCCTGCCTGTTCATGTTTCCCCCTTGCTTTAAACTAATCATCACTTCGGTTGCAGCCTCATCACTTACTCCTTTGTATTGTTGATGAGATGGTGTGGCAGATTGCTATCGATGGTAGCCCTCCGGGTCGCTACCTCGAAGCAATGCTACTATTCAATACTCAATGACTACGTATTCAGTAGTAGTCGAAGAAATGCAAGAACTTGCAAAATATGCATCTTTGTTGTAATAGTAGTCACTCAACCTCTAATGTAAACTTCTAGACCCCATTTCTTATAAACGACTAGACTTTGCAAGCTCATCTTTTAATACCATCCCGATCTTCCCCGACCGACTCCCGTCCTTGGTCACCACAAACTCTCCACCGTGCTTTTCAGTAATATGTCGCTGCTCCGGCCATTTCCACAATTGCTGTAATTCGGCATCTAGTCTGCCCTCGAGGGCGTCCACAATTTGATCTCCGAGCACAGGGAAGAATTTGTAGCCGTGGCCGCTGCCGCCGGTGGCGAGGAAGAGGTTTGCATGGGATGGGTGGTAGGATATGAGGAAGTCGCCGGTAGGGCTGTTCATGGGTGAGTCTTTTGTTTCGTGTATATAAAAGTACAACTCGGGTATATGAAAGGGGGGCTGGATAACATACGTATCCGAGTACCAACATATCCTGGTCCGCGCAAACGGTCTCTCGGCGAACAGAGGTAGAATTTCACGTAGCGCCTGGCGACATGCTCTCTCCCCCTCGGCTGGGATTGCTAGGTCATACACGGGCAGACTGATTTTCATGGTGTGTGATGATGAAGAGGTGGTGGTAGCACCAGGTATCGGAACATCCGACGGGTTCAAGTAACCATATGCGTGGCGAGCGATTTTGAGCAGGTTGTTTCGTGGAGGGATGATGAACATACCTGTCGAGAAGCTGAGGATGGTGGGCATATCTGCAAGTTGGGCCTGCTCTTCGTCGGTGATTTTGATGTATGCCAATACCTGACCTGTAGCGTCGACGATGCCGCGCAGATCGACTAAATTGCCTGTCGATGCACCGGTGGCAAGGATGACGAGGTCTGCCTTGATTATCGAGGTGCTGCCAGTGGCATCCTTCAGTATAACGCCAGTAACTTTGGCCTGGGAAGTTGACGATGTCTCCTCAAACAGCAATCTTTCTACTTCCCCATGCTTGACGTCGACTTTGCCCGTCTGATCAAGTTTCTGCTTTGCGAATCGCACACCAGCTTCGGCATCACCCCATCCTGATCCTCGATTGAGATACCCTCCTGAGATGTTCATGCCCGCCGCATATCGCGGTACAACTTTCTCCAACGCGGCTTGGTTTGGTAGATAAACCAATTTCTCCGCAATACTTTCCAGGCTTTCGCCTTCCTCCTGCAACAACCTTTTCACGTTCTCGTAGCTCTTTTTCGTGTAGTTCTCGGAATCAGAGTTGCCTTCTGTATATAGTAGAGCCAGGCCATTTTCTGTGTAGCGACCTTCTTGACCCCATTCTGTACTGCGCCATTTCTTGATCCCATCTGCCGCGAGTTTGGCGTATGCGGGATTTGAGTAGTCTGCGCGAATAATGCGTGAGGTGTCGACTGATGAGCCGTGTGGGTTGGGGATTGTGGACGAGGCTTCGATTAGAGTTATTTTCTTGTTGGGATGGCGTTCTGAGAGTGACAAGGCGGTTGATACTGTGCCCAATTAGTGTGATTACTAAGAAGTCTCCTGCAACTTCGGCGTTGGTAGAATGCTATTGCTGAGACTGTGCATGGTGATATGCTCCGCTTCAGTCCAGCAGCCACCCTGGGATATTTGTGTCTCCCGTCTCATGCTCGCAAGTCAAGACAATTGTCTGACTGTCCGCATAAATACCACCTAGTAATGCAGCTGAACGATCCACGGCACGTCGTCAGTCGAGGCTGATACTTACATCCAAACACCCCGCCTCCGACAATCAAGATCGTCTCTGGTAGCTCCATTGAGAGCCCTGGAAGACTTTTCAATATGTACAAATCAACGTGAGATATAGAAGCTGATGGTGGCAGTGTATACGTGTGGAATAGTGTGCGAGTTGGTTCCAGCTGATAGAGAGCCGTTAGGCAGTGGAGGCAGTGGACTTTGAATCGATTAGTCTGCGATCTCGGAGCTGTTCCGTGGTTGTTCATGGTGGAAGCCAGCTTCGACAGCCGACGTTTTGGGAGGACTCAAGCAGCATGACAACACTGGTTGCTCGACGATGTATTTACAGTTTCTGGAATCACTAGTAAATGAAGCAGTGATCAGAAAATAAAGACGTTGAGGAACTCGCAGATGGCGATACATTTATATGCACCACGCCCAATTAGGACTAGCCTGTCGATGCTTAATTCTCAGTCCGGAAGATCAACTCAGCTTTTGATAAATGAACAGCCATATATCGCATCACGTTGTCATGGTAGCAGGATTTACCACTCAATAAAGATTGATATGATTATGATAAATATACACAGCTCGCCAACTGGCGACAAGACCTCCCGCGAGTTGTTACGATTCTATAGCACCAGGATCAAAAGGGTGCAGCGAGACCCGGTAGCTGGAAAGCAACCATCACAATCGAAAAGGCCTACGTATGTTCATCTATCAGCCTATATGCTGGAATGAAGCTCATTATTCTATAGAAGAACTGATGCATTTCGCGATGTTATGACAGCTCCAACAGCTGGCCGCCGAATGTCCCCGCGAATGATGACCATCTTCGCCGTGGGCATGCTGGGTATCAGTACCTACTGCGGTTACCTATACTCATCCTATAGCCAAGCAGTCGCTCAATCCAAAACTCTCAAGGTGCCTGAAGATGTCTCTGATCGCTACAATTCCACCGCAATGGGCTACGACGCCGAAGTCGAGCTCGGCGAGAAATTCATGCGGTTAGGCAAAAGGAGGAAAGAGCTCGTTCAGATGGCCCGTGGAGATGTTCTTGAGGTTAGTTGTGGTACGGGCCGAAACATGGAGTACTATCAACTAGGTGAGAAAAGAGGGCTTGATGAACGAGGCCGTCCTGTCTTGCAAGGGTGTCGGTCGGTGACTTTTGTCGATCTGAGTTCGCAGATGGTTGAGATTGCGCGACACAAGTTTAGAAGGCTACATCCTGAGTTTGCAAAGGCTGCATTTCGTACCGAAGACGCCAAAAAGGTCGGTCCAGTGGCCGACACTTCTGCAAAATTCCCTGAATGGGTATATTCACGGTCCCATTTCGATACCGTAATACAAACTATGGGTCTTTGTTCTACACCAGATCCCGTCGGACTCTTACGACATCTCGGATCGATCACAGAGCCGCAACGAGGGCAGATCTTGCTGCTGGAGCATGGTAGATCGCATTATGACTGGCTGAACAAGATTCTAGACAATCTTGCGCCTGCACACGCGCATCGACACGGATGCTGGTGGAATCGAGACATCGGACAGATCATCGAGCAGAGTGGATTGGAGGTTGTGGAGATTCAGCGGTATCATTTGGGGACGACGTGGAGGGCGGTTTTGAGGCCGAGGACCCAAACTTAGAGTTGATAGAGTATGTATCATATTGTATAATAGTCGACCGAAAGCATGCATTGGTGTACCTACATGCTGTAGATGTATTCTGCAATGTACACTGCGACTGCCGTATGCGGACTAGCCCGACAGACTACATATGATATGGCTGGCAAGCCACCGATCCGCCGACCAATTGGCGTCAAGACGAGCCAGATCAAAACTTGATTTATCCAAATGTAAATAAAAGGGTGGCATGATACTTGACTTGGGGTTAGTATGTACTGTGTAGTCGCGGTGTAATATAGTAATACCTTGTACGGAGTACTTCCGCAAGTAAGCTGAGGACTTGAGTCGGTGAAGCGCAGATTCGAAATAATGCTACGTAGGAATGGCTACCACGTAAACGCACTTCTGCAGTGCAGGCAGTTGTCATGGCAAGCACTGCCAAATCAGATGAAAGGACCACCATTCCACGCGACAGTGGGGCTGATGCTTTACTCCGTACAGACTTGATACGGTGTGTTGTTCTCGCTGCTATTGGATATTTCCGGGGAGAGTTGAGACAGATGTTATCCAAATGTCGGTAAGAAATACTCAAGTGACGTGATATCAAGGCAACCGTAGTGGCGTACATGAAAGCTGTCGACAAGTTGTGATGACAAGAAATGAAAGTTGATTGGATGGGGAGGCATCCCTGTGTTCCGACTGCCTTGACTATCGCCTACGTACGAAGTGTAAATACTAAGTACGTATTAAATAATATGTACGCAGTAAGATGGGACAGGGACTGCGAAAAAACTTAGACCCGGCTAACCAGATATGGCTAGGGCAATACCCGCTGCACTCCAGTCTCCACCGACAAGTGGAATGGGAGCGCTAGTCTTCATATAGCCTAGCGTGCCTATCCCAGGATCTGCTGGGCTGCTGAGGCACTAGGCTGTGATTGGCTTAGCGCCTGGTCGACTGTTTCAATTTTTGCCTCCCTGCCTCCTGCCTCCTGCCTCCGTCTGTATTCGGATTGAACAGAAGGAAGGAGCCACTGACTCGGCCATCCCCTTTTTTCTTGCTCCTCTTCTTGATCTTCTTGATCTTCTTGATCCACTTCGTGCATCGTCTCTCTTGTACTATGTACCTTCACCTCTGAGAAAGGAGTACTACATAGTAGTGAAAGTGAAACTATTCATCTGCGCCAACTCGGCCTCTGATTCGTCGCTCGCTGTCGTGGTGACGTCCTGTTCCTCGTCATAGACCCAGCGGCCATTTGCCCCCCTGCCCCTTCTGCCTCGTCCAGCAACTTCGTTGGAAGAGAACGATCCGAGGATCTTCCGACCACCGTTCAATCTTCAACTCCCCTATCCGTGATATCCATCCGATCTGCTTTGCCCCTGCATCGTCGTTTAATCACTTCGAAGAACTACTCCTCTACGTACTCGCCAGGCGGTGTGCTTCAGCAGCCGTTATTGCTGGACGGTCGCTAGTACTACAAGCTACTCTAGTGTCCCCAGTCTAGCCCAGCCTGTCTCTTCCCGCCGTGTCGGTCGGCTCATATTTTTTTTTTTTGCCCTTCTCCTATAGGAAGTGTTTTATTTCACGCTGATTGTTCGGTCAGCCGTTGCGTTGGGATTGCTTGCTGCCTCACCCTCAGTTTACTTATACATCGCCTCCTCCCAAATATTCTCCAAGATACCCACGTCGTACTGGTCGCATTCTTTGGAATCGATTTTTTCTGGGTCTTGCATAAAAACTTTCCAAAACAGAAGACTACCGGCTCCATATTACTTGTCTCTTAACCCAATCACTGTCACGGCAGAGCAGTCTCTATTTTTTCTTCCTCCCTTTACGTATTTTTTTTCGCAGCTCTGTCTCTGGTCTCCACCCTCCATCAGACACACCAAACACCGTCTGCCGATTTGTTCCGCCCTTCGATCTCTTCCTTCATCCATCTTCCCTCTATCCTCTTCAGCTTGCATGCCTTTTGTATCATTGTATCATCACTCATCACCCCCATCATCCCCCCTTCGATCATTATAGTCATTATTACTCTTGTTTTATTATTGCTACTATTTTATTACTACTATCCATTTCATCTTCTATCCTTGGTATTGTTTTTGTAATTAATCAACCCTTTCCTTCGTTCGCTATACACCCGTTATTTTTATTTTTCGCGCAAGTTCCGACCCTTCCCCCCTTACCCCCCGACACCATTCTCAGAATGCCCTACAACACACGTCGAAAGTCGTTGTCGCTCCCTTCGTTAGGCATTCACTTGCCTAACGCTTCTCGGTCGCATAGGTCTCCTTCGGCTTCAAAGAGTTCCACGTCGGGCTCGACGACACTGGACGAACTGACCCATCCTTCCAAGAAAGTCAAGAGGTCGCATGATGCCGTCGACGCCGACAAGTCGCAGAAGATCGCCACTGGTCGCATAAGGAACAGCAGAGGCGCTTATGAACATACTCCGCCACCCTCACCCGGCGATGCCGTCGATGTCGCCATGAAAATCGACACCGAAGGCATCAACGACGATGTCGTCGTCGCCGCCATTGAGCAATTGGAGAAGACAGGGAACAAGCCTCATTTAGTGCGCGAGCTGGCTGCCGTCCTAGTCAAAGTCAACGACACTGTCGCCAAGTAAGTCTGAATACTTGTGTCTTCACGCAATATTTACTAACATCCCATAGTTCCGCAAACCCTGCTGCGTTACTTTCCTCTCGACTCAGCACCTATATGAAGCGTTCATGGACTGCTCTGTCGCCATGCCCTATCGGTAAAGAGCTCATCAATGTGCATCCTCGAAAGGTGTTTTATTATCTTACGAACACTCCGCACCAGCCTTTACCTGAAAACCTGGAAGACATGGTCGCGATGGATGAGAAACGATTGACTCCGAGCCTCTCGAGTGGAAGCGTCGATCAAGACGAGGATGATGCGATGGCGCGCGAGCGGTCGCGACTCAGTCCTAGTCCGGAGATCGACTTGTCTTCTCCTGAGTTCGAGGAGCATGATACCTTTAATGCGCGCCACACTTCTGGTGCTCATGCAAATCATAACAACAGCCATCGCCTGTCGCATAATCATCGAGCCGCCTCGCCGCCACTGGAAGGTGACGAGCGGGAGTTCACTCAAACCGCCAGCTCTTTGCGCGAACGAGCATCAGAAGAGAAGGCCAGCCGACAGAGTAGTCTGACTGCCTTGAGCATCCCTGTCGATGAGTCGCAAGAGGCCCAGGTTGTCAGATTTCCCGGTTCGCCTATGGATGAGGATCTTCTCACCGCGTCAATCAGCGAACAAAATCAATACGAAGATTACTTTTCGCATGGTGGCTCTCGCGATCAGGAACAAGATCCTGACGACGCCGCCGTCGCCACTTTGTTCGGTACCTCGCCGTCTCCATCGCTCACTTCGGTTGCTTCTTCATTGTCGTCTGGCACGACTGCACTATCCGAAGCTGAGCTTGCGGATGTCCCTCCTGCACTAGACAGCGCCAGTGGCGCTTATACATCCGACCCCGCCCGTCCGATCACCACCATCACCACTACAGAACCATCCCTAAAGCGCTCATTTGACGTGGTCGAGACCGGCTTCCCGACCAAGTCGGTCATGGATCTCAAACACTCTCAAACCTTTGACTTTGAAATGGTCATAGATTCCTGGGCCGATCTTCGCAGCCCGGAGACCGTAGAGGTCGACGAGCTGGATGCAATGTTTGGCGACTTTTAATGATATCTTCTCACCTCATTGATACCATCCCTCTCCCCTCTTTGCCATAAAGAGTTCTGATTGATACCTCGTTGTTTATTTTTGGTTTCCAACAATTTGCATGATACTCAAGCACGGTTTTGTCTTTTTGTTTGTGTACTGGTTTGGTAGGTTCGGCTTGGTTGACCTGCCTTTGGTGTTTAGGGTTTTTTTTCATCTTCTCTTCTCTTACTATCTGTACATGTTTTCATAATTATGTTATACCTTATGGTTTGTTTACAGGCCAGGAATTTTCTCCTCAAGATTTCTTACTTTGGCGTTCAAAACATGTACGATTCAAATAAACAAAAGTGGAATCGGAGAAGAAAGAGAAGGCGAGAAAGAGCAAGAGAGTGAATGAAAAGCGAAGCGAAGCAACACCAACAAGTTTTCTCTTTTTTTCCTAGTAGAAATTAGAATGTAACGGGCCTTTGGAATGGGTATGATTATTCTCTAGATGAAATTAAAAACTAAGAATATGTTTGTAAAGTATGAATGTATCCAAGATTATCGCAATCAGAGCTCCCCCTCCTCGCTGCCACCACCGCCATCGTCATCGCCGTTGCCCATGTTCTCGTCGGGTTTGTGACTTCGCTCGTTGTGAGCATGGTTGTGATTGTTTGTAACGAGCTCACCTTCCTCCGATATCTCGCCTTCCTCGTTCGGTTCGCCTCTCCTCCTTTCCTCTGATGGTCGTTGTGATGATGTTGTTGATGCCGGGGGTGGTGGACGCTGTGGTAAAGATTCATTGGTCGTTGATGAGCGTCTTCTTTCGCGTTGTGGTAGTCTGTCTTTGTTGTTGGGGTTTCGGTTTCTTTCGTCGCGGTAGTCTCTGCTTCGGCTGTTGCGCTCTCTGTAGTCTGCTTCGTAACTGTTTGATCTGCGCCAGTCGCGGTCGCGATCACGGCTTCGCTCACGGTCTCGATCTCGGTCGCGGTCCATGTATCTGTCGAGGTCTCTGTATCTATCTCGGTCTCTGTCCCTATCTCTATCTCTATCTCTTTCACGATCTCTATCCCACTCGCGATGGCGACCATAATAAGTATCATTGCGACCTGCACTAGGCCCACCCTTATCACCCCGTGACATTCCCTGCTGCACAATCTCGTCTATCCGTTGTTGGACCGCATCATCCGGTGGCGGAGGTGGCGGGGGAAGAGGATGCCGTCGATGTGTATCGTCCATGGCTGCAGAAGGAATGCGCGAAGAAGCTCGAGATGACTGATGATGTCCATTCGCAAGGCTGCGCGGGCTCTCTGACTTGATCGACGTCCTAGTCGGATCAGGAGTTAAGCGTTGGCGTTTCGGCGATGGCTCTTGAGTATGGTTATTGCTTTCAGTGGGGTACAGATTTCTCGCTGGAGACGGGCGGCCTCCCTCTTCAGGTTCTCTCGATCGTTTGCGGCCATTCGATTCTCCTGCCGATAATGACTCCGTCACGTTGTGAGGATTGGGGTTGACGATGCGCGTCATCTCCTGACCATTATCACCATCCGTCGGCATAGTTGGGTACTCATGAGCCTGTCGGTGAACAGTTATGTTCCGTTCATAGAGCTGAACCATGCGACTAACGGCGCGTCGGACTTCGGAGAGGTTGACATCGATCTGTACCCACCACGGACGGCCTTCTTCGTCATCTTCGAATGCGACATCACATAATCTGGCGCCAGCCCAGAGGGCAGCTGCAGCGATCGTTCGCGGATAGAATTGCAGACAGAGAACAGTATAGTTCGAGTCATTGAGAAACGCCCAAGCCGCATTGCGCAAACCTTTGTGGTCATTTTTGCCGAAATAGCACAGAAATTCATAGCAGATTTTGTGCGGTTGTTCCAACTGCAAGTCGAAACATAGCGCTTCCAGACACATATCCTCGTATGCAAGTAACGTATCCTTCCATCTCCAGAATTCCTTGTTCTGTTCGTCGATTTCGAGGTTGTTGTTCTTTTGCGCGACGCGACAGCAGGCGATCACCAATTCCTTTATCTTGCGACAATTCTCATCCACCTTGCTGGCTAGAAATAGACMCCCCGCCGCGACAGAATATGGATGTAGACCAGGTCTTCGGGGAATATCAACCATACTGTGTCGCACGAAGAATCGATGTAGGAAAACAGCGGCCGTTGTCAGTGTGAGCTGTGGAAGCTTCAGCATAATCCCCACTTGGACGATGAAGTTGACGCCCTTGCTGCGCTGCATGTGCTCCATCTCTAGACTCATACCGTCGAGCAGTGACGGTGTTCTGGTAAGCTCTTCATCGGTGAAGTACCATTGCTTTTGCGATTCGACGATGACGTTATTCGACGGCGCCGGCACCGGTCGTCGCGGAGGATGTTGAGACGTAGATTCCATGGAGTATAGTCTATCGACTGTATCGTAAATCCTTCAACTTAAGGGGAGTATGGCAGTATTGATGGCTTCCTTTGCCAGCTGCTGCCGAACGTGAGGTCAATGACAGTTTCCTCCAATACCTTTCAGCTTCTCAGTGCTACTAAGACATATCAGAGAATATATTAAACATGGCGAGACGCGCCCAGCTTCGTGCTGCCAAGCAGGGAAGAGTTTAATGCAGTAAAGAAGACGAGACAAATATGTTATAGATGATATGGTAAAAGTATCGGTTGGAGGTTGAAGGGCGTGGAATCCAATCAATGTCCGCGGCGGTTTTCTGCCGGCTGTTACCGCCCGCCCAATGACTCCATTGCCTAAATACGCTCACTACGCATCACTAACAAACACTATTGATACGATTATGCGTATTAAAAGTGAAACTAAGTATATAGCATTTGCTAGATGTGCCCGATTCATATATGTGGTATCTGAATACAAAATAAGAACAAAATGGTGAAAGCAACCCAAGACTCCTCAGTGGTCTTCCGTGGATGACATCAAATAGTTTGTCAGATATCTCAAATCTCCAAACATACTGTTTGAAACAGCAATATGTTCTCGTACACATAGAAGGGAGTGATGCCAGATCACTCTTCCTCACTAACTTCACTCTCGTCATCGCTCGGAACATATCGTTGAGTCTGCTGCAGGCTCTGTGTCCTCGATGCCTCCTCTTCAAACGCCGCTTCCATTTCTGCTGCCAGAGCATCTTCATCCTCATCTTCATCCTCGTCGGCGACTTCTGGTTCCGCTGCAGCGGCGGACGTTGCAACTCTCGCATCATGTCTGGCAGGAGAAGGTAGACGAAAATCTTCAATTTCTTCATCGTCCTCCTCATTCCCCTCCTCATCCGTACCGTGTGCGGATTGGTCACTGGATGAGAAGTGAGTGGGATCGACCTTGAATGCGGGCCGTGTGGGTGGAGAGCCCATATCGATGATGAGATCTCCGTCGACGATTATATTAGAACTTGGTGAAGGTACAGCCTGACTAGACTTTGGATGTTGATAGTCATCCTCTTCCTTCTCAGACTGCTCTGCCTCAGAGATGGCAATATCATCCTCAGGATCGACACGCGGCGCCGACTTGGGCTGTGCTTTCCCCTTCGTTGTAGAAGATACACTGGTTGGCTTAGCTTTTGGTGCTCGTCTCGGTTGCCGCAAAGGATTCGTCTGCTGTTTGGGCCTAGGTGCCATCTTTTTAACCTCTACCTTTGTTGGTTGCATTGCAGGCGTATTGGCTGTGCTGATAGCCCCATGAGGGTCTGGTGTCGTGGTCGTCGACAGCGTCGACTTGGCCTTTTCCAATTCAGGCCTCTTGAGGAAATGCCTGAAATCGTAAGGGTTATCCTGGTCAGCATCTTCTGGCTTCTCATCATCGCTCTCGTCCCGGGGCGCATGATCTCCATCGTCGCCCAGAGTATGTAACTGCTCATATTGCTCAATCACGTCTTTATTTTTTCCCGGTGCAGCGCGCAAATTGAAGTTTAAGCTTGTGCTCACAGACTCTAGAATAAACGCTTTCCGGCTCGGATCAAAGACTAGAACAAGATTCCTTGCTTCAGAGCCCTGAACCGGTATGGACGGATCTATGCTGCCTTTATATTTGTACTCGAGCGATGTCTGCTCAGCATTCCCAGCCTTGTCCGTGATCGTGAGGTTGTATATATCTTGTGAAGTAGGAGATCGAGTGATTTTCGTCCGTTGATTCGCCGTTGCCGACTTGCTCTTGTGGTTATATGTGATGTTTATGAATGTGGAGGCATGTCCTCCGTTCTTTTTCGCCAGTTGGTCCCCGAGAAGGATCGGGTAATCGCCTTGCTTCGTGGGATCGATCATCATGCCGGCTGGCGGCGCCGACGCAGAGAGGGCCATGGGATCGGGCTTTGAGTGAGTTCGGAGTTATGGGCTGAGATGTATTGTAAAGCGTTGAAGTCTCCCCTTCCTCTTGACCCCTGAGATCAACTTCTATATCAACGACTGGCCAACTGCCGCAGTCAGATACGGTAAGTTCTAGTCTGCACAAACCGTGGTGTGCATATATTCAGGGCTGATCGAGTGTCCGAGGAAATGACCAATGCATGGTATTAATATAATAGAGGTATTGAGATCAGTGCACCGACCATACAAACGATAGAGCCTTGAATAAAGATACAGTATAATATGAAAGTATTCATTAAGTATAAGTGTCTCATGAAACAAAGAGCGCTTGTCCAGCGTCCTGCTGAGGGCGGAGTTGAGGAAGAGAAAGAGAGAGAGAGAGTCAGCAAGTGACACCGGCCAGTGACTCCGGGGCGAGACCGACGGGTACGAAGCGGGCCTGCCCCCACTTCTATCTAAGTATCTATCTCTCGGGTATCTCTAGCATGGAAACCCACCTATTTATGCTTGTGACTCTACTTCTGGTACTTCCTGTCCTAAGAATGGGTACTGGCATACGGCAGTCTTCGATATACCTAGTAAAGAGTACAGGATATTCATGCCAACATATGTGCTCTGATTATGTCTACTGCTCATTATCGTCATCTCATCGTGTATATAAGACTCAATGTACTGGGGAGGTCACTCGGGAGATACTCTTGGTAGCACCCCCAGCAGCTTGACCGCTGGTAAGTTGCTCGAGTCTCCCTGCCAACGCCCGATGTTTGCGCATCACTTCCTCCCATTCAGGGACAATTGTCTCGTCCTCGACTTCTTCATCCTCTAGCTCCGTAAGGATCATGCTAAAGTCCCCACCCAATCGCCCAAGACTGGCGGCACAGTACAGGACCTGACTCAAAAGACTTTCTCGTGAGCTCTTGTCTCTTACATTTGGGAGGTAGGTGCGAAGAGTGTCCGTAAGGAGCCGGACTAGATATAACGGGAATGTCGCAACTGCAGGCGGAAGTGCTTGAAGAGGATCGACTTTTTTGGTTGGCTTTGCGGGTGGTTGTGTTTTCAAGTTGAGTGATTTGAGGTCCAGCCCGGGAACAGAAATCGGCTTCGAGCCGTTCTCAACTGGTTCCGGCGTGAATATGTTTTTATATAGTGAGACAATTGCAAAGCTCTGTTCTCGATAGATTTCAATATATCGCTTCAAATACCGCTCCGTCTGTTGGCCTCCAGACCATTTAGACGATGCTGCTCGCTCGCCTGCCGCCGCTTCACCCCTGCGCTGGGTTTCTTGGTCTGCCAGCTCCCTGAGAGGATCAAGGGCTTCCAAAGTCGAAACTAGATTTGCCAGCCTACATACGAGGAAGAGTGCTCCCAGTGATCCTTCGCCTGATCCTGTGCCGGTTTCGTGACCTCTTCGCGGGTCTTCCAGTTCCGGCGCAACACGTCGGAGCCATCCAATCGTCCTCATCGCGGCCGCGAGTCGAATGTTTTGTGTTCTTAGCCCGGCTATAAGATTCGTGGTCATGGTCTTCATCGCATCTTCAGCTTGCAATATAATGTCCTTTATAAGCGGAGAGTCTGGGTAGAGGGTTTGTAGTCGTTTTATGTGAGAGTATAAGTCGAGAGCTGTCGAGTAGTTTCCCGATGCTGCACTTCCTGCATTAGGTCCGGCATTCGCTGATGAGGTAGAAACGGCGGTCGAGAGGAGGGCTGGAAGCTCAAGGACATCTGATATTCGGTCGACATTTCGCGATACCTGCATTGCTTTTTTTCTTCTGTCTAGGTTCGGGTTATCGCTCGATTTGCTATACGTAGTCGAGAAGCGTACAGCTTCTGAGTCGAGGATCGGTATCCTCTCCTGTAAAGCCTTGACATCCTGGCCTAAGGATGGTATCAGATTTCGTAGAGTCGAAAGGTGGTCTGATGACGATATTAGAGCTTTGTGGGAGCGATTAGACAATGCTTGGAGGGATAGGAGAGTAGAGTGCGCAGATTGAGATATGGATTGAGGCTCGCTATTTCGTATTTGTTCAAGTGATAAACTCGTCAGGCGGTTGAGATATTTGGTGGTTGTCGTCGCATCTGTTGATGATGCTCGTAGCGGGCGGGATGTTGACGGTGACGAAGCATTGTTGTTGCTGTTGAGATGCGGATCGAGTAGCTCCAATATAGCGTCAGTCATGGTGGTATCGACAGTCTAATCAGCCCTCAGCACAACAAAGTGCTTAGGTCAAAGTAGTTGTCGGGATGTAGAGAAGAGAGTTGGCTGTTTCGTGCCTTCCGCCTGTGGAGCCAATCACTCTATCCGCATTTGCTCCATCCGATCTTTGAATCATTGCATGTTTCGCATTGAACCACCAAGGCACGAGAGAGAATTTGCCTCTTTTGATTTCCGGTTGAACTTTTATTCACTACTAATGCATATTTTCCCCCAGTATCTTTGCCATATAATCAAACACACGGTGTACATACACTGCGCACTTCTTCCCCGCTATTGGCACATCTAGAGTTGATTTAGTCAAACGACAGACGATTCCAGCCTTCAACATGGGAAAGCCGCGGGTGAGTACTGGTATACTACTGTGCGGGGTATTTTCTGACATACTTCCCACGCTAGATGATCATCTTGATTCGCCATGCGCAATCTGAAGGAAACAAGAACCGCGAAATCCACCAGTCGGTACCAGACCACCGAGTCAAATTGACACCTGAAGGCCATAAGCAAGCGCTCGAGGCAGGACGTAGACTACGGGAATTACTACGCCCGGATGACACGCTACATTTCTTCACATCGCCGTACCGCAGAACGCGCGAGACAACAGAGGGGATACTAGAGTCGCTGACATCGGACGATCCGTCTCCCTCGCCCTTCCCACGACATACAATCAAAGTGTATGAGGAGCCACGTCTTCGCGAACAGGATTTTGGGAACTTTCAGCCATGCTCGGCCGAGATGTCGCGCATGTGGCAGGAAAGAGCAGACTATGGGCATTTCTTCTACCGAATTCCCAACGGCGAATCCGCAGCAGACGCCTACGATCGAGTGAGCGGATTCAACGAGTCTCTGTGGCGGCTTTTTGGCGAAGACTCTTTCGCCAGTGTATGCGTTTTGGTGACTCACGGGCTCATGACGCGGGTGTTCCTGATGAAGTGGTATCATTTCAGCGTGGAGTACTTTGAGGATCTACGAAACATCAATCATTGCGAATTCGTGATCATGGAAAAGAACCCAGATAATGGTAAATTCATCTTGCAGAACAAATTGCGAACATGGTCTGCTCTCCGGCAGGAGAAGGAAGAAGAGCGCAAACGTGAGGAATCCGCTGTATCGAAAGGTAGCCAGGTACAGTCACCGGAAGCCGAAGTACCCGTACGTCGTAAATGGGGTGGGTGTCCTAATGGTTGTACGCATGGTGAGGCGGTATCGTCAACTTGGCGCCCAACACGGCGCGATGAGGTTGATGTTTTTCGGGATGACGATGGAGGCGAGACGACAGACGCAAATGGAAGAAAGCGCGGTCCTTCTACAGATCGCAAGAAGACATTCAAACGAATGCCATCTCTGAAAGATAGGAAGACGCTGACTCACATCGACAAGTCAAAATTTCATCTTACAATCGAGCCTCAGAATCCTGATGATATCGTGTCTTCACCCAACCAGACTCCATCATACATTGCTCTAGGCGGTGTCGTCAACCCTCGCGAACCTGGTGAACACGAAATACTTAGAGTAAGGGACAACGTCGCCCCCAAAGACATATCAACACAAGGAGGACCATCAGCTCAAACCCTCCCAAACATCCATCTTCTGCAACTCGCGGGCCGCGACGGAGGGGGCTCAACCAGCGGCGTGAACAGCGTCGAAATATCAGACTCTGAATCAGACGGCCTGTTCCCCGAGAAAAGCGAATCACTCGCTGCGCTCACCAGCAGCAACAGCACCACTAACCTCCAATACTCTACATCCTACCACTCTGTACAAGACGCCGAAGACGACGGCGACGACGAAGGGGCTGGCACGGCATCACGAAGATCCCGACGATCTACAAAGGCCATTTATCAGAATCATACGAGTCATCACAATCATCAGCATCAGAATAAACCGAGTACTACTGCTTATCAACGCAAGGCGAATGCATTAGGTGACATGGCCGATGACGATAACGATGATAATGACGACAATGAAAACGACGGCAACGGAAATGCAGATACTGTAGAAAGTATACCAGACACTGAGATTGAGCAGTTTAGAAGAGAAGAGGAGAGTGTTTCTGGGAGTGTATACTGAGTATGAACTATAGCAACTACATAGATGGTTAGAGGGGAAATTTATGATACCACGACGCCGCATATTGACTACGAAGCAAGATCATTCAAAGGTTTGTTGTGTACAGACAATATTATATTCTTTTTTTTTAGTCCAGCTTCATGTGGTCTTATACAGTTTCATAAGAGATGTACATACAGCCTGCCAACAAATTTTATCGTGCATGGTAGGCTCCGTATGTGCGTAATTCAAAACATCCGTAGATGTAAAAAACCCTAGTCCTTTCTCTACCAAGGAAATAAGGAAAGAAGACAAAGTCATCGCGAAGGAAAATGAAATCGCTTTATGTTGGTTTGCAACGCTGACAGAATCAAGCATGCTAAATATGTTTGTTTCAAAACTTGAAGAAATGAAGATAAAGTCCCTTTCGCTTGGGTGCCTCCCATCGGAAGACTTTTTTTTTTCCATTTTGCTGAATCCCAAAATGGTTGCAGGGATCGAGAAGAGAATAAAACATGATCAATGCCTTTTTTTTGCAAGGTATTTCTTCTGATGAGTTGATGAAAACATTCAAAACAAAAGTCAGAAGGAAGAACATAGACTCTCACATGATAAATCAAAGACAAAATCGCTTTGTGTAGGAGATTAGAGTCGCAAATCAAATCGAAGAATGAGATTACAAACGCCTCGTTCTGAAGTATAAATCAATCAGAAGAGAAAACAAACATAACAAGGTCTATGGGTAGTATTCGCCAATCAACATGCAACAGATTCAGGGGTAAAACGCAAACCAATCCATCAAAGGGGGTACTAGTAGGAAGAAGAAAAATATCGTAAGCCGTGAAGATCTTTTGGCGAAACTTTTGGCGCTCGGACGACTTCGAATCGAATGAGGGGCGCATGAAAGGCTCAAAAGAGCATATGATTGAAACAATGAAAAGCCGAGATGACGTTGCTTGACGCGACGAGTTGGCTGTAGCGAGCGAAGGAAACAGAATCGTAACAAATAAACCCCAAGCACTTTTAGAGACATGGCTCAAAGATCAGTTAAAATTGACGCAGTCGATAGAATCGTCGTCAGAAGGTTGAAATCATCAAAGTGAACAGAAAATAAACCAAATCGATAAATCAGTAACGAGGAAGAAAATGTTCAAGAATTTTTGGAACGTCGTTGACGCTTGATATGCAGTTCATCCAGCAACCATAGGTTGAAGGGTTGAAAAAGTGTGACCGCTAAAATAATGTTCATGATGCTTCAAGCAGTAACTGCAGCCACAGGAAGAGCCATGACCAGTCCAGACGGAGTGATTCATAGGCGCAGTGTACACTGGTGTATGATGGTACGACGGTGGTTGTGAACGAGGAGGGTGGGGAAAAGAAGGATACTCCGTTTGTGAAGCCCATGTACGCGTGTATGGAGGTGGAGGATTCGAATACATCCACGCTCCTCCATTGTAGTAGTCAGGCGTGTTAGGGCCACTGTGTGGAGCGGAAGGAGGAGAATATTCACAGGCAGTAGGATTCAACCATGTGTTCTCGTACCCAGTGGTTCGTTGATATTGCGGGGGGATCGGACCGTCGGGGGACATGAGAGGCTTAGGAATGGTGAGTTGCCTCGTGATGTTTGTGTCAATCGGGGATAACTTTTGACGAACTTTGTTTTGTGAGGCCATAGTCGTCTTGTAAGTTTCCCAACGGGCCAACCAAATACCAAACCCGTCCTTCTTGTTGTGAATACGCTCATGGATCTTCCACTCGAAAGCGAACAGCCAATCCAGTTCCATGGTGTTGAGCTCAGATACCGAGATGTTGCTGACCTCGGCCCATGAACGGTTCTGGAAAGTGTTGTCGTCCAAGAACTTACTGCCCAGCAGCAGAGCTGTGGTTAACATTCTGTAGACCTGTCCAGTACCAGTAGCATAAACGCCCTTGGCAGAGAGCATACGCATCCGGGTGGCCAAATAGAAGAGGCCAAGCAATATAGTCGAACTAGGGAGACGCGTCGAGGAAAGAATTTGGTGTACGTATTTCCGGAATGGCGGGGGKACAATTGTCTGTCCTGGATAGACGCTTCCAAGCATGTCAATATCATCTAGATTGATTCCGGAGCTGTACAATGCATACATTCCCTGGGCCGTTTCGGCAACGAAATCGGACATCTGATCCATCTCGTAATCGAGGTGAGCGGCAACTCCACCAGTAGGCTTTTCCTCCTTGATACGGGTTTCCGCCGGGATGTGGGCATCGTGATGACGGTACTGGGGCGGAATTGCGGATTCAGAACTGGCTGGCATGTGCAAGTTCGATCGAATGGGGGGCAAAGTTGGAACGTTGTTCGACACCACTCCATACAGAGACTGGGGACCTCCCAATTGCGACTGAGCTAGGCTGTGCTGATGCTGCTGTTGCTGTTGCTGGTGAAGAGCTGCTGCATAGTCGCGACCGCCTCGAATAGACATCGTGGTTTGTTGAGAATTGGCTGGTGCCGACTTGACAAAAGAGGTTGCCTGGGAGTACTGTTCGATGAATTCACAGCCAGTTTGGGGATATCGTGGAGGAAAGGAAGTATGACCAGTAACGAAGAATGGAGGGTCTAGTTCCATTTTGCCGTTTCCATGAAGATGAGGCGGAGTAGGTGGCAGGCCAAGGAGGCCAGGGTTGTAGAAAGATGGCATGACTGAAGAAAAAGGAGGATTGGTTGCGACGGAGAGCAGACGAGCTATGGCCTCGAAAAAGATATCAGCAAGACGAAAACGAGATTGCTTGTCTTTCTCGTATCGAACTTTTGGAGGGATACCAACCGTCTACACTACCGCCACTGCCCGAACCCGGGAGCGCTGCTCAACGAGCGGCCGCTCTTCTTTTGAAAGAAAAACAGACGGTGTTCTAGTAGCTTCTCATGGGTAGGAAGTTGTGACGTGATCAATCTGCTTGTCGACGAGCGGAGTTCTGAAGATCGAAAACGTGAAATAAGCAGTTCAGAACGAAGAGTTCGTTTTAGTATTGGTGATTGTCGAATCCCGTTGATCTTTTCCTATATCCTTGTCTTGTTGACGAAGACGCCGATTGACTTGGACGCGTAAAGAGTGATAGATTGAACGTTGAGCGTAAATTCGTAGGTAGGGCGCGCAACTAACGGGGACAGAAAACGAATAACGGAGTAGTAATCAATCACAATAGCAAAGATAGAGAAAAAAGCACGACACAAGTGCTTGTTTCTCTTTTTTGGAGTGTGATCTTTAGTCAAAAATAACCGCGACGAAAATTTGGTAGAAGGATAAAAGATAACCACCAAGTATAATTTTTTTTTGGTCAACGACACTTAATGAAAAGCTCGTCAAAAAATAGATAAATTGAGGATATTCGAAGGGCTTTCAGAGACTTTTGGATCGAGAATGGAGAAACACAAGAAGGATGGGTGGTGAGGTAGAATGAGGTGAGGTGAGGTAGGAGCAAGAGAGAATGAGCGAGAGGAGGAAATTAATTTGTTTGAGCGGGAGTCGGCAGTCGAGCGAGAGAGTCTCAGAAGGGGAAGGGGCAAGCACACGGCGTGGTGTGTGTGGGCGCGGTTAGAGCTGGCCAGTCCCTGTAATTACGAGCTTGTTACCTGCGAGGGCACCCAGTGGCAGCGGCACTAGGCAGTCTCTGTGGTATCCGAGGTAACGGCGATACATACACGCTGTGCAAGTAACCCGTGTGACTACGTATGTACTCTGTAACTTAGTTACGGTAATTAGTCATTGGGCTACGGCCGGACGCCAGAAGAGGAACGAAAGTAACGGCGGAAAGTGCCGGCGGTACATTACGGTACAGCACAACAGTATTTCGTACGATACACTAGTCTCAAGGGATTCGGATGAAAGCCTGAAACACCGTTTCGTGCCTTAAGCAGCTCCTACGTGTTGTGATTTGTAAGGATACTTTACTCAGAAGCGCCCCAGTCGTCCCATTTGGTTTGTTTTATTTTTGTCCTTCTCTTAGGACGTCCTACGAGCAGTGCGCAGGCTTAGCTACAGCCTACGGCGGAGTGAGTCAGGTGCCCCATTGATTTCATCCCATATGGATACAAAGAATTGGATTGCCTTCTGACGCAGTCACCCTGTCTCGGATGATGGATCACTGAGACCGATCGAGTATTGAATATTATTGACGGTCGCCTAGGCACCGTCACTAGCCAGGCGTAGGAGCGTTGCACAGCAATCGAGCGATATCAACGTACATAATACGAGTGGGCACATTGACTGAACACATGATTCTGATTTGATGCCATTGAGTTGCCAGCATCAAGCAAAGTCGCTGTACTAGCGACGCATGGATATGGATATGGATGGCGGGTGCCAAATGGCAGGTGACGCTGCTAGTGGCTTGGATTCGGCTATGACTCTTCTTCTACAAACTCCAGACTTTGCCCCAAAATTGATTGCAGTGATCAGTCCAACCGACTGTCCATGACTGAGAGACCTATCAACGACTAGAAAAATCAAATGACACATGAGCTCCAAGTCTCCAAGTCGACGCAATAATACAACAGAGGGATCTTCAATACGTAACACGTAGAAAAGGAAAAATACAATACCAGGACCATACCATACCGGTCTGTCGACCTATTCATAGCGTCTGGCTGGAGGCTGGCGAAGCATACTCCACCTCTTAGGCTTCCGGGTTTGCCACGAGGAAATTCTGTATTTTTCGTATGTGTTTTCTGTAAGCCAATTACACAGACAGTCCAGACTTCGCCACGTTCATTGGCTGTGACGTCTCTTTCGAACACACTTGGCCGTGACGGGTAGGACGAATCCACGACCATTTTTTCTTCTTTGATTTGAGTCTTCAATCCGACGTCTTAAATTTGTTGGGCCGCTTTGCTTTATATTCTACATCATTAATCACACATCGCAGATATTCCATCAAAAGGCATGATTTGCTCAAGTCCCGACTCATGGCCCATATTACTATCCAATAGAGACATGCATTCGATCCAGGAACTCCGTACTCCGTACTCCGTCCGTCACATCGCGGAATGACGTTGCTGCTGAATGTCTCGATCAAAGCCTCCGATTCTGATTTGGTGATGATCTCATTTTTCTGTATTTTTTCTCCCCCAAGAGGCGAAATATTAATCATGTACGGAGTACTCCTCTCTGTGTTTGGTATATCGTTGTTCCAATTGGACTACACTACAAGATGGCAGGCATACTTGTTGCCTTCTATGTACAAAGAAGAGTCCAGACACTCGTATTTGTTCCGGAATACATACGTATCGTATGGTCGTATTTGGAGTATGCATGTCACTTCTCTAGAAATTGACTACAAAATTGCCTCCCCCGCTCTGTCCAATCTAGGTCATCAGTCAAATCGCTGCTTTTCTTTTTCGATGGATACGTCGATGGCTTAATATATACAGCTTGACCGGACGGCGGGGCTTGGTAAATATTGAAGCTATACTTACTGTACTTAGGGCCAACTCCTAAAACGGAACATGAAAAACTTCGACAAAGTGTCCTCACTCGATAAATTGATATATTGATGTAACCCGACGCTTTGAGGTTTTCAGAAATTTCCATTAATGTCCACTGTAAACATGCAACACAAATGACACCTAAGTCAAAAATCATGGTGACTTTTATGCAAGACTGTAATACCCGACGATGGCCGATGTACCCCTCACTACTCATGTACATACTCCTCACTAACGAATTCGAAGCAACTAATGCTATCAAAGCTATTCAATTGCACAGTAATGGGTATGAGTCATTCCTTTCGTCCATGTATGTACCTGCCTAAATGAGTCATTTCATACTTTAGTTGCAGAAAGAGTAATATAGCTGTGAAGATACATACATGTACGGATGCCTTGGGTGCGATAACCGGATGGATATTTCATTTTATAGTGACTGTTGAACATTCCTAATATTATTCGTATGATATCAAAATAACCAGACCAGCTCAAATAAGCATGTTGCTCTAAAACCCCCACCCCCCGCCCAAATCAAAAAAGAAACTCCCAACGCATGTCCATCTTGATATAGGAATCCATGATTGCGCCGGGACAGGTTTGAATAATACATAAGAGAAAAGAAAAAGAAAATCAAGGATGCCAATTATAGCTCTGGAGGATATGACCTCTGGCTGCGTCCGTCGATTCCGTCTGCCATTTCGATTTCCATTCATACTCTTTCATCGCTGCTTCCATCAATGCTTCCTTGCATTCCGGTGGAAGCTCAGCAAGTATCTCTGCACTGACAAACTCCGGATGTTGAGGGTTGGCCATGCTGATGATTCCGTTTGAGCCAATGTCCTGAACATCGCCGTCTGGACCTGGGCGTCCAAGAGTGCTGGTTTCGGGCGTTTCGTAATGTATATCTGTAATAGCAAAGCGTCGTGTGAATATGGAAGGTACTGGAGGCATCATACTGGCAACTGCCGGAGTAGCCTGTGAAAGTTGGTTTTCGCCCGACTCGCCGTTTTCGTCGTTGACAGCCTCATCATCCTCATCAGCTTTCGGTGTGTTTCCACTCATGATCTGTAAGGAGGACATGTTCTCGACGAGCTGGTTGGAAGATTTTGAGTCCTCGGACGGAGGAACTACTTCCCATCGTGCATGCGTTGGTTGCATGATCTTTGGGTATTGTACGTAGTTAGTGTGAACATCGTATACACCCTCCAGATTCTCCCGTCGTACGTTTGCAAGAACCGAGTTGAACCGACTAAAACAATGTTAGCAAACCTTTACGATATCCATTTGGAAAGTCCCATACCTAGTCTCTCTGGCATGTTCAATCATCCAGTTATCCCCAGTCACTGTCACCTTGCGCTTCTTTTGATCAACAGCCTTTCCAACAGGTAACGGCACAGACGGTGCACCAGTGTGATAAACTGCACTTGCGCCGTGCCACGCAACATATTGATTCCTGTTGTACTCCTCTCCGGCAGGCGGCAGTCTGTCTTCAGGAACGGCTAGTTCGCCCTCGGTATCTCCACGTTCTAGTGCAGCTTTCTCATCATAATCATCGATGACCTTGCGTCCACCTATAACGATTTTCGCACCGAATTCTCGGAAAACGGACCTCGCCGTCACCACACCAATAGCCCTTCCTTTGTAGGAGTGGGGGATGATGTCTCGCTCGATCAAGTCACGTTTAGCGTCATCGTCAATGATAATCTTATACAGCATTTTGTGCTTCTGGAAGAACAGGTACGAATCTCTGAATCCGATACACCGCGCCGGTTCCGTTGACAACATGTACAGCCTCTCTCCCCGGTTGAGAATGGTAAATGTGCGCACTCGATATTCTCTTCCTTCCAACAAGTGACCCATTTTGTCCACCTTCTTTTCGCCTTCTTCAATATCTGGTAGAGCGACCTCGTCGTTCACAACATCCATCATCGTGCCTTCCTTGTCGACAGCCACCTGTGTAACATGAGGATTTCCACCTCTACGGCCCCATCTGCCCCCGCTGGCAGCAGGCCGACCCCGTCTTCTTTTCACTGGAGTTGAGACAACAATCTTCTGCTCTGTTCCATCGTCCAATTCCGGTCGGGGGTTCTTGGGTGGCCGGCCAGGGCGGCGCTTGCGAGGATATCCAGCTAGTCCCCCACCTCCACGAGGAGTACCACTGAATTTTGAGGGAGTATCTGGTTCCGGCGCTGCTGGGCTTGATGCGCCTTCGGCTTTAGGCTCGGCGTCGGTCTCTGCTTGTGCTTCAACACCAGTTTCATCTGCGCCTGTCTGCTCTTGTTGTTGTTGTTCTTGGTCTTGCGCCTGTTCCTGGTCATCTTCCTGTACGTTTTGTTGCTCGGGTTCTGGCTCTTCTTCTGGTTCGACATCAGGATCGTCGTCTTGGTTGTCAGCTGTTTGAACATCCACACTGGGATCTCTAGATGGCGGCGCATCGACCATTTCATCATCGGAGGCATCGGGCAAGCTTGGTGGTGCGGTTCCTGACATTTCAATGTGTAAGTGGCTGTCTTATAGCTTGATTGTAGGTAAGCTGAATTAAGCCGTCGCGGGGGGCTGGATGAAAAAAAATATTGGTGTAGTAAAGACATACGCATTGATTGAGCAGCTGCCTGTGCAGCTGCCCTCTTACTCCGAGGAGCCATTTGGGAAGGAGCTATGGGGTCTTGGGGTAGCTAGAAATCGTGCCCGTCGACGGTAGCTCCCTTATTCGCGGTTGCCCTTTTTGAATGATATGTCGCGGAATCAACGACTTACATTCGCGGCGCGCGCTGCCGGTGTTACGTTGGTCCGAAAAGTCACGTGCTTGTAACTAGCACCACTTTAGGTTTAGCGCAGTAATCTGTACACACGTGATTATTATAGCCCTACCCTAAGCCCTAACCATGTCTCGTTCAAGATGATTCCGTACAGAAGGCCGAAGAGTGCTCGATCCGATCCCACATTCCGATCGCTTCCGCGCTCCGTTCCACACCGCTTCCTATTCGGACGGTTGACGTCACTGTTGTTTGTCTCGTAATCTCCGTATGTAGATCTGCCGAACTACGGAAAACTGATCTATTGAAAGTGGTCCCTCGAAAGTCAAGGCGATACAGCTATATCATTCTGAGCCAATTACTGTCCTGAAGTGCTTCATGAATTCTTGCATTCTTAGGTATACTACATGGTACGTGTACACCGTCCGTTAGACTCCACAATCCCCTCTCTGATTGTGTTGTTGTACAATTCATCATGTACATGGGTTTATACCTTAGTCTTGGGTTGTTGTTCTTTCTCTGCCTCTAGCTTGGATTATCTGCGCTTCTTGGAGGCTTGCAATTCGTCCTCACCGCCGAACATATTTTCCCTTTGATGTACATTTATTATCTTTGACATGTGAGTTTGTTACCTTCAATGACGTTGACTCCATTATGCCCAAATGGTAAAACCCCCCGTAGCTCAAGTCCCTCTGTAGCGAGTCTCCAGAGCCTATGAAAGGCCTCGTTAGCCCCACAGTGAGTCTAGAGAGAGGGTATTGGTTGGAGAGCTCCATTGTGAGCTGGGGGCTTACTATCGATTATTAGTACGTACCTGTGAAAACCCGGTGCGTCTTGTTGAAATCTAAATGCATAGAGAAGCAACGAGATTTGTATGGTAACGGATGTGTAAGGATTCTTTATTAGATACGGGTGGGATCAGGGTGGTAATAACGATATCCAGGTGAGTAACAGTTTTATCGGGTCTAATAACCTGTACAACACCGAGGTTTCGGACATGCCCTGATCAGATCAAGTCAAGACTCGTGCTCTGTCAGGATATACGTAGATGAATCTCGATCGAAGCTGCACTGACATGGAGATTAGATAATCAAGGGTGTGTCATTTGCATCTTACATGCTACATCGTGACACATACTCTTGACCGGATGGAAAAAGCAAGTAGGAAGCGAGGTAGGTAAACCGCTGCTGCTAAGTTTAGGGTCTATCGGAAATGATTACCGGCCAGTTTTCCTTACACCCCTCCTTGACTTCTACCTACAGTACTTATATCGACCCCGTTCTTGCTAACAAGAATCAGGCATTGTCTCGGCAGGTAGTTGGTGGTTCACGCATGGATAGCTTTCTGATATCAGACCTGTCACAGCTTTGCCATAACATGAACGCCATGTCCTCTTGACGGCTCAGCTGAAACCTGAATCTTGTATTTACTGATACGGCTTTGGACATCACGAATTGGCCTTTTTTTATCGACATCAACTGGAAAATAATGATCATGTGCTGTCTATATTAGGATGCGTTTTGCGATGAACAGACCGCGATGACAGCCATCCGCGATAGATCATGTTCGGGCTTGAATCGCTAATTCGCCAGATTTTTGTCTTCAGAAGAAGTGTATCTTGATTTAAATGGCGATGTTCGACAGATATCTCCTCCTCCTCCTTGACAGTTAGGGTCAAAGCAGCGTCGCGTATCTCTCATAAGCATTCCCCACTCATCTGTCTGGAGGATCAGCGTCATATTCAAAACTCCGTACATAGGTAGAAGCTACATGTATGATCTTCAGCCAAGCCAAGATTTCATTGACGTCGGCCCTCTTTCGAGAAGTCAGTCCAGCTAGATACCCAGATAGGTCAACACATGAGTGAGGATCGACTAGGACGGTATTAGCTGCAGTTTTGTATGCAGCTTATACCTCCGGAGTACTTCAGTCCTCGTCTATCCAGCATCTAGTAATCTACTATCTGGATAGACAAACGTATCCAAACATACTTACAGCCCCGCGACCCTCTTAGAAACGCCACACATGTCATGAGCGAACATTACCACTATATACAGTCGTTATAACGCATTCCTCGAGAGCTTATCTGGTGAGGAGCACGAGGAGGGGCACAATGTCGCTATGTATTTTTCGGTATACCGTCCCTCAATGGCTTCCTCAATTGGCGGTGCCGCAGCACGTACCGTCGTTATAGCTTTCCTATTCTGGTACTCATCTCAATTTCCAGCATTACTGAATACGTACCTCTCCTTCCTCGGGTAGATGGCATGCACCGAATTCTGTTTCGTTACCATTTTCATTAACCGCCCCTCAACCCAGATGACCATATGGTTTCAGGAGTAAGAACCACCCCGCCCATCCTTGGTACGATGGCAGTCGTCAGGCCGATAAAAGGAACTGTGCCACTACTGGGGCCGTGAAGAAAGATGGCAAATGTGGAATGGCGCAGGACTGGGCTTATGCACCGACACAGTCTCCATTTCTGGGCTCCACCATAACCGCGTCGTTTTTGCGATAATTTGCCTCATCGAACTGAACACCGGGGGTTTTTACGGCCGTGTACGTACAAGTCAGACAGGAGTGCGTATGTTACGGAGGACGTTAAGCATCTCAGAGCTGCTTGACTTTTCCGTCGGTCGCATGATCTTTGGTCGTAGAGGGAATCGAGGTTTGTGGTGTCTGTTCAGTGTTTCGCCGAAGATGAGTAAAACAGAGTTTGCCAAAGTCCGGTCGTCTTTACCGGCAGCTTACAAAAACTGAACACTGAGCAGTCATTAATTACTGGGTCTTGCCCCGGCGCTTCCCGAGGCTGTCACTCTCTGATTCTGTTCCACTGTAAGAGCTGAGCTGTACTTGCATTGTTTGAACAAGCAGCAAGAGAAGCACAAAGACAAAGATGGAAGTTAAAAGTGCGGATAAGGCGTATCCTTCTATTATGACTATAATAACTCCTACATCATCGACCCGGTAGAGGACGTCGTCCCAGTAGGCAGTGTATGGATTGTGTATGCTGTATGTATCAAGCGGTATTGGCCGCGTTATGGTAATTTATTGCAGTGGATTCCTTCCCAAGATTCACATCCACCTACCACTAAGTAGCCACACAAATGAGGTTACCTCTCGCCTTCGTGGGGGGTAAACCAAGTAACCCAGCGTTAGTTCCTGCGTATGATACCGTAATGCTATCGGTCAACCATTATATTATTACTCAAGTATCCTCCGTGTTATTTTTTCTTCTTTTCACCTCTTCTTCTTCGGCACTTCTCCTAACCTATATACAACAACCGCGATCTCCCTCTCGTTCTGCGCCTCACTTCCTGGTCTTCGAGCATCCGAGCGGCTGTTCGACTGTGCTCTACCGTACTGCGTTACTCCCGGCCCGTGTACGTACGTACTCTGTACTTCGTCCAACGGTACTTACCTGGCCTAATCTGAGGCTTAGACCCGCAGGCCGCAGACGAGTCCACCGTAACGATCGATCATCCCGCATCTCTAGGTCATTATTACCGGCGTCAAACAACTCCTTCCACTTGACAGCACGCTCTTTCCACGTCCTATATAATATTCATTGTCGGCCAGGTTTGACGGTCGGTTTCTCAATAAAATATACCAGCATCTTATTTATTCGTATACGCGCGGCGGGCACGTCAATATCTGGTTTGAAGAACCAAGGTCTACTGCGATCGCCAGGACAGTCCGACAGTGATCGGATGGGAAGGCACTCATGGCTGCACCAGGCGGAATTCACCCGCATTCCGATGCCGACCTCATGAGGCAGGCTGTACAACAGAAGTGAGTTGAGCGCTTTTCTCGGCATTCCTCCTATCAGGAAATGTCTTGTCTTTCTCTGTGGCGACCGGAAAAATGAGGGCATTTCAAGAACACCGTATAGCTTTTGGAGTCGTTTTTGGCATTCGTTTCTGTGATGCGACCGGTGTTCTTGTTGTTTTTGTTTTATTGTCGTCTATTGTTTTGAACAGTCAACCAGATTGTTCTTGAGAGATGCGGGGGAAACAAATAGAAATGCTCGTTCCTCGAGCATAAGATCGTTTTTCACATTGAGACTAACCATTATCATCATAGCAGTGCTGCGCATGAGGATGATCATCCAGATAACCTCATCACGTCGAGTGGCTCGACACCATCAGGKATCATTACGCCGCAGCCTGATCCGGCGGATAAACGCTTGCCTTCTATAATCCACTATTTCTCCCAGGTTGGTAACTCTGCTTTTCCACTGAGTTCTCTCAAAGCACGGTTATCTAGTTCTTTCACTACATCTGTTGCGAACGCTACTCCAGCTCCTGTGGAGTCAAATGAGCAGTCCAATGTTGAGACTATGAAGCCCGATGTGGATGGTGTCTCTGATGCTGTTTCTCCGTCGTCTGGTGCGAATGCTACTGAAGGGCAACTGCAAAACCCAGAACAAACCGAGACTACAGAGACCTTTTCCAAACCCACATCCCTCCCTACTCCCCCCTATTCGTCTGCTTGTTCTTTATCACAGAAGGACATGGAGGAAATGGAGAGCACGGCGCCTACCACCGAGAAAACTGCCGTCTCCATTTATTCTGCGCTGAAAGATTACATGTCGTCGACAACGTCAAATAATGTTTCCGAATTACATTCGTCACGGCGTCCCACATGTGACCCAGTGTCCAGCGTCTCTGACGACCCAGTTCTTGCATCTCATTTCTCCAATCCATCCCTCCCTGACGCTTCAGATCTTCCACCTCCACCGGCAGTCCCCCTGTTGGAGCATGAGAAGCCCCACCACATATCCAAATCTTCTGAGAACCTTGCCAAACTGACTGAGGGCATGGCTAATCCTTCACATCTTAAGAATACTCCGCCCTTGACACCACGAGCTATGTCGCAAGAGAATGGTATGTCACAACCCAACGGCTCGACCCCGGTTCCGTCGAACTCGTCGAACCAGCGCCGAAGTCATACCGAAACTCCGTCGGAGGTTTCCGATGGTAAGTCGAGTGACAGCCGTTCATCGTCGGAAGGCCCAGCAGTCGCGCCTTTGAAGGGCAAATTGTCCGTCAAAATCTCCCGCGCCAGAGGCTTACGCCCCAGCGCCGATCCGTACGTTGTGTGCGTGTTTGAGTGGAACGAGTATATTTCGAAGGGTACCCAGAGCGGTGCACAGTCTCCTGAGGGCAAAAACAGCGGCAAGGACTATCTCGACAACGACACAGGCCGACCAATGGCCATTCCCATGAAGAGTCGCCAGAGCAGCCATAACAGCCAGCTGGACAATGTGGATCTGAAAGGCAGAGCACCTGTTACGGATCCGCAGTGGAACCACGAGGCAGTATTGTGCGTACCCCTTTAAATAGACAATTGATCTGGACCTGCTAATTTGTATTGTAGTGATGTGATGGGCGAACAATCCGAGATTGATGTTTCGGTTTATGATCGCTACAACCAAGAAGCGTTCTTGGGGCATGTACGAATGAGCCTCAACCTTAGAGAGGAACGCTCTAGCCTAGAGGGCTGGTTTCCTCTGGCAGCTCGAGGTCAAGGGGACTTTCAAGTCTCCGGAGAGATTCATTTGGAGATGCATTTTGAGAGGACTGAGAAGAAACAGGTCGGACCAAATGATTTCCAGATCTTGAAGCTCATTGGAAAAGGCACGTTCGGTCAAGTCTATCAGGTCAAGAAGAAAGATACTCAGCGAATCTACGCCATGAAAGTTTTGTCCAAGAAAGTCATTATACAGAAGAAGGAGGTCGCGCACACGTTAGGCGAGCGAAACATTCTTGTCCGAACGGCCATGGCAGCCTCGCCTTTCATTGTTGGCCTCAAATTCTCCTTCCAGACCCCCACTGATCTTTATTTGGTTACCGATTACATGTCCGGAGGTGAGCTTTTCTGGCATCTGCAAAAGGAAGGCCGATTCCAGGAAGCGCGAGCCAAGTTTTACATTGCGGAGTTAATCCTTGCCTTGCAACACTTACACGACCACGATATCGTGTATCGTGATTTGAAGCCGGAGAACATTCTACTGGACGCTAATGGCCACATTGCGCTTTGCGATTTTGGTCTATCCAAAGCGAACCTCACCAAGAATGATACGACAAACACGTTCTGCGGTACTACTGAATATCTGGCACCGGAAGTGCTGTTGGACGAGCAAGGCTACACCAAGATGGTGGATTTCTGGTCTTTGGGCGTGCTTGTATTTGAAATGTGTTGTGGCTGGAGCCCTTTCTACGCGGAAGACACACAGCAGATGTACAAGAATATTGCGTTTGGCAAGGTCCGGTTTCCACGAGATGCATTGAGCACAGAGGGACGTAACTTTGTCAAGGGATTGCTTAATCGCAACCCCAAGCATCGTTTGGGAGCCAAGGACGATGCTAAGGAGTTGATTGCTCATCCTTTCTTTCACGATATTGACTGGGAGGCGTTAGGTCGGAAAGAGGTCATTCCTCCCTTCAAGCCGAAGCTCAAATCAGAGTCGGACACTTCCAACTTTGACCCCGAATTCACCACTGCTTTGGACCACTCTACTTCGTTGAACGACCGTGCTGCTGCACTAGCCAATGGCCTAATGCCTGGCTCGACCCCCCTCTCACCTGGCATGCAAGCTAATTTCAAGGGCTTCACATTTGTGAACGAAAGCTCTATGGACCATCACCTCAAGGACAACAGCGCAGACCGCATGGACGAAGATACGAAAGAAGACGAGTCGTGGCATCGCCATCAACGATCGGTCGATTCGACGGATCGGCGTATGAGCGGTGTTGTCAAGACGGGAGAAGAAGGCGGTGTCTTTAACAATTTTGACATTTAGTCTGTTTCATTCATGTGTCGGTGCATGTGTGGGTTTCGAGTCCCCTTCATTCTTCTGGAGTCATTGCATACACTTGGTTATTCTCATGCATCCTTGAAGGGTGGACGAATGTTTCTGCAATATCGTTGTCATTGGTCATTTGTTTGGTGTTGTTCTTGTTGAGAAAGACGAAGCGGTCGTTATACAGGATGATATGACTCTATTTCCGACGTCGAGTTGAGAGATTGAATTGTCATCTTGTAGTTTTGTCGGCAGGCGGTCTGGATCTCTCTCACTGACATTCAATAACTTTTATATCAATGTGGCGTACGTGTGTTTCTGCCTGGTGATTCTTTGAGGCATCCTCCCCATCGGCCGTAGATGGCGACGTCGTTGCAGAGACATTTGCCGTCGTTATTATTACCTATTGTTTATTGTCTATTATTTTTATTACCATCATGTTTGTTCATCTTTTCCACGACTATCATCAACTTGACCTTTTATATGGCGTTATTAGTATTAGCCCCGGCGAGCTTCTGACACTCGACCGATTCATACATTCAATTGCATACCCCTGGAGATCATGTACAGAGTTGTTCTTGTTGTCCATCCGCATAGTTACTTACAACTACATTCAATCAAAAGCATCGTTACCCACGGCTTCATGCTGCATATAGTACAGGTTCTGGAAGCTCGAAGCACATGACTCGTTCTTCCATGCGGCTCATGCAATCCATGTGCGCTGCATAGGACAATAACCCGCAAGCCCCAGTCTGATGTCCTGCAGGCGTCAAGCCACACGATCGCTCGGGGCGGCAATTGCGATAGCGATGTTTTAATGAGCATTAATTAAGGGGTGAGTCCTCATGTGCCCGGCAGATGGACGGAGAATTTTCCATCCCACCTCAGCCAATCAGGGTATCAACGCAGCTAATACGATTAATCATCGTCGAATCAGATGCATTCGATGTGGATGAATTTATCTCGGGAGTCGATTTGTTTTGTTCTGTGTGCTATCAATGCTGTGTGCATGTTTCACCTGTGAGCTTCCCCATAAAAGAAAGGGGGCATCCCCAGGCTAGACCGGAAGGGGCAAGCACCAAGCAGAGTCCAGAGAGAGTGACGCTAGTCTATTTTGGGCCTGGTGCTCGATCTCCACCGGTTCGCGCGGTTTGGATAAACCAATGAGAAAATCAAAATAGCACGCTGTGGGGATGTCTTGGCCTTAGTTCGGTTAGTATGCCCTGCCATATTCTTAGTCCTCCTTAGTATCTCTTGGTGTCTCTTAGCGGCCCTTGCTATGATGATGAACCCTCCAATACGACCTTCTACTTTGGTCTTTGTGAAAAACACAGCTGACTCTGATCCTCGCTCAACTGAGCACGTACGTAGCGATACAGCATGCAGCACTGAGACTAAACAGACAGGTGTTGTTGTGAATAAAAACTCGTGGAGCCCTCCTAGTACTTACATAGTACATACTTACCGAGTAAGTAGGAGGAGATGGAAGTACATAGATGCATGGTCTCCTCTGTACTAGGCCTCTTCGGGCCTAGACCATGGGCACGAGGGGTCCAAGGGCTCCGCTTCCCCTGAGCCATCTACGCTCTCTCTACAACCATCACAGAGTCATACACCATCGCATCACTTGCTACAGGCTTATGATACGTACAACGCTACGTATCTACCGAAATGTACAGCTGACTCTCATCGCCGTAAATGACTTGCCGTACATGTGGACGTACTCCATTCGACAGCATGGCAAGCAACCGCGCGGAATGCGATGGGGCGACATTAAGGTTACCCAATGCCGGCCAATCAGCCCAGCGCATGTAGTACCCGCTAAGAATCTTTCCTCTTAGCACCTCTCCATCAGCTAACCACTCTGGTTGTTGATCGTTGTTGATCTCTCTGACTTACATACTATGTAGTAGCCCAGAGACTGACCTGGTCCCTCCTTGTATGTCGTTGCTTCTTGCTTGCAACTTGCATCTCTCTTTCTACACTCCATCTGCGTAAATCGTTCCGGTCTTTACCCAGTCATTCTTTTATACCGATTCTGTCAAGCATTCCGAGTCTTTCGTTAGGGGAACAAAGAGAAAATCTTTCAGAGGGGAGCCAAGCAGCAGGAAACAGCAGAGCTCTCCTGATGATCGATCCCACTCGTTGATATACATACCCATCTATATACTCTCGCACATCATTCATCATGAGCGTCATTACAGCAACTTCACAGCGAGCCCCGGTGACTTTCCGAGATTACGACAACCAATACTCCGTTGCAATCCAGGACGTTCCTCCCCGACGAGGCTCCGCTGCATCGGTTTCTTCATATACCAGTAACTATAGCAGCAGCACATACAGCAGCACACCACCCACCGTCTACTCTCCCACCTCCCCTAAACCTGCATACCGAGTCTTTAAACAACAGACCGCCGGCGCACAGCAGCAGCCGCCTCCTACTCCAACTATTCCTCCTTCCTTTTTGACTCTACCACGCCAACCGAATGAGCCCGCTATTAAATGCTTGCCGCCGGCAGTATATGAATGTATATTGAAACAATTGCAAGATTTGCACGAAGCGCCAGAGAATTACCAGTATGGTTGCACGACATGTTTTCAGCGAGATTTACATGCCTTGGCCCTCACAAGCCGGACTTGGGAGAGGAACGTGAGGAGTAAACTGTATGCCAATCATCACACCCTCTGGAATTCCATATGCTAAGTATTCTCAGATATAACTATATTCATATCCACGGCGCCGATTCACCAGCTCAATTGAAGAAATATCGACTCAAACGAGGCAGCAGGCTGAAACTGTTAAGACGGACATTACGAGAACGAAAGTTGCTGGCGAATTTGGTTCTGGAATTGCGTATCCCCGAAATCGATGTCTCGCCAACCGTCGCAAATGGCAAGATGAATCCGCAGTGGGAAGACTACCGTGACCTCGTCGCCTCCGTTGTTATGGTCTGTCCGAATCTGGAACGTCTGATCGGATTCAATATGTCTTTTCATCACGAATTTGATCGTTTAACGTACGCTTTGTCGACGCGGAAACGTCTCAGGGAGCACCAATGGATTCTGGGAGAGCCGCTTGATAGTACAGTCTCGATTGACGATAAGAATTCGAGGAATACGTCGTCTTCATCGCCGACAAAGATGTCGAGAACCAATGGAAAGATGCTTGAACCCCAGCAAGCTTTTGAATTTCTGCATTACCATTCGTGTTGGAGCAATTTGGAAACTCTGATGCTTCATTCACTCAACATGGGCGGTGTGCTCGAACATGGTGTTTTCTTGAGGATTTTTAATCGTCTACCAGCGCTACGAAATTTGTGTATCTCTTCTTTCGATGCTGACGCTTTTACGGATCGTACTTTACAGTTTCTGCCGCCGCTTCAGTCATTACGTTTGGAGAATTTACGAGGAGTTACAGACGGGGGTATAGCACAATATGTGTCACGACCGGAGGCTCGCACAATCCAATCTTTGACTTTGATCGAGCAGAATATAAGTTCTCTCTTGGTCATTTCTAAAATTTTCGCTTCCTTACGACTGCTGGAAAAATTCAACTTCGTTCAGTCGACGCGATTACCTACTCTTCCCTCCGAAGCCATGGTCTTTCAACCGATCCTTGCATCAGCCAGTCTTAAAAGATTACATTGGGACGTGAGTGGACCTGAATCCGCAGCTGGACTCGGCAAGTTGTTGGATCTACCCTTTGTGACTCCTCATAAACCATATGATTCACCAAATTTCCACCTGGCACAAAGCATCCTTTACTCGGGGTTCCCACATTTGGCAGAGCTACGAGCTCCGTCGGATATTGAGCCTCCCGGAATTCTTCAATCGGTCTGTCGACCTGTTCCACACGGACAGGCTTTGATTCCTTCGGATCGATATAGTCTACCGCGAAGTTCTCATGGCTCAGTCAGCACACGACCCTTGGCTTTGCCGGCTGGAAACAATCTGACATCAGCGCGAATTCGAGCTCAGACCTTCATCGACATGGCTGCAAAGGATAGCGAGGCCGGTATGAAAGTGCTCGTCACTGATCACTCCGACTCGTATATCCCCGATAGCGCCATGGATGGAGAATCAGACGATGGCTCAGATGAAGAGGACGAAGCAAACAAAGATCTTTTCGGCGGCTCGTATCCAGGAGTCCAAAACCCAGCTCTGTCAGATCAGGTTGACGAATCGAATCCCAATGGACCGAAGAAGATCTATGAATTTCGCATGCCGGCAATCATGGGAATTGTGCGGGCTGTAACGCCTCATGATACAACCGGATTAGGATCGATACCACGCTTCGATATCCAACCTGATGTTCGTGGTATTGACTCTGACGGAGGCTTGCTAGGATGGAAACATCTACTAGGCCCCGCGCAAATGAGCAGTAGCAACACAGCACAACAACAATCATTCTCTTCACTATCTCATACATCGTCCTTCTCATCATCCTCCACGAACACCAACCCAGACCATTTGAAACGAAGCGAAAGCGACCTGAGCACAACAGACTCGATTGTTTCACCCACAACGACATCGGCAACATCCCGACTCGCAAGCTGGAGCGGCTTCGGCTCTCGCTCTAATAATAACTCTTCCACAACGACACCAACGATAACATCACCAACAACGACAGCCTATCCCCCAACTCCGATATCATACTCCTTCACTCCGTCAGTAAATAATTCGCCATGGGGAAGAGATACGTGCAACGGAGCCTGGAATTCAGGCCATCCCAAAGATTGGTGGATGCATTTTGAGCGCGAACGACAGAATAACATGGATGTCATTGACGTAAAAAGATTCTTCTAATCTTTTCCCCCTTTAATTGCCTGGTACATACCTCATTTTACTGCTTTTTATATGTATATTGAGTCTCTTTTTCCCGTTCTGGTATACCCTTTCTTCAGGTATCACATATCACGGCGTTGATCTTTCGTTCTCTTTTTGTCTTCTTAACTTTCGCATCCACTGTCTTTATTGTATATTCATATATCGCTCTTTTGATATTCTTGTTTATTATCTTGTTGCTTTCTTTAATTGGTGCGGCTACAGAGGATTAAAAGGGGACATGGTGTATTTCACTTGATTGTTATCTACTTGAGACTATTGGACAGTAAAATTGGAATAATACCTTGTCGTTCTTTTTTATCAGTTGGTGAGGCACGATTAAGTAGATATGTAGGATGCTATTCTCTAATTAAACAAACAACACAAGATCTGCAACAGGATATAGACTACACGTATATTCCCATGTTTGTATCCTTCTTCTTCGATTGTACCTCCCCAATAGCATCGACGTAATGCTCGTGGTTGACCTTGTTCATGCCTTTCCTCAACGCAATCATMCCAGCCTCTACACAGACGGCCTTGAGCATGGCGCCTCCGAATTCGTCCGTGCTGCGGGCCAGTTCAGCCCAATTCACGCCGTCATCTGTTGTCATTTTGCGGGAGTGGATTTGCAAGATCTGGGCACGCGCTTCTTCGTTGGGGAGAGGGAACTCGATCTTTCGATCTAATCGTCCAGATCGCAAAAGGGCAGGGTCGAGGACATCGACACGATTCGTGGCGGCAAGGACCTTGACACGGTCGTCTGAAGCAAAACCGTCGAGCTGGTTAAGAAGTTCAAGCATGGTTCGTTGCACTTCACGATCTCCCGACTTCTCGGAATCGAAACGTTTGGTACCGACGGCATCGAGTTCGTCAATGAAAATGATTGAGGGGGCCTTTTCTTTGGCGAGAGCGAAGCAGTCACGGACGAGCTTTGCGCCGTCTCCGATAAACATCTGCACCAGTTGCGGTCCAGCGAGTTTGAGGAATGTTGCGTTCGTTTGGGCGGCACAGGCCCGAGCAAGTAGCGTCTTACCGGTACCGGGTGGTCCGTACATGAGGGCACCTGTAGATATCAGTATGAGCAAGCTTCAGTACTACCTGGCGTTCAACTTACCCTTCGGCGCCTTGATACCAATCTTCTTAAACTTCTCCGCTTCTTGCATAGGCCACACCACAGCCTCCACAAGCTCTTCGATTTGTTTGCTCAGCCCACCAACATCAGTGTACTTCTCCGTCGGCTTCTCATCAACCTCCATAGCCTTGACACGGCTATCATATTCAGCTGGAAGAGTATCGAGTACCAGGTACGAGTCTTTGTTCACTCCGATGAGATCGCCGGGCTTGAGTTTCTCGTGGTCCACCAAACCGATGAGGGGGAGGAAGATGGTTTGACGGGTTGATGTCTTGATGACGGCAGACTTGCCCACTCGGGTGGCATCGAGATCGATATTGGCACCCTCTTCTGCAGCTTCAGCTTCGACGTCGAGATCTAGGAGCTCGACAACGTTTCCGACGAGATATGGTAATTGCCTGCCATGATCTATCAGTATTTGTAATCAACCAACCCGATCACACGAGATGGAGAGTCGCCTAACCTATTGTTTTCTATCTTCTCTTGATTATCCTTGACTTTCTCTCTCATCGTATTCTGCTCATGTGTCAACCGCTGAAACTCGCTCTTCATGATCCGCAGCTCGTTGTCGAGCAGCCGTCGCCGTTTTTTGATGTCATCTGTGCTTGCTCCGACCAGTTCTGCATCTAAAAGCTCATCGATTTCATCCTTCTTGGGTTCTGCATCTTGCATCTCGGCATCGCCATCGCCGCTGGGCTTCTTGTCACCGTTATCATCACCACCTTGCTGTTCCTTCTTGCTGTGATCCTCGCGCTCAAGATCGTCGAGATCTTCGAGGGTGGACATGGTGCGTCGGTTATGGAATTAGTTTCCGAGTTGGATTTGGGGATAGTTATTTTCTGATGGGTCTAAAGAAAGAGTGATGGAAAGAGCAGATGATGTGAAGGTTGGTTGTTGATGCGGCGAACTGGGACGGAGAACTAATCAAGAGAGAGCTGTAGCTAAGCTCACGGTACGTTTATGATCACGTGATGACTTATCAGATATCGATTTCCTCGGCTGATCAACCAAACTGGCGACAACAAATATTGTGCAGCAGCTTTGAGAATATAGAGGATCTTTGATTGAATCAAAAACCATCAAGACATTGCATTTGTGTGTTCAGCTAATAAACTGTTGAATACAATTACGCTTGATGTGGAATATCTCAAGATCATGACACTTCCCCGTGTCCGTCCCAGTAACCTGGACAGAGCCCTCACATTGCAGAAGAATTTTGGGTAAGCAGACATTTAAATAGATTCTGTTTGCCTTCTGACTTTATTTAGACTTTGTAGACCGAGTCCGTCCGTGTCATCAGCATGGCCTTGGAAACAGGTATGTCTGAATGAAACTCTCCGTGTATATGGATTCCTTTACTCATCTTTCAATCCAGGTTCCAAGACGACCCAGTAAACATTCAAGATATTTTAGTCTCTTTGATAAACAGCAGCAGGTACGTCTTACAGGAAACACGTTCGTACTCGCTGTTTGGTTTCTCACCTTTCAACTCAGGCTCCAAGGCGCTCCAGTAAAGCCCAAGGATCTTCTACTGCCCATGATCATAACCATGCATTGAGAGCAATGGAAAAACATAAACGGCCGCAGGCAGAAGCATCCGCTGAAAATGGCGATGCTCTTTTATCTGAGAGATCAAAGTCATCCACCTTGGCATCACCATCACCGCAGCCCCATTCTTCTATTCATGGAAATGGACCAACATTAAACCACAAACCAGCGGATATCACCAGTGATGGTCCGAATGATCTTTTAGATCTATCTCGGCCCGTTCCAATCATAAAATACATCACTTTTGAAGACGAATCATTCTTCGAGAAGGTGCACATCAAATCATTCAATCCTTAGTACGTGCCTCTACGATTTCATCCAGATCTTTATTGACAATGACATAGTCCTGCTTATTGGCTCAGGTATGTATGCCCATCGACACATGCCAAAGTTGTAGTCGCACAGAGTCTGATATACCCGATTGTATAGGGACAACTGCCAATGTAGCTCTTGCATTCGCCCAGACACACGACAGCGGATGGTGTCCAGCTTTGAAGTCAGTTGGCACCGACAATCTCTTTCACCAAGCCAGGATAGCTAATGAGACACGCAGATTCCTAAGAAGATTTATGCGACTTCAGTTTACGAGGATCCACCAGGTCATATAAAAGTGAACTGTACGCATCCGCACTTCCATCAACAACATGCTGAATTTGAAATGCTTACTTCATCAAGGGTCCGATAATCACCTGGGCGAATATCCTAAATCTTGGCTTGAAAGTCACCAGTTTCCTAGCGAGTTACGGATGAGCAACAAAGTTCTCACTTTCAGGTATTTCTCCTACGTACCGGAATACTATAAGTTGAAATAAGTCAGGCTTAACACACCTTACTGTTCCGCAGAAAATACAGACATTCGCGCGACTCTGAATTGCACCCCTGTGTAGATTACGAAGCAGTCATGAACACAAATGAAGGTCTCAGTGGGTGGCTGCAACATGTCGTATGTATATATTGGATATAATGCGGACATACGAAAGCTTATTCATTGACAGGTCGATTGGGGATACTGCTTGGTCAAAGGTGTTCCTGTCACTCCAGAGGCAACCAAAGAATTGTTGGAAAGGATAGCTTTTATTCGGGAGACACACTACGGTAGAGCCATGGTATCCTGTTTGTGGATGTAACAATCACTGACTTCTTACAGGCGGCTTCTGGGACTTTACGTCTGATCTAACCTTCAAAGACACGGCGTATACTGACGAAGCACTCGGAGCACATACAGATAATACATACTTTACAGACCCGGCCAGACTTCAATTATTCCATCTTCTGGAACACACACAAGGAGAAGGCGGGAAAACATTACTCGTGGACGGGTTTTATGCAGCATGGCGTATGTTATTGGAGGATCCTCAAAATGTAGAGGCATTCACGGACTACGCACAGCCCTGGCATTCAAGTGGTAATGAGCATGTCAGCATTCAACCATATAGATATTTCCCAGTCTTTGAGCGGGATCCGACGAACGCGAGACTGATGCGGATTCGATGGAACAACTATGATCGTGCGGCGAAGATTGATTGGACGTCTAAGATGGCGATGCATTGGTATAAGGCTGCGCGATATTGGAACGCACTTATCCACCGACGGAATCACCAGAAATGGTTGCAACTTGAACCGGGCACGGCATTACGTGAGTACTACCAGCTGATGTTGTATGATTGTGCGTACTAATTGAAATGCTGGCATGTCAGTCTTTGATAATTGGAGGATGCTTCACGGCCGCTCTGAATTCACTGGAAAGCGCAGGTTGTGCGGTGGCTACAGTACGTTTTCTTCTCGTCTTCATACTATCAACAGAAGCTAACATACTGTTTTCTCAATTTAGTAAACAACGACGATTTTCTCTCGCGCTTCCGTTTGTTGAAGAACGGTAGAGAAAAGGTGTTGAACGATATAGGTACATATAATACTCGGCAGAGTCTTTGATTTAAGAACTGGGGGATTCTATTCTTCATTCTACCATTTGTCGCATTGAATACCCATATATTTTGTTGATAGGTGAACGGATGTTACGACTCTGGACTATGCCTGAGCTAGGTAATGCATAACATGCAGTTGAGGATTTTACATCAAATCTTTTTAAGAATAGATACCTACCATACGTTACACAGGCCATGGCACCACTCAAAGCTTACTCTGCTTAGTCACAACCTTCAATAACGCACGCCCATTAGCCAGCACAGCCTTGCCATTCTGATTTTTCGTAGAGAACCGGATATCCTCAAACCCATCCTTGTCCACCTCCCCAGTCCGCCAAATTTCAGTGGTGAGTTTATCACCGGGACGAACGGGGGACGCGAAACGAGCTTGGAATTCTCGCAGGTTTTTGGGGTCGCTGCCGCCGAGTTCCTTGAGGACTCCGTGAGCAGTGGCGTTCCAGCTGTAGAGGCCGTGGATGATGATGCCGCCGAAACCCATCTTTGTGCCTGGTTCGGGGGTGGCGTGGAGGGGGTTGTAGTCGCCGTTGAGACTGGTTGAATGAGACGATGTTCATTCTGAGGATAGGGGGGTAGTCCTTACCGGTAAAGAAGAGAGGTCTCTTCGCTCGTTTGGTCAACGAAAACAGCATCAGGAGCTTTCCCCTTGGGAGGGGGGTAATTCACGGCACTGGGCCCTACATAACGCATTAGTACCATGTCCTGCACCATCATCAAAAGACCCTGGAGAGGAACAACGCACCCTTAGGGCCGCCCCAACCACCCTGACCAACATAAAATGCACTTCCAATCATCTTCGCATAGACCTCATCCGTCTCCTTATCCACTAACGAGACCTCGGTCTCTACAACTGAGGCCTTTCCCTTATCATAGACACCAATGACTTTGGTTCGAATCTCGAATTGTTTGCCCTCACTGGAGGTGGGTAGTTGTTTCAAGAAAATGATTCTGCGTTCGCCATCCACCACGCGCTGGGGGTTGAATTTAGGGACGTCGGGGATTGGGGTACTTGTTGATGCTTTGTAGAAGTCGATTACGTCGGTGTTTGTTAGTTTGAATGCTGTTCGTTATTATTATCAGCTGCTATAGAGCCCCGGGGTAGAAGATTGACGCACGGAGAATGTTTATATATGTCGGGAAAACGGCAAAGTCTGGATGGAGTTCCTGATAGAGTCAGTCCAGAACCTTAGAGGTGAAAGGCTGTTGAGGCACACATATAAAAAGTGCAATTCATCGGACTTGCATCCAATGCTGTTCGCGAAGAGCAGCGCATCGCGCTTCGTCCAGGTGACAGCCCGGCGGGGATATTCGAAACCAGCTCCGGGACCAGACATTATGAGTAACTAGGTATATTTCAAGAAGAGGTATCTGCGGTTCGTAAGTGCTCTAAGTGATAGTTGTGATGGTAGGTAGGTCGGAGGTTCCCCAGATATTCTCCGCACTGGCGGGKTTGTTATAGCAACGGCTCTCCGCAGCCAATGGGCCGAGGTACTTTTGCTTGCCATGTAGCACTGCCGAAGCAACCTTGGAAACAAGACATGTATTGGTGAGTACCCAAACTGTGCTAGAGTCCGTCTTGGAGAAATTATTTCCGCCTCGGGCCCGACCTCTTCTATTTCTCTTATTAAGCATTGCTATCAGCACTCGACATACTCGGTTATGTACCGACGAGCTCTCATCCGGGACCACAAGAACGGCAGTGTCCTTATCAAATTCACGGTGAATTGTGCAATAGCCAACACGAAAGGTGCATTGGATTGATCCAGATACAGGAAACAACATCTCACTGCTGCATATATATATTACGCCGATAGGAGCATGGGTAATCTGCTCACCCATATCCGAGCATGATAGACAGGCATCTTATCTTGAAGATGAAGATGGGATATAGCTCAATGTTACTAATATGCAATCATTTCTTGATAAATTGGGTCCACCATGCTTGGATCAGAAATGTAAATTGTTCAGAATACTGTGAACCTACCGAAGCTGTCCCGAATATCACCTACCTACGCCATGCGGTCATCTCAAAAATGGTCCGTTCTGGCAATATTGTTTGTAATCATCCCAGTTTCTTTAGCCATAAAAGGGACCTACAAAGTTCCTACGGTCGACGTGCTTAATGGCACATACTACGGTATTCATAGCCAGCACTATGACCAGGATTTCTTCCTAGGCGTACCTTACGCCCAACAACCTGTGGACAACCTCCGTCTACAAATCCCACGTTCTCTCAACAGCTCATGGACCAAACCTAGAAATGCAACTGAATACTCACCCAGCTGCTTGGGTTATGGCCAGTCTGAGGGGGCGTCTGAGTCTTGTCTGACTCTCAATGTTGTCCGTCCCAGTGGCACAAAGCTCGAGGATAAACTACCCGTAGCAGTATGGATATATGGAGGAGGCTACACATCAGGAAGTTCCGCGGACCAGCGCTACAATCTGTCCTTTATTGTCGACCAGTCAGTGCAAATGGGAACGCCGATGGTTGCAGTTAGTCTCAACTACCGTCTTCATTGCTGGGGCTTTATGTGGAGTCAGGAAATCAAAGATGCTGGTGTAGGCAATCTGGGCTTTAGGGACCAGCGTCTTGCGTTGCACTGGGTACAAGAAAGTATGTACCCTGAAATGTCTCGTTATTATTGCCCACTCCTCAATACGGATGCTAATGTAATGAAATAGATATCGCGGCGTTTGGAGGCGACCCAAGCATGGTCACGATCTGGGGCGAAAGCGCCGGCGCAAACAGCGTCGGAACCCAACTCATTGCATATGGGGGACGCGATGACCACTTGTTCCGCGGGGCCATCAGCGAGAGCGGCGCGCCCAGTACCTATGACCGATATCAGACGCCGGCGGACTGGCAGCCGTATTATGATGCCGTCGTAGAAGCAGCCGGTTGTAGTTCGGCGGCCGATTCCTTGGGCTGTCTTCGAGGAGTGCCGGTCAATACCCTATATGATATATTCAATAATGCATCGATCGTACCCGTTCACACACTCTCCGGTCTGAGTGGTCCTCAGTTCGTACAAGTCATTGATGGCGATTTCATCCAGGAGAGCGCCACCGTGCAGCTCCAGCAGGGCAAGTTCGCCAAAGTTCCCTACCTCATCGGCGGTAACGCAGACGAAGGCACGAGCTTCGCTGTACCAGGCATCAATACCACCGAGCAGTTTAAGGAAGTCATCTCAAATTGGGGCCTCGACAATGCTACAACCGATACACTGGCTGCGCTGTACCCTGATATCCCCGAAATCGGAATCCCAGCGACAATGACTGGCGCACCTCCCGCTGGATACGGCGCCATGTATAAACGTGTTGCAGCATTTCAAGGCGATGTAAACATCCACGCAGCTCGGAGATTAGCAAGCCAGATCTGGCGCCAATATAACGTGCCGGCATACTCCTATTTATTCGACGTGATCAACAACGGGCCGGATGTTGGTGCAAATCACGGCTCGGAAATTCCGTATGTTTTCAATGACGTGAATGGAGTGGGCTATGACGATAGCCACAATCCTTTGCTTGGTAAACCCACGAGTTATACGCAGCTATCGGTCATAATGTCTAGGATGTGGGTTAGCTTCGTGACGACCTTGGATCCGAATCTGCCATACGAAGGGAGCCGTTGGCCTATGTATGAATTGGATAATCCGGAGATTATTGTTTTCGATGTCAATGTTACCAGTCTTTCCTATGTGATGCCTGATCTTTATCGAGCCCAAGGCATCAAATATATCGGTGACAATTTGGCCTCTCTATTTGGACACTAGATTCGATCATCCAGGCAAATGAGGTAGAGCGCGTATATGTTAGCGTTTAGGAAAATACAAGTTCCAAGTATCAACGATGCAATCTGAAGTAGATTATGCGTAGCTTCAACTCGAGGGTATATACTTTGCAAAACAAATGTTTGCGAGGAGCTCATTATCATTCATCTCATCCATCTCTTTTTTGACGACCCAAATGTAGCGCCTAACATGCTCAGTTTTGCTCTTTCTTCCAACAGCAACAGACAGCACAGCCCCATAAAACGCCCTTGATGAATTAACAATAGCAGACATAGAAAAAAGCCATATATGTAGATGGTGTGGGCCCAAAGCCGAGGTACGACAAGTATAGTAATCCAAACATTCGATTATTTGATTTAGCACCTGGATATTGTTAGTCATAGAGTCTTTTCTACGCAGAAAATGATGGGCCACTCACATCTTGTACTCGCATTCGCCTTGAGCATAACGGATAGGATCCCTTGTTTCCAAGGTGTAGGAGAGCTTGATGTCGAGGTCACGCTTGTTCTTGGCATTGGGCTTGTTCTCCAGAACACCACTGACGGATTCCTCTTCTTCAACAGTCAAGACATCCCGCAGATAAAAGACGGTCTGCTTCCAGTGAGTGTACTTGGCATGAGGGCCAGTGGAGAAAGTGATAGGCTTGTGGCACGCGGTGAACTGAATGTCGAACCAAGCGATAATCGCGTGGATGAAGTCGTTGCGCTTGACGGGCAGCGAGTATGGGACTTTGAAGGACAAGTCTGCGGTGGTAACTGTGTACAGATCCAAGGTGAGAACGGCGCAGGGGTCCGTGACAACAGCTTTCATCTCGACAGTGTCAACGAGAGGCTCGGTTAGAGCAACATCCTTCATGGGACTGTAATTGAAGCCGTAAACGTTGTCCCAGACTGTGGCAAGCAATTAGTACCAAATTTGTGAGTTTGATGTTGTACAAACTTACATCCGATCTTGTCATCCTTGTACTCGCCGTCCTCGATACCAGCAACATAAATGGTAGCCTGATCAGGGAAGATCTTTCCACCTGGAGCAAGGTATCGATCACGGGCATAGAGAACAGTGTCCAGCATGCTCTCGTAAAGAAGGAAGTAACCCATCCACTCAGACACGATAATGTCAACCTGAGGAAATGGGAGGTTCACCTCTTCCATCTTTCCTTGCAGAAGGGTGATCTTGTCGGCCATACCGTTCACGGCAACGATCTCACGAGCCTTTTCGATGATGGAAGACATATCGACACCAATAACGTGTTTTGCACCGGCACGGACGGCGAACCTAAGAAACCAGAGGATTAGTCGTGGCAACACACACACATTCTCGAAATATGGCTACTCACATGCTGAGAATGCCGGTACCGCAACCGACGTCAAGAACGACCTTATCCTTGAAGATGTGCTTGTTCTGGTAGATAGCATCACGATAAGACCGAGTGCGGACATCGTCTTTCTGCAGACCGAAAAGGCAATCAGTTTCCGGTTCAGGTCAAAAGTTCCGAGGGTGCACTTACCAACATCTCCTCATGAATGCCTGGTTTCCAATATCATATTGTCAGTGAAAATCAATAAGTGTAGAATCGATGTCAAATACCATGATGATCGTAGCTGGAATGAAGTTGTTAGCTGTCAATACACAAAAAGTAGACTCGGTTTGCACATACCTCGTGAAGTAGCGAACTTCGGCGTGGTCAGCACCAACCATACGATCGGCGCTGCTCGTGATTCCTCCTTCGGCAGCCATGATATGAGATTCTATTTTTTTGTTTCCTTGAAAAAGAAGCAATCCAAAAGTTGAATAGATAAGGCAAAGCCGAGATGTAGGGGGAAAAAGTGAAAAGATAAAGAGAATGGAGGAGTCGATAGATGCTTTCCTTCCTTCCTTCCTATCGTATCAGTCTAGCCGATTTTTTTTTTCTATGGGCAATTTGCTCTTACTTTTAGCCCACTTGGAGGGGCACTAGCCGCAAATGACTTAGCGCAACACGTGAAATATGGGGAGGTGGGTGATTGATCTCTGCTTTTTTCTCTTCTTGATCCGAGATGTATTGCGCTCTCTGGTCACTATTGAAAACATCATAGACACATAGAATTAATCATTATGCTCCACTAGGCTACCAGCAACATACAGAGTCAGTAATTCATCAAAATGTGCTGAACAGCTGTCGTGCAAGCTAAATATCCCACCTTCAATCATTGGCCAATCACCACAGCACAAAAGGCCGGGTCCATTATGTAATCACTTAGCACCCGCCTCAGCCAAGTTAAGTTAGCTCTTGTTGAGTTGATGCGTTCCGGTTGATGTCCTCGCGACTCCTGCCAGCTCCTCATTCAGGGTCAGTATACAAGATGCAGGTCTTCCCATCATTGACTTGTGTCTCAAAAGTTTCTTGTTGTCTTTTCATTCTAGCGCTGCTTGTCGGACAGTCAGCGGCTTCTCTCGGAGACCGATTACCCGATTTCAAAGAATGTGTGACGGTAATGATCTTTCAGCTCAGCCATGACTCGGGGGTTTTCTAACGGTTATCGCTAGATATGTAAAGAAGAGAATTGTCAAGATGGTAATTCTGCAGTTCGTGAGTTTACCTCATTCCATCTTCTTGTTTTTGCTCCGTCTGACACGAATCCACAGCAATATACCTCCGTCTTATGCTATGGACTTGCGCCGCGGAGTGCGACTACACCTGCCAACATGTCATCACCGATCGCAGAGTCAACCGAGAATTCCCAATGCTGCAACCTATCGTACAGTTCCATGGAAAGTGGCCTTTCTACAGAGTTCTTGGCATGCAGGAGATATTCTCTGTGCTCTTCTCCCTGCTCAATTTCCTAGCTCATTACTACGGATTGAAGTGGGTTGAATCGTCGATCCCGGCCTCTTACCCTCTTCGCAAATACTACAAAGGGTTCGCATATTTTGGATACGCCAGTTGGACTTTTAGTATGCTGTTTCACACACGTGATTTCCCCTTGACCGAGAAATTGGATTACTGGGCCGCCGGCGCAAGCATCCTCTACGGACTCTATCTCGTGGTTATCCGCGTTTTTCGCCTAGACCAGGAACGGCCGCGCTTCAAACCAACGCTTCGCCGATTGTGGACTTATCTCTGTGTCGGCCTATACATTGCACACGTGTCATATCTCACTTTCTGGTCGTGGGACTACACTTACAATATGATTGCGAATGTTATCGTGGGAGTTATTCAGAATGTTCTCTGGACTGCTTTCAGCATCTACCGATACAGGAAGGAACCAAAGAAGCCATGGATGGCCTGGCCCGCCATCATCGTTCTGTGGATCTCACTGGCAATGAGCCTGGAGCTTTTTGACTTCCCGCCGTGGTGGGGATTGATTGATGCACATGCCTTGTGGCATTTGGGTACAGTTATACCCACTGCATGGTGGTATCTGTAAGTACCTAGGTAGTCTCTTCGACTTTGCAAATCCGTGTACTAATCAACGTTGTATAGATTTATTGTTGAGGACGCCAAGAACGACTTGGCCGCAGAGAGGTTGAAAGCTTGAGTCTGTCGGATAAGCTCCAAATTCATTATTTCTTGTAATATATACTGCTCATACGAGTGTCCCAAGCTATTTAGACCTAGAATAGCACTTTGCGTCTTTTAATAGAACAGCTGTGGCTGTTGTTGACCATACCAAGACATACCATCTCACCCTAAGTGTACTATTTTTCCTGGTCAGCCCTGGCTGAAAGGAGGTCTGAGGGGGCTTGTCTGTGCTGAGCCTCCGCGGGCACGGCTCCACTCTGTTTACCCTCTCATCTGAGACTGTTTCATTCACCTCCTACATAACCTCTCCTCTTTCTTCCTTTGCATTGTTATTGCCTCTGGATTTTCGACAATCCTCTGATACAAAGAAAAAAAAAATATTATTCCAGAATACCGCCTCAATGGCGTCTCCTGCAATTCACCAGGCCATTACTGAGGCCGCTTCCAAATATCGCTTTCCTGAGGGACGGGTGTTTGAGTATGGCACCGCGGGGGTAAGCTATGCTTGCAGTTCGTTCTATCCTTTGTCTTTCGCTAACTGGCGGTTTCTAGTTCCGCATGAAAGCGTAAGCACACCCCGAAGATTCTACATCATCATCCCTCAACGAATGCATCTCCCTTCATAAAGCATAGGCTGTTGTGAGCTTAGCGGCTAACTAGCAACCCCGCATCGCGAACAGAGATCTGCTCAACACAGTCGTCTTCGCTGTAGGACTTCTCGCCGGACTACGATCAAAGAAGCTCAATGGCCAATGGATTGGTGTTATGGTCACGGCGAGCCACAATCCCGCCGAGGATAATGGTGTGAAGCTGGTTGATCCGATGGTGAGTTTGCGGTGTAGCTCAGAACGATTGTTGCTGGAGGAGGAATACTAATATTTCTGGAATCACCAGGGCGAAATGCTTGAAGTAAGCCGACATCACCAACACCGATAATTTCTGACGACCATATTGACCACGTCTAGGCTGAGTGGGAGGCATATGCGACCAAGTTGGCCAACGCGCCCCTTGACAAGGTGGCAGATGTCTACAATGACCTAATCAAGGAAATCGACATCAAGATGGACAACCCTGCACGAGTGGTTTTTGCCCGCGACACACGCGCATCTGGTTCCCGTCTAGTGGGAATCCTCAATGCGGCGTTGACTGCCACTGAAGTCGAGTTTGTCGACTTCAAATTCATGACCACCCCCCAGCTACACTATATTGTTCGATGCAAAAATACCCTTGGCACTCCATACGAGTACGGCGAACCTACAGAGCAGGGCTACTACGAGAAACTCGGTGAAGCTTTCAAGAAGGTCATGAAGAGTGTCAAGATCCAAGGTCACCTCACTGTTGACTGCGCCAATGGTGTTGGTGGTCCCAAGCTCCACGAACTCATCAAATATCTCCCATCTGCAGCGGAAGGTGGCCTTGACATCAAGGTAGTCAACGACAATGTCATCAACCCAGATAGTCTCAATTTTGAGGTAGGTCAGGCACCCCAATCTAAGATTTCAATTCTAATATTTGTTTAGTGTGGCGCAGACTACGTCAAAACCAAGCAACGAGCTCCCCCCTCATCCAAGGCCGCACAGTTGGACCGCTGTGCATCTTTAGACGGCGACGCTGATCGATTGGTATACTACTTCTTGGACGAGAACAATGTGTTCCGATTGCTTGATGGAGACCGCATTGCAACGCTTGCAGCTTCCTTTATCGGCGATCTAGCCCGCAACGCCGGCATTGCACAGAAACTAAAGATTGGTGTTGTTCAGACTGCTTATGCCAACGGCGCTAGCACTGAATATATTGAAAAGGTTCTCAAACTCCCTGCCGTATGCACAAAGACAGGTGTCAAACATCTCCACCATGCGGCCATGCGATATGATGTTGGTGTCTATTTCGAAGCCAACGGCCACGGCACAGTGACATTTTCAGAAAATGCGCTCAAAACCATTAAGAGCGCAGAGCCTCAATCACCGGCCCAGCAGCACGCACTGGAATCTCTCGTCGGTTTGACAGATTTGATCAACCAGGCAGTCGGAGACGCTTTGTCAGATATGCTTCTCGTCGAGGCGATCTTGGCCCACAAGGGATGGACCACCAAGGAATGGCTCGGCACTTACACTGACCTGCCTTCTCGTCTTGTCCGCGTAGAAGTTGCGGACCGCTCAATCTTCAAAACCGTTGACGCAGAACGCAAGCTCGAATCCCCGGCAGGTCTACAGGATAAAATTGATGCTCTGCAATCCCGTTACAACAAAGGCCGTAGCTTCGCCCGTGCCAGCGGCACAGAAGATGCTGTGCGCGTGTATGCCGAGGCTGCCAGCAGATCCGAAGCTGATGATTTAGCTACTCGGGTCGCCAACGCTGTGAAGGAAGCTGGCTCTGGCGGCGATGCTTAAGCATTGCCATCTACATCTAATGAATTACGTATTTCAAGATGGAAACAAAATTAAAACATGGATGAACGAATCTCTTCTCTTTTTTGCGGCCGAGGTTGTATTGCGACACTGCCGATAAAATGTCATGACTGAAGCAATGAATTAGAACGTTGAATGCATACTGTCATTTTACAATGAGAATATCTATAATATCGTAGCAAAATCCCGCCAAAGCTAGATACCGGCTTATACTACAAGAATCAACCCTCCTCCTGATCCATATTATCACGTCCTCGTTTCCCACCGTTTCCTGACCTACTTCCTCTCATTCCCGATCCTCTACCACCCCTACCACCCCTACCACCACTATTCTTCTCCTCCATATCCTTCAGCTGAGTGACAGCCTGTCGTTGTGCTTCACCCACTCGCTCAGACAGAACCAGAACTTCATCCTTCTCAACCTTGTATTCGGGTAATTTCTTGTCCAGAGCCTTTTCGATACGAAGCCACACTTCGACGTCGTATTGCGTGACTAGACTGATGGCCTTTCCTGATTTTCCAGCCCGGGCGGTTCGGCCAATTCGGTGGACGTGAGTTTTGCTGTCTGCTGCAAGATCATAGTTGAGCACGAGATCGACGGAGGGGATATCAAGACCTCGAGCAGCGACGTCGGTTGCGATAAGGATGTCGCGCTGCCGACTTCGAAAACGGCCCAAGGAAGCCAGACGAGCCGATTGTGAGAGTTGGCCGTGCAAAGCGATGGCTCCAAAACCGAGCGCTCGACACAAAAGACTTAAGAATGTCGCCTGGTGCACTGTCCGAGTAAACACAATGGTCGTCTGACCGATGTGTTCGTTCAACAGCCATATAAGATGGACGTCCTTGTGCTTGTGTGGTATAAACATGTAATATTGGAGAAGCGTCGAGACCGTCTGATACTTATTTGACGAAACCGAGACACGAAGTGGGTTACTCAGTGATGCGCGCTGCAAGCCTTCTACCTTGGAACTCATGGTAGCCGAGAATAAAAATGTACGTCTCTCCCGTGGTAGGACCTTGAGAATCTTATCAATGATAGGGCCAAAATCCATGTCCAATAGACGATCTGCTTCGTCCATGATGAGATATTTCAAGCTTCGCAGACTGAACCCCTTTGTGTTTTCGAGATGATCGAGTAATCGACCGGGTGTAGCGACGATGATGTGTGGTCGTTTACCAATAGCTATGGCTTGTGGCACCATATCGAGGCCGCCAACCAAGCAGACACTCCTCACGCTTATTGTAGAGCCGAGTGCTTCAAAGGCTTCGGAGATTTGGTACGCTAGTTCACGAGTCGGGGCAAGGACTAGTCCAAAGAATGGCTGGGGCTTGTCCATGAGCGCTTGGAGGACGGGCAGCGCAAAGGCGGCCGTCTTTCCGGAACCTGTCTCTGCTAATCCGATCAAATCCCGATTCTGCAATGCTTGTTAGCAAGTGACCATGACGACGGTAGAGATAGAATACCTGTAAGGCCAGAGGGATGGATTCCGCTTGAATGGCGGTCGGTGCCTTGTATCCCAGAGTCTCGCATGCTTCGCACAGCTGAGGAATCAATCCCAACTCTTTGAATGTCTTGGGAGCTTTGGCAGCTTCATCTTCGTTGGCACTGTTGTGAACTTCTTCCCCTGACGAGCTAGCATCTTCTGAGACCTCCTCTTTCTCGACGAGCTTCTCGTGCGAGATCTTGCGTTTCTTCAGTGCAGGCATTTCGAATATCCCGCCGCGTATTGTTTATACTGCAATGGAAAGTTGTTGAAGCCGAACCGAAACCCCGCTGGCCTCTCACGATTGATTATGCTGCGAAGAAAAAGTAGTTGATGCTATATAAAATCCCCGCTGGGCCGTCCTATCAGCGACCCGCAAAAAATTATTTTAGCGCCGCAAAATCGATAACCCGGTCCATATCTTATCGGAAAAAATAATCTGCTCCAACTGACCTCAGCTGTTTTTTGCAGAATTGACACACCAACCAGCATAATGGCGAGAAGACGTACCAAGAAGCGGACCCAAGGTCAAGGCCAGAATGAGGCTGCTAATTCGAAAAATGCCGCTTCCCAATCGCCCAAGTCGATGGTCATTCGAATTGGAGCAAGTGAAGTCGGTTCAAGTGTTAGCCAGCTAGCTAAAGACTTTCGCCTGATGATGGAACCCGATACAGCCAGTCGCTTAAAGGTAAGAATCTCTAGCTATTGGCTCAGCAGAGAGAAAGCAATTCTAAGTCAAGTTTAGGAACGAAAAGCCAACAAGCTCAAAGACTACGTTGTCATGGCAGGACCTCTCGGCGTCACACATCTCATTCTCTTCTCCAAATCCAGCACCGGAAACACAAACATGCGTCTCGCCCTCACCCCTCGAGGCCCAACACTTCATTTCAAAGTGGAAAACTACTCTCTCTGCAAAGATGTCGCAAAAGCACTTAAACACCCCCGCGGCGGTGGACAGGATCACCGAACACCTCCTCTTTTAGTCATGAACAACTTCAATACTCCAGACGCCAACGAAAACTCGAAGATACCCAAACGTTTGGAATCGCTTGCCACGACTGTTTTCCAATCGTTGTTCCCTCCTATCAATCCCCAGGCTACACCGCTGACTTCGATACGTCGCGTGATGATGCTGAACCGTGAGAAGTCGCCTAACGATGATTCCTATATTCTTAAACTTCGTCACTACGCAATCACTACGAGAAAGACTGGTGTTTCGAAGAGAATTCGTCGTCTTGACCCAACGCTACAAAGACATAAAGATCCCAAGAAGAGCTTGCCCAATTTGGGCAAATTAGAGGATGTTGCTGACTATCTTCTCGATCCAGCTGCGGGCGGTTACACATCAGCGAGTGAAACAGAACTGGACACGGATGCAGAGGTTGAGATCACTGAAAGTACGACCCGTAAAGTGCTCAGCAGGCGGGAGATGCAGCGCGCAAAAGCGGGTGAAAATGCAACAGATAAGCAGCCCGGAAAGCCTAATGTTGAAAAGAGAGCTGTCAAATTAGTCGAGCTGGGACCTCGTATGACTTTACGGTTGAAGAAAGTCGAGGAAGGACTGTGCGGTGGAAGAATCATGTGGCATGAGTTCATCTCCAAGTCGGAGAGGGAGGTTAAGAGGATGGATGACGAATGGAACCGGAGGAGAAAAGAGAAGGAAGAGCGCAAGAAGCAGCAGAGGGCCAATATTGAGAAGAAGAAGCAGGATAAAGCCAAAGCAAAAGCCAATGGACAAGGTGGTGACAATGCAGATGACGATGAGGATGTTAGCATGGACGATGATTATGAGTGGGATAGTGACGAGTATGATCAGGAGGTTGGTGTCGAACAGGACAGTGAGGATGAGGGCGGCGATGAAGACGAGTCTATGGAAGAGTAGATCAAAATCATGTATATATCTATGTCTAATTTGGTGGCATCCAATCGAAGTGTCCATTCATCGCATATCGTAATATTCTTCTCAAATAATTTTGCGTTTTATTAGATAGCCTTAGCCTGGCATAGTTTCTCATCCACAAGCTTCGCAACCATCCTTTCCAGAATGGTGAAATCGCCGCCAGTGTTCTGGCTGAAATATGCCTGCACACTCTTCTCAACATACTTCCCAACCATATCAATCTCAACATTGACGTCGTCACCGGCCTTTTTCGCTGCCGTAACGATCTTCTCCTGCGTATACGCGATGAGCATAACTTCCCAATACCCATCTTCGCCATCGACCACTTTCGTGACGGTCAGACTTGCTCCGTCGAGTGTTATGAATCCCTTTTCAACGACATATCGTAGGATACTTCTATCGCTCGGCTGCAGTCTGAATGTCAACGCGTTTCCGTCCGGAGTAATAGATAGAATCTTCGCGGTAGTATCAACATGTCCCTGGACAAAATGACCACCCATGCGTGTCTCGGAGGATACGGCGCGCTCAAGGTTGACTTTGGAATCTTTTTTGAGAGATCCAAGGTTGGTGCGGCGGAGGGTTTCGGGGGCAACGCCCACTTTGAACCAGTCCTTGTCGAAGGCTGTGACGGTCAAGCATGTTCCTGTCCATCAGTGGTGATTAGCAGTGTCATCTACTTTCATTTTGATGTATTGATATACCATTGACGGCAATGCTGTCTCCAAGATGGGCGTCTCCAAGAATCTCCGCACAATTTCCAATGGTGAGCGAAGTTCCCCCGCCCCCGCTTGCGCTGGTGTCGAGAGGCTCGAGGGACGTCACCGCTGTAGGAGAAGGTTAATTAGCAATTCTGCTTGGTTCTCGGTCTGGTGTAGACTCACTCCCAATTGTTTCAACGATGCCAGTGAACATGATGGCGTTGTCACTGTCGGTTAACGAAGCGGATTCAATGTTTCCTTCATAAGTTAAGTCGATCTCTTATCCGGACGAATACCCGCGGCTTTGTTTCCGCTTATCGGCGGTTGCTTGGACATTTAAATATGCGGTCTATCTGCATCACCGAAGTGCATTTGTCGATGTTCATATCGTGGAAATGAAGGGTCTTACGATAAAATCGCAAGGGCTATTGGCTAAAAGAGCCATTTCCCGGTCTACTACCTACGTAGGGAGCCATGGAGTCCAATGGCGACGCTATTCTACGCCAGTCACTGCTCCGGGTGTTCTACCGCTCGAAGGCATTCGAGTATTGGACATGACTAGGGTTCTTGCAGGTGTAAGTGCTCGAATGATCGAATGAATCTGAAGAATAGAGTTGTGTACGTACTGACAGCTTTTAGCCTTATTGTACACAAATATTGGGAGATCTGGGGTATGCATCTCATTGAACTATCTTTCCGCAACCTGGCTGAACAACAAATTATAGCGCGGATGTGATCAAAGTTGAACACCCGCAACGAGGGGATGATACTCGAGCTTGGGGGCCGCCATTCGCGAAGTATCAGGATGCATCCAAGAAGGGTCCAGGTGAAAGTGCCTATTACCTTGCGGTAAGACAGGGCCCGTGTCTTTACAAACATGCCAGATGCTCATGCGATGGTACTAGGTCAACCGAAACAAAAAATCCATCGGCCTGTCATTTGCACATACATCCGGGGTTGAAATTTTGCATAAACTGATAAAGGAATGCGACGTTCTCGTCGAAAATTATCTCCCAGGAAGTCTGAAGAAATACGCCATGGACTACGAGACCCTAAGCAAGATCAATCCCAAACTGATCTATGCCAGTATAACAGGCTATGGACAAACAGGCCCTTATAGCAACCGAGCCGGCTACGATGTCATGGTGGAAGCAGAAATGGGTCTAATGCATATTACAGGTTCTAGAGATGGACCTCCGGTCAAAGTTGGTGTTGCGGTGACGGATCTGACGACCGGTCTTTATACGTCGAATGCCATCATGGCTGCTATAATTGCGCGTGGACGTACAGGGAAAGGACAGCATATTGATGCGTGCTTGAGTGATGTACAGGTTGCGACTCTTGCCAATCTGGCGAGTTCGGCTTTGATCAGTGGGGAGAAGGATTCTGGTCGTTGGGGCACAGCTCATCGTATGTACATTCTATCCTTTTGACCCAGGCAATGGGACTGATATTCTGATCATTAGCATCGATCGTCCCGTACCGAAGTTACAAGACTCTCGACGGTGACATTCTCTTCGGCGGCGGTAACGATCGACTGTTCGGCGTACTTAGTGACCGGCTCGGACACCCTGAGTGGAAAACGGATGGCCGCTTCTTGAAAAACAGTAACCGGGTTGAAAACCGAGTCCAGCTCGATGGCATGATTGAGGAAATCACAAAGACAAAAAGCACGCAAGAGTGGCTTGAGCTTTTCGAAGGCAGCGGAATGCCATATGCCGCTGTAAATGACATTCAGGGAACACTGAATCACGAGCATGGTTAGTAGGATCAAAACTTTGGAGTCAAACTTATTACTGATATTTCTTTAGTACGAGCTCGTGGCATGGTTACAGAAATCGAACATCCAGAATGCGGACCCATGAAACTTGTAAATACGCCCATCAAATACTCCCATGCCCAACCAGGCGTGCGCACGCCGCCTCCTACGTTAGGTCAACATACCGATGAAGTACTGCAAGGCTTGTTGAATTACAGCGAAGATGAAGTCCTTTCGATGAAGAAGGAGGGAATCATCTCATAGAAAGACTTGGAGCTCACCGGAATGAAATGGCTTCTGGATAACCATCGGCAACTCTGAAGTACCCTTGATCGTGACCGAGCTCGATTTGCGAGAGTTTTGACCACCTTAGATCAAGGAGGCGACCTTCCATACGAGAGTCCCTGACGTACTGAGAGATAGCTCTGCTATGTTATGTCCCGTGATCTGTTGGGTAGAGTCTAGATAAATCTCCTTCAAGCAGTGTCCATGGATTCCTCATCCCTTCGCATTAGGGTACATGCTCAATATTCGTATGCCAAAGTCAATTTTCCATTCGTATATTATTCAGCTCTTCAAGCCATTTGGGAGAACGCTTCGACGCTTTTCAACAGCTCGATCAAGACCTTGGTCGTCAACCACGATTGAGAGGTGGAAATGATGTTGAGGGGCCAGTGCCAAAACGTCTCAGTAGAAGGGTTATTTGTGTGGTTGATATAGGTATATTTTGACCATTTCTCCCTCTGGTAGTTGCCTGGAATCTAGCAGATATATCATCTCAGTATGTAATGTATGGGAAGTATAAGGTCAAGAAGAATTCATGAGAAGAAGCGAGATTATATATTGAGCCCTATTCCGCGCTAATTGTATCGGGCAGGCACTAGTATATAGTACAAACGAGATGGGCGACTCCCGCTAACGAAGGTCTTTGTTGAACGGCTCCAGAAGTTAACTGGTTATTCAGGACAATGAGAAATCATGGTAATGTGAAGAGGAATGTTTTGTTCTTTTATCTACAGTTTCCCAGAGCGTGATAAAAAGAAAGCCGAAGTCATCGGCCAAAAGACGCCCACAAGGAGCCGACAGTATCACGTGATCATCCTAGTTGACTTAAAACGGTCATCTGGTGGGGAGAAAGAACTACTACCATTGACGTATCAAAAATCAGTATCAGCGCGAGCAATGCATCTTTTTGATTTTCTGCTAAAAGATAGGAATCTCTGGAACCATGGACTTGCAGAATAGTACTCCACCGTCCCAATCGGCGGAACTCTCCACGTCGACATCGGATGCATCTCATTCGATGCTGCAAAATGCCCAGCATGCCACTTTGTCGAATAATTTCAGCACCTACGGAGTATCAGCAAACAATACAGTGGCATCTTTTGCACCTGTGATCAGACACCCATCGCAATCCCTATCTGCTGGGCTTTTCAATGAGCCCGGAAACTACTCGCAAGGTCTAACGGCGAGCCAATTTAGTGGGACACAGTTTCATTCACAAAATCCAATGAGCAACGCTTCTATGTGGAATACGGCCTCGTTATTCTTTAATAACATTGGATCGGCCGGTAATACAATGGCACTTTTACGCAACAGAGTCATTGGATATCCTGCATTGGCTCCTGCACCATCTCCAGCTCTTACTCAGCCCGTACCAACAGCCAAGGCTTTGGTAGAAGCATCTACGCCGTCCGTGGTGCAAATAGCTCCTGGGACTGCTACTTCGGCTTTTTCTAGCCTTGCCCAAAGCATACCGAGCAGCAGTCAGCTCGTTGCAAATGCCCAGCTGCAAGGTATTCCCCTTCCCGCACCGGATTTATCTATCAATCCTACCATCACGCCGAAGCAGCCGACCCCGCTAAATTCGTCTCCAAGCAAGACCAGCGTCAAAAGCCGTAAGCGGCGAAACAAGCGAAAGCGGATTCATGATAGCGAGGATGAAATCAAAGCCCATGACACAAGTTCGGATGATGAATTAGAAGATCAGTTACCGTCTGCGAGGCAAACAAAGTCCGGTCGTCATGTCAATCGGCCTACCTTTTTTGCTCCATCGCCGGAGCCTGTTCCGATCTCAAGGCAGAAGTCGTCTCCATCAGGCTCGACAACTACTGCCCCCGCAAAGAGGCGCAGGAAAGTTTATCGCAAGAACGGAAAAGAAATAAATGTCACTTGTCGGCACTGCCAAAGAGGTCATAGTCCTGTCACCAACATGATTGTATTTTGCGATGAGTGCAACGACGCCTATCATCAGTATTGCCATGATCCTCCTATCAAGCAAGAACTTATTGACGACAAAGATGCACAGTGGTTCTGCAGTGAATGCCGGCCTGAAACACGGCACCGAGTTTTATTGAAGCTGAAACTGCCACCTCTGCAAAAGGATATTCCTTCAATCGAAACGCCAGTATTATCGATTCCTCTTGTTGGTGGGGAGCAGTTCACGGCAGAGGAACAACGCGGTTATCTGTCGTCCCTTTCGCATGCTGCTCTCGTTGACATGCTAGTTACTCTCTCCAAGGCGAACCCAGCTCTGCCGATATTCCCCGAGAACTTGAAGGATCTACAACATTCAAAATTCGCCGTCGCCGCCGTGACAGCAACGAACCCTGTTGACTCTGCCGAAGTGGCAATGGAAGCAAAGGATGCAACAAGTCCTGGTGTTGATGAAGAAGATTCTGACGCAGAATCCGACTCTGGTTCGGAGTACGAAGTAGAAGAGCACCGCCTATATCCGCGGTCTGGCAACGGATTCCATCTGCCACCGGAGGAAGATGACTTTGATATACTCCTTGATGATCCTGCATGCCCAACATTCAGCTACACACTGCATAGCTATCCTGGGTCAAATCCTCATGTCGACACCACGCCGGTAGTACAAGTTGGAGGCTAGTAAATATTCACCGTTTCGAATGGAAGAATCATTACTGTCAACCCTTGAATGAGTATGTAGTCGCCAATCAGATCGGTTTGGCTGTAAGCTAGGCCGAACTCCCCCCCCCGTAGCCAATATACGTGCTCTCCCATTGGTCAGATCCTCGCATCATAAACATTTATTTTCCACTTCAAGACGTGCCTACACTGAACGTTCGACCTTGAATTCACTGATTAATTACGTGTCGACATCTTTGTATGCTCACGAATCATGGGAAGGACGCCGAACGACGAAGAAACTTTATCACAATTCCCGTCTAAATCTCATCCACCACAGCCAACCCTACCCCCTCAGAGCGACCAAATTCAACCGAGCAAGTCATTGTCAGTTCTATTTCGTGGGAGAAACCAAAACCAGTCGAAGGGAAAGTCACTGCCAGACCAGTTTCTCCACAATTACTATGTCCAAAGACTCCTCAGATTGAACCGCTCAAGCTTGGGACGTTAGCAGAATCCCTTCCAGATATCATTGACGGAAGTGATCCATATCAAATATTGCATCTCATTTTTGACGACGCTTTCTATCAAATCTTTGCCAACAATACAAATGTCAATGCCCACGCAAAACGATGTGAATCAGAGAATCCATTTGACGCCCGGCGAACTTGGCATCCATCAATGAAAGAAAAAATTAAGGTTTTCTTTGGTATCATGATATACATGAGTATTACTGTGGAACCTATTATTGAATCATATTGGAATCCAGGTCTTTTAGAAGGGGCAGTACACTTCGTGTCTGCGTACATGAGCTTGTACCGGTTTCAACAGTTGAGTCAATATCTTCATATACCAAAGGCCGATAGGAGTCCCGACCTATTTAGGTACGGTAGACCTCAAAAATGAGCCCGATTTATCAAGAGGGCGTTACTGACAGCCCGAGTCAAGTGGCTGTTACACCCTCGACGAGTAGATCCAGTTTCTAGATAGGGTGACTTTTCATATCTGGAAAGCACACAGCTCACAAGCCAAGGGTAAAGGTAAGATGCAACTGAGTCGCAATATCATGGAAAAAGTTGCTACATCGTCGAGTATTGTTATTCTCGTCGTTCCCGTCATTCGTGCAACCGCCACTAGAATTAAAACGAAAGGTGCCTCACGATGAGCCAGCAGCGCACGTTTCGAGCAAGTCAATACATTTGCGTATAGTACACAAACGCCCAATGTCGCTCAGAAGGAATTGTGTCTGGTGTCAAGAACATGATGCCATAGATAAGCGTCTGCAGAATGACAAGCCCTCAGTACCTATACCCGAACACAGTGGCTATGTGTGGAGTGCAATTTGCACCTGTGTAAACCGGGATCTGGAGGCAATGACTGCTTCGGACAATTTCATAAACCCTTAATTGCTGGTTTGGACAAAAATGCACCTCTTTCGGAGATTGATCAAACTACACGATCATGATTCGTGCTGTTATCCAAGCAGTAAGCGATGAATATTTATTTTGTATAGCCTTATAGTGGGGCATCTTTATCCTTGATAATAATATTAATCTGAGCAACAATAAGTGCAAGGGGACTCATTCAGTCAGCCTCTATAGTTCGTCAAGAGTATTTCATGTCCGGCATAGCTTTTAGCTGTGTCGTGTACCTAGGCAAACCAGCCTAGGTCGGTCCCCGCCATTGAGATCGATTTATTTGCGGCCGCCAGTCGGAACTGAAACCGTTCAAGCTTCACTTCGTGTCAGATGTTGGGTATCCTCTTCTCTTGTATTTAAGGGTGCTGCTTCCCCGATTATTAATAATATTATTCTTCTTTCGATTAAATATCATGATATTGGATCGCCATTGAGTTCCGGGTTGCGCCCTCAGGTTCGACTACGACAACGCTGAAAGAAGTCGATGACGAGACGCACGGTTACATTGCAACAGCGCGTCACTGTCTCGCAATACATCACGTTCATATAGACCTTTGTCTAACAACTTAAGAACCTAATCTCCGATCGCTGGTACGAGACGAGAGCTTCGCATGTACCTGGTCCCTCAGAGGATAACATCAACACCGACAATGGAGAAAATCGCAACGACATCGCGTCTCGTTACCCCCCACCCAGCTCAAAAATGGTACGAACACTTCAACCTCGATCTCATCATCAAGGTCCTCAACCAAACCTTCCTGCACCCGTTCATCGCATGGATCGTCGTTCTCTGTCTCCGCGCGCAAGTCACACCCACCGACCATCCTGCATGGATCGCCGCGGTGGCATACGCTTCCTTTCTTACGCTGCTCACAGCAGCGAACATGCTCAATCGTCGGTTGGCGTATGGTCTGCCTCGGGAGGTGGAGCCGAGCCATGAGGTTATTGTGATTACTGGCGGGGGRAGCGGGCTGGGGCAACTCATTGCGCAGATCTATGGGATGAGGGGTGCCAGTGTTGCGGTTCTGGATATTAAGGAGGTCAGTGAGGTCGATGGGTGGGATGAGCTGTCCGGTGTCGAGTACTATCAGTGCGACGTGGGGAATAGGAAGGCTTTGGAGATGACGGCTAAGAAGATTGAGGAGGATGTAGGCTTTTTCTATGATTTTGGTATGGCTAAACTAAGCTGACTATGATCTACAGCTGGGAAGGCCGACAGTGCTCATCAACTGCGCCGCGGCGTCCGTGCATGGTGTGCCATTATTATCACTAACTCCCGCATCCATGACGAAAACAATCCAAACAAATCTCCTAGCGCCATTCCATCTGATGCAAATATTTTTACCGGCGATGCTGGAAACCAACAAGGGCGGCGTGATAGTCAACGTGAGTTCTGTTTTGGGCCATCTCACAGCTGCCGGTCTATCGGATTATTCAGTGAGCAAAGCTGGTCTGAGCGCACTGCATAAGTCACTCGAGGCTGAGCTGAGAGCTTCCGGACATGATGACAAGATCAAGACATTGTTGGTGGAGACAGGACAGCTCTCGACCCCTTTGTTCAACGGGATTGAAACACCAAGTCGATTCTTTGCCCCTGTTCTCGAACCAATTAAAGTCGCTTATGAAATTGTGTCGGCCATTGACAACGGCCAAAGTGGCGTCATCAGATTGCCCGCCTTTGCCAAGTTGGTGAACTGGTATGCTGTTCTGCCGGCATCCATCCAAAGGCTCGCCCGTCACCTGAGCGGAATTGACACTGCCGTTGCAAAAGCGTATAATCGCAACATTCTCCAACCAGAAAGTGTTCCAGAAAGTGGATCAGAGAGCGATGTATGAATAAGGACATAGATTAGGACATCTCAACCTGTCCAAGTAGTCGGACGACACCGAACGTCGGAATAATCTCGCTATCCAGCATATGAACCTATTGTTCAGTCGCCAAAACCACCTTCTCTCGCTCAGCTCGCTGAGGCATGCTGCCCTTCTTGGTGTGTTTCCGAACATTGTCCACTCTCCGTCTGATAGCCGCAAGCTCCTCCTTTTTGATCTCTCCAGCCTTCTTGATTGCCTTGGGCACGTGGCGGTAGTTCTTGATTCTCCGAATCTCCGGCATGTGTGAATACCTGCGGATAAGCGCCTGATCGTACTCGAGTTTCTGACGCTGTTTGGCGCTTTTAATGCCGGCTCGAGATGATGCATTGGTGCGCCAAATACGGATATTTCCATCATCGGATCCAGATAAGACATAGTTATTATCAGGAGTGAACATGGCCGAGAAAACTCTGTATATAGATGTCAGCAACGATACCTAGATGCTGAAAGATTAATAACTAGACTCACCTCTGCATTCGCTGTGTATGATAGACGTCTCTGGAGCGACCCTGGTTTCTGTTGAACAGTCGTATTGTGCGGTCGTAGGACGCTGTAACCAATTCCTCTCCAGTTGGACTGAACTCGACATCCATAACGGCGGCAACGTGATCCTTGTAAATGTTCAATGCACGATCCATCTTTCGCATGTCAAACATGTACGCGTTGTGATCTTCGTTAGCAACGGCGAAGTTGAATGCTTCCATAGGGTTCCAAGAGATGGCGTTGGATGCGAGGGTAAGGATGACCTTGGCTACAGGCGTTGAAGTCCGTAGATCATAAACAACGACAGAGCGATCGTTTGCTGTCGATCCAAGAATGGAAGTTTCAGTTTGGTTGAAAGCGACGGATGTGATGGTGTCAGTACTTGTTGGCCAATGCAAGGTTTGAGACGCATTTGCAGAAGGGCGAGACAGGTCGTATATGGAGATGACAGACGACGCCGCAGCAAATGCATTTTCATCACGATGATGTGAAACACTGGTGAATGGCGTTTGGCCAAGGAAAGTCGCTAGTGGTGGTGCCTCCGGCGGGGAGTTATAAGGATCGAAAAGCTTGACGGTTTTATCGCTAGCGCAAGACAGAAGTTTGCGGCCCGGAGTCCAGCAAAGACCTTTGACGATATTTTCATGCGCCTGTGTGTTCCATACTTCATCTTTTGTCTCCATGTCCCAAACTTTGACAACGCCATCGCCCGAACCACTTGCGAAACGCTCCAAAGAACCTGGGTCTTTGGCCATGGTATACACGCCATCGACATGTCCCCTGCCGAGCTGGCCGATAAAAGGCGCAGCAAACATGCGGTCCATCTTGGTGGCAGTCAATGCTCTGGTATATTCTCGTGCTCGCTCAAATGGATGCTGTGCTGGGTCGAGGTTCCTTTGCAATCTTGCAACGCTCGAACCTGGCGCTTGCTGCGAGGCAGCGGAGCGCGAAAGGGCTTTAATTTTCTGTGATTATTGTTAGTACAGACTGATCTAGAAATTCGGAGCAACAAATCAAACACACCATCTTGACGATTTTGGTGAATCACAATTAGACATGATGTTAAAAGAAATTCGAGACTGGCGGAGATAAAAATATTTGGAGGACCCGCTGCGCAGTGCTGATTGGCTCCTCCCGTTGTTGCCGCAAGCTCGCAGTTGGCAGCTCAAGTGACGCTTGCCCAGAGCTCTTGTTGATCACCAACTTCCACCTTCAATCATAATCCATCACCGACGGACTGACACAGATACATCATCGAGAGTCTTTCCCGCGATACATCTGCATCACATAGACAGCTCGCTCTCTTCGGCTGCGCCCTCATTCGACACATCGACCACATCATGGCTTCCACGTCCGCCAGTGAGCGTATCGAGGGAGCAAAATCACTTGCATCAAAAGACCCTACCAAAGCCGAGCAAATATACCGCGATGTGCTATCGGGCGGCATTGGCAAGACCGAATCGGCTTCAAGAGACTATGAGGCAGCTCTCGTTGGGCTGGGAGAGCTGTACCGGGATAACAAGAAGGCACATGAGCTTGCTGAGCTAATCAAGACGAGTCGTGATGCTTTTTCGTCGTTTGCAAAGGCAAAGACAGCCAAGCTAGGTGAGTTTTCAAGCTTCTCGATGCTGTACCTCATGTCTAACGTCATACAGTGCGCCAGCTCTTGGACCTGCTGAGCGAGATTCCGAACACGATCGAGATTCAAGTCGCCGTTATCAAGTCATCGATAGAATGGGCAGTCTCCGAGCGTCGATCCTTCCTCCGACAGAGCCTAGAAACACGTTTAGTCGCGATTTACATGCAAAAGCAATCCTACTACGATGCCTTGACTCTGATCAACTCTCTGCTTCGAGAGCTGAAGCGGTTGGATGACAAGGTTGTGTTGGTCGAGATTCAACTCTTGGAGTCACGAGTCTACCATGCTCTCGGAAACCAGCCCAAGGCACGCGCAGCTTTGACCTCAGCTCGTACCTCCGCCTCAGCTGTCTACACCCCTCCTACCCTACAAGCTGGTCTCGACATGCAGAGTGGAATGTTACATGCAGAAGATAAAGATTTCAACACGGCGTTTTCGTACTTTATCGAAGCTCTTGAGGGTTATAGTTCCGTTGACGACACAGAAAAGGCCACAGCAGCCCTGCAGTATATGCTTCTTTGCAAGATTATGCTCAACCTTGTAGACGATGTGACGAATCTGCTCGGCTCAAAGCAAGCTTTGAAGTACGCAAGCACACGGCTCGAGGCTATGAAAGCTGTGGCTCGTGCTCACGCCAACCGATCTTTGGAAGAGTACGAAAAGGCGCTTTCAGACTACCGATACGAACTTGGCGGCGACGTCTTCATCCGCAATCACCTTCGCCGACTCTACGACGCCATGTTGGAGCAGAACCTTATCAAGGTCATTGAGCCATTCAGCCGAGTAGAGATTGATCACATTGCCAAAATGGTTGGCTTAGATACTCAACAAGTGGAGAGGAAATTGTCGCAGATGATTCTAGACAAGGTCATCGTCGGTGTGTTGGACCAAGGAGCCGGCTGCTTGATCGTCTTTGAGGAAACAGAAAGGGACAAGGGCTATGATGCAGCATTGCAAACGATCGAGAAGCTGAACAACGTGGTGGAGGTTTTGTATGCCAACCAAGCGTCCATGTTGGAATAGACATATGTTTTTTATGTAATCATACAATGTCGAGAACGTGCAATACAATAGTTTATTGTAAATTCAATCCTTAGATAGATTAGCTCATACACATATCGTAATATCCGGATCCTTCGAAATGTTCTGGTAAATGCGGACAAATCGGGTTAGCGCCGTGTCGCGAACGTTTCTGCGATCAGCCGCCCTGGAAGTTCATCGCGACTTCAACGCATCGTTGCATTGGTCTGACGGCCACCCACTTGTCTCATCTCTTACCGCCACCGCTATTATCAAAGAGGGCTTATTATTTGGCTGTGCGACACTGACCACGTAATCGCCAACATGGCTATGAACGCCCCAATGCAGCCCAATTATCCTCGTGGCTACCCTCAGGCCGCGCAGCGCTCMCCCGCCGCACCTCGTCGCGGAGCTCCAGTACCAGGTACGAATTACTAGCTAAAGAGAAAAACGTGGCCCAATAGATGAAAGACTAATATTTCCTCTTTGATAGGACCCGGTGTACCTATGCCCCATCAACAAGTCGCTCATCCTCAGTACATGGCTGCCGCGGCCGCCGCAGCAGCTCACCAACGCGGTATGCCTCCAGTCAGCGACGCACATCTCAGGCGCAGCCGAAAGCCCACCGAAAAGAACATGCCAGATGGTATCGAAGAGTATGTCATTGGCGATGGGGTGCAAGAGTACAAGAAGCTACAAAACATAGAGAAACGTCTGGATTCGTCCATGGTTAGAAAGAGGTTGGACATTCAGGATTCGTTGGGCCGATCGATTAAACGCTACCAGACTTTGCGTCTTTGGATATCAAACACGACCGAAGGACAGGAATGGCAACAGGGCGAACAGAACGGAAACGGCGAAGGACCTGGTGCGGGCCGATACAAAGTGCGAATCGAAGGTAGAATCTTGGATGATGGCGATGTCGATGTGACTGTCCCGGCCGAAGACAGCGATTCTGAGCCAGAGGAAGAGGATACTGCGGGAGGTGAAGAAGGTGAAGACTCAGAAAAGCCCAAATCAAAACAGCGCCAACAACGCCCACGACAGAAGCTGTCGCATTTTTTCAAATCAATCACAATCGACTTTGATAGGACAAACAGTGTAAAGGAAGCCGATTTGTCACCTATTACATGGACAAAACCTCAGATTCCTCCAACTGCTGTATCTCTACCACCTTCTGCAGATTTTGATGAAATATCCTTCTCTCGCGCAGCTCAGGAGAATGTTAATTTCACCTTGACCCTCGTCCGAGATGAGCAGCCTGAGCGGTTGAAGCTGAGCCAGGAGCTGCAGGATATTATTGATATGGAAGAGGCCACAAGGAGTGAAATTATCTCTGCTCTCTGGGATTACGCCCAAGTCAAGGGACTTCAAGAGGATCACGAAAAACGTCTTGTCCGCTGTGATGCGAAATTAAGAAATGTATTCGTTCCTTTTCCTCTTTGACGATTTTTCCAATATGCTAATTGCTTGATAGATTTTCGGCCGTGACCAAATATTCTTCCCTGCAATCGTCGACGTGATCGGAAACATCACCGCCCCCCTCGACCCTATCAAGCTTCCCTACACAATCCGCGTGGATCAGGAATTCCACAACAACCCAACACCCACAATATACGATATTCGCGTCGCCATGGACGATACTCTCCTCCAGAAAATGGTCACCCTCACCACAAACCCTCAATACACCACGTCCCTCCGCAATATCAGCGACCTCGACGACCGCCTAGCCACCATCATCCAGGCGATCACGCACTCCAAGGCCCGCCACTCATTCTACACTTCCCTCAGCCGGGACCCCGCGAACTTTGTGCGTCGCTGGATCAGCTCGCAGCGTCGAGACCTGGAGACTATTCTTGGAGAGGCGGTTCGTGGTGGTGGTGAGGACGGTAGTGGTCCCGAGTTTAGACGGGGCGGTACTAGCAGTGCTTGGAATGCGCCTGTGGCGAGAGAAGCGGTGCGGTATATGCTTGCTCGTCCGGAGGCTAATACCGTGTATCGATAGATCGTGGGTTTGGATGTACTTTTATAAATTGTGTTGTAAACGATTTCTTCTCTTTCTCTGTTATGGCAAGGTAGTTAGGCGCGCAACACGTGTGGATCACTTTCTTTACTTGTTTGTGTTAGATGTGGAATTTTAATCAATTCATGGATGAATAAAAAATAATAATGGTTCTCTGATGCAGAGCAACAAGCTAGATACGACACTTAACCCATGTACCGCGCGGCCGTGCTATCTGTGCCGTGCTTTCTGAAGCTGCGGTGGGTTCATGCTCTGCTGACGATATTTCAAGCAAAAGTTGATCATACGAAACTAGTTGCAAATATAAACACCAAAATAGCTCGTCAGGCAATAACGACTTTGCGCTGTTTCAACGCATTTCCTCCCTCCGTAGTCTCGACACCCGTCGCAGTAGGAATCGCAAGCTCAGCGGCATCCCCAGTCTCAAAATAACCCTGCTCCTTCCCCAGCTTCTCAGCTGCATCAAAAACATACGTGGGTTCCTTGGGTGCTGTCTCCTTCTTCTCGACAGGTTGTTGACGGAATCGTTTCAGCACAGCATCAATCATCTGCGAGAACCAGTAGAAATTGAGCGAGTTGAGAATCAAGTTCGAAACAACGTATGCAATTGGCAGCCACTGCGGAAGCGAGACATCGGTGAAATAATGGGCGAACTGCGAAATCTCAGCGTTCGCTCTGAGACAGCTGTCATCCGCACACAGAAGCCCGCCTTCACCAAGCTTGAAAACGGGTGCGTTGGTAGAGACGCCGTCGAGGAAGGGTGAATGGGTCATGGAACGACTCTGTTTCCATGCGTGCCACATGTCGCCGTAGACAATGACGGATTGCCATGTGCCCCACACGAGACGGCACGAAAAGAAGGCGACCAGAAGCATCATGCCGTTGTACCACTGCAGTTTGCTACCGGTCATGTTGACCTTGTCCAAGAACCAGTGGATATTGAGGAATGGGCTGGAGAGTTCGTAAAGAATGAAGGTCGGGGCGTAGTAATTGACGAATGGTCTCTATATAGGAACCCCAATTAGACCAGTTCTGCGAGTGAGATTCAAGAGAGAAGGACTTACAAATCCAAGACTAAACACACACAAAGCGCTGATAGCATGAAACAACATCCCAATCCCAAACAAATTGATGTGCAGCGTACTGACGATAATATCGTAAATGAAATAACCTGTAGCAAGAGCTTGTACAAGCCCATTAGCACCGGTATATCCATGCACCCGCTCATCGATATTCATTCTCTTTCTCTCTTCATCCGCAAACATGACCCATAGCGCTATGACGTTGATGAGAACGCTCTGTACAAACGAAACGACGTGGATATCCCAGTTTAGGCGTGTTCGTTTTGGGAGTTGGGGATAATGTCGAGGAAACAGTCGAGTGGAGAGCCATGGCGAGATGTAGGTGTGGATGACTTGGTAGAATACGAAGGCGAAGATGACTTCGTGGACGTGGTAGGGGAGTGTGTATAAGCGTAGGTATTCGGCCCAGGGTGTGACGAGGTCCTGCAGCCAGGCTGGTGGAGGGGGAAATGGATCTAGCATGTTGCTAGATCTTGCCCTGAAGGCAAGGATGAGGATGTTCTGGCGAGTCGACTAGATGGAGAACATCTCAACCGGGCAGAAGAAAAAGGAGAACGACAGTAGAGTCAAAGAAGAAAGGAATCATCAAATTATGTATTGAAATGAAATGAACATCCTCCTGACTCGAGCGTCTGAGAATGTTGTTAAGGTCACGCTGGATGTCGTAAGGACGAAGGTGCTGCCTCGTGGCGGTGGATATGATTGGCTGCCACCGTCCCCAACGCACCACGCAGCCTCGGCCTCTGTCAGATATAGATCACTTGGCTTCTACTATGACTACGTATCGGTGTTCGCACAGCATTCTATTCGTCAAGATCGTTACTTGACTTTAAAGACTGACAGCGTGATGGAACTAAGACAAAATTGGGAATGCATTTGCGATGACAATGAAGTTGACAATGTCACGCGACCACCTACTCATGCTAACCAGGGACAACAAGTCAGACGAACACCTCGAGTTTGAAGTGTACTCAGCAGGTAGTACAACCATTGTACTGACATCACTATATCTAAAGCAACTTCTTTTGCTGGTACGGAGTACATGAGGGGTCATTACAAAAAATGTACAGAGTAGACAAGAGAGCGACATGCTAGCTGCACGGACCGCTGTTTATTTCCACTACAAAAGCTATACTATGTACATGTACGGAGTCTTTCTAAGCGTCAAGTCAAGTCATTATCATTTGCAGGGATGGTAATAAATACAATACTCCTTACAGTTATTCCAACAAAAGAGAGACATGAAGTAAGTAAAGAAAAACAAACATAAACCAAAAAAGTGTCCGGCTACCCAGACAATTGTGCTCAGAGAGGTATCAATAGGAAACAAGACATAATCAATCTTTTGCTCAATCTAATCAAACAACATTTTCGGGAACGAGCAGTCGGATGAAGGTGGACCCGGTCGGTGTTAGACATTGATAGGGCGCTGGATGTCACTTCCCAAACCGCTGTCATTCTGACCAGGGATTTTGAATCCGGGTGGTGCCTCCAGTTCGGAAAGACCCTCTTCGATCGCAGAGTGCTCTTCGTGCTCGTCAATAGTGGTCTGATAGTCGCCTTCATCATCAACACTTCCGTCGTGTTGTTCCTCGTGATCTTCCGGGTCTTCTGCATCAGAGCGCTCGGATTCTTGCTCGGACTCTTGCTCATATGACTCATCATGATGCTCAACCTCGTCTTCGTCCTCGTTATCCTCTTCAATAATGGATCCAGTGTGCTCGGCAACCAGACCGTTCGTTGTGCTGGCATAACTGGGCTGACGACTCGACTGAAGACTGGTTTGACGACTAGGCTGACGGCTGGCTGAGATGGTGCTTTCACTGTCATGGCTCACACTTTCTAAGTAATGACCCGTGTCGGCTGTCCGCTCAGTCCCCGCATCGCTGTGACCAGCACTGAATTGCTCGTCTTCTTCGAGGAAGCTCTCGTTCTCCTTGTTAGCCTCGAAGTCTCTTGATGTTCCCCAGGATGTCTTGCGCGATGGTATATTGGATCGGACCGAGTGACTGCGCTTGAGGTTCGTCAGCCCACCAGTACCGACTGGAGCCGTGACGTGACGATCAGTAGGTCCACGATTGCCAGTTACATGGCTGAGACTGAGAATACGACGCTCCTTGCCGCCATTGGACGACACGGTAGACCCATTATAGGCCGGAGTTTTAGCTGGCTGGCGGCGTTTCAAAACCATCTCCACGCCATTGCTGACCAAGCTGCGAGTATCCTTGGCTGCGCTATTGGTACTGGTTGCACGACTAGTAGCACGACTAGTTCTTGTGGCGTTGCTGCCATAGCTGGGGATGCGTCGGAGGCTCATACGGCTCTTGCCTCGTCCGCTTTCCTTCAGAAGCATGGTTCTAGCATGATCGAAGACACCTGCAAGGATTCGCTTTTCCAGACCTTGTGCACGTTCTTCAAAAAGCTCCATCTCGTGTTGTCGGATATCGAGAGCAGTTTCCAATCCGTGGAGTTCTTTCCCGAGTTTGGTATTCTGCTTAGTGAGCTGCTCTTTCTCAGTCTTCATGGCCTGGATCATTTTGAGGAGTGACTCTTTTTCATCGTTCAAGCTGAGAATTTCGGATTCTACTTTCTCTTTCTGTGCAAGCCTTCTCTCAAGAGCGTACGCAGCTTCTTCAGCCTCCCGTTTCTTACGCTCATAGTCTTCAATAACGAGACGCGACTGTGTTGCGACCATCTCAGTAATCTCACGCGAGGTCTCGATAACCTTCTCATGAATCTGATCCAGCTTGTCCATGCCTGCCATTGTTTTGCTCGTGTTCTCGGCATGGTTCATGATCAAGTCGAGCTTCGAGTGGATTTCAGTATCGTCATACTTTTCCGGGATGATATTTCTCGTACTCTCCGTATGACTCATGATCATGTCAAGCTTAGATCGGAGCTCGGAATCATCGTACTTTTCCGGTATGATGTTCTTAGTGCTTTCGGCATGGTTCATGATCAAATCGAGCTTCGAGTGGAGTTCGGTATCATCATACTTGTCGGGAACTATGATTTCGCGAGGCTCTGGAGGAGGCGGGAGTAGAGCAGGGAGCATCGTCGGGATAGAGGCAGGAATAGCGGAAAGATTCCTACTAAGCTCTTCATTTGACTTTTGAGAATGTTCATAATGTTGTCCAACAAGCATCAGGATATCTTTGATTGCACCAAGAATTTGGGGATGATATTCCAGTATTTGACTTTCGACTCGATCTGTGGCGGCTGAGGTCTTCTCTAACTCGACCTTGGACAAATCGTTGAATTCCTTGATCTCGTTATGCATCTCTTCCATCTTGTCATACGATTCGCTGATCTTGCCAAAAAGCGTTTTGGTGTCGTCACCCATGCGCTCGCAAGACTCAGTAACGCTGTTGCCCATGGCACCAATGATCAACTTGATATCCTCGGCAAGACCCTTTGTGCTTGTCAGGTGTTCGACATTCAATGAGTCTCGTTCCTCTGTTTCGGAGAACTTTTTGTCGAGATTTTCTTGCAATTCGTCGTACTTGGACAAGATGTGATCAATACGTTCATCCACTTTCTTTTCCAGGTCTGCTACAATTGCAGCACGAGTCTCGTCTTGTTTGACCATCATTGCTGCATCTCGTTCTTCTGTTTCGAGTTTGGTCGCTTCCTGTTCGCCTCGTGCACGTTCAAACTCTCTGTTGACGAGATCACTAAGTTCTTTGACGCTTTCTACAGTTGTGAAAGCTTCGGAAGACACAGCCAGACCTTCGAGAAGTGTTTTTAGTTCTAACAAGCCCTCCTCGCTTCCATCAAGCTTGCCCTTGAGCTCGTCACGAAGGTCGGCAACAACAACCTTGGCCTCTTCAATCTTTTCAGCCAAGCCTCCGTGCTCAACTTTGCGTGCTTCAAAGGCCTGGGCGGTCAAATCTGACTCCGTTTCGACCTTCTCTTTGAAGGCATTGATGAGCTCCGAAAGTGCTTCGATATCTGATTTTGCAGGTAGCGTCTCGACGTCAGGAAGCTTCAACTCCTCAATACTAGTCTTGACTTCACAGATCATAGCTTCCACGGTCTGAAGATCACTCTTAAAAATAGGCTCAGGGGCTTCCTCTCCTTCTGGGAGATCCTTGGCCTGGCTCTTCGACTCCTCCACGGCAACCCACAAGTCCTTCAGCAGCGTTTCAAGTGTACCAAAATCAGCCTTAGTGCAGCTCTCCGTTTCAAGGCGAGCAGCCACTTCAGCAATGGCATCCTTCAGTTCTGAGACGACTACTTCCAGAGTCATAACTTGTTCCGATTTAGCAAGATCTTCAGTTGAAGGGATATTGAACTCGTCGAATTTGGCGACAGTGTCTCGTAGAAGAGTCTCAATTATCTCTGCATCCTCCTTACGAGTATTGGCTTCAGCCACAGATCCGTGAACGTCTCGCACAGCTGACAAAACCTCGTCTAGATGCTCCCTTTTCAAGGCATCTTCCGGTGGTGGAGCTGGTGCTGGATTGGCCTCTATCGATTCAACCTTGATTTGTAGTTGCGTAATCAAGACCTTAAGGCTTTCAATATCACTACTTATGTTGCTTTCGTTGGCAAGAATCAATTCTTGGCCTCGAGTAGTCGATGTTTCTTCAAACTCTTTCTGAGACGTTCTCAAAGCTTCCATCTCGAATTTGATCGATTCCAATCCTTCTTTCAATGCATCGAGTACCTCGGAGTTACTCTGTTCATCTGACTTGTGAATGAGAGTTTCCAAGTCCGCTCTAATAGTGTCAACACCGTCGTTAAAGGCTTCAAGCAACTCGCTAGTATTTGAGAACGTGCTTTCGTTACCATCTCGTTTTTGCATAGTCTCGGCTTGTAGATTCTCAAAACTTTCACGCAAAGCTGATATAATCTCGTCCTTCTCAGATGGCTCAGACTTGACCAGGCTCATGCCAATGGACTCTCGAATATTCTCAAACTCTTCTCTGACAGCTTGAACAAGTTGACTGGTATCCACTTCATTGCTCGTACTTGTACCAATTTCGTGGATTGCATCGAGTATTTCAGCTTTGTCGCCGGATGTCTCAGTACGAATCAACAAGCCACTGAGTGTTGAGCGAAGATGTTCAAATTCCTTTTCCATGGCGTCAAGAAGCTCAGGGGTATCGGGGTTCCCGCGAGAACCGGAGCTTCGAAGAGCTGCTTCGTTAATAGAGTGCTCAAGGTCAGCCTGTAACAGTCGGAAACCTTCTTTGACGGTGGATATAATTTCCTCTTTTCCGGTTACATCTGCAGCCTTGTCGACGTAAGATTCAATATCAGTTCTGAGCACTTGAAGTCCATCTTTCATGGAATCGAGTACTTGTTCCGTGTCGTGTCCACTGGCGGCGGAATACTGTTTGAACTCGTCTTTCATTTCCTGAACGAGGTCGCGGAGCCGATCAAGGACTTGGTCTCCGACGTTGAGCTGAGAAGAAGCTGCCGCCTCCTGAAGGCCAGAAGTCACAGCCTCGAATAGATCATCTTTGTTGAGTTCGATTTCTCGGCTGATAGAGCTCTGGTTAACTAACCCTTCCGAGATTGCACTGACAATATCTTCTCGAGTCAAAGCAGGCTCCTGCGTGACCAGAGCGTTACTATGAGAAGCCAGAGCATCATTGATGACTTGCATGACATCTTCTCGAGTAACCGATGACTCGCCCATTTCCTTGGCAGCCGCAAAGTGTGCCGCCAGACCTTCCGTAACCGCATTGAAGACATCATCCCGAGACAATCCAGTGTCGGACTCATCTTGAGTGATTGCCCGTTGGCCGACCATGGCTTCAACGACAGCGCCATGAACATCATCACGGGTTAGACTAGTCCCATTAAGGGACTCTCCCAATGTTGAGCGAGCCATGGCCTCTGCTACAGCTTCGAAGACGTCGTCACGAGTGAGTTTAGGAACATCCTCATCCATGGGAAGCGCCCGTTGGCCAGCCATAGCTTCGATAACAGTGGCATGAACATCGTCACGGGTTATACCAGCAGCATTGAGAGATTCTGCTACGGCTTCGAAGACGTCGTCACGAGTAAGTTTAGGTGCATCCTCATCCATGGTAAGCCCCCGTTGGCCAGCCATAGCTTCCATAACAACACCATGAACATCATCGCGAGTCAGACCAGCAGCATTTAGAGACTCTGCTAAAGTTGACCGGCCCAAGGCTTCGGCTACGGCTTCGAATACGTCGTCACGGGTAATTTTGGGCATGTCTTCTGCGTGAGGAAGTGCGCGTTGTTGATTGTCCATTGCTTCCGATACTGCCGCATAGATATCTTCCTTGGTAATGTTGGGCTCGGGGATAGTTAGTTCAAAGGACTCCAGGCACTCTTTGACTGCTTCAGCAACTTCCTCGCGGGTGATTGCTGGTGGCGCTTCGATAGGTGGTGGGACGAAGCTTTGCATTCCAGCCTGGACTGCAGCCAAAACGTGGTCGTAAGTCATGGCCTCATCATGCTTGGGCTGGTAAGCTTTCAATCCTTCAGTGAGACATTCGAGGATTTCTTCTCGCTCCAGGCCGAAATTTTGCAGTTCAATTTCTGGCTTATTCACTTCCCAAGCCTCTCTGACTGCTTCAAGAATGTCTTCCTTGTCCATGCCCACAGTGCTCGGTGCTGGAGCTGCTAGATGCTGTGGGGAATATTCTTCTAATGCAGACCGAACAGCTGTGAAAACGTCATCTGCATCGGCGCCGCTGCGAGTCAACGAAGTCGAGAGTGTCTGCTGATGATCTTGAATCATGGAATACATTTGCTCTTTCAATTCAGCGAGTCCGGCACGAACTATTTCTGCAACTTCGTCTGCCCCCAAAGATCGCGGGGCGTCTTCTTCAGACTTGGAAATAGAAGCTTCCTCGAGTTTCCGGCCGATTTCTCGTCCCATGCCCAAGACCTCTCCCCGCAACTCACGAACAAGAGCTTTGACTTCACTTGTCAGACCTCCACCTTCAGCCACGCTGTTCTTGATTCTGTTGAGAAGACCGATAATATCTTCGCTGATGGCAGTTTTCTCAGCGCCATTTGAGTCATAGCTGAGAACAATTGGGCCGGATCGTGTGCGTTCTAGAGAGCCAGGTTCTTCCGCGTCAGATCTTATCAGAGCTCGATTCGTCGGATTCTCCTTGACAAGGTTCAGGATTTCCTCTAGCATTTTTGTGACGTTCTGGTCAGCCTCTTTGGTGCTTCCATCCTTGGCAGGCCTCTTTTTCACTTCGTCGACAAGTTCTAACAGCTTCTCTTGGGCTTCTTTCGTAGCCATTTCACGCAAAACCTTTTCCAGCAGTGCAATGCTCGCAGAGCCGTCACTAATGGGTGCAGGCGATCCACAAAGGTCACGCTCCAAAGCTGCAGCGAAGCTTGAAGGACTAGCTACCCGAGGAAGATTAAACGATTTCCGGTGGTTTGGCGGGCTGTCGAATGGCTTGCTGTCAATACTATATCCACTTCTTACAGATCCAAAGGCTCCAGACCTTGTACTCGCACTCTCAGGATCCAGGAGCTTGGAGCTGATGTTGTTGGCTAAATCGCGGATACTCTTTCGTATATCCTCGTCGCGCGCATTCGTAGCCGCTTTCAAGCTTAGTAAATCGGTGGCGTTATCTTTGCTTCGTCTTGTCAGACTTGTCATCTCTTTCTGCAGACTTGTTGCAATGTTTGTTAGGCTTTGAATCTGTTCGGATAAATTGCTTTCGGGCAGCGTTGTGGCTGTGGCCGGTTTAGACACTGACACTTGAACCGATTTAAGCTCGTCGCCAGGGAGCTGCATGTTTTGTAACGCCAGCATGGTAGCTGAAGGTGGAGTGTTCTCGCCAATTATAGGTTTCGAAAGATAACGGTTGGAGACATAAAGAGACGGCGAGTCACGACCAGAGTCTTGTGATCCTGATGTGCCCACACGAGTAGGGCTCTTATCGAAGTAGTCATCATTAAAAGTGGATGATCGCGTCTTTCGTTCTGGTGACCTATTCTCGACAAAGTTGCGGAACTCGGTTCGTGCATCAGTTGTCGGCTGAAGCGACTGCATTCGTCTGTGATATTGCCCTTTGACCAAGGATTTTTCTGGAGATGATTTGAGAGGCATAGGATTTATCGTGTATGGGCTAGGAGCATTTTCGCGCATCTTTTCTGCGAGGCTCGCTGTGACTGCTTGAATGCCTGGGGAGGCGTTTGATCGTGTTTTCGGGCTGCCAGCACCGGGATTCATAGGCAATGGCGGTGGTCGTCGTTCAGGGTCAGAACTGTCCCACCTGTAGTTTGTATAGCTTGGGATTAGTTCCATCTTGCCTTCGGTGGAGATGAGGATCAAAGAATATCCCAATTGTGGGTTCTTGCAATGGCGGGAAACACGTACATAGGAATATTGAGTTTGGCAATTTCGGAATTTGAGTATTGATGATTGCTCTTAACGACAAGGTCCATAGCCCCATTGGGAGCTGCCTCAGTATCACTTGCCATGGTAGAAGGTAGAACTTGGTGTGATAACGTCAATGATTGTGGAATGTGGAGAGACTGAGGAATGTACAGATTCTCAGTTGATAAGCAAGGACATGACAGAACCGACAAAAACAAATGAGCAATGCTAAGCACAAAAACAAGACAACAAACACCAATCGTGAACGTTCGTTGCGATGTACGCGAGAGCAGGAGATGAAGACTCCGTTGTTGGAGGATCGTGGGTATGGCAGGAGGRGGATTGAGGTCAGAAGTCGAGCAGAGCAAGTTTATCTATGGCAGCGACCAAAACAATGGCGTCAAGACTGGCACGAACTGTGGTAACTAGTGGAGCGAGTGGCCCGATGCCACATCATCTGCTGGAGCTAGTGTGTGATGGCCCAACGCCTGGGAGAGTCGGTGATGGAGCGGTCTCGAGTCAGCGTGAGCTTGGTGTTGACGTCTGCGCATTCTCTGTAGCAACGAGCGCCGCCCACCCGGCAACCGTCAACAAACACCCGCTGACTAAGGAGATACGGCCAATCACGGCAGGCAGATGCTGGCGCTAGTTGTCTTACGCCGACCATGATTCGACGTGTCATAGTCTATTCGACTAATTGTGAATATTACGAGCGCTTACAATGTATTTGTGATTGCATCTATTTTGACTAATGGTCTTAAGCGACATTATTTTTTTCTACGAGGACTATCTGCAGTCCATCGCGTAGTTGTAGAAAAGAGTAGCGCCGGATGATGATGATGAAATACGGATAGATAGTTAGACAGGAAGCGATAAGACAAAGCAAGATCCACAAGATAAATTCAAACCAGCCTTGGTGCCTGATCTCTGATCCGTAGTCACATCACGTGACTTGACATTCGGTCTAACTACTTCCGGTTGGCTTGGGCTATCCGTCMCCGTCGTTAAACGAGCCAATGAACAGCACGCACACAAACCCATCCAGTTAGCCCGGCTTGCCCTAGAGCCCTCGTCCACTGACCCGACTTTCCTAAGCGAAAAAAGAAGTTGAAGTCTGGAGGCTTGCTAACGACACTTTGATCCCGCGACCGATCAACCTCGACAAACCAGCACATATCGTCCGGGAACTTTCGACATGAAGTGTTAGTCTTCCAAAAATCGGATTGCGTTGTTTTTATCTTTGCGAATGGTGTACTGACCGCGATGGTATAGTCATGAAAGTTGGCCGTGTGGCCATCATCACCCGAGGCCGTTACGCCGGAAAGAAGGTACGACTACAACGTTTATTCCCTGAGATCGAGATGCACATGAGATGGAATTCTGCGAAGACATTGGGCAAAAGCATAGTGATGGAAGGATTGAATGAGAACCGACGAGGATCAACACTTTGATTCGGCGATATCGAAATTGTTATGAAACAAGAAAGAAGAAAAATTAGATGGACTAGGTCTTCGCAGGAATCGATAGCATGTGGCATCTCGATTGTTCATCCTCGCACTGTTTACATGGCACTGTGTACTTGACCAATTTGCGAATTCCATTGACAATTTGATAGGTCGTCATCATCCAGCCTCAAGACACCGGCTCCAAGGCCCACCCCTTCTCCTATGCCCTCGTCGCCGGTATCGAGCGCTACCCCTCCAAGGTGACTCGTCGCATGGGCGCCAAGAAGGTCGAGAAGCGCAGCCGCATCAAGCCTTTCATCAAGGTCGTCAACTACAACCATCTCATGCCCACCCGTTACACACTCGAGCTCGAAGGACTCAAGGGCGTTGTCAGCAACGACACCTTCAAGGAAGTTTCCCAGCGCGAGGATGCCAAGAAGACCGTCAAGAAAGCTCTCGAGGAGCGATACACTAGCGGCAAGAACCGCTGGTTCTTCACTCCTTTGCGTAAGTACCGCTACTTGGTGAAGAAGCGAATCGAGGTTCGATACTAATGCGTTATCTACAGGTTTCTAAATTATTCGTTTTACGGTGTGATGGGGGTCAATCGGGTGCATAATGGAGCGACATGAAATCCGGGAATATCTGGAGTGGAAGAAACATTATTCTGTCTTCCAAGTCATCCCTCAGAAAGCGGCTCAAACAAAATAGATGGGAAGGTTCTGTTTTCTGAAAAAGGAATGGGATGTGTATTGAATATCTCCTCAGTCCTCGATTATAATGGACACTCATGTTGCAAATGAAAACAAAAAAGACGAAGACAAGAAAATCATTTCCTTTATAAAATCTCCAGACTGTTTCTTTCTCTTTGTGAGGGAGAAGAAGCTGTTTTCATATCACTTAGCGTCAATTCGATGAAACAAATACCACGCATTCCAATTCATTCTTCGGCATACAACATACTGGATCTACATCTTCACGTATAGACGGTCCTCTTTCATTGCGTAGTATCAAGGTGTGCTAATTAGGGCTAATACATCCAGTTTGTTACATCAGCTAGATAAGACGGCTGTGCGGAGAAGATAAGACCGAATAGTGCCTTCTTCTGCATGCTCTGGCCGAGACTACAGCTTAAATGTCTCCAAATCTCATATTCGATAATTAGTATCTGCTCTTGATACTAACCCCGCATTCGTTACATCTGGATGCAGGACCGTGAACAACCGAACAGAGTCTGTGACAACTTCAGCACGGCCAGCGGTGATGTCCGCCGCTACTAGACCGACGAGTTGCACAACAACAGAGCCAGAAACTCGAAGGGTAAGCTATCTGACACGTCGAACACGACGGCTCAAATGCGATAGAGCTAGGCCCATTTGTGGTGCATGTCGTTGGCTGCGGCTCGATTGTTCTCTTGTGCCTGCAGCTGAGAAGTTCCTTTGGATACCAACTAATTTGGTTTATGGCGAGGTTGGAGGAACGGCGCTTGATCAGGTGACAACCACTGGTGTGTATGCGCAGAGGGATGTCACCGAGATGACGGAGAGTTCGGACTACAGGCACGTTTTTGCTTTGGAATAGAGCAAGATTTTTTGGCTAACGGGTTCTGTTTCTTGGGATGAAGAGGGAAAACACACATCTCAACAACTAGTATAGTTAGTTAACAATGTGGCAATGGATGAAATTCTTCGATCCTTGCACGACTTGACAGACGGACAATGTTTTACATTACTGGGCCTTTTCGCTATGTTTTCCGCCAAAGGAGCTGGAAATAATTCAAGACAAACGGACTCTCCTGCTTCGAGCCGTATGGCTCTCACATCGATGATTGAATTTAATGCTGATCTGGCGGCCCCTCTAGATATAGAAGAACTATTGGTTACTCAGGAGCCATTGTCATTGACGTCGGCGTTGACATGGTCTTATATGTATACCCACATAGCAGATATTCGAACACCTGAAAAAGTACTGCATCGCTGATATCAAGACATACTCAAGACAGCAAATGACCTGCTACTGGCTCAGATTTTATTTCCGACCTTACCTTCGTCGCTGCGCTAGCCCTAGTCAGCTTCTATGACTCGTCAGTCCAACATGCTCGCTCTTGACATGCCCGAATAGTTGATACCCACCCCACTATCTACAACCCTTATCATTGTCAATTCTTATCAATTCTATTTATAGAGTGAGATGCTCGCTCTTGACCTTCCGAAAACATTCAGCTCGGACACAGCCTTCCTTAACGAAGTTCAATATGGATAGAAATACCTATCTCGGAACCGTTCAAATGATACAGTGCGGGGTTCTCATCGACAATGGTAGCTGTATTGCGTATTATATCGATTTTACTTAAAGTGTCTAGTATATACAAAGCTCAATGGCCCCGTCTCTTCGCTTCATGAAGCGCTGGAACTTCATCAACTTATCCTACATCGCAGTAGTCACGCCTAAGATTTCGGTCTGCGCAAGAACACTCACAATGGCTCAAGTCGCAACGAGAAGATACCCGGGACCCCTTGACCCAAGCTACGTACCAGAGGTCTCGATCACAAGACTCCCAGCCACAGCACCCATTGAAAAGATCCTCGCTATCCTAGATCGGGACGGCGGCATCATCCTCGAAGACTTTGCGACAGCCGAGGAACTACAAAAGATAGAAGATGAGATCAAGGAATCTCACAGAGAAGAAGACAATGGCAAGACCCATACCGGTCTTCCAATCGTCCCCTCCGAAACCCGTGTCGTGCCCGGCCTGGTCGGGCGGTCCAAAACCGTTGCCGAATTGTGCGAAAGACCCGTACTAAATCAGCTTCGAGAGGAGATCTTAGTTGACAAGTTCTCGGTGACCCGCGAGCAGTTCACAGACCATTACAGGATTGATCCATTACTGAGTATCAGTCTGTCATTCCAAATCAACACAGGTGCGCCACGGCAGTCCTTGCACCGCGATGATGCAATCCACGGTACAAAACACAGCGCGCCGTTCGATTTGAAGAAGGCTAGCCAATTTGCATGTTTGATAGCGGGTTGCGAGACCACGAGGGCGAACGGCGCTACGATGTTTGTGCCTGGTAGTCATCGGTGGGATGATAATCGGATTCCGCGCGTGGACGAATTATGCTTTGCGGGTGAGATCCATTTAATACAATCTATTGCGCGATTCTGAATGCTAAATTGTCGCAGAAATGAAAGCAGGCTCAGCGCTCATCTTCATGGGCGCCGCCTATCACGGCGGTGGACACAACAGTGTCCCCAACTTCTGTCGTATTGTGCATGGACTGTTCTTCGTCCGTGGTACTCTGCGTACAGAGGAGAATCAATTCTTGACAATTCCTCATAGCAAAGCACTCACAATGACGCCGGGAATGAGGACTCTTTTAGGGTACAAAAAACCGGACACGGCGTTAGGGTTAGTGGAGAATAGGGACCCGAACGATGACCTTGAGGACGTTTTCAAACATCTTGCAGCGTGATTTTTATATGTTCGTGCGTTCAATGTGATACTAAATAATAATAAAAATTGCCAATTGTGCTTGTCGCTATCATCAGGAAGTAGCCTACCTTCGAGTAATAGCTGCTCCTACTCCGGCTTAGGGCTTTTCCTTGTTGGGGATGAAGAGACAGTCACTATGTAAATTCGTCATACATCAACCAGTTGACATTTGAAAGATGAAACTTTGGAATTTTTTCCCCCACTCTCCCCAATAATGATGAATTACTCAACTTGCTGCTGGCTGATAGAAATATCGCAAAAGGACCGCCTCGAGCCATTTTCGAGGGCACGAAGTTGCTCTACAACATACCAACCAGAGTTGCCACATTCACATGCTCTTCCTAGGAGCTGACTTAACATGGCTCCTTTTCAATATTGTCGGGCGAATGATTGTTTTCTCTATCTCGGTCACCTTTAAACATGTGACTTTTGACATCTGCTTCTTGAAACAGAACTCAAAATATATTTGAAAGAAGTTTGCACCTAGGTAACGTTGAGCGGCATTTGATGAGCCGAAGGCCGATGAGTTAGGGCTTACGGTGGCGATAAACTGATATCAACGTTGCCATGCCTAGTACCTAGGCATTGATCTCAGTCGAGACATCGGCTGATCGACATGAAATGTTTTTTTTTTGGTCAAATGTTTTTGTTGTCTAAGTTTTTCTGTATATAACATTGAAATTGTTAGACTGGAGACTTGACTGAATTAGGAAGGTAATTGGATTCTATCACTCCCTGTCTTTGGTCTTTAGAGCCCTCCCGAGGTTGTCTTTAGAGTATGTTAGTGCATATTTCGTGCCTGATCTACTTCCTCATTTGATTCCTCGTAGGTAGATATTGTACCTAGGTATCTACATACTCAACAAGATCTGAACCCACATCGATTGAAGGATTCTAGATAGGAAATGATTACCTACACTTCAGGTTTCTTAGCTGTTAACGCGTGCTGACCGCGGAGGAGCCTAATGCGAATGAACCTACTAACAAATGTTGCAAGTAGAAGCTGTATTTGATCAGTTCTGAAGACGAGTGGGGGTTAATATTCAGCTGGACTTTAAGCTCCTGGCAAAGAAAGTCTCCAAATGACAGTGTAGATTAGATGTATTACCTACTGTATACTGGCAGTTCCAAGAATTGAAACGTAAGCAATGTAGACCGAAATCTCTTTACTTGTACCTCTCTGTCGCTGGTTAAGGGAGGTTTAGTGAACTGTACGATTTTATCCAGCTTGAACCTTGTGAAAAACTCAAATTCTCACCCACCATGTCTAGCATCAGAAGTACAGCGACTGCCAATGAGATTGATCCCAATCAATTGGCCCAAACAAAGGCCCGCTTCGAGGAAGAGAAAACAAAACGGCTCCGCTCCGACGGAAATGCACAATTCATCGAAATCGCAAAAGTCGCTCAATTTGCGCGCTTTGCTGATGATCCCTGGGTTGACCCGGCGGCGATCCAACCCCTTCGAGCCAAGTTTCCTGACGGCCGATGCGAAATGCTCATCGTCGGTGCCGGATGGGGCGGAACACTGAATGCTGTTCGCATGATCGAGTCTGGTATACCAGCTGAAGATATTCGGATCATCGATCCGGCTGGTGGGTTTGGTGGCACCTGGTACTGGAATCGGTATCCGGGGCTTATGTGTGATATTGAGAGTTACTGCTATCTTCCCTACCTGGAGGAGACTGGGTACGTTCCGAAGCATCGGTATTCAGAAGGCGAAGAGATTCGGGAGTATGTCGAACTCGTTGCGGAGAAATGGGGGTTGACAGACTGCGCTGTTTTCCAGACTCAAGCGCAAAAGATTGTTTGGGACGAAGATGCCAAAGAATGGGTCATCGATTTGATTCAACGACGCAAGGATCAAGCTCCAGAGACCCTCCAGATTCGCTCTAGGTTTGTCACTATTGCTGCAGGTGTGCTCAACTGGCTCAAGCTACCAAATATCCCGGGTATCCTAGACTACCAAGGGGACATTTTTCATTCTGCTCGTTGGGCATACGATGTCACTGGTGGATCTCCCAAAGACCCGTCACTTACCAAATTGAAAGACAAGGATGTTGTCATTGTCGGTACAGGAGCGACGGCTGTGCAAATCGTTCCGCAACTTGCGAAATGGTGCAAGCATCTGTATGTCGTACAACGGACGCCGGCCTCGGTGGATGTTCGTGATCAGCGAGAAACTGACAGGGAATGGTTCCATAAAGAGGTTGCAAGTTCAAAAGGATGGCAACGAGAGCGAATGCGCAATTTTCACGAACATTTCACTCTTGGGGAGGCGCCGACAGTCAACCTGGTCGACGATGGATGGACTCGCGCCCCTGGCTTGCTTGGTCTGACTGGTTACACGGAAGGACCCAAAAAACCCGAAGACATTCCAGCATACACGGCCCGACTGATTGAGGTTGACGCTCCTCGGCTGAAACGTATTCATGCTCGCGTAGATCGAGAGGTGAAAGACCCAGCTATCGCGGCAAAGCTGAAACCTTGGTATCCAGCCTGGTGTAAACGCCCTTTATTTCATGACGATTACCTCCAGGCGTTTAACCAAGACAACGTGACCCTTATCGATACCAATGGAAAGGGCGTCGACCGGATTACGGCAGATTTTGTTGTCATCGACGACAAACCCTACCAGGCGGACGTAGTCATCTTCGCGACAGGCTTTCTTGCACCGCCCGCCGGCACGCCGGCCGAGAAGGCAGACATGTCAATTATAGGTTTGAATGGAGTCTCGATGAGCGAGGAATGGCCTCGCTTCGGCCCTACAACCCTGCATGGCGTCATCGATGCCAAGTTCCCAAACTTGTTTCTTTCGGGCCCTCAACAGGCTTCTACAAGCGGGAACTATCGCTTCAACCTCGACGAATATGCAAAACACATCTCGTATATACTAGTCGAGTCAAAGCGGAGGGCTAATTGTGCGCCGTTGGTAGTCGTGCCGTCCGCGGAAGCGGCGGAGGATTGGGGCCTACAGGTCATGATGCATTCGGCGCCAATGGGGGTTGCGATTGGGTGTACACCGGGATATTTTAATTTAGAGGGTGATCTAGCTCGCGTGCCCGTGGAGCAGCAGGAGATTTTGGCGCGGTCGGGTCTTTGGGGTTCTGGAATCGAGCACTGGCTTGGGATTATTGAGGACTGGCGAGCCACGGGCAATATGAAGGGCATTATGGTGCGTTGAAGAGGTTGGCATGCATATGTAGATGTCTCAAAGACTGGCGACCGAATCAGGAAGGTAGATGAATTGTATGTGTGGGTCACAATCGGCTCACAAGCAAACGGCGAATATTTACATAGTACGTAGGATGTTTTCTCCTGAGGTTGTGTTGGCAGCTATGTTGTGCATTAGTTCTATTGGCACAAATGCACGAAATACTTGCATTGTAAAAATTGACCCCAGGATCAGATGTTGAAACGCGCATGCAGCGGGCAAGTAGGCTAGTGGGATGGCGACAGCATCCAGCACTTAATTTCGACATTCGAATGTCGTGATGGTGCGTTATCACATCGCAAAGACTGCTCTGGGCGCGATCAACCCGGTCGAATAACGGTCTGACCACAGACTCAACATTGACAGGTCAGGAATTGGACGAAAGCATTGGTTGCACGGGCCTCGAGATGCTAGCGATGCTAGAGACGCATCACATACACAATAAATAGGATGGCCGTCTTTGGGGCGAGTGCCAGCAATGACATAGCCTGGAAACAGGTGCCGCGTATATCAGGATTTTTTATCGTGCCAGCTCATTCAGGCTATTATTAGGGTAGCAACATTATAGATTATAGATAGTCTATTGTCATAGTGTAGAGGGACCGATGAGTGGGAAGAGATGAGACGGAAGAGAGATACGCTAAGCTTGGAAAAGATAAAGAGATAGCATGCCCCACTATCACATGCCAGTCAACGCATCATCAACATGGGCCAGACAATTTACGATGTTCTACTACTAGTAGTACATTACTTATGTGGTTGGCATCGTACGCGAAGGGGAGAGAATGCGCGACCGGGGGCCAGCCATTGGCCCGATAACGCAGCTCTGTTTCTTTCCGATCACGTCCCAGCGACATCCGGTTGAAGTCATCATGTCGACAGTCACTGGCTTGATAACGATCAGAGTTGAACAGTTTCCTCAAAGGCCAGAAGTTTAGACAGCAGCTTGAGTCCGGATAGAAAGCGATAATTAGAAAATTGGAAAAACATCGCGATACCTACATAGTAGTAGCAACAAAGTGACAAAGTAACAGGGCAAGCGCGCTGTCACATGCAAGAGGCAAACAGTTGCGTGATCAGCTCAGCGCTCTGATTGGCCGCCCGCAGGCTGCTACATGTGATCGAGAGAGGCCTGGATCGCAGTTCCACGAAAATATTCAGACACAATCGTTGACGTTACCTCTGCTGGCCATTTATATCCTTTGTGCGTGTCACCCAGTCTGGAACTCGCACACCTCCCTCTTCCTCCTTCCCTCTGTCGAAACCCGATTGACTCAGATTCATCAAGACACCAAAGGTTCGCTTTGTCCTCTGCCCTCCTGTCTGTGCCCTTATCTCGTCACACCCGCCCACAACGAATACGTAGTATCTCGCTGACTTAATTCCTACAACACCAGACACAGTAAAAAGACTTCATGCCCCACGCAGAGAGAGATACAATGGGTGAGCCTCTGGTCAACGGCGAAAAGCCTCATTCTCAGTTCATCTCGGTGAGTGATTTCTACGTGATGGCAGATACGAGATCTAATTCATTGCTTCTAGCACCTTGCCTCCTACCCAGTGGTATCCGATTCCATCACCACCTTCAAAAACAATAAATACGGCGCCACCTCCATCAAATACGCCGATCAAGGCTACGAGCGTCTCGCAAAGCCCTTCCTCCCGTACCTCTCCACACCCTACGCCTATGTCGCACCCTACGTCGCCAAAGCCGACTCTCTTGGCGACCAGGGCCTAAGCAAAGTCGACGAACGGTTCCCCATCGTCAAGGAAGACACCGAAAAGATCAAAAACACCATTGTCGACACGGCCTTCTTCCCTCTCCGTCTTGCCGGGGATGCACGCAAACATGTCTTTGATACCTACGGCGCAGAGTATAAGAAGTGTGGTGGCGATGGGTATGTGGCTAGTGGAAAGGCTGTGATCACCACGGGGCTGGTAATTTCGCAGGAGTCATTGGGCTGGTTGAGTGAATTTCTGGCAGACAAGAAGGAGCGGACCAAGGAGGTGGTTAATGAGAAGGTCAACCATTAATTTCATAGTCCGTCATTGCGACTGGGGCTAGGCGCCTTACTTTCACCTTGTCTTCTTATCCATCCGGACCATTCCTTGGTCATCTTTATTCCCCTTATTGTTTTCGTGTCATTTTGTGAGTTTGGTTTATAGTATCTATAGATCGCGTGACGAATCCATATTTCTGCTCAAGCATGTATTGAGTATGTATTGAAGTATACCACAAGTTGGGCCAATTGATGATGAGTCCGAATGATTAGAGGGTCACATCATGGATGCGAATTAGAAGGAGGCTGTACGTGATGTCAGCATCCGACAAACGTTACCCTGAATCGAAAATATTTGATAGACTATGTAAGGAGTGAATGATTAACTCCCCGATAAATCACTCAGTCCACATCCGATAGCCGACAATGAAGCCTCAATACAAAGACGTGGTTAGGCCACCATAGCCATCGGCCCCCATCACTGTCAACTAGTTGTATCCCGCTACTTTCATCTACATACTAGTAGGATATACTCGCCGACTATCCAAACATCTGGATATCACCCGGAGGCAGTGCAATACTTCCAACCAATCAGCCCATGCGACCAAGTTAGGCCTTTCATCATCTGACTGCGTTCATCTCAATTGGCCAATCTGAACCTCTTTTGCAAAAAATTGGATCATATAAACTTGGCATCGATCATAGCTGAGATTCCGGAAACACTTACTACGGGCCATGCTCAAGAGCAGAGCCGCCGTGCGCTCCACCAGGCAGTGCAGGGCAACCCTCGACCGAGCAACATCCCAAGATCAGCAGATTCTGATGTACCTGTATTATGGCAGTGTATGCGGGATTTGAAGGTCAGGTGTGTCCAATGGATAAACGACGAATACGGCGCTGAGCCACGGAGAAGGGTTCGACTGTAGGTGTGTGTTAGCTAAAGTAAGTTTAGGGAGACTAAGGAGCTCTTACCGGAGCTGTTTGAGCCTGAGGACGCCAACTCCCACCTCCCGATTAGGGCTAGTAGCTATGGCCATGACGACAGACAGGCCGCGATCGGCCAATGGGAAGGCTGCCATGCCGCTTCAACCGAGCAGCGTATTGCTCGATTGGGCCTAGCAGCTGGCTAAGTGGGCCCTGCGCTCTTTTCCCCGTGTGTGACTGTGATCATCGATGGGTCGTGGCTTCCATGTTTGTCTGTGGGGTCGATGGGGAAGGAGCGACCTGATGCCTACTACAATGTAGTTAGTATAAATATCAGCCATGTCACCTGTCGCAGTATCACAACCTACCCTTTCCACACTCATCTACACACACACAGATAGAGAAAGACACCACAATGGCATCCTCCATCAGCGCCTCGACCAACGGCCACACCAACGGCAATGGCAAGGCCCCCCAAACCCCGGGCAACGTCCCAGCGACCAGTCTGGTGCAGGTTCAACCTGCCCGCGTGGAGGACTTGCAGCCACGCTATGCCCAGCAGATCAAGCACGACGATGACAACCCAGATGCACATGGATGGTATGCTTCTATGAGTAAGTGCAACCGCCCCTTTCTTGTTTCTCAATTCATATGCTAACATGCATAGTCCACGGACTCGGCGAGTGTATCGGTTGCTTGGGAGCTATTCCCTGCTGCATTATCTGCCCCAATCCCTTCAAGCCAGTCGCTCAGGGTGAAGTCGGCTTGATTCAGCGCTTCGGCCGGTATGTCGCAACCTTTTTCCGAGTCTCTAATTTTTCACACTAACAGTATCACAGATTCGAACGCGCCGTCGATCCTGGCCTCGTCAAAGTCAACCCCCTCAGCGAGCGCCTGCGAACAGTCGACGTCAAGATCCAAATCGTTGAAGTCCCCCGTCAAGTCTGTATGACCAAGGACAATGTCAACCTCAACCTCACCTCAGTCATCTACTACCACATCGTGGCGCCGCACAAGACCGCCTTCGGCATCGCGGACGTGCGCCAGGCCCTCGTCGAGCGCACCCAGACCACTCTGCGACACGTCGTCGGCGCCCGCGTGCTACAAGACGTAATCGAGCGCCGCGAGGAAATCGCTCAATCCATCAGTGAAATTATTGAAGACGTTGCCGCGGGCTGGGGCGTCAAGGTCGAGTCCATGCTCATCAAGGACATCATCTTCAGCAATGACTTGCAAGACTCGCTGTCGATGGCCGCGCAGTCCAAGCGGATTGGTGAGAGTAAAGTCATTGCTGCGCGTGCGGAGGTTGAGTCGGCCAAGTTGATGCGTCAAGCTGCCGATATTTTGTCCTCGGCACCGGCTATGCAGATCAGATACCTAGAGGCCATGCAGGCAATGGCAAAGACCGCCAACAGCAAGGTCATCTTCTTGCCGGCTCCGGGCCAGACGGTGTCGCAGCAACTCTCGTTGGCGGAGAACCTCGGCGAAGGGCCCAGCAGATACCAGAATCAGGAAAACAGCTACGAGAATGATGATGGATTCCAGCGTGCTGTCAACGCGCGTGTCGTTGAGAACATCTAAACCTCTCTGCCTCTAATCACGACGATATTTCTGATATGACTGAACCTATACCCTGTTAACAAACTTTGCCGAGCGATACCCGATGCGTTTAATCTATTTGCTTTTGGTTGATCTCTTGCTTCAAATCATAGTAACCGTATATATGAATAGCTATTAAATGATAATGTTTTGATCTATCTTGGTATCCGTCTAACCTGAGTAGCAAATGGTATCATTTATAGCTTGAACGCTCAAGTCTGAAATTAGCAAGAAATAACCCCCTTAATTCACCTTGTAAAACGCCATTCTCAAGTCTACCATGCCATCGCCTCAAAGTTCTTTGGGATTTCCCATCCATGCGCCCTACAAGCCCGAGTATAAGCAGCCACTGCCTCCTGAACTGAGTAATCACCACCTCGCGCCGAAGAAGATCCAAACCGACTAGCACTATTCGCCAAACGTGCTGGTTTAGGATCCACGGAGCACAGCGCAAGCCGAATCGAGAGTAGGACATTCTCAATGGAGAACGTTGGCAACCACCCCGAGCCGGTGAGTAATTCCATACACAGCGCTCCGCCCATGGTAATGTGACCACCACCTCCAGCGTTGAATTCGAGAAATCGTGGCCGGATAACGCGGACGAACGGAGGAGACATGGGAAAGTCGTGAGGGAAGCGCATTTCAAGGACCACGCTTTGTAGGCCCGCCTTTTGGAGATCTTGACCTAAGGGGAGCGACAGTTCGAAAGAATGAAGTTCCACGATCCATTGGTAGGGATTATTGATGAGTTGCGGGTCAATGCACCATCCTAATTCATCCGGTGGTGTCTGCTCCTGCACCTTGAGTGCTTGAAGAAGACGTTGTTGTAGAGTTTTTGTGGCCGAACTGCTTGCGTACGCTGGTGGCTCAAGAAGCGTTACCGATGACTCGGTGAGTGTACCAGGCTCAAATGGCGTCAACGCTGAATTCTTCGCCTTTACCTTCGCCTTCTCTGTGGATGTCGATGCTTTCAACTTCTTGATTGCCTTCAATGTCTCTGATTCACTATCTTCTTCCGCATCTGAGAACAAGACTGCAAGATCTTCCGCCAATGTCGCCACGCTTGCAACATCGTCATCGTCATATTCAGGACCATCATTCGGGATGATTTCAGGCGTTCCGATCTTCCTCTTTCTGCTGCTGGCTTTTTTACACTTTTTGCTCTTGCCTTTTGTCTTGGGCGATTCCTTATGTTGATGGCTCTCCAGCGCTAGATTGCGCCGGCATCGACTAAAAATAGTCATCGGAATCCTGATTTGTTTACCATCACTCCCCATAGCCGTATGCTTTGGGTCTTGAACGTAGTAGGCATCATCACCCTCGAATGTAGTATCCACTGGTGTTGTGGGTTGAGCGTTGACGTTTCCCGCGGGCTTCTGGCAGTCAACAAATAGATATCGAGTCTGAATCCATTCTATACGGTTCACAACATAGACGCCGTTTGAGCTGTTGACAAAGTCATGTGGCCTGTTTACTACCTCGTTCAAAGACACTGCAACATTCACATTGAGGATACTCTTCGGCCATTTAGAGCACGTTCGCATCCCCGGTATCCCTGAGAAGCCAGCCCGCCCCGAATAACCCAGTGAATAGTGAAATTGTTGAGCCATATAAACACCATGCCCAAAAGCTCGACCATTTGTAGTCTTCTTGAAATGTAATCCTTCCCGGATAATACTGTGCCAGTTCGAGAGGCTACTCCCATGCCAAGCGAAGATGGTCGGGTGTTTGGTGTCGTTCGAATTGTCACTAACAGCAGAAACAAATTTTTCTTCCTTGTCGGGTGAGCCTTGAGCGAAACGGAACTGTAAGTATCCTTTCATGCCGGTGACCAGATTGTGGGATGAAGTGCCCTCTGCTTGTTCTGTAATATCACCATCCTGCATGATGCAAGATCTATTGGACGCTACAATCCATCGCAAGAGATCGAGAGCCGCTGGTGGCACATTCTTCCACGCCGCTAAGCTTCTAGACCCCGGCGGCGCCGATTCAAGCCACGACTTCATCGACAAGACGTCCGGCAGTGATTGTAGCAAAGCTACGATGACCGTTTGCTTCTGGGCTGCACTTTCAATATCATCGAAATTCACGTCATGTAGAGCGAACTTGACAAGCAAGGACTCGTTATCTCCGGGTGTTGCAGTATCGGATGTATTATATGTGACCGGTTCTAGAATTTCAACAATCGGCCATCTGTCTGTGCGCTCAACTCGGCAATAGCAGTACTGTCCAGCACCAGACATGTCTATCAAAATCCAGTCACCCTCCTTGATTGTGACTTTCTGATCGTGGTCATCTACCGTAAGCTGTTTGTTTGACCGGTAAAAGGAGCCGGATAACCAGCTATTGGGTTTATGAATTGGAGGAACCATCATTCTGAGGCCTACTGGCAGTTCTTCCATTGCCCCAGCAGTTGCACTTGCATATGCAAAGCTGATGAGGAGGTCGATCACGAGAGGCTGCCGAGTAATCTCCCATTCTAAGCTGGGACCCATTCCCAGAGCCATATATTGATAGAGGCACAAAGGTTTGGAGCAAACGTAGGGTTTAAGCGCCTCAAAGTTAGTGTCGATTTTGCAATGGCAGACGAGACAGAACTCGGTGCATTTGACAAAATGCCGAAGAGTGAATTGTATAGCGAGTAATGGAAAAGACAGAGACTCTGGATCATTTGCGCTGGTGAAATGATCGTCTTGAACCAAGTGCGGAACGGTCTCGCTCCATTCGTCCTTACAACGATACAATGCATGATTCTCTTGAGGATTTTGGTCTACCGCAATTAAACCCTGGCTGTCGTTGAACAAAGATTCTGCACCAGACCATGAGAGGGCATAACGATGTCGAAGCTTGAGGATTGTGATAAATCGTTCGTTGAGAAGCGATCCTAGAGGTATCTCCAAGAACAATGGAAGTAGCTTTCCCAAGTTATCAGACTCTGACATGAGTTCTAAGGTCGGTAAATAGGAGGTAGATGTGCGTGCAAATGCCTGGAGCGCTTCTGTCACGCTTGGTTTATATGAAGCACAGAGACCAACATGCATCTGAACCAGCGACCCATCGTTCGACGCTTCTAGCAGATAATCTGCGTTGACGTACCTGTTCGGAAAGCGGAGCAAAAGAACTAAATATTGATTGCTCTTCACGTCCCATGCCTGCATCGCTTCCTCTGAAATGCCTAGTTTCGATATACGACAGGAGATTGAAATTATGAGGGAACCCTTCGGATCGCCCAGGTAGCCTACTTTAAAGCCTGCTGCCTTTGTAGTGCGAAGATCTGGTCGGAGGGTGGATGATTTGCTGACAATTTTATGGACTGATCCAAAGAACTGCTGATCTTCGTCAAAAAAGCCATCATCCCAGTGGACTTCATTCTCAGATTCTGCTTCAGAGTCCGCGGACATGGCATCGTCATCAGTAGGGTAGTCAACTCCACTGGGATTCTTGGATGGGTCTTCATGACTGCCAGCTGCGAGAGTCTTCTCCAGCGCATCATGTAAGGTGTTGAGCAAGTCGGAAACTGGGTACCCATCGGCGGCAGCTTGAACTCCCTCGAGGACGCCAATGATAGCAGGTGGAACCGTAGCTGAGGTCGAAAAGATCAGGTATTGATGGGTATGTGGGTATTCAGTGAGATCTAAAACAAGATCAGCAGCTTATTCTCACCAATAGAAACTGTTGTCATGGACGGTTGTCATACCTGACACCGCAACTTGAAGTTCGTATGCTATCTGAGGGTCTCCTGGATTGAAAAATGAGAAACATAATGACTCATTGTCATCTCCTTGTCGGATATTCTGGATATGTGGAAAGGCGTCAGAAGTACTAGCCTTCTCCAGGTCGAGGATAAATTGTTTTCGAGGCATGAGGTCAAAATGGCGGCATATTATGTCGATCTAATGGTTGAGAATAATCGAGAGGAGAGAAAATTGAATTACGAAAGGTTTGCTGTCAACAGAGCTTAGCGAGGAGGCGAAGAGTGAACGGAATTAGTAGTTGAATGAAAAGAGAGGAGTTGGGCTGGAGTATATGAGAAGTCAGTGACATAAGTAGTAGATACTACCCTTTAGGCAACTTCCTTCACAATTGTCCTCGACGAAAGTCCATGTAGGATAGCACAAAAAAAAAGGGCCGATCACAAAGGAGAAACTAGAAGAGTAGTAGCTTAGCTGCAGATATAGCAGAGAATAACATTAATTAAATATAGTCGACTGTACTCTGACGAGCTGTACAAAGAGGTCGTTGCCTGCTTACCCTTTTGGGTTAGCGACTCATGGCAGCCTTCTGGCACAGGCTGCAGTGCCAACTTCTCTTCTCTTCTGCATCTTCATCTTCTAAAATCCCTGATAGAGTACAGGCACATTTCCTGCAACCGCCACGCATCCCCGCTCCAAGTGTTAGTGCGCCTGCACCTCATCACCGATTGAGGGGACGTTTCCCGACCTGCCAATGGTTACAGAGCGTGGAATACTGTCAAGGATCTGTCGGGGAGATTGCACCTCTATCGAGCACAGCCAATTTCGCTGCTAAAGAGTACAGTACATAACACATAACAACGATCGGAGGATGACAGAACATATCACAATCGACGTGATAAATCATATGTGTCGGGCAATAGTTGATCCGGATCCCCACAATCAGTCTTTAGCTTCATTTCTGAGAGCGCCATCTACTCGATCGACTGCCTCGCTTTCGTAGTCCTTGTACTTGTTAAAGGACTGCCCGTTATGCAGCCCAGCAAGTAATCATAGGTTGATAGCAATGGCTCAACCATCACAAGCATCTGCCGGCGCTACTACACAATCCCAATTAGACTCTTCCTTGCGGCATTTCACCGAATCTTCCTTTGACCCCGTCGATTTCTTGAACGACCACCTTCCGCCGCTGACTCTATCCACTTCCCAGGCGCATGCTACTCGAGCGCCAAGCTCCGTCAATCTAGCCGATCTTTCCTCTCGAAGCCAGTCTCTCGTTTCGCAGTTGGGCACCCAGAATGTGCGACTCTCAGGGAATCTGACACAACTCACCGAGGAAATTCTACGAAGTGGAGGGCGACTAGCCTATGAAGTGGAAGTGCTGCGAGGAGAGGCAATTAGTCTCGCTGATACCCTGAGTGAGAACCTACATGAAGATATTATCAAGTTCGCCCCGGAGGGGCAGGATGCAAGTGAACAGAAAGAAGACACCCCCGACGAGGAGGGCGAAAAAGAAGCTATACCCAGACTGCCCAACGAACCAGAGTTCATTGCACAACTACGAATATTGGGTCAGGTGCGCACACGGTTAGAGGAGGTTATACAGACGTTTGGAGATGCAATGGAATGGCCGCTTCCTCCATCCGAACTGTCGATCACGTCATCGTTCATATCGGTATCCGCACCTGAACCTGGCAGTGAAAGTTATAGCCGCGAAGAGAAAGGTCAAGAACTAGTTAAAAAGCTTCGAACGGAAATCACAGAGCTACTGGACAGTAACGGAGGGGGTGATGCAGGCTTGGCCGCTGCTACGGAGCGACTCGAAAAACTACGCAATCTCGCGACGATATGGAAAGGTACGGCTGAGGAGAAGGCGCGAAGCCGTTTCTTGGACAGCCTCGCTCGAATCATTGAAGACAGACGCAAGGCTTTGGAAATCCAACGAGATCGTGCATCAAAGAAAGCAAGATCTTCCATGGACCAAATAGCTGAAGAACGTGATAGTGGTCCTGGTGCGGGCTTGTTTCGGGGTCTTCAGCGGATCCGCGATGAGATATACCTGGAGTAGCCGGGCTTCTCTTATAATTATGTATAGATGTAATGATACCATGTCTTTGATAAACCATTAAAACTCACTTGTATCTTTGTCGGACAAACAAGTTAATTGATAAAGTACCCCACAAAACAAAATGCCCCACACGTGATCCAGACCTTTCGGATCGGTGACTAAGCGACCCACCCGAGGACTGTGGCTTCTTCAACTTCCTCCGCTGGTGCTCCCTCCGAGGCACGATTCAGGAGAACTTTGTCCACGTACAACTCGTCCATTCTTTTAATTAATGACTGTTCGTCTTTTTGTTTTGTTTTCTTGATTACACCACCAAAGTCGATCTCTTCAATCTGCACGAATCGTCATCACCCGCTCCTTTGATCGGAGAAGATGTTCGTTGTCCTTGGGGTCTCGTGCTCTCACCAGTAACTTTTTGCGCATTTGGAAGGGCAATATCATGGTCGACCTTCGACAACAAGGCCAACGTCTTCTTGGCCATGTTGACTTGTTACGGAGGAAGCTGCCTACTGTACCATTCCATGCACCAGTCAACGTTCCATTCAACATACCACGTATACGGCCTACCAGACTGATTTTGTATATCGTTGGGTGTCTCTCATTCATTTTATGGCTCTCATTCAGCTTAGCGGTACGTTTTTCTGCATATTTTGGTATCCCAATCAATGCTAATACAGTATCCAGGGCAGCTCCAATCACAATTTAAAAGGCCCTGGCGGCCAGAGTTGGAGCCCAGTACCAGATTTCAACTCTTCCGAAAATTCCTTCCATATCCTCATATCTTCGTCGCCGAAGAACGCTCAGCTATGCCGCACAATCACTTCGTCTATGATTCTCGAATACCCACCCTTTACGCTGTTGAGACCGAAACCAGAAACGCGAAAGGGAGCTACCGCTAAGCAGGCCGCGGTTGAAAAGGTTGAGTCCATGCTCACATTCCTGAAGACAAATCAACGAATTGGAGAAAGGGATCTGCTATTGATAGTGGACAGCGATGATACAGTGTTTCAGTTGCCGCACGATGTTCTTATCGATCGTTACATGGAGATAACACGCCGGAAGAATGAGCACCTGAGAAGCAAATACGGTACAAAAGTTTTGATCAATCCTGAAAATGAGAATGATCGTTATACTGTTCAGAAATATACGCAAAGAGCTTTGTTTGCTGCTCGAAAAGACTGCTCCTCAAACCTTACCGACAGTGCAGCCTGCGCCAGTGTCCCGCAGTCTCCATTGCCACCAGACATATATGGAGCGAAAACGGATAAGAAACGCGATGGAACTCTAACTAGGCCTCGGTGGATTGAGTCAGGCGCCGTCATGGGTCAAACATCGGACTTGATCCCCATATACGAACGGGTTCTGGAGGAAATGAAGAAACAGCCCCTACGTGCCAATGAGCAATTGATCTTCACCAACATGTTTGGCGCACAAGAATATTCTAGGGAGATAGAAAGGCGGAAAACGGTCAGTCCCTTCAAGGAATGGCTCTGGGATTATATGGGAATTTTGGAAGCTACCAACGTCACCAAGGTGCGCGCTCACATACAACCGGGAGCGCAGCATGAATTTGGCATGGGGCTTGATTATGAAGGACAGCTTTTTCTCAGTACGAGGAAGACACTAGGTGATATAGAATGGCTGAGGTATCGAGATTCGCGAAAAGTGTCATCTGTCCAAATACAGCATGGAATTCCGCGAGAAGTGCGCTTGAATCTGCCACTTGATGTCGAACAGAACGAGCTGAATCCGTTCACAAAAGTGAAGTTGTCAAACAGTTTGTCTAGTAAAACTGCAAACATGACGAGCATCGATGTACTCCCACCTTCATGGAATTTTACGTGGAATGACTTACCGCTCGTCACATATATTCAGACAGCGGCAGTACCTGCACTGATCCACACTGGCGGCGAGACAAATGTCCGTCAAACTTTCTGGCTTAACTCGTGGTTTCATCCATGGGCTCGAGCATTATTGCGCAACTACGTGCGATCTGCGCCGAAAGAGCGTCCGGTGCAAGTTCCAACTTTGGGCACTACGGATTTACTGAGACACCCCAACAGAAAAGGCGGAATGTGGACCGATAACGACGAGTGGATGAGCTTCGAGGATCTCTGCTCTGGCCTTGAAGTCCCTCTCTTTGACGACGAACTTGGTCCCTGGGGCTCAGAGAAACCAAGCGCACTTCGTGCAGTCTACAATCTCTGGGGTAAACTCATGGCAGGAAAGGGACCTAAATATAGAAACCTAGGCGAAATGAGGTCTGAAGCAGAGGAAATAGAGAGATTCATCCTTGGAATCGAAGATGACGAGGAAGAGGACGAGGAGACTGAGTAAAGAATCAGTCCCTCTGTACATTACTTCATACTTATACTTCTTGTTTGGCTGATATGGCTTTTCCTTGAAGGCACCAAATTTGTGTATATTAGCGAGTGCATATCTATATATCTATTCACCTTTTTTATCTTGATCTTGGTGCTCATGATATTCGAGTCTGTATCGCTGACCGCCTTTGTACTAGCTTCAGACCGCCCACAGAAATGTCTATATTGCCGGCAAAAGCCACCAGAAATTATTCCCCGCCAACGTTTCCAACCTTTCACAAGAACATCATTTGAAATCGCCAAAACACTCGCTTCTGGAAAGAATAATCACAATGAAGGTATGACACTCCTATCTAACCTGTCACACAATCAAAACGCAATTCGCGAATTCGAAAGAGAACAATGGCTAACATCCATCAGATCGTTGATCCCCAAACCGCAACTCTGACCAATATCGAGGTCCTTTCGTACTTTACAGCAAACCCACCTCGAAAGTCAGCCGAGGCACCTCCCGGTATGAGAAACTTTATCCCCAAGCCTGATCTCAGGGACCATTGTACTGTTGTAACTGAGGTGAGCCCTCCACTGTGAAGACCAAAGTAGCAATATTCAAGGCAGGCTGACGCTGGAAAGATACACAACTACGTCGAGCGCACATCCCCTCACCTCCTCAACTATCCACGCTACACACACGACTCATCCCCAAATCCAACCGTACACACCCTCCAACAACCCTCTACAGACCAAGTAGAGCCCTATATGCAACCCACCGAACCAACACCAGCCGACAATGCGATCCGCAAAGTTGTGCAGGAACTCGCGCCCTACAATCTTACAAAAGGCGAGGTTATGATGCTCATCAATCTTGGTGTGGGGATAAAGCAGAAGAAGACGACTGATGGAGATGCGATGGATGTCAATGGGGACGAAGACGCTGCCGCTGACGAGAATGGGGAGGGTGGAGAAGAGGTAGATGATATGTATGGCCATAAGGCGTTGCTGAGTACTATTGTGGAGGAAATGGAGCAGAGATTGAGTGAAGATGATATGATGGATATCTTTAGGATTATGGATAAGAATCTGGGGGGTGGGCAGTGATTTTTAGTTGAGTGAAGAGAAAGGTTTTCGGGGGGCTAATCATGACTCGAGTTTTTGCATAGCAAGGCGTTGAAATCAATGGCGACTACCTTTATATGAACACATTTGAACCTGACTATATTGATACGTACGAAGCATAAGCTACTTGGAGAGGGGCATCATAATAGAAGTTTCAGATCTGTATTCAAGTGTGTTTACTCGACAGAGAAAGATCATTGCATATGCCAAAAGGAAAGAAACAAAAACACAATCCAATACGCCAAAATTTCAACCAGCAAAATTCGCCCCAAATGCCACCCAACAAGCGAAATGAAGAAATAGACAAGAAAAGGCAAAAAAGTTGTATATCATACAAAAATGAGCATCACTTTTTATCTTTCGGAAGAGCACCCAATACCAAAATTTAGTCTTTGCTCTTCTTCTTCTTTTTCTTCTTCTCAGCCTTGTCGTCGGCATCATCGTCGTCCCTCTTGCGCTTCTTCCCATCATCCTCTTTGGCGGCTTTCTTGGCTTCTTTCTTGGCCTTCTTCAAGTCCTTCTTGCTGATGGCTGTCGGGTTTCCTTCAGCATCGAATTCGATTTCACCGCGTTCCAGCTTGCGGAGATATCTCTTGACACTGAGACCAGCCTTGGCGGCCAACTTCTCGGTCTCGTCTGAGTCTTCAGAATCCTCCATCTCTTCATCTTCATCCTCAGACTCCTCTTCAACTACCTTCTTCTCCTTCTTGGTCTTGGAAGCAGGCTCCTCGTTTCCACTCAAAGCGTCAGCATCGGCATTATACTTGCGAGCTTCGTTGATCTCAAACTTCTTGGGTTGCGAAGAAATGCCATTGGGTGCAATGTTGACACCTCTGGGCTTAAGAGGCTTTCCTTCCATACCGGCTAACTTGCGCTCAAGGTTGAAACGAGCTTCAGTTCCCAATGCAGCCTTCTCCTCCTCAGCGACATCCTCTTCCCACTCAGCAAGAGCATCCACACGGATACCGAGGGAGGCCTTGGCAGCGAGAATACGGGCCATTTTACCCTTGTTCTTACCGGTGGCTTGTCCAATGAGTGAGGCGTGGTAGATGAGACCGTATTTAGGAGTGTCGTGTTTCGTCTTCAAAGCTCTGAAAAGGGCCTTTTCGGCACCCAAAATCTGCAATGTCGAGGCAGGGCTCTTGGAAAGGTTCATCAAACTACCAGCATGGGCGATCAATCGAGCGCCGACAAGCTCACCAACGAGTGCGGTCAGGTTGGGCGCAATAGCGGTCATACGAGCAGTGAGGTAGCTAGCGAGCTGCTGGCGGTAGTCGGAGAAGCCGACAACTTGCTCAGCCAAAGCCTGGATGTTTTCCAAATCCTCAGCACTGATTTCAGTGCCCATAGACTTGTCGGCAGCGTTCTTAACAGCAGCTTCAATCTCCTCGGGAAGAATGTCACTCAAGTCGGTGGATTCGAATTCAGTTCGCATTCCCATCTTCAGGACGACGCGAGCATAGGCGATGTTGTCGTTGATGATCTTGGCCATTTCAGGGAAGTGCCAGCCGTACCATTCCTTTACACGCATGGCATATGTGTTCAATTCCTTGTCAAGGTCGTCAAGAAGAGCAATGGCTTGGATAATCATGGTGTCGATCTTGTCTGGGGAAAACTTGAGTTTGTGGCGGGCCAAAGAGTGTGAAAGACCAAGTGCCATAGCAGAGATATCTTCGGGAACAAGACCTGGGATAAGAGTGGGAAGGTGCTCGCGAATTGCGCGATAAATCTCGGCAGTGGGAGAAGTCTCGGCGGTAGAGGAGTTGGCGATGACTTTGAGATCAAATCCGGGAAGCTTTCCAATAGCATTACCTGGAGATTAAATTATGAGCGAGCTGTACGCATTCTAGTCGAAGATAAGAACTTACCGAGCTTAGGGTCAGCGACAGCGAGAGAAACCTTCTTCTCGTCCTTGATCTCGTCGAGTAGACTGGCTAGGCGGGGTGTGACTTTTCCTTCAACAATGGCGGTGGCTTCTTCCACGGCGGTAGCAGCGCTGTCAAATTTCTGGAAGGACTTCAACTTCAAGCTGATGGCTGTTAGTATTATTTCTTCGAAAGTGCAATTCTTCCAATTGGGGATTCGAGAAAACAAAATCACACAAGATTAACAACAAAGGTTAGACATACAGATTGGACACTCCCTCAGGAGTAGCAGCCTCAGTAGGAATATCGAGATCATCACGCTTGAGGAGCTTCTTGTCCTTGGCCTTCAACAAAGCATAACCAGCGCTGGTCTCGGTCAGAATAAAGAGAGTCATGGTGGGCAACAGCAATGCTTGTAGTTTCCCTCCGTCGCAGCTTCCTTCCAAAAATGCAAAAGTAGGTTGTCGTTGAGGAAGGCGCAACCGTGACACTGGCTGGGCTGTGTGGTGAGCTTGGGGTTTTTTTTTTTCCTTTTCTTCGGCTCGAAAATTTGAAGAAGTTGCAGGGTGGAGGGCGGTGAAAAGCTTACACGGCTTGTGAGTGGCTGACGGGCACGGTTTATGTAAGCGTTGGTCATACGGTGGCCCATAGAGACACGATAGGCAGATCTTTTCTTGCATTGTTAGTGATGACGCTAATGTGTCAGCCAGGTTGCCGTAGCCATGCTCCGGAGCTCTCTATTTGGTCCAAGCCTCCGCCGAAGCTGGCGCATCTCCAACTATACAAGCTTCTTATAGCAACCGTGCAATATGGAAGGTCTCTTCTTTAACGTCAATGGAGGGTGAGCTCTGATCCCCTTTGGGCGTGCTATTGGAAGGCAGTACACTAACACTCCGGCTACTGTTCCACAGATACCTCGAAGGTATCGTTCGTGGATACCGCAACAGTCTACTCACAGGCCAGCACTATGCCAACTTGACCCAGTGCGATACCATAGATGGTATGCATACTTGACTTTGAAAGTCATATTCTGATACCTGACTCGAATTGCAGATGTAAAACTTCAACTCGCCCCCGCATACGGAGACTTCCTCGCAGCTCTCCCCCCAAACCCCTCCACCTCCTCTCTGGCCGCCAAAATGACCGACAAGATGGTCGCTGAGTTCCGCTACGTCCAAGCCCAGGCAACCGGCTCATTCGCCAAATTCATGGAATATCTAACCTATGGCTACATGATCGACAACGTTGCATTGCTGATTACCGGCACCTTACACGAAAGAGATACTCGCGAGCTCCTAGAGCGTTGTCACCCTCTTGGCTGGTTCGAGACTCTACCTGTACTCTGTGTCGCGACAAATATCGAAGAACTCTATAACTCCGTACTGGTCGAAACGCCGCTTGCTCCATACTTTAAGGGCAGTTTGAGCCATCAGGACTTGGACGAATTGAATATTGAGATTGTCCGGAATACATTATACAAGAATTACCTGGAAGATTTTTACAACTTCATCAACACGAACTCAGAGCTCAAGGGCACGCCGACGCAAGAGGCCATGGCCGAGATTCTGGAGTACGAAGCTGATCGACGAGCAATCAACATTACCTTGAACTCATTCGGTACCGAACTTTCCAAACAAGAAAGGAAGAAACTTTACCCTGAGTTCGGGAAATTGTATCCAGAGGGCTCGCTCATGCTCTCTCGCGCCGATGACGTGGAAGGTGTTGCCCTTGCGGTGAGCGGTGTTGGGGACTACAAAACCTTTTTCGATGCCGTGGGCCTGTCTCAGGGTGGCCCAGGCGGCATTGGAAATATGGCCGGTGGCGGTAGCTCGGATGGAAAGAGTTTGGAGGATTTGTTTTACCAAAAGGAGATGGAATTATGCAAGGTTGTTTTTACGCGTCAATTTACTACGGCTATTGTATATGCTTGGGTCAAGTTAAGGGAGCAGGTAAGCCAAATAGACATGTTTATATGCAATCATGAAACCAAATTGACATTTCTTTTTAGGAAATCCGCAATATCACCTGGATCGCAGAGTGTATTGCGCAGCATCAAAAGGAACGAATAGGAAACTATATCTCTGTTTTCTAGTTCTATCTTGCAGTCTCATGATTTACCCTGTCTCGCAGTACATGTACTTACTTTCTTCTGGCGTTATGATTCCTTCATGTGCAATAAATGTTTTGGCGACTACCTAGGTATCTACCATTGAAAATCCGAGATACGAAATTCCGACACACTGTCTCATGACCAAATGAATCAGATTCTCTAAAAAGGGGCAAGCCATCCCGCCCAATACTCATTCAAAATACTTTACATATCAGACGAGACATTTCGGTCTAAAGTCATTCTCGCTGTTGATTTGTGTTACGGTTTTTGTAGGAAAAAGCAGCAAAATGCAATCATAGATGACAACCCCCAAGAACAAACATGGAAAGAAAAATGATGACGAATTAACCAGCGCTTGGTTATTGTAATATAGTTTTCAAGAGTTGAAGCAGATTTGAAGAAGGCGATCTGAAAGTGGAGGTATACGACCAAAATACCAACTATGACAGTAAGAAAAAGAACTAGTCGTATTGGAACAGAACGCTGATACTTTCGCCATGATGAACGCGACGAATTGCCTGTAACAAGTGTTAGTGCAGGCCTAATAAGTTGTCGATGTGATAAAGCATACCTCAGCAAAAACATTGCCGACTTCAAGAACCTCAAGCTTGGGGCAGCGCTTGCAATGCTCGGTTTGGTCAACGGTGTTCGTCACCACCACCTTATCCAAGGCACTGGCATTGATGCGCTCAATAGCGTCGCCACTCAGAATACCGTGGGTGAGGAGAGCATAGACCTTGGCAGCACCCTCTTTCTTGAGTAGCTTGGCCGCTCGAGTTATGGTGTTTGATGTGTCTGCCAAATCGTCAATAAGAATGGCAGTTCGGTCTCGTACATCTCCGACAAGCATCATAGTGGCATTTTGTCTGTCGGATATTTTCGTAGGTCGTCGTTCCTATTGAAGTCGATGTCAGGTTATGTCCCATCTTCTTCCTTGTCGGTATAGAAACTCACTTTGTGAATTAGTGCAAATTCAACTCCCATCGAGTCTGCAATAGCAGTTGCTCGCTTCGCACCACCAGCATCAGGACTGACGATGATGCAATTCCTGTAATCAGGGATGTGGCGCTGAATATATCTCTTGAGTAATGGTCGACCGTAAAGGTTGTCCACGGGAATGTCGAAGAAACCCTGATATTGGGGGTCATGCAAGTCCATTGTGATGATGTGATCAGCGCCAGCACATGTCAAGAGGTCCGCGATCAGAGTTCCTGCCTGAGCAACCCACTGTCGGTAACCGGGACGAGGCTCAAACTCGGGGACCTTGGAAACGCCGCTCGAGGTACTTGCCGCCTCATCGCCATTCACGCCATTGGTGAGGCTAGACTCTGTGCGAGCGGATTCAAGGGTGCCACTTCGTTTTCCTCCATTGGCAATGGGGTGTCGTTTTMCCGGCGAGCCATTACTTTCAGATTCGATTTGAGCTCTTGCGAGGCTCTTCTGGAGGCTATCAACATCATTGTTCATTCCCTGACTCTCGGCTTTCCCGGGATGAGGCGTCGAGGGAGTGCTATCGAATGTGAATTGAGTTTGAATCGATGACTTGACCAAAGGAGCTCCGCTCTTCTTGTATGGGATATCGCTCTGACGAGAATATGGGAACAGGGGTAGTACAGCGGTAACTCGTTTCGCAGAAGCAGTTTTGMAAGCCGATATGGTAATCAGAAGCTCCAGCAAATGATCGTTCACTTTTCCCCCGCCAGATTGAATGATGTAAACATCTTTCTCTCTCACCGACTCTTGGATTTCGACTCGAGTCTCACCGACGGCAAATTTGGAGAGCAGAACATTAGCTTGGGGTATTCCGAGATGATTGCAAATTGTTTGTGTGAGCTGAGGATGGGATGTTCCCCCAATAACGACGATGTTTCTGACCATACTTGGTGTTGTGTTGTTGTTGTTTGGATCAGAAGCACAGCTCACAGATCACCGATAATCGGAACGACGGACGGAAAAACTTGCGATGAAGTCGGAGTAGGCGGCGATCAGGCGATTGCAGAGTGAGTCGAGAATCAAAAATCCATGTCTGTCGATGGGGGCGGGCGGTTGTTCCGGACGAAGGAGGTTGAAGCAAATAGTAGAGGACGTCAGGACGAGGTTCAATGTCGACAATTTTTATCTGCATGGAGAAAAATGACTCGCCGCCAGCAAAAGCGGAACCAGGCTTGGCTCTGTCTCTCTCGTGCTGGAAAAATGGCCGAATGGGGAAAGGCGGCACAAGGGTTGCGGCAAAACCATTTACCCCGCCAGCCCAGCCAAATGCCGCGCTTGACAACGGCGAGAAGCGCGACAGACCGGAACGATGAGACAGGTTCAAATGGAAACGAAAGAAAGACGAAAATGAAAGAAAAAAAAAATGATCTTGCAGGCAACGATCAGTACGCACGCGCTCAGTCAGCCGGCCTTACCTATGGGGCGTTAGCAGCTGACTGCAGTGTGGAATACACTCGCGTTACGCTATGGATTGGATCCGTTCTGCTGCTTAAGATACATCAAGACATGAAGATAATGGATTGAGGAAATCACTGTTCAGCACTCGAGCCATGAACAGGAGTTCGGTACATCAAGTGATGAGAGAGAACAGTAAGGCTATGACAAAGGTTCATATCATAGTATATCCCAGAATGATCAGTGTCGCCTTGTGTTGGACGAGCTGTTGGCGTGTCAAGCCACGTACATGACCGACAAAGTATGTACCGAGTTTGATACTGGGTCACACCTTTTTGCCGGTTGCAGTCGCAGTAAATCCCGAAAATAGCTCCATGTCGGTGTAAGAGTCGCAGAATTCCTTTCAATCGCCAGTATCGACTTCCCTGTTATTAAGCAATCAGTATATGCGAGTGTTTTGGGGAAAATTGTCCAAGAGTGGTAGCTCACAAGTCAAGCTGTACACCATTCGAAACACCGTAGTCCTAGGATAATGTTAGCATAAGCTCGAAGTTATCATAAAGGGTGGCGCATACTTGTAAAGTAAGCTGGTCTTTGAACGGCCTTTCGCCCTGACGCTTCAGTAAGATCTCGTGGGGTTCACGACCGATTCTGGCGGCAACTTGGGCCTTGAAAAGTTCTAGATGTCGGGCATTAGCTCTGTTCAAACGAATCTTTGAAATCTTATCAAGCGACTCACTGATCGGGTCCGAGGCTAGGCATGGAATAGCAGCTTTTGTACCAAGACGATCGTTGACATTGACTATAATCATCTCCTCGGCAGGTGCTGCTACTACCGGGGCCTTCTTAGGCGCTGGCTTTGGCTTATTGCCATCTAGTTTCTCGTCCTTCTTCTCATCTTGCCTTGCCGGGGCGTTTGTTTCACGACCTCGCTCACGATCACCATATCTATCCCTGCTTCTGTCACGACGAGGAGACCGCGGACGGTGTTGTTCGCGATAGCCTCGTTCTAGACGGCGATCATCATCGCGGTTTCTGTCATCTCGCGGTCTTTTGTCTTTCCAGCGAAAGCCTCCCTGATTCCGTGGGCGTCTCGATCGATCAAAATCGGGAGACCTACTCCGTCTCCGACGTTCAGGTCGTGGAGACCGCGAACGCGAGTCGGTCATGGTGGTATGGTTGAGGTTGATTAATCTCAAGGGCAAGGTTTGGGCGAAGACGAGAGTAACGCAGCTTCCAGCGCGGAGGACAACACACGTGACGGCAAGCGCTGCAAAATTTGGGGCCTAAGGCCGTTCCGCAGGTCTGGCTTTAAGCTTACTGGCCCGCCGGGATCTGCACCTTTAGGCCTGCGACAGATGTCTCGAGCGATCGAATTCGATGCAATTATCAGACGTCTTGCATTTTCAACTTTTGCACCAGTTGCAAACACAGCATCACTCATCATCAAGATCATGAGTAATTTCTAGAACTTGCGCAATCCGACATCCCAATGTCTCCTCGGCTCACGGTCCAGCGTTCGTCGCCTACGACGGTGCTATTTACCGCTTCCAACGCGCCCGCACGTCGCACCTGGTCGTCAAAGCTTGCGTTCGGTATTGAGGTCTTACTACGTATCCTGGGCTTTCTCTCAGTACTACTTGTCAATTTCGCCAAATCTCGCCGCTTTATAACCACCAATGATGGAAATTGGGGTGTATCACCTGAACTGTGGTCAACGAATGTGGGATCTCTCATCTGTCACATTGCGGACCACTATACGTGGCCGATTGTGGCTGTTGCGAGCGCAATAGTCACATATGCCGTTTGGAGGAAAGGATATACTGGTTTGTTAATCTCTGCTCGTCTGATTCGTTTGACCTTTATTGTTCAAGCTTACCAGCTAATCTTGTCGCAGAGGAATCCCTTTTAGTGATTCGCGGGTTAGGCGTTCAGACTTCAACTTCGTCCTCCATGTACTGGTCTAGCGCCGCCACGCGATTTATACCGACTACCCAAATACAAGATATCGTTATACATGAAGCTTTCAAGGGCTTCGAGGTTCGCTTCTATCTTGCGATAATTGTGGAAGGTGAAAGTGGAGTGGTTGTTGTCTTTCCGGTAAAAATCCCCGCTAGCCATATACATTGAAGAAAGGCTTATATGGAATTGATAGAATCTATTACCAAAACGTACGCTTCTTGAAGAAGTCTGGCGCGGCGCTCGCCAGTGTCTATACGAATCCAAAACCGTACCTCTGCCTGGATGAAGGGGCTGCTTCGCGCGTCTTGTTTCGAAACTCTTGCAGAACAAATGATTCACTTGAGGTATCTATACAGAAAGGTTCTAGACCTGTATACTGGATGTCTTGTCTTTCCCTTCAAGCTTCAATCTCTCGGCTCTTCGCTCACGACTAGCCAGATACCTGGCATTCTGCACTTCTACCGTTGCCGTCCTACCCTTTTGCATAACAGGGACATACACTCCGCCCAATTTTCCTTCATCTCCCCCAAAGAAGATCTTTTGGCTCTTGAAGGGCTTCGCTGGCAGTTCATTCTGGATGAAACTAGGACTGCCTTGGCCGGCCGCCAAATCGAGCAATGATCCTGCAAGGATCTCGTCGATCTTACGCTGCCTCCAAGTCTGCCAAAGCGTGTCCATGAGGCCGCCAAAGCCAAATTTACCGTCGCCTTTACCGGAGGATGGATTTCCTTGACGAGGGTCACCGCAATAGACCCAATTCAACGAATCCTCTCTACTACCACTCTCTTCGTCTGGAAAGATGCAGTCCCATAATACAAGTGGCGCATCCGATGCCATTTCGTAGGTGGGTTTACATGGGTTTTTCGAAATATCCAACAACTCAGGAACGATGGACGGACTTTCAACACCTTGACCGACCAAGAAAAGGACCGCAACCATATGGCGCACCTGATGCCACAAAAATGCCGATCCGTGAAGAGTGAATGTGTACACCAACGGAGTCGATGGTTGTTCTTCGTTGGCATTGCTTCCGTTGGCACTGTGAACAGGATTCCTTGTGGGTTGGAATTCCTTTGACCCAACATAACCGAGAGGATTCTTGCTAGGGTCGACCAGATCTATGCTTGCACGGTAGATTATACGCTCAAAATTATCGATTTGTTTGCTCGTATCGACACGGCAGAAATTGCGGAAATCATGCCTGCCGACGTAGTGTTTGCAAGCTTCGCGCATGGCTTCGATATCCAGCCAACCGTCCCTGAGCTCCTTTTTGGCTATACCGCGATGGTGTGCCGCGCTACGGCGAAAACCGAGTTCTCCTGGTATAGGGTTGAAGGCTGGCTGTGTGAAGAAATATCTATACTGTCGCTCGCGGCACGAGAAACGTGCATCAAAGTCGGGGCCTGGGTTGGGACACCATGCTAGAATGCGGATATCTTGCGGTAGGACACCGTTTAATATTTGTATGTAGGGTAGCTCATCCCTAATATCATCCCAGCCATTATCTTCGTCGACTTCCTGAGTCTCAACATCTGGGCTTGGTTCAGCATCGTCCTTTGTAGAATCAACGATCGACGCTTCTACATCGACCTGCTGTACAGTAGTCTCCCCAGCAGTAGTCGATGTGACAGTCGTACTAGTAGCAGTCTCGACCTTCCGCTTAGGCCGAGCACTTCGAACCCTGATACCAATAACCTGTCCAAACGCACTAACACCTCGATCAGTTCGCCCACATTTGGAGTATTGACAGCCATCCCAACTCAAATCAAACGGCTGCGTTCTATCTTGTTTATCAAGATTCAATTCCATTGGGGACGTCGTCGTAGGAAATATCAAACGTGTTTTGCGTAGCGCCTTCCATATTTCCTCCTCGATAGTAGGCAAGGGAGTTGTGTTTCCATTCGCATGCTCGAATCCGTTGTACCGTTGACCTAGATAGGCAAATTTGAGCGCAATATGGCGAGTATGGTATTTGGATGGATCCATTTCTCGAAATTGTTTCTTTGGCGTATTGGCGCCTTCAGGGCTCGGAGATCTAACTGGTGTGATATCCTGAAATTGAGGCTTAATTGCAGCCTTAGCTGTAGCTTCAGCAGACTTTGGAATTGTTTGCGGGACGGCACCGAATTCATTTGTCTGAGCATTGAGCTGACGTTCAAGCTCCATGATGCGTTCGACAAGACTGGATGTACTCCATGTTGAGTAATCCTGGCCTTGACCTGGGCCTGGCTTCGGCTCTTGAAGGGCGGACATGTTGGAGAAAAAGCAAGACGTTTGCGAATAATGTCTTCGAGTTACACTCTGCAAAGGAAGGTTTTTGACCTTGACGAACCTAGGGTAAACAGGTCGCGACAACCTCATCCCTCTATGTCGAAGAGGGACTTAGACTGGTCAATGGGAGTGTTGTGGGAGGTCGAGGTGGTGGTTTGGCTGTCTCGTTTCTTTTTATTTTTTATTTTCTGGGATCTTTAAATTGCGGCACCAAATTTCGGCCTTAGGCATGAACTCCATCCTTCCCAACGTCACCTGCTGGGTAAATCAACGCAAATGTATGTAGAGACTACACAGTAATCAATAGTACCATTATATCTGCGACTGTGCAATGGACGATCATGAGACAGTCACTCTTCTGATCTTGGGAGATATTGGCTGCGGAAAGACGACGTTCTTGTCGTGAGTACATCTACTTCCAAATATCAATATCACAAGACTATCTACTAACCCAGATATAGGCGCTTAAAGAACCCCAATCTACCTTTACATGGAGAAGCAAGTCTATTACGAGACGGCGACCAGCCATTTATTTATGACATTCGATTTTCCCGAAAATCATTCAAGCTAGAAGTATACGACACCGCATCCCCAAATCAGCATTGGTCATCCTTGAACCCGAGTGTGGTCATACTCGCATATGATATTTCTAATAGAAAAAGCCTGGATGCATTGAAACAAGTATGCCAATCCAGAGAAGCCGGAATCTGAGATTCATGCTGAAATTTTACAAGTGGCGCAATGATATCACCAGATACTTCCAGCGAGGCACTGGTGAACGTATCCCTGTCATGATGCTCGGTCTCAAACGAGATCTGCGAGTAGAGAATGATCAGATTATATACCCACAAGAGGCGAGTTCAATACTCCAGTCATTGAGTCTGATACATGTATCACGTCATCCACTAACAAGCTGAGATATATATAGGGCTACCGCATAGCTCAAGAACTGCATTGTGATCGCTATGCAGAATGCTCTGCAGTTACTGGAGAGTTGATTCGAGAGGCTTTTGAGGATATTGCCAAAGTTGCGGCTATGACGACCACTGAGAAAGGTGCACAAGGCGAGGGGGGCTGTACGATTATGTGAGGCGCATCGCGCTGCATGAGTACAACACATATGACTATCCAAGGGGAAAAGGTTGAGAAGAGCGTGGGACGGGAAAACATGCGTGCAGAGCAGCTAATCCATGAGCCATGTTAATCGTGCACGTGCATGTATCATCATACTGAAATTCGAGCAACGAGTGGTCATATCATAAAGGAGTAGCCCTCATCGCGCCTATATTGAAAGAACAAACATTGTATTGCTGGTGGCATATATCCCTTCGAAACAATAGCGCCGACGCAGGACAGTCAACGGTTACATCCTACGAGCTGATCGGCGTCTTCGACCAGGTTGGAAGCTCATGTTGAACACATTATCGGAGTCTAATCCTACTGGACTATCCATCTGCAAACCGATGTAATTCTTATTGATTAATCTTAAGACGACATAACAAATGAGATTTCCCCGAGACAACGATCAAGTCCGCCTCGTCAAACTGACAGTACAGGGCTTTCCCCTAGTAAATTCACTGATAATAGAATAAACTAGGTATCTTTCCCTCGTAAGTACCAGTCAGAACAGTAAACAATATGCGTGTGACAGGTATAAGGAAACCTCCGCTGCTGTAAATAATCGTCTCATGAAATCATAATCCTTCTCATCACGTACAATGGAATGATATTGTTTTTTTTTTTAGACCAAAGCTTTTGTGTTTTTGCGCTCAGATTGAATATGTAACGAGATATTCGACACCCATCATCGAATTTAGTCGTCAAAATTTTTTGATTTGATTCGAGTATATTCTAAATCTTTTCAATCAATCTACCACTTGGTCTCAGGGTTGGGCTGAGCAGACTCAGCAGCCCAGTCACCACCAGCCTCAGCCTCCCAAGTGGCACCAGCAGTAGCACTGGCAGCAGCGAAAGCAGTTCCAGGAGCAGCAGCGCCAGGAGCGGCGGCGTCCCAGCTGTCACCGACGAAGCCGGATTCGATGGCGGCAGGGCCAACCTCCTCAGCACCGGGGACCTTGGCTTCGTCAGCAATCTCCTTGGTCTCTTCGGCCTCAGGGTCGCGGTAGAAGTAGAGATCGACAACAACGTCCCACTCGGTCTCACGAGTAGCGAGGGTTCCGCGGAGACGGAGAACCTCACGGGCGAGCAACCACCAGACCAAACCGATGGCGTGGCGACCCTTGTTGTTGGTGGGAATGGCAACATCGACGAACTCGGTGGGGGAGTCGGTGTCGCAGAGGGCAATGACGGGGATATTGACGTAGCTGGCCTCCTTGATAGCCTGAGCATCGGTACGGGGGTCGGTGACGATGATCAAGCGGGGCTCCTTGAAAGAGCGGGTGATGTAGTTGGTGAAGTTACCAGGTGTGAAACGACCGGCAATGGCGGTAGCACCAGTGTGGGAAGCAAACTTGAGGACAGCACGCTGGCCGTAGGGACGGGCAGAAATGACGGCAACATCGGCGGGGKTGTCGATGGCTGCGATGATACGGGCAGCGAGGACAATCTTCTCCCTATGAGATTATTAGATAGGCATTCGCAAGAATTGTCGAATTTTTTGACGCATACCAGGTCTTGCCAATGTTGATCACGTTGATTCCATCGGGACGAGTCTTCCAGAGGTAAGGCTCCATGTGAACCTGCAAGTTCTTGGAACCCAAGTGGCATTGAGCTGCGAGGAGCATCTCAATGTCCTGAGATGTGGCATTGAAAACGGGGGGGAGGTTAGAGGGAGCCATGGTGGACGACTGATGTGGTGATGGAAGTGAGGATATTCAATCGTTTTGGCACTTGTCCTGAGCGTGAAGAGGAAGTCGAAGGTTGGTCGCAATCGAAGACGAGAAAAAAGATCGCACAGGGCACCGCTCAGCCAGTCACAGCAGCGCATCGCAGGATTTCGCTTGCGTTGTGGGTTAGGGCAATAGCGCGCCAAGATTTTGAGGTCACGTTTTGCACTACTCCCAAGATAGACTAGCGGAGTTTGGCTGCGGCTTCCGGGCTTGGCGTTGATGTTGAGATTTCCGGGAGAACATCTCAAGGAAGGTTTTCTGTGACACAGAAGTAGGAAGCAGCTAGCCAGTAGCTACAATCAAGATGCCTCCACGACTATCATTACAGGGCATCTCGAAGCCATTTTCGGGTTCGTTCTCAGCTTCAATACGCAATTCCTCCGTAACTAATACAAGCTCAGGCTCCTCACATTTATCCAATCCATTGACAATCGTCAAGCGCGAACCATGCAAAGTCGATATTCGCGCAGGCTCATTCGAGGCTCGACAAAGACGACGACATGACCCATTCCTCATGGCCCAGTCGCGTCAACGTAAAGCCGCCAATATATCTCGCCAACAAGCTCTGTTCGAAGAACGACAGGCTGCCTTGGGCGACCCCGTGAAAAGCGAACCTACTCCATTCATTCAGCAGATCGACGCAATCCAGTCCGGCAACATTCCTCCTCAAACTGTCGGATCAGCCAATGTCAGCACATGGAACCATTTCATCAAGGCTGACGAATTCGACTCGGCACTCGAGTACTCCAAAACTCTCACAGAGCCCCTGCCACCGCAGGACGCGAACATCGCTGATCCTCACGCACACGCACAACAGATCCAACGACACGAACAAGCTCACCAAAATGCACTGGAGGCAATGAAGCGTATCGTGCAGCTGTCCAGCGGAAATACCGCGGATCGTACTCGAGTCAACATCGAAGCTTGCATTGAAACCTTTGGTCGACACAACACCGACAAGGTTCTGCCCCCGAAACCAGCTGCTGTAACAACTACAGAACACCCCGAAAAGACTCCCCGAGCCGGCCCGGACACTGGGTCACCGGAAGTCCAAGTTGCTATTTTGACAACCAAGATTATGAATTTATCGCGACATCTTCAGACGACCAACAAAGACAGACATAATAAGCGCAATCTTCGAGTGCTTGTACACAAGAGACAGAAGTTGCTTCAATATCTGAGAAGGAAAGAGCGAGGAGGCCCGCGATGGCAGAATCTGATGACATCTCTTGGTCTGTCAGATGCAGCCTGGAAAGGTGAAATCAGCATGTAAATTATCACATACATATATTTCTCTTTTGTATTTTTAGCACCAATGGCACCAATATCATCAAGCCATCCTCAGGATTCTGTGTTCTTGCTAGGTCAAGATGTAGACCAGTAATCACAGATATCATCAATTATGATTAGAAGATGGTCATGACTATTGCCACCGAACAAGGCACAACCGAGACTACTTGGAATGGAGACTGTCGATACGGATTTGAGCATGAAGCTCTCATTCATTACACTAACAAGGGGCGTGCCCGATATGATAATAAACAAAACGCCGATTCTCCAGACCGGTTGTGACCTCGAGGAGGAACCTGCCTCTTGAGGTATGCAAGCTGACGGCAACCCCGGTCTAGAAACAAAAATGGTGAAAATGATTGAAACTGAAAATAAGGCACGAGCTGGAAGAGAAATCACTTTTTGACCCATACATGAATTGAAATCTTTTTGCCTGACACTAACAAAACTCCAAAGAACGTGACCGACATTGAAAACACAAAACTCCAATGCAATGGATTGATCACACGATCGTTCATCGACTTCGTAAATTTCTGATGCGTCTTTTCAATATTTGAGGCAGACGACGCCTTTCTGGTGTCATATACATCTCGGTATATGACATACAATGTAAAGTACTCGTGATTACAGTCACAAGTCACTGAGTATCTCATCCGTGTCAATTAAGCCCTGGTCGAGCTCATTCTGAAATTGTGCAAAAGATTTTTTGAACAAATGGTGGCTAGCTCTCTGCTGCCCTGCGCTCACGGAAGTCGATAGTGTAGTTTCTTGGATGTTGTTGGATGGAAGCGGGTCGAAGCTAGGCCACTGCACCTTGCTTAAATCACCACTGGGACAACTTTGGTAGAGCTCGAAAGCTTGCTGTCCATGCTCATCGTCGCCGAAGAATTGTATAAGATCCTCCTGATCCTGATCCTGTCGATGCATTGCAGTCAAAGTTTGAGCCGGGCTTGCCTGTGAAGCGGGGCTGGATGAAAGTGGAATGTGGTTGCGAAGACGACTAGGGGTTTTAGGCCTGCTTCTTTCTATCACCGGCTGGCCTCTAGCAGTCGCTGAAATGGGTTTGATTGGTGGTAAATGGATTGTTTCGTCGTTGACACTCTGTTTGGTGGCAGCGTAAAGAGAGCGATCACGAGGCTCATTTGTAGCCACGCCATTGCTTGATGCGCCCGTCGCAGTCTGTTGGAAGACTTGCTGTGTTGGATGCTCCGCGGGTTTCTGAACGGATGGTTGCTGACGAGGTTGTTGGACTATTTGTTGTGCAGGTGGTTCAACGCGTGGTTGCAAGATAGATTGCTGTGCAGGTGTGCGCACAGGGGATGGGTGAGCAACGGGTTGCTGAGCAGGTTGCGACACTTGAGGTTGTGGGAAGCGGTTCGTATGGGTTCCTAAACCATTGTTAACGAGATTGTTCCAAAGACGTCTTTCAACTGCCGCTTTGCGTAGATCTGAGATTGAACCAGATTGTGGGAAAGTTTTAGGAGAGGGTGGCATGGGTTCCATTGGGTGCATAGGCTGCATGGGATAGACGGGTTGCATGGGTTGCATGAAGGGATTCTCCAAGGGTGGGGGCTGGGTTCGCAAATCCGGGGTTGGATGATATGGGTTCAAATGGAATGAGGGTGCTGCATGTGTCATACCCTGAAACATTTGTCCACTATAGACTGTGGTAGTTGGACGGTTCCAACCAGGAGGCACAGGAGCTTGCCAGTGTGTTTGTGTAGTCGTGTTTGTGGACGGTAGTTGGACGTTCAATGATTCTGGTTCTGGTGGGAGGAGTCGGGCTCTCTTCTCTGGAGGCCGAGCAGTGGGAGCTGAAACAGTAGAATTTGCGGCGACGGCGGCTTCACGTTCAAGTTCGCGTCTTGAGTATTCCTCGGCCTCTTCAATCTCATCGTCGGAGTAGGTGAAATAATCTAAATCCATGCCGTAGCTGCAGCCAGCAGGATTCGGAATCACGTCTGGAGAAGGTGCGCGTTTGCGTTTGTGGCTTCCGGTCTCTGGCTCTGCCTGGGTATCAGCATTTTGAGGTTCCCCATTTTGAGGCTCTCCATTTGTTTTGTTTTGATCAGTCTGCTCCGTTCCTGGTACTTGCGAGTTCTCTTCTACGGTAGCAGTAGTTTTTCCGCCTTTATCTTCTTGTTCGCCAGCCTTCGCCTTTTCTTCAGACGAGGGTGCAATTCCAAGGGGTGATGGGATCGGGGGAAATAGGCTGTATGTCATATCCACATCGGCATTCTGAGTGCTGTGGGATTCGGTACTTGGGACCGCTGCGCCATCAACACGTACTATTGTCGCACCACCACCTGCAGCTATTAAGTTTGATGCGAAATTAGCAATGTACTCAATCAATGAGATATTACAACTTACCGAAGGGAACAGCTTGGTCCGGAGCTTGTCGCACAAAAGGGACAAGTCGTCGCCTCACAGACCCAAGGAAACTGCGAAGACCCCAGTTGTTCGAAGTTGGAGTCTCGACTGGTTGCTTCTCGTCTTCATGGTCTTCGACGTCGAATTCGTCTTCGAATGCGGGAACCTGGAAGGAACTCTGCATATTCTCTGGAATTGGTCCTAGCACCATATGGCGCTCCATTGCCTTTTGTGTGATAGCATTACGAGCTTCTTCCTCTGCGGCTTCTCGTGCAGCTTGTTGAGCTTGCTCTTGCTCTCGGAGGTTTGTCACAGCTTCATCTAATTGAAATATTGAAGATTGGGCGCTTAATCTTTCTCCGTTCGTAGCGCGTTGTCTTGCCGCTTCCATAAAACTGAGCTTTTTTCCAGGATTAGTAGTAGGAATGGGACGACGCTTGTTGCGAGGGGTTTGGCCCGGTGGGGGTCTGGTGCGACGACGTTGCGCCATGGGTGGTCCATCAGTACTATTTTCGTCGTTGTTTGATTCCAAAGCTCGCTTCTTGCCCTTCTGCTTTGCAGAGAGTTCTTTTTTTTGCTGTTCGGCTACTTGTGCGGCTTTGTCCTTGGCCGTGGCCTCAGCTTCTTTCTCGACTCGAAGGCGGTCCTCTTTCGCTTTCGCCGTAGCAAGTATACCTTCCGCACATATATTTGTTAGCACTATGTTCAATGCATGGATCGTTTCATTAGACATCAAGGAGCGTAGATCATGGCCTCGCACGCATTCCATCTTCACGACACCATCGTAGCAGCAAGGACAACGGATTGATTCGGCGAATGGCTTGGTACCGTCGGTGGTCTGGCGATGAAGAACGATTTTCAAAGCGGCTTCGAGGATCTCGTCTTCGGCAAGAGAATAATTGGTTTGATAAGTAGGGTAAGAATCAACATCTGTGGGAAGCGCTGGTACACCTGTCTCGAAAAGATTTTCCCGTGGCTCGCGTCGGCTTTTCAATTCATGAAACCTACGTCTGACGGTTGAAGATGATTGCTTGATACTCTTCTTGAAAAATTTGAGAGCGTTTCTGACGGACGCCTTTTTGACTGGCGAACCGAGGCTTGACACACTTCCCAGAGAGGTGATGGAGGAAGCGTCAGATTCGCTGGCGGACCGTGCAGTGGCGGGAGCAGGCGACGTAGTTGAGCCGTTGTCCTGTGCTGCATTGATTCCTCGTGGTGTCTGAAGAATAGGCACTTCACCTTGATTTTGAGGGGTCTCCTGGGTCCAATGGGATTCCTGGGTAGGGGTTTGGATATGAGTTTCTTGGGTAGCAATCTCACTTTTGTTTTGAATTTTTTCCTGGGTTATCTCCTCTGTCGCTACAGCCGTTGCCTTCTTCGTAGGCTTGCGACCACGCTTTGTCTTCGTGTCGGTTGCTTTCTTGGTATCAGCGGATGCTTTCGTAGGCGTAGTTGTAGGAATCCTTCTCCTACGACGTGGGCTTTCAAGCGAAACGAGAGGCGATTCCACCTCTTGGGCTTGCGCTTGAGCGCGTGTGCGAGGCATGGTGAGTCTTGAAGAGCGTCAGATCCGCGTAGACATCGGCGAGATTGAACAATTGAGGTGAAATTGTTGTAAGAAATTTGTGGAGAAAGGTAGACAGGTTATGAATGGGTTGAAAAGGAGCTGTTTTGGGAGCAGAGAATATTGTGTTGTGATGGGAACGAGTGTGTAAACAAAGACTTGAACTTTTTTTTCGGACTCGACAAGAGTCGAAAAAGATGAGTCTGTAGTAACGTTGAAGCGATAAATATCGTCTTGAAGAGAAGGAGAAGCCTTTGAAGGTCCTAATATGAAGATGGATAGAAAGCAATTGAGATGAACGAGAGAATAGAAAAGAATGTAGAGCGAGAGAGGAGGGGTGGATGGATAGAGGAAATAATCAAGCTTCACGGAGTTAAGAGAGCAAACGAAAGCAAACGAACTTACCTGAGTCGAGGGTCGTGTTTCTGTGGCGGGCAACGATAACAACGACAACAACGCGTCTTTTTCTTTGTTGACGGATTGCCCCGTTACAATACAGTACCGAGCAAACAGCCAAACGAGCAGCGCGGTGAGGTTATCGACATGGCAGAACAACAAGCGTAGACAACAAAAAAGAGATGAAGAAGTTGGACATCGGCGGTGCTGGCAAAGGCAGGAAGTGACGTCGGCAGAATAGCGCGCCAGCTATGATTGGCGCGGAGGGCCTTACCGCCCCGGACGTTTGGGGCTTGCAGTTTGCAATGTTTGCACCGTTCTGAGCGTGGTTTCAGTTTCGATCAGGGTTAGGGTGAGGATTCAATTTATTTCCCGAGTCGGTAATAGGATAATACTCCAAAACACTAACCTCATAGAGCCCGACCAGCGAGATTCAGTCTAAGAAAATGTGCTCTCGCATGACCTGCCTGGTACTCATTGATGTTCCCGCTAGAATTTGATTTTGACTGACATACGAGTTACTTCCATCATAACGGATTATATAACGTATGCATTCTAGGATGCTCACTACTAGGCACTCTCTAGGGGCTTGTATAGGCGATGCTCCCATAAGAGTATGAGTCATTCTGTAACTTGACGCTGAACTGACATCTATGCTGTGTGATTGGCTTGGGTATATGAGTCACTAGGTGTGCAATCAATCCTTAGATCATAGTTATACACGTATGTTACTTGAGTGTTTTACTGGGCTCGGAAAATTTACCTTATATAAAACGGAAGTGGATTTTTAGCCCTAGGTGAGCGATGGTCAATATCCATTTCTCAAATGTCTCGACATATCTCAAGTACGACGTCTTCGACGAATAGACTTCACCTCTCAGATGAAGAGGCTTTTGCAATCACAGTGTCACCAGGTGCACTGTGGAGTTATAGCCAGCAGCATCTTCTGAACCCTCCGAAAGCCTTTCTTCAGGTCACAGGTTCCCACTTGGTAAAAGACGGGTCCGCACAGAAGTCGATAATAGATTTTGATATCTGGATCGATTGCTCGGAAGACAGTGAACTGGAGTGGATACAGATCAAGGAGAGCGCTGGTATCGTCACCTACAGTAGATCATCCGCTATAACATCGGAACTCGACAGCCCGCTTGGTCAATGGTATCAACAATATGCCAACAATCTATCACAACAACATGGGTAAATCATCACTCGGATCTGGCAAACAGATGTTACCGCTAACATGATTACGCAGCTTTCTATTTATTAAAGAAGTTTCACAAAATGATAAGGCAATCATATCAGCTCAAATAAAACTGCTTGCGGATGGGGTTAATTACGGAGGCACTCTTACGACTAAATCTCATGATCTGGAAATTCAGATCGATGTACCACCTATTAAATCGTCTTCGATCGTTTATCAAAAAGCCGAACTCAAGAGCCGCTGGAGTTGTAAATGGCCATTCACTGAATACAGTCAGAATGTGTCGGAAGAATTATTACATGCTAAGCACCTGCAAATCGCAATGGTCAATCAACTAAAGGGTTGGATTACCCTTGGAGATCTACCTCCACAGAAGGGAATGTCTCCGCTCCGCAGAGGTATAAGAATGGGCAATCGCGAAATTGTTTTCTCTGACACTGTGCCCACTGAGACTGGAAATTATACACGCCAAACTGTAAGATTTAGCAAGTGGGGCTGCGATGAGATCAGTACTTAAGTCAATCGAGCCAGGAATTTTACCAAACTTCGGTGAACTTGTATTGTTTTTCGAGTTGAGGAAAGTCATCAATAGTATAGTAAGTCGTAGTTCATAAACTAACGACAGTGAAGACAATAGTCCCTCTCAGGTCTCTCAGGTACTTAAAGGGGTATCGTTTCTATACGAGCTGGATTATCTCTCAACTAGATTTTCAACAAGTCATCTACATATGCATGCCATCTCTGCCTGACTATGGCAATGCCATTGCTCTCGTGTCCATTACATGGGCTTATGATCAGATAGATTGCTTGTATGCTCCTCTTCTCATGCTGGGGTGTCTGTACCGAATTGCCGATACCCACACACATAGGTATTTGTGGCCGTAGAAAAGGCAGGTTCCGACATCTGGGGTAGCTAATGCCACCAACTGCATTAATCGAAACACACCTACCAGGCCAACCTCAGTCTTCCACTACTAGTAAGATAGCTGGATAATGAACTATCTAGAGATTACCTAGGTAAGTAGCGAGAGTCACGGTGCTGATCCTGCATTACTAATACGACGTCATTGAACCCAACTTCCAAGTATGTCCTAATGGCCATCAATGTAGCTTGGCATCTAGCTATAAGGCTGCTGTCTCCCGCATCGTCTCACTTGACTTCTCCTTTCTACATATGTAGTCATATTTGGTCGCTCGTAGTGACAGACTCGACATGACAACCGTAACTGCCATCACCCAACAGCCCGTAGAGGCGTTTAACACAGAACTCGGCGAAAATGAACCTGCCGTGTTTGCAACCAGCTACCCAGAAGGAGGACGCGACGCATGGCTAGTTGCCATAGGCTCCTGGTGCTCAATGACTGCTGCACTGGGCATGGTCAACTCGGTGGGTGTCCTAGAGGCTTATGTATCAACCAATATCCTGACCTCGAGCTCGACTGACTCGACCGGTTGGATTTTTGGAATCTATGTCTTCGTCTCGTATTTCTGCGGCGTACAGGTTGGTCCGATCTTTGATGCTCGCGGACCACGCGAGTTGATGCTTATTGGGACTGTGTTTCTTTTGGTTGGCACCTTTACTCTAGGGCTTTGTACAGGTGAGCATTGCTTTTCAAGGCAGAAATTGAAACCGGCGCTAACCTTATGATGCAGAATATTATCAATTTATCTTGGCCTTTTCCATCCTCAGCGGAATTGGGAACTCATTCTTGTTTACACCTGCCATGGGCGCCATATCGCATTGGTTTGACAAACGACGCGGCGAAGCAAGTGGTTTCGCTTTCACGGGCAGTGGCTTCGGCGGAGTCCTCTTTCCGCTGATGATTCAATCACTACTCCCACGAGTAGGATGGGCCTGGTCAACACGCATCGTCGGCTTTGTCTTTTTACTCCTGTGCACCGTTGGCGTGGCCCTTTGTCGAAGCCGCCTGCCGCCCAAGAGAGGGGCCGCCGCTTCATGGCGAGTTATGATGCCCGACCTCAGCATTTTCTCCAAGGACGGAACCGGAGCTATGGCCGTGACCACTGCTGGTGTCTTCCTTCTCGAATGGGCCTACTTCGTCCCTCTGACGTMCCTGCCGAGCTATTATTTGACTCGACAGGGTCTTGCGGATACAGCGGCCGTCACTGGAGCAGCAGCCTTTGCCTACCAGTTACTTGCTATACTCAATGCCGTGTCATGCGTCGGCCGCTACCTTATTGGACATATTGCCGATAGAGCAGGCCGCTATAACACTATGATTGTCTCCAATCTAATATGTCTAATCTCCGTAATATCTCTGTGGCTACCCGACGCACTGGCAGACTCGCCTCCGAGCAAGGCTTTATTGATCTGGTTCGTTGTGGTATTTGGGTTCGCTAGTGGTTCCAATGTCAGTTTGATGCCAGTTTGTATTGGACAGTTGTGTCCTATCGAGGATTATGGCAAGTACTATGCCAGTGCCTATACCGTGGCTAGTGTAGGCTGTTTGACGGGTATACCTATTGCCGGAAATCTTATAACGGCTACTGAAGGAGGTCGACGGGGCTACTGGGGTCTCATTCTGTTCACTGGTCTAAGCTACGTAGCGGCATTTGCCTGTTTTCTTTGGGTGCGAGTTCGAGCAAAGGGCTGGAATTTAAGAACAGTCTGGTAGCGAGACTCCCACGAGGAAGTCAAAAATATATACACATATACCCATGGATGTCTGTCCAGTTAACGGAGCTATGCTGATGAAGGCATCGGCCTCCTCTTTTATGCATCAATATATTTTATTTTAAACCGTTGACATCGCCAACATTATTGCTGGATGATATACTGGAGCATCACCTACTTTGTCCCGTCATCAAACGTGATACTACTTCCTAGTTCTATCCTAACATGATCTATAATGCGCGCTACCCTTTATCCTAGTTGATCGGGCAAGGTCCCAAAATGGCATTCGCATGGCTAAGCCTCAAAATATGTCGACTAATCTTGCGGGAGCCTTGGAACCTGCAAGGTTCATCCTGGAGGCCACCCTATCATCAGACCACATCAATCAATACGTTGATGTCTAACTCAATTGCCTCACGAGGTAGTGATGCTGATCAGTGACTTCCTCGACCGAATAGACCACAGCAGTGTGATCAATCTAGCACGCGTGAATAGAGATTTTTCATCTATCTGCACTCCTTCTCTTCAGGTTCGGGTTCTCGAATTTTTCGAGTGCAACGACGTCTGGCATCCCAAGATGGCAACTTGATCGATTCTGATACTCCTTGGGCCACGCTCACGGAAACTCTGGTTGCTACCTGGTCGTGGTGAAATTGTGCCGTTGGAAACACTTCATCACCTCAGCAAAAACTGCCATGTCCTTGAAAAGCTTTCCACAAGAACTAGTCGTTCTCGACGTGACATACAAGTGGTGTCTAAATATAAGGTCCTTCCATTGGTGCAAGACCACGACTGAAAAGATTGTTCCTGAAACTCGAAAGGGAAACAGAAATGTGGAAATTGTATTAGTGGGCCTTTATGCCGAGGATCATGAGGTGCCTACGCTTGCCCTAGGGATTTCTCATCCGGATTTGAACAGGAGGGTGGCCCCTAGTATATTACCATTTGCGTTGCAAGTTTATCAGCGCGTGTGGCCAACGAAGAATGAGCATTGGTGGGATGACTGGCATAGCTTTCTGCTTGCGTTGTCTACTGAGGATAAGATAGACTGCTCAAAAGAATAGTACATCGGCTCTATTCAGTGGGTATCTAAGAAGGATCTTGAGGAGAAAGTAGGAATATGGTAGTTAGAAGGACACCAGGGCACTGAATCCGACCATTTAGTCAAACCCCTTGAATTCATCTTCGCTCCCATCGGCATTAGCATTTTGCGCTGCTTTGGCAKCCTCTCGTCGTTTCTCAGCCTCCTTTCGTACATTCTCAATCATTGCCTCCGTCTCCCGGACTTTTTGTTTCTCTTCTTCAGTCATCTTATCCCATTTATCTCGGTCACGACGTGCTCGTTTCCGTTCTCGTCGCTGTTCCCTCTCTTTCCTCTTCTCGAGGTTCTGACTCCAAGGCACACTTTCCCCTGATACCGCAGGTCGTTTCTTTGTGTTTTCTTCTGATCTCGATGCTTGATATTCTTTTAAAGCTTCAAGGCGATGTTTTTCTCTTTGTTTGTCGGCATATGCGTAGTTATCCCAGTCGAGCGCCACGCCTAGGAATTTATCGCCCTTGAAGTTCCTTAATTCAGGCATCTTAGGCAGTTTCAACAAACCCCAAGCATGACCCAATGCTTCCCAGTCTAGATCAGCCACGCGAAAGATACTACTGGCTTGATGCTTGCTGTAGCTTCGCAGCCAGCTCACAAACGCCTTTTGGGCTTTGTCATGGTACGATCTGTCTGATAACACGGTTTTCCGCACTATCTCTGTCGCATTGCGGGCATCTTCATCAGTGATGTTGAATGCCGGGTTTTCGTATAACGTGACTGGCGTCTTTCGAACCTCGAGGAACGGGACATAATCCTCTTCGCGACCTGGTGAAAGAAGGACGATACTCAGACCCCGCCGACCGGCTCTACCGGCTCGTCCGCAACGGTGAATAAACGCCTTGGGATCAGAAGGAGGGTCTACTTGAATGACGAGATCAACGGATGGGATATCTAATCCACGGGCCGCAACATCGGTGGTCAGGAGTACTGAAGGTGTGACGGAGTTGGTGAAGCGAGTAAAGTTCTTTTGTCGGACATTGGCCGGATGTTTCCCATGTAGTGGTATGACGGTAAAGTCGTTGCCGAGGATTAATGGTACTATATGTTGGAAGTAGTCGACAGCTGCGCATGTCGAGAAATATAAAATAGATTTTTGGGGCCGAGGCTCTAATATGTCCAGGATGTTTTTGACGGCGGGAAGTTTGTGTGTAGGAGGTGTGACAAGATATGTCATTTGTAAGCTAGGGTCTAGGTTAGTGATTTGAGGTATTACCCAGGTGGTGTGAACAAACCTAGCAGGAGTACGCTTTTCTTCCACTCCAGACGCTCCGCGCACTTTCACTGCAATCTTGACAGGATTTCGCAAGCCGACTCGAATGATCTGATCCAAGGCTTCGCTCACACTAGCACTAAACAAGCCCGTTCGTCTTTGTTTCGGAAGTCGCCCAAGTATTTTCGAGATGTCGTCCTTAAATCCAAGATCTAATAATCGATCGGCTTCATCGAATACCAACATCTCGAACGAGGATTGAGGGCAGTGTACGTGAGGCGACGAAAGAAGCTCGAGAAGTCTACCGGGAGTTCCAACGAGCACATTGGGCGACCTTTTCAGGAATTGACTGAGATCCTCGGCGGGTGTTGTTGTTCCACCTAGGAGGAGCTGTGGAATGACTTTCAGTGTAGATGATGGGTATTTTTTGACGCCTTCCTGTGTCTCATCGGCTGGKTTAATGGCGGATGCGGAGGGGCCGTGGAACTCCAAAAGAGACAGGAGGACATTGTAGATTTGCGAAGCGAGTTCCCTGTGTGCATAGAATTAGCCTTGAAATGATGCCACCAGGCGACTATGATAATGCACTCACCTCGTTGGCGCAACAATGATAGACCCAATATGATGTTTTTTCATCGGCTCGTCCAACCGCAGCAATTTTTCCACAATCGGTATCAAAAATGAGAGAGTCTTTCCGCTACCCGTCACAGCTTCTACCACGACATCTTTATGGCTCATGAATAGTGGAATGGCAGATGCTTGTACTGGGGTCATGCGGGCGAAACCCATTGTCGACATTGCTTCCAGAATCCATTCTGATAGCGGCGGATCGAGATTCTCCCACAACCTCCCAGTTGACGCTCGAGGTTTTGGTGCCATTTTCAGGCTATAGGAGATTTCCGTTTGAGACAGTTGCCAGGATGTATGAGAACGAGAAATGTTGTTGATGTCGCATGTCGAAAATTATCTCGGGCGGTCTTTTTCTGCCGTCGAAAATATTGCTTTTGATTGGTGGGGCCTGTCTGGGGTGGCTGATAAGATAAAAAAAAAGCATCTCTGGCTCTCGGCATCTTAACAGCCCTGCTATAACGTCGATCACATCCTACGATATATGTTTTCGAGTCTATGATTGCACAATTCATACGGAAAACTCAGAAGACCTACTTAGTTCTTTGCACTCCCGATTGTGATCAGTTTAATTGCGTGCATCGAATCCATCACGTGACCTGGAAAGTGCCGGAAGATCGGCGTTGCATGTGATTTAGGCACGATTCAGCCAGAAGAAATCTTAAAACTGTTCACGAGGCTCCTACTCACTCCAACTCATCTTTTTGAATCCTCCTTGTTTTTCGGGTTGGTTTTAGGGCGAATGTCATGAGCTAGTGCTTTACGGTGCTCGCCTGACTGTTTTCTCCTTATATCCCCGCGTTGACCCAGCTTATCACTAGCTGGCGATATTGATATCCTCAAACCCACCAACAGCGTCAAGCACAATAAACCGCCAATATTCAGTCCCTAACTCCCGTTCCGACTCTCCTCTCTGCTCTACTCGCAAAGTCAAAACCCGATCGTTGCTGTCCCCACGCTCCATCCCGACTTCTGCATCGGACAGCCAACGGTGTCATCGCCCTCCCGGCTCTGCCGCTTCTCCTCCCAGACGCGGTGGAGATGTCTTCTCCGCGTGTACCGGCTACTCCCCGAGTCATATCGCCGTCGCCTACACCGTCAGACGCATCAGAACAAGTAGATGGATACTTTGCTCCTGTGACGCGCTCGGCAGCTCGGCGGCAGCGTCTGAATAATGATACCCAGTCCATCCCCGAGGAGGACCAAAATGATGACTCTGACTATCAATCGCGATCCGGTCCACGGAATCCATCGTCACGATCCGGAGCACCAGGAACCGCCAGAAGGCGCGGCTCTACGAGAAAGACACCCAAACCAGCAAATTCGCCGGTAGTCAAATCACAGCCATTAGTCGGGGCCAACGGTAAACAATCATCGTCAAACGGTTACCTCTCTCCATACACAAGTCTACAGGACCGCTGGCGAGACCTGTCAAGGTCACCTTCACCACTGGGACTTATACCGTTACATCAAGATTATCGTGTTTTTATCCACAAGCATGAAATACCGCGTAAACTACTGCATGTTTCTATCGGATTCATGACGTTGGAGTTTTACCGACGCGGTATTCAAACGTTTGAAATCACGCCGTGGCTGCTTTCTTTGCTCATCCCTATCGCTGCTACCGATCTACTCCGACATCGATATGAGCGAGTAAACCAACTTTACATTCGTTCACTGGGCGCCCTCATGCGCGAATCCGAAGTCAAAGGTTATAATGGCGTTATTTGGTACCTTCTGGGTGCATTCATTGTGCTGCGCGCATTTCCCAAGGACATTGGCGTTATGGGAGTTTTATTATTGAGCTGGTGTGATACCGCTGCATCCACTTTCGGTCGTCTGTATGGCAAATACACTCTCAAATTACGCCAAGGAAAGAGTCTTGCCGGCACAGTCGCCGCGTTTTTCACTGGTGTAGCCACTGCACTCTTTTTCTGGGGCGCATTTGTCCCTAGCGTTGGAGCATTCCCTAACGACCCCGAAGATGCTTTCATGTTCAGGGGTCGACTCAACTACTTCCCAGAGTCGATCAGGAACCTAATAGGTTGGGCCGGCAGTGATGATCAAAGCAGTATCATCACAGGCCCCTTGGCGCTTGGTGTTATGAGCGTTGTTTCCGGCATCGTTGCTGCCGGAAGTGAATTTGTTGATCTTTTCGGTTGGGACGATAATCTTACCATACCCGTATTGAGTGGGTTAGGGTTTTGGGGATTTCTCAAGTTCTTTGGTTGACTTTGGATCTAGGCGCATATATTTTGTAATTAGACTTGGTAGATATTGTATTTAGCACATGATGAACGACTGTCCTCTCTATGATCAATTTGGCTTCCAAAGTTCATATGTCTCAAGTATTTTAACTTATCCTTTACCAGATACAAGCTGGCGGTAGAAAGTCCAGGGACAAAAGCGTACTCTGTCATCTTCAATTCTGAGGATTATGTAGATCATGTCATTAAATCATGCAACTGCCTATATAGACGAAACCCTATATCCATGGATGTTCATGCCCAAACGATCCAACGAAAACTCCCGAAAGTTATCCCAACGCCTAGAAATGCTTATACGGTGTTACTAAACAGATAGACCAGAATGACCGAGTGCTTGTAAAACGAAAACAGTCACCTCATATCCAAGAGACTGACACGTGCAATTCTCTTCTTCTTGTCTTTACCCTTCTCGGTGTCTTCGTCATGCTCTTGTTGTGCTTCGTGGGTTGCAGGGTGAGTTTCATCCTGTTCGCAAAGATCCAGGGTCCAGAATCCTTTGTGAGTTCGTATTACCTCTGTAAGAGTTTTGGGAGGCTGCGATTGACTCTGATCCGGCTCCTCGACCTCGACATCGACTTTGGGTGGCGCTTGCTCAATAACTTCGAGATCGATAACTTCAATAAATTTCTTTACTTTTGGTTCACCTTCCTGCTCTTGCAGGGCAGACGGTTTATGTTCATCCTTGAGCCGAACTGCAGGAGCTTTCGGCGATGGCACAGAAAGTGGTTCGTTAGACTTAGCTGCTGCCTTTGACCTAGGCTTTCGCAATTTTTGCGTATCATTATGTGTCTCAGATTCTGGACTCTTGACTGCAGGAGAAAGGCTGAGCAATTCAAATGTCGCCTCTAATGACTTTTCGCTGCTGGATTGTTTTGCCTTGATCCTGTTTGAGCGCCGAAGTTTCGGGTTAGGGGATACGGCTGAAGTCAGAGGATTGACCCGTATGGTTTCGATCGCGAGAGGCGAAAGGCTGCCAGCAGCCGTGTAGCTAATTTTGAACTTTGTCGGCGATGGTGAATGCAATGGAGAGAAAGTAACAGAACCTTCAAGCTCAGAATCGAAGTCAAAACTGTTCGAATCAAATCCGCGAATAGATGGAGGATGTCTAAAGCCTGAGTCTCGCACATCACTGTATCCATCTCCTATGCTGCAGGTTGCAGAAAATTGACTAGCAAGTTCATCTATAGCCAGATCTGACGGCTTCATTGATTGTTGACTCTGCTGTGGAGATTGACTTGAAAAAATCCCTATATCAGATATGGCGTTATATTGACTGCTGTAAGTACTTTGACTTGAAGATTGCTGTGGCGATGACGATAACCCTGCGGCGTCCAGGATGTGAGCCTTCTTGACACTGTTCATGTCACTGCCCGGTTTCGTGACAGTTGTGTAACGAAGAATACCACCCGGCTTCATGCTCGGATCAATTACCTTCTTCCTAGTCGTCATCTTCTTTGGCGCTGGCTTCTTGGGAGCTTTCTTCTCCGCTTCCTGCTTCTGCCAACGCTCCACTACATCTGGGATTCCCATCTTTGCCACAGTTTCAAATACCCAGATCTTCTCCGGCTCGAACGGATTGTATGGATTTTTGGGTGCATGGAACTTCGGTGCTTGGTCTTCTACAGGTGCGGCTTCGCCACCTGCATCATCTTCATCTTCCACTGGTTGAGTACTTGGTTCAGTAAGCTGCGACCACTCTGGAGGAGGATTAGGTTCTTCCGCCTCTAAATCCAGCCCGACAACATCGGCAGGTATCATTTCCACTTGAACTTGGGAAATACAGCCTGTACTGAAATGCATTCGACTGCGGTATATCCTCTGCAGGACAGGCAAATCTGGATTCGGGACATAAGATCCGTAGCCAAACGGGGCAATTGGAGATCGAGCAAGTCGAAGTCTGGTCAGAATCAACGGTTCTGCCAGATTTCGCACCAACTTTCTCGCTCCCGAGCGGTATTTCCAATCAAAGTAGTTTGCAACAAAGTGTCGAAGTTCAAGGGCATTTATCTCGTGGTCCCAAGCTCCGACAAGTCGCTGGCGCAATAGCTCAATGTCCCGGTTTTCGGAGACAATAGGTCTCGCATAGAATGATAAGATTTGCCGATCAGGAAATGTATCTGGGATTCGGACAGCCTTGTGCTTTGATTGGAAATAACCGCTTTCATTCTCATCGAGTTCGTATTGGAGCCGCTCCCTCCATTCTGCGAGTTTGGCCTCCACCTCGTCTTCGCTGGAGTATATGATATCAAAAAGGTCCTCACCGAATCCGGCTTTCGCAATCTCACCAGCGAGACCAGGACCGCATTTTGTGACACCGGATGGCAAGTAATCTCCACCGCTTAACATTGCAAATAGAACCATACCCGCCCGGCTCAGTTTTACGTTAGCCTCAACGTCAAGCTGTGATTCGGTAGTGTAGCAATCGATATGAGTGGCGGCCGAGGTTCCCGTTGAACCCTCTTTTGAGAAATTCATGACCGTAAGGCCAGATCCAAACATCAAAGTGTCGATATCATTGCTCATGACTGCATCCACAACCCCCGCTTGCTGTAGTCTTGCGCATTCGGCCTCCGCTTCCCCCGGCGCATCATGTCGTGGAAACTTGAATAAATCTATCAAGATTTTAGACAGGTTGATTATCGGCGCGGAACCATAACTGCGAGCTGTTGTTGCTTTTCCCCGCTTAAATGGCGGCTTTTGCTTTCCATCGTAGACGAAGAGGGGATGAATTGGCAAGGCAAGGAGTCGTATTAATCGGAAGAACAGGGTTCGGAGTTCTGGATTCTGTCCGCCTCGACCAGCTTGTAGCTGGAAAAGCCAAATAGAGATATCAACGGCAATTCGGATAGGGCGTTTGGAGACCTCCAGGTGTCTGATTGCGAATCTGGACAGAGCGATTCGATCGGCGTTTCCAATTGCTTTGCCGAGTCTGTTTACTTGTCAGCTGCTAGACCAAGACTGAGATCTCCCAGTACTCTGAGCATACCCTGGAATCCCCATTGTAAACTATGTTCCATTCATATCCAAGAAATCAAAAAAATGGAGCGCATGCAAATGCCAAAATGTCACTGTGGCGAGACGTCGAAATTGGCAGATTTGGGGAAGTTGTTTTGATGCGGAAACTGCGGCCTGGCAACGGAGCTTCCACCAATCACATTGACCTACCTCCAAGTCTACTTAGCGCATTGAATTTCACCTCCACATTGACAGGCGAAGACACGATTGATGAATGACAAAGTATGGTTAAGCTGGCAACTTGATTCGGTGTTGGATATTGAGTTTTTAATTCATTGAATGGCCGGGTGCTATCGACAATGGCAACAACCGAGTCCCGACACGCAAGCAAGTCCTCCATATCAGCCCTCGAAGCAGCGCGGGCACGAATACGCAAAGATGACCAGTCCTTCGAGCCTCGCACACCACCTCATCACCGGAACCGGTCGATGGTCTCATCCTTTGGCTCCTCATCTTCGCCGTTATCATCATTCCGCAACGAAGAAGACGCTATAATCCTCGAAATGGGCGCTCGTTCCCTGCGCGCAGGATTCGAGGGTGAGAGTACGCCCATGTGTTCTGTGAGCTTCGGGCCGGAAGAGTCAAGAAAAGTCGGCGATTATCGAGGCTGGGCCAAATTAAACAAGAGCACAACAGAAGGAGAAGGTGTCAGCTTTTTGGATGCAGAGGAGTGGGTCAAAAACCACGAGTTGTGGCGCATGGATCTTAGGGAGGTTGACCTGGGACTTGTGGAAGATAAACTTGAACGTGCAGTACGCGAGATCTACAATAAGTATCTCTTGACGGATGCAGGAAATGCGCGTCTTGTGTTGGTCATGCCGTCCGTGATGCCGCATCCTTTGCTATCGGTTGTCCTTGAAACATTGTTCGATCGCTGGAGATTTCCCTCTATTACGCTTCTACCGTCTGCTGCCATGGTAGCTGCTGCTGCGGGAGTGCGTGCAGCCTTGGTGGTCGATATAGGCTGGGCTGAAACGACGGTCACTGCTATTTACGAATACAGAGATATCGCCTCAAAAAGGAGTACTCGAGCAATGAAAACACTCATGCAACATATGGGGCGGATGCTATCCCATCTGGACAATTCGACGCAAGAAGAAACGAAAAAGGCCGGGAAAATATCAGTCAATTTTGAATACTGCGAGGAAGTCGTGAGCCGGTTTGCGTGGTGTAAATCCACAGCAGAGGACGAGAACTTGAACAAGCATGTTTCAATTCCATCACCTTTGAGTCCCGACTCAGGATACACAGAGGTTCCATTTTCTCAATTTGCAAAGCCGGTCGAAGCCAATTACTTTGCTACCGGTACCGACGAGCACGAGTTTGACGACGACGAGACACCAATTCACAGTTTAATCTACAATGCCTTGTTAGAGCTTCCGCCAGATATACGTGGAGCTTGCATGTCTCGTTTGATATTTGTGGGAGGCGGATCGAGGATACCGGGTATCCGCCAACGTATATTAAATGAAGTCTCATCGCTGGTTGCAGAGCACGGGTGGGATGCAACAAGGGGACGTGCTGTGGAAGAGCAGCGAAAGAAATTACAAGAGCTCAGAATTGGCCGAGAACTTGAACATGCACCCGAGCAAAAAGTCGACACTACAGACGAAGCGCACAAGGCATCACCATCAGAAGAGAAGAAAGACGAAGAAATTGATTTCGTCGAACAGAGGATCCGCCGCAATCAAGCCCGAAACAGCAAACCCTTCATTCAAGGCCAGTTACGTCAAGTCGAATCTTTGGGAGCGTGGGCGGGCGCCAGCCTTATCACAAGTCTCAAAATTAGAGGGCTCGTCGAAGTTGAGCGCGAAAAGTTCCTTCGTGATGGATTGGCGAGTGCAAGCAGAGATTTGGATGGTCACCATCAAGTAGCGGATCGACGGTCTGGTGTTCGTTCGTCTGTTATAAGTGATCGGTCGAGCTGGACTTTGGCGGGTTGGGGATAATTTATCTATTGTTTCACGTACTTCTGATTTTTAAACCTTCAATCTACGATACCCTTTTGTTCTCCTATGGCATCATCTTATGTTTAACAGTGTATTGATCATAAACTATTGTATTGCGATACTCTCAATAACTCTCAGCTTATTAGATACATGTTGAAGTCCGAAATCCCAAGGCAGGAATATCGGCACTCGGTATACGGCTAGGGCTAGGCATAACGAACCCTAATAACTTTGGAAGTACCAATGGTAAATGAAAGGAGAGCAGCCGACGAGTTTATGGGCTGGGACGATGCCTCTCGAGCCATTGTCGATATTACTGTCTGTCCGAGTACCTAGGTGCCATCTACACTACGTTCTCGGTCAACATACTCAAGCAACTTCAATAGTGTAGCTCTAGAGGGTTGGGAGTATGGAAGTACCCTTGAGAGACTAATTGGAACAGTTGAAATGAGTCTTCAGGCGACTGCATTCTGTACATTAAGTATATAAGAGCGATCTCGTCTCATCTTGAGCACATGCTACCACATAAGATATATTAACATCTAAATGTTTCCTTCAATACAGCTTAAAGAGTACCGAACTGGTAAGTAGCCAAGTTCACCACTGGTGCATCAGCAGGCGAGAAAATCTCCTTCTGAGCCCACTCCGGCTGGTTGATAGCGTCAATCCAACCCTCGGTCTCAATGACGATACAGCCATACTTGTTCACGTAGTCCACGCCACCTTTGCCAGCAGCCTCGTTACGAGCCTTCTGTGAGGCCTTGATGGGGATGGTACCATTCTGGCCGTTGCAGGTGTAGATCTGGTGTGCGACCTGATTTGTCGCGACGTCGAGGGTGATACCCGTTGCTGGGGAGGAGAGGTGGATAACAGGCACAGTGGCACCGTCCAAGTAGTAAGGAGTGCGGTCATTGATGAAGCAGGTGTCAACACCAGTGCAGTTGAAGCCACAAACGCCCAAGGCGTGATCAAAGTCGGCGCCGATCTCTTTGCCGGCTGTGTAGTCAATTGCACCATCGAAGGCAGTGTCAACATCGAAAATGGTGCCGTTGGGGACTAAGATGTTGTCGCCAGCGACCACGCGGGTTGCCAATGGCATATGCAAGGTGTTGTTGAGGATGGTGGGCTCTTGGAAGGCATCCAAGTTCCAGTAGATGTGATTTGCAAGCATGATGGGAGTTTTTTCGGTCAAGGACAGAGAGACAATACGAGAGGTCAATTGAGGAAGACCCTTGGGGTTGACCGCAGTCCTAAGAGCGTCGACGGTAAAAGTGACGTGCGTGAGCACATCGCCGGGGAAACCCTCCCATCCGGGATCGTACAAAGAGAATGTGATGCTATCGTTCGCCGATGCGGCCACAGTCCAGTTGCGCTGATCGTAGCCCACGGTGCCACCGTGAAGGGTGTCGGCGCCACCGTTCTCGTTCGTGGGGATGTGGTATGTCTCTCCATCGATGGTGAACGTGCCATTCTTGATACGATTGGCATAGCGACCAACCACAGGGCCGAAATAGGTGTGATTGGTTTCGGAGTCGTGCAAATAAGTCTTCGGGTCGTCATAACCAACGACAACATCTTGGATTGTCCCATTGCTGTCGGGGACATACAATGCCACCAGACGCGCACCGTATCCGATGAAGGAAGCAGTGATATTGGTCGCGGTGATGTTATAGATCTTGAAAGGATCTGTAGTGGAGTTACTCTTGGGATTGGAGCCACCGAGAGCTGGCAGCGCAAACAGCGCCGCCGCGGAGACGTAGCTTGTGAAGCGCATCTTGTAGATGACCGTGACAGCAATGCCCAAAAAAACAAGAGCGTAGATTATCAATGCGGCAAGCGACAAGCGAGGTCTAGCAAGTTTCTTAAAGTAAAAGGAGATGAAAGAGCTGAGCTGCGAGAAGCGACCCTGCCCGGTCGCAAGGGGCATTCCAGCTTTTATAATGGAGAGATCGACTAGCTAAGCTTCTTCCCCATTGCTGCTGGCAAGTTATTTTCCCGCTTTCCCCCTCTCCTCTCTTCGTGCCGGTTAAGAGGCGGGGAAATAAGCAGCGGTCTGATTTGCTCGAGGCCGATGCGGGGATATTGAGCAACAAAGAGGCTTAAGGGAGCGGATGTCGGATTCTCGACGTAATATGGCAGGGATGGAGCTGGCGATGTTTATTGCGCGGATCCGGGGTTGGTCGTCGGTTGTTACTGGGGGAGGACGAGCAGCTAGGCCTGTTCGGTGCTAGTCCAAGCCAGCCAGCCAATGGAGTCTATCTGAGCCGGTAGCCTGGGCCAGCAGCAATGTAACGTGGAGAAGTGCTTCTTTCATCACTTCACTACTATAGTACACACAGGATCAGAGCCGGTGCTTTGGGAGCAACGAGTGAGCTCTCGGTCCTGGTTGTTGGTCAAGCTGAGTCCCCTAGGATGCTGAATGGCTGAGCGGGCAGCACATGGCATCACCATCTCCTCCGACAAGGCAAGGATTGACATGCACGGCACACACGGCTACGTACTCGGTCATGTCGTATCCTGGTGTTTACTACTACTGCACTTACCACGTAGTCGCTTACTACTTTGGAGCTATGAGTCTCTTTTCGCTGAATTCACCGAGCCTAGAGGAATCAGGCTATGATCGGCACCACAGTGGTCAATAGCCTGTTGCTGTAATATAATTATACTACGTAAGTCTCTGTGCCGTGCTTGGAGACTGCGATATTAATTCCCTCCTTTGAAAGAATTACCCGAGATTGCTTCTTGATGGAAAAAAACCATAAAGGGAGGTCGAAATAATATCCAGTCATGGATGAGTTATTCCGGGGGGCGCAAGCCTCAAATGTTAAGGCTGGCTTAGCCTCTCTCCGCAAAATCAAAATTAACCGAACGAGCCGAATGACGACATGAGTGAGAGTCGAGAGTGAAAAACATCCACGTTTGTACGCTTATTAGAGCAAATAATAATGTGGTGGTGGGCTAGCCACGTGAACGTTGCTGTTTCCTTGCTGCAATGCGACTCTAGATGCCACATGGGACGTAACAAGCTTTGTGTAGGCTCGCTGGGAGATCTGGCACCCTTCGTTGCTACTTTTGCTTGTTCTTGCTTCTACCAACGTAGCAGAATGGGAGAACCAAAGAACAAGCTTGGGAGAACAGAACGTGCGTCAATTGTATCACGTGACACGCTAGCCGCTTCGGGACTGGGCCCTTCACGGTCGCGCCTGCCGTATCGGGAGAGTTGTTTATCATGTTTTGGTTGGCGAGACTTCGACATGCAACCCACGCTATTCACCTTTCCATTCTGTACGAGTCTTGCATTAGACATAGCTTTTCATTGCAATGCTAGGATCCTATCCTCGGTCTATCGCTCTCTCCAAATTCTCCCTCTGACGGTACGACTGTCCCGCAGTGGCGCCAACCGACCAACCGATAATCTGCGCTGGACGTAATGTCCTCCGTGTCTTCGAGCGCATCATCGCCTGATGCACTGGGTCCGGAAGGGGATGCGCTATATCTCATTTCATCACCAGTCCCGGAATTCAGCGGGCGACAAAGCTGGGTTCCGCCGTACACGATCCAAACCCCCCGGAGGCAAGAACGGGTGCCTCGACGGACGCCCAGACAACAGAGCTCTCAGACCATGCGCTTCAATGATATTATATTACCGACGAGTCCGCATATGCGACAACGATCAATGTCCCCAACAAAAATGCAGTCGGAAGGCAATCTGAGTCCGTGGAGAATACGAGTGACAGTGGAAGCCGAGCACGAAGATGATGAGAACAATCAGGATGGACCGCGGAAGAAACTCAAACCTTCGACTGTCACAACCAAGGTACCGTTGAAAGATGAAGAAAGTAACCCGCCTTCAGCGAAAAAGCGAAGAGGTCGCCCGCGCAAATCGGACGCTCGCGAAAAAAGTCTCAGTCCGATCAAAGGAAGTCCAGGACGAACACCAAAGCAGCAGCCCCCCGACTCGGTAAAGCGACCGCGTGGACGTCCTAGAAAAAGTATGCAGAGTGAGCCTGTCGCGCAAAGCGTAGAGGCGGTAGAAAGCCCTGTGAGGAACAACATGAAATCTGCTACGCTCGATGGAGTCATCGAAAGGGAACCTCCCGCGCCGTTCATGACTGCCGATATGGGGCCTCCTTCTGATGCATCGTCGGAACCTGATCCTTTCCTAGATATGGCCGGCTCAGGAGCTTTTGAAGAACAATCGCCACATCCAAATTCCTACCGTTTCTCTCCGCCCGTCGTCTTTGATTTGGCGGACTCCCATAGTGCGAAACCTGCACAGCTTGACATGAGCGCGCAACAAGCGACACCACAAGCCTCAGTCTCTCCAATTCGAGGACACACAGGAATAACTCCCCAAAATACTTTATACGCAGGACATACTCCTCGAAAAGTCCGTAGAAGCTATCCGACTCCCACGTCATCATCACTCGTTGATGGGAATGCAGAACACTCGACAACAATGCGGCAAAGTAATACCACACATTCGATCGCAGATCCGACTGATGTACATCACGATTACGATACCATCATGGAGAGTGAGGATTTTAGCATGGTCTCACTAGACACTCTTCCATCTGCGAAGCAAGCTGGACTGAGCTCTATTCTCGGCTCATCTAAAGGCAGTCGCAAGCCTTTCGCTGAGAAACACAATGGGGCTTTTACCGAGAATACAAACAGAAGGACTACAAAATCACCTCAAGTTGTTACCAGTCATGTCCTTGAGCCATCTATAACACCACAATCCAAGCCTGTGGGATTGCTCAGCGGGCATGAATCAGATGATCAGGTTGTGCCGGTTGCTATCGACACATATGCCATTAATGCCTCGGTACAGGAGCCGTCAATACAGCCGGTAGTTGAAAAAGATAGGAAAAATTCTCTTAGTCTCGCTCGCACAGTCCGACTTGGCTTGAGCCTGCATGATACTTTGATTCATCAACAACGTTTTGACACGGAAGACAGCGACGAGGAGGAGGAAGACCTAGCAAGCGCTGCCGATAGGTTGAAGCGTATATTCGGCGACCTTGATATGGAGTCTCAGCGCCACCTTCAAGCTGGTCTCAGATTCGGTGAACTTGTGGCGCGTGGAACGATGAGGTCTAGAAGGCTACAAAGGCAGAAAGAAAGGCAAATGATTGAAGCTCGTGAGAGAGAAAGTAGCGTGGGAGAGCCTATTGAAAGTCTACAACAAGCTGACACCTTCTCTGATGATTTACCAGAAGAAGAGGGGTTGTCGGAAGAAGAGGAAATGTCGAGAACTCAGCGGCTGGAAGTTGAGTGGCAGCGGGAGCGTGAACTCGTGAGCCGTCAGATTGATATGGCAGGGTCAGACAATGTAATTGTGCTCGACAGCGACGATGTTTCAGTAGGTAACAGGGTTGAAGATCAGGTCTACAAGCAAAACGAAGTAAACGAGGAAGAGGAAAGCGAGAAAGATGAAGATTATGGAGATGTCTGGCAAGAGGAAGCCAGAAATCATGATTCCAGCTCTAACAGACATTCAACGTTCGCATCATCTATGGACGAAAAGAGAGCATCTACGACGAACCGTAGAACAGGAAGTTCTTACAAAAACACTAGTCAACGCTACGACTGGGATCCAGACAATGGTGAGATACCACCACTTGGAAGGTCGCGAACGGCACAACTACGTGAAGAGGAAGCTGATTTGTCGCTTCTTTTGAAACCTCGCGATACCCCAAAATCACGCCAATACTATGGAAACGGCCCTCGTACGGCGTCAAGTCAAAGACTTCGATCCGATAGAAGCTCTAGATATGGTGGAACCAGTCGCGATGCTTCGTCTCCGATCAAGCGGTCTTCACTGGGTACTAGTCGGGTCAACGATGAACCTGAAGATATTAAAAATGATATCGGGAGGGATAACGAAATTTTAGATGACGACGATCTATTGAAAGAGCAAGAAGAAGTCGAAGAAAAAGACGAAGATGACGAAGATGACGAGGAGCAGGAACATGGCGAGTACGAAGATGAAGAGCAAGAACATGACCAAGACGATGACCGTGAACGTGATGATGTTTTCATTACAGAAGAGAGAGAAGCTACGGACGAACATACCTCATTCGGCCACTCTGTTACAACACCAGACCAGTCAATGCCTGGACCCAAACAATCATGGTTTCGACGAATTACGAACAACTTTACTCCAGGCTGGTGGACTGCATCAAAGGAGGTGCCTCTGGACGAGTCTCAAAGCCCGCCTTTTCCAATAGACGAGCGAACACCAAGTCTCAAACGCTCTCGTGCGGCTAGAGATGCTGAAGAAGCTATGGAGATGGAGCAGATCACTCCGGCGATTTCTACGATACAATCAAGAATAAAGGGGCGCCGGCTCTCATCGTTCTCGTCGCCAAAGGCTCTAGCGACATCGGGCTACTTTACAGATGGGCATTACGTTGCCTTGAAGCGTCTTTATTGGGAAGCGAAGCGATACCCCGAACGCTTTCCGTACCATCCAACTTCGCACCGGGACGAGATGCTCGGCGATTCTCTGTGGACGTCCGACGGCGAGCACGGTCTACCAATTGCCAAGATCCAATTCGGGATACTCGATCGGTTCGTCTCCGAATTGATAAGCGCTGATATCCGGAACGGAGGACGCGGTCAGATCGGATGGACAGAGGATGACCTGCACAAGCGTCTGTTCAGTATCATCGTGGGCGATGAAATTCGGCGGGAGCGAAGGCAGCAGCGACTGTTGAACGAGATGCGTTAGCTCGTACGACGCACCATTCTTTCTATTTAGACTCATTTATCTTCGGGATGGTTGCGTGTTTTTCGGATGGCGTTTGAGATGAAACAATCTATGATGCAAACGAGATGAGATGGCTACTTTATGCTTGATACCATTGTTATTATTTTGTTTTGTTCATTATTCTCTGGAGTATATCGATAGCGGTTCTTTAACAACGTTCTTTGAAGGCGCCGTTGTATTTGTGTCTTTGTTATAATAAACTCATTGTGTTTCGCAGAGCATGGTCCAAGAAGTCTCGGCCAATGTTACTGATTCAGGGTATATTTGATCTAGATATCGCCTGAAAATGAGTCGAGATAGCCAATCAAGTATTTACGAATTGGTCTATATGTATAGCGTAGCATACATCGCATAGCATGACATGGAATGGTATAAATGCCACCCCAGGTCTGGGCGAGCGACAGATCCGCGCAATCAACGCTCGTATAACTCACCATCCCTGAATCGTCCTGCTATATTACCCCTTGTGTGTACGCAGTAGCTGTATAAATTGTTGTATTATTAGAGATAGATCAGATTTGTTCGCACATGAATCAATTGATACATTTTGGACCTTCGATCATCATCCCGCGAAGAGCGGTTAATCAAAAATCATGTCCACCAGCAGGCTAGCAGGCTAGCAGCAAAAGCAAATATAGGTAGGCACATTAGTACTACGTACATACAGATTGATAACCCGGAGGACGCCGCGAGCACTGGCTAAATGGTGGCTTGTTGCTGCCGGAGACACCTCCAGAAGTGGCACAGGAGAGCGTTATCTGTCTGGTTCGGCATTCCGATTGAATTGACTAACATTTGATAGATGATTACGTTTGTCCAGTTACTTAGCGATGTTAGTTATCTTGGTGGAGATTTGTGCACAAATATAATGCATTCGATCTCCTATCACTTCATCCATCTATATATGTGCACTGTGGCTTTAGAATGTAAATAAGCAACCCGAGCAAGACTCAAGAATTAAACAAGCTTCCCACTCAACACAGCGCAGAGTCCTGACGCAGCAGTCCTCGAGAAAACAAAGTAAAAACGCCCTAACAGCCGCTAGTTCCCGAAAAGGAAACTAACTACTAATCGCAAAGCCTAGCCCCGAACCCTAAAGACACACTAACCTGACTAAAAAGAAAGCTAAGAGATAAGCATTCACCACCTCACTGGTCGACATGCACGTCAGATATCTTCAATCGGATCGAAGCCTGGAAAGAACACCCGGGATATGCGATATTTTTTGCTTACAGGAGTAGTGGACACTGGACGGAATGGGTGATTTCCCATCAATAATCTGGCTCATGCGAGGGCAGCGCTGATTGATCGATTTCCATCCAGAGCAGCAGAGGTGTCTTAACCTTGCCCGGGCTGAAAGCTTCGATAATCTACTTAAAGGCTATTACAGAGTTGCTTATTATGATTCTTCATGCAAGGCTGATCATCGTCATGGGGGTCACAATAGACTATTGCCAAATAGCCTGCCCCTTTATATCTGGTTCCATGATGGTGTGGTGGGTGTATCTATATTCTCGAGACAAAAAGCCCGAGTCCGATCTTCCCAAGGACCAGGATCCATAAACCATACACCCAGTATGAGCGTTGAATGGTCCAGTTCGATGTGATTGTGATACCGTACATGGAAACCATGGCAAATGCAGCACTGGAGAGCGCCACTCGCCGCACCACGACGAGGCGCGACTCGCTACCTAAAGATTGCCCCAGGAGTTCGGGTCCAATCATGCCAAGCTGTCAGGAAGCATTACGTAGATTCAATTTCTGCGTGAAATGATTGAATCGAATTCTTATCAGGTACGCTTTGGGCAGTACATGGTCGTACCGTTGTAGTCCATCGTCCGTGAATGGAGGCGTAGTGGATACTTTTAGTACGAGGTACACTCTAGATGCTGGCGGAGAGGCCCGGCAAGCCCCAAATACCTGCCGCGTCCTAAGCTACGACCGTTGAAAAGACGAGACCCTGTAATTCGAAAGCGTTAGGTCAGCTAGAGGGCAAAGGCTGAAACAGACAAAGAAGGTAGAGACGCAGGATCAGAAAAAGTGAAAGGATTGCATTCCTTGTTGGATAAATTATCACTCTATTTCGCTCCGGTGCTAGACTTGTTCCGGGTTAGTGGGTTACCTTATCTCGGGGACTGTCTAAACCTTTAAGTAAATTTTTAGACTCTGTAGCTTCATCTTATTCACTGGATGATACACAGTGGATACGCACAGAACATGGCGAACCATACTTAGTGCTCACTGCCCATTCCCCGCTCGTTGGATCGTACCGAATCCACACGCATTCAGCTTCGGGTCTCCGGCTGTATTGATAGAGTCGGATAGACTTGATCCATTCCTGATGATAAGATACCGAATAAAATAGAAGAAATTCCAGAATCAATATTGCTGCAGGGGTCGCGAAATGAGCTCCAGACTATTCACTGCCATCCGGTGTTTGCCCGAATACCTATCCCGTACATACCATGACAATAATGAACAGAGCTCATACGTATAAAAGAAAGCATGCCTGCAGTGCCGTGCCACTATTGAACCTGCCCGTTACATACTATTGGAAGATGCCCTTGCTCTAGCCTGATAAGCCATCATTTGCCCTCTATCGTTAACAGCATTAATCACCCCGCTTCGTCGACTGGCTCCGTCGCCTGGTGTCATCTGGCTTCTCTAAGTACTGCGTCTAGATTAGTGCATTCCACACAACTCATGGCCTGTGGATCCTTGTCAGATGTGTCATGTCGCTTTTGAAAGAGGTGCTAGACTAACAGTACTACCTACTACCTAAGGAAGGGGAGGGAGCTAGTAATTACGTAGTAAGTGCCACTATCTGTTATATTTTTCTTGTCTTGCGACTGTCCGAACAGCGATCTCTTTTTATCGAAACTTTCTTTTCCTCTCTACCCGATTAGGAGGTCTAGTTGGCTTATTTGCCTCATACTGTGAATTATATTAACTTATTCCAGTCGTACATCTGCCAGGGATCCTGTTGTTGTTATCCTGCACACTTGTAGGTATCGAATATGCAAGCATCATGTCCGAAGTATCCTCCCTGTGGTGGACCGACGAGAGAATAGAAGCAACCCTCTGCCGCCAATACGTCTTTTCGCAACTCCAACCCGACCATCAATCGCGCCTCTTTGAGCCTCTTCCATGGGGCGAGGGACTTACAAGCGAGACCTATCTCGAATGGATCCTCACAAAAGCCGGCAAACTCTTCCTCATTCTGAATGAGCTCGGTATTCCGCACCGCATTTTTGACTTGGCGGATGACTTTGTTGATGACTCGGATCTTCCCTTTGCCGAGTCTCGAGTGCCTGATCTGCCTTTAGTAGCTCGAGATGAGTCTGTGTCGTCGTCAGCTGCTGCGTCGCTGAATAACAAATTCTTCCTTACGCAATGGCGATATCTCGTTCGCGGCATCGCCGAAGGTGAACATGTACGCTATACCGAGAACGAGGGCGTGCCGGTCGAAGTGCTCAAGACAAGTCTGGTGGGATCGAATAACAATAGAGATGGGGTTGAGAAAGTGGTGCTTTCCGGTGCGACTTGCCGTATCTTTCTTCGCACGCAGGTCGGAATTAATGCTGCACCGTACTTCTCCGAAGAAGATGAAGTGCTCGAAGAGATTCGTTCGTTGAGGCAACTCGCGCATGAACATGTTCTCTCGATTTATGGCTCSTATACAGTGGACAACAGCATAAATGTGCTGTTCAGTGGCGTCTATGAGCGCTCGTTGTTGAGCTTTCTGTCCGATACGCCCCAAAACTTTAAGAAGCTCCCGAAACCAGACCGACGTGAGATTCTGGTCAACTGGCCTCATTGCCTGGTCAGTGGATTGGCCTGGCTTCATGCCAATGGCCACCCGCATGGATCAATTCGACCATCCAATGTCTTGATTGATAGCGACTATCGCATTTTCTTAGGTCATTTCGAGGGATTAGATACCCTTCTCGACTCTCCTAAGATAAACGATATTGAAGCATACCAATACGCTGCACCGGAACGCTGGATTCGCACAACTGCTATTCAAGAAACGAACGTCGCAAAGACTTCTTTTCATTCTGGCGGCCGGACAATGCGTGGCCCTGGCTCATCATCTTCATCCGGCTCTTCTGCTTCTACCAAAACACCGCGAGCCAGCTGGATGACAGCCGGATCAACGCAATCTAGCGAATCAAGAGGAACAGTGATCAGGGTTGGATCACGAAATTCATTGGTCTCTTCCTCCTCATCCTCAGCGTCAGGCGGTTCAGGGGGCAGTCACGGCAAGTCCGCACACAAACTCTTTCGCACAAAACCAATCCTCTACACACCATCGATCCATTCCTCGAATCTAGCATCTGATTCTCGAACTCGACCCGTTACTGCCCCCGAGAGTGCAGCCAGTATTCCTTTCGTCCCACACAACACAGCCCTAGTACGAACCTGGCAATCCCAACAGGTCGACGCACAGCTGTCCGATGTATTCTCCCTGGGAGCGGTCATCACTGACATTTTTACATTTTTCTGCGAACGCAAGATTTCCTCATTTGCAAACCATCGAAGTGCCAAAAATCGTACCCCTGGCCGTGGAGGAGGTGTAGCAGATGCATCATTCCATCTCGTCACTAACCTTCCACAAGTCACATCTTGGCTTACGCTGCTGACGGCAGATTCCAAGAAGCGAAAGGGTCTTGCTTTTAGGGCTGTTGAGCCCATGCTCGCTGTTGTGCGGGACATGGTTGCGCGAGCCCCTGAGAGGCGACCTTCTGCGGAAGAGGTAGAAGCGAGGTTTGCGCATACCATTCGACAGTTGGAAGGGATTATAATTGCGCATTGCAAACAGGCTCCATCGAACACCGTTGCGTCGTATGTGAAGAAACCTTCTACGCCACCTGCACCGGTGGACATGCCATTACCCCCATCACCAAACCTGTATCCAAGGGAGTACAATAGTCTCCGCGCAGGGTCAAGACCGAGAAAACAAGAGATCCTCGACGACGAAGATCTCGAGCCCACCATCCCCAATTTCGCCGACCTCTCCAATAAACGTGCGAAACCAAAAGACCAACAGCGGCCACTACAACGTCTGGATATCGGCAATCACGATTTTGATTTCGGTTTCGCCTCAAGACAACGGCAGCAACAACAACAACAGTACCGAGACGACCAAAGCCCTACTTCGACCGACTCATCATCTACACCGCCGCCTTCATCAGGAAATTCGTACTCATCATTTCATCATCAGGAGCAGATGCTCGGAATGCGCCAGTACCACCAACAAAACAGACAGAATAATAGAGACAAGAAATACGACGAAAACCGGGACAAGAAGGATAAAAACACCACCAACGCAGCGACCATAGATGAAACGATCCTTCATCTCCGCAAGGCGCTTGAAGAGAAACTAAACCGCGAATATGATGATGAACACCACAACGACAACAATGATGATAATGATGATGACGAGAACAAACGGAGAAGGAGGAGGAGGAGGGATGATAGGAGGCGGTACTTGGATGATTTGGCGCTGACTCTGAACGGGACTAATATAAATTTACCTAGATATGAGGCCTAATCGTTTTCCTTTGTCTTTTTGATCTAGTTATTGGATACGATTCTGGTTGGTTTTCTATTGATGTCTCTTTTGATAGGAGATGTGGGTACTTTTCGCTCTTTCATTTCTTATGTATAATTATTGATCTCTGTTGGATGATTCTTTTTATACGTCGTCACAATATATAGATGTTATAGATACTATTATATTGCGATACTAATAGCATTAGAAATACCAGCCTTAGCTCCATATATCATACACTTTGAAGTGATATAAACTACAATACGCTGTAAACACACTTACATTTAGATAGTCAATATAGATTATTCTTAATCACATTTTTTTAAAACCCTATCATCTTTTCTCTATAAATATCGCTAATCCACCTCATGTCTTGTCTTTGACCACGTCTATTTCTAGCTACATGTCGGGCTACTTACTCACGTCCAACCAGAGTTGTAGTCAAACGTCAACTCAACACCGGGCGGAATATCGCGGCGTGCGAAGAATGCGAGATCGTAGATCTTTTGGTCGCTGTGATGGGTCGAAACGGGGATCATTTTGCAGTTAGGATTACACGAGTGATTCATGAAGCGAGAGGGCCCGCTGAAGCGCTGCCCATCGACGATGTAATGCGAGGAGGATGTGCCGTCATCGTTGTCACCCTCATCATCGGAAGAAGGGGGAAACCAGTCGAGAGAGAAAGCGTAGGAAGGGCTGCTATGAGAGCCGTTGCTCCCTGCCGTAGCGTCTTCACGGGGATCAGCCCCTGCAGAGATTATCACCTCCCCAAGATAGGGCTGATCCCAACCATCATGTCGCCGACTCACTAACATCCAGATAGATATAATGTCCGCGGGGTTCCCCTCCGATCGCCGTATCCAACATCGCCTAATCATGCCATTGTAGAATCACACCATCACGACCAAGCCAGGAAGCCCTCTTTATCCCTCCTTTAATCCATCAAATTCCATCTATCATCCCACACGGTGCAAGCTTTTGTCAATATGTTGAGGCGCGTCCTCGTTCGGATAACGCGACGGATACAATCGAGCGAAACAAAGGGAGATACGAGGTATTACGCGAAGGTCAGCGGGACCATAAAACAGGCTTCACTAGCTCGAAAATACGTTAGCAGTGCATTTTGGGATTTGTGAAGCTATACAGACTTTAAGCTTCTGGAGTCACCCGCAGTCTTCCCCACAATCAAACATCAGCGGAACCTGATAAACGCGATTGATTCATTGATCTGGTTAGGAAAGTCATCAGGCTGAAGCAATTCACCGTTTAGTACCTTCCCAATGTGGGTCCCGTCAATTGGGAATTCGAAGAATTGCACCGGACTGGTCTGAAATGTCGGGGCTGGGGAGTCCAAATTCATGCTATCGTCACCCTGGCTGATGGTGAATTCATCGCTGTCATTGTCCAGCCGTCAGGAATCATTTCGATGCCAAGATGCCGAAGATCCTGAATTTTTTTGACCAGTGCTCGTATCTTCTTTATAATGATATCGTTGTTTTCTTCGCCAGGCATTGGAACCGGGAGTCGTAGCTGGAGATCTATTATGATGAGGCAGGCTAAAAACGCGGATGATGCTTAACATTGCTAGACTTCCAGACCGAAGTGTCAACGTTGTCGCTCTGGTAGATCTCAATGACCCCCTGGTATCCGAATTGGCCGCTAACCCGTAGGATGCAGGTGGCATCCTTGAGCCATCGATACTGTTCACTATGAAGCAATTTATTCTGACATGAAATGTTAGTAATCATTGGTAGTCTTTTATATTGGAACACTGTGCCTCAGGCTGCAGAATGGCTTACCAGAGATCTTGTGTGGGCATATTGGCACTATGAACTTCCATACACTGGTAAGTCCCTTGTGCTTCCTCCTGTTGTGTTTCTTTAACATCTTGTTCCCTGAAAGCTGTTTCACCAATTCTAACAAAGTTTTCTGTCTGCCAGACTAAGTTTTCAGAATTCGAAAAGGTCGACATCTGGCTTGAAGAGAATCATGTGCATGAACACCTTGTACCTGTGGGAGCAGTAGTCGTAAAGCCCGGTAAAATCCGCCTCGAACTCGACGCTGTTTTCGATTACTCCTTTCACGTGCCAGAACATCCTTTGGACCATAGCTCCAAGCTCCGGGTGTTCAGTAGCATCCTCTTCTTATTGCTCGTCTTCAATAAAGGGTTCTAGTAGCACTGTACCAGAACTTCGCTTTATTTGTTGACTCTGGGTGTTCAGTAGCATCCTCTTCTTGATGCTCGTCTTCAATAAAGGGTCCCAGCAGCTCTGTACCATAACTTCGCCTTGCTCGTCACCTCTCTATAGGTAGAAGCAATTCGCGAGTTTGATGCCGGAATGACTTGTAACGGCGGCAGTAACGGCGGCAATATCGTCGTATGCGATCTTGAAATTGTTTAAGAATGCATTTGTCAAATATTCTTTGAGGTCAATGTTTTTTGCATTGCTAACGTCAAGCATCTGCCCATCCTGCGTCTCTGGGATGACTCGATCAGTATATTTCTCATTCGACGTCGCAGGTGCGGTTGAAGGGACATTGATTTCATTTGAAATAAGAGCTTCTGTTCCCGTGATGATATCAATATCTTCGCTAGAGTCAGACGAGGTGTCGTCGTGTACGGTCACAGTAGTATTCAACGCCGCACTTGACTGAGCGATTCGAGACGCCGCAGGTGCTTGATCGCTATGGGTAGATGGGACTTCTAATCGAGGATCATGGACTTGCAGAGTTCGCCCTTTGACTCTCGAAAACGAATCATCACATCGCGGCGTAGATGGAATAGATTGAGATGGAGGGCGCCACGCAGCTAATCTTTCGCTTCCAATTTGATAGACTCTTCATATCGGCCCTGTCGCTCTGGTCTTGCCAATGACCTTCTTGTCATGGAATAATCGTCCTTGGGGAATGCGATTTCTCGTGGTTATTGGAGTACCTCTCTCTGACCTCTGACGTTCGGCTGATTCCATTTGGCCCCGAGGTTCCGCATGAGAGTGAATAGTTGCAGAGTCCTCTATATGCGCAGCAATATTGCCTGATGCTCGCTTTTGATAAATGGTTCCGGCAGCACTGTACCTTCGCCTTGCTTGTCGACTCGAAATAGAGCTTTTACCAGATTCACGCACAGTTTTGCCGCAACGTATTGTGAACCATGGACTAGTTGGTACGATGACCTGAGCGCGGGGATGAATTCCTGGCAAAAGGCTTTAAAAGACTGAATATACTTGGACTTAGCGAGTCCTTCGTAAAGGAGAATTGCCTATTAGATCATGTTAGAAAGCCAGCATAGAACCTTGACGTTGGGTCGGACGGATTTAACTCACGGATATTAGGAACTCATTTTTAGCCTTAGTTCTATCAGCTTATTCTTTAATAAGTTCTGGCTCTAAATCTTTGAAGACAGCTTTACAATGTTAGTCAAAATACATAGAACAGAAATAGAAGAGAACGTGCCTGTGGACTCCAAAGTGCTAGAGGGACGGAAGGCGGCGTCAAGATCTCAACAGCGCGCACAGGATGAAGACACTCTCGCCGGGCTGACACCTTAGTGAATATGGAGTCTTGGGTGCGGTCGCGGCATATCTTTCCGATCCACGAGGTGGCTTCCGCAGGCTATTCTGCTCAACTTGTTTCACGAGCTGCCCGTTTGCTCGAAATGGAGCTTTTACCAGATTCGCGCATAGCTGCGCCGCAATAGACTGCGAACCAAGGACGAGGTGGTACGATGACCTGAGCGCCAGGGATGAATTCCTGACAAAAAGTTTTGAGTTGAGACTGAATATACTTGGACTCAGCCAGTCCTCCGCAGAGGAGAATTGCCTAGGAAACATATTAGAGAGCCAGCATGAAAGCTTTAAAAGGGTCTGGTCTGACTAACGGAGATTGGAAACTCATTTTCAGCCTTGGTTCTTTCGGCTTGTTCTTTGATGAGTCCTATCACATTTTCGAGAACAGGATTGAATAATTCCACCAAGTCCATGCTACAAACATGTTCGGCCAATTGACGGCATACTAAATCATCTAGTATGCGCGCAGCTTTTCAGTCTAGCTGGGGAGAAAACAATCCAACACCCCCCCTGGGCAGTGTTGTTGACAGTAGAAAAGAAGAAGAAAAAGAAAGATTGAGAAGTGGGAGGGGGGGAATGGGAATATATATATGGGTATCTGGTTGCGCCCGGTGTTTGCATCGTCATCAAATATAGCTGCGCCCATTGTTTGCATGTACCCTGTCGTACATATAGAGTACGCCCGACGTTTGTACTCCATTACACAAAGATAATGATATGCAACAATGCGGAGTTCCCGTTTGACTTGTTGACGGCATTTGTATGATTGGTTGTAGATTGAGCGGTGGCGGCGCCACATCTCTAGGCGCTATAGGATATTCTCACAAATTACTAGCTGTAAATCTAAGATTACTTGCTTAATAATTTTGAGTATTATAGACCTCAAAACTGAATAATAATCTATTAGATAAGACTTCTATATGTAGTGTAACGAGACTTCTTATCACGTGTTTTCTCATCACGTGGTTAGTTATCTTTAGATCCCGCCGAGTATACGAACGGGGGATCACCAATCATTTTATCATACGATATTCGTTCTTTTCTTGAGGACTTTCCTCACATGTAGTTTAAACTAGTAAATAGAAGAGAAAGTATATCTAAGGAAGATTGGATAAACACTATAAAGAAAATAGAATAGAGTAGATAAAGATTTTAGCTTCTTATTATATTAACTGTTTTTCTATTGTATTGATTGCTTTCCTACATTATGTTTCTATTGCTATTCAGAACTAAGGATAGTTCTATCCTCGAAAAGGGGTATCTGTCACGTGCTCGAGCTAGCCGCATACTAGATAGTCAGCCAGCCGACCAGTTAGTCTTAAGAATATCATCATCTTTTTACACACGCGTACGCGTCCATTATTATTGTTGCCCGGTGCCCGATTATTCTTGTCGGATTTACTTTCGACTCTAATAATCATGTCGTTCTCTCTCATGCGCTGGGCAAGCTTGGTCATGCTGGGCATGCAAGCTTCCCAAGTCTTCGCTATTTCTCAGATTTCTGCTGTTGGTGCCAAATTCTTTAATTCATCCGGAGATCAATTTTACATTAAGGGTATGCACGTTACAAATTATCTCCATGCCTTAGCTTATAAGACCATAGGAATTGCCTATCAATTATCTGATAACGATCCACTGGTCAATGAAGCGCAATGCAAGTTAGATGCAGCTCTCATGAAAGAGCTAGGCGCCAACACAATAAGGGTATGTATGTTATGGATTTTCTCCGTGCCTCAGCTTACAAGTCCAAAAAATAGGTCTACCACGTCGACCCCGATGGAGACCACGATGGTTGTATGTCCGCATTTTCCGATGCAGGGATCTATCTGTTTGTCGACTTGGAAACCTTCAACTCGGCTATTGATCAGGTATGCTTACTTGGCCCATCTACTGCGTACAAGCTAATAAAGTAGTCTGCTCCCCACTGGAACAGCACAATGTTGAACGCCTACACAAAGGTGCTGGACACCTTCCACGGCTACGACAACTTGGCCGGTGTCTTTGTCGGAAATGAAGTCTTGACCATGACCAACGGCTCCTGGGCCGCTCCCTACGTCAAAGCCGCCGCTCGCGATGTCAAGGCCTACCGCGATTCCAAGGGTTACCGCCAGATCCCCGTCGGTTACGCCGCTGCCGATATCGCCGATCTTCGTCCCATGTTGCAAGACTACTTGGCCTGCTCGACCAATTCGTCCGAAGACTTGGATTTCTTTTCGTTGAATGCTTACGAGTGGTGCGGAGACAATACTTTTACCGGATCTGGATACTCGGAATTGCAGAAGAATGCCACTGGCTACTCGATCCCCATTTTCTTCTCCGAGACTGGCTGCAATACCTCTCCTCCCCGTACCTTTGAAGATCAATCAGCTATCTTCGGTAGTGATATGGCCGATACCTGGTCCGGCGCTATCATCTACGAATGGATCGAGGAAGCCAATAACTACGGTTTGATCAGCTACGGGCCCAGCGTCGCCGCCACTGCTACTGGTACCAACATCGTCGGTGGCTACACTCGCGGCGGCACACCTACCCCCGTCTCCCCTGATTTCTCCAACTTGAAATCTGTCTGGGCTACCTTGAACCCAACCGGTGTCGCTTTGTCTGCTTACAGCGCGTCCGCCTCCAAGATTACCCCCTTGGCTTGCCCTGCTGAGACATCTGGTATCTGGAACGTGAACCCTACTGCAGCTCTGCCCACTGTCGGCCAGACTGCTGATGCCTCTGGAACTGGCTCTAGTGGCACTACCACCGGCGGCTCCACCGGTACTGCTTCTGGCGCGTCTTCGACCGCCACTTCGTCCAAGGGTGCTGCACCTGTCGGTATTGTGACTCCTGGATCTGCTGGCGCCACGAGTGCGGTTGTCATCTATGGTGTTCTTGTCGGATTTACTGGACTTATGGCTTGGTGGTTGTAAATGTTTGAAATAGATTGGTTTTGCTTGCTGTTTGTACGTATACATAGACGATGGACCGTGTACATGTATTGTTTATAGTTGTCTTTGTTATTGAACAAGCATACGATTGTCAATGATCATCTCATTTTTAGAGGAAAAAGATAGAAACAAAATTAATTCTATGGTGTCAAGACTTATTATGTTATATTAGTGACAGTGTAAGACGGGTCCTCGTGTTTATTAGTATACGCCAACTTCGCAACTTAAGTAAAATTCTAGCTGGACAAGTTTGCGAAGAATAAAGCAACCTTCAATTCTGAGATACGGGATTTCTAAGATGAGATGATTTCAATAGAACAAGAAACCCAAACGTCCAAAGGCGAGGGATGAGAAGGACGAGAAAAGACCAACTTCCAAAAAACAAGAACATAAACGCCTCCGAAACTGCGGACATTGTGGAGGAGCCCATTGGGATTTTGATTACTCGACCCGTCGACCAGTAGTGAAAGCATATCTCACCAACGCGATAGATATGGACGATTCCTTAGACGAATCGGACAAGGAGGCCCCGAGGGAGCTTCGGAGACGAGCAGCAGACGGTTCCAATTCAGACTCGTCCGAAGATCCAAAAACCAAGACATTTGGCCAGTATCCGGCTCCATCTCAGCAAAATACTACACAGCCGGTCCGTTACAGCCTGCAGATATTAGCCAGGCATCGTAAGCCTAGGTGAACCGCTGAGACTGTGAGACCAATTCCTGGTATAATCTCGGACCCATAGCAACTTCCAGTGGTTGATGATCAAGATATTGGAAGATTGTAGCATGCCATGGGTCGAGCCCCATGGTCAACCTGTTCACATTGACCTGTCGCTGAATCTCACCCAGTGCGTGTGGGATATATCGCTGGTCCCTGAGAAATCGTCCATACAGTGTCCATATCTTGTTATGATTATCATCCATCGGATATGTAGTAAGATGACAATCAAATGCCTTGAGACATAGGCTCATGATCTTGATTTGGTGAAGGACATGTAGCCATGATGCGGAGGATAGAATTATCCGGTGGAGGGCAATGTATTTGATGGTCTGTCGGCAGTGCTGTATCACTGCTAGGAGATTCCTCGCGGAGATTTGCATCTCCCGGAATTCTAAAGACTCGAGATTGTGGAAGTGGTTTTGAATTTCCGGACAGATTGTATAGGTGCTTTGTCCTTCCACTGTAAGGCAACGAAGGTCCGGGATACCTTGACTGAGGATGTTGAAATCGACCAATCTATCGTCCGATTCCATAAGATGGAGGTGTTGTATTTTGAGAAGAAACTGATCCACTCCATCATTGTTGGTGTTAACAAACTGCTCTAAGACGCGACTGAAATCAGGTAGTCTCAATTCTGCCATCTTCATAAGCCGCGCCCTAGCTAAGGAGATGATAAGAGGTGCAATGAGCATCCGAAATAGGTCTGCTTCCCCAGCCTCCCCAAATTTAAGTACCACGGTCTGTAAATTGGGGAACTTCTCCAAAATCAACGAGATTTTGGTGATGGCCTTCTCGGAGTTATCCTCTTCCTCTTCCTCTTCGTCGTCGTCGTCGTCGTCGTCCTCCTCCTCCTCCTCCTCCTCGTCATCTCCACACCACGACTGAAGAAGTTCGCTGGTCACAATGTCAAATTGGATAGTTTTCACCCTAGTAGCGAATCCACTGCCTGCCAAATCTCCGAATCTTGATAGAAAGAGAAGCTGACTGTCTATCGGTATTATGACATGTTGAAATAAGACGCGTGCCACGCTGCGGCGAAAAGCTAGATTGACTAAACCAATTTCCTTTAGGCGGAGTCGATCTGCATCGGAGTAAATAATGGATGTGTGTGGACTGTGTCTATGGTGTTCATCGCAGGACTGGACATTGGAGATGATCTATAAAAGGACTGATCAGTCGTGAAATGAAACAAATTTGTCAGAGGTAGTATACTTACCATATCCAGTATCTCCATGGGTAGCTGATCCATTTTCGACATGCTTCGAGAGAAGTGAAACACGCGTGTCAGAAGATGTTCGGTCAAAGAAAATCCCTTGCGAAGAGTAGCCCTCTTTCAGTGGATAAAGACTCGAAAATTCGTAGGGAATGTTCTCCGATCAAAGCATCGAGAACCTATCCGCAATCAGATAAGGGCGTTCGGTGATGGAACCAGATCTCTCCAGGATCATCAGCTGAAAGAGTTGTTTCCTGGTATTGGATGGATCGAATGCTGGAGTTCGTTTCCTATCCAGAGATTTTCAGCAACTGTATGCGGATTGATTGACAACCATCAATGCTGTTTTTCTGAAAGAAAGTCAGTATTTCCTGATTTTTCTGGAAATGAAATCATACATAATAACCGTGTTCATCGTCTATCTGGCGATTTCTGTCTGCTAGACCCAATCTCTGATTCTCGAAAAGGCTCTAATACGCCTCACTTCGAGAGATACAAGTGAACGATCAAGTGAGACTAGAAAAACCCAAAGGCCACCTTAGAGTGAGCGATTTGGCCTCTTTTCCCTCACTTTCACTTCGCTTGCCAGTATTTCCATACATACCTCGACCTCTAATACGCCTCACTTCGAGAGATACAAGTGAACGATCAAGTGAGACTAGAAAAACCCAAAGACCACCTTAGGGTGAGCGATTTGGCCCTCTTTTACCTCACTTTCATCTCACTTGACAGCGCTATTACATATACCTCGACTTCTACTACACCTCACTTCGAGAGATTCAAGTGAACGATCAAGTGAGACTAAGAAGGCCCAAAACTACTCTAGAATGAGCAATTTGGCCCTCTTTTACCTCACTTTCATCTCACTTGATAGCGCTGATACATATATACATCGACCTCTACTGTACCTCACTTCGGCCACTCAAAAACCTCACTTCTGCTCTCCTTTTGAGCGCTCTCTTTGCTCAACCTTCATCTCACACTCAATAATCACCTCACCTCTAGATAATCACTACACGAATCTTTCACTTGTGATTCGAGCACCCTTCGACTGCCGCCCAACCGTGGAATAGCTTCCGCATTTATCCGATCACATCACGGCTTCGAAACAATCTTGTCCACTTCAAATCACTGTCTATCATAAGTCCAAACAACATCCACAATGGCCTCATCCGCTACTCTAGACCACAATACTGTGACAAGGGACCACTTGGGCAGATTATCAAGTCATCCAGAGGAGTTTGATCAGCATGACTTCCAGAGTCTCAATTGGCAAGTCGAGACGGAAGAAGAACGTCCAGACAAGGCCAGAAGATGGTTTAAAGGAAATAGACGAGCGTCAAAGACACAGATATACGAAGGGACAAACAGAATGGAGGAGTTCAGGGTTCCTTTTCAGTATATCATTCGGACTGAGGATAGTCCATTTTTCGGAGGAGCATCAGTCCTTAAGTGAGCGGAGCCTCAGGCATCGGATTCCGGACCCGAACAAGAAACTACCTCCTCTCCAAATGGGCCCTGAAATGGCGTTCCTGTCGTCAATTCTAGACGAATTGATGGAAAGAAAAACAAGTCCGATGTGGATTACTGTCGTCCCTAGCTCGACTCTCAAAACAATGTTACCATTGTACAATGGACAGCTATGAGTGGATGAAGATTCAGGAATGACTTCTCTTCAGGCAGGGTCTCCGCCACTATTATCTCTGCTGCTGTGGAGGTCTCTACAGGATTACTTCCATATCTCTCTCAGCTACTGTGATAGATTGAATTGGACCGAACATGCTCTGCACAATGTCGTCCTGCTCGATGGCTCCTTCCCTTTTGGTCGTTCCTTCCCTTTTGGTCGTTCCTTCCCTTTTGGTCGTTCCTTCCCTTTCCTTTTGGTCGTTCCTTCCCTTTTGGTCGTTCCTTCCCTTTTGGTCGTTCCTTCCCTTTTGGTCGTTCCTTCCCTTTTGGTCGCTCTTTCCTTGTGGTTGCTTTTTCCTTTGGATACAGAGCCCAGCAATGCATAACATGTCTCTCATCACCTCTGGCTAGTTCTCGTCGGTCGTCTGTCACATCTCATTTCTCATCTCTCGTTTATTATCCGTTGTGTCTTGCGGTCGTCTGTTGTCCGTCATCTGTTTTCTATTGTCCGTCGTCAATCGGCTGTTGTCCGCTGTCTGTTTTCGCTGTCTGTTGTCTGTCACCTATCATCTATTATCCATCATCCGTTGTCCATTTCCCGTCGTCTGTCGTCTGTTATCTATCATTGCTCTATCCAAGATGTCAGTTCCTATATTAGCGGTCAATAGTATCGCGGAGTATATGCTGGACGTTAGTTGGAAATGCATTAATGCTTCATCGATCAATCCCCGATTTCAAGTCGTGGCATCCACAAAACTTGGCCTATCATCTCTATTTCAATCTATGGGCTTGAATTACTGCCATGGACTATTCGATGTCGTCCAGGCTACAAATCCACCTCCAGTGACATGGTTTAAGACACTTCCAGACAACATTCCAAGAAGACATTGGGGTATCTATGTTCTTGTCCTTCTAAAAGATGGTCATCGTCCAGCTCTTTATATTGGGTCGGGAACTAAAACTGAAGGAGTTGTATGTCGAATCAAGTCATACTATACAGAGTATTCCACTCCTTTATACGTCAGGGAATATCAACAGAATGGATATTTTATTATCTATCATCGTCTACTTGCTTGGTGCCCAGTACCAAGTCCAGCACAAGTCCCAAGATTCCGGACTGCTGTCATTATCCTAGAGGCAGTATTTACCTCTATGTTTTGGACTTTACATCGTCGTGACAAGTCATACGGCTTATCATCCATCAATTCATGGCCTCATGACTCCCTTGAATGGGATGGTTTATGCAGTCACAGCCCTTTGATGGAAGGAATCCGGTCCAATGAGCCCAGCCTTGGAATGTCCTCTGAGGAGCTCGAAAAAGTTGCGGCAGTATTAAGAGACAGAAAGCGACGTCGTGAGAGAGTCTACCATCACAAAAACCGAGACAGAAAGCTTCGTTATAAAAGAGCCTGGTATTGGGAAAACCGAGATGAAATCAGACGTCGTTCCAGAGCCTACCGTCAGGAAAACGGAGATAAACTCAGACATTATGAAAGAGCCTACCGTCAGGAAAATCGAGACAAACTCAGACGTCGTTCCAGAGCCTACTATCAGGAAAATCGAGACAAACTTAGACGTCGTTCCAGAGCCTACAAGAAGGAACACCGAGACGAAGTTAACCGTCGCTCCAGAGCCTACAAGCAGGAATACCAAGACGAATGCAGACGTCGTTCCAGAGCCTGGTATTGGGAAAACCGAGACAGAGACCTTCGTCGTCAAAGAGCCTACCGTCAGGAAAACCAAGACAGAATCAGACGTCGTTCCATAGCTTACTATCAGGAAAATCGAGACAAAATCAGACGTCGTTCCAGAGCCCACTATGACAAGTCATATGCACAACTCCAACATCAACGAAGGCTTGCCAAGAAGAAGTACTTTTGTGCACCTTGCAATAAAGCGTTTCCATCCAATCCAGCTCTCGTCCGACATAATAATACTCGACATCACCTCCTACTGCTCAAGAGAACAGATTTCGGCATTTTATGTCAGCCTTGTGGAAAGTCATTTGATTATCCATCTCAACTCGCAACACACCAGAAGTCTCGAAAACACACTATGACGATACTTGGTGCCCAGGAGACAGGATTCAAGTGTGAGCCTTGTGGAACGTCCTTTGCTAATCCATCCACTCTCGCAAAACATAAAAGGACCCTAAAGCATATAAAGAACACAAATCTTGAAGGTGTACAAGCTCACGTCCAGGCTCTCCAGAAAATGGGTTTTACTTGTGATCTTTGTGCACTCTCCTTTTCCTCATCAAGCAGACTGGAAACACACAAGATGACTAAAAGGCACATCAAACGTCTTGAGTCATCAGCTGAAGACAAGCCGTACAGATGCGAACCTTGCAAGTACTACACCACTGAGCCTTCCAATTTCAAGAATCATGAGAAGACTACTAGACACCGCCAAAGAATGTTATGTCAGTGATTATGTCCTTGATCATTTATCGTCCTTTTCTATGTATCATTTCTTGCTATATATCATTATCTTCCATGTCTGCTTGATTTCCATATCTCGTCCGTTTCTACATCTGGTGTCACAGCTTAAACCGTCATATATTTATTTAGAATTCAAATTGTCTAAAAATTTGATTTGATCTCGTGAGAACCTTGTTGCCAACAAATACACCGGCCAATCCCACAACTTATAGCGTCCGTAATATCTGTTGGAGGTGATTATCATCTAGTCTGTTTCAAATTCGCTTCTGGCCGCACTAGCGCACTACTTTATAATGAACCCTGTTCTAAAATAGTCCACCGCGACAGGCATAAGACCTTCCTCCAATCCCGCAAAAAGACTCGTATTGCGTATTGAATATAGGCATTATCTCTGGTCGGTGGTATTATTATCGTCCTACCTGTGTTTTTCGGACGTTAGACCGCTCGTATTCGGACCCATTGCAGATGTTGTCTGAATACCGTTCATGGACGTTCCATTTGCGCCGAGAAGGTGTGTGCACTTGACTGGTGGAAGTGATATTGGGCCCTGTGGACGACTGAACAGATTGATTGGTGGAGGTTTAACTGGTAGGATTGGTGCTGTCGGCTGTCCCTGCGGACAATTTGTGGATGTCGCTGGACCGCTCATATCAGGATCATTTATAACTGGTGAATTCGGACTTTGTGGACGATCTCGTGGACGATTGGGTCATCCAATTGGTGGTCCATTTGTAGCTGTCATGCCGTCCGTGGATGTGTGCGAGTCATTTGTGGACGTTCCATTTGCACTGGTAAGATTTAGCTCCATCAAGGACAGTTACCGACACCAGAATAGGGCTGTTGATATACGTGTAGACATTGCTCGTCTCCGGCTCGGACATCTCTGGCGTTGTTTGAGAACTAGTTGATTCGTTCTTCTTGTATGCGAGAATTTGCCCGTCATCGCCTGGGCAAATAGCAGTGGTGGTGCCGCCTCAGCTTATACAGGCACCGCTGGTCTGCAAGTACTCGATGCTAGAGTGCCTGCTTCTATCAAATAACGTACCTGCTAATTGCTACAGTCTGTGACCTGTATGGGCGGTCTGTCTGGTGGTAAATGGTCTACTGTTTCATTTGCACTTGCGGACATTCCCATCGTTGAAGAGATCGTGGGGATTTAGTTAGTTAGAGTTGATATACCCGCTGTAGCTGGTTGCTGTCTAAAGGCCGCTAAACGGTTGTGTGCCTGAGTCGGCAGGCACCAATACAAATCGTGGCGCAGCGACGGAAGAGGCGCACCCCGAGATGAGCCACAGAAAAATGTAAACATACAAATGAGATGCGGTCAAACGCGGCAAAATGCAAACGACCCTCGTACGTAGTCCACATCTTTTCGCAACTCCCTCCATTCCTATTTATCACGTATCCCCCCCAAAATTGCACTCGTCCTTTGCACCAATTAGTGCCAATGTGCGCTCAATCCCACAAATCGATGGCGCGTACGCGCAATCATTCTCTCTCGTACGTTTACACCTCCGCGCTCATCCTCACATTCGTCCCCGTCAACTGACTCAATTTCCATCGGTCCAAGGCTCGTATCCGCTTCGTCATTGGTCCTTACGGAGAGGTGAGCAGACCTGGCGCTCGCATCACCTGGGACCGTTGTCATATGTGTACCCAAGTCAGTGCCCTGGTTATCTGTTTCTTGCTCCGTTGTATCCATTGCCTGCAGATCCGCGCCCACGAATTGAGCCAAGATCCCTGTATCGTGAATGAATCGAGCAATCGCTACTGCAGCATTCTTCTCGTCCAATAACGCTTGCAAACTGGTGGTGCGTCGGAATCCTTTAATTCGTGTCCACATGAGCGCTCGCTCGTCTGCGTAGAGCGGGCATTCGAGCGTAACATGCCGAACGGATTGGCCAGATAGGCGACATTCAGACCAGATTTCGTCGCGTTTGTTGATAAATCAGAGCTTATGACTCAATCCTACCTCCGCTGCTCGCTCCACCTTCCGCCGCCTCCGCGAAATCAACGAGTAAATGTTGAATGACACCAATTTGGCGCGGTTTTACATTGGGTTCGGGTGCTTGTCAATGATTTCGGAAATGGCTTGGTTGCATCTAGATGATTTTCCTTCTTCTACACACGCTCCGTACGGAGCTGAATCAAGATTGACGACATGGCTTTGTGTAAACCGGACCAGTGATGGAAAATGTTTTTGGACGGTCGTGGTACCAATTTCCTGGTAGGTTTCTCACTCCTTTGCTTGATCCACGAATTTATTGAGCGCCGAGCATGGTCCAATTCTTGATATCCCCAGGTACGATTTGACGTCGCGCTCCCATCATAGCTGCACTTTTCGCTGTTCGATCCGCCGCCTTGTTCCTTGGAATGCCTTTGTGATCTGGGATCCAATGGATAACTACGTCGATACCCATTTCCACGTGTTACCAGTACGATTCGATACAATTCCGGATATACGTTTGATCCGAGTCCGTTTTCAGATTCAACATGGCTTGGAGCGCCGATTGACTATCCGAGAATATCGCTACCTTCTTGGGTCGTGTATCGTCCTCCGCGAATCGTACCAATGTGCGTAAAGCGAACCGAATTCCACATGCCTCCGCCGCGTACTCCGTTGACATGTCCTCCGTACCGATACACTCTGTTAATTGTCGCCGCAACTGAGGAATCACCATCACCCATGCCGATAAAGCCTTGATATCCACTGCCATCCGTGTACATTGATACGCGTGTATTCTCCTTGACCATGCGATCGTGTACGGATACCACCTTCTCACACTCGTCCATTACAATACGTGGGGACTCTCGCCAAGGTGCCTGGACGTATGCCTCACGGCTCTTCCAGTCTCCTGCCAGAGTGCCAGGGGGAGCACGTAGACACTCGTCCGTTTTCCAAACGTGAGCCTCCATAGGCGTAATCGCGGAGATTTGGAAGCCTTGGATCAACGGATACACCGCTACCAATGGAAAACAATACACAGCGACGTTGAGGTTTGAATGTCACGCTGTCAGGCATTATCAACCAGACCTAGTTTCTCATACTTACCAAGCCACTGAGGTTTTGAATCCTCACTTCGGGCAAGAAATCTCACCACAACAGTATCGATCAACCTGTCTCAGTCAACCTCACTTCAACCCTCACTTCCGGCAACTTGGCTCTCTTCACCTCACCCCAAATCCCAATACAAACTGACAACAACCGAGATCAAGACGGCCATCCAAGGGAGCCCGAACGCACACAAAAAGCACCATATCAAGAGCAATTACGATCAATAACCACTTCACCTACACCTCACCTTGCGAAGGCTCCCAGTTAGTCCTCAGTCAACAGCTTACCTCACTTTCACCTCTCATCTGAGCTCTCACTTGAGCTCTCACTCGACCCTACATCTCACTTCACTTACTCATCCAATCCTCACATTATCCCCAGACTCCGACCACATAAACGGTCACCTCAAACTACACTCCGACGGTACGAGCAACCTCCATATTATCACAACCATTTCAACACCAGCCCTGTCATCAAGACATACCTCGACCAGTGGAACAATTTCCGTTTAGTCCGACTCATTCATACATACAATATCTTCCATTTCCAAACATCTTCCAGAAGGATACCGAACTACGTCCACTATGGCTTTGTCTTCTCCAGATTATGAACGAATGACGCGAGACGAGCTCCGACAAGTAGACGGAGTTATTAAAGAACTGGACAAAAGAAAGCCATTCGACGGTTCCAATCAGCCCAGAACGGAGGCTCGAATCATCGAATACATGAAAAAGAAAGGATTGTCCGATGATGAGAGATGGAAACTACTACAGATGACGAGAGACAATACGTTCAGTCCACGCAACTTCCGCGACCTCCTACCGGGAATGGAAGCACCATATGCATACGCACAGAAAGGGTCGTACAACCAAGAGTGGACTACGAACGCACGTATAATATACTTGAGAAAGGAGCTCGTCAGGAAAACGCCCATCGAGACAATCCTTGCTTATCGGACGATTTCCGGAATTGGGGGGTCAAATGGAGGCACACCTGGAATTGGGGGTTCAAGTGGAGGCACACCTGGAATGGGAGGATCAAATGGAGGCACACCTGGAATGGGGGGTTCGACTGGAAGCACGTCCAAACCGAAAGCTCCAAAGAAGCCCAAGGCTCCGAAAGTTCCGAAAGCACTATCAGTAATAGCACGAGAGGAGTCCAAATTCATCTCCGACAATATCTTCACTCCGGAGTATGGCCTCCCACCTGTTGCGGCGGAGTTTTTCGGTACTGGTCTGGTGATTAAACATTGTGCAGATGAACATGCACGTAATTGGAAACCATTCGCAACTTCACCCTCCTCCTCGCTGGGACCCTTCAAGATTACAAATAATGCGCTAACACCGCTTGATAAATTGGAAGCGATAGCAGGACCAAAGAGCTCACTATGGAATCTCATACCAAACACATGAATCATGAAGATGTCTGAGACAGATGCTATGGTTATTTCTGGAAGCCGCTCAGATCCAATAATTGACCTATACGACAATGATTCAACCATCAGAGGGTATTTTCGAGTTGTTGATGGTCATCCGGAGCCAATCACTTGGAGGGACTTCTATACACTTAATTGGTACATCGAAGCGGACGAGGAGCGTCCACGCAGGATTGAAAGGGCAGCTTAAGGAGACGTCCAGTTTTCCGTCTGGAATTGATATGGATTGGGGGGGGGGGGGGTTGTTGTTTACTTTTCTCGTTTCACGGATGTTACGTCCAAAGCTTTTACGCTTAGATTGACATCCATCCGAGAGTTCTGTTTTGCTCGTTCAATCGTCTTTTTTTTTTTTTAAATACATGTCCTTCCTCCGGAATTAGAGAATGGAGCCAAAAGCTTTTTACATTTATAGGTTGTCCTGTTTTCCTCCAAAATTTTCACTGATGGAGATTATTCCTTTAACTTTAAATGATATTTATTACTGATTACCACCACTATCATGACTCTATCTCTCCTATCAATTTATAAGTTGGTAGGCAATTCCTGTGGTTTTGTAAGCTAGAGGCACAGAGATAATCTGTAACGTATACGTACCCTTAATGTAAAATTGGTCTCCAGACGAATTGAAAAATTTGGCACCAACGGCAGAAATCTGAGAAATAGCAGAGACTTGAGAAGCTTGCATGCCCAGCATGACCAAGCTTGCCCAGCGCATGAGCGAGAACGACATGATGATTAGAGTTGATTAGTATCTAGTGAATCCGACGAGCGAAATAAAAGCCGTAGACAGAGCGAGTGTATGTCTAGGCAACCGAAATTGAACTGATCCAACGAATGACGAAGAAAAGAAAATCGATAGATAGGGAAAATTAAGGAGGGAAGAAGGAGAGATTCGAAAGAGAGGTTGAAGAGAAGAAACCTGGAGATGGACATGGCTCAAGAACTGTTTGGAACCTGGAAATACCGTAACATAACGCCCGGTAATCTCTGATTTCCAAGGCCGTGGCCGACTAATATTGCCATTCTCAATCCATGATTGGTAAATGGCCATCAGATTGTGAAACTAGTGCCTGAGCCCCGGTAATATTACCGTACATCAATACATCTCATCTTATTTATTTATCTTCTCTTCTGTGCGTCGTTTCTTTCAAGTTTGCATCATAATTGGCACGTCAAAGATTCTACATAAAGCCATGTTCGTCGACTGACTGACTTATTTCGCCAGCATGAGTCAATATGAATGATCGAAGTAGGAAACGTGAGTGTCACACCTCGAACACTCGACTCCTCAAGTCCAACAAATCATCGAGACGCGTGGCCTGGCAGATCCCCTCACTACGTAACACTGTAACAGGTCCATCGGACAGCAGCGTCGCTCAACGATCCGTCAGAGCTACGATCTTCATCAAGGATGGCTTCAACTTTCATATAACGGACGGATAGAATTACACAAGCGGTCAGTCTCCTCTTTAAAGGAGAAAGCAGAACAGACGGTGGAGATGGCCGGTGATCGCCACAACGGCCCCCGCGCGTGGAGATTAAAGAGTCGCAACGCTCGCAATTGTCGACATGTGTAGCACTGTCTAACAACGTGGGATCTCCTATCAAACTGCCTACGTACGTACGTAGTTAAATGGCAGCTGTCAGCGTGGTGGCCATATCGAATGAAACGGTGGATATCCACGGGCGGAATGTTTCACCTGTGGCCCGAAATGACAACGACACAATAAGACAAATATAGAATTACTACATAGTATGTAAACCTAGCATGCCGACAGTCTGTCAAGAGATAGATATCATGGATATTCTTGCAGACTCGTTATCTTGCTCTGAGTCTACTCGGCAATCGTCAACCCAGATGCTTTGTTAGTAGCTTTAGTGGCAGAGCTAGTCCTATCGCTCTGGTCTAGAACGACCGTCAGCCTGGCATTGGGCATCCGACAGTGCAGTGCTCGCCGCGGATTGGAGCAGAACAGACCAAAGAAGAGTCTGATCCCACTGTTGGCGCTGCTATATCGAGTAGATCGAGCCGATTTTCTTGTGGTGTTCCTACTTACTTCTGTGTATCCCTATCAACTGCGCTCTATCGCACACGCGAAGACAATGCATGAGTAGGGCAGCCAGTTGTAAATATTTATTTTCTATATTTAAGTCTAATTGACTCCGTATCTATCTATTCAATCAATCATCATCGACCCAGTCTAGAGCTTTTGTGGCCGGAAGCGGAATGCGGTTACTTTGGCGGTGGGGCTCGTTCGTTAAGGATTACAGAGTAAACCGCTCAGGGATGGCTTATATCCCGGCGCTCTGCTCCTTTCTGACCTCATGATTATCCTGTCTTGTACTTGGCTATATACAACGGCGAAATCTGTTCCCCTCTACACGTCATTGATTGTTCTCGACACTCTCCTCTCATATTCTCAGATTCTTATATTTTCACGCTCTTCTGAAACTCCTAACATCTTATATTCTCCACCACACTCAAATGGGCCTGGCTGTTCCAATTCGAACGAATACTGCAACACGGTCGCTTAAATCACGCCGATAGCCTCATAAACAGCCCCCATCTTTATCAATGGTCGATCATTCTCTCCAGCATGTCTTTATCTACCGATATCTCATCGCCGTTCAAGGTGCCTGCAGAGGCAATGGCCATGCTCGAGCACGATGATGCTTTTCAGGCCCTCCGCCCACGCTGCTCGGAATTGGGGTACGTCGGGCTTTGTCCGAGCACGAAACAACAGTCTAACAACAGCAGTCTCTGTTCATTCCACAACGAAGAATGCAGCGAACAACAGCTCGCCGTCTTCCAACTGCACCGTGACGTCATCTACACCCTTCTACAGCCCCTGTTCGAGATACACAACCAAGCAACACAAATAGCCACGCGCGTTCTGGGCAGACGACAGGGCGCTGAACCTGAACGAGCCTTCAAGGGCGAGGCCCGGGGTGCATTTACCTGGTTACACTGCATCCTGACCGAGGAACGTGACTTCTGCCTGGCACAGGGATGTCCCGCTTGCATCGTTTCGCATGTCCTTTCTTCAGAGCCAACAATTCGCCTCGTCACGGTGGCCTGTCTTTTGTGCGACTTTTTATCATCTTCGGACTTTGCAGATTCGAAATCCAACAAACCTCAACGACCGGACTTCAGCTTCTGGTTAAAGGCAATGGAGACTGCCGTGCGCGAAGATCCGCTCTGGGGCGATGCATTCTGGCCCGAAATACAACACCGTGCCGAAAGTCTGGCAGTCGATATTAAGTACTTGATTATGCAGTGTGTCGAACTCCACAATCCCACGGAATTACAGCGCACATCTTCGACGAACACCAGTAGCAGTAGTGCCAAGTCGTCTTGCTCTATGACCATGCGATCAGACCGACATGCATACCGAGTTCATGTGCGAAGTATCCCTGTCCAACCATCGGCTCTGGCTCGACGACAGCTCAACATGATGTGGGAAGAGCAAGAGCTCGTTTCGAAATTCCTCCAAGGATACTGGAATCAGTTATGCTGGAGCGACCGTCGACAGAAGATGCTTGAATTTGCTAAGACGGGCTCACTATATCTTCCACAAGGGACTATCTAGTCCTTTCTCTACCTTTTCTTCTTTCTCTTCGTGAACATATTCTACCCATTCTTTTCGTTGTTACTTCGTTCATTATACATTTTTATACCCTTTACTTTGTTAGAGAATCCACGACTATCGGATCTGGATTCGGGACTAGCGTGGGAGTCGGGAGTTATCTACATACACGGTCTGTCGGGGAACAGACATTTGTCTTTGATTTATTACCGGTTAATATTTTTATCTTCGATTCACTATAGAAATAACATGATATCGTTCATTTAACATTTCTAGACTTTGACGAGCAAATGCTGGTTCATAATATTCATACGACTCCCTACAATAAAGATACTGCGCAAACCCCAACTCGTCAATATACCTCGTCAAAACTTCAACCGCTCTCGCGGCAACCGCGTTTTGATCCTGGATCCGAATGAAGAATGCCATCGACGGCTTTATATTTTGTATGTACGTCGCCGCAATTTCAGTATCGTTTGAGATTTGGGCTTCGATGACCAGTGTTGCCGCAGCGGCGAAGAGAGATTTGACGCCGTTGCCCTGTCATTCTGGTCAATGAAAAGGACCTTGAACACCTGGGCCATAAGTGAAAACGGGGGGCTTACCACGGACGATGGCGCATGAAAGCGTCACTATGTCGATCTACCAATGACACGATGACGTGCGCAGATTGCCTGCGACCTTGCTGCGAATGAACTAGAAGACTCCACCCATCGGTACTGAAGCTCTCGGTTGACGCCATCCAATAGAAGAGAAATGAAAGCGACAGGCTAATGCGCTGCCAAATGACACACGTCTCATCATCGTCCTCGTCTTCTAGATTCTCCGAAGAGAGATGATCCGGAAGTTGCACAATAAGATTCGCCAGCGCCTCGTCGCTGCGACTTACCAATTCTTCAAGGCGCTCAAAATAATGCTGGTTATCATTAATTTGATGCTGCCGTAACCACGTCAACTCCAGTTTGAACCGATATCTTTCGATTTAGTAGTTCTTCGTCCGTCAGATTCAAGGGCAACGGCACGTCAAAGTCAGTTTCGTGGATCAGGGGCGCCGAGTCCGGTCTTTGAAGCAATTCACAGATCACTAAGGTCCACCACATGCGATGACTGAATTCTTGGAGGATTGGGTCAGCACTGACCGCATTGCTGGCGACTGCACGGTCAATTCCTAAACAGTGCTCTATCCGTAGTCCGGTGGCTTGGAGGACAGTTTGGAAATTGAAGTCGCCCACATTCTTGGCAGACCGAGAAAGATCGATATAGCCTGCGCGGACAGGATGTCGTGTATGCGTAAAAAGTCTGCCTCATGTAGGAAAAAGATGGAAGCATCGTCCCAGTTGTGAATCAATTAGCCGTGGTGAACTTTTCGTTTGCCAGTCAGATATCCAGGAAGATTTTGGATAATATTGAAAAAGCCTACCTGATAGTAATTCCGCAACTAGGGCTTCTTGCTCGTTCATAAACATAAGGCTCATCTATAACCAGTCTGAGTTGCTTGCCTTCAGTGATTGCAGAACAAGAAAGGCAACAAACAGCAATGAATCCAAAGTAGATAGCAAGCCCCAACGGCTCCGAGCCTTCCAATGACTGCTGTGGATCACAATCGCATGCATCCCAACCCATCTCATGCTCCCGCTAACAGCTAATGCCAAAAGTGGAATAACAACTACAGAGATCAGCCAGATTCGTCCAAAGCGCCAACTAGAGGATACATTGTTATAGGAGAAACTTCCAGCTTCATTTTGTCTATTCTTATTTCTTTCAGAAGAGCTGTTGGTACAACATGAATCATTATAGTCCAAAGACCAACATTCTTCTTTCTCTTCATGGCTGCTTGTATAATATGTTATATGTATCAAAAGAGGTATCAAACAGGGGTAATATCAACGAAACGGAACAGGCCATGTTAAAGCCTATGGATAAAGAAATCTGGTTGAGTTCTTATTAGATGGAAGATAAAGGGATATGGCAATCCATTCTTTCTTTCTTTTTTTCTTTCTTTCTTTCTTACCCCCAAACCCACTCAAAACACAACAAAGTCCTCGAATCAACATCAACCCCAAACCTGTGGAGTGCAATTTTCCTCTTCTATTGCGACTTGAAGTATTTTAGCCTTAGGGTTCGAAAATAAACTGAAAAAAAGTGAGACCCCGACACCAGTTTTGCCTCCAAGTGTAAATAAAGATTGGGTATGCTCAACACAATTCAAGGGCTGATTGATTGCACGTTAGAAAGTGAGGTAGATTTATGGCTAGACATTGACACTATTCGGGCGACTTTATGATAGAGTTTGGGCTCGTGCCAGTCTCGTGCGAGCTTTTACGAACTCGAATAAAACCGAAGAACTTTTACCATTACTCTATTCTCAATGCATTGATATGAAAACCAAAATATAGGTTAGATCTTACTGATTGACGGACAGTTCAATGTTCTTTGGTATGTGGGTTCGATCATCTGTGCATGGATCACATTTGGTACCGGCCATCAGATGAGCACCTGGTCATGGCAAATTCCCTCTCTTCTTCAAGGTGTCCCAGCAGCGCTTGTTATTCTTGCCGTTATATTTGGACTGCCTGAGTCCCCCCGTTGGCTCTATTCCAAAGGTCGCATTGACGAAGCCCGTCGCCTATTAACTCTATACCATGCCAACGGCGACGAGTCATCAGACCTCGTAATCCACGAACTCGAAGAGATCGAAATGATCCTCCAAGCCAAACGCCAGGCCAAGGGTCTTTCTGCCTGGAGCATGCTATCAAAGTCGGCCGCAAACCGCAAACGCATCACGCTCGTTGTCGCCGTTGCACTACTCGCGATCTGGAACGGCTAGTCGGTCATTTCATACTACTTCAGTCCTATCCTTGACAACATCGGCGTGACGTCTACACAACAACAAACAGGGATCAATGGCGGCATGCAAATATGGAATCTGATCTGGGCCATTGCCTGCGCCGTGCCAGCAGACCGCGTCGGTCGTCGTACGCTCTGGCTTACTTCGTTCGCTCTGGCTTACTTCGTTCTTCTGCATGATCCTCGCCAATGTTCCGCTGACCATCTGCTCTGCCATTTAGGACCAACACGGCTCCAAGTTAGCGGCGTATTTAGTGATTGTGTTCTTGTTCCTCTACAATGCTGCGTTCAATATTGCGAAATCCATTGTTGTATTGCTATCCGACGGAGATTCTGCCCTTTGCGATTAGAGATAAGGGGTTGAGTATGCAGATCGCTGTTTCGCAGGCCGCGTTGACTATTAATCAATACGTCAATCCAATTGCATTGGATAATATTGGGTACTATTATTTTATATTCTATCTCGGCATGCTTCTTCTCGGGGTGAGTTTCCGTCCAATCTTTACGGATTTGATACTGATTGCACTTAGATCTCAATCATTTACTTCACCTTCCCGAAACCCAAGGCAAGACTGAAGTAGAGTTGGCTTGTCTATTCGAAGGAAACGACAATGCGGCTTCTATTGAGGGACTAGAAGCAGGGCTGAAAACGGCCCACGTGGATTAGAAGATGGCACCAGTAAAAGAAGTATGACTTGAAACCTCATGGCTCATCTAGAAGGCTAGAGGAATCGAGGAATATATGCATCCACATAATGCCGTATCAATAGACCTTTCCGATGCGTTCAATGACCTAGATGAAAGGTGATGACGAATCCCAGCCCAATTGGTACGGTTAGGGCTAGGCAGGTCACGTCGTACAACGACAACGAAAATCGCCGGGTTCTGCCCAGGAATCCTGGCAACGGGTTTTCAAGACCATAAAAGCCGGTCGGATGGGTCTTTAAAGCGATCAGATTGGCCAAAAAATCGATCGTCCATGTATTGATGTATCCGAATAGTTTCAGTATAAGTTTCAGTATTCGTTTTAGGAGGGGGTGCTATCTCCGCAGCGGTAAAAACTTCCACATCAGCACATGTATTGTTATCGCCCTCCGTATAGATCAGCATATGCTCCAGCAGTTGCAAGAACAAGATTATGATTCATGAGGGATGGCAAACTGAATAGTTGGAGTACTCGATTTGGCAGGTGGTAGGCATGGAGTATGGAGACTTGGATGTATCTCGGGAGTGCACCACAAATTCCACAAAAGTGTGGTACATGTGTGGCATAACCAATTCCGGCGCTGTGCAGAACAACTTCCTTGTCATGAGATGTCTACTCGTCCGTGAGACGAGTCCATACTTGACTCACAGATGCCGGATCCGGGCGTGGCTGGCTAGACTTGCCTGTCCGCTGAGAGTGGCGAATCGACTAGGCCAGAAGAAGAATATAGAGGAAAAAGAAAATCAGGTCTGATCACAGGCCGGATCGAGCTTCTCGATCAGATAATTCATTAATATCTTTAAGTTCAGTTGATCTATGACTAGTGAGATGAAAAAGTAATAATGCGTACGTACTCCGTAGAAAGGAAAAGGGCAAAGCTCGGAGTAGGGTAAATCACGGGCAAGGGTCTAGGCCCTGCCTGTCACACACAACACAACACAACACAACATCGCCCTTTCTTTTCTTCTTCATTGACGACGACTCTTCTTCGGCCCAGGACGGGGAAATTTCGCCGGAGAATACACCTTCTTGTCATGTCTTCTCCCAAGAAGAGTGGAGAGAATCGACACTCAAGAAATAATATTCGCCTTCGGAGTGCTTGACAAGTCAGAGTCTAGACCAATCTGGCCCCGTCGATCAGTGTGGACACCTTCTCTGTGTGCTCTGTATTCTGTCTGTACTGACCATATGCTACTACTATGTACTATGTATGTACTCTGGAGTTTGGACATGCCATTACCCTGTCTTTTATGTTCTCCATTCTTAACACTAGTTACGAGTAGTGGCTAGCAGCACCATTACTGACCGTCTCAACATTGGACTTGGCCGGGCAGTAAGCACAAGGCTGATACTGATGCCTGGTGGATCATCCGAGCGACCCTAAATCAGAGCCTAAAACGACCAGTCTAGACTCTGGAATTATTCGTTTCTTTTCTTCTTCTACTTTTCTTTTCTTTTCCATACCACTCCTTATACTGCGCATATTCCCACTTTCAGTACTACATAGCAGGCTACTAGCATACTTTTTACGCCGCGCCCTGCAGCCTCGCGCTCAGATATAGTCCGTCAGGCCTTCCTTCCTTCTGCCTTTTGCTGCTCCACTCGCCTCGCTTATCTGAGTTGTTTTCTGAAGGAGCGCTTCTGCTTCCTCCAACACAATAACGCTACGTACAAACAACAAACAACAACTCGTCCGTACCGTCGAGCGTCCCATCATCTCATTCTTTCCGTTTCATCCGGTGTATAACGCAACACTCCATATGACTCAACATCTGACACGGAATGACTTTCGTCTTATTCGCGTCGAAAGTCAACTGAACAAAGACAGCACACCAAAACGTCAACAACAGTTCATGGACCTCACCGACAGTTCCTCGCCTCGATCTATGTCCACATCCGCGCCATATTTCCTCCCGCCGCGCTCCCTATCATCCTCGCCGTCTCCCAGACCACGTCGCCGGGCATCACAAGGCTCCGTCTCTACCCAACGGCTTCACTATCCCTTGTCTCGCTTTCTGGCTTCAAAGGAGAAGGCCGCTCTACACATTCCTTCCTTCGGTACGCCCCGAGCGTCTTCTTCTTTCGCCTCGTCAAAATTTCCGATGGCCGTTGACACTGCCATTCCACGGGAAACTTTACAAACCGAACATCCTCATTCACTACCTTTGACCCCTCCCGCAGACGACGAGGACGATGTGCACGTTCGTTGGGCCATTGATTCTGTGGAGCCGGCGATAAATACAGAGCCAAAACCCCAGGTGGCCATGGATGAGAATCGAGATCGACACAGCGCCTCGCCGGCACAACGACAAAGAGATAGCAGATCGTCATTCGGTGCAGTACCGGGACGACGTTCTTCGAGCGATGATGATGTGAACATGTCAGACCAGGATATGCACGACCAACCGCCCCCAGAGAATTGGCTTGACAACGGCATCAAAACTGCCCGTAAGTCGATTGAACCTGTCTCGAAAATAGCAACTAACTTGCATAGTATCGTCCGTTTTTGACTCGGATAGAAGTCTCGATGCAGTACGGCTCGTTTCCCAGACTCTGCCATATCCTCGAGCACCGGAGCAAAATGTACGGCTACCGACGCAGAGCACCGTGTTCGGAGCAATCATCGAAAATATACAAGATCGCGTCCGCCCTGAAAGACCGCCATATATTCATGTTGTTCATGCGGTGCCGGAAGACTTCAGCCTATCAAACCTGCCGACTTCGCCTCCAAGCACTCCAAGACATCTGATGCAGGTGGATAACTATTTCGATGCAACTGTATTTGCCAGTGCAAGCACAGCACCCGTGTATCACGATGTTCATGGTGGTGTCCGCCCTCCACCAGTCAGCTGGCCACATCCTATTGTTCCACCTTATAGTATTCACATGTCCGTTCTGGAGCGATATATACCACCTTCGACGCGTCAAGAGTATCGTGATATGTTCAGTCATGGCCGTCCTTCTGTACTAACGGATCGCCTCATCGAGCTTTCACCATCTGGTGGATGTCTGTTGTTCATATATCCCACCAGAGTGGGTGCCAACACTTTCAAGAGTCAATACCTCGGTCCCATTTTAGATCCCCTGTTGCGGCAGTTGGTGGTCGTCAACGGTTTTTCTGCAGACGTGAGTCGTGATCTGGGCCGGTTAGAAGCGGTCAACTACATGGACGACTTCGACACGATGAAGATGAATGTGGAAGCCTTGTGTCGGAAACTTAGCAAGGAAACGGCCAAATTCACCGTAGTCGAAGCCGTGAAAGGTCGTGCTCCGCTCGACCGAAGCCTGTGGACGGAATGGTATATCCAGCAGGAGCGTCCACGGATGAAGTCGCTGTTGAGTCGAAGCTGGCAGACCACGGGAGGACGACATACACCGACGGTGAACAGCCCCGAAACCAGTGGGGGGCAGCTCAGCTCAGCAATGCTATTGAGCGAAATCATCGAGGGGATCAAAAGACGGCAATACGAGACATTTCCCAGGTCGGATATTGAGCTCGGAGTCTTTGTGATTCGCCGATCGCACTAATTTATATTTTTACCACAATCATTGTTCGGGGTTAAGGGCCAAGGATGGGGCATAAACTATGCTTATATCATCGGATTAGCGGCATGGCAGCAGGCGTTGTTTTTTAATGGGGGGGAAAACGGTCTTATGTGTCTATTGTCTTGAGGTGCTACTATCAGCATTGAGTTATAGAATACCCATTTGTTATTTACGTTCTCAATAAACGAGGTCATGTATATAGAGTTGATTTGTGGAAGCGGAGCTTCCTTGCTGTGTCTGTTGATAGAAGTTGAATAGACGATCTTCGCAGGTTACAGACAAACGGTTCTTGTTTAGTTTTACTCGCCCAATAGACGACCCTAACCCTATTTCAGGCGGTGAGTTCGGCATACGGAAAAACCTGTTGCCGGCCGCCGGATATGCTCAATCTCCGAGCCTTCTCCGCGAGTCGAGAGTATTGACAAATCCTCTTGCTGTCGGTCTCTCGTCTACCGTTACATCTACACCTGTTATTCTTCCTATTGATGTGAACAACCTCTCTGTGACTTTTCTTGAGAGTGTTACCATGTTTTCCCTGTAGATTTTGTCCCAACCAGTTTTTGAGAGCTCGAATTCTTCTCTGAACAGTTCTTTCCGAGCGACGAGACAACCACAACCACAGCGACAACATGGTGTACTCCCCAGGCCCAGCATCACCCATGGCGATGGGTGATCGCAGCTCTGGACTACACGCACGAAATAGATCGCTCAGTCCTCCAGCACCGCTACCAGGTAGCAGCGCCCCTCAACAGTCCAAACGAGACAAACGACGCACCCAGCTGCAAGAACGCCTGCACGATCTCACTATCACCTTCAACCAGAACCGCGACAGCCAATTTCGTCAGCAGCTTCATGCGTTACAATGTGATATGACACTCATCAATAACGCCGATCCTTACGAGGCTGGTCCGTTGCCTGACTCGGCAGAGGAGATAGCGCAATTGATTGAGACGACTGTCGGTGGTGGGAAGTTTGGAAAGGAAATGGCTAATATTTCGGGTAGTTGGTATTCGCGGTTTGTGCAGGAAATAAATGAGATCAAAGAGGACCGGGATGCAGATTTGGTTGCGGTTATGGTATGTCTCACCCAGAAGATTGTTTGTGGCATGACGCTAATATTGGTTGGTCGCAGAACCGCCATCGTGAAGCCGTCAAACGTTACAACCATGAGTTTTCATGGCGACAGCACTTCGCTCGCGAAGAGTTTAGACTTTTATCCGGAACACTGCGCGAGCGATTGGTGCAAAAAGTCTCCGCGAATAAGACACGTCTTATGCGCGAGAAAGAACAAATGGATATTTCGGATACGAATGCGTTGCTACTCAACCCGAATCAGTTTACAATTACAAACCCTTCTAGCCCCGGTGGCATTCACGGGAACCGCAAGACTCGGCATACCAGACATCGAATCGGGATCGACGAGTTCGGTAACGGGATCGGTTTGGACAACAGAAGAAAACGCAAAGCTCCCGATGAAGATACTGGCTCTCCCGGTCGTGACGGCTTGTCGACTCCTGCAGAACGGGCCAAGGCCACTGCGGAGAAGCAGCAAATAGACAAGATTTACAGTATCAATTCTCTGTTCACAGACAAAGAACTTGCTTTACATGCAAACCAGGCACATATTGCTACGGCACATTTCTTCTCTACGTCGAGGCATCAGGAAGGTGTCAGCACTGCAGTGAATGGTAACAACAGCGAAGACGCCGACGACGCCGACAGCGCTGTGCCCGGAGAAGATGGAACACCCGCGGCAAGCGACATGGCACGCACAGCCAGTCAGAGCTACCATGCAACTCGATCAACGCGCAACCAGGGCAATGCCGGCCTGAACCTGCTGGCTGAGCTATCCGACAAACCAGCTACGCGACCAAATCTACCCTACCATATCCTTGCCAACCACAATTCGCGCACAAACCAAAGCGCGCCGCCGTTGAACTCGCTCATGAATGAAGAAATCGACGACGACATTTCTCGCATGGATCGGTTACAGGCCAAACCGCACGGGTGGATTGATAAAGGGCTGATTGATAATATGACGGAGCCCGTAGAGGAAGAGGTCGATGGCGTACCTACAAACTCTGACCGATTCAGCCTGTTGCATGCTGATTTCCCCACCGAGATCGGTATCAAGTGGTATCCCAGAAACAACAATGGCGGTTATGAGATGTTTCCACAGGTTAGCGAGCGCGCTAGTAAACGGCGGGCCTAATCCTTTACTTTCTTTTTTTTTTCTTTCGAAAGTCTTGCTTGTTTCGGTGTTTTCTGTTTGCTGGGCCGGTGTATATGGATAGGATAGGATATGGATGAACACATTGTGATTTAGTGATTACTACATAKTAKTCTTGCGAGCCATAGAATCAGCTGGTATATTGCGTGCTCAGATAGTTGGTAATCAATGACGTCAATTACGTTTTTAATACAGCCTTGCGTCCAGTCAGCCTTTAAAGAGTGGTCATTTATGTACTTTACGGTACCAGTGTTACACCCGCGTGATTACAAATTCCATTATTTGTAATCCAACGGCGACATTCGATTGTTCATGTTATTTATTTTTAAATAGTTATAAATACCGTCAAAAGTCGGTAAAGTGTTAGTATATCATTAGCATATTCATATCACATCATTTCGAATAGAGTGAATAAATCAAAATGTCGACCACCACGACGACCACCGCCACAACAACCCTGACCTCGTCAGACCCTAGCTACATCCCGCGTGGCCCCATCTCCGCCGAACTCTCCTTCTTCGAGCCCCCCGCCGACGGCTCCATTCCTCACAACTACGTCGAAGAGCCTCCCAAGGGCCAGCCTCGCACCAACTTCGAGCGCTCATCCCACACCGTCGATATCAATGACATCCGCGGTCGCGAAGCAGAGTATAACCTCGATAAGGATGCCTTCCAAGTTTATAGCGGTGTACAATCGGCAACGACGTACGAAACCTTCAACGACGACGCAGAGATAAAACGCGTCTACTACCCAGAGGTGGAGAAATTGATTCTCGATAAAGTCGAGGGTGCACATAAAGTTATCCTCTTTGATCATACGATCCGTCGCCAGGATCCCAATGCGCATCGTCAACCCGTCAATGCGGCGCATTCAGACCAGACAGATCGCGCGACGGAGTGGCGCGTGAGACTTCACGTTGAAGACCCCGAAGAAGCTGAAAGGCTACTCAAGGGTCGGTATAGGATTATAAATGTTTGGCGGCCGATCAATGGCGCTGTTCAGGCTGCACCCTTAGCATTTGCGTCTGCCGCTTCGGGCAATCCGGATAAGGATCTGGTACCGATTGAGCATCGGTACCCTACGAGGACGGGCGAGACGATGGGTGTTGTGTACAATCCGGAGATTAGATGGAATTACTGGTCTGGTGTTGATAACGACGAACGAATCTTTTTGAAGTGTTCTGATATCAATCCGCCGGCTGATAAGGAGGTTGGCAAGAGATGCCCTCACACGGCGTTTACGGATCCCAGGACGCCGAAGGGCGCGAAGCCTAGGGAGAGTATTGAGGTTAGGGCTTTGGTTTTTGGTTGATTTACTTTAGCTGGTTACGATTGTATGCATAAGATATGAATAAGAATGTATGTTAGATGCTTAGCATGTTACGATTAGCCCTAATTACGTCTTCTCAAGCCGAATACGTACCACATAGTACCTTCATCAAGATCATCTAAATAGTGATCAACCACTGATAAGCACCAACACCGGTTTCATCTCAGCTAGCGCTCAGCCAAGAAACCGGCGCTTCTTGAGCGAGCGCTATTCGGCAAGGCTAATATAGGATCATTAGCCTTAACCAACCAAGCCACCAGCCCCCGCGCATAGACAACTGCAGATTTCAGCTCTAATCAATATCCTCTTAGGCTTACTTTTGTCCTTAGTTCATGAATTATTGCGTGGCAGCCTTGTTTAGACCGAGTTCCAGAGTCTCCCTGTTCATTTCTGCGGGTTTACACATTACCACGATCATGAAATCGAGCAACTGAACGCTGCGGCGTGCGAGAGTAATTTTGAGTTGTCCGGCACAACCTGCTGTTATCCTCGTCGCTCGTTTGCAGGGTATCAGATTAAACTTTTGCCAGCTTTGGCGTCGTTACGCGCCAGGCAAAACCAACATTTGTTTCAAGTGCTGCATCTTGACTCGTCTGCCAACTTCAAAGAATCTACAATATGGATGAAATAGATACTTCGCCTTTGCTAGAAGGCGGCGCTATCAGACACAAATACCCGGCGCCGGTCTCTCGCGCTACTTATTCTCGTGTTGGCGCTTCTTCGCAATATGACCGAGATTTCGACCATGATGAATTCGAGATGCGTTCTGTTGAACCGTCGTCTGTTTTGCACAAGTCTGCTTTTAGACCGCCGCCTGCTTATGATCATGGCATGTCTGCTTTTCACGAAGAGATAGATGAACCGGAGCCAGAACCTATGCCACTGCCAGGGCCCAGCTCAGCCATGCAGTCGCCACGCCTCGAGAATAGTCGTCTCATTCCACGCCTGTCGCAAAGACTGAGTATGCGACGACCTACCAATGTTCGCTCAGCAATCAATAACAAACGCGATTTGAGACACTCAAATTCAATACTATCATCAGCCAGTCCGTTGACTCCTTCGGGCGTCCTGTCGTTTTGGCCAGTAAAGAATAAGCAGCCCGCAAATAATCAAGAGCTCGAGAATCTAAATGAAGAGGATTTTGTCACAGTCGACATTTCGTTCTTAGAGGGGCCGGATAGTGATGTTGCTCGACATCAGGATGCGTTTCCTTATTCTAGCAGCATCGGAAACAATGCGCATCAACGATCGGAGTCGACTCCCAAACCAGACGAGGTGGTTGTACAACATACCGCGCGAGAATACGGACAGCAACTCGCTAATCAGAAGAATATGATCGTTTCCGTCAAGGAAGCTGCTGTTGCTCCAGTTGTTGATCTGAGTAGTCTGGAGGGAACCGAACGTCGCTCAACTTATAGAGTAGCTTCTTCACTTGACGAAGAAACAAGTTTCTTCTATCCGACGGACCCTGAGAAACCGAATTGGAAACCATTCTCAATGACAGCGCCTTATTTGCTCATGCTCATCACCGTTTCTTTAGGACTGGCAGGCGTGCAGGAATATCTCTATCAACAATCGAAATCTCTCGAATCAAAAGGAAAAGGCCTTATTCAGTTCAACGATGTAGCCGAAATTCCAACTGCTCAGTTCTTTGCATGGAAATATCTCCCAACCATGGTGATGGTGACGTACGGTGTGTTGTGGCAGATCATGGAGTACAACGTCAAAAGACTCGAACCATATTACCAACTGTCCCAACCAACAGGTAACATTGCCTCGAAATCACTCAACCTCGACTACACCACACTATTCAGCTATTTCGTGCCGTACAAGGCTGTGCGGAACCGTCACTGGACGGTTCTGGTGGCATCCCTCGGAGCCGTCCTAGCAACCACAGCAGCACCGTCCTTGCAAAATGCCTCGGTCATGCCAATCCAAAACCCAAACTGTCCAGATAAAAAGTGCACATCATCAGACCAATTCCTGTACTTTGTGCATATCGACGCGGCTTGGTCGAGATTAGTCACGATTTGTCTTGCATTGGTAGCTGTCATGGCACTGGTGTTAATATTCCAGCTTCGACGGAAATCCGGCTTGCTGAGTGATCCCAAGGGTATCGCAGGGATCGCATCCATGGCAACCAAATCTCATATTCTGAACGATTTCCAGGGCATGGACACTGCCACGGATAACGACATACACAAACGACTACGGCATCGTCGTTATGTGCTGTACAAATCGAGTATCTGGCAGGGAGAGCATATTAAATACACCGAAGAACACGCCGTCCAACCCTTCTCTACCGCTTCTCCGCATCCGATTGCGCTTCGTCGTATACCCGGCATTGTGTTTTTGATTTACTTGACTTTCCTCGTCGCTGCTATCCCCGTCGTGACGTATACAAACGCAAACGTGGTCGCAGTTAAACTTCCCTGGTTACCTGTATTGTTGGCTGTAATCGCAAAACAGATTTGGACTGCGCTGGAGTTTGCGATCAAAATGTTGGAACCATTCTATGCTCTGTCGCAGGGTAATGCAAGACCCGAGAACACACTCACGCTCGATTACCAGGGTACCCCCTATGGTGTCCTACCGTTCCAGGCGATGCTGAATAAACACTATCTCGTCTCGCTGATTGGTGTCGGATCGATTCTTAGCGACGTATTAACAGTGACATCCGCCTCGCTATCCATCAAAGACGAAACCGAGGAGTCCTTCATGACCTCATCCGCAATCTCAACAGTCGTCGTATTCTTCCTACTCTGCTCCGCGGCATTGGCCCTAGTCTGTCGACGACACTATTTCGTCCCTCGACCGCCATCGACGATCGCTTCGATTCTGGCGTTTGTGCATCAGTCCCACATGCTAGACGATTTTGTGAATACGGAGCGGTTTAGTAGTGACCAGATGAGGTCTATGCTTGTGTCGAAGAATAAGAGGTATGGACTTGGTTGGTTTCGCGGTAGAGATGGGAAGTTGCATTGTGGAGTTGATGAAGAGCCTATGTTGAGTAGGTATGTGCATGGGATCAGTTATAAGGATGCGCAGGCCGCGCCTTTGGCGGATTTTTAGGTTAATATCCCATGTTATTGTATAGATTTTTACGAGTCCCATCTACTTATGTAACTATAGATAAATATGTACTATAAGCCCTGGAATATACATAGATATGTGATTGACTCTGCACTGAAGTCCCCCAAAAGAGCGAACTTTTTGCTGGCCTTGAATGCAAAATGACCCAGGAGCCCATCTGAGCAGATCGCATACTTCTTTCTACGTGCCATAGAATACTGGGGTTCTCTCATACCATACTCCTAGCGAAACATGATGGCCTGATTGGGTCGATCTGTATAGATGAATAGATGTCATGTGGCTGTGCAGCCCACCTTCACATGTGGCGAGTGCGTCAAAGCGTTGGGGCTGGGAAAGTGATATCATCGTTTGGTCTACAACAACAACTTGATATTTGATAACGCCGCATACGACAGTATTCGCCGTATGCCTTTTATATAGATCAGCATTTATCTCAATTTATAGCATTATCACTATTGTACATGCCCAAACAATGGCTCTCCAGTACATTACAAACGTCGCATCGAAAGCGAGCCCGTGGAGCTCCAAACCCGTTTTGACTGACGAGGACGAGGCTTTCTTACAACGCGTCACATCGACTCCGGACGACGGAAATAAAAACATCGACACGCCCGAAGCAATCAATCCGCTGGGGAGAGATGCGCAAACCGCCTTGATGGATGGTGCCCAGGATATTCCGTTACCAATGTCTCCGTCGGAGGATGTTGAGAGGAGACTCCCTGAGCAAGTGACGGAGACCAAGGAGGAAAAGGAAGAATTGAATAATGTCACAATTACAACTACCAAGAAGAGAAGACCATGGAGCATATGGACGAAGAAGGGAAGCAGCGAAGTCCATACAAAGAAGGTATTTTTTTCAACATTCAATATATTGCATTAGCAGTGATACTGACAATGGCCAAAGGACAAAGGAAAAGATCCCAAGATCGATGCGGACGAAATAGCCACAAAACCAACAGCTGGTGACGGTATTCCAATAGCAAACAAAGAGCAAAAGGAAGAACAAGAAGACCTCGCCATAATAATGGAACGACTCAATCTCTCCGCCGAAAATAACCGCGCATTCTCCGTCAGCGACGAGACGCAGCAACTTCTGTCGAAATTCAAACTGATTTTCAAGGATCTCGTGACGGGTGTGCCTACAGCTTACCGTGATCTGGAGTCGCTGTTAACGAACGGCGATAAACAACTCAAGGACGCATTTGGACATCTGCCCGGGTTTCTGCAGAAGCTTGTTCAGCAACTCCCTGAGCGATTTACCGAATCACTAGGTCCCGAGCTCATGGCTGTAGCCGGGGAGCGGGCTTCGAGGACTGGAGTCAATATGGAGAATGCAGGTAAAGCGGCCGCTGCAGCGCAGAAAATGGGATTCAAAGCGCCGAATTTGAAGGAGCTTGTTGGCAAGCCAACCGCAATTGCGGGGATGATGAGGTCGATCATCACTTTTCTTCGAGCCCGGTTTCCGGCTGTCCTGGGAATGAATGTGTTGTGGTCTTTGGCTTTATTTAGTAAGTTTGAATCTCCAGGACGCTACGGTTCAGTGCTAACAGTACGGTTTGTTAGTTGTATTGCTTGCCCTTTGGTACTGCCACAAACGTGGCAAGGAGGTACGACTCGAGAACGAGCGCCTTGTCACAGAAGCCGAAATCACCAAAATGAATGAAGAGTACGAACAGCACATTCGTCCTACAGAGACCTTGAGCACGACTGCGCCTAGAGATGCTCCGATATCTGATGTGCGGGATGGTGTTGAGCAAGTCCAGAAAACGCGAGAGCAGGCACTTGCATCTGACTCCAGCACCAACCTACAGAAACCTCAGGCAGAAACAGTATCACCATCCCCAGCAGCAACGGTGGCAGTGACAGCAGCACCGGTGTCAAGCAATACCAACGCAACACCCACATCGGCATCTACTCCCCCTGCGACTGGTAGGAGGAACTCAGAGCGCAGTCGATTCTCACTCCTGCGAACGTTCTCGAAAAGGACGAAGAGCGAGGAAACTAGTAATATCCAACCATACCCTGGCACATAATTTGTCTTTTTCGTTTTGTCCTGGCGATTTTTGGTACGGTATTGATGCCCTTGACGAATTTATGATGTATTTACTCTTTCATGATGCAACGACGCTGACCGCGGAATCATTTCGATATATTTCAGGACTAGTTTTGCTTAGCATCAAACTAATGTAATAACACGTTCTCTCTCTCTCTCTCTCTCTCTGAGATTGTGATCATACAATGTTCATACGTAGTAATTGGTCAATTGCCACCGCAATCTACACAAAACCACGATATCGTTCCAGGTCGTACGACCACAATACCCAAAACATAAGCATACGACCAGCCCCGCCAGAGCGTCAATAACGTCAGTGTGCGCTTCTGATTCGCTCCATTACTTAGTACTTAACCCTATTTCGCGGGGAGTGAGCTGTCTGATTGGTCCGCTAGACAAGCCCTAGCGGCTCGCTGGAAAGCTTATACCCCACAATCGCAAAAAAATTTAAAAAAACATCAAAAGCTTTCATGACGACTCCAACGGACGCAGGTAAATTGTGTCCTGACGGAACAACGCTATTTATTTACGTACCTCAATATGGAGCATCGTGTCATTGTGGCCACTGGCTTCGGATTTAAAGGAAAAGAAAAGAAAACTTACTTGGAGCGCCTCACTCCGAGTATTGAGGATTCGAAATGTTACCTGTTCTTTCGGAGGAAGTGGAACCCTTGGAATGAATACATTCGCCTCATTCCAGCCGCTCTCTGCCGCGGTCGTTCATCCCAGCGCTGCAGCCTAGCTCGACTTGCAAGGATCACGCTGCCTGAAGGTGCTTTTAAAAGATTGAGTCATACTGATTTTTTTGTAGTCATGATAAGTCATGCTGTATTGATCTTACTCGTGCGACCATCAATCCACATGAGGAGAAATCCCGACTTGGAAAAATCTGGGGGTTGTGGTGAGAGACAGGATGATTGGTCGGCAGACATATTGCTATGATTCATCACGAAATCTGGCCGGTTCGACTTTCGGACGATTGGTCAGAGTCAGTCTCTGTTTCTCCATGTGTTTGTCTGCTGAGAATTCTCATCGTTCAATACTTCGAGCTCATGCCTGCGAAGACATGGCACGATCAAGAAAAGTACATTAAGTTGATCAATTGAGCACGGGATAGAGGATGCTCAGTGTCACAGCACGGGCTGTAAGCTGTAATACATCGTAACGAGGTTACCTGTTCCTAGGCCGTGGATGGCGCAACGCCCGTAATGCTAATACAAGCATGTAAAATTGGGCAGTCTGGTGGGGTGCCATCTTGGACAGTTTCAGATTTTCATGTGTCTTCTCCAACGGTGTTATCGATACGTCTTTATCCGACACCGCCACATCGATGCTAGCGCCGAGATGCTGTCCTCACTACAGTCCTCGAGGGTGTTGAAAGAAGGACAATCTGACCATGTGTACATTTCAACTACTGCATGTGTAGGTACCTAGTACTCTGCGCTGGCCGGGGACTGCTGCATACTGCATGTACTCGAACACTGGAGAGCTCCTTCTTCATACCGTTCCTTCGGTATCATAGGTTGGGAGTAGTCCCGCAACCAGGGTGGTATGCGATTACGTAGCGATAGTTAATCGGCGGTCAAGGGTTTCCAGAAAGTCCGTAAACCATATCATGATTATTTTGTGTTCGTTAAATGTTCAGAAGTATGTGTGCCTATTCGACGGTCCGTGATGGATTGTATATAACGCTATTGACAGTATGATAATGCTCGTGATTGTCGAGATCCGGATGATTGCGTTTAAGTACCGTTGAGTATGTCACCCATGATTGATACACATCATTACATACAGCAAGGCTAGCAAACGGATCGTCGTAATTGCCAATTGAGTCCATTAGCACCATATTATTGGACAGTGCAATATGCGGTGAGTCCACACAGCCGCTGATTGGCTCTCCCCTGCCTAAAAAAGATCGCAGCCTGAGGTAAAAGATGGGAGCCCCATCTGCCTGCAGTAAAAATTGGCGCCACCTTGCACCAATGGGAGCGCCTTCAGATCTGCGTCTGTAACACCCTCGTATTACCCGTTACCGGCCGTACGGTATGATGACTTTTCTTTTTCCCCGTTTCTCTCCTCTCTGTTTTCTTTTCCTGTCCTTCTCTCTTCCTCCCTTCCTTCTTCTCTCCCTCCGACATATCGTCATATTTCCCATATACACTCAACCGCCCTTATTCTACAAACACCTATTCCTACAGAAAATCATCCACCCAGATATCGTCGACAGGAAACCGCCCAAGATGGCATTCGCTGAGCTGTAAATCTCCTGCTGGGGAGGGGCGGTCTGTCCCCCTCTTCCCAGTCCAGTCAGCTCTTCGAAGATACAATTTCATAAATCGACCTTGACGATATCTGCTATCCTCTTTCGACGCTTGCGTGAAGGCACGTCGAAATTGCTCTTGAGATCATACACGGAAAAGGCACTTTTTGAGCGTCCGAATTGAGGACCGAAAAGTGTTTTCCTGCGCAACCTTTCTTACCTTCTCTCTCCGCCGAGTTATCCGATCTAAACCTTCTCCTACGGACGACGATCACCTCTCGAATCATCATATTCATTACTTCTCATACGTCAACCTACCTCAGCCAATTTTATATCACCATCATTACCATCTCGATCAGATCTACGACCATATTCACATACCACTTCGCTCACTTCACCGCATACAACAAATAAAATGCCGAAAACTAGCTCACAATCCCCAAAGCGGTCGCCATTGACAATGGGCAAGTACCGCCGATCAGAAATGTCGCAATTGACCTCAGCGCGCAACAAGGGCCTCAAACACCCGGCCGGAAAAAAGACTGTAACAGCCAAGAGTCTGAACAGAAAAAGGAAGCCATCCTTTTCATCTATTTCAACCATATCTTCAGTATCCGGCTTCGAAGATGACGACGAACAAGACGAGGCAGACTCCGAAGCAAGCTCCGATGAAGACGACGAGTCCGCCCATCGGACCCCGTCTTACGGAGGCAAGAGCCGTAGAGGACGTAAGACGGGGTCAAAGACGAAATCTTCTACACTTTCCATCAAAAAGAGAAAGCTTTCTTACGACGAGGGCTATGAGGGTCAACGAAGTAGCACCGGTGAATCGGATAGCGACTACGCGGCCGTCGATGAGATCGACGACGACGAAGACATGGATGTCGAGAAGCTTGAAGAGCAGATGATTCTTGATTCCGAGGACGATAGTCAAATGATAAAAAGCACATTCTCAACCTCGGACGCCCCTGACTTTGACGAGTGGGAGGGATTCGGTAACTTCGATGACCACGTCCTATTTTCCACGGAACCTTTCCTTGAGGACACCTTGTACAGCGCAATGGAGACATTTGGCGAGACTGATTTCACCAGCGAAGCTGTCGAAACCCCTGTGCAAAGGCATGTCCATTTTGTCGTCGAAGAGGATGACGATGCCGACTCAGACACGTCGAGCGATAGCCGCGATGGCTCTACCGACGATGAGATACCCGGTGACTTCCTACAACAAGATAGCTTGGATCCTACTCTCCGTCGTATGATTGATAGTGAATACGACACCAGCAACAGCCAGCGATATGAAGACATCTTTGGGGAGTCCGATATCAGCCATCCGGCCAACATTTATCATGTAGAGTCGGACGCCGTCTCAGACGGCTCAAGTGGCTATGAAAGTATGCTCCCAATGATATTTAACCGCTTGTCTACGTTATTATGTTACTAACATACGATAGCCGACGATGGAGAAACGACAGACGAGGACCTGCCACCTCCAGCCACCATCACACATCCGCGGTCTATCCTACGACGAGATTCGACTGCTTCTTTGACAGCAACTGGAGATTCCACCAGTCAGAGGTCGAACCCACCACGTCGGCGCGGACCCATCATGGGAACATTCGTTGCTGATCCCAAAAAGCCAGTTGCACTTGTCGACTGCACTGGCAAACACTTAGTCATCATTCCCGCATACGCCTCTTCTCGTCATGACTGGCTGGAGTCGGCGGCCAACAGCATGTGTGGAACAGCACATAACAGCCCTCGAACCACTACCATGCATCTGGTCGATGAAAGCGACACAGATGCTCTTACTTCGCCGAACGGGTTCGAATTGAACCCAATGCTGAGTTCCGGTAACCTCATGATGACCGCTTTAGGCAATGATGCCACCCCTGGTGGGCAGGTTATGGGTCCACCTGAAGCGTTCTACCCATCTCAGAACTATGGTGGAGACAGCTCATATGACGAGGACGATGAAGACGACGAACGTATGCTAAATGTAGATGATTTCCTTGACTTTGGGAACGGATCGTCTGATGAAGAAGATGAGGGAATGAACAAGGGGTCTGATGATGACGAAGGTCTCACAACCTCGCCGGCTGTTGCGACATCGGTACAAGGCTTGACCACACCGACGCCAAACAGAGCCCATGACAACGACAGTGCCGAGCGATTTCTCAATCACCTCGACAAGGGCATTGTGACTGCTTTCCGTCGCAATCACACCCGATATCAGACACTAATACGCCTTCCACAACATCGAGAATTTATGCCAGCCAACTCTCCCTCTCGTGTTGCCAGCGTCTTCAAACACTCTCGTTATGCCGATCCTCGAACCCCGCCTCGCAAGCGCAAGAGCAATCAATATTCTGGCGGCGAGGCCGTGCGGCGTAAACTAATTGACGGTCATCGACGCAATCAGCTCTCATTTTAGAGTACATCTACAATATACATTCTTTTGCATAACGGCATCGACTTTCTTTATTTTTCTCTTTCCATTGCATGTTGATACTGATTCATATGTAATGTGTTACATTCACGCCATGTCTTATTAGGTGATGAAAGGATTAGCTACGGTAACCGGACGGAGGCGGGCGGCAAGGCGAACTGGCGCAGCGGCGCTATGACTAGACGGTAATAGCTGTCAACAGACTGATGGCGATAGCTGTCGGATAATGATTTGATTGAGTTTATGATGATGGCATCTGGATGTTGATCGCTGGTTTAATGACTGGATAGATCAAAAGTTTCTTTATGTTTGTGGATTTAGTCGATACCTTGGAGTTAGTTGTGATTAGCAATGATGAACATATACACTCAGTTTTCTTCGCGTAGAACTGGTTATAAGGGGCCGTGTCCTCCCCATATCTGTGCTAGCTACATCACATGTAGAAATAATCAATATAGTACCCAGGGTTCCCCATTATAATCGGGTATGAGTTGCACATGCAATGGGCTCGCTCTGTCACCAAGTGAAGAATCTTGGCACAAAATCTTGGGACGGGGAAGCTTCACGTTCATGGTCAGATCTTACTGTACTGCATGGAATGTCCAGTGGTACAGAATACACTCGGATTGAGCACAAAAACGAGGCAACTACCGTACAAGGATCATCTCAGGCTCATACAGCCACCGTTGCAATAGTCAAGTGCAACATTCATTCACTCTAAACCTTATAAGCAACGAGAAGCGATGGGTCTGGAGCACAATATGGAGTCATGAAGTAAGTGCTGTTTCTGCTGAAAGTAGGTAACCATAGACCACTGGATCGGACATTATAATGCCTCTCTGACGACTCGGCGCATAAAGAAAATCCAGGGGCTCGAGGGAGTTCCAGGAATCGAAGCACAGTTGTATGAACAATCTATACTTAGCCTAGTATAGGCGAACTCCGGTATTCTGACCATGTGTGACCGGTGACTGCATAAACACACAAGCAGCCTGCAGAAGATTGTACCTAGGATAAAATAAGGAATTAGGGCTTGGAATAGCTTTCGTTAGAATGAGTCGAGATGAGATGAGATGCCGGGTAATCACATAGGTCGGCCTTTTTCTTTATTGCAACTGATCTGAAAAAATGAAGCAGTCTGGTGCAGGATTGGAGTTATTCGGTTTTATTAATTTGTCGACTATGTACTGAGATTGACCGACTAATGTGATTAAATTTGTTCATAATTTTGATATTAACAGCCAGATAACGTATCTAATTGACGTCAATCAGCTCGCTTTGGCAGCAGCAATGATGACATCCGATGCTTTTTCACTGATTTGGTAAGTGGGCAAAGCGATATAATAACCTGGTATCTTGGGGAAAACAGAAGCATCCACAACTCGCAAACCATCGACGCCACGGACACGGAAATTAGAGTCCAATACAGCGTTGGGATCTGTGTCGTTGCCGATTGGGCATGTGCATGATGCATGATGGCCCCAGGCTTCACGCTTGATGAAATCTTTCATATCTGCCTCCGTCGTGACGTTGGGACCTGGCCAAGTTTCGGTGAAGGAACCGTCGAGAGGAATCAAGTCGGAAAAGGCTTGACGAGCGAACATCAATCCTTCGTACTGTGCTTGAAGATCGAATTCATCGGCTCCTCCGGCGGTAACACCCTCGTCGAAGTAGCGAAAGTTAATGATGGGGGTATCGCGCGGATCCGTTGAACGAAGAGTTATTGTGCCCATGTTATTGCGTACGTGGGACTTCAAAACAATCCATGCCCAGTGCCGCGCATCAGCCAGTGAATCATCGGCATAACCGGGGAAGTAACCCTTGAACTTGGCAGGAGCACCAGAAACAAAGATATCCGGGAACGAGGAGCTAGATGTGCTTGTGTTGCGCAAGACAGCAATGGCAATTCCATTGGTGGCGTATGTTCCGGGATCAATCTTATTGTTCTGCCACTGGACTAGACAAGGATCCGGGGAAGTGCGAAGGAATGTGCATTGGGACGTAATCGTGAAGTCGGTGGGCGCTTCACCATCGATACGATCTTGAAGATTGGTTCCAACTCCCGGTAGATCAACCACAATGGGAATATTGAATTGATCGAGTTCGGCTTTGGGGCCGATACCACTTAGTTTGAGAAGTTGAGGGCTATTGAACGCACCGGCCGACAGAATGACTTCGCGGGTCGCGTTGACTGCTCCAGGTACACCAGGGCCCGCAGTGCTAGAGCGCAGATCGGCGCGATAGAGACTTTGACCTTGGAGATACTCGACTCCGACAGCACGAGGAGTAGTAGTGCCGCTTTGATCAAAGACAACCTTGGTGACAAGAGTCTCGAGCTGAATGTCAAGAACGTATTTGCGGGAACCGTCCGAGTTTTTGGCGGCGATAGTATTTACAAGAAAATCGCGAGGTCCCGTACGTGAACTGTCGGGAAGTTTGACTGCTAGAGGCACTTGAAAGGGACCTGTAGCCCAATTTCGATCGGGAGAGTTCAAATCACGGAGTAAAACACCTGCTAGACCAGTCACGGTGGTTATAATCATGCCTAGAATACTTTTCCCGGCCGCGGTACAGGAGGCCAGAATTAATGATAACAATTTCTGATCCTCAATGACGAGTCCTAGGGAGGTCAAGCTTGTCATGAGCCAACCGTCATAGCCATGTCCAACTATCGAAGACGGAAGATACCGATTAGCCTCCAGGCGCTCGAAGTATGATAGCATATTCGATGGCTCCCACGATGTATCACCGGTGATGTCGGCAATGTATTGCCAATCGTCATCCTGAGCCGTGACAGTAATCATGGCATTGTGCCCAGTGCAACCACCAAGAGTTCCAGCGCGTGGGTAAAGAATACCCAGTGGCGTGGCGCCTGTTGGAGGGTCGAGACCAACATATAAGTCTCCAGAAGTGGTGTTGTATACCATTTTTGAATCTTCTTTCTGTCGCTCGAGGTCGGTGTAGTGGTTTACAAAGTAATCCCAGCGTTGGGGCCCATACTCGGTGGATTGAAGTTGCAAGGCTGGTACCATTTGTTGAGTAGCATTACCCTCGTCAGTGCCGGCATCTAACAAGAGCACTTTGTATCCGGCTATAGCAAGACGGGCAGCTAAAGGGCCACCTCCGGCACCAGATCCAACGATGACATAATCATATTCAATCTGGTCACGTTTGTGGGTATGATGAGAGCTTGGATGGCCACTGGAGCAGAATGTCAGAGAAGAATATTTGCTTTCAATCTCCAAGAAAAGACTTACAAAACAGAAACGGCGGCTGCAAAGAGTGACAGATAAGGGAACGACTTTAGTAAAAGCATTTTGATAACTTCCCAGCTACATCCAAGAATCAAGGAGTGAAGCAAAAAAGACGAAGGGAACAAACGAATGAATGAATGAGTGACGAGCAGCACCAAATGTCATTCACAACAGGCCGTGAGGGCACAATATAAGCCGAGCGGCACTTTGGCATCCGGTCCTGCATGTCTAAGCTATTCTTGAAGTTTTATCGCTTTTGACGGATGTCAGACTGATTCTCAGACAGCGAATATAGAAGTGATCAGCAGTCGTCTATGAGCTCTCGCTAATAACTGCTTCCGACGTACTCCACCTAGGTTCTTGAACACCCTGGTCTACTGATCCAGGAGAAACGATGAACGGGCCGTTTCGAGCCTTTCATAAAGAGGAAGGTACTTGACCAATACGTTAAGCTAACTATGTACTAATTGCTACTAGGGTTTACAACCCGTGCTACGTATACCGCCGTGGGTATTGCGGAGGCTGTATTAGATACATACTTATATGTGTCCGTGTAATTAATATAATAGTGTAGAACTTTAAGCATATATACATGAAGCCGCCGTCTCTTTTTAGCGCTCGAGCCTCGTGGCGGTATGGCATGTAAACATGTAGTAGCGTGGGGAGTCCATTCGTAAGCTTTTGCTAGGATGGAATATCATCTTAGTTTATCAAGTTGCCTCCTTTAAGAATTATTTATATTGAGTTGAAGTTGTGCATATGCTAGAATTAGGGATATTTGGAGATGTTTGGTGACCAACAAAATTTAGTTTTTACCTCGGGCGTCTTTCGAAATAGGCCCAGCTCCTTAGAAGTCTGAGATCAACCAATATCACAACAATCTTAAAAGGTCCAATATGAGATGCCACTCATTGTAGCACCCACATTATGGTTTAGGGGATTAGTTTTGCCCCCTTTCCCTTCTTTATGTGTTCCATCCTAGCGAGTTGTTTTCTACCAAGTTTGTGGATACTTCATGAGCTCTCAACTTCCATGAAACAGACCTTCCCAGTCAGCTTATTGACTCGAGTCGAATGCAGTTAGGTCAGCCACTTTTAAGACAGTCAGATTTCAACGGTTCACACGAACTTTCAACCGTGCTCCATTAAATTACCGAAAGCCTCCCCCGAATTAGCCATATGCAGTTAATGACTGAACATCCTTGCCCTAGCACCTGGGAATCCCTCGGAAATTTCATGCCGGGCCATATCCAGTGATTTTGATGTCCCAATTCGTTGCCAATTTGACAAGGCTTTTTGCTTTGGGACTATAAATCAAAACAAATAAGAGAAGGGGTACGTGTCCCTTTTCACAAGCATACTTATTATCCGTGGTCTGGATTATAGTAAAAAGTCTGATTGGTACGCAAAAGAAGCTGGAAGATTTTAAAGGAAAGTAAACATTTTCATCAAGTAGCTCACTGTTATCACAGCATGCTTGATATAACCTGGCTCGAACGATTCAACCTAGGAGGAGAATTTGCTCAAGCGAGAATTGAAGTCTTGCGAGTAGACGCCGTCTTTCTTGTTCACAAAGTGATCGACATGGCTAGAAGTGTCTTAATTGGTCTTTAAAAATACGAATTTCAAATCGGGCTTTGAAAATACCGTACTGCTTTGACAGGCACCAGTAAATGAATTTCTATCAGCGTATACGGTACAAGCTGATCGATCTCAGCAAATAGAAGAGAAGTTTCTTTTAATTGACTTGTCGGTCTTTCGGTGTCACTGAGTGAGAAGTCACTTGCACATGTGTAGTTACCTGAACCAGCGGCATGGCATCGCCTTCTTCTAGAGCTGCATCTCGGTGATGCAGTTCGTACTCTCCGTTCTTGATAAAACGCTTTCCGCCACCAGATTGAGCAGACCGCGTATGAGAGTAAGCCGGTGTCTTTGCTCCACTATGAACTGTGCTCGCGAACACATTGGGAAAGACACCTCGGAGAAGCTTTCGGACTGCTGGTAGACAAGCACAGATGATCCCGACGTCTACTTCGATTGTGCTCCAGTAGCCTAACTGTACGTAGTCCCCTGTTTTCACCAGTCAGCCTAAATGGTAATGAAATCAAACAAAGGAACAGGCTAACAGGTCAAGTTGGTCGTATTGGCAAACTCGACCAAACTGTGTAATCGTAGTATACTAACGAGTGTCACGCTGTTTCTTCCCGTCAGCAAGAGTAGATATTATCTCAAGTCGAATTGAAAACTCACAAGAGTCCAAGAGTAAACATAATCATCAGTTGCATTTTCTTTTTCAAGGACATCGATAGCTTGCTCAATTCGCGAAGAGGCAAAACCATAGTCACAATATCGAGAAACATATTGATCGCAGCTGACGCCCATCCTTGCGCGTTGATATTTTGACATTTCGCCGGATGTTCGCCGTCCCACCTGAGCCATGCTGCATCAATTGGATGACACTGGAAAACGGAGACGAGTACAAAGGCGATCAAGTAACACAAATTCATTGCGATGACGATGTAGGTTGTGATGCGGAAGGATCTTTGCGGAAAGACTCGGAGATAGAAAAGTAGAATAGATATTTTAGTGAGCGGCAGGATACTGAGGTAAATATCCTCATCAATATAGTAAATCTATAGCAGGTTAAGCCCAACTGTACAATTCGAATTTGGGCAAAGGGGGATACTCACGTAAAGAATGTGGGTGATATTATCGAAAGGGACTGTCCACATGTCCTTCCCGAGGCCATGCGATGCCACTCAAAAAGGAATCAATATCTTCTTCGGGCGTCATCTGCTGGGCGGATATCAACTTACAAACATATGAGAAGTATGTCAATACAATTGCAAGTCCCTAAAGTCAAATCAATATCTCTGCATTTTGAGGCAAGCAGCCACCAGGAGCCAGAAGCCTACAATAACGAATGTCAAAACAGCATCATCCAGACCGAAGCTCACCCCAAATCGTGGCAGGCGAGTCACCATTCTGAGAAGGAAGAAAACAATCGCAAGAGCGCCTCCGGCCAATCCAGCAACTGAGACGACGGCGGTGCGATCCCTGATGGGGGCGCCGCAGAGAGTGGAAGTCACATTCTTGGTTGCTGCCAGTGGTCAGAATTTTTGACTTAAACATAGACGAAGTGAAAAGGGTTGGCAATCATACTCAGTGATTCTCGGATTGTGCAAGATTGCGCTACACAAACCGTGATCATCTCGTTGAGCTGCTGGTTTGTGCAAATGCATGGCAAATTCGTCGCTGTACAATTGGACTTCGGAATTTCCTGAAACAGACATTGCAACTGTCATCAATTAGATTAATGTCACGTGGAAGATTAACAATTCAGCAAGTTCATACGCCGCATGCAGGTAATTGTCCAAGAAGTTCTGTCTCATTGACTGCAGATGTTTCACTTCGACGGGCTATCTGGGCGCTGACAACAGTCGAAATCGCCGCCGTCAACAACAACAAAGAAAGCCGCATCTTGGTTGTTCCGAATGGTGAAGGATACTCTCACATAGGGCCGGTTCTCGGTTGTGTTGTTCATATTCTATTTATTGAAGAGTGTTCTAACAGAGACTCATTCCGCAACGTTCTTGACCCGCACTAACTCGAGTATCAGGAGAATGATAACGCTCACAGGCATGGGTCCCATCCTTAAGACGAGTATTCGACACTTATTAGGTCTTCCACGTAATAATCGTGTTTGATATTAACAGTCTTTGCTATAATTGCCAAGTGGTACCATGATTCGTGGATGTTAACATGGCAGGGCATCAAATTTTCGTTTCTGACGGGACAAGACTCAAATTAGCCGGTGATGATCAATGCAGTAGAAGCTTTGCGTGGATTAGGCCCATTGTGTCACTGGGTACCCTTCTAAGGGGGACAGAAGCCGCAAATAATGTCATTAATTGAAGATAGACACCAAAATTCCCATGACAGGTCTAGTGAATCAAAGCGCAGTTCCCTCTCCTTTACTTCATGAAACTCATAAATTTCAGCTTTACTCAATGCGGACATCAGCTTTCCCATTTGAGAATGGGATTAAGGTTGGTAATTTGCTTAGCTCCGAGGGACCGTTATATGTCGTAATATTATTAATTAGTTAGCTGTAATACAAAGGAGAGTGAAACTAAGCTACCACCCGACGTCTTGCGCTTAGACATCGCTACTTATCCCTCAGTCTCTAGATAGCTTCGCACTGATGACAGATCGGCACTGTATAAATTAAAGAATTTGCCCAATAACTTAGTGCTTAGCACGGACTTACAACCGGGTGGTCCGCTCGGTAGTTGATAGGAGTTCCCAAGAGATGTCCAGAATATCTTTTCCAACCCTCGGATCACATCGCCAAGCTCAGTTCGTGTAAAATATGTTTGTGGATAGAGAGGGTCTATTCGACTTCAACCTTTCGTTATGGAAAAGTTGTGTTCTGGAAGAGTTTCTTGACTGCTCAACCGTCCATTCCTTACCGATTATCAAGCCTACCTTAGTCTTTCGTTGACTGTCGTTCATTCATTTTTCCTTTCTCCGCCCAGAATACCTAGATCAGAAGATGAGATTCGAGAATATAATGCTTTCGGCCCTTTTGGCCGCAAGTGCTGTATCTGCCTTTCCAACCGCCGAAAATCTGGGCAAATTGATGTCAATAAAGCCCACAACTGGAGACAAGAGATGCCCCTTTGCTGAAATTCAAAATGGCATCGAGAAGGCGATCAAAAAGCGCAGTTTGCTAGATCCTCTATCATCTCCTATCCAAGGTACGCTTAGCTCATGCTGCATACGCAAGATGCCCTTTCTTTCTAACGAAATAGTAGTTACTGGTGAACATAGCTTCGTACCACCCGATTTTGCATCGGGAGACCAGCGTGGTCCCTGTCCCGGTTTGAATGCTCTGGCAAACCATGGGTACATACCCCATAATGGAGTCGTTTCGGTAAGTTGTTTCGTCTGCTCTACATAGTCTCTCCTGTTGACGGGAGTTGAAGTTAGCCGAAGCGATCCCTGCAATCAATGAAGGTATAGCTGCAGCATTCCAACATAAATACTCAATAATGCTAATTCGATCCTTCAAAGTATGGGGAATGGGTGCTGACCTTGGCCTTGTCCTGTCTGTAATGGGTACACTCTGGGTTGGGAATCCGCTTTCAATTGATCCCCGTTTCTCAATTGCCGGAGAGTCGCCAGCAGTCCAATCTTTGCTAGGCAATTTATTTGGTATAATCGGTATGTTCTTGATTGATGGGACACTTCAGAACATAATGGATACTTAAATCTCAAAGGCGTCCCACGCGGATTGAACGGTTCACATAATTTTATCGAGTCGGATTCGTCTCCATTTCGTGACGACTTGTATGTCACTGGCGACGCATGGACTCTGAACCTCACCAAATTCCGGGATTTTTCTGATATGTCAACCGATGGCACGTTCAGCATGGACTTGATCGCCGAATTTGCGAAGAACAGATACGAAGAGAGTATCACTACCAATCCAAATTTTTATTACGGTCCATTCACCGGTGCTATTGCCCGAAATGCCGGTTACATTTTTGCAGGAAGACTGTTCAGGAATCATTCCGTTGAAAACCCCGAGGGGGTCCTCAGTACGTTATATCCATCTCCATTTCAACCACTTTTCGCTCTAAAAGCGGAGCTAATGTAGTTACGTGACATTAGCTAAGGATGTGCTCAAGAGCATCTTCGGTGTGAGCGGATCTGACGACGCATTGCAGTACAACTACGGCTATGAACGTATTCCAGAGAACTGGTATCGTCGTCCAACCGACTTCGGCTTAGTAGACCTGAACTTAGACCTATTGAATTTTGCAACACAATATCCCGAACTTCTGAAGTAAGTCTGGCCTTCTTCGATTCAAGTTTGACTTATGAAATTCTGACACGATTCCAAAGTATCGGTGGCAATGTCGGCGCTGTGAATACATTCACCGGCGTGGATATTTCCAATCTTACCGGCGGTGTCCTCAATGCCGCAGATCTGCTGAAGGACAACAACCTACTATGCTTGGTTTTTGAAATCGTCAAAACCGTTAGTCCCAATGCATTGACGAATCTCTACTCTACCATCGCTGCCCCGTTGGAACTGGCTACAAACCTCGTCGCAACCACGCTTTTGGACCTATCTTGCCCGGCTTTTGAGGATATGACTTATAACGGTGAGCCGCTTTGGGACGGACTCCAGAGTGTATTCCCTGGAGCTGGATGGGCCAAGGCTGCGCTCTAACTATGATTTCCCATTGCGGTAACACGTAAAGGTAATTTGGTATTAGATCTCTAGCATGGACTACGATATATAATAAAGTGCAGCTGTCCACGAATACTGGAATAATGCTCATTTAAACTCGTGTGGCATGAATTTAGCTAAATGTTCAGTGGGATAAATGACAACAATGTTAATTCTGGCTTGTGCGCCATGCTGTCCGATAAATGGCAATTAGTGGTGTTTACATGGTGGGCTTTATTATATAAAGATCCTTTAGTACTTGCCTGTAACTAGGGACATTTATTTTCCTAATTAGAGCTATGAGGGTATTCTTTCTTTCTATAGCTTTATATAAGGCCGCGAAATGAATGACACTGCGGATAGCTTCCTGTACCAGCAATATTTATCTCGCGGCCGTCATGTCAGGCCCATGATCCTTACATAAAGAGCAGCAAATAGCTGCGAACGATATCTACACCTATGTTTTTAAGTATAAGTCAAACTATAGCTATCAATTCGCTTTTAGTTAGAAGGGCCTACTTATTATATATCTTTTGTAGATAGCTAATCAAGCTTTCAAGTAGTAGTTTAGTTATACATGTATTCTAATTGATTATGTGACTTTTATTTACTTGATTGACTTAGTAGATACCGCCGAGGATATTTTCAATAATCTTACTGAGAATTCTCCTAGAGCACCACACAGATCAAGTTGCTTGAACCTGAACATAAAATCATCTAAAACTATTAGCAAGAGACGGTCATTAAAGCAAATTCCATTCTGTCTAAACTGGGTAATGCACATGATAAGTAGGAAACATGAACGAACGGTTCATACGTCTGTAGCGGTTTCTAAGCCCACCTCCTCCACAAACGATTTCTGAATGGCAATAATGATATCCTCGTCATTAGTATTATTAGAAGGCTCCGCAACTTCACCGGTCCTTAGATTATGTAGAACTCTGTCCCGGATAACAAGGTTACCGATAGAGATCTCTTCAGTGTTTTCAACTGCGAGTTTGAATATCGCTGGATTCAAGTCACAAAGAATGCTTGTAAATGCCTTTTTATCTGCTTTGGTCTGTTGAATAATATTCCAACTATTGGTTACCGAGTAGACGTAAGTGATGATAACAAGTTTCTGATTAAAATAACGCAATCCGCCAATGGCTTGATCTATCACTGGTTTAATTGTATGCAGATCAAAAAAGTGCATAATGCTGCAGCGTGGATGTAGGCTCAAACCTAAGGCATCAACTGCCAAGGACATGACCAGAACGGAGCATGTGTCTGTGGTAGTGAATTCATTGACCAGAGCTTGCGCGCTGTGTCTGATCGAGTTTGGAATGAAATACTCATATGAATCTGGGATCATCCTGAGAAGCGAACCGTAAATTGGCTTTTGAACAATTAGCTGCTGGTACAATCAATTTGAGACACTCCCTGAAATCAGATCATGTAATTCCTTTCAAGCCCGTTGATATTATGGATCCCTCCTGAAATGTTTATACCTAGGTGTTCTTCTACTTCTTGAATGGACAACAACTTGAATGTAAACTTTTGAATTGGATATCAATGTTCAGCTCTAGGACTAGCTGCCTAGGCAATATATATTCTCAAGAATAGTATAAAGGAGTGTAAGAAGTAAATTAATCCGAATATACCACTCTTTCCCTTCCCTCATTATTATCAAACAAGGATGACTGAAATGGGATACCATAACAGACGAATTCCAGCAAACGTGGCACATAAAATTAGAAACAAGCAAGTCGCAAAAAACTCAGTATCAAAAATCTTTGTTCGCACGCACGACGTTTACAAGAACAAGGTCAACATTCCCATGGCACCGGTCAAGAGCATACCCTGTCGTGAGACAATGGCGCCTGGGACGGCGGCACCGGTGAATGGTTTGAGTGTCGAAGAGGCGGTAGGAGTCTTGGATCCTGTGGCGCCGGCGACACCAGGGACGGCACTGGTCTTGGTTGCCAAGGTGGTGACAGCGGCGACGGGTTGGGTGTTTGCGGGAGCAGGGACAGAAGTCACACCCACAAGACCGACAGTAGGGGTGGCACCGACACCGGTGGCAGTGGCAGTCGTGAAAGCGACTTGAGGAACAGTCCATGTGCTAGAGGAGTAGGTGATGGTGGTGCATGGCACAGAAGTAGCAGCAGCAGTTCCAGAGGGTGCAGGAGTAGGACCCAAGGTGATGGTGGTGGGGACAGCGGTGACAATTCCTGGGTTACCGGGAATGTAGCCACTGCAGATACCGGTGAAGTAGGACAAAGCGGTGGAGAGCTCATCAGAGTCGCTGCTCCAGGCCTGGATACAGGAGATGATGGCGGAAGTGGCGTTGGATGAAGGGCAGTAGCAGGACACGTCGGTGTTATCAGTGCAGGTGGATGGGAGCCAGGTATTGATACACTTGGGGACGACACTGGGGCAGGAGTCGGAGCCGGGGGCAGGGCTGGACGTAGGGCTGGTACCGGCAGGGGAGGTGCTGCTAGCAGCGCCTGCGGGTGCGGTACTGGCGGCTCCGGGGACGCCGGTCTCGGTAGCAGTGACGGGGCAGATGGTGGTGGAGACGGCGATGGTCTGGGTGACGACAGTCTTGGACTCAGCAGGGCAGTTGGTGACGGTGGGAGCGCAGCTGGTGATGGTGACTTCGGTGGTTGTATAAACGGTGGAAGTGCTGAAGCTCTGGACCGGGGCAGTGGAAACAGCTCCGGGGGAGGAAACGGCTGGGCTGGACTGGCCAACGACAGAGGTTCCGGGAACAACGGAAGTGGGGGCAGCAGAAGTTCCAGGAGCGACTGAGGTGCCAGGAGCAGACGATCCAGGAGCAGAAGCTCCAGGAGTGGAGGCAGGAACGGAGGTGCCAGGAGCAGAAGATCCAGGAATAGAGGCAGGAATGGAGGTGCTAGGAGCAGTAGTGCCAGGAGCAGAAGATCCAGGAGTGGAGGCAGGAACAGAGGTGCCAGGAGCAGTGGTTCCAGGAACACCAGTGGCACCAGGAGTAGTGGTACAAGGAGTAGTAGAAGGACCAGCAGGGGCAGTGGTAGGTGCGGCCTCGGTCGAGACTCCAGGAACAGTCACTGGAATAGAGACAGGAGTGGTGGTAGGTACGGAGACGACTGGGACTGAGACAGGGACAGTAGAATGAGAGCCACGAGAGCTAGTGGTGGTGTGACCACCAGTGCTGGGGCTGCAGTCGAATCCAATAGAGTATATTCCGAATCCACAGTCGTCAACGTCGCTGTGGTCGGGGATAGTCCAGCTAACAGAGGTAGCACCACCACACTGGTCGTTAGAGACATCGGTACCCTCAGATCCACACTTGTGTGTGAACGAACACTTGCTTCCGTCAGGCATGCCAAAGTTGAAGTTAACATCGGTATCCTTATCGGTGTAGACGCTGAAATGAGTAATGGAGAAGGCATCAACGTCACCGTCGCAGCTAATCGAGGGAGATGATCCCTTGCCGGACTTGGAGATGGAACCGGAGATGCATTTATCCTTCGTGCCAGGTGTTAGACATGATCAATGTATAGCAGTGCTTATAACATACAGAAGTACGCTTGCCCTTTCCGCTGCTGCGCTCAGAACAAGAGAAGCCAGAGAATCCGAATCCATCGTAGTTCTGGAGGGATTGGCCAGGGCTCAACCAGGACCAGTCCCAGCCACCGTTCTGAGTGCTAGTACATTTGTTGTCACAATTGCTTGGGCTAGGGAAACAACTTTCGGTATCCCACTGGTCATTATTAGTACCATATATTGGAATAGCTTGATAGTAGAATGACTCACGGAAGCAGAGACTTGCTGGACGGCCAAGAAGGCGGCCACAGCACTGACAGAAGAGAACTTCATATTGAAAACGAGGTGGTATTATGGATTAATGATAGAAAGTGTTCAAACGTAAAGCGAGAGACGGTTTGTTGTAGGAGGTGACTCCAAACGAATGTTGTTGTTTAACGAATGACGCAGCTCTCGGAGCCGGTATAGGGAGATACAAGAAAACAAAAATGATAAAAAGAGAGATGTGTGAATATAGAGAGAGTGAGGAAAAGGAAGGAAAGAAAGAGGCATAAGTCGGGGGACTACATGAGGATTTAAATCGGCTTCCATGTATGCCAAGTAGTGACCTCAATGGCCAGTGCCATGACCAATCCAGGAACAGGATCAATACGCTCTACGGATTAAGATTCTCCCTTTGTTTCGAACCACTTTTTCTGTCTCTACGAGAGGGGCCACTTGGGTCACCCAGAAAGGACGAAAAACAAAGCATTGCATACAATGCAGAATCAGTTCTGCTCCGTATGCACTATGCAGTGGTAGCTAGTGACTAGTTACTGCTACTGTCTCCATGCTTGGCCAGCATGGTTCAACTTTCCACTTCCAATTCCCACTAGATAGACTACTACACCCCACCGATAGTGTACAACCAGAGGCTTGATTACTTGCAGCAATCAGACGATGTCCGTGTACGGTTGAGAGCCCAGTGGAGGCGCTCAAAAGTAAGACATTCTGAGGAAGACCCCAGACGCCGGAAGGTCAACACAGCCTCAGGGTTAAACCAGATCAAGTTTTAGCTATCAAGCTAATCAAGCAATCAGGCACAGATCTGGACAGGAGACTGGTCAGTGTCGAACACCATTAAAAGCCTCTTATACGTTTGCTGCAATATGGGTGGGTTGTCACTGTTCCCATGACTAAAAAGGACTAGAGTTGAAGAATTTAAAACAAAAGCAGCCAAACTCAATTCTTTAGCCTCCTCTTTACGGAGTAGGATAAGTGGATTAGCGCCAGGAACAGGAATGGTCTTCGTTTCGAGTTGGCCAAAACGGTGTCAGACCTCCGACGTTAGGGCTTGCCGTTACCGCTTCGGGAAGGTTTACTTTTAGGCGCGGGGCGACTTCCACGCTACCAACAAGGCTATCTTTTGATTTTTACATACTCCGTCTATCCAATCGGTCTCGTGGCGTTTCGCTTAAGCTCCTGGTGTTCCCTCGATTCCTCGAGCCATCAGAAAAGAAGCCCCTTGCAAGGCCCCATCGGATGATGGGGTCATGCTTGGCGTCTCGATTGTAATGTCGTAGAGCAGACTGAATCTGACTGATACCACATACGGAGCTGCCTCCGTAGCACAACTGCCTTGAACAGGAACTTTTCGTCGGAATTCACTGGTCCAGTGCAACAAATGGACTCAGCCAAGACTCTGCTACTGACGCCACAGCACGACGACGGTCGAATCACACGGTGACGGATAGTACCCGGTACGTAACTGGAAGATAGGTCTCAATGAATCGAGAAGAAGAGTCGATGTATCTATTGAATTGAACCTAGGTAACGAGTATGCGACTATGCGTGCTGGAATTTACATGTGGCCATTGATCAACAGAAGCCATTTTCGTTGCTTTCCAATAAATCCACAAACAATGCGGACGTCAAATCTCTGCCTTTTTAATGATTTCTGACAGGTAGCACTCATTCATAACATCGGCTATTCGTGACACTTTTCTTTTTCACACATCAACTTGGTGTCATGGTCTGGATCACCATGATGGCCGGTGGCCCGTGGTGGCCCCGTGATGATCCGGTTCACCTTTCCCTGACTTCGTATCGGCCAGAAAAACTTGCGTTAGTCTAGTGTGACTAGTAGTAGGCTAGTAAGCGGTTAGATCAGGGGAAAGCCCCAAAGCCAAGTGAAACGCTTGGTGTATCAGTCCCCGCCAGCCACGGAGAAAACTCGATTCTCCCGGTTGATGTGATTGGTTTGTTTTTGCACCGTTCAACGACTTACTCGCCGATTCACTTCTGCCGGCTCTAGCAGCTCACGAAGCAAGAAGAAACTTTTAAGAAACAAGGATTTGGATGGGAGAGTAAGCGTTCGGCTCAATTGTGCAAACTACAATGTGATATTTTTTCGAGCCGTGCAACAGCAGTCCATGATTGCCCCTGAGCAACGCATATGTGGCCAATCTTCAGTCTGATTTCGAATTAAGCGAACACATACCATCCAGGGCTTACAATCATCTTCTATAGACAATAGTATGTGCCCAAGAGCCATGAACGATATTATATTAATGACTAGTGATATTATTGAGTCGGAGTTGGTCTAGTAGGTAGCATACCACTTGCAATGCTAACTGGTCGGGTTCATTTTTCAATGCAAAAATGGATACCCGGATGACTCTAGATTTGGTCACTAAATGACCAAGGAAATACACATTCTGCAGAGTCATCCCATTGAGTCATCTCGCCGCCTCCAGTAAACGTAGTTGATAGGAATATCCTTTTGCCTATGTACTTGTGCTTACCGATGTCAGCGACAATCGATGGGTCGATCGTGGTCATCCTATTCCTATTCCTATTCCTAGGAAGTTGTAACTGGTATTTCTACTCTACGAACTTTTCCCCTAACGCAGCCACGGCTTTCTCTTTCTGTTTTAGTGTCGCTGCTTTCACTCCCTTGAGTAGGACTGAGCGCGTGATCTGATCAGTGAGCCTTGCGTAAGCTCGCGGGTATGCTCAGTGAATCGAAGGAAAACCCTCATAACTCTGATTAGGAAATTAAATATCCAGGTTACCAGTGTGTATTCGAAAGATATGCTGGCACACATGAATGTCCGACGAACCGTTTCCTCATGCGTCCAGATTGGATCCCAACGCCTGATCGTCGGGTCACGTATTCCTCCATCTCAGACACGGATTGTTCATATCAAGTTTTCTCTAGAGTGAATAGGCAACTGTCCCTCATTATAAAAACCTGATCATGAAGAAGGATGGGAAGGTCGTTGTTGATATAGCAAAGTACTGGATGCTTACCCTTTTAACTTCATGGCTTGGCATGGAGTTTATCGGGGAATTGCTTACTGTGAAAAGATTTAAGGATATCTTGATTCTATTTTGGCTAAAGGCTGTGTGCTAGAGCCTAGCTCGGGCTGTTTATTTCAGAAAGCGCCCAGCAGAGCCTAGAACATGGTTCTGCTAAACTCGTCCCTGAGGAAAAATCTCAACCATCTATTGACGCTCCCTTCTTCGAGGCTCTATTAAGATGAGGGCTATTTTATCTATCATCATACATAATTCTCTCATTCGGAATGAGAAACAGATTATTTAGTGTACGTTTCCCGCCACATAGGTGTATGTTGCAGCAGTATCAAAAGAGTGCGGCATTGACGCGAAAGTATCTAGGCACAATTTAAAGTCTGTATCCCTGAAAGACCCTAGAATTCGATGCGGGTTTAGATGTTATCTATCATCGGCTTCTGGGAGGGATTCAAACCATGTGAGGACTTGAAGGATAACCATAATATGCATCATCGGAATACTCCAGACTCATGTATGTATCCCATCGAAGGGCCCTAGAATCCGATGCCAGCTGGCGATTTGAATTATATATCATAAGCCTCGTGGGAGGGGTTTAGGCTTATATGGAGGCTTAGAAGATACGTATAATTCGCATCAGCGGAAGTTGTCAGAGTCGAATGTCAATGTATCTTGGGGGGCTTGATTGAGTCAGTAGAATGTGTATACCCGTCTACTTGGAAATTATACGACGAGACTATACAGTAATATGGATGTATAGTGAAAGAGTGGAGTTTGATTGATTGTCCTTAATCAGCATCCCGAAATAGCGAAGGTAATATAAAAATAAATAGTGCATAGCAACTTGAACCCGAAATGCAAAATCATTTAGATCCGGCGGCCTCCCCAAGATCACTCATTAGCTTCCGCCACCTGCTCAACTCCTTCTCCATCCTTCTCGGTTGCCTCCTCTTCAGCGCTTTCTGCCATAGGTTCAGACACCTGCTCCATTGCTTCTTCATCCTGGCCAGCCGCCTCCTGTTCAATTCTTTTTACCGTTTTTGCTGGGATCGCGAAATCAGCCTCGGCCAAGCGCGCTCGCTGCCTAAACTTTTTCTCGAGCTCGAGTATGTTCGCATCATCAAGGATAGCCCGACGTTTGAAGACCGCAGCACGCAAGCTGGGGTATTTTTCCATCAAAGACCAGAAACGCTGAGGCACCCCAGTTGCACATAGAACGAAAGTCTCGGCAAGAAAGCGGACGACCCAAGACTGCGAAGAGGCGCCGAATCCATATGAGAATTGATCACTGTGACATGCGCCGGGGGCCCTCCCGCGGGCCGAATCCTGAATGACGCCTTCAATAAAGTCGAGGTAAATAGGTAGCTGGTCGACTCTGCCATAGACGTTCCAAGCCACTTGGACATTGGCAGTGACATTTGCAGCCATCTCAGAAAGCCCAAGCAAACAAGCCTGAGCAAAGGTTGGTCTGAGCTGGAGGATGTACGCCTTCAATTCCTCGGTATTGTGGACGTCCTTAAGCTTCCAGTACGTGCCCATCCTGCCTACATCTCCCAGGATGTCTTCCCAATCATCGTCATCGTCTCCAACTTCATCTCCATAGACGGAAACAAGATCAGAGTCTGGACTTTCATTCTGCGAAAGGAACGTATAGACAGGCTCGAATTCGGCCGGACTCATGTGGTGAAGAAACGGATGAAAGATATATGGGAACTTTCCTTGAATAAGCCCCTTCAAGAAAGAAGACTTGTTAATGTTGTTTCGAGAAAGATGGAACACCTTCTGGTCAGTTCCATTGCCGATGTAAATGTCCACGACTTCTTCACCGTCAGGCTCTGGGACCTGCTGCTCCTGCTGCTGAGGACGACGATGCTGCTTGGTAACCTTGGCCTTCTTGCTGGGAGTGATTACAGACCCCTCTCTCTGGCGCTTGGCTGGCTCCATTTGACCCTGAGATTCCACAGGAGAGTAAAAAATTATAGAGCCGTTGGGATGACGAATAGCGCTGCCTATGATCTCATCATCATCGTCCATATCAGAGTCAGCTTCGTAACCCTGCGCTCCACCAGTGTCACCATTAGCGGGGACGAAATCGATCGATGGGACCTTGTCCTTGCGATCTTTGAATTTGCGCTCTTTCTTTGCCAGGGAGCTCCAGTAGCGGATATCGGCTGTCTCCTCGGCGAGACCGTAGATTCTTTTGTAGACATCTGGGTACTCATGACCAGCCTGGTTATATTCCAAGGGGGGGAGCTCCGAGAGTGAATAGAGGGACTTGATTTCAATCCGGCGGCTGTTACAGATACATATTTTAGAATTGTGCAAGAATAAAGAGAAATTGGGACTGGTGCTCACTAAATATTTCGGCCGGGAAGGTACATCATGTACTTGCCGTCGTCTTCTTTGCGAGTAGTAAATGAAAGCTCCTCCGGAACGTAAATACCAATCCAGAAGTCAACTCGGTTGGTTCCAGGGTTGCGCCATTTGACGACAAAGGACATGCCGTGCTGAAGCACGGTGTCCTCGTCAATAGGTGTGAGTCTGTGACGAGGAGCCATAGTTGTCTGCCGTATCGAGCGAGCAGGATGGTTCCCGGTAGTAAATCAGGAAGCGATTGTGTATATGAGTAGAGGGAGAAAAGAGAGAAGATAAGAGGCAGTGTGAAAGCCCTCCAAGGATACAGAAAAGTAAAGGGGGTTGTAGAAGAATGACTGAGAAAAGAGAGTTGAGGATGAACGAGGAAGGACAAATCTTTCGCACTTGGTAAGGAAGATAGGAGTAGAGTGAACTGAGATCAGAAATATGAAAGTAACTGGTAAGAATACTTACTTGAGGTGAGATGTACTGGTGGTGAGATCAAGAATCAAAAGTTCGATGAGGTGATGATTGGACGTAGATTAAGAGATTGAGAAGTGAGAAAGTGAAGAGAACATAGAGTGAGGGAAGATTTGGAATCTACAATTTGAAGATCTGGAGGTGATTATCGATGAGACTACGAGTGAGAGTCAAGGATCTCTTGAGAAGATGATGAAAAATTTGAGGTGGCCGAATATTTCTTGATTGTAGTCAACTCACAATGATCATGTCACATATGGCTCTCGCAGCCGGGAAGTATTGTACAGATACTACCACATCAAGGCGCGATGAGCAGTAGACAGCCAAAAGCAGAATACATGCTTAAAGCAAGCATAGGAAAACAAAAGTGTACGTGTGGATGATTCTCGCAGAGAATCAACAGGAAACAAAAACTATCTGGCAAATTGTTTAGTTTCAACAAAAGCAAAAACAACGTCAAGGATTTGAGGGATATTAATACGAAATAGTAAGGATGGTTTTGCTCAAAACCATAAGAGTGGCGGCCAACCTCGAAGAACGAAAGAGTAATATTGCAGAAGCAAGAGAAGAACCCTAAAGTATTTCTTGGTTATCCTGCCATTCTGGTCGAGTTCATGTCCATCTTCTCTGCTTCGATAATACACCACTATCCAACCGTCTGATCTGTTTGAAGGCGAATAGGTACAATCTCATCATTAGATGAATTTTGGTGATCGGCTATTGCTGTATAAAGCATGAGAACAGATGAAGAAACGGGTAGGTAAGAAAAGAGACTCACCCGATTTCCACGATGTCATCGATGTGATTGCTCATAGCCACAAACAGATCAAAAAACAATTTACCTCCAATTTCCATCTCCATCTGCATGGTACCACTTCTCTTGAATGTTTTGCGGCTTCGAATGATCAATGCTAAATAATGCGCACGGAGTCGTGATTCGGTATCCGGTGTATGCTCGTAGGCAAACCGGGCAGACCTCAGAATGACATCGACGGGGATACCGCTCTGAATACCCTGTTTGCGAAGAGCAAGATGCTTCAGCTCATCAAGACCGTACTTTTCTGCAGCGCAGTAGACGACGGTATCTCGAAGGAGTTCGGCGTCTGCGCCGGAATGAAACATAGTAGCCATGCTGGAACCTCGGCCACCGGTTTTGTAAACGTCCTGGGCATCCTCAAGTTCCAAAGTGTGGCGACGTTTGTGGTGAAGCAAACGCGGAAAATAGTCACCTTTGTATAGGAACTCAAGAATGCAGGATAATATCTCTGGTTCTCTGGAGGAAGTCAACTATGAACCTTCCGCCGTCTTTAAAAGATGGCCTAAAAATAAGAAAGAAAAGAGACCTACTCGTCAGGAAGGTCCACCTTCTTTCCGTTGGGTTCCAGGAACTGGTCCTTCAACACAGCTTCAAAGTAGGTGGACCGAGACAGGACATCCTCATGAGCAGCAAACAGGCGCCGCTCATGACCAACAACGATGGTCACGATGGGACTCGTGATGGGGCTATAATTCGATCAGTCACTGAATAATTGTTGCTACATGGTATAAATGATGTGCGTACCTCCCCATCGGCGGACTGTCCAAGGACTCTTCCATCTTCTCCTTGGCCTTGTCACGGTAGGTCCTCTTGGCAGGCTTCACAGCCTTGCCCACTCGATTCTTTGCAGTAAAAGAACGTTTGAACATGGTGTTTGCGGTTGTCAAAGATCTAACGAGTGACGTTGTAGGCTTGCGAGAGAAGCTAGTTGGTCGAGAGCACAGTAACGAATGAATCCAGATAATATATAAAAATAACGAACGGACGATTTGGCTGGATGATAAAGAGCGAAAAAAAAGTAGGATAAAAAAACGACGCTCTTGCTTGATCATGCACGGACTCGCATGAGTGTGGCGGGAGCCTTGGAAGCCTGGTCAGAAACTGCGATGCGATGACTTGGTGATCCTCGTCCAGCAGCGAATCGATCGATACCTACAGGCAGCGATCGAAACAACGAGAAGAAGATATTCAAGGTCACGTAAACGTAATTTCCGATCGAGGCTCTGCACAGATACACAACCTTGGTGGTGGTAGTAGCATGTGCGTGGTTGTCAGCGGTCGACTCTCCGAAGCGTGAGGAAAGCAAGAGGAAGGAAAACGGGAAGCATATCCATCTCTATATATTCGACAGCAGGCGATGCAGATCACATGATATCACCCGTCGTGCCAATCACTTTCCAGGAACAAGACGATTGGGCAGTGTATGCTGTGGTTGTCATGCCATTGGAGGGCGATTTTGTGCCCCGCGTAGGTTTATCATCGCTCGCTGGCGTGGCTGATAGGCTCCAACAAGTTTAGTTCCGCCGCATTGTAATTACCTATCAGGTACTTAGTTTGCTCTGTTTAGAATATGCACCTGGAGGTACCATGGGAGTCGCTGCAGTAAGCGGGGCTAAAGACGGGGCAGCCAATGGCTTTATTAAGTTTATTTGCACCTCAGCCTCTCTCTTAGCCGTTTAGGGCTCCGAAAATCAGCCCTAACCCTAGCTGCTATGAGATCATATGCCGGATGAACCGAGGCTCGTCCTTCTCCGCGTTCAACCTTCCAAGTTTCCTTGGAACTCTCTTGTCATAGATTTATTTTTGTACAAAGAGCATTTCGTTTTTCTCTCTAATAAGTTGCTCTCCTCTGCATTGCTGGCATTTTCTGCGTTCCCAGTTCAAGACATCCACAATGTCAACTCTAAACAACCCAGTAGCGTTGCTCAAGGCACTGCTGGCACGCATCCCTTTAATCCTCAAAACCCTAGTCTACCATGGTCTACAAGTCACACCAGCATCCAAAAAGCAAGACCTGCGCACCGAAATGACAGTCGCCATTATCCGCTCATTTCTGGACATGTCAGTATCTGCCGGCACGCAGCAACGCAGATCGATGAATGACCCTGGGATCAAAGGTCCCATGTGGGTATCCAAAGTGACGTTACCGGCTCCGGGAGATGCTGTCGCGGATGCTGTTCTTCATGCAGTCAAGACATTGTCGGAAGGCGATGAGTATCAGTTGCTCCAGCTGCCGCCTGTGAAAGCGGTGGAGGCCGAGTGGACAGGGTACCGCAGCGGAGTAGACAAGAATGCGCCACTGCCGGATATTTCTGAACAAGAGAAATATAAAGCACTGACGGCCGAGGCCAAATCCGATTTGGTTATATTCTACATTCATGGCGGAGCCTTATAGTAAGATACACCATTTGTTTTGGACGAGTTCAGTACTGACTGCTTCAGTCTTATGGACCCCTGCACTCACAGAGTACCCGTGGCACATATCTGTAAACTCACGGGAGCGCGGGCTTTAAATGTTCGGTATCGCTTGGCTCCTCAAAACCCATTTCCAGCGGCTCTGGTCGACCTTCTAACAGCTTACTTGACGCTTATTTACCCTCCTGAGGGCTCATACCACGAACCAGTCCCAGCCAACAAAATTGTTTTCGCCGGGGACTCGGCGGGAGGCAATCTCAGTCTGGCACTATTACAGACTCTCCTCACACTCAAGAGGACATCCACAACCGTGCAATTTCATGGTCGTGAAGTCTCTATCGACCTTCCAGCCGGGCTGTCACTAATTTCTCCATGGTGCGATATCACGCGCTCTATGCCCTCAATTCGTGATTTCGCAGTATATGATTATCTCACTCCACCACCACATGAACCTTCAGAAACGATGTACCATCCTACTGCAAAGACCCCAGACAGCATTTGGCCGAGTAACCCTCCCCGAAGCGATATGTATTGTAGTGCATGGCTAGTCGACCACCCATTGGTGTCACCACTCGCTTGTCCAAAACAACTTTGGGAGGGCGCTCCTCCTATATACATTACCACCGGCGAGGAGGCTCTCACAGATGAGGATTTATTGACCGCGCGCAAGATGTATCATGCCGGTGTACCTGTTATTGTGGAACAATACGAGGGCATGCCGCATGTCTTTGGTTTCATTATGATCGCTACCCCGGCTGGCAGATTATTCTTCCAAGGATGGTCTCAATTTCTTCGGGATGTTTTAGCAGGACCACTGCAAACTTCACGTGGGGATCTTGGAAAGGTCATATACCATCATGCTGGATGGTATTCTACGAAAGTGGTTTCATTGGATAAAGTCCATAAATTCAGTGATGCGGAGGTGGAGAAAGTATTACGAGATAGTAGGGACCATAGGGTGGAGTGGGAGACGAAGCTCAATGAAGAATGGCAAGCTAAAGCGAGGTTGTGAATTGGCATAAATATGACTATTAATGGCTATCGCCCCTTAGAGAGCGTCAACGATTCAAAAGCAATTTGGGTCATTCAAAAATGAAGGACAAAACACTTGTGCTGCATTAGAGAGATTCGGACTGCTTGAAATGCTCAAGCATTTCAGCATGTGTCTGACGTTCCTTTTCCAACTTCGACACTTTCGGATCATTGGAAGTAGCGTCATAGTCGTCGTCCCGCGTCAACATGGTCTCGTATTCTTCGCGACACGCTTCACCAGAGTACAGGGCAAGAGGTTCGCGCTTCTGGATGAACTCGGATACCAATTCCCATTTGCGCTGGCGAAGAGCCTTGCGCTCCTTGTCGATCTGCTGGGTTGCATATGCTACAGCATCTGGTAGAAGGTTCTTCTGTTGAAAGTGTGTTAGTCTGAAGAACAAACTGGAAACCATTCCGGAAAGTCGACTCACTTCGGCTGCGAGCCAGACAACTGTACCGTCTTTGAGTCGCTGGTCATTTTCTGCCATGATGAAGCGACGCATACGAGCAAAGCGCGTCCCAATCGTTTTCTGACTGTAACCGATGCGACCTTCAGCCACGAGCTTTTCATGAATGGCACGCTCGGACCATTTGGCCAGTTTCAGATAGTAGATTAATCGGTCGTCTTTGTCCATATCATCGAGACCACATAGTTTCTTGCCCTTTCCTTCAACGGGGCGCGTACCGATGACACGACGATCTGCATCGGAGGGGGGTGCCGGAGCGGTGCTGGACTCAATGGTCACCTTGTCTTCGGTTCCTGAGAGCATCGAATCGAGAACCTGCGATATCATCAGTGATCATAAGCAATTCAAAATGTGACTTAAAAGTCAGGAACGGGGAACTCACTCTGTTAATCTCCTCCTCGTCATCTTCTTCCTCGTCGGCATTGTCCTCTTCATAAGGGCCCGATTCAATGTCGTAGGGAAGATGGTCCGTAGAAATCTGAGCACATGGTTTTGCCCATTCTTGAAATTGTTAGCTATCAACTCATGGGCATTAGCGTAGTCACATACCTCCTGCGTAGAGATTTGGGTCAAGTGCATCATGCTCGAAGTAAGGCGGCATGAATCGTGGCTTCTTTAGTGACTCAGCGATCATGTCATCCGAGATCTTGACGCGCTTGTTGCGGTCGATAACTTGGTTCTTGCGAGGATGCTTGAATGCCATGCTGTAGTCAGTGGTAGTTGGTGTGGTAGGCAGGTAGTTGATGATGTTGAAAAGATAATTCAATTCAAAAAAAAATAGGTAAGAGATCCGACATAATGGAGAGTAGGAGGAGTGCGGGATGAAAAGAAGATGATGTATGAAGAAGAGTGAAAATAATGCAGCACAGTAAAGCCTTCCTGTTGCTGGAAGAAAAAAGTTCTGAACCCTTCATGTTTGAAGGAGTATGCAGACTCTTCTAGTTCATCATCTAGATAGAAGGCATTTTTATACATTTCTAAGATTTATAACTTCCAATCTCTGTAATAACTACTTATCTAGTATTAAAGTACTCTCTATAGCTTAAAGAAAGCAATTCTGAGTTCTTTAAAACGAGTATAGAGGCCCCCTCAGTTTATCATCTAGACAGAAGCCTTTTTACACCATCCCAAAATCCATGACTTCTGACCCCTTTGACGACTGCGTAAGCCAGAAGCCGGTACACAATCACCGAAATTGTCAACCACAAAACATTCAGCGCAGGGCTTGCATCCAGATTGTACAAGTCCAAGACCTGTATTCCACTAGTGATTGGACACTGTCCGTTCGTCAGACGCTCCGCATCCGTACATGTAAATACCTGATTACGCATAGAATAAGGAGCGAGATTCGCAACGGCATATTTGATCGGAGAGAGGTGATTGAAACCCTGAAGAACTGTGTTGAGATTCAAAGACATGATTCCGCCCATGATCGTTGATATAGATAGGATGACTGAAGTAACATTGACAGAAAATCCGACGTGGTCAAACAAGGTGCAGAATACAATACCGAGGGACTCTCCGGCATTGATTATGGCGAAGCAATTGAATGCGGCAACAAAAAGCATTAGCACGCTGCGCTCCATGTTGACTGCGTAGGCGGCTATGACACCGAAGAGTATAGAGGCGAGTATTTCAAAGGGCAATTCCAGCACAGTGTAGGACAGTATAAATGTTTCTGCAGAATAACAATGATCCGCCTCTTCGCGATAGTAGACGTCGCGTTCCGGGGGATAGACAGCGATGTTTTGCAGCATACCGATAAAGTACAGCGCTGCAAATTCCTGAACAAATCCCATCCTAGTTTGAACTGCTGCGTAATCATTCTTCATCGGGGCAAAGAATAGAGCCATAATGATTGCGATGCCAACGATCTGGGAGGTACGCGCCATGATCAAATCAGGTTGACGAAAGAAGTTGATTGTCGAGCGATGGAGGACTAAAGGAAATGTTACGCGCAAAGGGTGCATTTGTTTCTTAAGGCTACCTAGCTCAGCCGGCGTGGCGATTTGAGATGTTTGCCTTGTCACCACATGATCAGTACTCTGCCAGGCAGTGATTAGGTGGTGGACCCTCTTGCGAGTAGTCGCCTCACGACCATCTTGTTGAAGGTCAACGGTGATAAGGTCCAAAGCAAAATCCGCAGGATTTGTCTGCGGTGGACAATGGTAGCCAAAAGAGCCAAAGTACGAAATCATATTTGCTCCACTACCTGAGTAGACGGGATATCCCCCACGAGCCAAAAGTAGCAAATTTGAGAAATGCGGAAATATATCTGACCGTGACTGATGGATTGTCATGATGAGTGTTCGGCCCTCGGCAGCTAAGCCGTTCAATACCTCCATGATCGATGTGGCTGTGAATGCATCCAATCCAGATGTAGGCTCGTCGAGAAGGAGAATTTTAGGATCTGTCAGTATCTGAATAGCGATGGTAACTCTTCGCTTCTCTCCGCCACTAATACCCTTGATCAAATCGCTACCAATGAGATTGTCGGCGCAATCTTTCAGGCCCATTTTCATGAGGATATCCTCAGCTCTTCGATTCTTTTCTTCCTTGGACATCCATCTCGGAAGCCGAAGGCCAGCTGCAAAACGTAAACTCTCGCGAACGGTAAGCGAGGGCATAAGTGCATCGTCGTCTTGGGTGACGAACGAGGTAACGGAGCGGATTACACTTTCGCTGGGAATTGCGCCGTTATAAGACATGGTGCCACCGAGCCTGTACTTGGTACCAATTGACCCATGAAGTCTTCGAGCAATAGAGTTCAGCAACGATGTCTTGCCACTGCCGGATGGCCCCATGATTACATTCAACTGGCCGGCTTGGAACTCGGTGGTGATAGGTTGCAAGATGGGAATAGTGCGAGGCGCTTTCCAAAAATAGTCCTTCTTTTTGATCTCGAGCGTATATTTGTTAAGTGATATAAGAACGCGCCGGATGTCCTCTGTCGAACGTGTAACTACCGCCATCTCTTTCCCCGTTTGTGCATCACCATCGGACTTGCGGGCCTGTGCAATTCCCATAGCAAATTTGTTGTATTGAAGTAAGAGGCCTGCTAGGGTATAGAACCCAACCACGTATGCTACCAAAATCACGCATGGTCGCCATATCCAGTTAGAAGGGAGCCCTAAGCTCTCGATTATGTAGACACCCGTGTACTGTTTACATGCCGGGTCCAAGGGGTCATTCGAATAAGGGCAATCGTATAACTGGCCATAGGTGGGACTGCTTGTGCCTATGAACTCGTTATAGCACAGAGCACCAAACGCATAGAACGTGTAGGCAGTCCATTTCAGCCATCTTGTATAGACCGGAATCTGATTTGACTGCACAAAATATCCGCAAGCAAATGATTGTAGAGTGAATGAAAGGTTAGCAACGAGACCTGCGCCGGAGAAACTGCGTGCGATGCCGACGCCGACAGCTGCGAATGATACTGCTATATAGTGGACCAGAATTGAGATAACCAAAAATATGAAAAAGGCAGCGACGTCGAGGCGGTACCCAACCATGAAGTAGAATATGATGCTAAACAGTATAGGAGCTGGAAGGTCTTCAAGGAGAAATCGTGCAGCACGTCTACTGAGCAGAAACCCAGGCACCGTGACCACACCTTCATTTCGCTCTCGGTCAAAAAGTCGTATATCGATGGTTAGTCGGAACGTCTCGTATGTCAAGACAAGGTAGCCATTGAGGCTGCTGGCCGTGTATAGGCTTCCTTCACGAGAGCGGATCCCCGCTTGACTCTTGTCTAGTTGCAGGAATATCCAGCCGGTGATGACTGCCATACCAACTGCTTCGAATATAGTTCCCGCTACGCCAAGGGGGTCACGAAGTGTCGTCTTGAAGGTCCGTGATGTAAGAACGCTGAATTCTCGACTGAAGGGTACCTTCTTTGTTATTTCATTCGTATCATTTGGTGCAATCGGAAGGTTTTCCTGCGAAGCGGTTTCCCCAACTTCATTAACATCACCTTTCTTCTCCTTCGTCTGCCATGAATCTCGAAAAAAGTTTACTCGAGCTAGCGAAGAAGCTTCTAGCTCCGATGAACGATTGTCGATAGCAGCCAGATCGATCAGAAACTCGGCCGGATTAACAAAAGTCGGCATGGTATATCCAAGTTCTGAAAAGTAAGGAAGAGACTCTGATACCGGACCACTGTACAGAGGTGAGCCTCGGGATAGCAGAATGACATGATCGAAAAGGCTCCAAATTTCAGAGCGTGGCGCATGAATGGAAACAATGACAGTACGACCTTTGCTTGCAAGACCCTTCAAGGTCCTAATGATTTGATATGCACTCGTAGCGTCAAGTCCTGAATAGGTTCTCTTAGGCACAATTCGACAGCTCCCTATAATCAATACGTACCTGTCGTCGGCTCATCACAAAACAGCACAGATGGATTAGCCAACATCTGTACGCCAATACTAGTCCGTCTCTTCTCGCCTCCGCTGCACCCTTTATGAGCACTATTTCCAATTCTCGTGTCTGCGCACTCTTTCAAGCCTAGCTCCAAAATGACCTGTTCGACGATAGCTTTTCTTTCAGCTTGCGTTATCGGTGGCGGAAGACGCAAGTCAGCAGCATACTGCAAAGTTTCCCTCACAGTTAGGGTTGGGATCAGCACATCCTGCTGCATCACGTAGGAGCTACGCATATGCGCAATATTGCTATCATCATTAAAAGTTGTTAAACCGGAGATCTTCAAACGACTAGATTCCATCCTTCCGGCCATGACGTTTAGCAAGGACGTCTTTCCGGAACCGCTGCTTCCGATTATGGCAGTTATACTACCAGATGGCATATGTGCGCCAACGCCATTAAGTATGGTTTTGTAAGATAATGCGTCGTCGCTTTTGAATTTTGGCCTCAGCAGCCGATGCCATGATTGTGCTGGAGAGGCCTGCCATATTGAAGGTGTCGTGTCAATCTGTACCGTCAAATTGTGAACCCAGACGTCGACTGGGCTGACTGCATTGAATGAGAGTGTAGTTGGCACAATGTCCTGGCCTAAGATGCCCGCGTTTGTTGTCTGACCACCACTTTCCTCCGCAATGTCAAGCTCTTTCTTCGATTCCATTACAACGGAGACGATATGACCAATTGCGCTATTTATCGTGATGAAATTTCCATTTTTTCAGCGGCTTCTTCTAATTCTGAGATGATATCAGTCGATAGATGGACACTATATGAAACGTCCTTTGTCACCATTGTTGGTAGCAGAGGCCTCGCTAGCCGACACCATGACAGCTAGCTACCCGTGGTAGCATTGGCAAATGGCAGATGCCCCGGAGATTTAGAGATCCGGTAAGCTAATATACATCCTGAAATCTGATTAGTGCGCTAAGGCATAGTTTGAGGACTAAGAAGTAACAAGTTTCTCGATGTTGGCCTCAAAACCCGCTCTATACGAGCGATACGGCGCCTTCCGGACACGTGACGGCGCATGTTGATGAGCTCATTTAACCTTAGCAAGTTTGCTTGTGCTAACCTCGGACCGTAGTAAGTTGAATGATGGCCAAGGGAGGCTTATGAAGGCATTCTTGAATTGCATAGCTGCAGAAACACTTGCTTTAGAGATTAGAAGTAACTCTTAAGAAGTGAAAGTTCCAGGATACGGCGCAGGAAACTCGCTGATCGATTACTCTGTGACATTGTTCATGTTAACTGCTGATCAAACAAGCTTATATACAGCGATTTCAAATTCTTCACGTCTACATGTAGGACTATTTCGACTGGTGCTCTGTCGGTAGAGCGATCTCTGGAGCAGGTAGTCTGGGTAGTCTGGCCTGCTTATCAAGTGCCTTTCTATAGACAGGTTCTTCTTCTTCTTTCAAGCCAGCACCCGTTGGATCCCTCCGTATCAGGAAGTTCTGTACACGATGTTCTCTAGACTTCAATTCATCCGTCTGCTGGCGTCGTTTAGCTAGAAGGCGTGCCGACTTTGCATTCATCTCCTGAACCCGCTGATCAAGACCCCACTGGGTTTGCGTGATCCATGATGCCTGAGCAAAGCCTCCAAAGAGAACTAATAAAAGTATGAATGATACAAATGTCCCATGCGACACGATCTGTACTTGTTTAGGTTTGTTTCTATTGTGATATCTTTCCCAATCCTCCCACGTTGCGTTGTTGAAAATTGAGGCATCGTTATTCGCAGCCCATGCATATGCCTTGGAATCTGTTTTCGAGTTTGGGTGATCCGGGTGACTATGCCACCCCGTTCCGTCGCGATCGTAGGCTGCTCGTTTTACGGGATCGGACAGTATCTCGTGGGCCGCTACTATAAGTCTATATCGTTGAAGCCGGACCTCTTCTGAAACTTTCTTGAAATGGTCTCGATCATCACTTTGCAGATCTGGATGATATAGCTTCACGAGTTCGTAATATCGCCTCTTCGAGTACGGAGCTGCCGGCTCTTGACGGAGAATGTCATAAGGTGTGAACGACGGCGCTGTTGGCCATTGGTGATCTCCTCCAATGGAATGCTCACTGTGTACCGATGCATAATGTCGGCTGTGAATATATTCGTACGGGTTGCCCCTCCATGGCAATTGCAGGTAGTGAGCACGCGATCTCGGACAGTTGAAGGCTGGGATGCTGCCGTGGCCAAAGACTGTCTGCTTCCACGACATGATCACATTGCTTAGGATATAAAAGGGGCAGCTGAAATGAAACTGCCCATTTTATCCCATTAGGAAGTTCAATCGAAGTTGAAGTTGTACGTATCCGACGAGGTTCAGATCGGTGGTCTGACCCTTCGATGCCGATCCCGTTTTGTGGCTACGTCACGTGCCTTGTGGGTCGATTTCCGATTGACAGCCAAGCTTGGAGCTACTTGTACAACGGCTACAACAGCTTCTTCAAATATACAGAATGTTTCCAGATACAGACGACCAAAATCGCCGACGGATATACTCTCGCTCAAGATCCCCTGTTGCCAACGACAGTCGAAGGAAACTTGAACGCAGTCAGGAGAGGTCTAGAGATTACGAGAAGGAACATACACGTCGACGACGGTCTCCAGATCGATCTCGAGAACGACATTCGGGCAGGCGAGATGACCACCGGAGGAGACGAAGAGAAAACTCTGTGAGCAGGAGAGACAGCGACAGACCCCGAAGTCGAGAGAGGAGAGACCACGATACTCGAAGACGGCGGCACGATTCGTCCGAGCCTGACGAGCGTTCCAAACAACGCGACAGACACCGAAGATCGGGCTCGAAGGAGATTACGAGACGTCGACGGTCTGGAGATAGACGCGATCGTAGTCGCTCTGCGGGAGCACCAGTTCGGTCGCGAGGTCCACTACCATCTCAAAACGACGCATTCGAATCAACCGAGGCCACAAAGACAGGCTCACCGGCACCGGTCAAAGAGAAACCCAATTTTGCAAATACCGGCAGGCTTGCCGCAGAAAGCAACACCATCGCCGTCAACGGCAGCTCAGTGGTGCTCAAATACCATGAACCAGCCGAAGCACGTAAACCACCAGCAAAGGATGATTGGCGCCTATATGTCTTCAAAGGTGAGGATTTGTTGGAAATGGTACCGCTAGGCGAACGTAGCTGTTGGTTGATAGGAAGAGAGAATCTTGTTGTGGATTTCCCTATCGAACACACGAGTTGTTCTAAGCAACATGCAGCTATTCAGTTCCGCTACGTGGAAAAGAAGAATGAGTTTGGAGACAAGACGGGACGTGTTCGACCATACCTCATCGATTTGGAGAGCTCGAACGGGTCTATGGTCAATGGGAATCCTGCTCCAGGTGGACGATACATTGAGCTACGTGACAAGGACGTGTTGAAATTTGGACACAGCACTAGGGAATACGTGCTCATGCTTTCACAGTCTTGAACGACGTCTACAAGCAAAGAATACAATCAAGAAAATTGGAAGACTTAGAAAACTGATGCTTTTCAACATCGGATCGCTATCAATACAACTCAATTATGGTTTTCATGCAAAATAATGAAATCAAATCAAGCCATTCTGGCTGATACCTTGGGCTTATCGTCCGCTGCGGAGCTCTTCGGCTTTGCCCTTGGCCTTACCTTCTAGCTCGTGTGCCTTGCCCTTGGCCTCACCCGCCAATTCTTTGGCCTTTCCTTCTGCTTCCTTGCTCTTCACACCCAGGGTCTCTTGTGCTTTGTGTGTTAAGGTTTCTAATAGACAAGCGTTAGCAATTGAACATGCTAGGTAACACAGGTCACCATACCTCCAGTCTCGATACCCTTGACCGCAGCATCGGAGACCGTTCGATCGGCCTTCTTGAGAACATCCTTAGTGGCTTCGACGGGCCCTCTCTGTGTTGCCAAGGTTGTAGAGAATGAGCGGTAGGCTTGGAAGGAAGCGCCGGTCATGAGAGACCGGGCTGGGACAATACGGGTTACGAATGCCATAGTGATGAGTGCGAGTGTGTTTGAAGCTAAGTAATCATCTCAGTCAGTTCATCCACCTCAAGTATGTTATATAAGTGGTCTCATCAACCTACATTTGTTATTGCTGTATGGTTCTGCAGTGTTTTCGAGACGGTAGCTTAGAGGTAAGCTGTTGGACGCAGGGATGAACTCAGAAGGTTATATAGGGCTCTTTACGTCATTCAAGCAAGCAAGCATGCCAAAAAATGAATGCATGAAGCCTCCCCCAAACGGGTTAGCCCAGCTGGTTGTGTCAGAGTTACGTCGTTCCTCGGTCATGGACGTTTAGTCTGTAAGTGGCTTAGTGTCGGAGCCCGAGGCTGCCACTTCTACGCCTGGCATCTACGTTAGGGCTACATGTAGTTAGCCCTACATACCTGAAGTCGACGACTTCGATGATTTTAAGAAAAAAATTTCCATTTTGGTATCATATCATCTCTCCTAACTCCTTTCGCTCATGCTCCATGCTCCATGCTCCATGTACATTTCTACCCCAACGCCATTAAATGCCTTTTTTTTTCCCGACGCCTCTTTCCGTACAGTAGCAGAACAAAAACTCCGAATTTACACGATTGAACAAAGAACGAACATTAGTCGGTGACATACCCAATCCCATCAAGAACTAAGCGTATGCAATCAGCTTTTGTTTTCAAAGACCATTCCGTAACACCATGCTATGATTAAGGGGGTATCAACGAATCATGAACAAGACAAAAAGACAGAGAAAAGGGAAGGCAACAAAACACAATGCAAGTGAATATGAAGTCAAACAAAAGAAAAGGTATTAGCGATTGCGAGGAGATCCATATCTAGGATCAATCCCCAATCCCACTCCGAATCCAGGATAGACTGGGTCAGGTGAACTCCCTGATCTCGATCGACGAGCGAATTGAGTCGTTGTAGTACTATCAATTGGCATATGCACTGGAACGGCCACGGGAACCGGTATAATGGTTGTCCCCGGATCAGATCGCTGAGCTCGCATGCGCGGTGCTGCCAAAAAGGGCTGTCCAGTTCGAGGATCGTACATCAACGCAGGTGACTGGCGTAAGTTCCAATCCATGACTCGTCGACGTGCTTCGTCTACATCAACCTCGTGTTCGCCGAAGAAAATGCTTTGGTTCTCTAGTACTCGGCCACCGACAATTGGTGTATCTGGCTCTCCTCCGAATTCAAAGCGGTTGCTGAGACCCAGATAGTCGATAGAGTTAGGCGCAGCCAGTGGAACCGTGTATGCAGCGGCTTGACGCCTTGAACTGCCCTCTGGAGCATATACTACAGTATATGTTGGTGAGGTAGGTAGTTGAGGACCAAAAGCTGTAGGCGGCTGCGGCTGCGTTAGCTGCTGCGATGATCGCCGAGTTGCAGGAACAGGATCCGTCTGCCATGACGCACGAGATTGGCCTGAAGGATCGCGAGACATATCTGCGGATAGCGGTTCAGATGTGTATCCTCCAGGTATCGCTTGTCGAGGAGATGTAGACAGGTTTGAAGCCGGGTAGACTATTTCCTCATCCCATCTCCGAGTATTCCTCTTCTGTACGTCGATGACCATTCCTCCTTCTGGGACAGGGACAGGGACAGGGACATATCTGGAGCCCATGTCATTCGTACTTAGTCTCGGGATAAAGGCCTGATGTGTCGGATTCAGTCTGAACGCTTGAGGACCAGGTATCGAGGCTTTCGAAGATTCACGGCCTAATGTCGATTTCACAGACGACGAAGGGTGCCTGGAATGATTTCGAGACCCCGGCGCGGAATTGGGGTTGGACTGGGATTGCCCCCTCCCGCGCACCAGGGATGGATCGCTATGGCTCATGGGATTCAGTCGATGATTTCTGCCAAACTCGACCAATGTTGGTGATGGCCTGGAGCTGGTAGTCTGCGCGCTACTTGGTCTGAGCTCCGATCGAAGATCTGACCTGTTCTCTATCGTACTTTTGGGCCTTGGTTTGGGAGAGGGATTGTTGCCGTGACCCAGGACACTTGGTGCACTTTGACTCGGTGCGGGTAGTGGAATTTCTGACGAAGGCCTTTTTGCTGCTGGTGGAGAAATAACTGGCGATGTCCATGCAGAATGAATTTCCTTTTGATCAGCATCTCCTACTTGCTTCCGGGCATCTGGCTTTTGGAACGAAGCTAGCAATTCCTTCGCATTCGTCGGGGTTGTGTTTCTATCACTAGATCCAGAAAGAATCCGACTCATAGAGCCCTCCCCTTGCGCAGATGACATTTTGGTAATAGGAGAAGGTCGAAATGATCCTAAATCCTTAAGTCTGCCACGAAATCTCGGTCCCTTTTTCGGTACGTCTGAAAGTTTACTTCCTTTCTTCTTTCTTTGAACAATTTCCCAACCCAACTCACCGGGGCTAGGAGCAGGTGAGGGTACAGTAGTAGAAGTAGCGGCAGGKCCGTCAACAGAAGCTATTGGAGCGGTGGGAGCCGTTGGGTGAGGAGGTGGTATCTCAGTATTCTCACTGTACCTCGACGAATCTGCCGAAGACCGCCGTGATTTTACCCTCAATCCTCCTTCGCCATCGCTGAGATAGCCATCATTTTGCTCTTGAAGTCTTTCTCGATACAAATCAGCAAGCGGAAACTGGAAAGGGATATGCTCGTGGAGTCCCTCCTGAGACAGACTGGCATCTGGAAATTGAAACGGGTTTTGCTGTGGATTGGCCAACTCTACAGGAGATTGAACTTTGATAGACTCCCAGTCGTCATTCCACGTCGAGCGATGGGACGCCATACTATCTTCTAGCGACGAAGAAGGCCCGGATGACGAACTGCTTGATCGGTCGAAAATTGATTTTCCAAGCCGGAAGGACTCCTCGAATGCGTTTGGAGAGATTTTGCCGATCTCCGTACTAATGTCTTTCACTGCTTCTTTGAGAAGCTTTTTGGTGTCTTTCACAATCGTTATTGACGGACGGCTGTCTACCTTTCTGTAGTAAGACATTAACCGCTCGGCATGATTTTCATACTCTCGCAAATCCTTCACGAAGAGACAGCCTGAGCGATCTCGACTCATCTTATACCGAGCAATTTCGTAAGATTTACAGAAAACCCTCGTTGCATTCAGCAACCACCACGTATAGAAGCTAGTAATTGGTTGTGATGTCTGGCTGTCAGGCAATTGCGAGGTCCCACTGTCAGTGGAGTCAGATTGAAGCTGCTTATTTTTCCCGTCGACAATTCTCAACTCGTCCCGAAAGAATGCTTGCACGACGCTGTGGATTTTCACGACATCAATTGCATTTTGATATATTCCAGAGGCTGCCATACTCTCTGTAAAGGACTCTGAACCCGAAATCTCACTTTCGGGGCTTTCCACCTTGAAGTCGTCCCTTTGTAGCAATGACTTACCTGGATAACGGTCGGAAATTCTCTCGATAAGCCCGTACTGAATAAGTACACCCAAAGTAGTGTCGAGGTCGCCAGGCTCACCCGGTCGACTGCTTGTCAATATTGGTAAATTATGGCCCTCAAGTGCGCTTTTCCCCCAGCTAATCATACCGACCGGGACATGGTGTCCGAAGAACGCCAATAAATTGATCAGGTTCATCGCCTCAAAATGCTCGTGAGCGCGGAGGTCTTGCATGATTCCTATGAACGGCTCCGSGAGCCGCTGATCTGTCAGATGTGAATTGAGGTGATATCTCTCCAAGGGTTTCCGCGTGGCAGTAAGCCTATGAGCAATGGCATGGATTGCTAGCGGGAGGCCTTGATAATGATGGACTATTTCGGTCGCCTTTTTGTACTGCTCAGGGGTTGGATTCTCTATTTCCAAATCGTCAAAGAGCAATTGACGAGCCTCTTCGGCTTTCAAAGCTCGTACATTAAGGCGATAAGGTTCGAACAGTCGTTGCTTCTTTGCCAGCGTTCGGTCCACAGACGTATATATTATGCTGGTGTTCTTTCGGAAAGGCAGGTATTTCTTGAAGGCATTCAGTTGGCTATCTTCATCAAAGTTCACCCCATCAAAAACAATGAGCCATTCCTCCCTTGATTCAAACCAGTGGCGAACTTGCTCCACGAATATGGTGGCGTCAGTCGAGGTGGGATATTCTTTTCTACCATCAATCAATGCTGCTGCTTGCGCAACATCCCAGTAGCAAGTCGACATTGCTAGAACAGACTTGGCATCAATCCAAAATATGCCGCCAGGGAAATCTTTGCGATGACTGTGAACGTATTCACGGGCAAGATGCGTCTTTCCAGACCCAGGACCTCCACAGATGAGTACAGCTGCCGCCCTCTCTTCCCGTCTCTTGGTGTTGAAAAGACGGATATGGAGTTCGTTCAACTCCTTTTCCATTCCGATAAAAGTGGCATTCGGGTGGAATCCGGGAGGAACGACAAACAGTGGGCCACGCTGAGTAGGTAGAATCTCAACACTCTGTGCCATGCGAGGGGTATGTTCGGCGGGGAAAATCGGCGGTAGGGGGAGATTCGGTACGGAGTTACCTACAAGAAACAAAGCACATCAGCTCACGCTCGCTGTTGAGATGAGATTTCATTCTTGTATGGTAGAAATACACAAGAAAATGGTGCATCAGAACGTCAAATCATGAGTCGTAGAGAAAATTGAGGACAGGCTGCGCATGCATAGTGGAAAGACGTCATACGACGCATGAGGGGGAAGAAGAACATCAAGTGCAAGTACATTAATCCAATCATCGTGGCTCAACTGGATCAGCCTCCTCAACCTCGTACGCCCTCATCACGCTCGGAGGGCCGTCGGAATTTGTAATGAAATATTGAGCCCTACCCATTCTACTTTCTGCTTCTGGCTGAGGAGGTTCTTGGGAGAAATCGACAGAAGCTAGGCAATKAGTTAGTAAATCACAAAGAAAGAGATACAAAGAGGWGACTAGAAAGGTTGCTCACATCGAGTTAGTTCGTCCGCCATAGAGTGCACTTGGAGGTGCACATGGGCCCTTTCCTCTTTCCAGCGGCCAGTGATTACAGGGGGTGCCTCACGCGCGTAGCGAATGATTGCTTCAGCAACAGCTTCGAATCCCGGTGAACTGTCATCTTCGAATTTGACCATAGAGCTATGGTCTGCTTCGATTCCCATGCGCTCGGCTCCTTGAACGTCTGGGGCAGCAGACGATTCATCTACGATAAACTCGCGGGTTCCTTTCATGTCGAGGGGCTTGGTTTCGTGAAAGAAATATACATGAAAGCGACCGAAAAAATCGTTGAATAATCTGTTGATGTTCTGGAGCACTTCGTTGTTCGATTTTAGTGTCTCGATCAATTGTGGAGAAGTGTCCATAAACTTCTTGGGGAAAACAGCGCTGCAGATTTTCTGAATAAGTAAACCCCATTTTGCGACGTCAGAGCCGGTGTGAGGAGTGCCCAGGAACAAGATGCCAAAGGTTGAAATGTAAATCGAGCGAAGGTGGCGCAACTTCTCGTTCTCCTGGCTGCGACACATAATTAAGCACCGTTTTACGATCAGGCCACCGAGAGAATGGCAGACAAAGATGATCGGGCGCTCGAGGCAGCCGCGCAGACTTCGATTGGCATGTAACTCGCTGGCGAGAGTCTCTGCATGGTGGTGAACGCGGTCTTTGGAGGCACCATCCGTGAAAGCGGCAACATTGGCATTGTAGCCATACGTGAGGATGCGCAGACTTGAATTTTCTAAAAATTCAGGCAACACATCGGTGGGCCAGAAGACATCGCTCTTGCTTGTCCAGGTATCTTTGGGGTGGCCGTTAAGACCATGGACGAGGACGACACTATGATCATGGTCAGCATTTGAAGGGCTCCTGAAGGAAATAAGCTGCCTACTCGACCTGTGCGGGCCTCCCAGGCGAAATGTACACCTCTGTCAGGCCGTACTGCTTGATTTTGCGAAGCGTCGGCATGGTTGTTTATTCCATGAGGAGGTTTGAGGACAGAGAGGAAGTCTCAGGGAAAAAGATGGAACGGAGAAAGAGGACGAGGCTATATATGCAGTTGTAGAAGAGTCACTAGCGCATCTGACTTGGGGCTAGTCCCGTGAACAGACGACGCATCACCCGCCGACTAGGTAGCTCCTACTGCTAATGCGCCTTCCCGCTCTGCTTAGTATGATTATTCATTTCTATCATGTCGACTAATCTCACGCTTCTTCACGATTGCTGTATCTTTGGCAGCAGATGCAAGTGCCGATGGTGAGCCTCGCCGCACGTACAGTGAGTCAACGATACAGTCTATATCGGTGCCTGGAGGGGCTGGGGCTGATCTGACCATGGGGTAATAGTTAATACGTACGTAACTTAGTTGATCTTCGAGACTTAGTCTTACCACGGCTCTCCACACAGCGGGACGCCCCTTATCCCCACAGCCTCACCAGGACTCTGATCATAAAAAGTACTCTGACTATTCTGATTAGCGAATCTGGAATCTTGACGCTCATGTGGCATTCTCGCTTCCCCTCTACGGAATACGTACTAAACCTTCTCGGATCACCCGGTTACATTTCGCCAAATCATGTGATGCATCGAAAAGTCGATCACTCTGCCGTCTCAAGCTTGTTTTTTCTTGTCAGCCACCGGACCTGCTTTGTTTCATCACTGTTTTGATCATTGCAGTGGTACAGTGCGACTCGAGCTACGCAGCTGGATAATCTTCCGTGCTTGTCCTGTCGCCACGCCTGCTTGTTCCGAGGAAAGAGGACGCTGGACTCAAGATCATGTGAATCTGTATGTAGGTACTGATCTAGGCATCAATAAAACATATTTATACTTTTCGAATTTGCCAGGGCGTTTCACAGTTGTGATTGAGGAATCTTTTACCTCAGCATTTCTCTTCTAACAAATGACTCTACCGCCCTCTGTAAACCGGCTTCCGCTTCTCGGCAAACGCAAGAAGAGCCTCAAGTCTATCTTCCGTATCCACAACCGTATTATAAGCCGCATTCTCAGCCTCCTCCCCATTCTCATAATGATTCACAGCTTGCAGCGCGGCCTTGATCGCAAGCGGTCCGCCTTCACATATATCCAGCGCAAGCTTGATTCCCTCATGTAAAACCTTATTTCGCGCAACTCCTTCCTGTTTTTCCTCCTCGGGCGTCACTTCGACTAACCGGTCGCAAATACCGAGGAAATATGCCTCCGCACCTGAGACTTTTCGACCGGTGAGGATTAGGTCTCGTGCGCGACTGAGTCCGATCAGTTTCGGGAGACGATAAGTGCCTCCCGCGCCTGGTATGATGGCAATACGGGTTTCGGGCAATCCTACGACACTGGTCGATCCAAAGACGCGAAGTTGAGTGCTCAAGGCTAACTCGAGGCCACCTCCGAGAGCGACTGAGGACACCGCAGAAATCGTCGGAATGGGCAGAGTCTCGAGTCGTGATAGCGTGCCGCGCAGTTTGGTCAGAAATGCGTTCGTCCTATTAGTAAGTCGGGAATCAGTAAGCTCAAGCGAGGAAAAAAGTCATTGAAAGAAAGGAGAGCCACGTACTCTTCCTTAGTCATCCCCTTCCTTTCCTTCAAGTCAGCGCCCGCACAGAAAGCCGAGTCCGTATTACTCGCAAGTACCAAAGCCCTCGTCGGCCCATTGCCCTGTTCCGCGCTGATCGCATCAACCTGAAACCGTAGGGCATTCAATAGTTCCTTTGAAATTGCATTTCGAGCCTTTGGTCTGTTGAGTAGTAGGACGCGCACGTATCCCGATCCCGGTGCGGGGACTTGTTGTACGTTGATGGTATTGCCGGTTGCTTCTGAGGTGCTAGCTGTGCTGTTTGTACGGATTTGGAAATGAGTTGTAGCGCGTGAGAATGTCGCCGTCGACCGAGTTGGTCGCAGAATCGAGAAGACAATGGCGCCTCGGGGTGGCATTTTGTGTGAATGATTGGACGCTTTGTCTTTGGAGAATGTTGAAAGAAAGGAACGACGTTAAACCCAGAGAGCTGGAGGAGAGCTGGTTGTATGCGGGGAAGTCCCGGTGTCATACGATCCACTCAGACGCCGCCTCGGTTATCATCGGTAGCCAGCCATACATTCATCTGATAAGTATCAGATCTATTCTATTTGTACACACAAACCCTATTTCTATTAAAATACATAAATCAATGGTATCCCTGCGCCAAATGTATATCAAATATTTACAGTGCAAAAGCAACCCTATATATCAGGATGCATATAATGTGCAACGTATGCTCGAACCTCATCGTCCGAGGGCCAAGATCCCCAGATTGCCGTGCTCTCAATAATCTCATATGCCTCTTCGACTCTTCCATCGACGAATATGGGACGAGCCTCTGCATGATCATCTTTTTTCTCGCCGAGTTGGTAATAAGAATCGAGAGATGCCTTGCCACTCACCATAGGCTCGGGTTCGGGTTCGCGCATAGGCAATTTGAGCGCATTCAGATCTTCGAGATAAACTCGCATAGCAGTCAAGGTGCGCCGCAACATCTTTCTACCACCTCGCTTTAGATCAGCTGCGTCTGCGATTTCCGACGCGTATCGACTCATCCATTCGAGCAGATTGAGGATACCGTCATGGTCCTCGGCAGTTCCGAGAGCTCTGACAAAGGAATGCAATGCAGCAGGAGTGGGCACCTCAATCATGTCTGGCACGATCATTCCAGGCAGTTTAGGCAATTCAAGCGAGGAGGACTGGCCAGTTTCGCTGCTGGGACTTTGATTTTTAAATAACATAGGATGAATCGGCAGCACAAGGCGATCGAAATAGGACTTCAAGACCCGAAGTCCCTGGTAAACAAATGACTCGAAATCATCCGCAATGTTGACATGTAATTTGTCATTCTGTCTTTTCATTCTGTGTGCCAAGTATAAGCTTTCCTCGGCTGCCGCTATACTTTGAATTCCTACGCCGACTGCGTGCGCAAATATTTGACAAAGGACGATGAAACCCTCCATCCCAGGTTCAAGGCCCAGTTCCTGCATCCAGTGAATCACTTCGGATACCTCGTACCAAGCGAAGTACCAGTGCACATGTGGCTTGACCAATCTTTCTTCGCTCGGCCCCCTTGGCGAAGCTAAAGCCTTGAGCAAAGGTATCCATGCTGCCACCCGCCGCGGCTTTCTGGCCAGCAAGAGTTCAACTGCGTGCGATAATGTCTGTGGGTGACCGTTCCAGTTGCCTTCTCGTAAGACGTCTTCGTCGGAGAAGAAGGTACTCGTATCGACCACGAGCTGCGATGGTCGCTGCATTAGAATTGGGAAAAGATCCGATTTGCGGAAGCGATGTCCGGGACATGGCAAGTGTGATTTGGTGCAAAAGAAGGTAATGATCGAGTCGAAAAGACTAGGTTTCATTGCCTTTAGGGTTTCTAAATTTTCCCCTTCAAGGTCCCCAACGTAAAGAGCACTCACAGCCTTCGTCTGCTTCGGGCTCAAAAATGCAGCTATATATCTCAGCCCTGTTGAGAAATCCGGCGAGAAACGTAGTAGCAGAGCGACAAAATCAACGCCCGGTAAAATCCCTTGCGATATCATCCGCTCAATCAGTTCTTCAAGTGTTGGCGGCTCTGTAGGGACATATGTTACGTCGCGAGCTGAGCTTGGTTCTGGATAAACCTCGAAACCATCTCCCGGAAGGGATTCATTCTTAGAATTTATGTCGTCACTTCCTTCCATCCTGTAAATCAACTTTCTGGCCATGGCATGGTATACTGGCTCACTGGGATGGCCACAACGAGTTTCATATGATAGAAAACACGCCCAAGCCTCTCGTAAAGTGCGGGTCGCACGAATTCGGCTTGCCCAAACTGTCGAAGTAACCTTGGACTCTTTGGTACCAGGCCCCAAAGACTTCTGTGGTCTCGCTAGACTCCGCGTCTGAATAGTGGGAGTACCATCGGTATCCCAGCCCGCGAGAATTGCAGCCACATCATCCCAGGGAGAGGGCGCATAGCCGGCTTCTATCATCTGAGACAATACCTGCATCGTGCGACTCCGCATACCCTCGTTGCCACGTTCTGAGTCGATTCCCATTCGAGCTTCTTTCCAAGGGGGCCACGAGAGTGCCTTTTGTTTTGCAAATATTCTCTCTGCCGGGGTTTTCTCATGGGCCAATTGTACAGCCATGATAGCTTGATAACCTGAGCGATTGACTGGTATGACAGGACTGTGGGCAGCCATCGCCTTAAGCAATTCGAATTGTGCTTGTTGCTGAATGGACGCAGATAAGTATGGTAGTACTTTTGACGGTATTCCCAATTGACTAAGACACCTATTGAAGTACTCAGCTCGAAGTCTATTGGTATCCCATGCCATTGGTTTCGTATGAAGAAACGGGAGCAGATGAATCAGATAGTAAACGTAGGCCTGGGCGATGTTGAATTGAGCCGCCGGCAACATTTCACGAGCTCTTCTTAACAAGATAGTCACCAAACCGGAAGCCTTTTGCGGAGATAGAATGGCATGGTGAGAATCGATAAATGGTTTCACGGATTTTCTTTTCGTTACTGAGTCCTTTAACTTGAAGGGTCGCCGAAGGAGATGAGATAAAGAATAAGAGAGAAGTAACCGATAAACACGCACATCGATATGGGGACGATGAAGAAGTATTTTCACAACAAAAATTGGTGTTCGTGGTTTAGACGATTTCTGGCTATCCCAGACAAGTAGCCTCATTGCGGCTCGGAATGGATCCTGGACGCTGAGGATCCACGCCCAAGCAGCTACATCTTCTGGACTATAGTCTCTGATGCGTAATAAACGCTGGTTTTCGCKACTGAAAATTTCAGAAAGCCTTGTCAACTCTTGTTCATCCGAGTTGAAACCTGAAGAAGCTTGCGAATTCAAGAACAATAGGTATTTTTGCAAAATTTTCGACAAAACATTAGTATTCACATAGCGCGCGTGTTCGACGTGAGGCAGAGATTCGGTAAAAGTGCTACGGAATTCATCGTCGAGAATAGCGTCTTCACCAGGATTAGCCTTCACTGCATGAGATTTTTTTACTTCAAGATTCAGTTCCTCCCAAGGACTTCCATCATCCCAGAGGTCTATTTCTTCGCCGGGGCGAGAGGAGGTCGCAACCCTCCCAGGTCTCACATCGTGTAAGCTATTATCTGTTACGCCATTGGGTATCGTATTTTCCAGAGCTTCTGCATGATCGTGGATAGACCCTCTTGTAGTGCCATTTTCAGTGCCGTTAGCTGAAATAGAAGTCACTATCGATTTGTTCGGGGCTTCTGCATGGTCGGAGACCCAAGAATTCAGTGATCTCCAACGAAGATTCTTCCAGTATGCCAACGGGCCACGATGAATGCGTGGTATATCACACTGGTCATTCGAGACATCCCTAGACGCTTGAGATAGATTTGCATGATGTCGAATGCGGCTGCGAGCGCATCGGAGACAAGGAGTTTGTGGTAACGGTAATGAACTCTATAAAAGATAACAATATATCAGCGTAATTTTCCTTCCGACAAAATTGAATGCCCGGCTTGTACAAACCTGACAGGAAGTGCTTCTGCTCAACTGTAAACTCGACAATGCCCGTAGCCCCGAGCTGTAAGAGGCATTACTCAAGATAGATGACATCCATGAGAATGTCCTTGAGCCTTGATCAGACCAAGGAGTGACGCATTCGAAATTTCTTTCTCCTATGCAGAGTCAAGGCACTGATGAAAGCTGAGTTGATGGTTCCAAAGCGTAAATATAAAAGTCGAGAATAGAAGAATAAAGGTATTTGCGAATCGAGACAGCAGGAGGAAAGAAGGACGGCCGCGGAGCCAATCAACGATGCGAGATTATTTCTGGCAGCGGCTCACGTGATAGTAAGCTTGTGAGTGGCCGGCGTTCCCGGCGTCACAGGATTTGAGCGCTAACCCGCATTGGGCCAACCGTAGATCGTAAGAGAATTGCACCTCCTTCATTGATGGCCTGTCCTTGCCTGAGTCCTGTTCTCGCTTCGAATTTGAGCTTGCTTTATCAAGTTTTCATTCTCTACTTTTTCTGCTTTGTCCAACAGCAATTCGTGCGTGGTGCGGCACGATTACACCCTCTCCTGTGCTTCCCGTGGTGTTTGAGCCGGTTGACGCTACGGTGCAGAAGCGTTTTTGCGATCCCCGGACGCGATCACCAGCCCTCGTCCCAAGAGTTGAGCACCTTCGCCGTGCTTGTCGGGTCTAAAAGTCGCCTCGAAAACATCAACTTGTAATTAGTCGTTCGTTCTCTCCAATTTCATGGTCGTGGCTTGAGGCGCGCCATTGATTTGGAACGCTTCCTCGTGGGGACGTGTTCTTGTTCGCGCGTCTAGGAAAAGTTCCCGGACAACGCCATGGCCAGTGAAATAGCAGGGGAAGCGGCCACCATGCCCCTAACAAACGGGGTCCTCCATCCTCCATCAGATGAGTCTGCAGCACCCTCGACGCCTGGAAAACGAAGGCGTGCCTCGACCCCCGCAGCAACCCCGACACAAGAGAAGAAATCTACAGTGAAAACCAGTGAGGAGGACAAGGCGGAGCTAAATACGAACTTGCGCTACATTATACAGATTGCTGCTCAGTAAGACCGTCAATCGTAAAATCATCCGCATACTTCAGGCTTGCTAATCCAACTATTCCTCCAGGGATGATGAGCATCTATCCGTTTTCAGTTCGTCCTTCGCACCATCGTCGCCATCGAAACCTCGCTCCAAACGCCCAAAGCTCTCGGCTGAAAGTTACAATCTGGATAGCATCGAATCCCGCGTCGCCGGAGGGCAATACCTATCCTATCAAGGTTTTTTGAGTGACGTAGACCAAGCATGCGCAGCTATTTTCGAAAGACAGACTGCGGTTGATAATGAAGATGTTTTGTCGGTGCAGACAAAAGTCGCTGCTCTCAAGCATCGTTTGAATGGCCTCGTCCATCAAGCTTTGTCTCAGGGTTCTGCCCAAATCAAAGTTGAACCTATTTCAAATGAATCGCCCCGGGATATCACACGCCGCGACAGGAAAGTCTTGACCCTCTATGGGGGAAGTTCTTCCAATGCCAAACAACTATTCTCTAGCTTACAGAAGCTCAATGACACCGAGTCTGAAAGGTCCGCGACTTTTCCTGAAGACAGATTGCCGAATGGTATCACAACTMCCCGAGCCATTCCATACAATCTAGAAATGGACGAGAAACCGGTCAAGACATTCGGTGAAGTATTTGCGCCGCGCTCAACGCTTGCTCAGCTAGAGCCTCCGCGTCGTGGTCGACCATGGGCGAGAGATCCCTCGAGCACATGGATTGATGCATTTGACGCCATCACAGACTATGATAATATTCTAGGTCAAAAACACCACCATTCATTTGCCAAACTTCCATCTGGCTACTGGCTGCATTACGGTGGTGATAGTGAATCTCCCTCGTATTGGGATCGACGAGAGAAAGATGATGAAGGGGAAGCCAGCAGTCAGAATGCTCGATATATCAACGAAGATACAGCTGTCATCTACGGCGCTTATTCTTCATTTGCTCCTTCATTTGATAGTTCACATTCCGTTATGCAGTCAGATGCCAAGAGCAGCATGTGGTGGGCGAAGAGAGGCTCTAGGCGTTTCAATGCGATGTTGGCACTTCACAAAGCGGCTCGACTAGATGAGGATCAGCCACTTACTGGAATCGACGAAACTACGTTAGAACAAGACGTCAAGTCATTCATTGAAAACGGTTCCCTCGAGGCCAAGTCGGAAGAAACGAGCGAGGCAGCTATGGATGATAAAGATGTTGATGCGGTACTTCAAGACATATCTGAGCTCCTGCAGACTTTGAACTCTTTCCGTCGAAATCGCAACTTAGAATCACCATCACAAGGTGAATCAAAAACTGATGACAACACTGGAACCCCGATTTCTCCATCTGCCGCAGAACTTGCTACATACGAAACTTTGAAGGCGGGACTTGCAGCTATCATATCAAATTTACCTCCTTATGCTGTTGCGAAATTGAACGGAGACCAATTGGCTGAGCTCAATATTAGTCAGAAGATTCTGGTGGAGATGCCGACCTATAACGGAACCATGGAAGAGGATGACTATTCACTGTTACAGAGACGAATTGCTGCAACTGCGCCTGCTGCAACACCATCGCGAACRGGGTCTTATCAAGCCACTCCTGGGTACAATCAACGCATGTACTCTACAACAAATGCCAGGCCTCAGCAACCAGCTGCTGGCCCACAGTACTATCAGGGCCGTCAATCGTCATCTACGCCTTATACTCCGGCAGCTAGTACCCCACAACAAAATTATGTCGGTCTTCGTCCGCAGGCCTCACCATCCCAACGACCAAGCAATGTTCCCACCTATTCTCCCGGCCAATACCAGCCTCAGCCAAGGGCTACACCAAATGGCTACGCTCCTTATAGCGCACAATCGGCGCCTTCGCCGGGACCTGGTTATCAACAAAATCCTGCGTTCACTGCAGGAAGAAGTGCTTCTCCACAAAAGCCTCAAGGTTATGCCACGCCACAGACCGCCGCACGTACAGCGTACCTGAACCCGGCACCAGGCAACGCTCAGCGTTATTATCCTCAGCAAACGGGGCCTTCACCTGCTGTGTACGCGAATTACGCACCATCGGCAACACAGACACCGGGACAATATGCCATGTCTCCTAATGTTGCAGCCGCTCATTATCGGACCGCGGCTGCGGAACAAGCTATGGCTTTGGCAAGACACAAGGCTCAGTTTGAAGCTTCTCGTCAAGTATCGGGTACCCCCAATCCGCCACAGAGCATTACGCAAGCCTCCTCACAAGCACGAAGCGAAAGCCCAGCTACGAAGCAGAGCGCAACTCCTACACCAGCCACGTGATGAGCTTTTCCTCTATCTTACTGTTTTTCTGTTCTGGTTGGTCCAAACAAAAGATTTCTTTACTGTCTTGACATGTTTTTTCTCTTTCTACTCCTTCTTTCATTTCGCTTCACAAGATGATGTTGGCAGCGGATCGGCGCATGGGGTGTGTACGTGTATTAAAGTCCCTGTGTCATTTTGGTATCATGATTTCGTATGAGGTGTTTCTTGAACAGTGGCTTCTGTCTTGTCTGACTTATTATTATTTTTCTACCTGCTCTTTCGAAGAGTCTCAAACTACTTCTGACCTTCAAGCCGTGTCAAAAGATATGTCCTTGATGAATGACTCAATGACTTGGGTGGTCCTCAAGCCCACATTTGAACAGCTTTTCATGTATTATTCCAGGTTTTAAATTCTCTTTCTGTTTCCCCCTTTGACCCTTGTTCTAAGTTTAACTTTTTAATTGGTTCGAATATAGAAAAGACGGCACTAGGGGCAGATCAGCTACTTAGGTAATCTTCAATGCTATTTTGTCTCATCAACTAGGATGGCAGGGGGTAGCTGTGTAATGCTCATTAATCGTATTGATCATTATGTCATTAGACGTATTCTGTCACAAGTTTGGTAATGTGGGTAATGTGTACATGTATATAGGTATCAAATTTTGGAAACAAAATCATAGCCCAATTTTTCACAGGTATGCAGGTATCAAGTAGAACATTCAATAAATGAAATAAAATAAAACATCCGAAACCGAAAATCCCACCGGGGGAATGAGCAGATCTAAAGGCGGGTTCTTCAAGCGCAAATCGAGAGAGAAAATCAGGAAGTTAGGGCTTATTCGGTCAATAAGCCAAAAGCGGTAGTAGCAAAGCGGTCGATAACACGCCGATTATGAAAAAGAGGATGCCAGTACTACTGTCGCCACGCACAGCTGCTGCTGGAATGGCGTCGATTGCGGCTTTGAGGGAAACCAGATCTAGGTCATGATCTAGAAATCGGGTTTCGTTTTTGGCGATGGGGGTGTGTTCAATCATCCAGGAGCGGTACATTTGGATTTCCTTTGGTGAGGCTTTGGGGAGGATTTGGGTTAGCTTGGCGTAATTCGTAAGAACATCATCTGAATTCAAGATTAGTTAATGTTTTCGCGACAAGATAGAACGAAGAAGTACGTACTGTACTGATTGACCTTATACGCAAGTCTATCAACAAGCTCMAAACGTCGCGCATGAAACGCCGAGTATCTCCCAGCCGCTTCTACATCCATCCGTCTTGAGCTCGGTTCTAGCTGTTCCGGTCCTTCTTTTTCAGCCATAGCGACGCGATGTTTCGCTTCATACTCATCCATCATCTGGAGTTCTTCCTCTAACTGCGAAATTTCGTCTTGTAAGTGTAGAAGAATGCGGTGGTTGACATTCTCGAATCGTCGGTATACGGGGACGAGTCGACGGTCTCCATTCTTCGAATCCGTGGTCGAGAGGACTGTTGATGAATCCAGTTTGGAGGCTAAGAGGGCATACCCCGAAGATAATCTGGGCTCAGCGGTGGATGTTTTGACGATTTTATTGTTTTTGTCGCTAGTATCAGTCTTGACTAGTTGACCTGCGCTTCTTTCCGAGGATATTGATGGGTCACGTCTGGATTTTTGGCTTCGATCTCGACTTTTCCTTTGTCTGTGGATGTGTGGCCGGCTTGTATGGGAGCGATGTTGATGTTGTTGCTCTTGCTGCTTCTGGTGGTGGTAGTGCATGCGCTCGTTCAAATAATAGTCCTCCGGAACAGAATAATCCGAATGTTCATCGTCGTCTTCATCGTCTGTGGGCGGCGGGCTTTGTCTCTGATGTACAATATCACGTCGACTTCTCGCTTGCGCAATCTTTTGAAGATTCTGTCTATTAGCCAAACGGAGATAGGCTGTGGCAGGGGAGCCGTCGGGAGATGTTGTAGGGTCAGTTATGACTGAGTCTCTGGAAGTAACGGAAAATGTTTGCTCTGGACTGCTCGCTCGAAAGGAGGATTCGGGTGATATAAGATATGAGGAATTTGCATCCCTGGTATCTCGCGGTAGTTGCGACTGAGCAAGGGCCTGTAACCCTTCCTCTTCCTGGTCGCCATCAGAATCCGAGTCGGTATCTTCGGAGGTTGTTGATGAGGAGTCGCCTTCCTGAAGGAATTGAAAAACATTCGGTTTGTTAGAAGGCGCATCATTTTGCGTTCTGATAAGCTCGGCTCCAACCTGTGCCTTTTTCTGCATCCCTAGCTCTTTCTGTGGCTCGGGGTGCACAGGATGGCTCAATTCTTTAACAGCTGGCAAGGAAACAGGAGATGCCGGTGCCTTGCTAGCTGCTAAAGGAGGCTTATTGCTGCGGGTAGCCCTGCTGCCCTTTCGTCGACCGGAAATGCTCGCAGGCATTGTAGTGGTGTATTCAAATTATCGCAACGTTTCGCTAGAGTTAACAATTTGATGCCAACTTAGGGCCTCAATACTATGACATACAAGCACAAGATTCGTTTTCGATGTGCTTCCGAGTCAAGAAAGTTGAATTGGCGCGACGAGTCAATATAAATCGAAAACGGTTCAGGCTAGACTAAACGCGAGTTTGAAGAATTCCCAGGGTGATAGGGGGGTAAAGTCCACAATGCTACTCTAGTAGCACTATTTTGACCATGTAGTAGATATGACAATGTAGTACGACACCTCCTTGCTGCTGCAGTTCGTGAGGCCTATCAGGGTTCAAAGTCGCACCCCTAGATCCGATCCCTCCTTGAGGGCCGGAGGGAAAGTAAGAATGCAAGCGGGCCAGCCGTAACGATTAATTTTGCAACAAAGAAAAGACCGAATGATCAAACTCAAAAGCGTGACCGGTTCCTGATCTGACGGCCTTGGTGTTGTAGATAGAATGGGCGCTACGGAGAAGTCGCAACCTGAGTCTGGGGAGTCCAATTCTGAAACGATTCAGGTCTGGCCCCCATCGTCATCATCTTCATTGTCTGAACGCCCGCATATCGTATTATTACTATTATGATTATGATCTGATTCGTTGTATTTTCATATCCCAGTTGCCCAGTTGGGTTGAGATCAGACAACAAAACAAGATAAAATAATGAAAGGGCAGAAGAAAAGACGGAAAAGAAAAGGCGTCTCGCTTTCTTCCGGAAATGTGAGTGTTCAAGGCGGGTCGTAGTCGAAATCCCGAAAGGCTTAGTTGGAATTTCAACTAAAAACAAGCAGCCTAGGAGAGTTGGTGTGCCTGTGTCATGTTGTAGGCCCTTTTCAGCCAGTCAGCTGCCAGATCATACGAACGCCTCTCTTTTTCCGACCTGCTGCAGTATTGGTGGGACGATGCTTCGTTGGCAATCGATCACTCGCTTACCGGTAATCTGGGGCCTCCTTGCGTCGCGTTACGTAGATAACGAGTCCAAATTGGCAGATGGAGTACGTAATAAGTTCTTCTGGTGAACAGAAAGGCATCAATTGACATTCATCTCGACATACTGAATCCGAGGATGGGATGGTAACAATAATGGTCTTGCAATACTATGAAAGATCAGCAACAGAAGCAACGCTAACACTGACTAGTCTCCCTACTAGATTTTAGCTCATGAATTGATGAGAACCATATGACTCGGTCACTCTCGTTATCGATAACGAAATGATCAATCAAATGATCCATACTGTCGGGGTTTTTCAGGGTTAATTAAGTTGGCCTTAAGAGCGCCTAATTTACCTATTACAAAGACCCTTCCAAGGGTTCCATCTGATGTCACTACCCCAATGATCCCTCGTATTCTTTTTGGTCTCTATGTACCAGTGATCTGTATCTCGTGTGGCAAAGGAACTCAGCCTCATGCGCGGTGTTCAAGTTAATTCAGGTGCCTGAGCGTTGACGTTGTTGATGCGTATATAACAAGCACCTGGGGCCCTGTATTCACATGTATTCACAATTTAGTTCTGATCCCCCAAAATATTTATACATATCGCGCTTTTCGGACGTAAAAACCGGTTGGGATGTGTTTTCGATCAAAATCCGATCAGATAGATGACGACGTTCCACAGGGATTGCCAAAGGTGATCATAACCAGAGCATCGACGGATCGCGAACTCTTTGGTGATGACAACGTTGAACTACACTTTGAGCATTTGGAGAAATATGTAGGAAAGAGGAAACAGAATCAATCTGCGCAACAAAATCTGGCGAAACAGAAACGATATCGAACTTGAGTACCCTTCCAAGGAGGCCAAAGCGAATGCGCCCTCGCCATTTTGATGATGACCTGACTACCGACATACTTGCTCATGGTTTGTGAGTCGTGGTGCTGGCACTTTCCCTTGACAATCCTGCATCCGTTTTCATGTCGCACCTCAAGACCTCGGTGCAGAGGGGGCTTTCCGCTTCAGGAAACTTAGGGCTTCGTGCATACGCCACCTGCTTGACAGGCACTTCCAGACATCATCTTGCTTGACACGCAACTTGTTGAAGTACTCCCAGCAGACGAGCTTTTGAGGTGTCACTTTGATCTTATTTGTCCTTCCGACACAATGTCTACCGAAGCCGTCGTTCTACGAAGCACGCTCAAATACTTATACAGATGCCGAGACCTGGATTGTGCATATCATTAGACACATATTCAGGGTATCTCAATGCAACCTATACCAAATTTCATACCTGGGCTAGGAAGATTCTATTGAGCCGACTGGAGCATATCACCGACGAGCTCTGGTCCGGGCTTGAGCTTGGAGCAAATCAGTCATCATCACGGAAATAAATACTCGAGATTTTAGAACAAATTGACGATGGACTGCGTCAACCAGCTTTTAATTAGTGGCCGTGAATACCAGCTCGTAATGGTCGTTACAGTCTATATATAGCTGTTAATCAATGGAAGACAGTCATTATAGCTTACATTCGTATGAAACCGTAAAATACATGTTCCGGTAATTTATGCTTGATCATAATAAGAATTAACAGCTCCATTGCTCTTACCTCCATCCAGGGAACACATCCGACACTTCACAGATGCCACGTCTATGGTACTCCCGGTACCTGGCCTCGGCTCGCCTTCGCTGTCGTCCATTGCTACTATCGGAACAGCCTCCAAACCGGCTGCMCCAGCCTCTACTCTGCCGCACAGTAAACACCGGCACAAATGACCATCGTCCGAACGATTTCGTCCCTCTACGCAAGCAGTTGAAGGAAGAAGCGAGAAGAGCAAAGTCCCAGAGTCGAGATGGTCGAGGGAAAAAGCAAGTGGCAGCTAATGATAAATGGGAGTTGACAGTGGGAATCGAGATCCATGCGCAATTAAACTCCGAAGCGAAGCTTTTCTCAAGTCCGTACAACGCGCGGCGATTGTATGGATGAGTGGACTAACAAGAGATTGCAGGAGCACCGACATCTACCGTCGCAGAGCCAAACACCAATGTAGCTCTATTCGACTTAGCATTTCCAGGCTCACAGCCAGTATGTCATTGATTTTACTGCTCAATTGATAGAGACCGTACTGACACTTCTTTTCCTGCTAGGAATTTCAAGCCGCTACTCTACTCCCTGCAATTCGCGCTGCGATAGCCCTCAACTGTGATATTCAACACACCAGTCGCTTCGATCGAAAACATTATTTCTACCAGGATCAGCCCGCGGGTTATCAGATTACTCAATACTACGGTACGCAGGCGCAATCCAGGAATATGGCAGGAAATGCAGCTAATTCATTTGCTTTAGAACCATTCGCTCGAAATGGATACATCGAGCTGTACGATTACGACGGCATCGCACCCGAGGATGGGAAATTTGTCCGCGTCGACATCAAACAAATACAACTAGAACAAGACACTGCCAAATCTCATGAACATCCGCCGTCCGCGCATTTCCTAGATTTCAACCGCGTCTCGCACCCTCTAATCGAAATCATTACTATGCCCCAAATTCATTCTCCTGCAACCGCCGCGGCCTGTGTCAAGAAGATACAGGCTATTCTACAAGCAACGAGTGCAGTAACTACGGGTATGGAATTGGGTGGCTTGCGTGCAGATGTCAATGTTTCTGTTCGACGGCGGGACGCACCGCCGGGTGCCGGAGAGTACTATGGAGTTCGGGGCCTGGGCCAGCGGACCGAAATCAAAAATCTCAGCAGTTTCAAGGCTGTCGAGGACGCTATTATAGCGGAGCGCGATCGCCAAATTCGAGTTCTGGATGCCGGAGGTGTCGTCGAAGTTGAGACGAGAGGTTGGTCAATTGGTAGCACCGAGACTCGGAAACTTCGCAGCAAGGAGGGCGAAGTTGACTATCGCTATATGCCAGATCCAGACCTGAATCCTCTTGTTATTGACAGCGGGCTAGTGTCCGCCTTGAAGGATACAATTCCTGCTCTACCTGATCAGCTTTTCACCATGCTTATTGGTCCAGCATACGGGATTAGTCTTGAGGATGCAAAGCCCTTGGTGGAACTAGATGACGGTGCACGACTGGAATATTACCAGGACGTCGTCGATGCGCTCCAGGCCCTTCACTCTGGTGAAGAGAGCGATGCAACTAGAAAATTACTTGGTAGAACAGCAGCCAACTGGGTACTACACGAGCTGGGGGCGCTACACACCAAGGCCGATGTGACCTGGCATGCTGACAGTATCCCGGCCCAGACACTGGCGGAACTCATCGATCAATTGATACGCAAAAAGATCACCAGCTCGGTCGCAAAACAAGTTCTAGCGATGATCTTTGACGGAGACCAACGTGCAGTTCATCAACTACTGGAGGAAGAGAACCTCTTGCTACGACCTCTTTCTAGGGATGAGTATATTGCTTTGGCGAACTCGCTGATTGAGGAAAATCCACAAATGGTTGCACAGATACGGGAGAAAGATCGATTAGGAAAAATAAGCTGGTTTGTAGGACAAATGATGCGCCAGGGAGAAAAGGGTCGCGTTGAGGCGCAGCGTGCTGAGGAGATTATACGAGAACTGATCTTGGGGCAGTGATGTATCATGTCTGTCTGCTGTGTATCGGATCTGAAGCCGTTTGCGATAGTATGTGATGTTGTATAGATAGATGATACCCTTGCTACAACAACGTAATATTTCACTTCAACTTCAATGCTTTACATTCCGACGTAACAGGAAATATACGCGACACAAGCAATCAGAGCGAAAATTTTTTCCGACCTAAATTCGGAGCGATTCGTGTCCTCCGGTTCAACCTGTACTTAGGGGAATTGAGGCCGGAGGATGTCACCAACGGGCGAGATCACTCGCGGTTGGCGGCGGATAAGCCCACCTCAACCTGGGAGCTTCGACCGCTAAAAGCAGCTGCACGCGAACAATTAGAACTACCTTTTGTCAAACCACCAGAAACATGGATAATCAAGGGGGCGCCCGGATTCTGTCTGCCTTTCCTCTATTTAAGAGGGATTCTTCCTCTTTATTGACTTCGTGAACTTGCTCTCATCTCCCAATCTCGATAAAAAGAAACATTTTGACATCATCGTCAACTGTCCCCGCATTCACTTTTTAACACACGATTTCCGAACTATTTAACCTTTTGTTCATCTACAACTCAACGGAGAAAGACTACCGTAATTCAAAATGACTGCACCCTCTACAATCAAGCAGCGCTTTCTCTCTCAGTCCAACGACCTCGGTGTCGTAGCTGTGGGCTTCTCCGGTGGCCAGGTGAGGGGTCCTCCGTCCTACCTTTGGCCCGTACGGATGACTAACTGGGGGATTTCTACAGTGCAAAGCAGGCGTTGAAGCGGCGCCTATGGCCTTGATCGAATCTGGCCTTCTCGATCAACTTCACGAAGACCTTAACTATAACGTTCACCACGACAACATTGTGCATGACTATGCGGACCTCATGCCCGCCGAGGACCCGGATCACAGAGGCATGAAGAAGCCTCGTACCGTGAGCGCAGTTACCCAGAAGCTTAGCCAGCAGGTCTACGAACATGCGAAACAAGGAAAGATGGTCCTGACACTTGGTGGTGACCATTCAATCGCTATTGGCACAATCTCTGGTACCGCCAAGGCGATCCGTGAGCGATTGGGTCGCGAGATCGCAGTCATTTGGGTAGATGCTCATGCCGATATCAATCTCCCTGAGGAGAGCCCTAGTGGTAACATCCATGGTATGCCGGTTGCGTTCCTCACGGGACTGGCCAAGGAAGAGAAGAAGGACATTTTCGGCTGGCTCGAGAAGGATCAGCTGTTAAATGTGAATAAGCTGGTTTATATTGGACTGCGGGATGTTGATCGTGGCGAGAAGAGGATCCTTCGTGAGCATGGTATCAAGGCTTTCAGCATGCACGATATTGATAGGTAAGTTGCAATTCACGGCCAAAAGGCCCAAATTTGTACTAACAAGAATTAGACATGGTATCGGCCGCGTTGTTGAGATGGCTCTTGCACACATTGGCAATGATACACCTATACATCTGTCCTTTGACGTCGATGCGCTCGACCCCCAATGGGCTCCTAGCACCGGCACCCCGGTTCGAGGGGGTCTTACTCTTCGAGAAGGTGACTTCATCTGTGAATGTGTCCACGAGACCGGAAACCTGGTTGCTATGGATTTGGTGGAGGTCAACCCTAGCCTGGAAGCCACTGGAGCTGGCGATACTATTCGCACAGGTTGCTCGCTCGTCCGCAGTGCTTTGGGCGATACACTTCTTTAATTGTTGCGTGTTCTGTTTCTCTGCGGTGGATAGACTAGAAGTCAGCCTCATGGTCGCTGTCTCGTTTAAGGAGTTAGAGAGAGTATGCGATATACAGTGCTCGTAGCGTGAATCAAATGTGTCCAATCTCATTTCTCGCAAGGCGTAGAGTAGTTGTCGGATATCCGATGAGCCGTCGGTCGGCGCTAAACCGGATACAGCGACGCGGCTGCCAGCTGTTTGAAGCTTCATGTTCTAGTCTGACTTGACTAACGGCGACTTTACCGCCTACTCTATTTATCTTGCGACTCACCACCGCGCAACGCTTGCTCTCGACAAATCCAACTTTCATTCACATCCCTGCTAGTATCGGTATCCTATTCCTCTTTTGCCTTGGTCTTCTTTTACCTACAAAGCTTACTGCTAGACTTACTCAACTGTCTGCTTCTCCGACAGCTACCTTGCGTCCCCGCATCAACTTGTTGACTGTTTCGATCACAACACACCACGCGAAGAGTCATCGCAGGCTAGCTTTGCGCCACTCCTGAAAACACCAAAGACTTACAATACCTGATATTATCTTTTCTATCTATTACCTCTCCTCCCGCGATACGCTCTCTGGTTGCATCATTGCCGTGGCGATTATCATTCACCTCTAGCAGGGCGTATGCTGAAGGGCAGCACCATCGGGCGATGGCAGAGTAATTCGCGCAAGGTTATCGCCAAACATTCTTCACACTGAAACAAAAATTACTGTGTGAGCAAGCGAATTCGCCAGCAGTCGACTCCAACGAGCCGACAGACGAGTCCAACGGAGTATGCTTCTGCGACTCCCGCCCACGCTTCATTACCCCATCACCGTCAAATCGCTGCTTAAGCGCCCGGGCGATTCGGTAGAGCGGGGTGATCATCTGTTCTGGTATGTCTACAAGACGACTGTTATTGAGGGCGATGGATTAGGCAACGATATCGAGGTCCAGAAGGAATTTCCTATCAAGTTCGAGTCGAGCGTTGATGGTACAGTGGTGGAATGGAAGATATCCAAGGGAGACATTATCGATGAACCGTAAGTGGTGGTGGATCGGTTGCGACGAATAATGTGGCTGACTTGAAAAGGGTAAACGTTGTGGAGATAGACGAGCCATGCGCTCACGAAGTTCAGTTTGGAGGGATGTGCGCAGAGTGCGGAAAAGACATGACAGCGTATGGTTTTACTTTGTATACCTGAATTCAGCTGCATCAGAGGTACTGACATTTCCTGTTGGTAGTGCAAATTACAACACCGATGTCATGGACGCAATGCGAGCGCCGATTCAGATGGTTCACGACAATACCGCGCTTACAGTCAGTCAAAGAGAAGCTACACGAGTTGAAGAGGATGCAAAGCGCCGACTATTGGCCTCTAAACGGCTGTCCCTAGTTGTCGACTTGGACCAGACTATCATCCACGCGACGGTAGACCCGACAGTTGGAGAATGGAAGGAAGACAAGAATAACCCGAACCATGAAGCAGTCAAGGATGTGCGCGCATTTCAGCTTACTGATGATGGACCTGGTATGCGCGGGTGCTGGTACTACATCAAACTTCGGCCTGGTCTGGAGAGTTTCTTGCAGAATGTTTCCGAACTTTACGAGCTACATATTTACACCATGGGCACGAGAGCATATGCGCAACACATCGCTAATATTATCGACCCCGATCGAAAACTCTTTGGTGATCGCATTCTTAGCCGGGATGAAAGCGGCAGTCTTACCGCAAAGAATCTACAGCGTCTGTTTCCTGTTGATACCAAAATGGTTGTGATTATCGACGATCGCGGTGATGTCTGGAAGTGGAATCCTAACTTAATCAAAGTATCGCCATATGATTTTTTCGTTGGCATCGGTGATATCAATTCGAGCTTTCTGCCAAAGAAGCAGGAGTTGGCGCCAGGGAAAACAAAGGGCGAAAAGCCAGCGGTCACCCCTCGTAGTGGACACCATGTTAATGGCACTACTCAAGCGAAGGAAGCTGGAATGGAAGTCTCGGCGTTGGAACAACTTGTTACGATGGGCGGAGGAGATAATCCAACAATGCTTCAAGAGCAAACTACGCAACAAGAAGAAACAATCATGCACCAAGTGGAGGATCGGCCGTTGCTACAGAAGCAGAAGGAGCTGGATGCGGAAGATGATGCCTCAGAGTCACAAGCAGGTGCCGACAGCGAGACATCCACATCAAGTATGGAGGATTCTCAGGATCTTACACGGCAGAGACATCACTTACTGGAAGATCATGATCAAGAATTGTTCTATCTACAAGACCGGCTGGAAAATGTGCACAAGCAATTCTTCGAAGAGTATGAACGGCGTCGAAAGAGGAACCTTGAGAAAGGACGGATTTCTATACTCCGAGGCGAGAGGACTATCCGTGATCGGGATATTGACCTAGAATTACTGCCTGATATCAAGGTTGTCATGCCACAGATTAAGGCTAAGGTTCTCGGGGGCGTTGTTCTCGTGTTTTCGGGGGTTTTACCTCTAGGAACCGACCTGCAGAATGCCGACATTTCGCTCTGGGCTAAAAGCTTTGGAGCTATCATTTCATCTCGAATCGGATCCAAAACGACACATTTGGTGGCAGGAAGAAACCGGACAGCTAAAGTGCGGGAGGCAACAAGATATCCTCGAATCAAGATTGTTACGACGCAATGGCTTTTGGATAGTTTGACAAGCTGGAAACACATGAATGAGGAACCGTATCTGATTCCGGTACATCCAGAAGATCGCGGCGAGCCTGTGTTGGGCAGTTCGCCTGGCTCTAAGCTCGGGAGTTCCTGGCTTTCTTCTTCCGACGATGATACGGGTGTATCGCTTACAGATGACGACGGTAAGTCAACCATCAATTTGTTGGAGCTTTGTAGTACTAACTTCATTCTAGGTGTCAACGAAGAAATCATCAGATCGTCCGGAATGACCGAACATTCGCCGGTCGGATATACCGCAGCGGAACAAGCAGCGGTGCACGACGAGCTCAAGGAGTTTCTGGGAAGTGATGATGATGACAGCGACGACGAAGAAGATGAGGATTACGTCGACGATGGAGAGGAAGATGACGACGCGGATAACGACAGCGAAGAAGAACTAGCCGTTCCAGCAAGTCCGGAATCTCGCAAACGAAAACGTGAAGGGGACGAAGAACCAGAAGCTGAAGGCGAAGGCGCAGCTATTGCACCCCTTACACAGCGACTGAAAAGATCTGGAGGCGATGATGGCGAAGATACATCGAAACAAGACATTGTCATCACTACCGGGACCGGAGAAGAGGACGAAAGCTACAACCAAAGCAGCTACACAGAGAACGCAGACTACGATGAGGACGAACTAGAGAGGGAAATGCTCGCCGCCTTCGAGAACGGTGAATACGACGAGAATGCCGAAGACGCAATTGGCGCAGATAATGGTTGATATTTCTTTTTCATTGTTTTCAGGTTAGTTGGTGGTATCATGTGATAACTCATGTACATTTTTACCTTGCATATGGAAGGCGTGATGGCAAGCGTGGGATTTACTTTTGACTCGCAATTTTATTATGAGAACTTGTCTTATCAGTTTATTACATTATGGCCAGTGTGGTATTCAATATCAGTAACACATTGGTATGAATCTTAAACTATCATACATCAGATAAGTTAATCAAGGGTCCCGAAGGTATAATCATAACGCGTGCATCCCATCAAACATGAGTGTATGGATCTAGTTGGAGAACTTGGAAGGAACGTCTTTTCTATACGTGCAAAGCAAGTCAGCCACCATTCATTTATTTCCTCCATAAGAGAATTGTAAGCAGTTGACAAGCGTGAACGTACCCAGTCACCTTCTCAAACAAGTTACGAGCACCGTCGGTAATCTTCTCGTTTGTGCTGCGCATCTTGGCAGGGTCGATTTTTCCTTGGCCGTATTTCTTTTCGGCGAAGTCGAGGCCTGTGTGCAGTTAGTATATACAATTGTATAAACTAAGAAAAAGAAAGGGCGACGTACCCTTGTCGACGTAGTCCTCGTTCTGGGGGTTGCCCTGTTGTTGTTGCTGGTTGGGATCCATTGTGATAGATATTTGAGTTGGTGGGAGGTAAATGTATTGATTATATTGAGGTTTGTGTCTAGAAAAGAAGGCAAGATAGGGGGAAATGGGTATTTATATTCGTGGCATGATATGTTTTTCTGGTAAATCGATCTGGAGGCTTAGACACATGTAGATCTCGACGTAGTAGACGACGTCATTGCGGGAGTCCAGCGTCTCGGCGGTCTGCCGCCACGTTGGGATGGTGGACACAGAGATACAGTGCACGCCTTTCCTATTGGATTATCGCTAGATCTTGGCCGAGGAGCTTTCAGGTGGTGTATCTAGAGCAAATCGCATGAGATGTGCCAAGGGAAAGGATGAAATTGCGTCGCGGGGAAGCTCGGCGATGACGTAGGTAGTAGACTTCTATTGGAAGTCCTGACCTAGCCCTAAATCTGGATGATATGTTTGATGAGGTATGAAAGTTATGCAGAACATGAGAATGGCAGGATTCAGTAGTTATTAGTGAGTCATCATGCTCAGGGCTGCTCAGGGTGCAACGTTGGGAATTTATACGAACTAAAATATGAATGTTCAGCCTACAAACTGCGTTGTAAGTAAGATCAATGATAGATGCTCAAGTACACAAACATAAATCATACAGTCATGGTAATACACATCCAGCCATGCACGAATAGATACAAAACACCGACTTCGCCTCTATTTACACCATACCAAACCCAACGGTAATACATTATGACACCTGACCGTCAGGAGCCAACCGATCGATCAATTAGCATCACGATGCACCTGCCACGACATGACCATCATCCAGAAATAAAACACAGTATTCACAAGTTCAAACGCAAATGCGGCTTTCCAGCAATTACCTATAAACATACACTATCAGCATCCCAGTGACTCTTCAATGAGAGTAGAAGTCCAACTTACATATATTATTTTGCGTCAACCAAGCCAAAGCTTCTATCGTATTCCCCTCATACGGCAAATTCGACACATAGTTCTGACAATTCGAATTGACATTTGCCTGAGCGCCGTAGAGCTGGAGACCAGTCTCTATCAGCCCCGTTAACCATAACGTGAATAGCAGGAAACTGCCGATGATTATTATGCCGGGGAGAAGGAATCGTTGGGCCGCGAGGATGAGGATGATGAGACAGAAGGCGACGCCGAGGGCTCCACAGACGGTCATGAAGGGGAAGAGCCTGTTATCAACCCTTGTTAGTTACGAGGGCTCAATCTTTGGGGATTGAACTAACGTACCATGGTGTTCCTAGGTGTAATTGTGATTGAACGACCATGAACCACGCAAATATTCCCAGGCATGTCCCCGATCCAGCGAGGACGGTGASGAGCCATATGTTTAATTGCAGTTCTGGCCATTGGTACCGCCTCCGAGCTGTTGTTCGTCTGTACGTCGGCATGCTGGATCAATATCGAAAGGATAACGCCGGAGCGTAAAAGAAATTCGTCGTCTGACTCGCCGGTACTTCACAGGCAGTTTGAAATAAATTTTGTAACGTTGTGAGGAAGATTGGGCTTATAACTCCTAGATATTTGCGTCTATTGTTCGGCGTTGTATATCTTCCGTTCAGCTTCGATTTGGGCGCAAACTGAAAGACAGCAGCGCGCTTCAATATATGGTAGACAAATATATGGAAGTCGGTAAATCCTACCCGACGGTAGCCCTGAACAACCAACCTTCAATTAAAAGTCTCCACGATGTGATCTGGCAGTGTTTGGTCTGTTATGCGAGCCACGTCTGGTGTCTCCGCACCTTAGGATTTAGCAGTATGTATGGTAATAGATAGTCAGTCCATCGCAGTCAGCCAGTGAAAGCGAATCAAATGAAGATGACGGTAGAGAATAAGATAAAATATAGAATTACCAATCATAAACTGCATATGCACGAACAAGAATATACAGAAAAGATAGAAAATTGATCATATTCAAGACGCAAAACAAACAAATCATCACCGCCTTCTGCCTGACCGCCTTATCGTTGCCTTAGCCTACGTTTGCCGAGTGGGGCAGTCCGCCTCTGTTTGGTTGGTCCCTGCGTTGCTATGCTGGTCTGAAGGACAACGATGAAGCTAACAATACGGACTTACACATAAGATCTTGCTAAATCAACATACTGAATTCATATGGTTATATATATTCATACTCCATTTCTTAGAGGATCAATCACAAAGTCCGATATACTACATAGCAGAGACCTCGAATCGGAAAAACAGCAATCGACCAGAAAGGATAAAAATTCAAGCAAACTAGGTTGGTATCTCATGTCGAGACGATCGTATCTCTTGCGATCTGCTCATTTGTGCTCACACAAGAAAGTGTTCTGGAAGTCGTAGACGCAACTTCTGCAATTGCCAGTACATTTTCTTCTGCAGTTCAGCAACACGTTGATAAGCTTACTTGGCCTTGGCGAGACCGACGGCACCGTTGCCCAAGTCGTAGACGCTGTACCACTTGCGAAGGAAAGCGTCTCCAAGAATAGCGAGAGGGCCAACAGGCTCAGGGAAGTCCATGCCCATAAAGGCGCTGATGCAAGATCCCTGGACTTCTAGAACGTAGTCAAAGGCGGTGATGGAGAAGTTGTATCCGCTCAAGGTGACAGTGAGGTCGGGGAGAGAGTCACGCTTAGCGCAGTCGACAGTGTATTGGCCGTTCCATGACTTGGAAGCACCGATTTCCTTGTTCCTAGAAAGATGTCAGCATGTATTATAAACTGTAATGATTAGGATGACTTACAAGAGCTCGGCAAGGGTGGAAGGAAGAGCAATGAGCGAAGTGCCAGTGTCAAGGATGACTCCAGTGTTCTCAAGCTCAGCAACATTATCGCCAAAAGCAATGGCGTCAAAGTCCACCTCCCAATAGGCCTTACGACGAAGTGGAATTTTGACCAATTCTCCAGTGTAGTGGCTCTTGTCAATACCACCAAAGGTGGCTTCGGAGTCGTCACCTTCCTTGTTGCTGTCGCCGAGATAAAAGGCAAAGACAGGCTCGTCGAGAGTCTTCTGGTTCAGCAAGTTATAGAAGGGAGGGACAATCTTGTTGACAGAAATGGTGTCGAAACCAAGACCCAAGATACCGTCAAAGCGGCCAAAGGCGAAAGCCAAGCCAGGCTCGTTTGTGGCCTCGGCAAAGTCTTGATCCTTGATGGAAAGATCGCCGATTGTCACAGTGTCGCGAGAAACGAAGCCCTCGAGACTACCTGAGCCGTACTGGATGGCAAAGTCGCTGCCGTTCTTCTTGTAGGTGGAGGAAGAGGACGAGTCGTACTTGCTGTGCAAGTAGCAAGCAATGGAGTTGCAAGAGGATGAAGGAACCCACAAGTTCGAGCTGCCGGTATCAAGGACAACCTTGAAGTTCTGAGGGGGGGTACCGATGGTGATTTCTGAGAAGTCTAGACGGGGTAATTAGCATCGGTTTATCGTCAAGACCATACGAGAGTATTACATACACTGAGCGTTCAGAAAGTTATCGACCAGCACATCGTGGCCGCCCTCGGGTTGGATGGAGGTGTCCTGGTACATTCCCTCAGGGACAGCACCCATGTACTTCTGACCCAGAGATCGCATGTGGTCGTTCATGCTGCGTTTATCCTTAACAAGATCATTGTAAGTTCAAGCCTATAGAGAAATAGAAGAAATGAAAGTAGGGATATCGTACAAATTGCTCAGACAGAGGCACCTTGTCCAGCTTGAGCTTGTGGACCTTGGCGGTAGCAGCGCCGACCAGCGCGGCGGCTGCGAGCACAGAGGTAGTCTTCATGATGACCAACCAAAGCTGAGTATCAAGTGAGTGACAGTGGATGAAAGCAGATGGACAAAGGATAAAGCTGGACTGTTTGTTATTGCTGATGGAAGAGAAGGGAGGTTGATGATGATGGGAGGATGATGATGGGGAGTTGATAAGGGAAGGGAAAGGTACGGAGTGAGAGATAGGTAGATAAGTGTAGGAGCTCCTCTCTGGGGTTTCGGGACAGTGGAAAGGCCGGTCGCAGGTGATGACGATGATGTGCTGGTTGCTGGAGCAAAGCGGGCCCCGGTTGGTCACGGGCTGGCAGGCAGCCGCCAAAACAGGAGATACGTACCAAGACCCCCTGCACCGCCAATCAGCGCCCAGTCTTCGTCCCGCAACCAGGGCGCCCTCGTGACTTGCTGGACACTGGACAGAAGCCGCCGAGGCACCAACTTTTCGGTGCCTGATCCTGTCTACGACTCTACACTAATTGGTCCTTGTCATGCATGCTATCTGCACAATAATTCAGACACTGAATATGCAGTGTATTGTTGCACATGAAGCATTGCACTCTGGGCAAGCTATCAGTATATCATCAGGAGCATCCAAATGACTCCTTTGATCTCGCCTCCCTAGCCAATGCCTCATCACGTACTACCTTAAACAACATTTGAAGACACATGATACTACGTACTACGTGAATATCACTAACTTCACAAGTATATCCACGTCTCCTCGGAATGACTGAAGTACGAATGCACGTTGCGCACATGTGAAGATGAATCTATGTATTGACGCTACAAGTAATCCCTGGACCATGAGAATATTGCTATCGAAGGCCAAGAAACTCAACTCAACATGCAAAGGAGCCGTCCCATGGTGCCTGCCTCACTTGTAGAAATCGAACCTAAGGAGCATACCAGTTAGTAAGCCTGACTTGGATACGCATACGCGAAAGAAAAGAGTGACATACTTATCGGCTTCCTGGCTAGTCTTGACTTGGCTGGAGTACGCATCTTCCAGGTCGGATTGAATGATGTTGTAACGGTTCTTTCGGACAGCACGTAGACCAGCTTCTTGCATGATAGCGGCAATAACGGCACCAGATAGAGGTTCGTTTCGAACAATCAACGAGTCCAAATCCACCTCGGGCGAAAGAGACATCTTAGCTGCGATGGTTGAGAATATCAGACGACGCTCTCGGCGGTCCCGGAGAGAAGGGAATTCAATCTTGCGGTCGAGACGACCTGGTCGAAGCAGGGCGGGATCTAATGTATCTGCTCGGTTGGTGGCCATGATAACCTTGACATTGCTACCTTGATCGAAACCGTCCATCTGATTCAAAAGTTCGAGAAGAATACGCTGCACCTCACGATCGGCACCTGTCTGTGCATCAAAACGCTTGGTGGCAATAGCGTCGATTTCATCAATGAAAATAATGGCAGGCGAGTTCTCGCGAGCCATTCGGAAGACATCGCGAACCATACGGGGTCCTTCTCCTAGGTATTTCTGAACGAACTCAGAACCGACGACACGGATAAAACTAGCTGTTGTGCTGTTGGCCACAGCCTTGACCAACATGGTCTTTCCGGTGCCTGGGGGACCATAGAGCAACACACCGCGAGGAGGATCAATACCTAAGAAGACTTGTTAGGTCTCGTAGCTAACTGTTAGTCGAAAGAAGGACCTACCGATCTGCTGATAAAGGTCTGTATGTGTAAGCGGTAATTCCACGGCCTCTCTGATCTCTTGTTTCTGCATATCCAATCCACCAACATCGGCATATGTGACATCAGGCTTCTCGTGCGCGCCTAGCATCGCGATGGACGAATCTGCTTCGGGAGGGAGAATATCGACGAGCGAGTTCGAGTGCCTGTGCAAAGCAACGGATGACGATGGCTTCAATTTCTCTCGGTCAAGGGTGGAAAGGATGCGGACGACGTAGTTGGAACCGGTTGACGACTGCACAATTCCGGTACTATCACAAATCTCACGTATCAGTATTTATGAGTCAACTCGAACTGCTGGTAACTCACTTCTGATCGATAGCTTCCATGAATTGACCGATCACCAAAGGAACACTTTGTATCCGCTTGATCTCTTCTTGGGCTCGTACTAATTCCCTTTTTAAACTCCTATAAGACAGAATACTTGTGAGAAAAGACCAGACACGATAGATACATAGCCGTCAACTAAAATGAACCACATACCTCTGCTCATCTTTGATGTACTCCTCTTGGAGATGGATGTACCTAGCTCATAATGTCAACTCTCGCCGCTCAAAAGAATCCTTGATAGCTTACTCTAAATGCCTTTGAAGACGCTTCAAGGTAGCATATTCATCGCCGCTGTCATTGCCGGTTCCCTCTAATGAATCTATGATGGGAACTGAGTCTGCTGGTGTAGGGCGCTTGTGGACTGCCACGCTGTTGGCGGGATTCTCGACGGCGACGTCAGCCATGACGGATGACAGGGGTCAGAAAGTCTCAAAAGGTCGTCGTTGTATGAAGTTCGTGCTTATTTTTAAATTAATCGACAAAGAAAAGAGTGGTGTAGATGACTGATGGAATGGTGTTGCTTGGTAAGATGGTGCTCGGAGCTTGGATGTAATCTAAGCAGGAGCTTCCCGACTCCAGAGCTTCACGACTTAGATGATTCTGAAGATCACGTGACCACGGTCAATCATAATAACGAATTCAAAATTTGCATTTTTTTCCCGAATCACGAATATTTCAAAGGAAAATTAGTGTGAAAATACCCATGCATGAAATCACACAGTAATTCTTGTTTCAGTTTTGAGTCCAACCTTGGGATATGAAGAGACACCATTTGGAGTTCAATCTTAGTACGAGTCTGGGCGACAAATATGAATAGATCTACGAACGGCTGAAACTGGAGACGTCCTGAACAGTCCAGCAGGCATATATTCACTGGTTTCGTACTTCGCTGACTGTTTCCATTGCCTTGGGGCATTTCCACAAGTCACTATCGAGAGGACACCCCAAGTCCGGGGCTGACCAAGATCTTCTATGCAGGCTATGTTGAAACTTAGAACGAAAGTCACGCAGGAAGGCTAAAGTAATTATGAACCCTGGGTCCGCATAACTCGTTCCTTTGGTGTAAGTTTCAATGTTGGCAGCGAGCCGAGGATTGCCGTACTTTCGTAGCCCATTTGTGATCGGCGCCTGATACGGAACCATACATGAAAGTACTATGTGTGAACCTACCTGACTCTGACATACCGTTTGTCATCTAGTTAGTAGCCGTGATGAGTCTTATCGGCGTTGCTCAATATGAGAAATTGCAAATCATGTATAGCTCAAGCACGCCCCTCACCGACCAAGCTCGATTGTTTGTTCTGTTAGTTTTCACACCATCTCTCCTGTCCTTCTCGTTTCGAATTGATCTCATTTCCCTTTTTTTCCAAAGATGAGATCGTTATAGACTAGCAATCAGCCCGTCCACGGTGGAATCGTACACAGCCGGACCACGTCTGGTAAGGCTGGACAAGTCGAGTGAGCCTGACAAGCAGTCATGGTGGATGCTCTCCTAGGAATCCTCTCGCATGACAGCAATGCGATGAGGTTATAACATAGACTTCGTCGTCGTGACATGTAGAAATACAGTGTCGGAGAGCAAAGTAAAGCTGATCGAAATAACACACTGGCTGGCAGGCTGGTTATAACTTCAAAGGCCAATTGGATGTCGAGAGACGACGGTTCAAAGAAGATTAGCGCATCGGAAATTACACTAACTATTTCCGGGATAGCGATAACAGCCTCGGTCACGCCAGGCAGCGAGGCCCCCAATGATCGGGGCGCTCATTCCAAGTTCTTTTTTCAAGAGTTTTCCTGCTTTTCCCGTGAAACCCAACCCGCTCCCATCGACCTCTGTTTCCCCCCGACTGTTCCTGTCACAGAAATAACGCTGCCCTGCTATCTCATTTGCTGTCATACTCTCTGGAGCACGCAGCTCCTGCTTATATATTTTTTTCTCCCGCGTTGGCCTTCCCTTGCGTGTACCGCAATTATCGCCCCCCCCCCGGCCACGCACCAGATTCGTTCTGAAATTATCATTCCCTTTAACCCTCTATTTCTCTCCACGGCCCTACCATTCCTGCGCCTCCACTTTCTCCCCTCCCCCAAAAAGGATAGGATATTTGGTGTTGCTCCATTCTGTCCTTAGACCCTTTTTTTATCTAAGGTAGGCTGCTTCCCCTGCCTCTTTCATCGCCTTATTGCTTGGCCAGATGGATCCTGGTGTCGCCTTTCACCTCAATTAGCCCGATGACCCGCCAACGCACTGGCCTTTTTATCAGCACAACACATTATGGGATGTACCTCAAATGCCTAATTGAATATGGATAAATGGATTGATTCTATTTGCTGTTGTTTATTTAAGTTACCAGAAATAATGCTGATCGAAACAAAAAGMAAGTCAAGAAGCGTCGATATCTGCTGTTCGGTCCATTCCGCTCGCAGCTACCGCCTTCCTCTCGTGCTTGCGCAGGTCCCGTGACTTCCCTACTTCCGCCAACTTGTCACACTTGTCGCTCAGCCAGAGCGCTATTTTCGGATTACCGAACGAGTCGTCCATCGCGCTCACTCGCACCACGGCCTTTATAGCTAAATCAACCTTGTCGGTATGTATTCATTCCCTTCTTCTTCTTTGAGTTCGTCCAGCCCGATATGCGCATGCCTCTGTTCGCTTAGAACTTCACGTTTAGTCGCGCCTGCCCCTTCCACCACTCTCTTTGTATTGCCCCGGTACCCTCTTGACGCGTCTAGAACATTTTTCGGCGTGACATCACTCCACTTCCAGTCAATGTTTGCCTGAAAGCTCTTTTTTGGTCGATCTGATGCTCTTTGGACGCGCTTCTAATAGCGATTGGCGTTTATCCTTGATGTCTTGCTGATCATTTGTTGTTCAGATGGGTTGGCCAATCCACACGACATGAATGCGTGGCTAACGGACGCCTCTAATATCCCCAACCATGACAATGGGACATTTAATGGGACCATCGATCCATCCATGGCTTTCCTCCAGCCATCGCAGGCTCCCCAAGACCCTGCTCAATTCCAGCGCATGTTCCAGAATGGAGTCCCTCGCAACGCCTCCCCCGGCTTTCACAATCCTAACCAGGTGATACCGTCAAAGCGGCCGAGACCTGAAGATGGAATACCTATTTCTCCAAGACAAGCGCCAGGCGGAGTGCCAGTGTCACGTTCTCAAACACCACAAGTTTCCTATTCAGGTTATCAAGGGTCGGCGAATGGAAACCCTCAATTTGCGCATCCGACGGCTTATCAGCATCTCCAGCAGCCACAACAACGAGGCCCAATAAACACATCACAGTCTCCTAGTCTGCAAGAATTCGACCAGCACGGCGTTCAAAAGATGCAGACCTCGTCCCCCAGTCCTTTCTCTCCTGCAGGTCCTGTAGCAAATCAAATCTCCCCACCCCAATCTGACCACGGAAGCCGAGTCAACACACCACAAAACAACACTTACATACAGGGACAGCCTTTTCCTCAAGGGATAGCCCCTCAGTTCACACAGCAAGCGGCTATGACATCGGGCGCGACCCCGGCTACTATGCAAGCTCAAATGGCCAACATGCCGCAGGGTTTCTCGCCCCAGGCTATGGCTGCGCAGCAGCAACGGCTCTATCATATGCAACTACAGAATCAAGCCCGCCAGATGCAAGTCAACAATCCTGCAATGGTAGGCCGTCAGAACAGTGCAATGAACCCTATGGTCAACCCTCAAATGGCTGCCTTGCGCCAGATGCAGCACAACATGGCCCAGCCCAACATTTCTAAAGCCAACAGCCCGGAGATTTTCTTGAAAACCTTGCAAAAGTTTATGATGAATCGCAACCAGCCTCTGGATCTCAATCCCGTTATAAGCGGTCGACCTATCCACCTGATGCAATTGTACGCCACTGTAATGAAAATGGGCGGTTCCAAAAAGATATCGACTACCAATATGTGGCCGGCAATCGCGCAGGCACTACAATTCCCTCCCCAGCAATATCCAAATGCCGCTCTAGAGATCCGCGACATTTATGCCAAGAATCTTGCCGCCTATGAACACGCTATCATCATGAGTAGCCATCAACAGAAACAAATGGACAGCATGCAACAAAATGCGCTACAGCGACAGTCTACTGATCCCAACTCAATGCAGTTCCAACAATCTCCCGTCAAAGCACTTCCAGAGTTCGGAGCTCAGGGATCCGAGCAATTCACCCAGTCACCTCAGGTCACAGCGACTTTGTCGAACAGTATGCCGGCAGGTGCTACAAATGGCATTGCAACCCCTCAACAACCTCGACAAGCTAAGCAACAAACACATCCGCAACAGCCCCAGCCGCCCCACGGTCAATCAAACCAACGAGCGGGAGTTCATCGCCAAGCGCAGATACCAGCTTCCCCGGCCGACCCATCTTTGCAGGCGCAAGTTGCGCCACCTGGAGCCTCAGCTAAATCAGTCGCTGCTACGGGGAAGCCCGCAGCAGAACAAGAGGCGGCCCCTGCCAAAACCATCAAACATCACATCGATAAGACTTTTAAAGCAACTGTGCTTCCGGACAATCATAGGCATGGTCCTGTGGTAATAGATGAGATCTACCAACTCGGCGAAGAAATCACAAGGTTAAAGCCTAACGTACCCTCCTTTCCCGAGTTGGGAGTGATTGATATTCATGCTCTGACCATGAGCATCAAGTCTGGTATACATGCTGAAATACGAGTGGCTTTGGATACCTTAATGACCTTATCCTCTGAAGCTTCAGTTCTTTCTTTGGATAATTGCGATGATCTTGTGGAAACCTTAGTCGATTGTGCGGAAGAACAGCTCGATTTGCTTGCGGAGAATGCAGCCGAGGTTTCCGATGAAATGTTGCTGCCGTCCTACGAAGAGGTGATTCGCGGCTGCCACGTAGAGATGGCGTCGCTTCTAAATGTTCCAGAATTTGGCAGTTTGGGCTACGAACTCGATCGAGCCGCTGATAGGGTGCTTTGTATCACTGCGCTACTCAGGAATTTCTCGTTTTCGGAATCCAATTTCAACATACTGGGAAGCGCTCCAGTCATTACAATGTTCTCTACGATCATTAGATATTTGGGCACCCGCAATATGTTGTTACGTACCAACCAGAATATTTTGGACTTTATGAAAGATACCGTCACATATTTGAGCAACATCGCTCAAAGCGTTCTGTTGCCGGGCAAAGAAGAGGCATCTTGCTTGCTTCATTTTCTTCTATCCTTCGCGCCACTGCCGACTCCGGTGCTCGGCCCAGACGGTGTCACATTCACTCAATACTCGCCCTCCATACATAAATATACACCGGCCGCAATTGATGGTTTGGCCAAGCTTCTTGCCCGCGATGAGCCGAATCGCATGTATTTCAAGGCAATCTTCCAGGAATCTCCGTGTTCTCCTCAGAATGAATTGCTCACTCGTGCATTTGGTATGGCTATTTGTCCTGTGCCTGATCAACCACGGAAACCATTGTCATTTGCAGATGCCCGGAAAGTCTTTCTCATGCAAGGGCTACTAGCTGCGGAGATTCTCACGAGTCTTGTTGATGGTATTACCGCGCGAACATGGCTTCAGTCAACTGACAGATTCGCTATTCATTTGTTACGACTATGCTGTCTGCTCAGCACTGACCGCCTTGCCATGCCACCAAACCCTCGTCATCCACAGGCGCGAAACCAACCAGACCCTGAACACCATGCTTATGTATCCATAATCAACCGCGGCTTAAGCATTCTTCGAAAGCTTGCCGAAAAGTCTAAACAGGAAGACTCCCTATCCGGACGACCTTTCCCATTAGGCGTGTTGCCCAAACGAGAAAGTCTTTTAGGTGCTTTGTTAACACCAAATCTAGAATCTAGCGTGGTGAAACAGTTGATTGCATATGCAGGGTTGGGGGAGTAATTTCGAGAAGAAAACCATGTAACTTGATAATTTCTTTTCTTTTTGTCGTGATTCATCCGATCTGATTGATACCTTTGTGTTGAATATTCCTTTCTGACCTGTACCTTTAAAATTGCAACTGTACCATTGGAACATCAGACGGTTGGGGGTGTCAAGTGTCGTTTGATCTTTGCAGCACTGATCACTGTCTCTTTACCAACATGAGAAAATATGATGGCTATGTTTCACGTGCCCGTATTTAAATATTTGGCTACGTTTTCTACGATTGTTCTCAAATCTGCACATGACCTAGATCAATCAAGGTATGTAAGTACTACGTATGTACCATATGCACTATAAATAAGCTCAAGGACAGTTCAATGACCTCCCGAATAACACATTATCTTATGAATATCTGTTAATAATCCTCCTGGTCACTACTTCAGAAGCAGAGCCAGACCATGAAACTTTTTCGCGCAAAAGAGGAGAATTGGTAACATCGAACAAGCCCTTGAGAAAAAGAAGACGAAGAAAGATGCAACCATAAATGTACAAGTTCGCGACGGAAAGAATACAGTCGGGCCAACAAGCAAAACGGTAATCAACAGATATGCAAGTAGAACGCCGAAAGAAGAAAACGGAGACGAGCAATGGAATATGCAGAGCGTAAAGGGAAGAAACGTGATTTAATGAAATACATAGGAGGTTGAGAAGAGAAACAGGATGTGTCGGGTGTCTCGTGTCGTCCCCTAGAAGTGTCCAGTTATGTTTCGATTTTGTGTCGTCCGATTTAAAAATTCCGATCGATCAGGAACTTTTGAATCTCGTCTTTGCGCCAACCCTGTCAGAAAAGTTAGCTAAGCACTTTCTGGGAGGAACCCCTGACCTCCACATACCTTGACAATGATATGGCCAGTCGTCGAATTAATCGTCACTTCAGGCTTCTTTGACCCAGTCTCCAAATTGAGGGCTGTGGCAAGATCTGACTTAAGCGCTTCCAGGTCACCCTCCGTCTTTTGAATTTTTGTCAATCGTTTCGTTCCTCCAGCCTTCGTCTCGAGATATACCGGTAATTTGTTGGATGGTGTGCGCCTGACGAAATAGGGTAGATTGGTGAGCTGCAATGGTGTAGGCTGTGCTTGGGCTGATGGCGCTTCAGCTCCAACTGGGGAGATAGGTGGTTGGGTCGATTGTGTGCTGGCCGGGAACTTGCGGACGAGTTTTGCGAGAAATGTTCTGGTTTGTTGGACTGGTAGCGGCGATCTAGGTGATGATGGATTGAGGGAAAGTTGCTTTGCGATTCCATTTCCTGGTTCTTTGTCAGTGACTCTTTTCCTCTTTATCTTTTTGCATCGCTTTCTCGAAGAAGCTTCAGTCGCAAACGGGGTATTGATAGATGCATACGGGTTATTAAACGCCAACTTTGATTATGGAGTGATGAAAATCGACGAATTGCATTGACTGTAGATAATTGATGCCGCACTGTAGACATCGCAGTCGATGATCTTGTGAGGGAAGCCATTGCTGTAATTTGATAGCTTGTCTTTTCTGATTACGCGAAATCTGAAAAGACTCTCCCTGTGTTTTCAAACAGGGACTCGCCTTGAAAGAACAAAAATCAATCACCACTGAATCGATTCTTGAGGTGTAAATTGTCGACCACCTGTTGGGTCTTGTATGCACTATGATATGATCATATGTCTGACATCGTCGAGCAAGTTTTCCCGCGCCGCCGAAAAGTCCAAGTACTCCAGCGCTAACCCTGTTCGGTCCTAGCGGCGCCGCAATCTTTCCCACTCACTTTTTCGCCAGTAAAAGTGTCGCACATTCAAAACGACCGTAGGCTAAGTTGGGATCCCCTCCTTCAACCCATTTTTTCCCATCCACGTCCCTTATCAGCCCGGTCTCTCGCTGTCACAACCGCCAGAGCACCTCCATCATGGCAGACAACGCTCCCCCGTCTGCAGAGACGCTCCTCAACGGCGCTGCTGCCCACCCCCCCAAGACCGCCGAGGAAATCGCCAAAGAATACGATCTCCTACCCAAGTTGATACCCTACCTCGACCGTCACTTAGTTTTCCCTCTCCTCGAATTCATCAGCGGCCAGGATGACGACAACCTCGAGATTACCCGCTCGAAATATGAACTGCTCAAGCACACGAACATGACGGATTATGTTGCCAATCTGTGGCAAGAGATCAACAACTCAGATACCATTCCCGAAGAGTTCGTGAAGAAGCGAGAGGGCGTTCTTGCCAAGTTGCAGCAATACCAGGAAGATAGCGAGACGATCACAGAGCTTTTGCAGGATGAGGCGGTTGTTGGAAACCTTCGCAGCGACAAGGTTGCCAACTTGAAGTTTTTGGAGGAACAGCATGGTGTTACCGTCGAGATGGTCAACACTTTGTTCAACTACGGCCGATTCCAATACAGTTGCGGTAGTTACGGAAATGCCGCAGAGTTGCTCTATCAGTTCCGTGTTTTGTCTACAGATAACGACAAGGTCTCGTCTGCCACATGGGGAAAATTCGCTTGTGAGATCTTGACGACCAACTGGGAAGCCGCCATGGAGGAAGTCCAGAAAGTCAAGGATTCGATCGAGACTCGCTTGTTCAACAACCCGCTCGGACAACTTCAACACCGCTCCTGGTTGATCCACTGGTCTCTTTTCCCTTACTTCAACCACGAACCCGCTCGCGACGTTCTTACTGACCTCTTTTTCTCCCCCGCCTACATTAATACCATCCAGACCAACTGCCCATGGATCCTCAGATATTTGGCTGCCGCCGTTATCACGAACCGAAGCCGCGCTCACAAGAACACCAGCATGTACCAGAAACAACTGAAGGATTTGATCCGTGTTGTTCGTCAGGAAGGTTACGAATACTCTGACCCCATCACGGACTTCATCAAGGCCCTTTACGTCGAATTTGATTTTGAGGAGGCTCAGAAGAAACTCGGAGAAGCCGAGGATGTGTTGCGCAGTGATTTTTTCTTGGTGTCAGCCGCAGATGCCTTTGTCGACGCAGCTAGGCATTTAATTTCAGAGAGCTACTGCAAGATCCACCAACGTATCGATATCAAGTAAGTTCTAAGCATCAATGATCGCACACTTTTTGATTGGGAACTAATTGATTGCTCTAGGGACCTATCGACCCGTCTAGGCTTGGGTCAAGACGAAGGCGAAAAGTGGATTGTCAATCTTATTCGCGACACCCGGGTTGACGCAAAGATTGACTACAAGGAAGGAACGGTCATTATGAACCACCCCCCTCAATCGGTTTACCAACAAGTCATTGAGAGGACCAAGGGTGCTTTCTTCAGGACTCAGGTTTTGAGGTATGTTACTTTCATTTCGATTCGTTATTAGGGTCCTTTGTTTCTGACTATCGGTATAGTGCGGCAGTTGCGAAATAAGACCAAAAAGTCTAAAAGCGATGATCCAATGGTCCATTAACGGTTGATTCGGTTGAAAACACTCAAGATACGGGGCTTCCATTTCAGGCAGGAGGCCGGCGTTCAGGTTGTCTCTTCTAAGTTGTCATGTAAAATTCCCTTTCTCAAATATGCCCTTCCCATAGCCTTTGCATTACACTGAAGGAGGCGGAAGTTCCGCTGTAGAAAACCCTTGAGAAAGCGATTTGGTATGGCGATCTCTAAAGGTATCGGGAAAGTACACATTCATGTATTTCCTTTAATGATGAAAATCTTCTTTTCTTCTGATGTTAGAGTGATATCTGGTTTGCTTGTCCTATTGATGGCGACAGGATTAGATTATCTCGAGATGATGCATTGACGTGGATGATGTATGTCGACATGGTTTTATGAGGATACAAATATAGACATGTCATGAATCACATATAAATGATATATAAATGATTTTTACAGTAGAATCAATATGGGACACATCAATATTGTTCAATGTTAGATGCAGTATGATAAGAGAGAGATTAAGATTTCGGGGGCGATCCTCTACAGCGAAACCTCTTATAGCTACATAGCAAATTCCTATTCTGGAAGGTGGCACTACTCTGGTCTTGCAAGAAGACAGAGCGATACCGCGTGCTTGGATACCCTTTCGTCATGATCATCGAAACTCCTGTTAGAATACAGCAGAACCTGACTATGGTTAAGCAACATAGATCCAGTCTATCCATGTCTAAGTCTTGTATCCAGAGATTCCACTTCGAATGTGAGGGGGGAACACTCTTCTGCCCATGTATAAAGAGTACCCTATGTCATAGGCTCACATAACTCATAGCATAGACTCAACAAGCCTCAAGATTTAAACATGATGAAAGAACCTATCATGTATTTGCCAAAGATGAAAAAACTTAGTTGGTACCTAGGTAAACATCGGCTGTTACTCTAAATATCCAAATCTACCAACAACGTCCGTATACTTATGGAGCACTTCAGGGCACAACAGCTTCTAGTCAGTAGTTACTCCAACTACATCGTTTGATGAACAAAGAAGTCTTGAGAAATAGCGAATCAGATGTATCTATCAAAACTTAGAGAAATAACTCTGCGGCGACGCAGTACCCGTGGTTTGCAACCAAGCAAGCTCCGAGTGTTGCTCTACGAATCGCAAAACCCTAGCACACGGACGGCTGAAATTAGGGCTTCCTTGATCACGGATTCATGCTGCTTGATTTCCGGCCGAGCCAATGATTGTGCAGAAAATGACTCACGATTTTCTTGGCTTTGATTGATTTGTGGTAGTTCGSGAGCTGATTCGTGCTACATTGAGTGAGGCTGAATTCTTGAGTCATGATTTGTCAAATTGTCAGGTACATCTGGGGCAGAGTTTGACCCCTTTTTCTTTCCGGAGGCTCTGCCGATGGATCTAGATCTCGAAATCACGGAAAACCGCAGTGCCCACCGAGACTTCAGCCTGCGAGTAGACTCTATAAAAACCTGAGTAATTTCCTTTAAAATGCTTACTCCACCAAACAATAATATCCTAGATCTCATCAAAAGCCTGCTCCATCATGGCACCTTCCAAGACAATCCTCTCACTGTTCATGCTAGTAGCAACAGTCTTCGCCGACTGTACTACCCACAGCTTCACTCATTGTGCTGACGGAATCGTGCACTGGTACGACCCCAACACCGGCGAAGTATGCGATCCTCTTGATTGTGGCGGTGGTCGAGCTCCGCCGAAGACCGATGTACCTGGATGCCCCCTCTACTCCGGCACAGCAGTACGCACAACCTCATATCTCTCTTGCTGGACGCCCTCGATCGCTGCATCCGCGACAATAGCGTCGGTTTCTGCTACATCTACTACTGTTTCGGCGTCTGCAACCTCGACGACCAGTTCGGCTCCGGGATCCTCGGCCACATTGACCGGCTCAGCTTCTGCATCTTCAACAGGTAGCTCGACCGGAGCTACGACCGTCCTTGTCACTTCATCTGAAGCCAGCACCATTCCTGCGACTACTCCTGCACCGTCTATTTCTTCGGCAGCCGGCAATAATGGAACAAGCACAAGTGGTGCCGCGGTACCAACAAAATCGACTGATAGTAAGGCGGGTAAGATCCTAGATGGATTGTTGATGGCAGTTGCTGGGGCTGCAATTGGCGCTATTGTCCTCATTTAGAGCTTTGTTAGACGGCCATCGGTGTCTGGGAAGACGGTTCAGACTTTCTTTTCAAGATTGTATTATTATAGTGACATTATTGTTTGCCATGTACAATATATATGTCTAGCGCTCCTTATATCAATTCCTAATCTTTCGGTCTATGGTCCAGTCTGCTTCTGAGTTTATTATGTATGGGCAGATCGAGGTTGTGGCGCCGGAGAGAACCAGTGTCCACACATCCGACACATGGGTAGGCGATTGGGTTACCAGGGATCATATTCTCGACGTATTATACGTTTGGACGTAAATGAGGCTGCAATGGAAGATTCATGCGCACTATTAGAACACTGAAAGACTTTCCCGAGAGGGTGAAACAAAAAGCATGGAAGAAGAAAATGAAAGGTTAAGCAAGATATAACTGACTGGTCAGTTATAGCATCAGAATGATACAGACAAGGGCAAAAACAACCAGGCATAAACTTTAGGTATCAAACTAATCACGAGACACAAATGATGTAGACGATAGAAGAAAAAAAAGGAGCCGAAATGGAAAGTACTAGATCAACGATCTAGTTACGCTTCATGGCGTTCTGCGTATGCAGTTTTCCTGTCTGTTGAAGACATACTCCATGACAATAGAGTAGTTGTAGTGGGGCCAATATTGACCTGACCATCTCAATGTAGCAACCTACCTAGATAAGCTAGGTAGATAGCTTCATTGGGAGATTCGTCGGTGTTGGAATAACTATGATCGGTACTGTTGATCCCAGCAAAGAAATAACAGAGAGCCGTCCCTTGTTATTGTTATACAGAAGCATCTGAAAGAAAAAGTATCAAGACTTGCAGCAAAAAAGTTTTGCTGACCAAAACCGTTTGTGCAAGTCTAAGGTCGTGTCGTATATGCTCAGCGAGCTCGACGTGTATCAAAGCGACGTGGGTTCCTGCGAGCCTGAGGTCGCTGATGAACCGGAATAGGCTCATTGATATAGGGCTCTGATGCTTGTCCGGAACAAGAATTATCCAAGCCTGCGTGCGTAGTCATTCTGGCAGCTTCTTGCCGTTCATATTCTCTGGACATCACAGCTAGGTCGTTGATTTGCTCCTAGGGAACGAAGTATCCCATCAGCAACCTGCATCCCTGTCTGTGATGGTGATTGTCACTCACTCTTGTTAAAGGCATTCCATTGATCAGATAGCCTTCTCGTCCCTGTGACGGGTTAGAAATCAACATGAAACCGACGGTATGGGCGCTCCGTTCGTTACCTGGTATGTAAAAGGTCTTGCTGAAGCACTCGGGCCAAGGAAGTATTGTATATGTCCAAGAACGATATGGCGAGATAGACCAAAGCCCGGAAGCCAGTATTGTTGTTCACGAGCAGCCGACATTGTGTGTTGATACCGATACTTATGGTACTTTGATACAAGGCATGTATATTCGCCAGCTAGAGTATTGTATAGTGTTGTATCAGTTGTGATTCAGGAGTTTGGTGTCTCAGTGTCAAGGTCGTAGTGTACTCAGGAAGAAAAGCCGCCGTACGTTTGGTGAGTGCATAAACACGATGATATAAGATTGTCTAGCTTACTGGGATGGCGCTCCTTAGCACAGGCCCCAGGTATCCCGACTACGCTCTCGAGTCCCACAATAGCATAGTGTGCTAAGAATTGCTACAGAAAAACAAATCATAGCCTGGAAGACTGAAGTATTACATACAGCATGTAATTCTCCATTCGACGTAGTCCGGAAATAGTTCATACTAGCCCTGAACAGTTCAGCTTGTCGAGAAAGTAAGTTAGATTCTGATCGTCTTGATCGATCCTAAGATGTGCAGTGATGTTGCATCTCCGCAAGTCCAATTCCGGTGCAGCACGGTGATGCCCGCCCTCACATCTGGATTTCTTACCAATAGAGGAGAATAACGCAATGAGAACTATATTAAGGAGTGTTCCTCTTCACTGTTCTTCTCAATTCTATTGGGGTTACCGCATCGGAGAGCAAGCTGACTTGAGAGAGTGAGAGAGGGGGGCCGAGATTAAGATACGACCGATGATGTTCCGCCTCACTTTTCTCTTCCCCCTTTCACGGCAAAAAAAGTGAGGCTAGCCTACTAGCCTGTTTTCTCAGTGGTAGCGAATTGCCATTGAAGTACCGAGTACGTAGGTAAGCACTCAATATTCGCCCTGTCACTGGCTCTTTCATTTGGGCTTGTCTCTCTTTTCCTTATTGCGAAAAGTGGCCGGTGGACACCGAAAGATGCGCGGTGCGAACAGTGGGACTCAGACTCCATGTAATACTCTCATTAACATGCACCAGATTCCTGCCAGGACTGGCGCTTGCATTCGGATTTTTGGCTGCATGCAAGCGCCCCAACGTCAAGTGCGATTGTCGTGGCCTCCCCAAGTCCAACAACAGTGCCGAGTTGCATCTCTCCCGTAGATACTTGCATCTCGTAATTACTGGATTTTCGGTGAAGAGGCTGTTCGTTTCAATTGACCTGCCCGGGCATTGCGATGTACTAGATGTTATGCAGTGCTCTCAGAGTGTACAATGTGTTGCGTGCGTGGTGTAGAAGGAATGTAGTTGGGCGGATTTCGGCTACGGCCACGAGACTTTCTACTGCAACTCGCCGGATTAGTCCACCTGCTTCTCTCAACTACTCAACGACTAAACAATTTATTTGTTGGATATCTTCATCTTCCCCAACAAAGTCGGTGGATTCATACAACAAAGAGACATGGCTTAACTTACCCCGAAGCAACATACAGACGGGCCCTACATGTACGTGTCTTCAGACCGAACCAGACAGGACTGGACCGGTCTCGACTCACCGACCCTCAGTGAGTATCTCACAGAGTCTGTCTTCTGTCCTTGCGTCTGAAGAAAAGCGGTCTGCAGGCAGTGTTACCACTTTCAACGACGTACTTCATGATCAGTACACTGTATAGGTGACTTGTACAGCTTCGAGGTCGAGACCGTGGAGAAGGCTGCTTCCACTTCATCCGGATGTTATAATTCTAATTTCAATTTACTCACAATCGGATCCTCTCCATGCAAAGAGATTGTTTCCAAACCTTGCCTAGTTACAAGGACAGCCCGGACAAGCCAGAGCGGAAGGTTAGTTACATGAATGCCATCTCGGTGATCGACAATGTGTACCAACCACCAGTGTAGCATATATGAGATTGTGATAACGGGCGTGCTCCGAACATATGATCCTCAGCCAAGGCTCTTTGTCTTGTCCTACTCCTGGCAAGTTTGACCACTGGGTTTCCCTTGCTACGTGACCCACCGAGTCAATCGATCCTGTCAAAGTCGGCAAATTGTATGCCTAATGATCTAGTGCTATCTTTTAAGGCGACGTCGTAGATCTCGAATGACTGATATGAACTCGAATTGAGGTCCAAGCTCCAACGTGTCCTATCAGATTTGTTCTGCTCGGTGCTAGCCTCGGAAAATAGAACACTGGTGTTGCTCGTCTTTAACCCTACACTATCTATATAGTTTCAATAAACAAGGAACTAGCCATCTTAGCCTCCCAAAATCGCGCCTCGACGGTAGATCTCAAGCCTCACACCTATGCCTCGTGATGTCGGTGGCAAAACGCCTCATCTTCGGCGTTGATATCACCTCCAAGCTCGCCCTAAAGGCTAGAGGCTAAAGGCCCATCTAGCTTGATCTAGTATATGAACAAGGATAGACCCGGTTCGTCAGGGAGCACACCAGAAATACAACGATCATCCATGTCCGGAGATTGAGATGAACCCGAGTGCCACATAGATGTCCCTTGATACTAGCACTGTCACCAATGCAATAATGTGATATCGACCCTGGTTATGGAATTGACCTGACTCGTCTTCAGTATTCTCACCGGTAGCAGCCAGTCAATGCCGAAGCTAGGGAGCTTGTAGCTCCGTGGCACGTTCTCTTACTCGTGCATCGGCTCCCAGAAGACTGGTATCCATCGCAGGGGACTCCATGCTCATATGACACACCCACAATCCATAGGAATAGTAGTTCAAGCTTACGCGCTCATAAAAAGAGGAAATGTCTCATTATTATCTATTTTCATCACTCATACTCGAACGTAACAAGTCCGCGCCAGGCCCAATACCTACTCTGGAGGTACGTAAGGCTTGACTAGCATTTCGCTGAACCTATAGATTGATTAGTATCACTCTGTTTGCCGTATAAAATAGGATGGAGACATACTTCTCGAGCTTCTCCTTCCCTCGTACTTCCTCCACCAATAAGGGCATCCTGACCACGTTGAAGTCTTCGTACAGCTCTTCAATCTGTTCTAGATACTTCTTCTGCATCTTTCTGCGCGCATTGCATTGTTCACAGGGGTTATCCTTCTTAGGGAACAACAACTGGTTGACGACGATAGCATGTGTGTCGATTTGATAACCGGTCAATTCCTGAATCATTCGTTCCGTTTCGTACAACGACAAGAATTCTGCGATGCAAACACAGACGAATGTGGTCATATCGGCATTCTTGAATTGTGTGTTGACTTCACTGATAGTTTCACGGAGTGACTCCATCTTTGACATCAAATCATCAAGGTTCTGTCCACCTGGTAATCCGCCTCGCGAGCCCAGAATAGAGTTCAGCATGGGTCCGAATTGGCCTGAGAGCTGAGAAAGCTTGGCCAGTGCCTTTTCGAGTACGGTAGGAAATTGTAGGAAACGAAGGGTGTGACCTGTAGGCGCCGTATCGAAGACGATCACTTCGTATGAGAGAGATTTTACTTGTTTCAGGACCTCGGCAAATGACATGGCTTCGTCTACACCGGGAATCTACTCAACCAATCAGCCTGTGTTGGAGGTAACAATCCCCTACATGAGCAAAGGGGATACTCACACTGAAGGCCAAATCCTGCATCATACCGCCCATTCCAAGTCCTGCCAACGGATCCTCCTGTGCCTCTCCGCCAGAAGCCAGCAAATCCTGAATACTGCCATTCGGATCAATCTCCATCGCACTCAAATTTGTGAAGCCATCGACCAAGCGCGCTTCCTTGCCAAATTTTTGACCAAAGGCATCGCTCAGATTGTGTGCGGGATCCGTTGAAATGAGCAAGACGGACTTGCGGACTTTGGAGAGTTGGATTGCGAGAGAGCATGAGGTGGTGGTTTTACCGACACCACCTTTGCCACCGACAAAGATCCATCGGAGGGTCTTTTGGTCGAGGATGGATTGGAGGGTGGGCTCGAGAGCTTCGTCGTCGTGGATGAGAGCGGTCGACGACATGGCGGGGTATCAGACGTTCGGCGTGATAATGTGACAGGAGTTAAGAAGATAGGAGAAGCGCCTTCTCAGAAAGATAGTCGATACGGATATAAGCTTGGGAGAAGAGGTTGTTCTGAGCAGGGCGTCGGATAGGAGAAGGAGCTGGCAACTTGGCTAATCGAAGTTTCCGGAAGATGTCACAACAATCAATCAACTCAGATTGTGGGGTAGGCACTTGCCTAGGTACAACCTTTAATTGTTTTGCAGCTTCACAAATTATTTACAGAGCTACTACATAGTACTGTTGAGCAAATCAGTCCTCTTACTACTACTTATTGTCATCTGAACATATATAGAAAATATATTTGCTGATGCATATGCATCCCCCTATATGGTACTCCACTACCGGAGCTCTCAGCAAGCTCCTATGGCGGGCGGCGATTTCCGATGACCGTTTGCGATATATATATATATTGCTTCCCGCATGATTGATTGATCGAACTCAATTCATTCCACAAACTTCACAGACCTCATGGACGCAGAGACTCACTCATCCAGAACCGGAGAACGTCTCATACTCTATCAGCGCCATATCAGCGATTCAGCCAGATCAATTGATAGCCATCACCATCAGCGAGCGCAACAGTCACATGCAATCAACGTCATGGCTCGCAATCCAATTACCTGTCACGTCCTCAACACTCTGACTGGAACACCAGCAACGAATCTACCCTGCACATTGACCCTCTTATCCTCCGATAATGCAACTAAGAACGCCGCCACCGAACATACCTTCACAGCCACCACAGACTCCGACGGAAGAATCAAGACATGGAGCCCATCCACTGGTTCCTCAAACTCTAGAACAGTCGCCTCTATCTTACAGTCGCTACCCACACCGGATTCCAAGACGAATTGGTCTATCCGCTTTGACGTTGGACCCTGGTTTGAGGCGCAGGGAGTAGAGAGCTTCTGGCCGGAGGTGGAGGTCAAGTTTACGGTGCGGGGACGTGGTGTTGAAGGGGAAGAGGGCTGGAGGCATTATCATGTACCTGTTTTGCTAGGACCGTGGAATTACTCCACATACAGGGGGTCCTGAACGACCATCTTGTAAGAGAAAAAAGTTTAATGAAATGATAATGCTACTCCCGTATATTCCTGATATCCACATCCGTAGACTTACAGGCAAAAAGTCAATCATCAAAGTGTTGAACGCTAAACCATGATCTATGCACACAACTTTTCCTGATGCAAACTATATCGTGCTTCTATAGACAAATGCAAAGTAGAAGGGGTATCGTTCAAACAAGGGCTGAGAAGTAAAAAGATAAAACTTGCAGCTGAACCAAGAGGCCCAAAAAGAAAATTGTTAAAGGATTCCCGGCAGTGGTGGATGACTCATTGCTTATCACCCTCGAGTCGATAGTCAAGAGACCATATCTTCTCCCATGGTCTTAGTCTTGATGGTCGCTTGCTCGGTGAAGACGCACCGGAGTGTAAGTCATCTAGCTCTGCTCGTACGACTGGAGACTGTGGTGCAGCCTGGAATTGTTCAGCAGCCTGTGGATCCGTCAGTGCATCCAGGGACTATGCAAGTTGGGAGATCTCGGGCTCAAGATTTCCGCTGGTATAAGTCACGGCGAACCTCGTCAAATATGGGGTCAGATTCCCTGGGCTGGACCCCGGCATCTGCATCAGCAGGCTGCACATTGTCCCCAACCGACTCTGCTGCGGCCAGCGTTGGAACCGGCGTTCCTTTCTTTGAGGCAGAGCTATTCCTACGACTGTCCAGGCTCTTCGTCAAGGTCTTAGCTACATTGCCTCCAGCAGCGGTCCGTTTGAGTCGAATAGACCCTTTGGCATCGACGTGTGCGGAAGCAACCGTGCTTTTTCCTAGCCCTGGGGTACTGGGAGCACCTGGTTTCTCCTCGGTTGCATCTAGAAGGTACCACCGCAAGCCGTCAGATAACTCAAATGGATTCTCATCATCGAACGAAGTCCCGTCACTGGTGATGGAACGACGGTCCTGATTGCCGCCATTCATGGATCTAGACAGGTCCACGACTCGCTCTTCTATCTTGCCGATGCGGGCTAGCAACCAATCTCTGGTTGTTAATTTATGGGCATCCTGCTCCCGCAAGAAGTAATGTGGTGCGCCCACATTGAATGCAGCCCAAGAACGGATTGCTTGATTTCGAGTAGGAAGGAAGAGTGCTAGGTCGCCCTCCTTGAAAGATCGATAGGCAATCTTATCATGCGCTTCGCTTTGTGTGCGGTGATACTTGTCGCGATAGTTTCGGGCTTCCTTCTGCCACTTCCGCGCTACGATTTCAATTTCTTTCTCCCTCTTCACCACCGCTTCGCCGAAGACTTCGACATCAAATTTCGCCATCGAGTCCATAAACTCCTTGAACTTAGCATCTTCATAATCTGGTTTGTCATGTAGCCAGGTCGAAAGAGTTGGATCTGGTCGAAGAGAAGCCACTGTTGATGAAGCTAGTAGATCTCCCGAAGCAGAGGCGCTATTGACTTTGGATGCCCTTTGCACAGTGAGCGTATCGTCCGTTTGGACTACGGCGAAGCCGAGCTGTTCCAGCATATGTCCTATACTCCCAGCCTGTAAGAGAAGTCGTTGCGACACCTCGTAAGCTTTGCTTCCGCGTGCGTTCACCAAAACCGTCAATTGTTCCACTGAGGCTTGTGCCAATGCCAGCTTTTCGCGGAAGTCTTTGGCTTCATCTTCGGCTGTACGCGTTTGAGCACTTAGCTGAATCAATTCCTGTGACATAGATGCAACTTTGCCCTCTTCCTCTGCTAAGCGCTCACGAAGGACTTCAGAACCAGTTTCTCCAGCTGAAAATTTTGACCTCAGATGGTGAAGTTGGCTTCGCTCATCAGCGAGCTCGCTTTTGAGAACGGATACCTGAGATTGTTCCTGTATGAGGTCGTTTCGCACCTTCGTAATCTCGGCCTTGCGGGTTTCGACTATTTCACGAAGTTGATTAAGTTCAGCTTGCTGCGAGTTCAGTTCTTTTTCTACGTCTTTCTTTTCCTCGACCAGAGTCGCATGGGATTTTTCCGTATTCCTGGCGTGAATTGTAAGTCCTTCGGCTAAAATCTCAATTGCTTTGACTAAGGACGCAAAGTCGGATGGCGCTGATCGCTCCGGGGAAAGAATGGTATGTGCCGCTTGTAGTGTACTCAGATTCTCCTGGTTCTGACCATGCAGTGTCTCCATTTGCGCCTGAAGCTCCGAGATCTTGGCTTCCTGATTGGACAATTGATCTCTGTCGCTAGCGATAGCAGCCTCCAAATCGCTAGCACGCTGTCTTGCACGAGAGTAGTTGTCCTGTAAAGCTTTGTATTCTGTTTGCGCACTCTCAAGTTCCTTGGCAGTKCTGGTCTCTACAGTTAGAAGCTGTTCTTCTAGCTTCTGAGCACGTTCTTCAAGTTCTTGTTTTTCGTGATCGCGGCGGTCGAGAACGTTGAACAGTTCTTCTTCAAGTTCTTCAATTCTGTGACGTAACTGCTTAGCATCGGCCTCTAGGAACTTGCGTTCGTCCTCGAATTCCCTTTGTCTAGATTCAAGGTTCTTGATGAGGTCTTCCTTGGTAGATTGAGCTTCTTGCATTCTATCGGTGGATGATTGACGCTCCATCCGAGCCTCTTTTTGCAGCCGTTGGACAGTTTCCCTTTCAGTAGCGAGGTCTGCTTCGAGTCCCACGATTCGTTGTACTAGACTTCTGTCCTCGGCTGTTTGATTAGATGACATGCGCCTTGATGAGACCGAGGACCGTCTTGATAAAGGATCTGGCCGTGGAGAAGCCGGAGAGATGGGGAAGTCAGTGCTAAAATTTCCACTCAGAGGTCTTGCAATGTGAGTTTGACGGTGAAGAAGATCTTCTAACTTCCTAATTCGACTTTCCGAACTTTTGACCTTTTCTTCAAGTTTATATTTCTCATCTTGAAGGCTGCGTACCATGTCATCGCCTCGAATAAGGAGCGAACTGCGTCCCATATCAATTACACTGCCCTGCTTAAACGCCTTGGCTCGTCTTTTTTGCTGTCGAGTAGGCTTATCAAGGTCCGCATAGAGCTGAGATACTTCCTCGACTATGGCTGACATGTCATTTCGGGCTTTGAGAGCATCGATATAAAGCTCGATTTCTTTGCGATGTACTTCAGGCCACTCCTGTCCTTGACCTTGCATGTTGATCTCTAGACTAGGAGTCGTGTCGTCGGGAAGGGTTACAAGCTCTCCAATCGACTTTACCCATTTCTTTCGGCGACGCTGTTCTTCATCCCTGAAGACGGCCATTTCTTCAGCCAATGTGAGCGAGTCGGTTTTCAGCTTTTCMCCCCATTCACGGCGTCGGACAGCCTCCACAAGCACCGAGCCGTAGGCCACTGGTAGATGGTACACCTCGAATATGATATCAAAAATATCTGCATCAACATCTAATTTGGCGATCTGTGCCTGAACATCCGCTAGACGAGACTCTAATGAGGACACGGTCCGCATATGATTGACCGCAGCTTTCATCGCAGTGATTCGATGCTGGACAGCTTGGTCTAGTGCGGTGTGCAATTCAAGACTGATTTCTCGAAGCGATGGTAACAATTCCTTCGTATGACCTAACGCCATTCTTGAGATATTCGCTAGGCTCTTTTGGTTGCTTGGTAGACCGAGTACATGCTCATAATCAGAGCTCACTTTCTTTGCCAGGGTCTCCACCTCTTCTAACAAGCCATGACCTCCATCAATCATTGGAGGCTGCGCCTGCTCTAGCAGGGTGTTGGCATCCGACGAGATGCTACTGACTGCCGCTTGAACTTCATTCACGCGACGCGAGAAGCTCTGCGAAACCGCCGCACCCTTTGAAGCAGCCCGGCGCACTTCATCCACATCTAGAAAGTCCTGGAGCGTTCCGTTCGATCGGTCTTTGGCTCCCTTCTTCGGTGTCGAGGGACGCCCAAGAAAAGATATATCCTTCCTCGCCGGTATTGCCTTCAGTTTGTCTAGAGCAGCCTGCCATCCGTCCAAAGCGGATTTTTGTTCCTTGAGTAGATCATCTGCCCATGTTTGAGCTTCCTGGAACTTGGTTTCTAAGCTAGCCACATGAGATTTGAGGTTTTCGAGGGCCACACCAACGCCACGATAGATGATGTCGATACGTTCGTTGTGCTCTTGGAGAGCTTGATCCACAGGAACACATTCCTCAGCTAGAGCTAAAGCCCATGTCCTGCGAGCCATGTAAAGGTTACGCCACGACTGGAGATCATTCTGGTCGGCGAGAGTATCCGGGGGGTTCTTTGGTTTGAATGGCGGTGGTATGGGAATATCGGGGAGCTCGACGGGACCACCTTCACTGACTAGCTGCCTATCATAGACGAAGATTTCGTCCTGCAATGATTAGTAGGAGGGGCAGGAAGCTATAACATATATCACATACTTCTGTAGCTAATGTCTGGAGCTTGACATTCTTTCCCCGGGCGGTCATCAATATCTGCCTCTGGATAGCGATGGACGTGTTGCGAGCAATCCATGATCGGAGAGCCTCCGGGCTATACAGGTCTCAAGTCAGTGTTCCATGAAGCTTTCTTATAGCCTAATTTTGGTCCGAGTCAGGATGGAAGGAGCTCGGCGATTCAAAGTGACTTACGATGCAAAGGAAACTGGGTCTGCGAGTAGATGCTCACCGGTGTGAGCAATGTAGATATGTAAAGACATTGCTGGGTTTTCTCCGTCGGCGCCCTACAAGCAGGGAATCCGAAGAAAAGGTCCAGCGAGACCAGGGAGAACAAGTGAGTCTGTCTGTAGGATGAGAGATGATCAGCTTTGGGCGACGCAAGCAAAGGCATTGGGTAAGCGGTAACGTGACGCAACAGAGCTAGCTGTGCCCTAAAACGGCTTAGCGGAGGTACATTCACCCGTTATCTTCTTCTGAAGAAGATGCGACCGAATTATTATAAACCCCAGCAATGGCGATGCGACTGACCCGCCATTCACCAAATCACGAGATGCGATCTTCAGCCTTCTGACGGCAATTAATATTCGTTCATGGCATCAAATGATAAAGATCGATATGCGTCTAATACGTCAGGCTTGACCGAGGCGGAGACGGCTCTGCTGGATCTGGCAGCTGACAACCGCCAGAAAGTCTTATCGCTGTCTAGCAAGGAGGAGCTACTATTGCAACTTTATGATCAAATCCAGGAACTAGAGCTGGAACGCGCAATCCTAGAGCAAGGTACTTACTTTAATTCGCTGCGATTCTAGTCTCATGCTAATTACGCGTGAAGATTCGGAGGAGACCACAGCTGAAGATGCGGAAGAGCAGCTTTCAGTCGCAGAGCGCGAACTCTTAGAAGCTCGGGCGACATTCACAGTGCAAAGAAAAGCGACTGAATCGATTCTCATGACGGATCCGATTTTGAAAGCAGTGCACTCAAAAGCGACATCCCCTGCAGAAAGGTACGCCTTCTACCACTAGGTCTGAAAGCAAGAAATCTAGGAGAAGCGACTAAATCCTCCCTTTTATAGAGCTCTTCTGCCATTAGTCAACTGTCGAGACGTACTGTCCCTTGTTTATGAAAACCTTTCCATCGCGCGAACCGCTACAGTTGAAGCACTATCAAATGCCGAGGTTGAAAATATACGCCTGATGGAACAAAATAAAGGACTAGCTTCCGAACTCTTGGCGTTAACAGCGCAAGAGACATCGTGGCGCGACCGGGTCAGTGATAAAGCTGTGATCGCTCAGCTAGAGGATATCGAGCAAGAGTACAAGAAGACTCGCGCTCAGAGGGATACTATTCAGAGTATGATTAGCGCATTGGTAGTAGGAAGCGGAGTTGACTGGGCTCGTGATGACCGATTGCGCAATCTGGTGCTTGATGAGCTAGATTGACGTTGGCACAGGTTCGCTTTGCAGGTAGTCAAATCGGCATCTGATGAGCTCTTATCAATCGATCGCTTGAGGATATTTATCTACACTGCTATAGTAGCCCTATGAGGCTGATTGTTTACTCTAGTTGCTTCTGTCCAATCATTGCTGACCATAGTGGATACGGTATCTGATTGGTCGCGATGCATAAATTGCGAGACGTGCATCAAGCGATTCGTCTGTTTTAGGTACTTTTAGTCTTTTAGCATTTACGTACATATGCATAGACTAAGAAACGCACGCATTACAGACTAATAGCACTTAGAGGGTACATGTAATAATGTAGACTGTGTAGGTGCTGCGTTGGTGTTTCGGGTGCAACTCTTTGAGTTCTTAAATGTAGGAGGGAAACGCTGACTGTCGCGACGCGTAGAATCCACAGCGCCAATATAGTACAGGCTGCGGACTACGGAGTAACGTTTATTACAGATAGACAGCAGACAAACGATATCGTTGGCTGAGGCTTGATTAATATTTCAGCGTGTATGGATGATCCGTCCAATCGCTTCGTTGCCTGGTTGTTTTTTTTCGGATAGATATTACATGGTAAATGAAGTTGAGCAACTCGGCGGAATGTCAATGCGGGCATATGTACGTCCGTGTAAGTATTCTTGTATGCATATATGGATGTGTGTTTATGTATGGTGGCAACGGCTAACTCAATCATAACTTAGTTAGGTTGTTACTACTGCTGTACTAAATATGATGTACCCAGTATTTCAAGATTTCTATGATGATCATCATGTCCATCCTTACGTGTGTAATGTCGCAGAACGGCGTGTGTACAAGGATTTGACTGATTCAAGAGCGTACAACAGCCAACTCCATCTGACTTGACAGTACATACCACATGGTCGCAACTACCAGTATCAAGCACTACTACATAGTAGTTATCAGAAATGCCGGCGTGCATATGCGTCGCATGCAATTCTCTCGCTCGTCGTAATTATGGCGAGTCGTGTGGACGGCGTCGGCCACACTGCCCAAACAGAGCGCAAAGCTTACGACGGAGGACGGGCTATGTAATATGGAGCTTAGCGGTACTACGAATACGGGGGATGTAGGAGAGTTTAATACCTTCTCCATTGGATATCGGTAACGACGGGTACTGGTATGTTACCTCCATCCAGAGCCGACGCAAACATGCGCCCACTAATTATGAAAGGAATACTATTACATACCACGGGCTCATGCTTAGCAGAAAAAAAAATTATTGTAGAATCCAAAATCAAAACAAGCTGGTCTCTAGCCATGTATACTATGTTACGTAGTCATACTAACTGTATGCAGTAGTAACAATCGAGATGCTGCGCAAGAATGCAGTGCTGATGGACAGGCAGGGTTGGTTGGCATACATACAGGTAACATAACAGAGCCATAGCACCATTTGTTAATAAGAAGTAAAGTGACTTGATACATAGTACGGGTACCATACCATACAGCTCCGGGTCAGTCGCCCTTGCCTGACAGTGGAACTGCCACACTGACTAACTAACATTTGGCTGCGAAAGATTACCGCCCGGATACGCAAACAAGGGCTGCCGAAGGCTGCGCGCTGCGTGTAATCACGCGTAACGAGCGTATTGGGCCGTAACAGTCCCGCACTTACATAGTAGCTACAGTAGCAACCAGACTGCGGCTGTTTTGCTAGCAAACAAGCAGGGAGGGCAGTCCCGCCCTCTTCCCTCTCTCACTCAGTGTCTTCCCTCTCTCCCTCTCTATTACTACTACACTGCCGTCTCTCTTCTCTCTACATACTCTTTCTCCCATACAAACCGCCCTCATACAAACCACCACTGCCATACTGCTATACAAGGTAAGCTCCCCCAAATAAAAATACTGGCTCTCCCGATCATATATCGTGTCCGCCAATATCTTGCACCGTCCATTGCCCTCCCACCCACCACTTTTCCTCTTCTTTTTAACTGCATTCACGCGTCTTTTGATCTGCAATTGCCTCATTTTCGCTCTTGGTCGCGCTTCACCTCTGCGCTTTCCTCGTCTCACTACCCTCTCACCCCAACTACCAACACACCACCAAGCTATTCATTGACTGCGCAAATTATTATTTCGCTGATCTTGAAGAGCTTGCGATTACTTTCGCGCTCGGATTGATTCTTTTTTGTAAATTTTCACCTGTCACTTGTGAGTTGGATCATACAGCAAGAAACAAGAAATCCATCTCGTTTCGAGCTTAGGGAGACGCGAAATGGTGTTTGGCTCCGCGTCCCGCCCGCAACACCAACAACGCTCTCACCAACTCTGCACCCTCGTCGCGCATCACACTGCGCATTTGCTTGTCGTGTTTCTCGACTTGTTTTTCCCGGTCGCATATGGTTCCCGACTCAGGCGCCAGCAAAATTGACCTTCAATCCCTCCCAGTTTCTCCATGTACCATCTCTTCACTACTTACACACATCATACCTTTCATCAACCAAGCTAACTATCGTCTACCGCCAATAGCCAATAATCAAAATGCCTAAGGAAAAGACTACCCGCAAGACGGCCAAGCCCCGTGGCGAGAAGAGAAAGAAGGGTAAGCCTAATCTTCCGCACTGATGCGCGACTGAACAACAGTTAACCTCGCGACAGACCCCAACGCCCCCAAGCGCGGTCTCTCTGCTTACATGTTCTTCGCCAACGAGAACCGTGAGCGCGTCCGAGACGAGAACCCAGGCATTGCCTTCGGTATGTTTACTCCATTTCTACGTGATGTTCTTGCAATTTACTAATCATATTCCCATCTAGGTGCCCTCGGTCGTAAGCTCGGTGAGCTATGGAAGGGCTTGAGCGACTCCGAGCGCAAGCCTTATGAAGACAAGGCTGCCGCCGACAAGAAGCGTTACGAGGAACAGAAGGCCTCCTACTTAGTAAGTCGCTCTTCTTATCTTCACTCCGAATTTAAAAAGCTAATACATGATGCAGGCTGCTGGCGATGACGAGGAAGAATCTTCCTAAATCTCTTTTTTGCATTTCTTCCAACTCTAAAGAGAAACAAAAAAGAACAAAATCATCCCTCAGTGTATGATTATATTTGATTAGGAATCGTTTCCTTCTGGTAGTCGGCTTGATGGTTCTTGTTTGCTCTTACCTACGATATCGGTTGTGTAGCCTCTATATATGGCTACCTCTCTTGACACGTTTTTCCTTTTATTAATCTCTGGTTCCTTCGGTATGGGCTGACGGGGTTCTTTGTATTCTTTCCACGTGGTTGCTACGTCTATTTTTGTGATGCCTGTTCGTTTTCCTAATTATGTTTGCGCGAGGGGTTCTAAGTTAAATATGGAAATCTTCGTTATACCTTTCATTCTAATTCCGCCGTTAAATTTTCGTAACTTCCAACAATGTTGATAATGGACCGTCTTCGAAGGTGAGTGCAACGTGAAAAGCAATAAGATTATATAATATTTGTTCTTTCTGTACTTGTAAACATTCTATAGCAATGTCGAGAAGCCTTTATACATGTAACGTAACAATTGAATCAAATCTAATCAGATTTCATCCCCCAACACCCGAATCAATGGTCTGATTGTATACAATCGCACGACGCCCTGAAAATTAGACTTTGCGATTCTTCTCCGCCTCAGCTTGCGCCTCAGCCTGCTCCTCCAACTTCCTCGCCTGTTCGCGTTCCAGCTGATCCGGGCGACGAACAGCAATATCCTTGGGACGGAAGTCGCTGAACAACTGTTTAAGCACATTCTCAACGATATAGCAACCGCCATAATCGAGGATCATGAGGACGCAAAGCGTGATCTTGAATTCTTCGGTAAATGGCACCAGGCGCAACTTTTCGTTGATTTCGGGGATGAATTCTGTGGCGCAGGAGAAGGCGACGCCCGATGCGCCGACAAGACCCCAGTACATTGCCCGGTTTTCGCGGATGGATTCACGGAAAGGACGGCCTTGGTAGTTGATTGAGAAGGTCGAGATTTGCTGAATAAGTTGGAGAAGATAGACAGCACTGTTAAGAAGAGAGGGCTCGAATTCTCCTTCCAAGTCGACATCACCGCTCGGTCTGATCAAAGTTAGTCGAGTCACGCATAGAGGAAAAAGAAAAGGTAACGTACGGGTCAATCTTAGCAACATAGTTGGAAAGATATATCAAAGTAGCGATGTGGATGGCGAATTGTCCAAGCACGGAACCAATGATGTATGGGTTGAAAATGTTCGGCTGAGGACGTTCTTTGGAAAGACCTTCGACGGACTATGTCATGTGCATTAGTCAATGATCTAAGACTTCAAGCAGTAGGAAACTCACCTTGGCCCGAGAAATCGACAAGAAGCAGACACTCATTAGCATTCCACTGATGGTAACTTGTCCATCGCCGAACTTGATTCCATCTAAGTAGATGACACTCAGGCTGTATGCGCTAATCAAACAGTTCAAAGCAAGAATCTTGTACATTTGAATGGTGGCAACGAGAGTACAACGACCTTGACGAAGGATGTTGGGAATAGCCATAACGTGCGCAAGCTTGCTAGTGAAAGGAGCGGCAACTGATGCATCTCCAAGTTTCAAGGTAGGCGGTTCGTCGTCTAGCTCTGACTCGAGCATAGAAGTAGTCAATTTGTCGGCGAGTCCGGCGGCAGTAGCCTGAGCTTGTGATTGACGTAGTTGCTGAGGAGTGAGTGCTTGCTGAGCAGGAGCTGTCGGAGCTGCAACGGCTCCCGTAACAGGTGGCACGGGTTGGCCCTTCTTTTGTGCTTCGCGTTCAATAGCCTTTTGGTAGTGTGGGTTAGTAGGACCAGGAGGATATAAATGAGCAATGTGGACGGGAATAGGAGGTGCAGGCTGATTGAATCGTGCCATCATCTGAACCTGCTTCTCGTACAACTCTTTCATCTTGGTGTTGCGCGCATGTTCTGCAATCTTTGTAAGATCTTCGGGGCTTCCGTTCAAAAGTGCAACACCAACGTGAGCCTGTTTGAGTGCTCCGACATCGTTGGTACCATCACCACACATGAGAGTCGTGTATCCAGCAGCTTTCATACCCAAAAGAATGTCTTCCTTCTGTTTTGGGGAAACACGAGCATATACCCAAGTATAACGCAGAAGATCGGAGAAAGCAGGGAGATCCTTGAATTTAGCCAATGCATATCCAGTAACGCAAAGATCCTTGGTTTGCAGGATGTCGCGATCGAGAGGATGCGCGGGATTCACTTCAATATTGATTTTGTCATCGGTGCTGCGCCATACAAGTCTGTTTCCTGAATTGTCGTTTTCAGGGGCGTCAAGAATCAATACCTCACGGTCAACGATCTCCACTTGACGGGCGACATGAACAGCAGTAAGAGGGTTATCTCCAGTAATCATGACCACACGATGACTACTTTCATTGAGCATGCGAACAGCTTTGATGGCGTCATCTTTCAATGGGCATTGAAGGACAAGAAAACCGGCAAAGTGAAGACCGGATTCGATATCCTCGCGCGAGTAGTTGTTGATACGACCTTGACCCAAATCGGCGTCGGTAGATAAGTACTTGTAGGCAAGTGCAAGCACACGAGCTCCGTTTCTGGTGAAATACTTGAAAGTCTCTTCGTACTGCGGAGGAGTATGGACGAGCATAGTGCGAATAGTTTCAGGAGCGCCCTTTACACCAACAAATGTAGCTTTGTGTCTCTTGCCGGAAGCCTTATCGGTAGTCGTAACATGAGCAATCGAGCTTTGACGCTTGAGGGCCGAGGAGAACTGGAAGCGTCTCTTAATCTGAACCGATTCCGATCCTTGAGACCCTGTAGCCTTGTTGGAAAGAACGTCATCTTTACCTAAAACCCAGCCCAAAGAGGACAAAGTAGCTTTTTCCATAGGATCACCAACAATTTCACCTTCTTCGAGTTTGACAAGCGCATGTGCAGTAGCGAGAACAAGTGTGGTTTCGTTGCCGACCTCAGCAACCTTGATCAATCCAGTGTGAGCGCCATCCTTGTCAACCTTGGCTCCAGTCTGACCCAATGTCAAGCCTGCGATACCATCGACGAGAAGATCTTCTCCAGTAAGTGTTCCGGTCTTGTCAAAGCATGCGATATCAACTCGTCCAGCGAAAGGAATACGGAAAGGTTCTGTGCAGAAGATGGCAAACTTGCTCAAAGCAGCCAAACTGGTATTCACAGCCAAACTAAGTTCCATAGGAAGTTCTGGTGGGACGACACTTGTGATAATCAGGACACAATCGAGCATGAGCTTGGAGCGCTTCCGGTCCTTTTCAACACCTTCCTGCCACACATACCAAGCGGCAGCGATGGCGAAGATAAGGAGGAACAAAATAAACAGCAGTGCTTCGGCGTTATTCGCAGAGACACGTTCCGTGGAGTAAATCATTGTACGAACAAGACTTCCTTGGCTAGTTTCAAATCCAGTCTTTACGACAATACCTAGCGCACCATTGTCGGGTGGCTTGGGCACTCCGGAAACAGCACTGGCAGCTTTCTCGGACAGATCACCGAGGTTCGGGTGAGTGATTTGTAAGACCTTTGTTCCACCGTGAACGAAAGAGTTCTTATCGAGTCCGTCAGGCTCAATGAGATCATCGCCAGAACGAAGCTGGATAGAATCTTTCAGCAATGGGGTACTCTCGCCGGATAACATTGCTTCGTTCACAATTGCGCTGCCTTCGATGAGCAGGATATCGCAAGCAACTCCGCCGTCTTCTTTTGTGCGATTCACTGATACGAGATCGCCAGGGAGCACTTTATCGCTAGTAATTTCTTGCCACTTGTTCTCTCTGAAGACCCAGATGTCGTATGGCTTGATGCTCATGCCACGGAATTCGTTCAAAGTCCTCTGGCGTTGCCAGACGACAGTGCTCTCAAAGGTGACCAGCATGAAGAGGGTGAAGAGAGAGTAATACCAGTATTCGTCTAGCATCCAAAGACCAACACAGAACACCTGGAAAACGAAGAATGGCGCAACCGCATGTTCCTGAAACAACTCGACGAATGTTGGTACCGGTATGTCAAACGTGTTGTCGCCATAGTGATGTTGAATGCGCTCAATCTCAGACTTGCTTTGAAGACCGCGGGATTTTTGGAACGACTTGATAGCAGGCTTCGGTTCTTCATCCAGGGCATAAGACAACGGCGCAAATTTTCCTTCCTCGGGGTACCAAAGAAATCGTCGTTTCTGGAATAAAAATGAAGTTGTCTCTTTTCCACGCGTATTGTCACGGAGCAACTGGCAAATTTCGGGGGCGCCGGCGTTGGTGATGGGGATAACTTTGATCAATTGAGCAATCTCAACTTCCGACGCAGGTGTTGTTGTAAATAGGGTGTTCAAATTGACACTCCACTTGGTCATCAACCAGAACAATGATTGTAGCGTGATTATCGATCCTGAGTACACCCAAGTCCATTCTTGTCCCTGAATGTAGGTATCATATGAAGTGGGGTTTAGATAGAACGCAAAGAAGATAGGCCAGGCGATGAGGAACGGCCACACGTAGGTGTGAAGGAAAACCGGAAGGGGGTGGTGCAAAGAGGCACTCTCGATCTGAGAGTCTGCGACAAGCTTGGGCCTTTTTGTTGAAGTATTTGGTTAGTATAGTATCAATGACTGTGATGTTAGAGATAGCAGATTGCTTACATCTTGCCACTCGGAGAACCTGCTGTAGCAGGTCAACCAAAGCAAAGTAATCGAATATTCAATCACTCATATGAGATCAAGCTCAACAGCATATGAAGGAACTAGATAGCTTAGAAGGGTAAGACGGAAGGACCCTTTTCGTCGAACGTGGAGCTGTCGAAGAAGCCACAGTAGCGATAGAATGAAGAAGAAGAAATTCGAGTTAGATGCTTGCCTCTGTTGCTGAGCATTCTCGTCCACTGCCCAGGGACGCCGTTCGATTTGTCGCAACTCAATTGGCTGCAGGGACCAGCCGCTTGACCTATCACGGGACTAGCGTAAACTTAGATCGAGGCGCTGATTGGCTGCCGATTGGCTCACGTAATTATCCGCGAACTATGCGTTATCGCTTCGCCGAGTTCGCTTTAAAAGGAATAGGGATATATTCGATATGTATATTCAAAAGGCTCTAGACATGACTCGCTCGGTATATGCAGAGGTGTGATAATTGTGTACAATGGCATTCCATCTAAGCACAGAAAAATAATAACGACCCCGTTCGGTTGGATTGCCTATATCTTATTCCATTCCAACCGTGTATCGGGTTGGCAGTAGGTCTATGGCACTTCGAAGTAGGAAGCTCAGCTCAGCTCACGATCTATTTCCACTGGGCCTCCTTGCGGGATTGGAAATCTTTCAAGATCTTAACTTGATTTTGTAGAGCAGAGACATATTCCTTCAAGGCAGGTTCAGGTTCTGCGCTAGCATCGAAACCTAGCTTATCAAAAAAGTCCTTGCGATATGGAGTGGCAGAGAGAGCAGCATTGAAAATCGGCTTTATCACAAAGGAGTGATGAGGCTTCAAAGTGTTTCCGTATGCCGCACGGAAAGAGTCAACCAATTCCTTATTAGGGGTATCGAGAGAGTCGCGGATGGCTTCACCGGTGAATTCAAGTCCACTAGCAATTGGAGTTAGCAAGACGATTTCCCAAATTTCCAGAACTGTGAATATACCGAAMAAGCCACAAAAGACCTTCGGTAGCAGTGTGTTTCTTTGTCTTCAGTTCGTTCAAAACGAGGGCTTGCAACGTCTCGGATTCGGCGGGGGCAGCATTATAACGCTCGCGGAGKTTCTAAAAGACAACGTGAGAGTGCATAAGCAATCACTTCAAGGAGTCAAAACTGAAAAGGGATCGGAGGAAGATAATGTACCTTGACATTTCCAAGAAGGTCGCTCTTTACTGCGCTGAAAGCCGTGACAGCAAGTACATCTGTACGAATTAGTATGAAGTGTGGTAGACATGGCATATGCACGAACCAAAGAGAGTTGTAAAGGACTCCGTAGCGTCCAGGAAGTCTTTGGTGGTTATGGCATTGTCGTTGGCAGCATCGACAGGTACGTCAACAAATGACTTCTGCAAGGTATCGAGCCAAGTTTTGCCGGGAGGAATGACGGGAGCAGGCATGATTGCAGGTAATCAATTGGGATTGTCACAGGGAGAAAAGAAAATAGTAGAAAGTAGGAAGTAGAAAGAGAAGAGGATGGTCAGGAGGTTTCAGGGGAGGTGAAATCAGAAGTGGCGGTAACTTGCCCAGGGTGATGAACGAAGCTAGCACGGACATGTACCGCATCGACAGCGGGGGCTAACGTTTACAGTGTTTACATGGCAGCTACAACAGCGGGGCACGAGCACATCACGTGCAGGGATAGAAGAAGCCACAGTGGCTTCTCTCCTGCCAAGACTGCTGCCGGACGCTAGCTCGATGCCTTAATCTCATCCAAGGGTTCGATCTAAGTGCTAATTCTGTTTCAGAGACAAGATTAAGGAGCTAAGCCGTTTGTAAGCAAGCGCTCGCACTGCACTGCCACACTTTCACTAGCCTCATCCACTTTGATACGACGTCATAGCTTCCTATTATCTCGGGTTGCAGTCAAGATCCAAACATCACGGTGGACCTCTCCACGGGGTTGCTTCTCATCTTTTGTTGATCATGCGAGTTCGGCCACTGTTGTCTTTCTTCAGCGTTGCATTGTGATAGCCATACCTTTGCTTATATCACTGCTATAATGTTTATTTTTTGAAGCTGTTGATTTCGTCGCTCATCTGGAATTGAGCATCATGACGACCTACGACGATAATCAGCACCATAACGACGCTATCATTCAGGTTGAGCCTGACCAGTATCGTGGCCTAGATGCTACATCTTATACGGCCCGCCGCTTGGTATTTTCCCGATTTTGAACCCTTCAAAAATTGATTTCCGCTAATTCTGTCATGACTAGCATCATGCATCAGCACATCACCTATACCTAACGTCTCGGCGGCATTTTATAGGGCCGATCCCCGAAGACTGGATACACAGTCATCGCAAAGCCTGGTACCGGTCTAGATTAAGCTTCAAAAACTACACATCTCGCACTCTGACATTCTCGGCCAAGACTACTTCGTTCAACGAGGCTCCTCGATCCCTTTCGCCTGAGCCTCCTACGGCCGTGAACGAGGCTTTAGATGACGACCGTGATGATGACGAGGCACCAAGAAGCTTCACAATACGACATGACTCTTCGAGTCACGAACAGATTAATGAAAATGAGACGGTTGACACAACTGGGGAAAGCGAGTCAAGACCATCCGATGCTGATACCGGAGTAGCAAGCACCTTCGTGACTGCCAGGGAGACTCTACCAGGAGAAGATGAAACTTTGAGTCCATCTATAACCAAGAACACAACATCAGACGAGCCAAGGGCTCCGCGAGATTTTTGCACGGCATCTAGCTCTCCAGAACGGTCATCCCATGTACCAAGTACATTGAATCTCAGGACAGATGCGGGATCTACAGCATCCCTTCTTCCACACCGAAACGACGTAGAGACCAGCTCTGCTATTTCGACGAAGACTCTCCGGCCACAGGAACCCCAACCTCACAATGTGCAGTCGGCCAAGCCTGCCTCGGGCCCCCAAGACCGGGTAAGAGCAAAAATTGCTCGTTTCAACTTGGATGACAATGTTTTGAATCAACAACAACGCATTCGTTCTCGAATTGAGCGAACACAGGACAAAGTTTCGGCCAACAGGCCTCGTTGGAGTAAAGAAAGTGAAGGGGAGATGGTCAGGGCACAAAAAATGCTCGTAAGGATCGAGGAAACATCACAAGAACTGCCATCAGACTATTCCGAGAATGCCAGCCTACGAACTGAGACACGAGAGATTAAAAAATGGCGCGAGTATGTTGTCGTCTGTCGAAGAGCCTTGGAGGATAACGCTCCCTTCACGCTGAAAATGTACAAAACTCGGGTCATTCAGGACGTGGAAAAGTCACGCAAATCAGCTTACTATGAAATTTCGATGGACAAGAAAACTACCAAGGTCAATTTGTACTCTGCACTAGACAAGACCTGGGCTATATGGCACCCATTCAAGCGTGGTACACGAATCTATATACTACGGCCTCGGTCTTCAGCTCATGCAATGGAATGGTATACTTTTATCAGGCAAACCCTAGGGTGGCATCGTCCAACATCTTTGCTCATCAATGTGCCTGATCTAGATATTTCCATTATCTTCAAAGATCCTTTCGAACAGATTCGCCTTCGTAACGAAGAGTCGCGTGAAAAGGAGATATTAGCAGCTGAATCGATCGTTGCTCACTGCATCGATGTACTGAAAAGTCGCAGTGAATGGTCTGAAGTGCTAGAGGCATGGTCAAAAACATCGAAAATGGGATTAGCATGGAAACGATTTGACCGCCTCGAATGGATTCATGGATCGAATGAAGAACACATGTATGGGACTATTGGGATGCAAACCTCCCATGATCTGGAGCTGAGGCCGAAGCATCACTATCCCTCAATGATAAAGACAGATGGCGAAGAAGAAGAGGAGCCAGCCCCTATTGAAGGTTTTCTCGTACGTCTCACTTCACAGCAAGGAGTACAACAAAGACTAGGCAAGGAGTTCTCCAAGCGACAATATTATTTCAGCCAGGACCGGTTTCTATGCTTTTGTAAGCCGTCAAAAGCGTTGCCTCCTCATCCTCCGGATACCGGTTATGCAGACACTGCTATACCGACATACCAGGAAATCCTCGAACGGAACCCATTACAGTACGATATTCTTCCTTACCCAGTGCAGAATGGAGATATATCATGGCTTGTAAGCGGTAATGCGGAATTTGTGCGACGGCATGACGAAGAAGCAATCGCTCAGTTTGGACGCAACATCGCCAACTTGCGGAACGCAGAAGGCCTTATCGATCTCTGTCAGGTGAATGATGTACGAACTTCGACAGGGATTGGAGCAGATAGTGATAGAAATGATAGCAGATTTGAGCTCGTGCTATCGAACGACCTCGTGGTCCGCTTCAAAGCATACAACGACGAAACGAGAAATGAATGGGTCAAGCGTCTCTCAGCTCTAGTCAGATACTGGAAAAACAGGGTCAAGGCCGATGCTGGAGAGCTAAAGACAATCCGCCAACATAATCTCGAGATTTTGAATATTGATGAGAGGATGGAATCACTATTTGGTCAATTTGCGAGCAAGTGGGAGGTGAGACGAGCAGAAGCATCGCCACATTTGTACAATATGTGCCACTTGTCGGGCTGCCGATCTATCAAGGTAATTTCAGAAGAACGTTGCAGCGCCCAATGATCCTGATGCTTACATTTTTCTAGATGTCAGGATACCTGTATCGAAAACCTCGCCGTCGTTCTACCTTTCACCGCTGTCAGGTCATTTGCACCTCTGGACAATTATTGATCTTCCAAGATACCCTTCGGAAACACAACGGCGTCGAAATCCCACACATTCACAAGGAACGGGTAGCCACGCTGGACCTACAAGATTGTTACATCTATTCTGGCCTCCTGACTGAGAACGATCTACTGTATACCAACCAGACATTTGACAACAACTACCCTGGCCACCATGCTTTGCCGCGAATCTACCTCGCTCAAGACGGATGGACAAGTCGAGACGAAGATACAGCCATATGTTTTGTCATTTGGCATCCCACGCGCAAGAGTCTTTTCCGAGCTTCCGAAGTCAAGGAGGGAAAGACTAATAGCATGCTTCGCCGAGTCTCTGCACTCGGTGTACCTGGACGAACTGTCGTCTTCAAAGCCAGGAATCGGCTTGAGCGAGATCGATGGGTGCTCTGTATAGAATCGGAAATTAATAGATTGCAGGAAGAAAGAGGAGAGGATGTGAGAATTGTCTGATCACTCTACCACACATCGAATCCTGGCTGAAGTCGTATTGCTGAGTTGAATGTACTATTTTATACATAAGAACCAATGGTCCAACCTCTAGTGTCTAGTAATACATAGCTATATACCCCGGTATAAACACCCTCGTACTCCACATGCAATTTATATGTACAATGGATAGTGTGCAAGATGACACATGATCTAATCCAAACCCGGTACTTCAATCTTAACCGCCTGTTTCACAACCCTATCCCTAACGGTACTTCCATATTCTTCTCCCATTTCCTTTTGTGCACCAGAATCCGCTTGAGTCTCAGCTGGCGGATCCCATTCCCACCATTTCAGAAGCCTCATCCGCGGATACAGCACCGCTACCACGCTCCCTGTGATTAGATTGATGCTTACTGGACCATATGTATTGCTATCGAGAGATTTGCGTGGATCATCCGCATCGCCTTCTAACCAGACATGATTGAAGGGGACGATCTGCGATGGTCGTGGACAGGGTTCTCGTGTTATGACGCGGTCTCCTGGTAGGGCGATGACTCGTTTGATGGCTACATTCTCGGGGTTTGCGGGCGATCTATACTTGTTGGTCAGACCAGACGTTTTTTAAAAAACTTCCTTGATATGGAGGCACAGGGAACATACCGAAACGTGACGATCATCCCCCTCTCCAGCGTCCTCGTCCTATTCCACGGCCATAATGTGCCCCAAGGCCATAGATTCACAAGAATAACATCACTCTCGGTTTGTGTCTGCTCGTAGTTTTCATTCAGATAGGGTGTCATAGACGGTCCAGCAACCCACATGAGCTGCAGTATGTGTTCAGAGAAAAATATCCCCACTGGCACTATGGGTGCAATTGTCCGAAGCGCACGGAAGGTCCATCGTACTGATACAGGTAGTGCGGCGTAGCGAGCGCGAAAGCGACTTCGAAAGGAAGACCAGCGGGAGGGACGTTCTTTGTAGATTGTGAAATCGGAAATGTCGATGGGAGAGGATTGGGGGTTTTTCGTATTGTTGAAGGAGGTTTTTTGTTTCAATTCGAGGCGAGAGAGGACTCGTGGTTTGGATTTGATTGCGCCAGATATTATTCGTGCAGCTGTCTGCTTTGCTTTAGAGTCTGCCATTGTCGGCCGGGGAGTAGCCGGGCGATGGTCGTTGAGGAACCGATCACGCCGGACTGGATATTATAAACCTGACGGAATTTTGATGGTGTTGAAAATCACCTCTTCGAAAAACCCCGATATTCGTTCATGATCATGGTCGTATCACGTTGTTGATTGTATCACATAATCACAAAAATTCCGTTCGGCGTTATCGCGGAGGATGGCATGGAAGCTTCACCATGTTTGCACTGTTTGCAGTATCTATATATGAGCCTCGATCAACATGAACCATCGGTCTACAACAATATTTTATCGATGAAAATAAGTATAATTATCCATTAAGCATAACTTCATCATATGCAGGTAAAGCTTATTTCAACCCACTATCTGACCAATGTAAGGTCTAGATACAGCAATCTCCTAAGAATAAGTAGCGTCCACAACATCTGATCAAGACTTGTTCTCGGTTTCGGACTTCGACAACTCATCGAACTCGGCTGAACTCGACTGCAAACTCTGCACATCTGTCACCGAGGCCGCTTGAGAATTCGAATTTAAGTCGACAGGCTCTTCATCCAGTTCGTGATTCTTGTCGCCGTCGTCGCGGGACAACTCTTCCCAATCCTGCTCGCCGTCGCTGATCGAATCATAGCTGTCGTCTTCGTTCACGTCGACAATCATGGTATCTATTGATGATCTTAATGTCAGGGTTTTTGTGAATTCTCGAGTGATGGCGCAAGATTCACCGACCATTAGTGGTCTTTGTTTTGAGAGATGCGTTTGCGATCTCAATGTCTTCGTCCGTGGGAGGAAAGTAAGACCTATTTGCAGTTAGTCTTGTAGAAGCTTTAAAGATTACGGTAAGTTGAACGTCATACGGTAAATATCGCTCATACGCCCTGACATCAGCAGGCATAAAGCTGCAGAAAATGACCCGTTCGAACTTCGAGAGATTGTCCCCTTCCCTCAAGAACTCATCAACCTCGTCCAAAACTGCTCGAGCCGCTGCCTCATTCGGATAACCGTAGACACCAGTGCTGACAGCTGAAAAAGCTATCGAGCGCTGACCATGCTCCACAGCTAACTCCAAGCTTCGGCGATAACAGCGACGAAGGAGCGTTTCTGATAATTGGTGATTATCATCGTCGTAGATGGGACCCACGGTATGAATGACTTTTGTAGCAGGCAAGTTGTATCCGTTTGTGATCTTTGCATCACCTGTACGGCAGCCGTTGAGTGTGCGGCATTCATCGAGTAGTCGATGACCAGCGGCACGATGAATGGCGCCGTCTACTCCCCCGCCGCCCAGGAGGCTTCTATTTGCAGCATTGACGATGCAGTCCACTTGTAATTTGGTAATGTCGTGTCGAATATGAGATAAGATATCATTTAGTGCTTTGGAGGGGGCACTACCCATGGTGTGCTTGGCTGGTGATAGGAGTCTGGCACGATACAGTTGTGTCAGCGTGGGGATCTCCTTGAGAGAAAGAGCGTTGGACGCCATTTTATCAAGTAAATGACACTGCCCAAGATCCTGTGATCGTAGTTAGTAATATCTCGAGATTCCTTCGAGTGCACACTTACCAGATCAATACTCAAAGGAATTCCTTTTACTTTGTAATAAGTTCTGCTTCAGGTCTAATAGAAAGGAAGTAGATGATGCTCTTCTTTGATATGTGATGAGGCTGGGTCAGTGAGTTGTTTTACTTGTTTGTAAAATTGTTATTTGCAAGGTAAACATATGACATTTCTCGCAGTTTTCAAGAGATGAAAAAAAGAATTGCCTTGTGTCAGTCGTCATTGTCTGTTCTATAGACATGGCCACGTGACGGAAGTAACAACTAGGCTAAAAGAAGTACCGCACTTGCATCAATCGCAAGGCAAACTCCTGAATATTTCTACAGAGTCGAGAATTACTAGAGTTCCAAGGCCAAGATATTGTCTTTATTTATTTATTTGATTCATAGTTGTCATGACAGCCTGTCAAAAACGATCAAAGTATCGTTGATCGAAGGATTAATCATCATACGGTCAGTGCAACTGACTCGACATGTAAAGTAAGCGTGCGAGTGTAGGTCAACACCGCACCACATAAGAATGTAACAAGTTGGTATGAATAGTAGAAAAGGACATAATTTGGACAGAACGTGAAATGATTCAAGCCTGGTCTGTCAAGTTGAAGAAAATGCTAAACACATAAACGAAAAGAAGAAATCGAAGACCTGCGGAGTCAACAAAAGGAGAGACATGAACGTAACGTCTTAGGCAGATAATGCCTGTTGCCGAACCTTCCACCGGTTCAATCATCAAATAATAAAGAGAAAATATGCAAAGCGTCCAGGTTACTTTACATTATGGGGCTCTTCCGCTTCTCAGCACTGGACAGCACCAACATGGGTGTCTTGCGTCGCTCTGTAGTCTGAGTCACTGAACGTTGACCGGCCACAATGGCAGCAGTCGACGGTGGACCAACGGGAGACAGGACGTTGGGAAAACTTTCATCGCTACCAGCAGCTGAAAGTATGTACATGTTTTCCGCAGACACCCGCTCTCGCGAAGAACGATCCTTTTCCTTGATCTCAGACCCAATGGCTCCATTAGCGAAGGCACGAAGGCTTCCCAAGCTGGGTTTGCTAGAGAGACTGCCACTACCGCGACGGCTATCATCACCATCAGAGACAGAAAACACGAATTCAGTCTCACTGGCAGGAGTGTTGCTACCGCCACTGCCATGGTTGCTTCGAGATTCGCCTCGACGCTCAATTCCCGCGCGTACCAAGTTGTGGACCGCTCGGCGACGCTGACGTGTAGCGAAATTCTTGCTGCCCTCGTGTTTCGATGTAGGCTTAGCAACAAGCTCTTCGAGGGCTGGAGGACCACGTGGCTGGCGAGACGGGTGTTCACCTGCGCGACCTTGTCCGGGTCCAAAGGTTCCGGTCAAGGGAGTCTGAGGAAGTACAGCAGAGCGAGGGCCCGAACCTCCAGTACGTGCCAATTCCGTGTTGGTGCGCAGCCCGGGTACAAATGAATGACTCTTCTTGTGGTTGCGTCTCAGAGAGTTTCCGGAAAGGGCTGAGAGCGGAGTCGCATTTGTGGGAGGAGAGGGAGTATCTTTGGGTGACTCGGATCGAGAAGAAGCATGCACAGAGGACCGAGCAGATTCAGGAGGCGGTGAGACTTCGGCACGGAAGGGTGCCTGTTGCTGCTGCTGCTGCTGCTGTTGTTGCTGATATCCGATGGGCGACTGAATCGACTCCTGATAGGTAGGAAGAGGATCTTCTTCTTGAGGCGAAGGAGTGCTATTATCAAAGATAAAGCTCTGCTGTCCGGTCATTGGATTGTAAACCGAATACAAACCCGGTTGGCCAGAAACGGGTTGAACAACAGGCTGCATGCCCTGCTGCAGCTGTTGTTGGTACACGCTCATGCCCGGAACGAAAGAGGCGAATTGGCCCTGCTGTGATTGAAGGTGTTGCTGTTGAAACTGCTGTTGGAATTGCTGATTGAGTTGATTCGCACCTAGACTCAAGTTCTGAAACTGCTGAGCGGCAGCAGTAACACTGAGCAACTGTTGTTGAAGGCGCTGCTGCTGAGCAGCTAAGAACAAGTTGGTGGTCATCAACTCAGCGTATAGCTTTTCGTCCATGCCGTCGGCATCTCCCAAATCAATTGCCGGAGGTGCGAGAACTTGCTCTGGTAGAGAGTAGAGAGGACGTCCAGTGTTGTATCCCATATTTGTACTCTGAGAATCCAGTCCGTAAGAGTATTGAGGGAATGTCGCGCCAGTAGCCGTCTGAGGAACACGGTCATTGGTTCTATTAGAAGCGTAACGGCTGCCTTCTAGTCCAACGCGGCCATGACCCTGAAATTGCTGGTTGTGTGTAGAAGGGACAGTCGCTGACTTGGGAGCGGTACGCAAGCCAGCCAAAAGGTGAGAACGGCTGGTCCGGGGAGTGGCGACACCGGTTGCCGGGCCAGTTTCATTGATGGTTGAAATTTGGGGAGGGACACTCAGACGTTTGATGTGAGATCCTTTTCCTCGGGAAGCGAAACCAGTACCTGGAACGCCAAGCGAAGCGCTATTGAAGGAAGAGTTTTGAGTCATTTGAGTAAGACCGCCTGCGTCCATACTCAATTTTTAGGAGAAAATAAAGCTTCAGAAATACTAATTATGTTGTATGTGCAAGGATGCAACTCAAAGAACCAAACAGTATGTTGTTGTGATCAAGTGCAATGACAACAAAGAGTTTGTTTTCGAAGCGGAAGAATGTTCTTGAGAAGCGGGTATCGCAGTATTTCGAATGATTAGGATATTAGTGACGTTTGTTGATGAGAGCCGTATGTCAAAGGGCTGCCGTCAAAGAAGAAGAATCTAAAGCAGAACCTGTCAACCCCAAGTCAGCAAACAATGAAGAAGAGTGACAGCGGCAGAGAGACGCGTACCGAAAATGCAAGACAGTGACTAAGAAGCAAACGGTATCGAAAATGCGAAGAACAATGATAAATGTGGAGGATTAAAATATACAGAGAAGATATTGTTGCGTATATGCTTCGAATAAAGATTGGATCGAATCCGTGATTCCAATAGTTGTTTGTTTGAAACGAGACGCGGATGCACTGCAAGCCCACCTCGTCAAGAGTCGGTTTTCGATCAAAGGCAAGGATGTAAACAAAAGCTCTTTTCAAACAACTTGACAGAGGATTCCTGAATGGTAGTGTAGGCCGAAATGTGTCACGTGTGCGGATGCCTCGGGCGGGAAATAGATGGTGTTTGATAACTCGTTTAAGAACGCCGGAGAAGAGTGAGACTGATGAACAGTAGTCGGTAGTGATAGAGTAATTCAAAAACACGTCTTGATTGAAAATTAATGAAGGGTTGGAAGACTTCTTGGCTGCGTGTGAGGAGATAATAAACAAAGCGTTGAGATGAAACCGCGGGAGAAAGCCTTCAGGGGAACGTCTCGAGTGTATTTTTTTGCTCTTTTGTATGATTTTTTTCCTTTTTCTCTTTTCTTGGATCGACTATTTGCAATGAGAAAATGCAGTCAAAGAGGGGGAGAGTGAACGGAAGAAGCAAGATCCCAGGGGAAAAAGAAGGTAAAAGAAGAGAAGAAGAGGACGTGATCAAGAGATGCGAGATGGATGGAGGAGATCGATGGAAGAGGAAGAGAGAGAGGCGAAGAAGAGCGAAAGGATTGGGGGAGATTAATGGGGAACGGCCAGGCAGGCGCGCTGATTGGGCTAGAGCACGGGACCCGCCAAGCGAGCCAATCAGAGTGCGAATGCCGGGGGCGGGCGTCTCAGGTAGACTTTGCGGTGTGCGGCCAATCAGAGGTTGAGGTTGGCTGTGATCTGTGATCAGCCATTGGTCTGTCTCTATATCATGCTCCTCTATTCCTACATTATTGCCTAGCTATATAGTACGTACAACTACTACGTGTTGTCAGCGTCTGGAGTCATTGCTTAGATACTAGTAGTTGCTGTCTTGTACGCACATTGTTGTCATTGTGAAACCATCATGCAGTCGAATTCAAAGTCGACGGTGCGAGATCAATGCATTCTTCAGCCATCGTTGGTGAAATGAGCTTACTACTGTACTCAACAAGGTGAGGGGTTGTTGTCCAGTCCATCACCGCCGATGAGGTCAGCTCGACAGCCTCGAAAGGGCCATTTTGCCGTCTTATTTGCTGGAGCAGAATGATACGCATGTCTGTATGCCCGTCGGAAGAACACTGGATGCGGCCAATCGAGACAAAGGACCGCCGTGCCGAGCCTTACGGGGCTTTGGGACAGGCGCTGTCTCCAATGAGCGCGCCGCTTTAGCCCTCTCTTAGCTGGCCTTAGGCCACTCTTGGTTAGGGCGCTGTCAACGTGGCTCGTCATGGTAGCCATCCAGCGTTGACGATCCCACTCACCGTTGTTCTTCGACTCTTCGAGCCATTGATTACCACGTACTAGTATACATAGGACGGAGTATTTCACGCTAGGCCAATCTGAATTTGGTGGGGACTTCCGATATAGTGATCGGCCGTATCGAAGCCAAAGCACTCGGCTGTTTACGAACGGTACTTACAGTAGGCGAGCCCGCTGTGAAAATAATTCCAGAGTAAATGTCACAAATATCATCCACTACTTCAGGTGCTCCCAAGATTGAACAGTAAAGTATGTACACGATAGAGAGACTTTGCCGAAGGTAAAGGTAGCAATGGAAAGAATTAGAAAGAAACGGGTATCACAAGCGGGCCCTGGAGAGGCGTGGGCAGCGGGTGGGTTGTTGTCGTGTCATATAGATATCAAATGCCGGGTACACGATGGTTAGGATGAAGCCATGGAGAGAAACGGAGCTCTTTCAGTACAATGTCGCATAATTATATACGCTATATTTTCAAGCATCAACAGGAACAGTAGGACCAGAGAGCACTGCATGCGAAAGCAGTGGGATCCGATCAGATGGACCATCATCTGACTCTTTGCCATTCATGCGCTCGAATTCGAGCGTATCTGCCAGCTCAGCGGACATTGGATCAAGCTCATCTTCTTTGAGGCCAGTTGCCAACGCCACTAATTTCCGGTGCATGTCTAGTTTAGTACTGACCCCAGCATCGGCCTTCTGCTGTAGTAGGTCTCGGACTGCTTCTCGTCGGCCCTCCTGTGCTGACACGAGTCTACGAACAAGCTCAAACCGCTGTAGAAGTTCCTCTGGGAGTACAGGTTCATTCGAAGCCGGTGCTTGCTCTTTGGGAGCTCCAACGGCAAACCGATCAGAAAGTTGCTTGCGATGGAGCTGTTCAATGAGCGACGCGCAACGACTTTCAATTTCTTTATAGCGATTCATCTGTAGGTCAAACGACTCATTTGTGTCTTCTTGGGACAGTAGTGAGACCTTCTCTTTTTGCAGGGCTTGCCGATCTTTTTCCAATTGCTCGAACAAATCCTGAGGGGTCGTTGCGTCCCCGGCACTTTGTTGGCCGACTTTAGCATTCCCGTAAGCGAGACTGAGCTTCCGCTGTGCCTCGTCCATCAAGCGGGCTATTTTGCTAGCCATGGCTGAAGTCACAGGGGACGAAGTCGGGGGCAGGTTCAAAGACTTATCGGTTTCCATCACTTCAAGCGCCTCGTTTTCAGCTCGTTCGTTGACGTAAGTCACACTAGATGGGGCATGAGGTACGGTACGCTGAGCATTTGCCTGATCCATAATGGCAATAGCAGTATCACCTTTACCGTTGACCAGATCTCCAGAACGGCGGCAATGAAGAAGAAAAAGAGATGTCAAGCGAAAGTTGCCATTCCGAGCGGCAACTAGTGCCGGTGTATCCCCATTGGAATCCTGGCACGAAAGGAGCATATCCAGCTCCTGTGGAGGAAGTGTATCACGTATCTTCTGGAGGAGAACCTCGCAGTAGTAGCGAGCGCTCTTCCACTTGCCTTTGCTGCGGGTGGTTTCTGCCAAATGATGAAAAATTGTAGCCCCAAACCAGTCCCGGAACGTGAGATTATCTTGAAGTAGGTTCACAAGCGAAGGCATCGTCTTTTTCTCGAAATTGTTGGTGAATAAGACTGCGCGCACAAGAGGGGTTTCCTCATGGACTGATATTGCTTGTATATTGGCACCTCGACGCAAAAGATCCTGAACAATTTCCAGGTCTCCCATGGCAGCAGCCCAGTGCAACGCAGTATTACCTTGATCATCAATAGGACGATCCACTTGGAAGTTCACCGGTGGTACCGGAGGTTGTACTTTTGCAGCCTCCGGAGCATCACCTACTGTCATAAAATAGTCCAAAAGTTGGTCTCCATATAGTATATGTTCCTGTTCAGTGGTCGACATAACATTCATCTCACCCATACCGCGTTTTCGTTTCCTAGAATGAGTCGAGTGCTGTGACATCGGAACCATATCCTCTTCCGCCATCATCGATGATGATTCCAGCGTAGTCTGTTCGATCGATTCTTCCTCTTCAAAAGTCGATGGCGGTGGCATTTCATATTGTTCTGGAGGTGGGAAACTAGGAACACTCATTCGCGGCGCTCGCATATTAAAAGGCTCTTCCTGTGTAACTCGCTTGTTTGCGGCCGATCCTCGCGGCGCTCGTGGTCTGGAAGCAGTGGTGTGTTTCGGCGCTGGTGGCGGACTTCGATCTCCCGCAACATAATCCAGTATTGGGCGTATCTTGTCAAGAATATTATTGCGCTCCGCAAGTAAACGGGCTTCTGGCAATGGAATCCATGTTCCTAGTCGATCGGTAAGAAGTGACGAGCTTGATTGCAGTTGGACTTGTGCCATACCTTGATATTTTCCATAGCCCCCCTGCACCTTTTCATGTACACCTTTTTGTACTTCACGCTCCAAAATTCGGGTTCTGGAGGGCTTATCGAACCCCGCGACTTTGAGAATATGTGTTGCATTAATCCAATCATCGGCCCTCCTCCGCATCAGGCACTCGCCCTCCATTTTGAACTCATAGACAGGAACCTGGACCAAACAGCATTATTAAGTTAGCTAGTCCATTCTCCACAGACAAAATTCCGCCGTGCGAAACACTCACTCCACTGTACGTCGCCGAATATACTATGCCTTCAGTGCTCCCCGCCATCTTGGATTATGGCGCCCTCTCTGGACGCGGATCCTTAGGCCGACAAGAAAAAAATCTGTATATTGTTGTAAATAGATGAGAGGCTACATCCAGGCACAGTAAGCCGAGTCAAGTATGCTTCGATTGTTTGTTTCCAAGGGCAGTTTTCGCAGCCACGGTGGCTCAAGAAGAATAAGGTCGGATCAAAATCGCGAGAACGCGTTCACAGGATGCTTTGACGCGTAAAGTGTTCGGGTCAGTCAAGGCAGGCGCTAGTCTTGATCCGGTAGTACTGGAAACCAATCTGAGTCATGTGACTTGGGTCACGGGTTTCAGCGGGAAGCACCACGGGAACTTCAAGATGTACTCGCAGCTTTCGAGAAGGGAGCACCTCTTGTTGTTTATCACCGTATCAACCCGACTGTTCACATATTCTGATACAGCATGACGGTCGTGGAGTCAGTCAAAAGCCTTGTGGGCCTGTCCGACGGTGGTACGTTGCTCAATTGGAAATCAATGGCTTTCTAATTTAACAACTTGTTTAGCCTCGCAAAAGGAAATGTCGGATGCCCGTCTTCCACTCGCATACAGAGACTCTTGCGCTCATCTCCTCATTCCTTTAAATCGATGCCGTCGTGACGAGTACTATCTTCCCTGGAAGTGTGAGGTACGTTTTGTGCCAGCCACTACGGCGCTGATTTCTCGACAGATTCCGAGGCAGCTCACTAACTTATCTCATTTCACCAGACCGAGCGCCATACATACGAAAAATGCCAATACGATGAATTCAAAAAGCGAGTGGCTAAGATGGATGAATTACGGGCGGCCAGGGGAGGAGAACGAAGCAACTAGATGCCTTACTAGCAGGTTCAGCGGTAGCTATATGCAGACGAGCGGCCGATCAATTTCGAATATTCACGGGTGCGCAGCTGGAACTGAGTTGATGTAAATATTATTCACATTGTTTGCTGATGTTGTTGACGCTGGGATTAATCCACCATTTCTCATCGTTCAGATGATTCCCAAAAACTTAAGCATATCATCCATCCATCCATCCATCCATCCATCCATCAATCCATGGCCATACATGCCAAATCCTTGAAGTGGCCTTATTCATTCAGAGAGGTCTGACGTGAGGATCATTGATTTTGCAAGCGAATATCTCCCTTCCTGCTGAAGGTAAGGACTTTATTATGGCGCTAAGTTCGGGCATGCAGATAAATCCATTGGTATGTCGTCGTAGTGTATGGCAAACACCGGACGTATCAGCAATCGCGAGACTCGGAGACCTGCAGCATCTGGCGTGAGCTTATGCAGCGCTATCTCCATTGAGGTAACCAATCATCACGGTCTTGAAGTTGTACGTAGTGCCATTATGAATCTGCGACCCTTGCAACCCTAGACAGGTACAAAGGGTTGTACTTGGAGGGCATATGACATGGATCGTAGACAGCGAAGAGAGAATGAAAGAAGGAGGTTCCAGTGAGTATAGGTAAACAAAAGAAGAGTTCCCGACGTGAATGTGATATCAACTTCCAAGGCACGCGGAAAGMCCCCGCCGATGCGGTTCTTCTTTCCTTCCTAGACTACCCCCACCCACTTCCTGCTTAGCAATTCAATCTTCGACATTCAACCTCCCGGAAGATTCTAGCCCGTGACTCGTATGAGGGGAGAATTGCCTGGAGAGAACAGAGAAAAGAGGAAGCATAGTGCCTTTGCACCTGTGAAGACGCCTTGGATGCTGAGCGGGGTAGATTGTTTACTAATCCGCGAAACTTTTTTTTTCTTTCGTCAAGCTCACATCTTGAGGATATTTCTCCCCGGGGCGATTGCGCGAGGGCATTTTTTTCATTTATGTCTTCAAGATTGGTTCCTACTGTCGCGCGATAGAAAGCTCTTTTCCGCCTCGAATCTGTCGACCGGACTGAGTATACTGCCTCTCGGAAGGCAATACTTATGCGATGGGTTTGCTGTAACGTCATTCCTCGGAGATCTCATGCGCATACCAGCTCTGACATTTCGAAAACCTCTTAGGCAATTAGGAACTGCCCTCGAATGGCCCGAGGCCCGGAAGAATGCCGATAAGGTTAGAAAATGGGGTATCGAGGTTGGTCTTGTCGCCAGGAAAAAACGTCGATTCCGGATGATTGACACTCAGCGCCAGCAACTTCTCGCTATCTGGAATAGAGCCAAGGGGAAAGAACGGGATGTGCTTCTCTGGGGAGATGAGGTGATACTTCCCGATCTGTGTCTGGGAATGTATGTTAACGCGCGATTTGGCTAGGTTGAATATCTCGTCGTTGCGTTTGATGACAGCCACCGGAAAGTTCGACTGTCCCTTGCGCAAGCCGATATCCTTAAGTCGTTGGCCCGAGATGCGGCTCTACATAAGGTTGGAGGAGACGTTTCTGATATGAAAGCCAACCAGTGAGCATATTTGACCTTGAAAGTTACAAAAGGCGCTTCACTAATCGATTTCCAAGTGAGGGCGAAACATTACCGACGTTTCACCCAGAATTTGGAAGATTTATGTTGGAAGCCACACCCGGACGACCCTGGGGGATTAATCTCTCAGATTTGCTTAAGGTGGAATCAAATATGCGCTGGAGGTGCGAATAGCGAAATTACTCGCAAGAACGATCAAGCTGATATGTGCACAGGAGAGAAATCGCAAAAGGGCACATGGCTGATAATGAATACCCCATCACACTCACCACTTTCCCGCGTCTTGGAAGTCCAGACGACTATATTCAACCCTATTACCCCCCTTCCGGCCCTGCGCTGCGATCTCAATTCGTCCCAGACGAGATCGCCAATCCTCATATCAGATTTCCAACATTGGCTGCCAATATTAGATCCCGACGAGGGCGCAAGGTAGAAATAAACGTACCTGTATTCAAGGATACGAATACGCCATGGCCATTCAATGACCCTACAGTGAATTACGACTTGCATGACTGGCCGGAAGATGACGACGTGAGGAACGGCGCTGCTAAAGAAGGTCATGTATATATGGATGCCATGGCATTTGGCATGGGAAGCTGTTGCTTGCAAATAACGTTTCAGGCCAAGAATATTACTGAGGGCAGGACACTATATGACCAATTAAGTCCATTGGGGCCGATCCTATTGGCCCTTACGGCTGCGACCCCGATATATAAAGGATTCTTGGTGGACACCGATGTAAGATGGAATCAGATAAGTCGGGCTGTCGATTGCAGAACACCGGAAGAACTTGGTGAAAAGGTACGCAATCCATGACGATGACGAAGTAGCCGATCTGACCAGAACAGCCTCTGAAAAATGACCGTTGGAGAATACCAAAATCACGATATGCATCCAACTCCACATATATTTCGCAGGATCGAAGGTTACGAAAAGAGTACATGGACCCGAATCTTGTCATTGACGAAGATATAAAAAAACGATTGATAGAAGGAGGCATGGACGACTTGCTGGCAACACACTTTGCACATCTCTTTATTCGCGATCCGATCGTCATTTTCTCCGAAGACTTGAAAGAATTAGATCTGAATGAGGTCAACCATTTCGAGAACTTGCAATCAACCAATTGGCAGCATATGAGGTTCAAGCCACCTCCACCTGACAAGGATATTGGCTGGCGAGTGGAGTTCCGATCAATGGAGATTCAAATGACGGATTTTGAGAATGCTGCATTCAGTATCTTCATTGTGCTCGTGACTCGAGCCATTCTCAGCTTCGACTTGAACTTTTATATCCCGATACAACGAACGACGGAAAATATGGAAACGGCACATGCTCGGAATGCGGTTCTAGAGAAGAAGTTCTATTTCAGAAAGGACCCCTTCCCACCTAGATCATCACGACAGTCACACCTACATAACAGTGGAACCGAACCATCTTCTGCTGGTTCTTCAGCTACAGTCAGCGCTCCCTCGTCGCCACCACTAGGACCTGTCGATTCAGAATATGCATTGATGAGCATAGCGGATATCATCAACGGATCCGCAGATGGCACGTTCCCTGGTCTCATTCCATTGGTGGAATCATACTTGAATAGCGTTAATGTTGATGTCGAGACACGATGCTCATTGGCACGATATTTGGACTTGATCAGGAAACGAGCAAACGGCACACTTTGGACTGGAGCAAAGTGGATCCGCGATTTTGTTGACAATCACCCGGACTATCAACATGACAGTAGGGTATCAGAAGGTATTACCTATGACTTGGTCAGGGCTGTACAGGCTATGGAAGAACAGGAAGGAAAGGCCGGCAGTATAGGATGGCAAATGCTTACGGGTCAGAAGTGATTCATCCTTTTCAACAATATCCTCTTTCCATTCGGACCATAAAATATCATGCTTCACGTGTTATTATCATATCATTCTTGTCAATAATTGAACCCTTCATTTGATAGAGAGATAGAAACATGGATCAACATGTACATCTGAACCAGTTTGTCGACCATCCCCATTTTCCTCAAATTCACCTAAGTAGGCGTGTAGCAGGCTATGGCTACATCATGTACTGCTTCCAAGGTTAGTGCGTCATTCCAGGGACACTACGGCGTATACTCGGACTAATAGGGTATCAACAGACTTTGAACCTGGAATTATCAAACATATAAAACCATAACCGGATCAACTGTTACATAAATGATGATACTTGAAACTTCCGAGATTCCTCCGGTAAAGCCTACCTGTGGACATGTAAGGACCTTTGACTGTATGGTTGGAACGATTGATTGATCCCTGTATGATGATTTATGCATCATAGGCATACCTATAAAACCATTATTAATGTACTTATACTTGCCTCACTGGGTTTGAGAGTCTCCGATGCATGTGATCAATGAGGCCTGTTGAATCTTTGACAGCCTGGGATCTCAACGCTCGTCTGTACTTGTGGCAGAATGGGCCTAATGACGTGTATTGCTGGTTGTCTCGACGCCTGCGGCTCTACATGTGATTTCCATGGGGCATTCAACATCAGCAACAAGCAGATTTTGAAATCCTCTTGAAGATCAAAAAGTATGCGCGAATCTGGGAGTTGATTCGGATAGATACGCGGTGTGTCTATCTAGTGAGGTACGAGAACGCAATAACGCATCCCGAGGCCATAGCTGTACTGTACTTATGCTAGGAGTCCATTGACCTAGACGTGTCAACGGAGATTTACGGACGGAGACAAATCTATAGAAAAACCACCTGGCGTACAATTGGACATGTCATCAAGGGCCATAACTTAAATTCAATATGACAAATTCTTATTGTCGGGGGTTGTTGTGACTACTCCAGTCCGCACGGACACGCCTACTCCGTACCCCATTACCCTAGGTGATAATGAGATTCATGTGCAGGGCGCAGATTTTGACGTATGCACAATGCAGAATAGAGCCTGCCAGATCACGCAAGAGGAAAATCTACTACACCACAGGTGCTTCTTGATTTTGGCTCCATGCTCGACTGACAGCTGTCCACTTCTTGCCGCATTGACAAATGGCTACCCACAGCATGCTGGGTTTGTAATCGATCGTCTCGTACTGAAGACATCAAGAACGTTGGGGCCAAAGAACCTCAATACAGCACTTACTCCGACGTAAATCTGATACTGTCAAATCCCGCCTGTATCCAACGTGAATAATATGTTCCTCTGTGACTGGATAGGTTGGAAAAAAGTCACAGGTGGGTGGGCCCAAAGGCTGCATACTGTCAAGTTTTTAGTTCTATGGTAAGTCAATCAACCAATGAAAGTCAGGTCATGTAAGCCTGACAAAGCAGCTTGCTATCTTTTGCCAGCGCTTTGGCTAGCCCATAAATCCAGTCTTTGCTCGTCATAAATATAGAGACCCGATCTCATTCGTCGGTGCGACGCCAAAGTAGTATCCGGCTGTGAGATCGAAATGGTGTCACACTCGGAATAAGCCGCGTTCGAATCGTTGCGTGTTGTAGCACGATCGATGTTATCCGATCTCAACTTTAATCAGAAGTCAACATTAATCTAAGGCCATTCCTGCCTAGACTCCAGCTTCAAAGGGAGCCGGGACTTGAATGAACACTCAAAACAAGCCAGCGTTCTCTACGAAGGACACATCTTAGATCTGCTCATCCTTCTGCAGACCGAAAGCTCACGAACTAATGCAAACTGATTTTTGGGGGGACGCTTTGATCCTCCTGTAAACATGATTCGTGTCAGTGACCGATATGAATCATCAGATATCTGAACTGGTCACCTTAAGGTGCACTAGGCTTACTTGACCGGCGTGCACAAGCGTTCGATGATCACACCTGAGATCAGCTAACACGAATGTTCTTAGGATGGGGTCCGGATCAGCACTAGGTCGAGGCTGGCTTGTAAATGAGGGGAGAGGAAGAAGTTCTCCTCGGCCGATGTCGCGGAATGCACCCGATGGCTGAAGGGGTAGTGTTAGTCGAAAGAAAAGCTAAAGCAAATCAAAGTACTCCGCAGACGGATATCCAACGGCGGGKAGGACGAATGGTCCAGATAGCCCTGCCCCATGCTTTGGTAACGGCTGGAACTTGTCTAGCGGTTTCTTTACCTTGTCATGAACGCCTTGGGACAATGCACGCTTTGTTAGCCAATACGGAAATAGAACGGTCATCTTACGGAAACAATACGTACAGCACGAACTCGACCCCTGCTTGCTTGCGGATTGGCATTCGCGAACGGCTGGTGCTAGTCTGATAGTGTCGTAGTGCGAGCAGTGGCGAGTCAAAAGTTGCAAAAGCGGGTATATCTAGCTTGTAAAAAAAGGGTGGGAAAGATGCTGATGGCTGACCGTGCACGCACCGAACCCATCGATCGATCGATAGGTAAGAATTACCGGAATCTTCTGTCTTGACGTTACCACTATCCCAATCTATCTCGGTAATTATCCGAGCGAGAGATGAGCGACCAGGGACTAGAAATACCAGTTCGAGGAAGACATCGAGTGTATGGAAAGAAAGGGCATCAATATCATCCCGCCCAAAATCTCGCTCGAGGTAGACGTCAGGAAAGTAACGAGCTATTGCGCATTTCACAGTACGGAGGAGTACCAGTCTCGAGTTATTGCGTATGGAATATGTCGCTCCTAAAAATGCGATCGGCTAGCCTAGGCCGTTAGAAGATCTCAATTTTATTCGGAGAGCTTGGGATTCGGGTTACGCCATGGTCACCAAGCTAGGGCTTTTTACCTCTTTACCGGGCAGATTGGTTGGCATGGCAATTCATGCGGTGGATACCTTCTTTTACTCGGAGTCAACCTCGTACGCTTCTGTATCACGGATTACTAGGCTGTACATGTTCGAGACTAGTCGAGCAAATTGATGGTAAACAATACCTACAATTGCAACTTTAACCGTTCGCTGTTCCACAGTCCCTCCCAGCCACGACAGCAATAATGGGTTTGTTAAGCCTCAGGATACCTGTCCCAAAACTTCCAACACCCAATCAACTTATGTCGGATTGTCTGGAATGACCGCCAATCTCATAAATTCATACACACAAATACTTGAAAGCTAGCAACATAGATTTTGATTCCGCGGGCTCTGATTTCCATGCCAACCTGCACAAGTCTCACGTTGTCTCTGAGTATGGCACTGGCTATCTACGTAGTAGTACAAAGTTGATGAGATCATGGTCTGAACACTTTGTTGAGACTATTAAGACCAGATCAACTGTTCAGTCAAGACACAAGTGGAGCAATCGTGGTGAGTGCGGGTTGCAGGCCAATTTTCAGGCTTTTCGAACAAGTATTTCCAGACAAACACCAGTTGACGCGAACTTCTTCAACATTCGGGGTACTCTGTATCCGCTGCCTCTGAACTATGTTCCTTTTATCATCTACGATGTACCCATCCCAGATTGCCATTGGGAGATCACAAACCTTCCTCGGCATTTGAAATCGATCTTGATACCGGCCGTTCGGTTACTTACACATATTTACTCCGTACATTATACGTATCAAGGACGGCGCCACTTGATAATCTTCCCGTTGGCGCTGTTTTAATGAGAGGCTAGAGACTCAACTACGAAGCAGACAAAGCACGAAAATGTGAGCTCTCTCAGAGCATCAGGCTTCGCATCAACGCTTGACCTAGTTAGGTGATGACAGCCGTTGATCGAGATCACAGTGGGTCCGCTGTACTCCGTCTAACGGTTGTTTACGCTCTCGTGTCACAAGTAGACGGCCCAGGCGCCAGCGTATGGAGTAGGGTTGTTAAATTAATGGCAGATTTAGCATCGTTCTTAGTGGTTGGTGAAAGCAGTACGGAGAACGTACGGAGTATCGTCGTGGTGAAACCTTCCTTGTGTGTGTGTGTGTGTGTGTGTGTGTGTGTGTGTGTGTGTGTGTGTGTGTATGTCTTATGATAACACCATTAACATAAGCCTATAATCAAGGTAATATAGAATGCTAGATGAGATCAAGGACTTACACCGACTCGACAAGCAATTTACTATGGTAAATAGTAACCGGCGATATTATGGGTTCTCGTGCTAGACGATGCCGCGTTCTTCCATCGCCAGGGTTTTCATCCTCGACCTGGGACCAGCAAGACGGGATGAAGCTTCCCACATGGCGCGGCGCCTAGACCCAGTATACTACGTAGTAATAAGGAGAATATGGAGAATATGGAGAATTGAGACGGCTGAGAGTTGTAAGGTGCAAGTGGAATGGTGGAGTGGTCGAGTGGTCGAGTGGTACAAGATCGGGAGACGTACAGTGTAATTATTATTATTACGTGTACGATTGCCGCAGTCCAGGCAGGAGCTCCCTAGACAGGAACCCGAAACAGGCAATTACCTGTTAGTGCAGCCCTGCTTGAGGAAGGAGCTTACCGAATTGGCGCCGGTCGCGTAAAGTTACTCTGCGCTTTCCCGGGGGGGAAATGACCAGTTCCTTCCGTCGAGGTTGCACCTTCCCGTGTTGCAGCTAGAGGACCCGAGCTTTGCTTGTTCGGGAACGTATCGACTGCGCTAAAACAAGTCTGCTGCTACGTAGTTTGCCTTGGCAGATAACGTTGGCGTTGGTACTTTTCAATTCATAACGTGCGGCCCGGTGTATCGCCGTAACGCCTTTACAAAGTTACAAGCAAACACACGCACTAGCCGGGTCTCCACACTTCCGCCGTTGTCATCAGCCCGGATGGACAAGGAAGACCCCGTGATACTCGCCAAGAACTTTAACGTTCTCCGATACTCCAGTACCTGGATAGCTTTTTACCCAATACAGAATCTAAGAAATTCGAATAATCTACGAATCACAAGACACAGAAGCCGCGGCTGAAGTTTCGCATAAAAGAGTGCG